GGGGTGATCCGTCGATATATGTGTCAACTTATTAGTATTGCATGATGTACATTATCCCATCTGTCAATAGCAAAACCGTATGTGACTGGTCAATCTCTTCGCAGTACGGATACGTGTACGAGCAGTGATAATAAGTGTTAGCATAATAATAATACTCGTGCCGTGTACGAGCAGTAACCCCTGTCCCTTGCAAGTTGCGCCACAATTCAGATGCAAGCTGTGGGTAATAATGGATACCGAGCCACCGGTGTACGGCGTGCGCCGTGCGGCGTACGGAGCATGTTCTTACCTTACATAAGCCGGTCATCTCGGAGCAAAACTTTCGAGCTACGATTTGGTATGTCTCCAGGCTGTTTTATCCCCATGCCAAACCCGCTACTAGTTGATTTAGCCTATAGGCTATACATGACGTACTTGTACGTGTAGATTACCTTGTATCTGTCCTGCTCTTTTGTCCATTATGCTGCGGACCGAGCAATAGTCTAGATTTGATTACGAATTACGAGATTGGGTAGAGGACCCTAGGAAGTGTTGGATTTCATTTTCCGTCTCTCCTTCTCACTCTCGCCCTCACTCTCGCTCTCGCTCTCACTCTCACCCTCACTCCCTCTCTGTCTCTCTGTCTCTCTGTTCCCTTCCGCCGACCAATGCAACGGCAAAGCCCACCACGGTTTCGCCCGAACCCTCTACGTGATCGGGACACCTTTCCATTCTATCCGGATAGCATATGTGTAGTACTTGCTTGCTGCATAGAGCCAACGAGGCCGTAACGACGTGGGTACCTAGAGAAGAGAATGCTATCGATGTTGTCGATGTTCGATGCTTTCTAGCACTAGCTTCGCCTGGTGCACCGCGAAACATGCACGTATATCAGGATGTCTTGAGTGTACCGTACAACCTAATCCCTCGATACGTCACAAACCTGTCCATAATTGGCCGTCGCTCATGTACAGACCGGTACGCGGGAACGACTGGAGCTACATCCGGATCCAATCATGGGCATATCAGTTTCTGGGCCCCTCACCTCCATCACGACCACACACACACACACACATCCATACCCCCCCCCCCTCCCACTTCTCCCTTGCCGTCGTTGACTGTGGCCTTTTTGACGAGACAGGCATTGCCGATGTCTCGACATGGCTATTGTCCCAATACTTCGACTTTCCCAACTGGGTCAGACATGCTTTCTCCATATCCAACTACGCCGTAACCAGTTCCGTACGGTCTTGCCCTGTTCTTGTCTCGGTCAATTGACAGGCCGGAAGTAAACGGTCTGCCTCCCCGTGCGGTCGTCGTCGTCGACCTCGAGTTGCCTATCTTCAGTGCCCCTCTCCGTCTCTCTTCTAGATATCGGGTCCCCCTCCCCCCCGCCATTCCCACCGAAAGAGTAACCGCGCATGGTGGAATGCGCCACATGCATTGCCCAATGCCCGTGTGCTGCGTGTACTCCGAGCCTGTCCGTCCGTTGTGTTTCGTCCTCTGGGAAAGGAAAGGAACCGTGCTGTCGATCGTCCTTTAGCGAGACCCATGAGAGACTCTGCTAACCCCCCGATAAAACCGCGAATACATCACAGCATGCATGGATTGGTCCTTTTCTTGACCGTTCCCGCTTTATCCATTGGTGCAATCACAGTAGATGATTCATGTTCCCCAGCGACAGGAGCCGGCTCCGGACGCACTCAATTGCACAGGCGTTTGGTGAACCCCTGTCTTACAATATGGGCCCATAGCATCGTATTCTCTCTCTCCATGCCTTTCTCTCTCTTTCTGATTATCGCCTGCCTGTTTCCAAACGCATCCATATGGTTACCGGATCCTGGAGGGGAGGGACCCGGAGTCTGTGAGATCAGCATGCATCCATGTATGCAGATACGACCAACCAATGCCATCCACATAGGTTACTGTTGCCTTACCCCAGTAGTGACCTAGTACACATACTTGTACCTCTCGTCCTGCTCTGCTAGTAGTATATGCTAATGCTCAACCTGTCCTTCCTTTATGCCATGTGCCGTCCCTTTATCTTCACCCATATCTCCCTTTACACCCTCTGATTCACGCCCTCTTCCTTCTCTGTATGCCCGATCGAACGCGCACCATACATGTATCACTACTACCACTAATGCCACATACCCACGTACACACCGCTCAGAGACACAGACACGGGAAGAACTACAGACGAAAAAAAAGAAAGGAAGAAAGAAACGTCCTGTCCCATCCCGCCTGATTCACTCTCTGAATAATCAGCCTCCTGCCGTCCTCACTTTCTCTGGTTATTTTAAACCAGAGCCCACCAGCCTCATCCTCTTCGACGACAATGCACGGTTGACAAAGATCTGGGCCTTCGTCATGGACAATTCTTCCGTATCCTCCTTTCAACATCAGCACCAGCTTCGACAGGATGCCCTTGCCCAGGTGCCACCGGAGACCATGGACTCCACGCAATACCTCTACCCGTACTTCCACGGGCCTCCCATCTCCGGCAGCCTCGACGACTGTGTCATGGCCTCTGCCTTCATGTTCGCTCCCGAGCTGATGGGATACCCGTACTACGCGTCCTTCAATCCACCTCCGCCACACCAGTACACGCCTCCAACTCCGGCTTACAGCACCGGGAGCCATGGCCATGGCCATGGATGCGTCACCCCGGGGGCGATGCCTCCGGCACCAGCACCAGACGGCCCCGTTCGCCCGCCGCCGTTAGTCCACACCTATTCCGACAGCAGCATCTCGTCTGCGAGCCGTCTGGCCCGCCAGCAAACCGTCCCCGTGCATATCCACCACCCTCCCAGCTCCTCTGGCGATGATGCGCTTCTGGTACAAGCGGCGCGCCCTGCCGTACCGGAAAGTGCTCCGATGTCGATGTTAGCTCCAATACCAGCACCGAAACCTGAGCAGGCACCTGCAGCACCGAGCCGTCCCGCTCCAGCCAGATCGGGTGGCGGGAACACCAAGGGAAACGTCAACAAGAAGGCGGTATCGGGGATGATGGCGGAGACGGCTACAGACACAGAAACAACAAGATCACGCCCCTCCTCGCCCTCTTCCTCACGCCGCCGGGACGCGCCGAAGAAGAGCCAGAGAATGGAATCGTCTGAGTCGTCTTCACGGCAAGACAGAAACGGCATTTCGACTAGCAGGATGCCAGCCGCATCCGAATACGTGACGCCGGCCGGCAGGAAGAGGAGCACGCAGTGTAACAACGATCATGGCCACGATCCCAAGAGCAGCAACCGCCAGGCAGCGCACAAGTTCCGCACCCGCAAGCGTCACAGCGTCGAGCGTCTCAAGGAGGCTGAGGCCACGGCCCGCTCGAGACATCAGGAGCTGAGAGAGGAGGCCACCCGCCTCCGCCACGAGAAGGTGCACCTCCAGAACATGATTCTCGAGCACGGCGAGTGCGCATGCCCTTACATCGACGACTACATTCAGGCCGCGGCCAGGACATGCGTCGCCCGCCGGGCAGGCGGCATCTCGGGTGGTGATACATGTAGTATAAATTTCACGAGTAATAGTTCTCCCACAGTCAGCGCTGCCTCTACGGCATGAGACCGCTTTTTTTTTAATATTTCAACCATCTTTTCTCACTGGCATCTTCCCCTTATCGTTCATTTTTATTTTTATGATGTGTCATCTGTTTTTGTTTAGATGCACACTGTGCAATACGCACACGCAACAAAGGGGGAAAAGAAAAAAATAAAGCCCTCAGTGATCGTTTCTGTTTGGTTCCAACAAAGTGGGAGTCCAGGATGGCTGTGTGAATTCGCCCGCGTCTTTTTTTTTTTGCTCTCTGATGTCCAATTCTACTTAATATTGAACTACTATTTGTGTCTCTTGCTTTTTTTCCCATTGTCTTACATACTCGTTTCCGCGAACTCGTGCGGAGCCCATCCCGTTGAGACCAGATACACGGGCCCAAAAGAGGAAACACGACAACGTGCACACACTTTCACGGTACACTACTGGTAAGTAGTATTGGCTTCTTGGCAGTCCCCTTTTTTATATTTGAGCAAAGAAAGACAGACATAACAGAGTACTGAATCACTCTAAAACACGACTAATACCCTTTCCTCGATTGTCTCGTGGTTCCTTTAAAAATTCCTGGGAAGGGGAAAAGGCGATGCATGCTCAGATAAGAAAGAAATTCCGTCCGTCGCTCCGTCGGGATTTTGGAAATGACAATGAACGAAGAAGACGACTCTTGGAAGCAAGGGAAAAGAAAAACAAACATGTCGGGAAGAATGACGGGAAGAAAAGACGGGGTATACGCCGATCCCCCCGTGGGACTTTGGTCTGCCGTGTCCCCCACCCCACCACCCACAAACAGTAGGGTATACATACATCGGATGTGGCACTTTGCCTATTTAAGAAGAAATACCCTCTTAAGGGAAGGACCCCGGGGCCGAGGGGGGCGCGGTAATATGGTGTCAGTCGTCGTCTGGTATTTCTATCACCTCGCGTGGAGGCCTATCAGATGGGGAAGCGCGCGGAGCTGCTGCTGCTGCTGCTGCCGCCACCGCCACCACTTTCTTAGCGCGACCAGCCGTCGTACCGTCTTCCCCATCCGATCCTCCGTCTTCTTCGTCTTCTTCGTCTTCTGGTTCAATCATAGCGGTCCATGTGCCGTCCGGGGCGGCGCGGATCCGTCTGGTCCGGGCACCTGATCTGCCGCTCTCGACAAGGGCCCGCCGCACACCGGCGAAGAAGTCGTCTATCCGTAGAGAGGGGGGTCGCGCGTCCCCCCCACAAATGGGACACAGCCACGAGTCGACCGTGCAGGGTTCCTGGGACGACTTATCCGTTGGCTTGGACGTGCGCGTCATCAGCCAGTTGGATAGGTCGAAGCATTCCAGGTGCTTGCACGAGGCGCCGCGAACGGGCACATCGAAGAGCACGGAGCTGAAAGGGTCGGTCACGCCTATGTGGAGGCTCTTGTCCTCGATGATGAGGTCGTCGTCGTTGGCGACCGATGCGCCCAGGAGAGCTGCTCGCTTGATGATCTCGGTGCGAGTCGACTCCTCCGGCACGTGTGGGTTGTGCCCCACCTGCGCCATGAGTGCGTCGTGTCTGGCTGTCGTGATCTTCTCGACAGCTATGAAGAATGCCATTCCGACTTCGAGCTGGTTGGGCGGCGTTGCCGGGATGCTGAGTTGCACCACATTCTCCCCCGCGACGACATAGTCGGTCAACTCCGTCGGCATGTCGTGGTGAAAGTGCTGTTTGTGCGCTGTCTCGAGGACCACATCGTTGACAAAGGCGTATATCTCGCCGGGCCAGTGCATCTTCTTCACGGCCCAGACGGACTCCGGGACCACGTCCGCGTTATCCTGGCTAGCGGCATCTGTCGTAGGCGCAACCCCGGACATTGTGCAGCAGCGCAGACGGTAGCGTGTGCAGCCTTCAAAGTACGACCGCACCGGCAGCCCGCTCAACCCCGTGTCCTTGCCAGGAAGCCGCGCCGCGTCTTCGGCCGTCAGCGAGAACCGGAGCGTCTTCAGTCCGATCTCCGGGTACATGCGCGTCGGCTCAACAGCGAACGCCGCGACGTACTGGTAGTAGCGCCCAAATGCCGTCTCGTCCGGCACCCTCTGTGGGCTGCGCAACCTAGTCAGGTGGGCGCCGATACGAATTGAGGTCCAGTCGAACGGGCCCGCGGGATACTCGCACTGCGGTATCACCCCGATGGGGGCCGCCCTCTGACGCTGTCCACCGCCACCGCTACTTGACAGGGAGCGGTGCGTTTGTCCAAGTGACACCGTAGCACCACGGCCAGATGTACGCCGGCTGTCCGCCGGCGAAGGAGCGGCATGGACGCCCGGTGATGGCTGCCCCTGCTGCCCTTGAGACCCCCCCGGATGAGCTACTGCCGTAGGAGCCATGAAGCCCATAGGACTCATCGTAGGGAAGTTCCCTCCACGGTTTTCGGGCTGCGGCTGTGGTGCATGGCCAGCCGCGCCAAACTGGGCATGGTACATCTGGTAAGGAGTGACCTGGCCAGGTCCTGTGGTCAAGTGGGGGCCAGGCTGTGAGCTTTGGTCTTGAAGTATGCAAGATGCATGGGGCTGCTGCTGAAGTGAGGGCAGTATATGGTGCTGTCTCTGTGGAGGCATCGCGTGCAAGATGCGATGCTGCTCCTGCAGGTGCATGCCCTGGACAGGGCTAACATGGGCAGGCTGCGGAACGTATTGGCGCTGCGCGGGATCCTGTGCCCTGTGTTGCTGGTCCACCATGGCCAGGGCCTGCGCAACGTCGCCCTGGTTGGACGGGATTCGGGGATTACTTCCACTCGAGGCAAAGCCTTGGCTGGGTAGTTGATGGTACAGCTGCTGACGGGGCGATTGGGTAGCAATGGTGATATCACGATGGTGTGTCTGGCGATACTGGGCGATGAGCTGCCTGTAAGCGACGATGAACTTTCCCCGTACTGCATTGGGTTTTCCCAACTGCCCGTCTTCCGCGTGCAGCTCAAAGCATTCCTCGTCATTGAAGAGGCCTTGGAGAGGTCTGGACGAGTTGTCAGACACGCCCATATACCTACGAGATACCGTGAATAAGGTTACTCGCATGACAGGCGACAGACAGCCTAGAATATGGATCATATCGCCCACGGTGATCGGGTAACCTCTCTTGACTGCATGGTCCAACATCTCCGTCCACCTGTTGCCCAAGTTTTCTAGGAACTTCGCCACCTGCTCGGCAGTCGTGTTGTAAGCCGACTGGGTGCTTGGTTCCGAGAGCGAGGGGAAGCGAGCGAGCCACATCAAATGAGATTGGACCATGTCATGGTTTGACCTGAGTATTTTAGAAAGGTGGTCAAATGCCTTGTCCACCAATTGCGGTTTCATAGACCCTAGGGCCTCGTGGACGGTATGTCTGTCTAGAGACCAGAGGCAGTACAGCTGGTGTGTGACGATGTAGAAAAAGTCATCTCGGCTGCATGCCACCAACAGGTTGGAGTATCGCGGCCTCTCGAGTTCCCCGCGTAGTCCGTTGAGGCCCCCGAACTGGGCTATATGCTGCTCGAGCTGCACGTAGAGGCTGCCCGTGAATGACCTTCTTGAGAGTCGGCGGGCTCTGTCTGGTACAGCAGCGTCCACAAGGCTGCGCTTCGGGTTTTGAAGCCCAATCTCCTGGTGATCGTTGTCACTTCTGCTCCGCTTCCGGGTGGCCGAGGACAAGGTCGTTATACCAGGTGATGCGGACGGTACTATACTATTTGTGGGGCCGGCTGATTCTAGAGCTCCAATGACGGCGATGGCCCTTTGTGGAATCGCATGGGAAGACACCTGAGGCGATGAAGCAACTGCTCCTGTAGCGGATGCATGCAGCTGGTCTGAACGCGTCGTGGGCGGCATGAGCGGGCTGGGGTCCGATGAAGCACCACGCGATGTTGCCGGGTTAGAACCGGCTGCGCCGGGCATGGGTTGACGATTAGGGTCGCGGACGCCACCAGGCTGCAGCTCAAAGGTGAAACTATTCGGGCTCGTGTGCGCTACTGCTGCAGAAGGACTCCGTTCGTTGGTAAGTGTGGGAGAGGGAAGGACCTGTCCGTGGCTGTGGAGACGATCAGCGCTGGTCCCCTCACGGTGCAGATGGTGACGCCTGTTCAGTGCGGACCTTGGATGGTTCGTCAGATGTGGTTCAGATGGTTGAGAGGTCGGTACAGCGCGCACGCCCGAGCCCGCGACTCCGGGAGCGGCATCCTTGTTGCCGATGATTTTGTCACCGATGGCCGACCGGGCTCTTGGTTTGCGGATGCCAAGGAAGGCGTTGGCAGTCTCGTTGGAGGCGGCGATTCGGGCACTGTCGCTAGGGTTCGGCGCGGATACGTTGAGTTTAGCGGTGGGTGGTAACATTGCAGGCGTTGCCATTCTGTCGTGAAGATACCATTGCCTACCATCATCATAGATTTTTTAGCGTCGCGTCAGATGCTGCTTGCTGCTGAACGTTCAGGGCGTGCGTAAACCGAGTTGGAGGGGCAGAGGTCGGATGCATACCATCTCCTCCCCCGGTTCACCGCCAAACCATTATATGCCGTTACTTGGTGCGAAGATCCGGTGGCTATGAGCGACCGCAACGTCCAAGGGAGCCAAAGGGTTAGGCGAGGAGGCTCAAGACGAGGAGCAACGCGGTCGAAGACGATGGCGGTTTGCCTGTGGGCTCCCGTCGCAGACCTGGCGTGGCTTGCGCGGGGCGAATTATGCTGATCCGGACGGCTTGTCGAGGAGGAAACGGTCGAGTAGTGGGGATCATCGGTAACAAGGCGTGTTCGGTCGGATAAGATGGAAGCAGTTGAAGACGTTGACGCGACTGCCGCTGACCCTCATCAGCCTTCAGTCTTGGAGGGAAGGAGGTCAGATCAAACAATGGCCGTCACTTGTTGGTAGTTGCATTCAGAACTACCAACGAGCGGAACGTTCCGCGATGGTTTGTTGGTCCGTGTCTATCGACGTGTCCTACGGGTATTATTAATACCAACAAGAGATTACTTCATACGGCCAACCGCTAACTACTACTGCTACTACTGCTACTACTACTAGCTATTTGTAGTACCAAGTCCACTGTCCGAATAATGGTTGTGTTTGACCTTGGCAATGGCACGAGCGTGATCATGGGATAGCTACGAGGTCGTCCCAACGGGCTTCAACACGGTGCTAAACTCAGCACTGCATTACTCTCTATCAGTGCCTGCATCTGACAAATGGTTGAGCCGTTCTTGGGATCTGGGCAGCTGCGTGTAACATTTCAGTACAGGGTAGATTCCGAAATAGTAGCAATTCGCTACCACGAGTTGATAATATAGCTAAGCTATATTAATTATTACTGTTTCTTATTGCGGCGTCAAGGAGTTGAAGCAGGTACGCGTGGGTCAGTTTCCTGTCGCTCTTCCCTCTCCAAGCTTTCTCGTGCATGGCGCCCCTACGTAGGGGAGGTATAGCTGTGCTGTTAATTATCTTAGAGCATCAATATTATTATTGTTATTACTCGTACTCGTCGTACCTTTGCTCCCGCTTTCACGGTACATTAGTATTACGGATTGATATACAGGGTACGCCACATTAACTATTATTCGAGATTGGAAACCTACATTAGTAGTGGGTGGATTTGGAGACCAGAGAGTCAGGGTGCCAGAGAGAGCCAGAGAGCCAGAGCCAGAAGGCAAGTACGATGGGAAATAAGAGGTCTGCGCCTTCCCGACCTACCCCAAAACACTACGACGTAGTATCGCTTGCATGACTCGCTTTTCCCCCTTCACCTTTCATGGCCCTTGAACTGTATTACCACCATCTTCCATTGGCAGCATTTCTATTATCACCTTCATCTCAGCAACCGCACTCATACATACACGACTCATTTACGAGATATCACAACTTCTCCGCTCTCTCTCCCCCCAACATTCAAGAGTCCCAGCACGTGGAGTGGAGTGATCCTGCCCCCCCCCCCCCCCCCCCCAGTGATGCAGTGATCCGCCTCAATTGTTCCCTACATGCACTTATTGCAACCACGGATTACGGCTTCCACGGTGCGATATATCTCAGCATTAGTACGTACACCTGCGTCCACAGGGATCCACGCGCCATCCGAAAAGCTCATTCGACCCTTACTTGGCAGTACTCAGGAGCTCTTCTCTTTCTTTCCAATCCTTCACTATCCTCGACTCAGTACGAGTACAGTACGACGCCGGGCTTTTTTTTTTCTTGTGTCGTATCGGTATCTACCGGCAGAAGTCAACCCAATCCAACAAGCCATCTGATCCAGTCTCATTTACCAGTCTCAATTACGTCGTCATTGCCAACCTTTGTTTCTCCCTGATCCATCTCAGCCTCTGCTTTAGTAACAATCTCCCCAACTCGTTGCGGCACATGGTGGTGTCTCAGCAGGTCTTGTGTTACTGACAGTTGTTATTGCTGTCGTCGTCATTTTCGTTGTCCGTCCTTTGTCGGCTTTGTGTGTGCGCGCTGCACGCATTAGTATCCAATTTTTTGGACACCCAATAAGTCATCGGCCACTCAGACGCTAGCCGTCATCAACCTTTCGGTCTTTGGCCCCCCCTCTCTTTCTCTTCGCGGCTCCTCAATCGCGCTACGCTTTCTACCTGGTCAAAACCCACGACAGCCCAGGAACCTTGGCGCACCCAGAGAACTCTGCCAACACACTCCCACACACACTTTCGCACACGCACGGACACGCGCACGCAGGTTTGACGTCAATCATCTTCACCTCGTCTCCATAATTCACGACATTAAGCATTCCTTGCCACTGCCGCTCCCGGCCGATGGCGTCTCTCGACTCTACTCAGTGACTCTTCTCCGACTGAGTGGACACAGAGAGCCCAGCCCGACCGCCGAGGCGACAATCTCTGGTTCGATTCTACCCCACGATCGGCTACCGCGCCTTCTACAGTCAATATCAGTCACACCCATAGTCGGTGTCAAAAACTATCGCGTCTGCGCCCCCGGAACAAGGTTGCCGTCCACTCTGCAGCCGCCACCTGCTCACAATGGCCACCAAGATGCCCAGCGGGACTGCGGGGAAGCCCGAGATTGGCGAGGTCTTGATGGTGATACGTGAGTTCCCTGCTTTACCGACATCGTTGTTTTCACTCCGTCACAGAGCAATATCCGTGACCATACCCTCTACTTCTTTGGCGCTGACCATATCCACACGCTGCAGACGACTTCCTGGCCCGTAGCTCCGACGAGCTAACCCTGACAAAAGGCGATCGCGTCGAGCTGATTGAGCGCGACGATGAATTCGGCGATGGATGGTTTCTGGGAAAACACCTCAGCAACGGGAATACCGGACTTTTCCCCGAAGGTTCGCATTTGCATCATTTCTGTATGGCTTCTCATTAGTTTGCTGACCCTCTTGTTCAGTATACACACGATCTGCGCCCAATGTCCCGCCCACAGCCACAACCCCTTCCACAACCGCCATCCCGACACCTCTCGCGCCTCTGGCCGAGAGCTCGCAGGAAAAGCCCGATGTCGCTGCTGATGGCCTTTCCAGCACCGTAACCGCATCTCCGACAATCGCCGATGGCCCTGTCACCTTCCCTCTCCAGGCGGCCAAGACCGAGCCCAACCCCGATCCCGTCTTGACAGCTGAAGACCCTGCGTCGACTTCTTTGAGGAGCCCCTCCGATGCAGGGACTGGGCAGGATAGTCAAGTCTTGAATGACACCCTCAACGTCATCAACGAACACATTACCAATCTACGCTCTCCAGCCAGTAACAGTGGACTCCGATCGCAGGGCGCCGATTCCGGGAGTGAATACAGCGCCTCGTTACACCACCGCGTGTCGTACATCCAGGGCGAGGAGACTGACGAGGAGGAGGATGCCACCCATACACGTGAAGAGGTTGAGTCCTGGACAGCAGACGACGTAGCTGAGTTCTTATTCACATCAGGCGTGGAGAAGCAACATTGCGAGGTGTTCAGAGACCAGGAGATATCGGGTGAGGTGCTGCTGACCATGGATCAGGGATCCCTGTTCATCAAGGCCTTTGACTTGGGATCGGTCGGCCGACGTCTCAAGACTTGGCACAAGATCAAGGCCCTTCAAGACGAGGTTTCCGATGATATGCCGACCTCGCGTCCTGCGACACAGACGTACGGCAGTGACATCGCGTCCGAGGAGGGGGGTGCGCGAGGTAGGGTCAGAACCAGTACTATGACCACATCGCCCTCTACCCCCCACACTTCTGCCAGGACTCACCGACTCTCAGCCACCTACACCCCTCCCATCATGGCACCTCTCTCTTCACAGGGGAGTCCCACGCAAAACGACCACCGAAGGCGTCCCTCTGCGGCATCTGTCAGGAACCTTCACCACTCGCGACGCCACTCATCGACCGACTATCAAACCAGCAACCCTGGCACCCCAAGGTACTCAGTCAATGGCGGGAATTCTGTTACAGGCGCCACCCATAAGAAGCAGTCCTCGTTCGACCGCAATTGGACCCTTGGTAGTGCTGCACCCGCGCAGCGCCTCGCCGAAGGTAACTCCGAGCCCGATCTCCAGGACTCGGCCGTGGATATGGACCGTGGCTACTTTTCTGGAACTGAGGTAGAAGGGCGGTCGCGCAACCTACTACGTAAGCGTGACAGTGCTACCGCAGAGTCGAGGAAGTCCAGCTACGCGGAGGAGCAGAGAGTCCGGAGCGCCACAGCCCTATCGAGGCACTCTCGGTTCGGGAGCGTCGAGTCTTATCGCGATAGCTCTCTGCCCAGCCCTGCACAACAAAAGTACTACGGCGCCCAGGCAATGCCCCACCGGAGGACAGCATCGACCAACACGACTGAGTCGGTCCGCCCCATTCCGCCGGCCAAGGACACTCCGCCCACCGTCACCAGGCTTGATAGCCAGGGGTCTGCCAAGGGCCCGGTGCCTCCTGCCAAGGATGGTGACTGGCTGTCGTCGCTTGTTCACAAGCCCATCAGGACGGGCGGTTTCGGTATCCGGGCCATCTCGGACAACCTCGGCCTGGACAGGAACAAGCACAACAACTCGATAGACTCCAAGAACAACTCGCTACCCTCGCCGGCAGCGACGGGTTCCAGCACCCCCTCGGGCGGCCCCAGCCTCGAGCTAGACTCGCCAACGGCGGGCAAGATCGCCATGGGGCCGGGTGCTCAGCCCAGCAGCCGCAACAAGGGCAAGAAGGGAAAGAAGGAGACGAGTGCCTACACGCGCGGCCTACTCAGCATCTCGCCCCAGGAAGCCATGAAGGAAGCCGACTACAGTGGCTGGATGCGAAAGAAGAGCTCGAACCTGATGACGACGTGGAAGCCGCGCTTCTTTGTGCTCCGGGGCCGACGTCTGGCGTACTACTACTCGGAGGATGATGACGCGGAGAAGGGCCTGATTGATATTTCGTACCACCGCGTGCTCCCAGCCGACAACGAGAAGCTGACGGGGATCCACGCGTCCATCACGGGTGCGGTGGGCGGTCACCAGCCGATGCCGACGTCTCTGACCGGTGGCGACGACGAGGAGCTCGAAAAGGGCGACGATTCGACCTTCATCTTCAAGCTGATGCCCCCCAAGGCGGGCATGTCGCGGGGCGTGCACTTCACCAAGCCGACGGTGCACTACTTTGCGGTGTCCAACCTGAAGCAGGGCCGTCTGTGGATGGCGGCTCTGATGAAGGCGACGATTGACCGCGATGACTCGCAGCCCGTCACGACAACGTACCAACAAAAGACGATTTCCCTCGCCAAGGCCAAGCAGATGCGTCACCGTCCGCCGGCACTGATGAACCTCGAGGAGGCAGCCATCGAGGACGACTCGTCGTCTCTCGACCAACCCCGCGGTCCAGACGGTCTAGGCCTTTTCAACGGCATGGACGCTGCCTCTACCGCAGCTGCCAGCAGCATTGGCACTGGCAAGCCGGATGACAAGACGGAGGAGTCCTAGCCTGTTCCCACAGTCTCTGTATTCTTCCTGGACACTTTTACTCTTGAATTCTGCTCATGGAAACGCCTTTACGACTTGTAGAAACTTCTTCTTTTCTTTTCTACAATGACCTTGAACTTTTTTTTTAGCCTCTCTTTCTTTGCTTCTCCCTTTCTTCTCTTCTTCGTTCAACCTTCTTCTCATCTGAACCCCTCCTCTTCTTTCACTTTGTCAACTACTCTTTACTGCCGTCTTTTGGATACCACCATCATGATGAGGGTGTTTTTTTACAACACTTTCTTGTTTCTTCTTCTCTTCTTGGAATTTTTGCATCCCATGCAAAAACAATCATCTCTTTTATACATTTTGAACCAAAGCCCCCCCCCCCAACTCTTACCTTATTATATAGTTGACTGTTAATTCTAAATTGGTGATACCAAGACTGCTGTCCTGTGCAAGAGTGATTTATGAGGGGAAAAATAACAAAAAGGGGCTTGTGTTGATGTGATTCATGCTAAATTATGCTTGGTCTCATAACAAATTTCTCTTTTTTGACTAGAAATTTATCTCTTGGCTTGATATAAACTAAACCCTAACTTCCCACTAAATGTGAATTACTACTGAGCAGGTACCGACTCCCTCCGACTCTGATTGTGCTGCTGCTGGGCCATCTGGGTGATGACCTGTCCGACGTTGCGCATGATGGCCCTCTCGAGGCTATCAAAGGTGGCAGACCGGCTGGCAAGGCGAGACTCGGTGGCCAGGCCGAGGGTGCGCATGATGGCTGAGTGAACAAGGGCCACGGCGTCGTTCTCGGGAAGCTTCTGCTTTATCGCGTCCACGCACTGGTTCCGCAGACCCTGCAGGTGGCGGCTCACTTCCGAGCGGAGGAGGAGGGGCTTCTGCGCAGCTGAGGCGGATGCTGCGGAGCCGCCATTGGTAGAGGTCGTGTCCGGCGTCGGGGTGCGTCGGATCTGCGACACGGTGCGCTGGATGAGGTTGTTCATGCCACCGTAGCACGTGTCTTCCAGGTTGTTGTTGAGGCCCGACGGATCCTTCTTTATGCCCACCACGCGGTCCATGGCCGACCACACTATATCGTGGGCGTGGGGGGTGTTGGCGCGCTTGAGGCCGTCGGCTAGAGATACGCGGAGGTTGTTGAGGCGCGAGAGGAGGAAGGGCTCGATGAGGGGCGGGGTGGGTTTGGCCGGTGGTAATGAGGCCGCTACTGCGGGTGGCGCGGGCGTTTGTGCCTGTGGGGGGGCAGCAGGTGGAGCAGCAGGACGCGGTGCAGGAGATGCGGATGAGCCCGTCGCCAGGGGTTGTGGCGGCGGTGCGGCAGCTTGCTGGGGGGATTGGCGGACTGCGTTGGCGTCTTCCGACTTGATTGCGGGACTCGCCCGTACGGTCTGCTGCGGTCGCTGCTGCTGGGGGAAAGGTGAGTTGTATGACGGCGTGGTGTTTGGCCTTGCAGGTGCAGGGAGTTGAGGATTGGTGAAGGAGGCGGGATGCTGTGGTCGCGGCGGCTGCTGCTGCTGTGGCGTGGGACCGACAGCGTGAGGGGGAGAGACGGATGGAGGAGGAAATTTCTGCGGCGGTGGTTGTTGGTGAGGTAGGGGATGTTGTTTCTGCTGCTGCTGCTGCTGCTGCTGCTGCTGGAGATTGTTGTTGTAGTTGGGCATTTGGAAGCCCTGGGGTATCTGCTGGTGGGGTGCTCCAGGCTGATATGCCTGGTGGGGAGGGATGCCGGCGTGGGCCATCTGCTGTTGAGCGTAGGTGAAGCCAAGGTGATGTTGGTGGTGGGGATGCTGGTGGTGATGCGCACCGTAGGTCTGGGCAGCGACGAGATTGTGGTCGGGAGAGGTTGCCTTGCGCCTCTTGCCGGCGTCGAGCTCGACTCCCGGAACGCGCTTCCATAAATTGGTCACCTCCTCCTTCTTGAAGGCCTCGTTCCCGATAAGGTTATGACGCACACTGCTCTCCCAGCCTTTAGTCTCGGTGTGGAAGTAGAACCACGGGTACCTTTGGGATATGCGTTTGTAGATTTGCTTGAGCGTGAGCCCTTCGGGCGCCACCGAAAGCGTCTCGTCGATGAGCACCCCGTAGTTCTTGTTGGGCTTCTGCAACTGCTGCTCCGTGTAGTCCTCCCTGCGTAGATCGAGGGCTGGCGACTTGGGCCGAACAACTTTGCCCTTCTTCTCCTTGACTGGGCGCTCAGGGTCCGATATAACGGTACCGCCTTCGCCGTCCTCCTCGCCCTTGGGCTTGCGTGGCTTGTACTTGCGCTTTTCGCCCAGCGAATCGCCGCCGCCGCCACCGCCGCCGCCACCGCCGCCGCCACTGCCGCTGCTGCCACCCTCAGGTAACGGGTGCTTTCGTGGGCGCCCAACTTTTCTCTTGGCCGGTGGCTCCACTGGGGGTATCTGTGCTGCCGCCTGCTGCCTGGCAATCTCCTGTTCAGCTTTCTTCAGCTCCCTCTGCTGTCTCTTGGACATGATGCCATTCTTAGGTGGCCGCCCGGGTCCCCTCTTCCTAGGTACGTCGGCCATGGACAGGTTCCCGTCCTCGACCACGGCATGGTGACTGCTGAGTGGGAGAGATGTCCGTGTGGTTCCGTCGGCGGACGCCATGGACATCTCGGCATCGGCGACATCTTCCATACTCCTATCTTCAGGATCTTTGCCGGCAGCCCCTGCAATGGGAGGAGATACGGCACTCAACATGGAGATGTCAATGTCGGGCTCCTCAACATCCGAGAGCTCATCGTCGTCGTCATCGTCTTCCTCACCGTCTTCACCCTCCTCGCTTGTGTCCTGAGCCAGGCCATTGCTGCGGGGCTCAAAGTCGAAGCTCATCCCATTTCCACCGCCGATCCTCTTCTCCTTGGAGACTTCTTCGGCACCTGTGCAGCCAAGCTCGACGCCGTTGATGTAGAAGCTAAAATCGATGTCCTTTATCTGGAGCCTGTCACCACTGCGCAGGGTGACAACAGAGCCGATGCCGCGATGGACATCTTGGTGGAAGAAACCGTTATGGTGCAGCGGTATTGCCTCGAAGACACCCGACGACTTGTTGTACGTGATCTGGAGATGATTGCGCGATATTCCCTTGGACTTGTTGACGATATCAGGACCGGGCGAGTGGATGCCGATGAAGGCAACGTGGTCGGGAGAGGGCCTCAGCGACTCCCAGTCGACGGCGGCGGCGCCGGGAGTGTGAGAGACGTACTGGCGTGCTCGCTCGCCTGCCTGGCCCTGGTCCTGCTTTTCGGGGGCTGCAGATGACTCGGCTGAGTTGGTCTTTTGACGTTTGGTGGGAGGGCCATCCTCATCCTCACCACCGCTCGACTCGGGTCCCAGCATGCCTCCCTCCTCGCTAATGTACGACTTGCTAAATTTATGCTCCTGGCTGAGAGGGGCGGGTGGCGGGAGACCCAGGCGCATGTTCTCCTCGGTCTTGAGGCGGTGCAGCTCGGCGCGCTTCTCGTCGCGCTGAGCCTGTCGGATGGCGGCGCGGTCTCGTCCGATGATGACGCTGTACGTGTTCATCTGGAAATCTCCGTCGGCAAACTTAATGCGCGCAAACGACTCGAACCTCTTGCGCTGGCGAACCAGGGCGTTGCCTGGCGGCAGGGTAGCGTTGTTGGTCATAAGAGATGGGGGCGGCGCTGAGTCGACATGCATCTGAGACGGGGTAACGGTGGATGGGCGGTGGTGATTTTTCGGATCGGGTGTCATCAAAGACATGTAGTTTGCTGGTTGGTTGCGCCATGTCTGGGCAAAGGCGGCGAGATAGTCGAGGCTGACGGCCCCGAAGTTAGCCGCAGAAGAATTCATGTTGCCAGCAGAGGGCGGCTGGCTACCCTCCTTCTTGACCTGAGCCGGTGACTGCAGGCTAGTGGGCGTGGATGCTGGGGGAGGTGCTGATGTTGACGTTTCTGCGGCGGCGGGCGGGAACGCGAGCGGAGCAGAGGCGTCGGCTACACCTCCAGCGTCTTCGGGCTTTGCGCAGACTTTTTCGTCGTCGTTCTGCTCAGATGAAGGCGCAGCGATGATCTGTTTCGTGGTGCCGTCAGACGCGGTCTTGTTGTTATTGTCACTCGAGGTTGCCACGATGGCGGCAACAGGAGGGGTTTCGGGTATTGATGACGATGCAGGTGCCGATGCAGGTGCCGATGCAGATTCTTGAGTCTGTGTGTGAGAAGAGGACTGGTCCTGGGCCTGGCTCTGGGGTGTGGTGAATAACGAGGGCAAATAGCGTTGGCCATTCTCCTTGTGGCTCTCTGCTGTGGAAGCTTGTTCTGAGTGTGGAGGCGCTGCTGATTCTGTTGCTGCTGTCGGTGTCCCTAATGCTGCTGTCGGTTCCGATGCTGCTGACGCTTCTCCAGACTGTGGCGTATCGCTGACGGTATCCTTCTTTGCCGCGGCGGTGGCAGCCGGGTCTACACTATGATGATCCATGGTAGGAGCAGCGGCAGCGGCAGAGGAGGCGTCGGATGGCCTCTCCCTGGCAGCAACTGCGCTGGACGAAGTCATCGCTGCCAAGTAGGGAGAGGGTTGGTGGGGAATCGGGAGGGAGGGGGGAGCGTTGGCAGCTCGTTCGAATTGCGGCGGGTTGGCGGTGATGGTGACTGATGGCAGGTGCGGAGTCAGTCGATCTCTCGGAGACAAGATCAGAAGTTTGTCGCAGTCGACGACACCCCAAACAACGAAGATTTTGTTCGTTTGCCGTGCCGATGGACCCCTAGACGCGTCAGAGGACGGTGGGTGGGCGTGATCAAGGCCAAGGGCGTTGCGAATGGAGGCGGGGAGGGGGGAGACTCCTGGATGCGCAGAGGCAAAAAGCCTGTTGCAGTTCGATTCCAGAGGCGCTTCACTCTCCTCGCCTCTTTCCCTTTCGTCGGGCGCCCGCGATGCCGAGCTCAGTATTCGGTGTTGGGGGATGCTGATTGGTTGGATTCGTGTATCTTGATCCACTAAATGTTCTCCCCGTCCTCTCGCTCTCTGTTATTCTCTTTATGGCAAGGAGTGCTTATTAGTCCTTGGTCGTTCTTGCCAGTACAGTCAAATATGTCTATAAAACGATTATGGCATGTAACGATGTACTATGAATATCGTTAAATGTCCGGTGTTTCGTTCTTATTTTTCAGAAAACACTTGCTCCGAAATGACTTGACGGTCCCAAATCCAAGCTGCAGCGCTCCACCAAAAAATATGAGGCCTGCTCTTGTCCCGTAAAGGTTGAATCTTCCTTTTGCAGGAAACCTATTGTCTTTCCACAGTCACTCTCGTACGTGCACGTGGCTGTCTCTCTTTCGGTGCGAGTACCCACATGTTGTTAGTTGCGGGTCGTTTTCCAATGAGCCTACCCTATACCAGCGTCTCTCTGCTTCCTGCTTGCGGCAGCACACGATGACCCGTAGACGTGAATACAGTATACAGTGGTCTCAGCCTACTGGCACGTCCTGGGTTGATGAGTGTGCGTCTGATTTCTCGATTGAAAGGAAGGAAGGAAAACTATCTATGAGGTTATCTACGGATGTGAGTGTGGCAGCAGCCAGGGGCTGCTTGGTCATGTAATTTTGGTGCCACATCATCACGGGAAATTCTATCCCGAGGGGGCATATTGCCAGTGTCCTCTTACAAAGAAAACGTGTGGTTGGATTTGAATTTGAATGTTGAGGCTATATGTGGCTTGAGACCCGTGTTGAGAGTTGGATAGATTCATGTATGGATACAAACAGCGTTTCATCATGACGACAAAGCAAACCATCAAGTCGAAACAAGAGTCCTCAAGAAAGAAAAAAGCAAAACGAACATAATGTTCGGTTCCGTGCAAATACGTCACACTCATTACTCATCACAACAGCGGACGCTGTTCAGCTGACGATGACGTCGCGCGCCACCCATAAAATTTATCAGACAGCATGTACGCAGAATGGCACAGCATGCCGGCCAGAAAACCAGCGGCATCGTTGCGAAAGGCTAAGATGCCACCTGCAGTAGTAAGCATGACGGTCCAGCGCTCCAGGCGCTCCTGGTGGGAGACATGTCGATGCTCGCGCAGGAGGACGTGCTCATGGTTGCCGTCCTGGTTGGCGGCAGCGACCTGCCAGAGGTCCGGGGCGCCATTATTCAGATCGTTACCCACCTTGGCGAGTTCCAGCCCAGCGGCAAAGACCATGATGCCCAGCAAGGCGTTGGGATAGTACCGCAGCAGACCGACGAGGGCATCTCCAAAGACGAGGCCGAGCACGAGCTTGAAGGCGCCCAGGATGACAACGCTCGCGCCGCTGCGCGCGCCGAAGCGGTACTGGGCTGCCAGGCCGCCGGCACCATGGCACACGGGCATGGCACCGAACCACGTCCCCGTGAGGTTCATGAGGGCGACGCTGAGGCCCATGGATGTCACGGATGGCGCGGGGAGGTCGGGCAGCAGGTCGGCGGAGAGCTGGGACACGGCTACGATGGAGTTGAGTGTCGTGAGCGGTAGCTGGGCGATTGCCATGGACAGCGCGGGACCGCCGAGCCAGCTGGGAGAGGTGAAGCGCGGATGCCACACGTTCAGCGCGGGCAGGTAGTCGGCCCTGAAGCCGGCGAGCGCGAGGGCCAGGACGAAGAAGACGAGGGCGTACGGAAAACGGGCGAGCCGCTGGGTCGCGACCAGCACGGCGAAGGCGAGGGCGGCCCACAACCGGTTGTCCAGGAGCGGGCGCGTCCAGTGCAGCGGCTGCAGGAGCGACGACCCGGCACCCAGGACTAGCGACAGCCCCGCGCCCAGCTGGATGCCCTTGACGACGGGGATGGGCACGATGCGGACGATGACGCTCAGCAGGCCCGTGACGCTGAGGACCAGGACCGCCAGGCCGACCCACTGCCCCGCGGCCACGACGACACCTAGGGACATGGCGTCGTGGCCGTCGCGGCCGGATATGGCTGCCGAGGCGATGGCCTTCATGGGCTGCACGGGCAGCGGGATGCCGAAGACGGCGCCGGTGAGCATGTTGAACAGCCCCGAAAAGACGAGCGTGGAGCCCAGGTCGACGTAACCCCGCGCCGCCAGAGCAATCATCAGCGGGAGCAAGGTGCCCAGGTCGCCTAGGGAGCCCGAGATTTCGGCCACGGCAGACCGGTGCATCGTGGACGCATTGTGGCGGTTCACGCGACGGAGTTGAGAGAGTAGTCCTCGGGGCATTGTTTCAACCCTCTCCCAGGCAAGGACTGAGCCATCCCGAGCGTAAGGGGAAAGAGTTGTAAGTATGATCTTAGCAGCTATGGTCGTGTGATGTGGGGGGGGGCGGGGTTAACCTACGGATGGTGTGTCAGTGAGCGAGTGAGTTATCGGTCGGGTCATGTGGGGGAGGCATAAAAGAGAGCAAAGTACGACTGAGCGGTACGTAGCTCGGTAGTAATGTACAGATATGTATAGAGGGTACTCCGTATTATCAGTATTACCAGTAGCAATATCACGCATCAACTTTTTCTTTCGGGGTTCTGTATCGTACGTGCAGGATGCGTGCGGGATGGAGCTGGGATGCAGGGAAGAGAGGGGTCCTCTTTTCGAGCCTTGAGCGGGCGCACTGTACATCGCTGGGCCCATGGATGCCTGGAGAGAGAGAAAAGTTGGAGGCTGGAGAGCCGCTTCTTCTTCTCCTTCTTGTTTTGTATCATCATCATCATCATCATCATCATCATTGTTATGACTAGGATTTTTTATTTCTACTCTTCTATGTTTGTTCTCATTTTTGATCCATAGCGACGGGGTAGAGCAAGGCTACAAGAAGCGTGTAAGAAGCGTGTACAGAGCAGTAAGGACAGTCAGACGCTCAAGAGCACAGAGCAATACTACTCCGTACTCGTAGGCTGTAGCATCATCCTTATCAAGGGTTCCCCTTGCTCTGCTGAAAAAAAAAAAAAGAAGAAAAAAAGAAAGCGGTTTTGACAAAGTGCCGTCGTCCACCCTCCCTTCCAGGGTCCCCAGCCTCTTGGCGTCAATGGCGGGAGACGGAACTACAGAAATGTAGCGAGCGCGATTCCGACCCGCGACAAAGGCGAGTGCGGGAAACAGCGGGAATAGCCATCCGGTGCACGGACAATGCGAATGTGTGTGTAGCATCATCTGGTTAATTCTTATTTAAAATTTGTAACATATAAGGGCAAACAGAAACGGAAAAGAGTGATAAACCGACTCGAGTCGATTCGGCACGAGTCGTACCGATTCCGACTTTCCTTTTCTTCTTCTTCTTCTTCTTCTTCTTTCGTCATCTTTTATTCTATTTTATTTTGAATTTATATGTAAGAGCGATACGGCAGGGGGTTCACTCTCCCGCATTTCTCTGGCCTCCCTCCCCCTCTCTCTGGATTGGTGGCAAAGACGAGAATGAATTACGGTGAAGAAGAGAGGGTGAGAAGGGGAGATGTGTGGTTCTGAGGACCACACAAGGACGGATGGATTGACGAATAAGAATGGCGATGATGACAAGACAGTCATCAAAGCCCACTGTAATGATAGTGTTACTGTATCCGTACTCTGCAAGCTGTAGGGATTACGCTGCCACAGTGTCACCACCACCTGTATGTAGCCTGTAGGCTGATTTTATTTTCGGTGGGCGCTCCGACTGAAGAGAAGAGAGGTAGGTAATATTACCGCGTTTTGGTCGTACGAGTACTATTACGCCGACGAGGACTCCATGGGCGGCAAGCGATAATACTGGAGGGAGGGGGATAGACTATAGTATTATTATCGGATTGCCAGGATTGGTGTGTTGGTGACGTTGGTAGGGGGGCTCCATTATCGTTTCCGTACCGTACTCGTAATTTAACGGACGAGACCAGAGAGAGCTCGGACGGGACGAAACGGAGATGGTGAGATCAATGGGTAGCTTTTTGGGGAAGAAAATGCCTCTTTCGCCACTGGTGACTCGTGAACAGTATTGTCATTCCAAGCCTGTATCCGTGTACTCGTACACACGCTCTGCGAGTTACTATTACCGATTGCTCGAGACCTCGGCATGGTATTCGGCTCTAGCAGGCCCAAGTTTCCGAGTTCATCGTTCAGCGCCATCACCGTCTCCAGTAATCCTACCGGTACGAGTACAGTTACCGCCACCTCTCTACTGTCAGCTGCTCGGTACGAGTACAGGTGCAGACCTGTACAGATTAGAAGGAGAAGCCTCTGACAATACAGGCAGGAGACGAGATCATCCAACGTTACGATGATAAAAATGATCCTCCTATAACCTGTACAATGCCGGTAATGACAATTGTGACCGAGTGATGTGCACAAATGGTATTACACTATTCTTCTGTTCCGGTACCGTGCATAATTTGGGTCGCAATGAACCGGACCAGCCTCTTTACGAGTATATATTATGGCTTACGAGTAGTATCGGTACACATGTAAGTACGGAGGTATCATTACATGTACCGGCAGCTAGCAGGCTTGTTGTCGTGAAGAGTGCGGGAGTATCATCCTCGTAGAGAGCATCATTGCCCTCACTATGCGGATATAGTGTACGGCTCAGCTGCAATGACCGTTGCCATTGCAATCGACGTCGCAACTGTACTCGTATTATTACCGCACACCATCGCTCGTAACAACGAACAGCGGCCAACTTCGTCCTCTCACCTGCACTCCCCGACCACGAGTACGTAAATGGCTCGCGTGGCTGACCGCTGCTCCCAGGCGCCTCGTGCACCGCTCCGAACCGTCCTGGGCCGCTGGATGCAGGATGATCCCATCCCTCATATGGGAGAGGGGAGACCGACCTGCGATTGCGGCTGCGACTGCGACTGGGCTGCCCGGGCCTGGGGGATGCGGCGGCCGGCGGCCACTGTCTTCCGGCAGACGCGGGTGGCAATTGCGGCACCCCAAGGGGCACCCCAAGGGGCAGAGCAACAACCATGGCAGCTGCTTCTCCCGTCTCTGCCATCTGCACGTTCACAAGAGTGCTCGAAGAGAGAGTATTACCGTATTACGAAGCGTATGTTTTCTCCGTACCGGCCTTAGTAACATATACTCGTACTTTGTCGTACGCTGTGCTGCATCCGTACGAGTACATATACTTGTCGTAATGGCACTGGTGATGCTCCTCTACTCGTACGAGTACTTATGATACTCTGTACATGTACAGATTATACCCAGCAAAGAAAAGAAAAAAAAAGAGAAAAAGAGTCTAGTGTCTGTCCTCGGCAATAATAACGGAGCAACAAGCGCGCGAAAAATTCGCGCAAAACCTCAACCTAGACCGATTCTCCATCCTGGCACGACCCATTTGGCACTGTCAGTAATACTATCGAAGCCATACGATACAAGTAACAGACGAGGGTTCTTCCATGAAACTATACGGGGACCCCTGTACTACCCCAAAGCCAGTCAGGGCCAAAGAGACCAAGACGAAAAGCAACCTTTTCCTCCCCTCTCTCTCTCTCTCTCTCTCTCTCTCTCTCTCTCTCTTTCTGCCGTCATTGCCGAGGGGGGGGGGGGGGGTTGTTCAGGCAAACAGGCACGGATCAGGTCTTGATTACTTGGGTGTGAGTCTTAAAAAAAAACGCTCGGAAACAATCGATGGCCTTGTAAATGTCGTGTGTTCAGTCCGCTCCCTTCCTCTCAATCGCAATTGCGTTTTGTGTTTTCTGTATTCTTGGCAAGGCCCGTATGCGTCAGGGAAACGGCAACGAGCGACAACAGCAGCAGCAGCAGCAGCAGCAGCAATAACAACAACAACAACAACAATAACCAATCCGTAATACTACTAATACGACCAGGTACGAGCACTAACAGTAGTAATAATGGTACTTATTCCGGTACTCGTAGAGAACACTGGTGGTGTGGGAAGTGAGATCCCTGTTCCGATTCCCAATCCCGACCGGCCTAGTTGGCGAGACGCCGTTCTCGTCGACACAGTGGGGATGGACCTCATTTCCCACAAGCCACCGAAAAGGGCTGTCAACAGAGCAAACAGGGCAGCAAAGAGGTCTGCCGAGATAGCAGTGCACCCCCATGAGGTGCTCCGTAATGATAATGCACACATAAAGAACAAGGTAATACCGAGCAACCTGTAGCCCGTACTCCGTAACAGTATCTGAGCAATTAGCAAACGACAACAAGTAAACAATGGATGAGCCATAGTGAGAAAGGACCGCCGCCGCCGCAATGTGAAGCAATTGGAGGGAGGGGGGGGTCAGATGGAAGTCGGCACGAGACAAGCCGATTTGCACTGTACGCACTACTTCCTTCAGGTACTGGTTAATATCTCCCACATGCACTTCAATACGCGGACTCTAGTGTATATGTCACAGTGCATCTCTGCGACATCCATACTCCGTTCTGCAGGGATAGTAGAGTCCATCCTCTTCTGATGTATTTATTATTTACTACTTATTATTTTATTCTTTAAACTGGTGGCAGTCACTGGTGGCAGTCGCAGGTGACGTAGTGGACCGGGACTCCACCTTTCCTCTCTGAAGGGACAGACATTGGGTGACCCACTCTGTTCACAGCGTAGGTACTCCGTAGAGGCTCGACACAGAGTGAGAGAGAGTGAGGCGAGGAAAAGACTGAAGGCATCCTGGGAACTAGACCGAGCTAACGGCATACGGGGGAGTGAGGTACAATGTACTCACGGTCAGGCTAGAGAGAAATCGGGAGAGCAGAAGTGTGAGGAGAGACACACCCGAACAGAGTATGAGAGGCCTTTTTTTCCCCTTCCGCTTACTCGTGGTGGTTGGGGCGTGTGTGTGTGTGTGTGTATGTGTGTGTGCGTGTGTGTGCTATTAAGTCTGTGGGCGCTCTCCATCAAAATAACAAAATCACGCTTGACCCATCCCGCCCAACCTTTTCCGATTCCCTCTTCTGATCTCTTCTTCTTCCTTCCCACTCTTCCATCCGCCTCTGACCTCTTTTCTTACCCTCCTCTTTCCTTCTACCAACCTTTCAATCTCAACGGTATGTCCATTCCCTACTATATATAACAATTTTTTTTTTTTTTCAACTCGTCTCGTTTCTTTTTTTCCCCACCTCCAGGTCGTTTCCGCCTCTTTCCACCCTCCCAATTCCTTCCTCTCTTGTCTCTCGAATCGCCGTGCGCACACTGCCTGCACCAGTGTACTTTCGCTCTTGCCCATTCGCTCCCTCCCTTTCTGCGCTTCCCGCCTGCCGCAAAATTCTGGCGAGTGTACCACCCAACGAAGCGCCGATTCTCGAAATCAGCAGTCAAAAACTTCTTCCAATCACCAATTCGCACAGATAAAAGAACGCGACTCGGGAACCCGAAACAAGAGTTGGGACAGCTCCATCGTGCACAAGTCTTGGTTCATCTGCAGCCGTCAATTGGATCCGCCGCATACCGCAGATTGACCTCAGCGCGCGGAAGGCACGAGAGAGATTGGAGGGAGAGAACGAAGGAAACGACCGACGAGGCCAATTGAACACCGCTGATATAAAAGAACTACCCTGCTAACCTTCTGACCTCATCCAGCCTCTCTCCCCTCTCCCCTCCACCGCTCTAAACCGTCCACAATGGCCGCCATCAACTCCTCTCTCATCTCCCGCGAGGTTGCCTCTCACCTGGTCAAGCGCAAGAACTGGGCCGCCAAGGAGGCTGGTGTCATCGTCGTCTTCTGCATTGTCTTCATTGGTGCGTATCATGACCAACCTCTTCTTCGTTCCCATTTCCCATGTCCTATGCTGCACCGCACATCTATGGAATGCGCTGCTGACACAATTGACAGTCGGCGTCTTCCTCATCGGCCTCTGGATCAGCAAGTGCATCCAGAAGCGCAAGGCCAACAAGCCCCAGCAGATATAAGCCATCTCTTACGAGACAAGATAAATAAAGAGAGGGGGGGGGACGAAGGTCAAATGTCACACTTGCGCGACCTGTGATTGATCTGGTGTTTCTTTTGAGGGGCAGAGGCTCGCGTGTGTTTGCGCCGACATTATACCACACTTATATATACACCCCCATGTCGTGCGCTCATCCTCGCAGAACCTTTCCCTGATGGGGAACATGGTTGAGGGGACGAAGAAAGGGAAGAGAGGAATTTTAATTGTCACGATTCGGCGGCCTCTTTACGAAACCGGTCGTCCCAAACACCGCCAAAAAGAAACCAATGGGTGTTTTTTTTATCGGTTTGTTTTTACTTGTTCCAGGACAAGTTGGCGAACGCGGTGTTTTTTCCCCCTGCCGCATGGGAGATGGGGGCAAAAACAGGTCTTGTCCTTATCCTGGGATGGAAGATGGCAAGGCCCAACCCCTCTCTCTCTTGTGTCCGTTGCATATCTGTCAATTTCTTATTATTACCCTATTTCCTTTATTCTCATTTTTCTGCAGTCTTGCTCCGCGAAAAACGTTTATCTGGAGGGAACTCTTGTACCATGGTGTCCTCTTCTTTTTTTCCCCTTCTATTTTCTCTCTCTCTCTCTTCATGTGACATGCCATCAAAGAGACATGACGAATACATGCATGAGGAGATATTTACTAGAATAGTAGTAGTACATACGACATGTTTTTACACAGCTGGCCCATCTATCCACATGACACAGAGACCCTTACATGTTCCTTGGCCTTCTATAATCCCCTCTTGGCCAACATGTCGGCCACATCGAGGTAGAAGGCAACGGCATTAAACGTCTTCGCCATGCGTGGCGTCAGCCCCAGCCCCAGCGACTCAGCAGCAGCCCATCTGGCCCGATTAGACCAGTTGATGAGGTCGATGTGGCTCACGCCCACCAGCGTGCCGAGGTACTCGCGCCAGCGGGCGCTCTCGACGCTGACAAGCCCGTCGTTGGCGCCCTCGACCTCCATCATGTACCGCCAGGCTACGCGGAAGGGATTGCCGCCGCCGAGGGGGAGGTGCCTCTCGGCCGCGCTGGCCCGCGACAGCTCCGTCATCTCTGCCCCGTACGACATGTACTCCACCCCTGGCACGTCCGGGGTCCCCGGGTTAAACGTGCCCTGGACGTAGCGGCGCGTCAGCTGCGCAAACGCCTGGCCGCTGCCCAGCCCCGCGCCCACCAGCGCAGACAGCATGGCCGCCGACGTCAGCCAGCCAGCCTCCTGCACCATGTCGGCTATGTAGCTGCCCCGGTGGGGGGTCGACACCGTCACCAGCGACGCCACCCTGGCCCTGACCGGCGGCGACTGGCTGACCATGTACCGCGCGTCCAGGCCGCCCATGGAATGCGCAATCACATTGATCTTGGGCAACCTGTCGTTGCTGCCGTTGCCATTGTTGTTGCCGTTGTCGTTGCCGTTGTCGCCGTCTCTGTTGTCTCGGTTGCAGTCGTTGTTGACGTCGTCGCTGCTCCCGACAGCCTCGTCAATCTCGTCCCGAAGCCGTTCCGCCCTCTCAACAATCGAGCTCGTCGCCGGCACGGTGGTGCAAATCACCCGGGCCCCGCGCGCCTCCAGTGCCTCCTTTATGCCGCGCCAGTACTGTACCGCCGGGAGGAACCGCGATACCCGGAGTTCCGAGAAGCCCAGCAGCCCGTGGGCCAGGACAACAATGTTCTTGGGTGTGTCTAGCGGACGTTCCCAAGTCAATCCAATGTTTCAAAACTAGAAGGAATGGGGCAAAAGGAAGATACCGTAGGTGTCGCGCACTTTGGCGTAGTCGTCCGATATCCTCCTGCCTAGATGGCGCATACGCACGTCGTGGGCGTCCGCCTCGCCATCCTCTTTAGACCCTAGGCGCTGACGCGACGTGGTCAACTGTCGCTGCTGTCGCGCGCAGTGGCGTAATGTCCGCATGCGACTGCCAATGGGGCGTGTGTTCATGGCGGGAGGGTGCGTGACTGGGAAACTCTGAATGTGAGGTGTCTTTGTATCGTTATGCGAGGGCAAAAAGAAAAAGGGTCCGATGAAGTAGTGAAGCTCAAATTCAAGGTTGCATATAATAACGTCTGAGACGCTTCCTGCCTTGACGTCACTGATACATTTTGCTGCAGCTGGATCCACATGCTTCCAACCAAGGCAAAACAGGGAGAGTACGGCATCATTAGATCCTTTTGAATTAGGGCACAGAATATATATGATACCTCATACTGTTTACTTGATATGATTGGAAACGAAGTTGATAGAACCCCAATGAAAAAACATCTCAGTTCTTCTCCTGAGGCATCTGACTAGGCGCATTCTCATTCGTGACACCACTGTACGCCGGCCTCTCCTGGTGTCCCTCAAATGGCCCGGCGAGGTTCTCTGCCATGGCCTCATCATAGCTCGGCGGCGCGTCGTCCCGCGGAGGGACAACCTGTCCTGGTGCCAGCTGAGGCGGGTACAGAGGGTCGCTGATAGGCGGTTGGGAGTGAACTTGGCCCTGGGGCCGGGGAGGTTGGGCTGGGCGATCGGGGTTCCCAGCGCTGGCACCGGCGTTGTTGGTCCTCGGAGGTAGACGCGGTCCCGCTTCAATGTCGATGGTTGCGTGGCCGGGACGAGTATTCCTCGCGGCCTCGACGAGCTCGGGCGGCGGGGATATGCCGGAGAAGACCTCGACGTTCTGGAACAGGAGCGGTAGGATGATGACCTGGGGCTGATGGGAGTCCTTGGATGACGAGAAGATCCCTGTCTTGACGTGGGGCTTGCCCCAGGCCACGCCCAGCTTGAGTTCCAGGTCATAACGCCTCGACAGGTTGCAGCACTCGAATGATGGGGCTATGGTGTTGGGTAGGGTGCAGCCGGCCCACAGCGTGTCCGGCACCACGACCTCCTTGCCTACCTCGTCGTCGGGGCTGGTCGTGAGCGGTATGTTCAGGTTGGCGTCCGACACCACGACCCACCGGTTCACCCGGCGGTTGTAAATGTTGTGACATCGCACGTCGGTGTAGCCTATCAGCTCCATCTGCATGGACACGAGGAATACCTCCGCAGGACTGTCGACCAGCTTCTTGGCCACCAGACGCAGCGGCACGGGCTTGTTGCATGTCACAATGCTGGGGTGCGGCAGACGCGCCGATATCTCCACCGAGGGGGCCGCCGTCGACGCCGGCGAGAAGGGATTGCTGGATGGCAGCTTGGCGTCCTCGTCCTTTTTGCTGCCAAAGAAGGAGCTGCGCTTCTTCTCTGCCGACGAAGACGAAGACGAAGACGGTTGCTGCTGGGAGGGCGCCCCCGGGTGCGACTGGAAGGTGAACGGCCGGCGCGCATAGGCTTCGCGACCCGTGGCCTTGGGTCGTGGGGGCTCGATAGGCATGAACTTGAACCCGGCCTGGAAACGCCAGTTCTCTTTGAGGAACCCGGGTCTCTGGACGGTGACTTTGATGTAGTACCGGATCTCGGCTGACATGGGGAACCCGGTCAGCGACGGTGGCAGAGTACGAGTGACGTGCCGCAGAAACAACTGCTTGCTCCCATCCATGACGCGTACCCCACCCATTCCCAGAAAACCCCCGCCAGAGCCGAAACCTCCGCGGCCCCCAAGCCCTCCGATCTTTGACATGGCCATGGGGTCACTGCAAGCATTGTTGATGGGCAGCCGGAACTTGAAGGGGAACTCGTGTTCGCCCGGCTGCAGCGGATAGGCGCCGTACGGGTTGCTCGTGCTAGAATAGTACTCATCCGGGAAGACCTGCTGCACCTTGTACAGGAGCTTGTGCGTCTCGCCCACGATGCTTCCGGGCGGGCCCGGCGGAGGGCCGTTCCGAGGCATCCCCAGACCGCCGGGGCTGTTGTTGTCCGCCGGGTGGGGCACCTGGAGCGCTGTCATGGCCTCGCCCTCAAGCTTGACGACAATGTTGCCAATCTGCTCGGGCCGTGTTAGGCTCAGGACCAGTGTGCCGGATACATGGTCGAGGTTGGTGTAGAACTCTGGCCGGTTGTCTAGGGCTATGCGGATCGACATGGTGGGCGGTTCGGAGCCACGACTGTTATTGTTGGGACAAGAACTCTTGAAGGGAGAGGAAGGTCGAGATATATATACAGGTATCGTCTTCGTCACCAGCAGTGCATCTACGCCATGGGAGGCCGTGCGCTAGAGAGAGAGAGAGAGAGAGAGAGAGAGAGGAAGAGACTCGTATGTATGCTGGTCGTGGGCCGGGGGTAGATGCTGGATGAGGTGATGTTCTGCGTACAATATTCGGTTGAGCTAGAAGCTGCCAGGCGGGTCAATGGTCCCCTTCTGCTCGCCTTGCACTTCTCTCTTTTCTCTAGGAAAGCGATGCGTGTTCCGGGTGGGTGGTATCGTAGTGGGAGAGGCGTCTCTGTGTCTTTTGCAGCTCTGGCGTCCTTTTTCTGAGGCTCAGCCCCCAGAGCCACCTGAACAGAAGCGCGGGATGTGCTGCGTATAGCGTCACTGATTTCCCCATATGGTAAAGCGGCAGCGCCGGCGTATTCTTGGGTATCTGTGTGTCCCTCATCGGAGACCGGCATTGGTTATTCCGGAGGGGCGACTGGTGATTGAACGGTACGGGGTATCGTAGTCGGTTCTTTTTCTTCTTCATTTCATGGCTAAAGGTGTGTACATACATAAAGTGATTGGTGATTGGGATTCGACGTGAGCGATGCTCTGGTATAAGAACCATTGTGGCATTGTCAGTCCAGAGGGCCAAAGAGCCAGTTCCATCCGATATTGCCCTTTGTAGGCTACAGGTACTAACTAGTAGTAGTACTATACATCTTTGCTCTGACCCCCTCCATACCCCCTCCTGACATCACCATCTAGCTGCTCATCGCAGCACAGAATCGCCATGCCCCTCAGCGATCCAATATGGTACCGTGCATTGACAGCCTGATAGTCATCCGAAAAAACCATGTCGGCAAAGTGCCGCACGGGAGGGTTAGGGTTGACCGGGCCACGGCAATTTCATCCCATACCCTCTCCGCCTCACCTTGTTCCCCAATGACGGTGCCGACAATCCTGCCCGCGCCGCCACGCCGCCTGCCCACGTCCTTAGCGAAAGCCCTGCCGTAAATCTGTAGCTATCCAGATTGGCCTCCTTGATGGCCAATACATTCAGCATTGAAACTGGTGTATGTGGCGTTGATGGCTTGGATCACCAGTCGTATAACTCGTCCGTCATCTTTAGTCTTTGATGGCTCTGCTGCGGATTCCCGGTCAAGAGATCCTGTAAGTGGTGGCACAGCTGGTTTGCCTAGGAGTTTGGCATTCTGGTCTGGGAATCTGGCTAGCAACTTGGACGGGATACCCGCTGCGAGAGAGTAAGTGACGCTGATGTGGAGCACCGTAGAATCCGGAACTGTCGACAATAACGGGGAATATGATGAGGAGGCTCCAAGGTGCAGATGTGTGCCTATCGAGGGGCTGTTGTCGGATGGCGCCGTGATCCGCGGGCGGATGATCCAGCGCAGCTGTCTTGCCGACGACTTCAGTAGAAGGGAGACGAAGCTGGTCAGACGTGCTAGGCTGCAGTGAAACAAGGTATAGAGAGATGAGGCAGGTATGTTGAAAGTGCAGTAATTATCTGTTTTGTACAGAGGATGAGGATTGGAAGAACTGGAGAATGAACCGAGGTGCTGGATAGGGGGTTGACCCCCAGTCAGCCTTGGGTGCTTTCACTACAACCCAACCTTCTGATATCTACAACTGGATATTCAAGATTATGATACTGAGACGATTCGTTATACTATATGACTGTGATCCATCCCGGTCAAGTGGGAGGCCGGCGCCGAGGCTAGCCCCGCTGAATCTAACCCCTCGCCGCTTATCACGACCTTTACTCACTTATCTCTGGCCAGCTTCGCCTCCTCAAGCCTCTCCCCCCCCTCCTCTCCTCCCCAATACAACTCTCGTTATCTTTCATATACAACAAACCCAGGATTCGTTTCATCTCATGCTTTTAGAGATAAATGCCCCCGCAGAATGCCTCCGCCGCTCTCATTCCACCCCCCGCTCCTCAACTCAGCATGTCCCTGGGCTACGACGAAAGACCATCTGCATGCGCTGCTCGCGTGCCCCTCCACCGGCGCCGTAACTGTGCGGACAAGCGTCATGGCCGGCTTCAACCACCAGCCACTGCGCCACCGCTTCGTCCTATTCGACCCGTCATCCACCCAACCCGGCAAAACGGGCACTCACTCCCTTCCCGAGGTGGACGACGGCCACCCCAGACCAAGCGTATCGGATGAGACACCCCAGTTCTCCGCATCTCTGAATAACCTAGGATACAGCCCTGTCCCGTTGACTGAATACCTTGACATGCTGCGTGCGCTGGGCGCCTCGTTCCCCGGGACCGGGAAACCCGTCATCTTGTCCGTCACGGGCACCAGCGAGGAGGCAGTGCGATGCTACGAGACCGTCGTCTCGGAAAGGGACACAATCTCCTTCCCCCTCGCTGTAGAGATCAACCTCAGCTGCCCCAACATCCCCGGCGCACCGCCGGTTGCCTACGACGCCGCCGCCCTGACGACATACCTACGTGCTCTACCCGTCGAGCCCGTCGTGCCGGTGGGTATCAAGACGCCTCCGTATACTCACACGGGGCAGTATGACGCTCTCTTCGAGGCTCTGATGGGTGCGGATGCCGCGAGAAGACTCAGCTTCATCACCTCGACCAACACACTCGGTTCGTGCCTTGTCCTGGACCCAGAGCTGTCATCACCGGCTCTGCCCTCCGGCGGGATCGGAGGCATGGCTGGCCCGCCGCTGCACCCACTCTCACTAGGGAATGTGGCTACCATACGGGCCATGCTTGATAAGCACGCGGACCTCGCACATTTGACCATAATTGGTGTGGGCGGTGTCAGCGACGGCCATACATATCGTAATATGCGCTCTGTCGGGGCTACGGCCGTCGCTCTAGCTACAGGCCTTGGCAGACACGGGACTGCCATCTTTTCCAGCATCGAGAAGGATATTGGGTCAAAGTGGTAGAGATTTGATGGTGCGCCTCATTGTGGAGAAGAATGGAAACATATCTTGTTGAATAGCGGTATATAACGTATCTCGATTTCCTTCCTTTCATACAAAATACACAGAACATGAGCGCCGACATGGTAGCAATTCCGAAAAAGCAAAGTGGTATATAAGTGGCATAATTCTGTCCCCCCCTTTTTATTACGTTCCTCGAGAAACTCCGTACGACAAGACCGGTCGTATGATGCATTTCGCCTATCCAATATGATCTAGAAAGCAAACCCATCCCAAAAGCCGATTTGAAAATAATACAGACATGAAGAAAAAACACGCCTGGTGCAAAAAGAAAATCAAACGCTATTCTGCTGCTCATCATGATTCACCTCAGCTATAGGTGAACTCGATTTCGACCTGGGTTTCGGACTCCGTGGTAGCTTGGAAACTACCTTGCCAAGGAAGCGTGGTCGGAACGAGTGTCTTTCGAGAGATGACGGCGGCTGCGTGTGCTCGGTCGTCATTCGGTTGAAGATGACCTCGTCCATTGCAGGGGAGTTCTGGCGTTGTCCATCTCCGTTACCCTCAGACCCAGCGTGTGACGAGCTCTCGTTGGGGTCGGCCATGGCCCGGGCGTCACGTGCGGCCTCCAGGAAGATGGGGTACGCCATCATGAGCACCTGCAGGACAATGATGACGACGTAGCTTATCTGGACTGAGCCGCCCGTGGCGATGATTCCGTACATGATGAAGGGCACAACGCCGCCTCCCGAGCCGCCCATAGTGATGAAGGCAGCGGCGCGCTTGGTACGTCGGCCCTGTCCGCGTAAACCTATAGCGAAGATGAGAGGCCATACAGGGCCCTCGGCGAAGAAGAGGAGCATGATGGGGATGACGACTTGGTAGGCTCGAGACGTGTCAACGACGACGGGCAGCAGACTGAAGAGGAAGGACAGCGCCAGAGAGATGGTAAGCAGGGTGTGCGGACGGGGCAGCCGCGGGCGCGACACAGCCAGATATGTCAGGAGGGCAAATAGGTAGCGTGATACGGCAAAGGCTGTGTGGCCTAGGAGGAGGTAGTCCTGGACGGAGAGGCCCGATCTTCTTTGGGTGGCTGTCTCGCCCGAGTCGGCATGCGTAGGCAGGATGGGGATGAGCAGGTCACGGTAGTAGATGCTGTTGCTCTCCTGGGCGGCCACATATAGGTACTGGCACACGACAGCGAGGATGAGGCTGATGGTGCGCAGCTGCAACCCAAAGAACGGCGTCCGCTTCTGCGAGTCGACGGGGAGCGTCTTGGCCGATTCTTCCAGCTCCTTATCGCCGACCTCAGGGAGCGGCATGTAGTAGAAGAATAAGGCGAGGCCGGTGCAGAGGAAGGTGATGGCCAGGTACGTCCACTGAACGTTTATGAGCGTTGTGCTCGAGTTGTTGCCCCGGTGATCAATGTGGGTGAAGAAGACCTTATTGGCAAGGAGTCCCGAAAGGACGCTGCCGGTGCCCTGGACAGCCTGGGCCAGGAGGAGGCGCGATTCGCCGTACGCCAGCGGGCCGCATAGGAAGACAAAGCTGTTCGCCGCCACTTCGAGAACGCTGAGTCCGAAGCCGACGATGAAGTTGGATACCATGAAGCCACCGTACGACCCGGTGACAGCCGACGGCCAGAAAATGATGGTCCCGATGCCGTAAATGGTCAACCCAACGATGAATGTTACCTTGAATCCACCGACGTGCTCCATCTCGTTCTTCTTGTGCCGATACGACCGGTTGTGCTCGTCGCGGCGCAGGATCCACTCACCCACCAGCAGAGGACCCAGTAGATACCCGCCGCCAAAGTAGGCACTGGTGAGACCCAGCGTCTCCGCCGACGAGAAGTCGTTGATGCCTGCCACGGCGTTGTTGAGTGTGTTGAGTAGGCCATATGATAGTCCCCAAAGGAGGAAGAGGATGGTGACGACGCTGCAGTACTTGAACGATTCGGCGCCAGATGTCTTGATCATACTCTTAGGCTTGGTCATGTTGACAAAGCCGAAGTAGACAGCATTTTCAGCCAAGCTCCCTCCCGTCGTACTAACACGAGCGAGATCCCCGCCAGCGTCTTGGTAATCTCCTCCTTCGCCGCCCGAAGCGAGCATGTCGGGTGTCGTGATGAATTGTGTGCGGAGCCACGCGGGCTCCTCGGGGACATCATGGGCGGGTTGATCAGGCAGGACGACAGCGGGAGGAGAAGAGACAGGCTGTTCGGTCCTCGAGTTTGTTGGGTCACCCTCGCGTTGCTTAGACAGCGTCGATCTGCTACCATCGGGGTCGTAAAGCATGGCGGGGAGGAGCTTGAGGATGAGAGGCTTGAGCGTGGGGATACAAGCGCAGATGATGCCGACATTGACCTCGACGGCACTCCACATGAATGAAAGGGACGCATTCCAAGCAAAGTCAGTCTGGCCGCCAAAAGTTGTGTTGGCCCCAGAGGAGATAGATGTGGGCACATCGGATACGGCTGATTGCAAGAAGTAGATTCTAACAACATCGACGATGGTGACTTGTAACAGTATCGGTCAGATGAGCATGGTTAAGCGAAGAGGAGAGATAGACCTACTGAAGATACCAAGGCTAAATAAGCACACAACCGCAATCTTTTGCCGTGCCGGGAGCCGCATCTGGGTAAGGACGGGGATGGGAAGGAAGAGTAGACATAGGTTGGTGATGATGTTGATGGGCGATGAGCAGATAAACTCGGTGAGGAGCGGCACGCATCTGATTTTTCCTTGATATAGAGGATTCCAGGCGGCTTCGACGGGGGAACATTCTGCGATGCTGTCAGCATGCGGTCAACATGCACACGCACAGGCGGGTACATGCGCGAGAGGAGAAAAGGTGTTCCAGGGGATCTCACGAAAAATGTTGATCAAGGTCAGAATGGTGCCGGAAAGGTTAACGATGACTAAGAGGGTCCAACTCCAATATTTGAGTACGAACTGTGTGTTTCTGAAGAGGCGAAGATAAAACACGAGGACAGACGTCTTGGTAGCCATGAGAGCAGGGTTCTTCATCCGCACGCATGCGCATAGTCAGTATATAGCAGCGCCCACAGGCACCAGAAGACGCGTCTCATACTCACGTATAATATGCTGAAGACGTACTCGCACCGGCGAAGTACGCTCCGCTGGTCAGCCCTGATATCTTTATCATATTGTCCGAGGCCGTGAGCCGTGCCGAAAGCGATGGTAAAGGTGAGGAAGACGGCAATCAGCCAGGCGAGGATCATGATGAAATCATCCCAGCGGACGCAGCGGACAATAAAATACCGTGAGACGAGCCGGGCGACGACGAAAGCTGAGGCGGCCGTCAATGTGGCGACTGAGACTGCGAAGGAGGCAGGGCCGCGGTCAGGTACTTTACTGCCGGAGCGCACACTGTTGGCCTGGGAGTCGGTGTTCATGGTGGACAGCACCGAGGAGGGAAACCCGCAGGGTCAGATCAAGTCAAATGGGTTCCGGTGCCATTGTCTCAGGGCGTTGGCGTTGGGCCTCGGGGGCAGCAGTAGTTTATCGTCGTTTGAGATGGTCTAGTCAAGATCGGGCCGTGGCGTCCATGGGCATCGTTTGATTTTCTGTCTTGGTGGTTGACGGATGAGAAGAGCAGGTAGCCTTGCAACAGGCCCCCAGGGCTTCGCGCCTCTCGCTGGGTAGACGATGTTCTGTCGTTGGGGGGAGTCTTGAGCGGCGGTGAGGTTGGGGTTGAGATGGGGAAGCAGTGGAAAAAAAACGAAAGAGAGCGATTTGCTGATGTCGATGGGTATGGTGGATGAGTTATGTGGAAGGTTGGCGACGAGAACAGACCCTCCCTCTCTCTTCCCTCTCTTCCCTCTCTGATGGTTTCATGTGTTGGCTCTCTCTCTCTCTCTCTCGCTAAAACCTACCACATGCTACTTTAGCTCCATCCGCAAGATCGACGGTTCCTTACTGTTTCTTACTACCTTTCTCTTACGTTGTACTTTGATGTCCGTGCAGCGGGGGTGGAGACCCGATCGGATCCAGTCGGGTCTTGATATTCTCAGTTTACCAATACTAGTGAAGGCCTAAAGGATACCTATAAATTATAATGCACTGTACGGAGTACAATCAAGCCTCGACTCTCTTCGAGCTCTTGAACGTTTCCAAAATGTCTGAGAGCACTCGTACTCACATTTCTTTATTCTTAGTATTTAGGTTGCGACGTGGCTCTTGAGTCTAGACTACCTTAGCATCATGACTCTCTGCTGTTCCCCTCATCCCTCTCTCCGCACAACCACATGGTGGGCCAGTCAGACGCGTTGAGAGAAGAATTTCCTACTACCTTTGGGCTGCTAATACTGCTCGTACATATCGTATTAGAACACCCACCGGTGGTACTATTAAATAATGCCACCTACTCACTCACTCTCAGTGGTACTCACCATTTACGGCTTAAACAACTCGAGCCAAGCGCCATACGCGATTTTTTCTCAGTGGAGATGGTGGGAGAGGAAGGGGAAATGGCTACTGCGTGTTATCCATTAATCGAGACGTACTCGTACGAGTGTTGTTGTGCATGGCGGTGACGTTTCCGGGAAATAGTGTGGAGGAGGAGGTTGGACAAGGGTGGCACCCCCCCCCCCCTCTCTCAGCCTGCCAGCGGTCTGCCAGGTGGTCGGTCCAGCGGGCCAGCAGTGAGTGACATGCTCTTTACGCCGTGATGTCTCGCGTGACCGCTTACGGATAATGCCGTCCGACGTTTTAGTTGTAATACTCATGCGCATCTAGATGATCATTTGCACATCAAAGGCATAGGACCAGGATACATATTTTAATAGCAATATTCAAGATTGTGGTCGGCGCCAAGTAGCCGTCGGCGTGACTGCGAGTGCTACGTCGTATCCTTTTTTTACGAGTAGGCTCCTCAGGCTTCCGCTTCAGTGGCACCTTGGCAATGCAAATTCCCCAATCATGTAAGAGACCCATTTGACGTCAACTAGAGAAAGTTTTTTCAGCCAACCGTTGCCCTCTATTGTGGCGCTCAAGGCTGTCTCTCCTTCCCCAGATTCCACCCGACATGATGGCAGTCGCACCCAGAAAGCCCTGAAAGCCCTGAAAGCCCCAGGTAGGGCCAGGGCCACTGCCACTTGGTATGTTTTGGGTGGTCGCATTGCAGTCCTGCCTTCTGTTATTTTTAGGCCCTAATTCCACCAGATTTACTCCGTAACAATCGGCATATCGAAAGAGCATCCAGGAAGGTAGTCATTCCGATTTTGACACCCGCACTCCGTAGCAGTGTCCTGAATATAAGGCTGCCTATCCGTATGTAATATTACTGCGTACGAGGCACAGGTATGTATGTGATCAGAGCCTGCACCCGCAGCCGATTTCCCGTCTTGTAATCTCTTTCGGCGCTTTCCTTGGCCAACCCGCCATCCTTTGAAAACAAACCCCCGGCCGACAGCCCAAGCCCATCCTTTCCCTAACCCCCCTAGGCACCAGTATTTTCATTACATTTGTTGGCTCCCCACTTGGCCGGGGTCACGAGCCGCCACCACAGCACCAACTTTTTCATGAATCATATACGAGTATGTATTACACACTTCAGACTTGGGTCTTGCACATGGCCAAAAGCACATGCGACGGATGCACGAGTAACCATCGCGACATCCATGCACACTCTTCACACTCTTTCGGCCCTTCCCCCCCGCGAGTCTTGATTTGGGTTGTCACCATCGAGACATCGGCCGACAGCAATTCGCGTAATTGGACTGCCAAGTGACGATTTTCCCGGGTTCGAATTCTAGTTTCCACCAATCCGCCTGTTGCTTGAAATAATCTCGATATGACACACCACCGTTCGGGAACCGTCCCCCGCAGAGACATTTTCCGAATATGGCCAAAATCCATCTCGATTTGCCGGAAAGATGATGTGGTGATAGCATTTAGGTGACAGAAAAATTGGCTTTCTTAGCTAACGTGTTGTTATTTTTCTGAACCCCAAGACTCTGTTGGGGTGGTATACATCTTTCCATAACAGTACTGGATCCACACGTCGAGGTTCAGCTTCTTTATTACCTTGCTGAACCCTTCCGTCGCCGTGGCATTCCCTTGGTGAGAGCATATCTCGCTTTGCGCGTCTTCGGAGGCGTCGTCAGGCGTGCCCGGGGGGTACTCGATACTGAAGACGGGTTTACTTGCTTGCGCAAAGGTGTCGCAGCCTGAGTACTCGATGCACTGCTCGCTGACAGGAAAGTCAACCAAGTCCAGGATGTCCGGGAGAATGTCTCCATCATTCTTGAGACCGATGGCCATGTTGAGTGACTTGGCCTCGTCTGGGAGGAAGCGTATGTAGTCAGTCTACTGCATCCTCAGCAGTCAAGCCGAGACCATTTTCGTTTTGCTGTAGCGATGAACGGTCAGCCGCCCCATAGACCAAATATAACGGAACATTACATAGCTATCGACATTGTCTGAGTCCACAGCATTGCAGCCCTTGGATGACGCAGTATTGATACGCCCCTTCATTATGGATCGAACTGAAGGACTCGACACATTGGGCCAGCGCTCGAACCAGCCACCCAGGTTCTTCCCTATGTCGGCCTCATCAGACTTGTCTTTATCACTCCGCCAATTCCCCCAAAACCCGGCACTGAAGTGGCAAATGAATTTTTTTTGCCTGCACTTTGCAGCGCACGAATCGTCTCGATGTCATTATCGAATAGGTCTAGGTCGTAGACTGGGACATCCGGTTCGAAATCAGCTCCATCGGACGGTAGTCGGATCGGGTTCTTCAGCACAATTTGCCAGGTGTCGCTAACCTGGGGTGTCCAAGTCTCTGTTCTTCTCTTGGGCCCGCTGCTGCTGTTATTGGCTTCCTTATCCATGTTTGCCATCACCGTCGCTGTCATGTCGAGTGGGTCCCATCCCCAAGCCTACCGCAAGGCCAATGACGACGGGGGTGACGATGGCTCCTATGGTACCAAAGACGACGACCTTTCTTTTTCGACTATAACGCGGAGTCTCAGTCCCCTTCTGCATTTGGTTACCGTCTTTGGTCGACCTCACGATTTGTCGCGGTACAGGAGGTTACGATTTCAAAGCTTGAAGGACAACACCTTCAATTCAGGCCATTTTATTATCAGATAGACGTTCACGAGCATTATGAGAAGTCATCTTGTTCTGGAGGAATATCAGCCTTGTAGCTTGGGTTGGAACGCCAGTGCTGACAGGCTGACAGTTTTGAAGAACTCTTGAGTATCAAATGAGATCTTTCCACCGCTGGTTGTTATTGTACTTCGAAAGTCCCAATGGCCTGCCTGTTCATGACTTTTTCATGGTAGTTCAAAATCGCTTTTCTAGGACGTGGGGGGTTGGTAGCATTGGCGTTGGCCTTAGACCGAGGCGGGATATTCGGGTGTGCTACAAGCTCCTACAGGGCCCCCGGACACTCGAGCTTTGACTTCTCTCCATCTCCACCTCCGATTGATGCCCCGGACGACACGTCAATAATGTGAGAATTGCGCAACGACCAGAGTCCGATAAGGTCATATCGAAATGGAGGCATGTCCTTGGGGACGAGCGCAGAAGGGCCAAGCGTCTTGAAGGCACGACAATCGCTACTAGATTTATCTACCTCTGACTTCAGTACTCGCAGTTCGCTCTCCCGCTGCATTCGACTGCAGAGTTGCGCAACGGGAATGGGGGAGGGGCAGAGAAACATGCTCATTCAACACTGCTCTCGACCCAGGTCCGAGATTAAGGCGGGCGGCCAGTGATGTTTTTGTGTGCGAGTCCGTCGTAATACGGCACCGGTAAGCATAAGCGCTCAAAGGAGGACCTCACCGAGTTTCAGCATGACAGCGCCGATGCGCACCTGAACACACAGGACCGGCCAGTGTGGTAAGAAGAAGAAAACATCGTCCATCGCCTTTTCAACGCACAGCAGGAAACGAGAGGCGATGCAAAGTCCAAGTGTGCTGCGCGAGTTCGAAAAGTTGGTTCGGAGATGCGTTGAAAGGAAGTCTGTCCGCATGCAGCCATAGCCCTTACTCATACGAGTCTAGAGTCGCATCGCATCATACCGCATCGCACTAGCAGTAGCTGCAGCAATCATGATGGCTGGGAAATCCGTCTGTCACGTCTATCGGCTGTACATGGATTGTCAATAATCCGCAGTAGAGTCGGCCAGGCAAACAAATATTATGAAAGCGAGCAAAGGGGAAAAAAAGACGCCAAGATAGACGAGTGGAAGGTGATGGATGGACAGAGAAACCCTGAGCAATGGATCGTGCTTGTCGGATTACCGACGAAAATTAGTGCACGGATTAAAAAACATTCGTACAAACTCCATTGCTTCCGAGGACTCGAAGGGAAAGTTAAGCGCGGACGGATGCGGCATGGGCAAAGACCCTGGCTAGCCGGATTATCCCTCTCTTTTTCTCTTTCTTTTTCTCTTCAGTTGTGCGAGTGAATCGTACGAGTAGTCATCTTCTGTCCAGCTAGAAAGACTTGCTCGGTTGGAACAAGATTAACAAGTCAAAGTGCAGACCCCCACCCTCTTCAATACGGCGCGCGTTGGCCGTGTCTGCCCGACCAAATTTGTCGCCGCCAAGCTCCGAGCTGCTGCTCCTCATCTGACCAGCCGCAACCTCAACAAACCACCATATCAGGGGAGGACTAGAATACCATCCCACCGCATCTTTCCCCCTCTTCCCATACTTCAATTCCACTTCTTTACTTCGTTTGATACCCTCATCTACTGCTTCAGAAATGGGCAGCTTCACATTTAAGTGGTGAGTCAATCTACGCCCTAAGAGCATGCCTTTCTCCCTTCAGCCGCTCTTGCCGGTACTTCCTTTGAAGGGGCTGTTGTGGGGGGGGAGGGTCGTCTCGATCAAAGTCATCCTCGCGCCATCCTATCCAATTCGCTTCCAGAGATTCGCGCGCGCATCCACACATGCTGCTCCGTGTATCACCTCAAAAAAATGCATTGTACGAAAGATGTGCTGACATCAATTGCCCCCCCTCCAGGGAACACTCCGCCGAGGAGGTTTACGTCACCGGAACGTTCGACAACTGGACCAAGAGTGTCAAGCTCGACAACGTGGGAGGCATTTTTCAGAAGACCGTTGAGCTCGATGAAACCCAGGAAAAGATCTACTACAAGGTAGGCCACATCTTCTGTATTCCCATTGTTGTCTCATTTTGTTTCTTTGCCTAGCTGCAGGCGATGCCGCTGCCTACGCTCGATCGGGGTAGCTCGGACTTTTCGAGCCACCAACGCGAAAAAAAAAAAAAAAGGACGGTTACTACTGCTCTACCCCTAGCCAGGGAACACCAGCTTGGGACCGTCTGATTATCCTTTTCTGGCGTTGATCACGCATCACCAGGCGAGAGCTGGGTCCTTTCCCCGCTGTGGATGGGAGGAACTGAGCGGCTATGACGCAATACGTTTAGCTGGCTGGTCTTTTGCGCATACCAATGACTCAATTCAATGCTTAGAAAGCTTGCTTGGTTGCTTTAGGCTAGGCGTGAACCTGGCGCCTGAGGCTGGCGCGTCATCATCGGTTTTATTTCTTTCTAGCCTCTTCGTTTCCTCTTGATTCTTCGCGTGGAATTACTTGGCATCTATGAACTCTTCTCCATTGTTGCTTCATTCAAAACTAACCGTCTTCACACTATCACGCAGTTTGTCGTCGACAACAATTGGACTACAAACGAGTCGGCTCCTATAGAACCTGACCACGACGGAAACCTGAACAACTTCTTGATTCCTCAGCAAATTGCCTCGGCCACCCACGACACGCCCGTCTTCATCAGCTCCGCCGGTCCCAACTCGTCTGCTGCCAAGATGGCCGGCGAGCAACCTATCGAGTCCCAAGATGATATCTCCACCCCGGCTGAGATCCCCGGCGGCTTCCCCGAGACCCCGGCCGAGGAGACCGTTAGCGTCAACCCACTGCCTGCTTCCGCCGGCGCTATCAACCCCATCAGCCTGGAGCCGGGAGAGAAGATCCCCGACTCCTTTTCGGCGCAGGATATCAACAAGAATGTTAAGCTAGACAAGGAATCATACGAGAGGAGTGACGCCCTACCTGTCGCCGACTCTGAAACACCCGTCATCCCCAGGGATGTCCTTCCTGACGTCGGCACACCCCTGGATGAGAGCATCGTCAAGTCTGTCGGTCCTGGCGCTACGAGTGCCACCCTCGCTGGGCAGGTGGCCAATGAGCCTAAGCAATCCGACGCTGCCGTGGCTAGTAACTTCATAAACTCTGTTGGCCCCGAGTCTACCACGGCTTCCCTGGCCAGCCAGGTCCCAGAGGAGCCTGAGAAGTCTGTCTCGGGAGACCACTCCGCGGCCAAGTTGGCTGCCATCAGCACTGTCGGTGCTGGTGCCACCACGGCTTCTCTCGCAGGCCAGGTCCCCAAAGAGTCCAAAGGTGATGACGTCCCCGGGGTGGTCAAGGACAGCCAGACCAACACTGTCCAGGATTCTCAGGACCAGGTAGACGCCGCAACCCCCGAGGCCGGCAATATCCCTGGAACGGTCGATGAGAAGGCCCAGGTGGAGGGTGAGATCGAAGACGAGGTGCCCGAGGCTACTGTCAGCTCGGAGGAAACCGCTGCTCAAAACACTGGGGACACTGCCGAGAAGGCTGGGGACAGCGCTGAAACAACAGATGGCTCTCCCGCTCCTATTGTCGGCCTTGCTGCCGCGACTGGTGCCGTCGCCGGCTCTGCCGGCATTGCTACGGCTGCCCTCACAGGCGAGGGCTCCAAGGACTCCGAGGAGACCGACGAGTCCAAAGTTGGTGAAGTGCCGGAGACTGTCAAGGAGAGTCAGGACAAGGCCATTGTCTCTTCCCCCGAGGCTAGTGCTGTCCCCGAGAAGGTTGAGGAGAAGGTTCAGGTTCCCGAAGCCGCTGTCACCCCTGAGGGCGTCAGCGGCCAGAAGCCTGGAGGAGGTATCAGCGACAGCCTTCTTGCTGCAGGCGGTGCTGCTGCCGCCGGTGTGGCCGGTGCGGCTACGCTCGCCATTGCTGGAAAGGACGCTGCCATCGAGAAGGGCGCCCCTCTGGTCAACCAGGCCGGCGCTGCTGCCGCCTCCGCCGCTGACAACAACCTCTCCGACTCTATGAAGCAGAAGCTTCCCGAGTCAGTCCAGCAGGCTCTCCCCTCATACAGCGGCAGCGAGGGACCGGCCGGCGAGCAGACCGCTAGCAACATCCCCGACGAGGTCACGCGCTCTATCTCTGAGGCAAAAAAGAGCCCTGAGGCTGCTGCTTCCGCCTCTGCCGTCGAGGACAAGAAGGCCGTCGAGAGTGAACTGCTCAGCGAGGTCGAGCGTACCCCAGCCGAGGGTGAATCCAAGGTGGCTCAGCTGGAAACCAGCGCCGACGAGACGGTTAACCCCGGCTCGCAGCAGTCTGACAACAAGGTTGACGAGTCCAAATCCTCCACGTCGGAACTTGGTGCCGGCACCGCCGCCGCCGGTGATGCTGCTACTGTCGGCGCTGGTGCTGCTGGTATCGATTCTGCTTACGCTGGACGCTCTGGTACTACCGAGTCTGCTACAGAATCTACCAACCCTACGGCAGGCACGACGTCTGCTACCAAGTCCACCAGCGCTCTAGGCACCACGTCTACTGCTACCGAGCCTGCTGAGTCTGCGGGTACGACATCCACCACCAAGCCTACTGAGCCCGTGGGTACGACCATTGAGTCCGCCACCAACGGCTCCAGCAGCAAGCCTGCTGAGACGACCAACGGCACCACATCCAACGGTGACAGCAGCAAGCCTGCCAAGACCACGGCGGGCGAGGGTAAGAAGAGAGGTCGCTTCAGCACTATCCTCAGCAAGATTAAGCACAAGATTCTGGATTGAAATGAGACAAGGATAGCCAAGGGATATCCAGCTCAGGGGTATGAACCATGGAACACAAATGCGGAGGTTGCCAGGGCGTCGTCTACTTGTATTACATGTGAGATTGAGAGAGGGACCTCTTTTTTTTCTTCTTTTTTTTTCCATCCCTCTCTAGTTGTTTGGATCCTTTTTGGATGTCTATGCGGCAAATGATTCCCCCAGTTGCGAGTTATAGCCCCGCTTTAGGACGTCAGTTCAGTTCGACACAGGCCAGACGCATCTATCGGGACAGTACGAGTGTTGTATATATCTAATGCATACTGATACAAGTAATAGCGAATTTTGTTCCAAACTCTCTACTAGCATGGACCTAAAGAACAGTGATGACTATCATTCAAAAATGCAGCAAGACGTCACAACAAACGGCATGGTCTAAAGTTGAGTGCACGTGACTCATTCGGCAAAACGAATTGATACCGGGTAAAGCGATTTTCCGTTCCTGCGTCATTCATCCGATTGCCCCTCCGCTCATGTAGTTTCGTGACTCGATAGACATTCCTACTCCACCACGGCGCCGGGGTCCGTCCTTTGCTGGGGGCCCTTTGAGATTTATCAGCGACATATCGATTATCCCCCATCCCTCTCTCAGCAATCCAACCTTTGCCTTTTTTCGATCGATAGAATATAGAGAGAGGGAGAAGTGACGTTTTACGACGAATCTAAAATACTTTTCGCATATTTTCCCCACGAGCCGAGCTCCGACCAGTGTATGAACTCTCAGCCAGCCTCGAGGGCTGCTGCGTCTGGTGATCCGAGGCTTCCTACCAGCGACGACAGCAGGGACGGCTCCTCCCTAGACGACGGCGTTACCCCTTATCTCAACGGATCATCGTCGCCGCTGCCGTCGCAACACTCTGAACCTCGTCCTCCTCCCATGATGAATGCTTCGAATTCGGCCGTGGGGAAGTCTCTTCCCATAGCGTCCAACTACCCTCTCAGCACTTCATCGGGCCCAGTGGTGTCGAGCGCGGACTCGTCACGCCGACCTGCCCAGTCTGGAGCGTCCAACACGAACCCGACACCACGCAGGGGCCAGGCATCCCGCAAGCAGCACAAGAACCAGCGGAGACCGGGCGCCGGCGGGCAGGGGTCCAATCTCAATGTGGACGAGTACGATGCCCTGGCGGAGTTGCGTGCTGTCCGGAACCCCAGCAGCAGGAGAGGCCAGACATCCATCACGCATCTGCTCAGCTACACGAGTCCGAGACCCTACCATGATCACAACATCTACTCGAGGTCATATCGCCGTAACCCCGCCTGGGGCCCGGGATCCGGTTACCATGCGTCGGACAAGGCGAGGTACGTGGACGCCAACTACCGCTTCGTCGTCTCGCCCGACGTGTCGTATGCACAGCAGGCATCTAACACGGATATGCACCTCGACTGGAACAATGTGCTGCAAGTGATTGCGTCGTCGACCTCGCAGGTGACGTCATGCCCAATTTGCCTATCAGAGCCGGTGGCGCCGCGCATGGCCAAGTGTGGCCACATCTTCTGCCTCCCCTGCATCATCAGGTTCATGAACTCGAGTGCGAGTGAGGAGGACCACGTCAAGCCGGGCAAGGGACCCAAGTGGAAGAAGTGTCCGATATGCGAGGATACAATCTACCTGCACGACATCCGACCAGTTCGCTTCTACGCCGGGCAGGAGAGTCCGCTGCCTCGGGCTGGCGACGATGTGGTGCTGCGGCTCATGGCTAGGAACGCACATTCAACGCTGGCACTGCCGCGCGAGGGCGGCTCCGAAGTGCTCAACTCAGGTCACGATATTCCATGGCACTTTGCCGCCAACGTCGTTGACTATGCCCGCACCATGAAGGGCACGGGAGACTACATGGTGGCGCAGCACGACGAGGAGGTGGAGGCCCTCAAGAAGCAGGAGAAGGAGGATGAGACGCTATTTGGGCAGGATAATGAGTGGACGCAAAAAGCCATCAAGGCCATTGCCGCTGCTAAGGAGCGCGTGGCGGGGCTCATCAATATTGAGTCAGCCATGGCAGCACCGGCAGACCACCCGCCCCGACAGTCGCCTGAGGCCGACTTCTACTTCTACAGCGCCCCTCCGCACCTGTACTTGTCGCCGCTGGACATCCGCATACTCAAGACAAAATACGGCTCATTCTCGTCATTCCCCTCCACCCTCCTCCCCCGCGTGGAGCACATCTCAACGGGGCATGTCGTCGACGACGCCATGCGCAAGCGTGCCAAGTACCTAGGTCACCTGCCCCGCGGCTGCGTCGTCAGCTTCCTCGAGTGCGACTGGACGGAAATTGTGCCCGCCGACACACTCGAGGCGTTCAAGGAGGATATCGAGAGACGCCGCAAGCGCAATAGGGACAAGGAGACTCAGGAGGAGAGGGAGCGTATCCAGGCGGAGCGTATCCAGGCAGCCGAGCTGCGCCAGTCGGCGGGTGCTCAGGTTCTGCCCGATCCCACTGATGATTACAGGGTGCCACCGATGGACATGTCCGAGTTCCAGCCTCTCAGCCACCCCTCTGGCACCTCACCATCCGACCCGCGCCCCGGCTTTTCCACGTTGGCATCCATGTCCACCAGCCCTTCAATGGAGAAGACGGTATGGGGCACCAGGGCTGTTACGGCCACTGGATCCCCCGAGTCGGTACCATCCTTCGCGGGCCCCGTCAACGATGGGTGGCTGGACTCGGACATAGCTATGCAGGCTGAGGCCCTGAGTCTGTATACAGACGGTGGCACAGGCCGCAGCAGCAGCGCACCGGTAGCCGACTCGTCTTCTTCCGGGGCAGCAGGAGGTAATGGCGGCGGTGGCGGTAAGAAAAAGAAGAAGCAAAAGATCACATTGATGAGCACGGGTGGTCGCAGGGGACTGTGATTATTGGGACTTGCTTACTTGCTTTTCTGCCATTTCTAATCTGTTTCAATGCCTCGGGTTCATTCGTGCGTCTCATCATCGCCATGCCCTCTCCTCCTGATTCCAGGTTTAGGAGGGCGTGAGATACCATTCCCTGTCTCTTTGTTGCTTTTTCTATCATGGCGTCTTGCTGTTTTGTTTTATGTTTATTTCTATTATTTCTTTTTTCTATATATTGTTGCCCACGTTTGACAAAGCCCAACTGGGCGGTGCAGTATTATATACTCGTAGGCATGTGGCGAGGATAAGGCATATATCACAAGTACTTTAGTCAATCCATTGTCTGAGGAGGAGAGCTTGGGGAATTAAATACAGAAGCATTCCATGCCTATTCTGCATAAGATGCTACTCTTGAGAGACTAAACATGCCATGATAGACATGGCCTTTTATTAACTCGAAGCGGCTTAGTGGGAAGGCAGTACTACCCCAAACAATAAATAATGTGTGATCACGCATGCTCGATTCCTATTATAAGTGTCATAGTAAATCAGATCATGGCTTAGGTAAACGGGTCTCGACAACAAAATCGTCGAGTTCGGCACCACAATAAGAATACAGAAGAGAAGAGCCTTGACACCGCTGAACACCTAACCCACTATTTAGAATGCAAGTTAGAAGCGTTTGTGGTGTTTCTTCTCATAAAGACATTGGGCTATCCAACTATATCTAAATACCTTCTCACCGTTCACAGTCCCCACCGTTCCTCATACACGGTCTTGCTCATGTGTCCGATCCTGACGTTTATGCCGTCAGACTCGACACCATCCTTTTTAGAAAACAATATAATAGGGAAAACTCTACTTTTATGCTAACAAATACGACGGAAAAGTTCAACAAAACACCACATTTAGTAGTGCGAGGTCAGCCGAGTGGCCAATGAAGTGGGGCGGGGCATGAGTAGTGGCGTACTCATATATCTTTCTAGTGTGGGGCTGACCGACGTTTTGAACCTTTCAAGGGGCCCCACCTGATTTTTTTTTTGCTGTACCAACATTCCCTAGGATATTTTGATTTTTTTTGCTCCCCAAGTCCAGATTTTTCTGTGACAATAGATTCACAACGTCGCCAAGACTGCTTCCAATTCGGACAGAAAAATGAGCGCCGTCAGCTCTTCATCAACGTCGCACACGCTCACGGAAGCACCATCAGCAACAACAGCAGCCGGCAACCCGTCGGCAACCATGGCTACGACGGCGCTTTTCGAATTCTTGCAGCCGGGCAAGCGTCATGCCTTCATTCAGCCCACACCAGACATCCCGACGGGCTCGCTGAATTTTGTGAAGGGAACTCTTGAGGAGTTTGCAGGCCAGGTGGCAGACGAACAGCAGGAGAGGAGGAAGCTCAGAGACAACAAGAAGCGCAAGCGTGGGGATGCGAGCGACAAGGATTCCGTTGAGGTGCTCAAGGTGCGCAAGGTGTATGTTGACGGGTTCGAGACGAATCAGGTCTGGCAGCAGGCCAAGCGTATCATCGGAGGTGTCTTGAGGCATGCGGACCTTGTTCTGGGGGAGATGCAGGACCAAGAGGAGATTGTGACCAACAGCATCTCTTCCGGGGGGGGGGGGACGGAGGCCGAATCAGAAGAAGAGGAGGAAGACGAACAGCTCGGCGAGGATGAGAGCCTTATGGACGACGAGGCTCTCGGGGGCGAACTTGGCGGCGAAGAGGAGGAATGGGAAGACGCAGAAGAGGGTCTCAAAGAAGACGACGATGATCTGGAGCAGGAGGAGGGAGATGATGATGAAGAGGAGGACGAGGACGAGGATGACGACGCTGCCGAACTCGTCGAAGATGCGGACGGTCTCAACGACGGATTCTTCTCGCTCGCCGAATTCAACAAGCAGTCCCAGTGGTTCGAGAGCCAGGACGCCAAGGGCGATCCCAACACAGACCAAGCCAGCGACGACGAGGAGATTGACTGGGCCGCGGACCCTCTTGCGCCTGGAAAGGCGAGCACAAGGACACTCAAAGGAAAGAAGTCCAAAGATGAAGAGCTTCTACCTGCGGAGGAGGAGAACGACGACGAAGAGGACGACGGCCCCACCTTTGGCAACATGGACCTGTACGCCCCCGAGGGAGACAGCGACGACGAAGGCACGAAGTTCGAGCTGGAGGGCGCCGCCGAGAACGACGATGCCATGGGCGGTCTAGGCAACGCCAACGACATCTACTACAATGACTTCTTTGAACCTCCCAGCAGGAAGAAGACGAACAGCCGTGGCGGCAAGAAGAGCGCGGCGTTTGCTAAGAAGGAGGGCGACGACGACGAGTCGGCCGAGGTGGAGAGAGCCATGGCCGACGTGCGGCGCGACCTGTTTGACGACGAGTCTGAAGTGGAGGACTCGGACGACGCATTGTCGGACGTGTCGGCGGGCGACCCCAAGTCGCGGCGGTCAGCGCACGAGCGCCGGCAAGCCAAGCTGGCCGAGGAGATCCGTAAGTTGGAGGCCGCGTCGGTGGCCAAGCGCGAGTGGGCCATGTCGGGCGAGGCGGCGGCGGCGGACCGGCCGGTCAACTCTCTGCTGGAAGAGGATGTGGACTTTGAGCACGTGGGCAAGCCGGTGCCCGTCATCACACCCGAGGTGAGCGGGGACATCGAGGACATGATCAAGCGCCGTATCCTCGCGCAGGAGTTTGACGAGGTGCTCCGGCGCCGTCCGGGCATGGACTCGCTCCCATCGGGCACGCGCCGCGGCCTGCAGGAAGACGTGGACGACACCAAGGCCAAAAAGGGCCTGGCCGAGGTGTACGAGGAGGAGCATGCCAAGAACGCCAACCCAGACACGTACGTGAGCCAGTCGGAGGAGCGCCTGCAGCGCGAGGAGCGCGAGATCGAGACCATGTGGCGGTCGGTGAGCGCCTCACTCGACGCCCTGAGCAGCTGGCACTACCGCCCGCGTCCGGTGGAGCCCAGCCTGACCGTCGTGTCCGACGTCGCCACCGTCACAATGGAGGATGCCCAGCCTGCCACGGCCCAGGGCGTCGCCGGCGAGGACAGCCGCATGGCCCCCCAGGAGGTCTACAAGGCCAGCGCCAAGACGGCCGAGAAGGGCGAGGTGGTGGCCTCGAGCGGTCTGCCCGTCGCCAAGGCTGAGATGTCCCGCGAGGACAAGCAGCGCCGCAGGCGTCGCGAGAAGGAGCGCATCCGCAAGGCCGGCGGCGTCACCCAGGGCAAGATCCTCTCCACCCGCGCCAAGATGGAGCGCGACACCGTCGCCGACCTCAAGAAAGGCGGCGTCAAGGTCATTAACCGCAAGGGAGAGGTCACCGATGTCCAGGGCAACAAGGTCAAGGCTGCCAAGACTGTTTCTAGTGGAAGCTACAAGTTGTGATTTTTGAACGAAGAACATGTGTATATTTTTATTCCTTTCTATTTCGAGGTTCATACTAGAGAAGCAACCCAATTTTTTTCATTTTTTTTTTAAAAAGCATCCTTGAACGTGTCAGTTTGATTGATTGTATTTTATAAGAAACAAGCCTTGCCGCGTAAACTATTAACCCGTGCTGTTACCCATCAGAAGTCCCGTTTCCCTCTTGTCTCCCCTTATCCATTCGACTCCTTTGAAAGAAATAATAGAAGATAACGAAAAGAACTCCTAAAAGCCATGTACAATATAGGAACATCCCCCTCCACTCTTTGTGAGGAGGTATTTACTCAGAGGACCGGCTCCTCCGTCTTGGCCCTCTTGGTTGAGCTATCCTCTTCCTCGTCGCCAGCCTTGCGCTTTCCGGCACCAGCAGTGGCAGACTCCTCCGCAGGGGCGGCAGCGGCCTCAAGCTTCTTCCCAGTCTCAGGCTCCTCCACCTCCGTCTTGGGCTTCTTCCTGCGCACCATGCTGGAGAGGTCGGTGGCCGTCTTGGTAGCCTCGGCGATGCGAGCCTGGGCGTCCTCAGAGGTCTCGCCCAGGGCAGCACCGAGGATGCCGCCCAGCGGGTTGGCCTCGGCACCCATGAGGCCCTTTGTGTCGATGGGGTCGCTGCGGAGGTCGACGAGTCGTTGCTCCATATCTGTGATGAGCTCCTTCATCTCGGCAATGGACTTGCGGGCCAGGTCGTTGTCCTCGGGCGACGAGGAGCTGGCCAGTTCAATCTCCTTGTTGTCGAGCTTGAGACGGAAGCTCTTGATGGCTAGTTCCATCTCACTGATGGCCTCGTCGCGTAGACCCTGGTCCATCTCCTCGCGCTTCGCGGTGGTGCCATTGTCGCCCGACGTAGTGACGGACGCGAACTCTAGCGACAGGGATAGCTTGTAGTGAGCCTCGGCGATGATTTCGGATTCCTCGGGGTACAGCTCTAGCTTGTACTTGAGAGAGGTGCGGCCGTCTTCGATGGCATTGAGATACCTTTTCGTTTTGTTTTCAACTGTTAGTACGCATTCGTTGCTGTGTTCGCTGTGATTAGGCATGATGAAGACATACCTCTCGTTCTCGAGGGAAATCTCTGAAAGCGCATCGTGGGTATCGGCGAGACGCTCCTTGACGTGCCTCACAATGGACGAGTTGGCAGCAGTCTCCCTGCCCTTGCCATCTGGGCCTTGCTCATCCTGAAGCTGCTCTAGACGCTTGAGATAGCACACGCGGGCTAGATCGAGAATCTCGAAAGCAGTGGCTAGATCGTCTTCCTCCTCCTCCTCCTCCTCCTCTTCGCCGGCGGGGGCCTATTCAGGAACACGATATCAGTTTGTCAAGTCCAATGCGATAAGCAGTCCTTAGGGTCCTTACCGCGTCTTCATCGGAGTCGTCATCGAAGTTTTCGTCACCGGTGAATTGGAAGAGAGGCTTAGCAACTTCGGGCTTGCCGTTGCCATCGGCCGTAGCAGCAGCATCACCGGAAGTGGAGGCTGACGGTTTGGGTGCCACGGCAGGCTTGGCCTTGGCAGGTTTGGCCTCGGGAGCCGAACCGCCTAGCACGTCGCTCTTGCTCTGCCCGACCTTGAACAGGCTGCGGCCATAGTGGAATAGGATCTCTGCGTTGTCGGGGCTCGTCTCGCCGTTGATCGCGGCCTGCAGAATGCTGGCCTCAGAGAAGACCTCGGCGGCTTCCTCGTAGTTCTTGTGGGCGTAAAGTGTCGTGCCCTTCGCACTCAGGTCGGCCAACGTCACCCGTTTGGACTTGATCTCCTCTTCCTCTTCGTGCTGTTTCTTGGAAGCGTCGGCATCGGCATCGACAGGGGCAGCTTCAACAACGGGGGTTTCCTGCTTCTCCTCCTGCTTCTCCGGCTGCTCCTCCTGGGACGCGGGGGCAGGAGGAGCCTGTTCGGTTTTGTCGGCCATGATGCACGTGTGTTGAGAAGGTCGAGTTTAGATGGGGAGATAGGTAGAATTGCGACAATGGAGATGGAGGACGATGGATAACGAGCGCAATCGTAGTGATGATGGATTGGGGTTTCTTAGCAAGATAAATAAGACGGGGAGAAGGGTTTAATTGAAACCAGTGCACGAGTACAAGTTCCACTACGAGAAAACGAGGACTGAGATGTACGTCAGTTGCACGAGGTGACGACACGCGATTTGCGGCGTATTGGTGCGTTGATTGGACAGCCTCAGGCAGTTAGTGCCACTCTTGATAAAATTCAGAGCAGTGTTTTCGTCTCTGTCCTGACAACCAACGTTGTCATGTTTTAAGGAGTCTAGACTCCAGATACAATTACGGAACTTTATTGCCCATTGGTTCTCGTTTTGGGCTTTCCGTCGTTGCCTGGGTCATAATGTCCGAGACAAATGATAATGTGTGTTCCTCTAGTGCTACAAGTGTCAATGGCTCAGAGGTGAGACAAGGCCGTACACATATGTATGTAACGGGGTTAAACTAGGGCCAATTTAGGCAATCGATTGGAAGCCGTCTCACCGAGAAATACTTCTACTTCTCTGCTTATATTACCGCTTGATCTCAAATATGCTCTAGTGTTAAGTAATATAGCATAAAACGCTTCCTGCTTATACATACTTGTATACATATATGTGTTTAACCTCGTGGAAAACAAGCATCGTTATTGACCTTGTTCATCATCAAGTGAAAACTCCTTCTCGATTGGTGGAAAAACTTGACCGTCTTGAAGATCTAGATGGTGGGGATCAGACAGTGCCAATATATTTGATGAACTGTCCAGCTCCAGCGGCTTTAGGGCACTTCCACCACTGAGCTTACAGCTCTAATAGCGAGAGTCAGCTACGATATAGTGGAGGATGCACAGTGTATATTACAGTCTGCATATCTCAGTCGTCTATCAAGTACGGAGTGTCCGACATTTTTTTTGTCCATCTAATTCCACCTCTGACGACCTTCCATCCGTCCATCTCCATAGTATGGGGAGCTCGCTCTACTACGGCATAGTACTCGCGCGCTTGACTTGAAATGGTGGCTAGAGCACCAACACGGAGATGGGCCCATCATTCTCCCGCCCCTCGCCGGTACTGTGTACCCAGTCGATGTTCAATAACCTGTGGTGGAACAATTCCCGACCGAGATACTGCAGATGGCCTCCACCAACGACAAAGCCGCAGCCGCAGCCGCAACCCTGACTCGTCTCGTCTCCAGTTTGCTGTGTCTATTTGACTACTTCACTCTTCTACTACTGGTAATTTGAGAGTCCCAACTGTCGATGTAGAATCGCGCAGGTCCGAGCAGAGACATACTTCTCACTCATTCGCATCCTTGTCATCGCCACCTATCGTCTCAACCATCAAAGGGACGACCGAAGAGTTCCGGACCCGACTCTAGGCCTTTTATACTTCGTGCAAGTCGGTCTCTGATATTCAACTCCCTTCTGTCGTCATTACCTGTATTCCTCCTGCACCCACTAGTTCCGTTTGAGACGACTGCGGATGTTTGACAGGCTGCTGCTGCTGAAATTATCGCCGGGGGAAGAGGATACCCTATCAGTCAAGGCTCATCGACAGGCAAGCCCGCCATGGCGGCTGTACGGCAGCCTTTAACGAATCCCAGTCCTGGCCCTTCTCCAGGAAATTCTACTTCTTCTCGCAAACCGGTCTCATCAGTACTGTCTGAAACGGAGCGGGCCAACCAGGACTGTACCAATGGCTTGGTTGACGGCGCCGTCTTTGGAGGCGGTGCACCACAGAAGGGGGATGGGCGCATTGCCGTCATCATATACGGACCGGGACAGGAGTATATTGTCTCCATTTTTGCTGAGGTCCTAGGCAAAGCGTACAGGATAAAGCCGGGGCTTGACCATGTGACAACGGAGGAGCATGGATTCATCGTGGGCATCACGGCGCCCCAGGCAAAGAAAACCATCGAGGTACGGGACCGAGAGTTGGTCGTGGTCATTAACGCTCACTGTGTCACCCTGGGCATGCCACCCGACCTACAACTGTCGACCCACTGCGACTATGAGTTCCTCTACAATGAGTCGCCCTTTGTGCGCCGCGACCTGGCTCGCTTCACATCCTTCGTCCTCGGGCAGATCAACCATCACAAGGAGCTTATGGAGAAGGCCCGCACATATATCATGTCAACAACATTTCCAGACGTGCGGATGGCGCTTCCCAATCTAGACATTCTGACTGTCGGCTGTGACGCCGTCGAGATCCGCGTCGACCTTCTCCGAGAGACCCTTCCCGACGGGTCATTCTCCGCCATCCCCAGCCCGAGCTACGTGGGAGAGCAGGTGATGCTGCTGCGGCAGCGGACTGAGCTCCCCCTAATCTTTACGACTAGGTGTGTGCGCGAGAATGGGAGGTTCCCTATGGATGACCCGGACCTGTATCACCAGTACCTGTACCGTGCGGTCCAGTGGGGCGTCGAGTACATCGATGTGGAGCTATGGCTACCCGAGAAGGTCCGGCGCGACCTGTATACCCGACGGGGCAACTCACGTGTTATGTCGGCCTATCACGACTACTCGGGGAGCTTTCGGTGGCCGTCGGCGTACGCTGATGATGTGTTTTGCCGGTCCATGCTCTACTCCGACATGATCAAGATGATGGCCATCATTAGCGAGCACAACGAAAACTTTGAGCTCGAGTATTTCCGCTCCCGAATGCGCGCCGAACACCCAGATGCGCCGCCCCTGTCGGCCGTCAACATGGGAGAGACAGGCCAGCTGTCGCGTACTCTCAACGGGCCCTTCACACCTGTTACGCACCCCTTGCTGCCCATCATAGCGGCCCCTGGGCAGATGAGCACCGCCGAGATCAACTCGGCCCTCGCGCTACTGGGCCAAATGCCCCGCAAGAACATCTACGGCATTAGCAGTGCCGCACAGCGCAGTGCCACACCCCAGGCCCCCTTCTACGAGAAATGTTTCAACGAGCTCGGCCTTCCCCATCATTTTTCTATTGTCGAGCGCCAACCGGCTAACCCGGCCAGCATTGAGGCATGGTGCAACCAGCGCCACTTTGGCGGTGCCTACCTCGACCCGGGCTTCTCGCACCAGTCCCTCGTCAACCACAGCCGCTTCTTTGCCGGCCTCAACGCCGGGGCCGGTCCAATACTCACCGAAGCAGCGAGAGTCACGGGCATATTCGACACCATCATCATACGCTCTTCTTCCCTCACCGGTGCCAGTGCCAAGTCAGCCCCGCCCAGCCCACGCCGAGGCGTATCGGCTGCACCGGTGTCACTACTGCCACCCAATACGACTCTTGTCCTCGACAATGCGAGCTGGAAGGGGATAGTGAGCACTCTGACGCGGGATCTAGCTCCTTCGGCCTATGTGGGTCGATCAGCCGTCGTGCTTGCCTCTTCGCCCGACGACGCCGCAGCCGTTTTGTTCGCCTTGAAAGCTCTCGGCGTCGCAAAAATTTACACCGTTGGGTTCCGGACCCCGGAGTCCCTGGCTCGTCACGCCCCTCCAGTAGATATAGAGCAGTTTGTCAGCCTAGATAGTCTGCAGCGCGCACGTTCTGCAGCTGACAACTCGGCAGCCCCCTTTGTCATTGTATCGGCTCTGGGTCCCGAGAAGAGTCACCTGGTCGGTATACTTGTCAGGGCATTTGGAGCAGTGGGTGAAGTTACCACCACGGGTCAGAGCACAGAGCCTTCGAAGTCTGCCAAGAAGGTCTTTCTCGACCTGGCTGACGGGGCTGCTCCGAAGCGAAGCGACCCTGGTGCGGTGGCCGAGAAGAGCGGCTTTGCAGCGTACGGGACGGCAGATGTGGCGGCTTATACAACGGTGGAGAGTCTGAGGTTGCTCATCGGACAGAATGTACCGTACAGTTTTGTCAGGTTGGCAAGTGGTGGAAATATGTATTAGGGTGTGAGCCATAAATTCCTTCTCTTATCCTCTTCTTTTGAATATTGTTTGTATGTAAGAGGCCTGATGATATAATATACACATGATCGTAGTATCCCCCACATGCTGCAACTATACAAGTACAACTGTCTGTCCTTTTTTTGTCCACCCTAAATTTCCCCGCCAAAATGCCCTGCGACATCTCCACTCCTCGTCCCCCTCCTCCTCGTCTCCTCATCTTCACGAGTCTCCACTCCCCCCAGCTTATTCCCCCAGTTTTATTGTGGTCCTTTTTACCTATTCGGTGCCCCCTCTCTTAGGCTGTCCCTCACCTGAGTCTTCTTTCTCCGCAGGCAGCCCAACTGATTTTCCATCATGCCTCCAGATTGAACGTGGCCATTGCTCGTTCAGCACTCCTCACGCCTAGTTGACAGTGGCTGACGGTGGCACGAGAGAGCGAAGAAGAGAGGCAGATGGAAAGAAGAAGCCCATCATCACCTCTTGCCGTTTGTAAGACAGAGAGGGCCCTTGCAGGTACATATGCATGTCCCTCTCACGACACCTTCCTTGAGAGGTGACGACGCAGGAAACATGGCGGCCATTCCCATTCCTCGATCCCAGGTTGGGATCCAACGCCTCCCGGCTCGCAGAATGAGCAGCGAGCCTCGTGAGTCGATGAATTGCAAATCCTGTCGCAAGCGTAAGGTGTGTTTCCCCCACCGTCTCATAAGAACTGTCGCCAGAGAGAGCGCTGACATCGTTTGGTTGTGTGTCCAGATTAAGTGCAACAGGCTCCGGCCTACCTGCGAGGCCTGTCAGGTCTTCCAGTGTCCATGCGTATATGGTGAGGTTCGCCGTCAGTCTTCTTGATTTTACTTATATGCTGAATGGGTCGTAGATGCCGTGCCCAAGAAGCGTGGTCCCAAGACAGACGTCCTCGACGCCTTGTTGAAGCGTGTCGACGGCTTGGAGGCCAAGCTTAAGGACAAAAATGCCCACCAGACGACTAGGTCTACTGCCCTGGCCGGCTCCAAGAGGTACCATGATGCTGTCGAGTCTCATGGCCGTGGAGAGCCGGTGTCCAAGCGTACAGCCACCGAGGCAAGATTATCACCAGGGCCCAACGAGGATACGCCTCCCAGGTCATCAGTCTCTAGGTTGGTCTTCCGCTAACACCTCACGTCGCTGGGTTATCCGCTGATTTGGACAGTGACCTGCCTGCCCTAATTCCCGAAGCCGTCCTTGACACCTACTTTGCCCGTTTCCATGCAAAACCCTATCACATTCTAGATGAAGGTTCTATCCGCCGACGTATCCAGCTTGGCCAGTTGCCTGACTTTCTTGAACACGCCATCTGGGCCGTTGCCTCTCGGAGCACCCCCCATATCGAGGGTCATCAAGCAGCGGTAAAGCTCGGCGAGGAATACGCTATCCTGTCAAGGACAGAACTAGACACCGATGAGCCCTCGATCGATGGTCTTCAGGCTGCCCTTCTCTTAGTGATCGCCTTTCTCAGTGCGGGCAGAGGGAACAGAGCATATATGCTCTTAGGTATGAGCCCACTCAGCTAGGCCCTTCCCACACATGTACTTACTGACTCTCGTAGTAACTTCCGTTGGAATGGCAATGGCCCTCGAGATGCATCGCGAGACGGACCAGTCCACTGTGGCGCCCGTAGAGAGGGAGATCCGCCGCCGCCTCTTTTGGAGCTGTTACTTGCTCGACCGGTTTATGGCCTGCGGGTCTAAACGGCCCTCGCTCATCAGCGACCAGTCCATTGTGCTCCGACTGCCCTCCTGGACCACAGACCGCTCCTCAGCCCTCATCCAAGGCGACTTCTTCCAGCCCAACTCAAACCTGCAATATTTCCACGGAAGCGGCAAGAGAGCCCAGGGGAGCACCGGCATGCTCATCGATATTGCACGGATACTCGGTACCACAAACCGGTACTTGGCCGCTGGTGGCGTCAGGGGCGACCCCCACTTCCCCTGGCACTCGCTTTCGAACCTATCCAAGATCCGCCAGGACCTGGACACCTGGGCCTCGGGAACAGACGGCGTCTTCTCCAGCCTTGAAGCGCTCTTTGGCCAGAGCGACTCCACGGTCCTTGTCCTGAGCAAGCTCATCTACCACCTGGTATACTGCCTCATCTACCGACCCTTCCTCCCCACCAACTTAGCCGGACTTATGGGTGCGGCGGGCCAGCATGAGTCGTGGCAGATTGAGGCTACAAACATGTGCTTCCTGCACGCAAATGCCATAGCCGAGCTGGTCGAGCTTGGCAAGCAGGCCGGCACCATCGAATGGCCCGCCTTCGTGGGCTACTGCATCTGCACGGCCGGTACCGTCCACATCCACGGCGCCCACTACTCCCGACAGCAGGGAGGCGGCACCATCAGCCGTGAGATGGCCGTATTCAACTCGTCGTCCCACTTCCTTTACCGGGAGATGCAGTACCTCGACGAGCTGCGCTGCACTTGGGCCAGTGTGCAGCACCAGCGTGACATCCTGCAGAGCATGTACAACGCCCACGAAGAGCTCGTCAAGTCTTCCATGGGCAATAGTAACACCATGCGTTATGCTCAATCCTTCCATCTCGAGGACTTCTTCGAGCGTTACGCCAACATTGACGGCTCAAAAGGACAGAACTTCCACTTTGACGCCGCGCACCTCAATCTGCGTGATGCCGCCGTCGACCTCATCACCGTGGATACCTTACCCGTTCACGATTTGTACACACCCCACAGCACCACCAACGACAAAAAAGATGCTTCTGTACAGCGCCGCGACAGAAACGCCCTCTTGACCATCCCGGCTTCTGTATCGCGCCTCAATTCACAGACCCCAAACTCAGAGCCACAGGACATGTCCAGTGGCGGCAACACTGGTTTCAGCAGCATGATTCCCAATCTACCAGGAAATAATAACACGGCATTGAGTCCAAGATTCAATAATATGATGGGTGACTCGACCAGTTACGACCCCATGTTTGGAACTCTGCCAACCAATGCTTGTGGCACGCCTGCTGCTTTAGGCTGGCAAGCCAACGATGCACAACAGCAGCAGCAGCAGCAGCAGCAGCCGGAACACACTGACGCGGGGGCACCTGTCAGCCCTGGGACGGGGAGCGCGACGGCACACGATGACAAAGACCCGTTTCTCAGTCTGTTGGAACAGCTTGCCGAGGACGAGCAGCGCGTTAGCAACGGGGGGCCATCAGAGCTGGATTTTTTTCTCGCAGGAGGGACAAATCCTTAGCAAGTGTCACCTACTAGTGCACAGTAATGGTACAATGACAAAAATGACGTGAGACATCGAATCTAATACGAAGACGACACTGGCACATGTATAAAGGTGCGAATGTAATATAAGAGTGAGGAACGTTGGAAAGCTCTATTCAATAGGGAAAATCTCACCACCACCACCACCCCCTCCCAACAACAACAACAACAACAACAACAACAACAACAACAAAAAAGAATTCTAAGCCTCCCCAGCCCCTTCATGTTCTAGAATTAGAGCGCGAGCCTCTTCTTCATCTGTAATATATCCATCTTCCTGGTCATTATCTTCATCCCGCTTGGGGCCATTCCAGCCCGTTCCGGCCTGCATAAACAAAACAATCAGGCCCAGCGCAGCCGCAGCCTGCCACACTCCCCGTGAGGCACTGGCGTAAGCATCCACAGCTACACCCGAGTCCTCGGGCGTAAGTCCACCGCCGTGCACGAGCTCGGGGGCACCCATGAGGCGCGATATGAGAATCTTGCGTGTGGGGCTCAGGGGTTTCCCATCAAGGTCGCCGTCAAGGAGGCGGAAGCCGTCAATCAGCCGGGACTGGAGGATGCGTGCAAAGATACTGCCGCCAATTGTCGTACCAAAGGCACCACCGAAGCCGCGGAAGGTCCCCAGAAGGCTAATAGTGATGTAGTCGGTGCCGCGGTGGCTGTGGTGCAGGACGTGTGCGAGCGTGTAGTTAAGGGCGGCACCCGTAGCAAAACCACCGGCTGCAACTGATAGAATGAGCGGGACTAGGCCAATATAGGGGTGTGCTATGACCGACAGCAGCCACATGAAGGCGACGAAGCTGGCAATGGACACAACAGACGGCAGCCAAAAAGAGCCGGCGCGGCGAATGTGCAGACCGCCGACTACGATCCCCCCTAGTCCGAAGCCAACGTTGGTGGGTATTAGTATGGCTCCCGCGCTGGCACGAGGCTCACCGCGCACGGCGAGTACAAAGATGGGCATGTAGTATAAGACGGTCCAGCGGGCCCCCATCAGTCCAAGCTGTGATACACATGAGAGAAGGACCGAGCGGGATTTCAGGACAGGAAGGGGTACCACGGGGTCCGATGCAACCCATGACTCGACGGTGACGAACAAACCGAGGCAACAGAGAGAAGACCACAGCCAGATAGCGCTGGCGCCGCTGGTGAGACCGTAGAGAAAGGAAACAATGGTAAATATCTTATTTCAGTGTTAACGAGGAAACATTGGGGAAAAGAAACCACAGAGGCCTACCAGAAGAACGGAGCCCAGATAGTCGATACGGCGTAGCTTCTGCCAGACAGAAAGTGGTTCTCCAAACGTGTTAGGAGAGGACGGGATGGGACGTGGAAGGCTGAGGAAGACACCGGTGGTGCTCACTATAGCAAGAGGCGCTTGCGCCCAAAACATGATGCGCTATACACAACTGTCAGTAAAAGAGAAAAAACCTCATGTGACAGCAAGTCTTGACGACGGTCATGTATGACGTACCCATCCGACGACAGGGATAAGAGCGCCGTAGACAACGCCTCCCAGCGAAACGCCGATACTGAAGCATGCGTTGACAAAGCCAAGAATGAAACCGCGGGTAGACTTATCCGTCAAGTCAAGGATGAGGATCATAGCTAGAGTCAAGACGCCGGCACCGCCGAAACCCATGACGACGCGCCCGAGAACAAAGGAGGCAAACGAGGTGGCACTAGCCGAGATGCAGCAGCCAGCGCCGATGAGCAATCCGACAAACGGGACCAGGCTGCGCGGCGAGAAGATAGTAGCCAGCTTTCCGACGAGAGGTGCCAAGCTAGACATGGTGATGAGGTATCCCGAGGTGAACCACATAGTACCCTCGTAGGCATCCAGATCCTCAGCGATGCTGCCTTGCATCATGGTGATGCCCGACGTGTTGGAGGCTAACAAATCGAATTTTAGTTCTCGCAAATGTTGTGCCACGATGCATAATGCACACACTGACCTTGGAGGAAAATCAGTAGCCAAAGACTAAAGGCCAGGGCAGTGACTCTCATGGCGGTCATTTGGCCAAGGACCGTGGCAGGCTTGGCACCGGAGGTGTTGGGTTCCGGATCGCTGTCCGCGCCAAGCAGTGGTGACCTTTCGGATGACGGATACATCGTCCGTTGATCGGCATGAGGCACAGAGGTACCATCTTCATCCAGTCTCGGCGCTGGATTGCGTGGAGACAGCTGAGGAGAAGAAGTCATGGCAAAATTCCATTGAAGATTGGAACTGGAACGAGATGTTGAAATGTCCAAGTTTACCAGGAATCGATGATGAAGCGTTATCATCAGCTTATCCCAAGGGTAGGTGAGACATCCGTGCGTATTGACAGCGACTGAATGAGATACCCTGCCCTACAGATTCTGGATTGGTAATCGAAGGCCAGGGTAGGTAATACGTCGACGCATGAAATAGTAGTATTTCATCATACGTCGAGCTTTGGCTGGTGCCAGCATTGTCAGATGTGTCTGTGTTGGATAAATTGGGCCCGGGTAAGGCGGAGGCCGCAGGGCGCCTTGATACGGAGAAGGGGCTCTACTCGTCCAGCGGCCTCAGAAGTCCGCAGTTTTAGGCTCTCGCAGTCGTAAGGTTCTCGCAGTCGTAGCGTAGCGTACCGTTGCATGAGAAATACGTGTACGAGTACTGGTAGTAATACAAAGCAGTGCTCGTACGTCGTACAGCGTCATCAGTATTAATATAAAGTGCCCTTGTCATTCGATAGCTTCACATGAACAACAAGCCTGGGGGGTGGGGGGGAGGGGGAGGCACAACACAGGAAGAAAAGAAAAGAAAAAAAGCTCGAGGATAGATAGGTGAGCCGTCCACTCATTGCCCAGAAAATACAGAGTAAATATCAAGCAAGAGTACCACAGCCTCCTCCTACCCTTTCCTTTTCGGCATAATAATAACTGCGTCTGGGCTACTTGAGGGCTTGAGGCTTGAGGCTTGAGGCTTGAGGCTTGAGGCTGCATCAGCGGGTTTACAGCGGGTTAGTGTACGGTGGTCTTGGCTGTATGGCATGTGTGCGTGCTAGGTATTATCAATACCAATACCTAAATACCTCCATACTTATATTACACGGTTTTATTGTTACTAGTAGCACGAGTGTAGTTGGATGATATGGGTGATGAGATATGGGTATGAATTGAGATCTATTCAAAACGTGAAGAGCATGGAATGACGCTCACGAGACAGACAGACAGACAAGCATCAGCGTAAATTCCGTGCTCCTGCCTATCTCTCCTCCCCTTTTTTTATAACGAAAGCGAACCCAGCCCCCCCGCTTTTCCGGTTCGTCGCCAAGTGCAATGTGCCTAGCCTTGCTCGTCATTGACCCCCAACATCATACGCCATCTCCCGTCACCATCTCGTCTTCACACCTTTGTCAAAGTGTTTTCTTTCTTCTTCTTCCTCATAAAATAATACAATACACAACCAGTGAATTACAGTTGGACGGGAGTACAGAATAGATGAATGAATACTATTTGTCATCGCGGTAAATAAATTGGTCACAAAATGCTGCATCTCTCCAGAAAACTCTCCCGTAGTATGCACGCTCCACCACAACATCGCATTTTTTTTCAAGGAAAAAAAGAGGGTATAAGTACAGGTAAAATCAAATGCTCCCTACCTTGGTCATGAAATGCATCTTTCACTTTTTGTTGGTAGTTATTTCATCCCTGATTCATGAACTTTCCACCTTCTTGCTTGAAAAGCCAGTCGCTGTTGGCATCAACCATAAAGTTGGTAATATTGAACTCGTTTATCGCTCCTGCCTGCGATCCCGTAGTTTGCTCATCTGCGTCCATATCCGCTCCGGGGGCTGGTGTCTGGTTGCCCGTGCCACCCGTGGCCTCACCGCCGAGCGGTAGGCGGGGCACATTGAAGAAGTCAAACACGTCCAGGTACTCCAGCTCGTTGGGGGCGGGCGTCCGAGCCGGTGTGACGCTTGGAAGCCGACTGGGATTGGCGCCGCCCTGCTTCGGCTGCCGAGAGATCAAAAGGTCCAGGTCGAAAGCCGTTCGCCGCATGTCCGAAAGGATCTTTACCGAGCTTGGTGTCACGCCATCGCCTTGTCGCTCACTCTCTCGGTGCTCGTCGAGAACCCGTGAGAGGAGGTCTGAGTACCTGGCTGCTACGGGCCAGTGCCGCCCCATCTCTCGCAACGTGTCGACGAAAAATCTGAGCTGCGGCGACAGCTTGCGCTCCACCGTAGATCCATGCACCAGTAGCAAGCGTGCGGCCACCCACAGTGTAAATGCAAACGGTGGTCCCAGCTTATCTAGGAGTCCATTATTCACAACAAACTCTCCAAGGGCCGCAATGTTCTCCACTGCGCTATGGCATCTCTGGGAAGCGCTGTATGAGGGTGTGAAGATGGGCGATCGCGTCGTGGGGTAAGCTGCCGACGAGTGCAGCCGAATAACGGCAAGATGGTATGTCGCATGGAGCATGACCCACCCACAGCTCAGGCCTTTACTACCGGGCTGGAAGAGCTTGGCCATGTTCCCATACTCGTTGGGGAGCGAGAACTTGTACGACATAAGCATATTATCGAGCTCTTTGTACCTGAGCTGCCACTGCTCCACATCGCTCAGTGCGCTTATATCGACAGGCCGCTTGAGGAAGTCGTGTATTTGGCCCACAATGTTGAGGACCTCGCAGTGGAACCCAAAGGCGCCGATGTTTTCAGGCTTGTTGACACCATATTCTGGAGAGTCATCGTGGTAATCTCGACTCTTGTACCACTTTGTCTCGACCTTCTGGTTCTTGATCCAGAGGTCGTCACGGCAGGGCAGTGTTCTGTCAATCTCCTTATCGTCCAAGGCAAATTCAAATGCCGTAGCGATTGTTGCAAACCGATCGACCATGTAGATCATCCAGAAGAGCCTTCTTCTTGACTCATCCTCAATGAAATCCTTTGGCTCTGGAAGCACCATGGCACGGAGCGTATATATGGACGTATAGTTTGGCGAGACGCTGAACGACGTGCTCTCGACGGCAAGGCCCAGCTGTACGACACCACGGGTAATAAGTGCCATGATATTCCACCCTGGTGGACCGTTGCTACTACCGACCAGGTCTATCGACAAGATGACCAGAGCCTGGAGCGATTTGACCGACGTGTTCTCCATCCCATACAGTAGGACCCTCTGCTTGGAGACCTGGTGATAGTGCTTCCGTCGTTCCTCTGACAGCCTTGGGTCGTTGGAGTAACGCATCGATGTGGCCACTATAGCATGCAAGAGTATTCGATCCGTCTCCTGGAGAGTCGAGGGCCCAAACAGGGAGTCGAGGGTTGTCTTCCGATGTAGTATAGGACACCACGTGTTGATATGCTTAAAGTACAAGTCCACCAATGCGTATAGTAAGTCATAGGGCGGCATGTCCTGGTCTAGGGAGGGCTGTCCACCGTTTTGAGAAACAGATGCAGTTGAAGACTGATGGATGCTGCCCTGACTATTCGCGCTGTAGTAGTCCTGGGTAGGTGTGGATGATGGCAATCCTGGAATCTGCTGAGGTGCTGGCATTTCCGACATCTGCATATGCTGTTGGAAGCCATCGCTGATACCCGGCGTCGGTGGCAATCCAAACTCAACGCCTTGAGAGCTGGGGGTAAAATTTGACGAGGGCTTGTGGAGAAAAAGGGCTGTCTCGGCCTGGGGAGTGCGTATGTGATCGGACGGCCTGAATACGGGGGCAGCATCGCGTGGCGTACCCTGGTCACTTGGAAGACTTGAGTTGCTGTTCCGCACGCTGTGGGCTTGCTGGATCGGCTGGTTGATAGAGCTTGTTGTGGAATGCAGGATCTCAGAGTGTGACTTGAGAATCTCCTCGAGCTTATCCAAACGTTTCTCGAGCTCCCTTCCATAGCCTGCCCTAAGCCCAGGCTTTCTCCGCTCCTTGTATTCGCAGGTGGCACCATTACGGCTACACCAACCACATGATGGCTGGCCTCGGTCACATTTCACCTAGATGCAGAAGGCCGCGTCAGTACCGCAGCTTACATGGAACTTAGGATGCCACCTAGTGAAAGTGAAGAGAATGATACCTTGCGCTGTTTGCACAGTTCACACCTAGGAACAGCCGGGTCAGTTTCGTCCTTTGATATGGCAGTGCGAGCAAGAATATTGGCGGTAGAGTCTCCCTCTGGAGGGGAGGAATGTCTTCTTTCTACCCGAGGTCTTGACTGGCCAGGAGGGGACGGGGCTCTTCGAGACATGGGATGGTAACAGAAGGTGGCATATTTTGAAAGGAAAGAACACAGGAAGTGGATACAGGAAAACAAATGGAAGGTGCTGGGTGAGAATGGCTCAAATGGAGTAAAGTAACTATGGAATAAGAAGAGGGGACGTGGGGCGAGAGACGTACGAGACTGAGATGGGACGCTTGCGCTTTGTGCCAGCGCCGTTGGCAGAGAATATGTCTTGATCCTTATCATCTTCACTGTGGTAGTCACTCTCGGGGTCCATGAAGGATTCACCGCCAGCAGCGACAGATGCCGAGGGTGAAGAGGCGCGCTGGCTGTTGCGCATGGCTTCGGTGTTTCGGCCCCGGGAGAACGGGGACAACAGTGGGTTCAATGACGCCGCAGCGCCAGAAAAGCACGCTTCTCAGCTCCAGGTGTGACGGAGCACCCGTGTCCTCGTAAAGTTTGAGGTACGGTACGCAGAGAGGCGCACACGTGCATTGGCGAACACAGATGGATGCAATGAGGTAGCTTGCGGAGGCGTCCCTGGGGAGTTCGGGATAATGATGAGCGGGAGGTGAAGGGAATCAAACGCTGGTTACGAATTAGAAATAAGTGGTTGGCCCCAGGTAAGACGGTCACAGAGCACATGCATTCGTACGAGTAAGGAGAAAGAGTGTCCTCCTCTATAGTCCTGCCCTGTCGGTGTGATGTGGGGGAAAAGAGGAAGGAGCAAATCTCGCAGTGCGGGGAGGTCTGGGGAAACAGCCTGTCCAGCCCCTGTTATTGGTTGAGCGGGTTGCCAATTCCGTCTACTGAGTGCGGGGGAGACAAGCCACTGGCAACTTTCATTGACATTAACAGCTGCATACCGTGGGACCCAAGACCCTTTTTCGTCTCTCCTCTCTTCGATAAATCAATTTCTATTTATTCCCATTCTCTTCCCTTCCTCCTTTCTTCCTCCCTCCCTTCCGTACTTCGTTCCTTTCAACTTTCTTTTTTTTTTTCGCTACCTATTAATTTCCCTTGTGCAGGTGTGACTTTCTTCCCAGTTCCCCTCCATTCTCCAGTTGAAGCATGATTCTGAATTAGCGGGTTGCTGCACACCAGTACCCCAAAGCCTTACGCACACACTTGACCGTGTTTGGCACTCACGTTCGAAGCAATGAAATACCATATAGAAGGGAATAAGTACTTCCCCTGAACGTCAAACCTGTTTATTAACGTAATCACTTATCTACGTAGGCTGTAACACATCCGTATGGCCGCGGGACAAAGACTCGGTATTCGGTTCAATCTGATTCCACACATCCACATCTGCCTCGTCCCGTCTGATCCACAATGGCCTGTCCCTAGCGCCCATTGAACCGGGAGGCTGTACAAGCGTCGAGTAGTACGAGTAGCATTGATTACCGACATTCCCACATGAAAAATGCTTGTGAGATCCCGTCAAAATGTGGGTAACGTGCGCCGTCGACTCTAGAGCATCCACCCTTTCGGGTCAACTACCGCCGATATGAGCTCATGAGGAGCTTCTGTATGATAAACAAAACTCATGGTCATACGCCACCATTTTCTATGATGTTGCCTATTTGACTTGTTCATTTTCCATCCTACATTTCACCGCGCCCCCGCCCTTGTGTATCGTCTGCTCCCTTGTATCCTGACCCGAGTCGTCCATTCCCATACGCCTCGTCGGTTTCACTTTATTATCTTCACGTCGCTCTCTCTATCTAGACGGTTACCCCCTTCAAAAATTTCCCGCCATGGCCCCAGAGTCCAAATTTACCATCAAGGCTATCAGGTCATACATCATCGGAGGCGTAGGCTCCGGTACGACACCCCTGCCGTATTATGGACAAAATTTTGTATGACTGACTAACTAGCGTAGGAGGTGACTATCATAACGTGAAGGGCGGTCATTGGTATGTATTCCTCAGCCGCGGCGTTCAACGGGCATAGCAGACGCTCACAAGTGTGCAGGCTTATTGACAGCGATATCTCGACGCCGTGTTCACGATGGGAGCAGTTTCGCAAGTCGCGTACTAGCTGGGGCATTAATGTCCTCGGATCATTCCTCGTTGAGATTGAATCCGCCGATGGCACCGTGGGCTTTGCTACTGGGTTTGGCGGTATGTGCACATGTCATCTTCGCACGTAACACATTCAACTTCGTGTCATAATACTGATCATGTTCATGCCAACAGGACCTCCGGGCTGCTGGCTGGTGCATCAGCATTTTGAGCGTTTCCTCATCGGGGCCGATGCGCGCAATACGAACCTTCTCTTCGAGCAAATGTACCGAGCCTCCATGTTCTACGGACGCAAGGGCCTCCCCATTGCCGTCATTTCTGTCATCGATCTGGCCCTATGGGATCTTGTGGGAAAGATCAGAAACGAGCCTGTATTCCGCATGATAGGAGGCGCCACCAAGGAGCGCGTCGACTTCTACTGTACTGGCCCGGAGCCTCCCTCCGCTCGTGACATGGGCTTCTGGGGTGCCAAGGTGGCGCTCCCCTTTTGCCCAGACGAAGGCCATGTCGGCCTGCGTAAGAACGTCGAGTACCTACGCAAGCAGCGTGAGCGTGTGGGGCCGGACTTCCCTCTGATGGTGGACTGCTACATGAGCCTCAACGTTTCGTACACGATTGACCTTGTCAAAGCGTGCGCCGACCTCGACATCAACTGGTGGGAAGAATGCCTGTCACCCGATGACACCGACGGCTTCGCGCAAATTAAGCGTGCGCACCCGACTGTCAAGTTCACCACGGGCGAGCACGAGTACTCGCGCTTCGGCTTTCGCAAGCTCGTCGAGGGCCGCAACCTTGACATCATTCAGCCCGACGTCATGTGGCTTGGCGGCCTAACTGAGCTGCTCAAAGTCTCCGCCATGGCCGCCGCCTACGATATTCCCGTCGTCCCTCACGCAAGCGGTCCCTACAGTTACCACTTTGTCTTCTCCCAGCCCAACACCCCCTTCCAGGAGTACCTCGCCAACTCACCCGACGGCAAGTCTGTCCTCCCCGTCTTTGGAGACCTCTTCATAGACGAGCCTATTCCCACAAAGGGCTACCTTACCACCGCAGACATTGATAAGCCCGGCTTTGGCCTCACCATCAATCCGGCTGCCCGTCCCAAGCTCATTTCTTCCTCGTACCTTCTCACCCCTCCGCCCGCCGCTGGCCTCACTCCAGCTACCCCTGAAAAGGAGGACAAGTCCGCGGATGTAAAGTCCAACGGTTTCATTGGTAACTTGACCGCGAAGGTTGACAGACTGACCTCGTCGTGATATGTATGTCATAAGAAATATATGTATTCTCGGATATTCAGCCCCTCGTCTGACCTGTTTGGCGATATTTATTCATTCATACACTGAGCTAGTTTAGGGCTAGTCCCCTATATATAGGACAAACAGTCCCTCTCTGGTGTTCGGCGATATTTGCTCTTATAGATTCATGTTGGCAAATTTGACATTGTACACGGTGTCTGATGTTTGAGTTTCCCACACGCTACATGGAATGCTGCCATATGCTTATAAATGAAGAGAAACAAGCGGCCTAGCTTTTATAGTTACAGCCTTCAAAACCAACCAGTCATGAAAACGGTGGGCCTCAACCTGAACCCCGCCATTGCTCAATCGGGGATTGCCATTATATCTCGTAGACAAGAAGCTGCCGATTACTATACCCAAATTGATGGCAGATCAGGCAATTTCTCTTGTATCACCTTTCTTCGCAAATATTTTGGTATGAAATCTTCCATCACTAGAGCCTCCCTCCCTTTTTTTTTTGCTCTATGTTATTTGAGATTGAAATTGCCGTTCAGTGTCGGGTACATCGGAGCTGTCAAGGTGTCTTCGCTCGCGTCAAAGTCGCCCGAGTTTCGGGGCCCTTGACCCCGCGCCCCTCCACTCACCTCTTACGGGATTCCCATACTGCCCCTCATACCCCTCCTGCCCCTCATGGGCATGAGGTTTCTGGTCGAGGCCGTTGAGATCTCTGCAGGTCAATTAAGAATAGTATAATAAAATACAGCTCACTCTAGATTCGCTTCTATATCCTCTGGAGCTGTAACAATTCCCGTCTTGGATTCCTAACCTCGTCATCCCATCTCCTCCAAATCACCGACAACACAACTCCATATAACTCCTCGAATCCGTGTTGCTTTGGTCAACCCATGTTTTCGACATCGTGATTGACTACACATTGGCCCCCGGCATACACACTCGTCCGGCTAAGAGTGATATCTCTCCACATCCGTTCTGTACAAACGCTCGTTTACCCGACACAATGTCTCTGACAGGTATCCTCGTTGGAAAGACTGCCATAATCACGGGAGGGACGACGGGCATCGGCCGTGCCATCTGCCTCGAATACCTGAGGCATGGAGCTGATGTGACCGTAAACCACCTTGGCCTAGACAAGGATCGAAAGCATCTTGACTCCCTCGTCGCGGAAGCAGAAGCCCTAAGAAAAGCCGATGGTAGCGCAGGCCGTCTTCTCCACGTCCAGGGTGACGTCAGGAACCCTGACGACGCAGCGAAGCTGGTATCTCTGGCTGTGAACAGCTCTACAAACAAGCGTCTCGATGTGTGCGTGTCAAACGCGGGGGTGTGTACCTTCGCCGACTTCCTGGACTGTTCGCCGGACCTACTAGAGACGACGGTGCGAACCAACCTAGACGGGGCGTTCTACGTGGTACAGGCTGCGGCAAGGCAGATGGCGAGGAACCAGACACCTTCAGGTGGTAGTATCATCGGTGTATCGTCCATTTCGGCTCTCGTGGGTGGTGGCACACAGGCACACTACACCCCCACCAAGGCTGGCGTCCTCAGTCTGATGCAGAGCACCGCCGTCGCCCTAGGAAAGTACGGCATCCGTTGCAACGCCCTGCTTCCCGGGACCATCAAGACGCAGCTCAACGAAGAGGATCTAGCAAATGACTCCAAGAGGAAGTACACCGAGGGGAGAATTCCGCTAGGCAGGACAGGTGACACGAAGGATATGGCCGGGCCGGCCGTCTTCCTAGCCAGTGACGAGCTCAGCGGCTACGTCACGGGCGCACAATTGCTTGTTGACGGTGGTCTCTTTGTCAATTTGCAGTAGAATGACATCAATGATATTGGCAGATAAAACGAGAAGAGCCTGGAAATTATACCTTCCCGTTTCCTTAACAGACATTCACACAACTACGGGGTGCGGGAGGAGGGGACTAGAGATTTAGGAACCCTTCAACCAACCGTGTAAGCCACTGTGATGAGATTCCAACAATCCTGTATTGGCTCGATGCTTTCCGTCTCGCTCGATCAACAGCATAATGCCGATTTGAGAATGAACTTGAAAGCGCTAGAACAATACATGACCTATGCGGTTGGCATCATGGGCAACTGCAAAAGTCCATGTTGAATTCATGTAGGTGGTGTGGGGATGTAAATTACTGACTATATAGCATCAGCCCAGGTTAATATGTCAAGAGACAAAAACTAGTGGTTCAGGGCTGATGGCCCTCAAGAGTATGCTGCCATAGTTACAGCGACTGGTTTTACCTGATGTCGCCACTTTCTAAGCCCGTGTGCCTTTTTCTACATTGGATATATGAAAACTGCGTCATGGCTGATTGGCGGGTTGGTGAGACGTGATAATGAGTGTTGTAAATCCCAGAGGCGCGATAGGAGTCTGTCTAATCAAAATTCATTTCTTAATCCTGAATCTTAGTGAAACAGCAACGTGTACGAACACGGAGTACAGTTGGTGACGACAAGATAAACGCAATTCGGTGAAGATGGCGGGGTCAATAAAAGGCCTCTGAGAGAAAAAGAATCATTATCACACTTGGCAACCGCGCTTGGCAGGATCAGCGTGTTAGACGGTGGGCAGGCTTCTGGTACCGTCTAAGTACCAGCTGAACAGAATGGTGCAGGGTGGTGGTACCGTAACGGAGACAGATGTATGTCGAGAGTAGGAAAATGGTGGCAGAGGTACCATGGCGGCAACGGCGCAGAGAGCAGTGACTTGTCGTAGACTCAGCATCTTGGAAGGTTATGTGTAGCACTCGAACTCTGCTGCAAGTTACTAGGGCCCATAATAATAGTGGATTCTTTTTTTCAGGGCTTTTGATAGGTTAAGTGTCTCAAGAAGATGTCTTCATTTACGTCACTGCCAGCTTCAGGGCTTTAGGAACGCCCCAACAGTATTGCCACCGTCATCGAAACTGTCACTGTTTTCTCCCACCCCACCGTCTGCTAGCCAGGCGGGTAGCCGCGCCATCCAACCGAACCAGGAGACAAGCCCAGGTTGAGAGTTCGCCAAAATTCGAGTTGGAATATTTGGAATAAAAAAGAGCCGCGCCAACCGCTAGACGTCAAATCTTTGCGGCGAGACGAACGAACAATAGAAGTACGCCACGATGTGCGTGGCTGTCATTGGCAGTGCAGATGCCTCTCGGGATATCGATCAATAAGATTCGAGTGTGGTGACCGAACTAGTATACATTCGTGCAATCTCGCAACTGTGGAAGAGGAATGTCATACTTCTTTCAGTGTCCGAGTTTTATGTCATTCCAGCGCGCTTGGCTCGTCGAGTTTTCTTACGACAGGAAAGGGGACCCGCTTCATGTATATTATCGCTTGCCTCGCCCTGGACGGGAAACAGGGATACACCCCAGTATGGAGTGCACAATGACTCGGACCTGATGGGCCCTGTCATGCTACGGAGAGCGCCCCTCTTTGCTCCAACTGGTCACGTCAAGACCAACCTCTCCGAGTCTAATCAGGTCCAAGGAGGTGCGAATACATCATCAAAAAGTCATCGGCCTTTGGTCCTCAGACATATAAGATACCCAGTCCACCCGCCGTTTTTAGCAACAACATCTTCTAGAATCAGTCACAGTCATCCACAACACTCTTTCCATACCACTCTATCTCGAGCTTTTTTTCATCGAGTTCAAACAACTACATCTTATATCGTCCAACTTCAAAAGAACATACGCACATCCTCGCTCGCCGTCATGGATTCCGAACGGTATCAGCTTAGCGACAGCAGCGTCCCCAGCTCGCCTGATCTTCAGTACAGCGGCTCCAGCTCCAGTCTTTCGAGTTTGGGATCGCCTATCTCACCTCCCCTGACCCAGACCAAGCCCTCGGCCGACTCCTTTGTCTTCGCCTTTGACATTGATGGTGTCCTTGTCCGCGGCGGACGGCCCATTCCCGAGGCCATTGAGGCCATGAAGGTTCTCAACGGTGAAAACGAGTACGGTGTTAAAATGTAAGCATATCACTTTCCCTCCCCATTTTGCACCTACCACGATCGAAGCCCTAGATATCTCCCGCCGACTCACGCCGCGACTTCACGGAGCACCCCGACAGTCTTTTGTGGGCCGGCCGTACCGTGCAAGCGGCGATTTCTATGGATTCCTGGGAGCACTGTCATCATCACATCATCCTATCACAGAATACAAAAGCTTACTTACCACCCACAGCCCTCACATCTTCCTTACCAACGGAGGTGGAAAAACCGAAGAGGAGCGCTGCCGCGACCTGTCCAGTCAGCTCCAGCGTGACATCAAGGCAGGCCAGTTCATCTGCGGCCACACCCCCATGAGGGAGATGGCTCGAACTTACGGCACCGTTCTCGTCATTGGTGGTGAGGGCGAGAAGTGTCGCCAGGTTGCAGAGGGCTACGGCTTCAAGGATGTCGTCACTCCCGGTGACATCATCAAACACGACTCTGCCACTACTCCCTTCCGCACCCTGACCCCCGAGGAGCACGCCAACTCTCGTGAGCGCGACTTCTCCCAGGTCACCATCGACGCCGTCTTTGTCTTCGCCGACTCGCGCGACTGGGCTGGCGACATTCAGATCATGCTTGACGTCGCCATGTCGCAAGGTGGCCGTTTGGGCACCCGCTCCGAGACTTTCGACCAGGGTCCCCCCTTCTACTTCTCCCACAACGATGTCGTCTGGTCTGCCGCCCACGAGCACGTCCGCCTCGGCATGGGTGCCCTCCGCCGCATGTTTGAAATCACTTTTGACGATTTGACTGGTGGAAAGGGGAAGCTCAACACCCACGCCTTTGGCAAGCCCCAGGTTTCTACCTTTGAATTCGCCTCGCGCCTCATGAACCAGTGGCGCAGTGATGAGCATGGCCTTGCCACCGCTCCCTCAACCGTTTACTTTGTCGGTGACACGCCCGAGAGTGACATCCGTGGTACCAACGCTGTGAACGAGAAGGCCGACAACGACTGGTACAGCATCCTCGTCAAAACTGGCGTCTACCAGGAGGGTACTGAACCCGCATACAAACCCCGTGTCACCGTCAACAATGTCCTCGACGCTGTCAACCATGGCCTGCATCGCGAGATGGCCCGCAGAGGCAACTCGCTCAAGAAGCAACAAGTTCTCGACGACACTGCCAAGAAGGCCGAACACATTAACCCCTCCATCTTTGACAGTGACGTCGACACCATCACCATCTAAGGTGGTGGCGAGAAAAAGACACGCGGCATACGAATTTCATTGGTTTAATTCCCTCATCTTTTCTTGTTTTAGATTTTTACAAGCACAGCGTTTTATGGATATCAATTGGGCTAGACGACGGAGTTTGGTTTTCACAATGTCCACCTACACCTTCCAACGATGCTATTGTTCATATACTCCCAATGAGCGTCGCACGACATTGATATATAGATTTCTCAAGAATGCATTAGAATTTAGAGGCAATATTGACCTTTACTGCGATAAGGTGTGAAGCAACTCATCAATTTCAACATCAGGTCGAAAAACAATTCACATGGCTAAGTATGTATGCAGACTATCATGCAAAGAAGTTGAGGGGTGATGACCTTTGGCGCAATGCACCTAGGTCTGAGGTAGTACATGAACATGAGTTAAGGTAAGACTCACCGAGATAATGAAACTCTTTCATTTTGTATTACATTTAGAGGATAATGCGCTCTTATCAATGCATCCGAGTGGGACAGAACCTATATCACATATAATATTTATGCTCGGAAAGTGAAGCGTCCCCAGCGAGACTCGGCCACCCACGGCGCATCCTCAACAGCTCGCTGGCGCTCATCCCGCTGATCGAGAACCTCTTGCATCGTCAGCCCAGCAGCAAGCGGCTCGATGTGCTCTCTCGACACACGCAACCAGCCTCCCTTGTCGGAAACCACATCTCCTCTAGCCTCGAATCCTCCGATGACAATAGTACCCCACAACTGCCTCTGTGCACTTGGAATGGCTACTTCCTCGTAAAGCAATTTTTTTGTCGCTGACTCTACTAGGAATCTCACATCGTCACCAACATCAATGTTTTGGTCGTTGTTCTCATTTTCATCGGCGTGCGGTGACAGCGGTGGTGGAGGAACAACCTGTATGTAGATGTGGCGGGCGTCAATGGCAGAACAAGATAGTCGTGTGGCGTCGAAGCGGCCCTCCATATCAATGATTATCAAAGCAAAATTATGGGGAGCAGATGCCAGCGATGAAGCTAGCTTGTATAGTAGGGGGAGGTGACGGCCGCTTATGCCCAGTGTCGGGGCTTGAGTCTCGCGGAAGTGACGGGTTGCTATCTCGTCTAGTTCCGGGATGTATGTCTTTTTCAGAGGGCTTTTGGAGCCGTGCACAGAGGTCCTGAGGGTGTCGAGGGCCTTGCGTACCAATGTTAGCAAGCGTAGCTATTGAAAGACAGATTATGAAACAAGAAATTGTAAGAATAGACGGCTTGTGTTGAGAACATCGCAGGACTGTAGGTGTGTAACGAGTAGAAAGGTTGGCAGCCTGAGGCCATGACCGAATCAACTCACCTCTTCCAGACTCATCTCCTCCATCTCACCAAGCAACCTACTGCCCGTTGCCGCCTCCATTTCATCTCATTTCTTTCCTTGGGAGTTTAGTCAACTGTAACTCTTACAGGTCAAAGCACAGAATGGCGCCGCCGTGTTTTATCTTCCCGGTGTCCCAGCTACCAGAACGCGTGCAATCGAATGTTCACGGCAAACGACGCAAGCACGCCGACCCGCGCACGCGCACCGTCGAGCTCTCAGCCTGCGAGTTCTTCGAGATGCTGCAGTACAATTGCGAGGTACAGAGGCCTGTCACACGCGACAGTATTGTGCAGTGCTTTCCCGTGCCGCGGGCTTTTCGAAGGTGAGTTAAGTGAGCTGTTAAGATTTGAGGGGCAGCAAGGTGATGCAGAAAACAAAAAAACTCCCTGCTGCCATTCCGCGAACTAAACTGATTGATGATTATTCCACATCTAGATGTCAAGATAAGAAAGGCACTTTTACAGTCGAGACGACTTCTTGGGAAGGTACATATACGCAAGATAGCAACCCGACGTCGTCATCTACGGCTGACGGCGGTGAGTCCAAGCCACTGCGTCAGTGGTCGACGAGCTGGAATAGGGCCGAGCTCCAAGGATAATCTGGGAAGGAACACGACACTAGTGGGAGATAGTTGATTTATATAAAAAGTGAAGAAAGGGCTGGTAATATTTTCATATACTACTGGTACTAGTGGTACTAAGTTTTGGGCATGATAGATAGCTCTTTTGTAACACAACAAGATCAATATATTATCCTACACGTCTTTTGTCAACCTTGGCTTATTTTACGTAGTAAGCACTTGCATATGTAAACTTGTCGCCGATAGCTGATTTGCGAAGCGTATTGGTTGACTCGCATGCGTTTCGCCGCTCGTCGCAGAAGCCATAATGATACGGTATGGAGGGGAAGCGATAGATAGATGGACCTAATTGGCACCACGACTCCAGTCTCCGTTTCAAACCCTATCTGTAATCAGTGTTGGTTAGAAGAAGACTTCGTTTCTGGACCTCTTGTATGTCTATTAATGAAGACAAGATCACATGAGCCTAACCACCCGCGATCCTAGAAAACCTATTTCTCATATACAGCATTTACCCCACACGGCAGCCAATATGACGGTCAACACTCCAAAGCAGTCAGACGTAAGCATTCCTGTCATCGACTTTGCAAAGTTCGACTGTGGGAGTCCAGAAGATGACCAGGCCATTGGGAAGGCCATGTACGAGGCGTTTCGTGATCACGGCTTTGCCTATATTGCAAACCACGGTATCCCACAGGGAGTCGTCGACGAGGCCTTTGAATGGGTGAGTTTCCGGAACTCACACATGAGATTGAAAAAAATCTTAGATCTCGGCGTGTTAATATACTAACACTCTGCCCATGGCAGAATCGAAAGTTCTTCGACCTTCCTCAGGCCATCAAGGGAAAAGCGCCCCATCCACCTGTCGGCTGGTGGCACCGCGGCTACTCGGGTATTGGGCGGGAAAAGGTAGTGCAGATGGTGTTCGATGAGGCTAGTATCAGCGAGCTGCGCAAGATTCCCGACTTCAAGGAGTCATACGAGATTGGACGCGACGATGACCCGCACACGAAGACGCCCAACATCTGGATTCCGGAGGATGACTTGCCCGGTTTCCGCGCCTTCTTTACTTCGTTCTTCGAGGAAGGATATCGGCTGGAGCTGCTGCTACTGCGGGCTGTCGCCATCGGCATGGGCCTGCCGTCAGATTACTTCTGGAACTTCCACCAAGCGAAGAACAACCAAATTCGCCTGCTGCACTACCCACCTGTGCAGGAGTCGCTGCTGCGCGACGGCAAGACAGAGCGTATCGCTAGCCACACCGATTTTGGCACCTTGACGCTTCTCTTTCAAGATGACGTCGGGGGGCTCGAGGTCGAGGATATTCATGAAAGGGGAAAGTTTAACCCCGCCCCGTATATACCGGGAACTGTTGTCGTCAATATTGGTGACTTCCTCATGCGCTGGAGTAACGACCACCTGAAGTCGACGCTACATCGGGTCAGGGCGCCGCCCTTGGTTGACAACGACGAGCTCAGCAGCTCCGCCACGGAAAAGGTGACGCGAGCGAGGAGATCTATCCCGTATTTTGTCACGGCGGATCCCGAGCGCATCATTGATTGCCTACCAGGTTGCTATGGGCCGGACAACCCTAAGAAGTATGAACCCATCACAGCTGGAGAGTATGTCGACATGCGCTTAAACGCCACGTACTAGATAGAATTGGTTCTTCGTTGTCTATAAAGGGTATGGGCTGTGGATAAGACGAGCCGCCTGAAAAGATCCGTTGCCAATGACATGCATACTCAGAGTGCTATGCGTATGGACCACTAGAGGTGTCGCCCGTACAGAGTAGCAGAAGACCAGTGGGTATCAAGGGTATACATAAAGGGGTACTTGTAGGTTAGAGAGACCGCGAAGGGTTTCACAACGAACCACATCGAGCCAATGCATTGCTTTCCCCTAACGCTGTCTTCTCGTATTGTACATCATGTCCCGCGTAGGACACTCTGGATATCCTGCTCCGCGATTTCCTCCTGACAATATACCACGCTTTCTAGAAACACCTCGTCCCCCTCATTTGTTTCTATCCTCTCAAGAATATAAACCTTACTGACTAGCCTTGTCGGCGGCGCGCTTCTCCTCCAGCTTGGCGTAGAAGTTGTCGCGCGCGTTGGTGCGGGGGACGTGGAAGCCGTACCTGTAGTCGGGTTAGAAAGGCGATGATTCAAATCAAATGCGCAGAGGCTTTTCGCTTATTTTATTTTTTTGAAGGGTCGTCGTACCAGAAGAGGTTGGCCATGCTGAATCCGATACCTAGATGAATTGGTTAGCCCGAGTAATGGGAGTAATGGGAGCTAGTGGTTGATCGCTGGAACTGCGGAAAGGACCGGAACCAGCAAACCCGCAGTACCCTATGCGACCAGGAAGGTTTTCTTGACATACCAAGGGCAATTCCGAGGTCGAAAAAGAGGCCACGGCGGACCATCTAGACGAGTAGGTCAGCTCAGCTCGAGGGGAAAGTAGCGGCCGGACGCCCGGAGGTTCCTTTGCACGATCGCATAGAGGGCCAGCGCTCGGGCAATTGAGCCAGGGAAAAGACGTACGCCAGTGATAGGCTTGAAGGTGGTAGTGGCGGCGGCCATTGTGAATCGAGGTGTGGTCTTTTGCTGGTCGTCAAAAGGGTGTTGAGGTTGGAGGGCGATTGGGGAAAGAAGAGAGGCTGATTTGGCAAGTAGAGGTCAAGTTCGGCAAGGTGGACGATAATCACGCTACTTTTAGTCACGTGCCTGGTCAGCATTTTTTTCTGCTCCCTTTCCGTTCCGGAGAAACTACGGCGATTAACATATGGCTATGTACCAATTTCGAAACTCCCAACGGCAAGCAAGCAAGGAAGCCAGCCTTTCTCTAAAAGACGTCTTCTGTCCCTGAAGGTTGAACGCGACCAAAACCGCCGCAATGACACTTCATGTGGCGGCACGCCGGTTAGGACAACCTAGTACGTTTTTCCCAATATATAGCTCCCTTTTCTGATACGACTGTCTCCTTCAGGAGAAGAAGCGCGAGGAGAACGGAGGCTCAATCAGGTTGAAAATGGTAGAAGGCTGACCTCACGACCCCAAAAACGACAGCGACCTTAATTGCCTCGACATTTGCTGCGACAAGACTGGGGCCGAGTCTACAATGCCGACATGCGTGGACGGGGAACCCCCTCAAGGGTCTCAAGGAGATATTTAACCGGAGCAAGAAGGCACAGGAGTCGACGGTGGCACCTGAGTTGGATGACCCCAAGTCACGACAGGAGCACCTCCGACGGAGCTTGACGAGCAAGAACGCGTCGGGCGGTATCTTCGAGGAGGAGTTGAAAGATTCATCTGAGGCTGCAGATGCGACGAGCGCTGCCGAGGAGCGCAACGTGCGAACCCGGGAGAACATGGCTGTTGTGACAGACCCCGACCCTCGATCCCGTATACGCTGGCAGAGGCGTAAGGTGATGCAAATGGTGCGCAGCCGCGGGGTTGTGAGCCGTGAGGACCGCATCAAGATGACGGAGCGCGAGCATCTGCACAAGAGCAAGTTCCTGCCCACTAGCACCAAGAAGCTCGTGATGCTAGCCCGCCAAATTGCCGGGAAACCGGTTGACGATGCCATCACCCAAATGCACTGGTCCAAGAAGAAGATGGCTGCCGAGGTCAAGTACTACCTCGAGGAGGCGCGCGACCTTGCCGTCGCCCAGCGCGGGATGGGCCTTGGCCGCATCAATGGCGAGCTTCTCCACAAGCCTCGCAAGATTCAGACAAAGGACGGCAAGTGGATCGAGGTTTCTGATCCTACCCGCATGTATGTCGCCCAGTCGTGGGTCGGTCGCGGGCCCTGGCGTGGAAAGACCATGGACTACAAGGCCAGGGCTAGGTTTGGTATCATCCAGCACCCTAGTACCAGTATGTGCACCCTGCCCTCTTTCTCCCCTCCCCTAGAGGAAGCTAACATATGACTCCCCCCCTCTACAGGCCTCACCATTCTCCTCAAGGAGGAGAAGACCCGGATACGGGAGCACGACGAACGCGAGACCAGGAAGAAGTCGCTGGGCCCCTGGGTGCACCTGCCCAACCGCAAAGTATCCGCCCAGAGGCCTTACTACGTCTGGTAAGCAGACGTAGGACGCTCCTCGTGTGTGTAAAGGTGATATATTGGGATCTGGGATCTGTTGAAGGGCACCACAAATGAATTTTGGAATTAGATATCTGTACCATAGCCCGTTTTGCACCAGCGGAACGTTTAATATAACATGTACTCAAAGCAGTGATTTAATTGTAGTTTCTTCCCCATGACACGCGATATCCCCTTTTGAGCTCGTGCATACCTGGATTTTTTTTATCATAGGCCAACGCAGTCGAGATAATACGCAAGTACCAAAAGAAGAGGGTTTCGAAAGGAGGTGATAGAACACATGGCTAGCAGTTGCGAAATACATGGCAGGTATATAAATAATGCAAGTTAGCTGAACAAAACATCAGCGGAGCATATACCGGCAGCCTTGTGGTGCTTTAAACGGCATATGTGAAAACATGCCACCATCCGCCCTTATTCCTCCATATTCAATCCAACGTGATCATGGTGCTGCGCACTCGGTGGTGCTTATACCATGTTTCGCGGCTTCGTACGGGGCACCATATCCTCATAGCGGTTGGCCATCATCTCGATGGAGTCACCCGAGCGCTTCTCGTTGTAACGCTGAGAGGCGGCGGCGGCGGAAGCGGCGGCGGCGGCAGCAGCGGGGCCCATGTCACGGTCGGATTCGTGCCCCATGATTTGCTTGCGCTTACGGTTCCTGATGAGGGCAATAGCGACAACGGCAACGGCAATGACGCAGACGGCCACACCGACTCCGATACCAGCGGCAGCGCCAGAAGACAGACCGCCACTAGGGGCAGTCTCGTCGTTGCTATCCTCCTTGCCACCCACGGCGGCCCCCGTGGGAGCACTCGCCGACGACGAAGTCTCGGAGGCAGAGGTCTCTTCTGGTGCGTCCTAAGGGTGACCTTTCTTTAACATACTTTTCATTAAGCATGATAGAGGGGTTTCTCCTTACTGTACTCGAAGCTGTCGCGGATGCAGCAGGGGTCACAGTGGCGGACGGGGTGGACTCAGGTGTGCTGGTGGAGGAGGTTGCGGTGGCTGTTGACTCGGTGGCCGTTGACTCGGTGGCCGTTGACTCGGTGGCCGTTGACACGGCGGAGCTTGAAGTATCACCACCATCGATGGGGGTCACGCCTGTTGTGCAGTGTTAGATTATAAAGGTTGAAGAGTGTGAAAGCTGAGATTAACGTACTTGAGCAGTCGGAATCGCTGTCAAGCCAGGTGAAGGCTTGGTCTGACGTGGCGGCGCAGCCGTTGACGGCACAGTCCTTGATACCGTTTCTGAAGGCATCGTTGACGCACATGCAGCTCCAGTCGGAGCCGGAGCTGCAGCCAAAGGTGCTGAATTGGCTCGCCACGGTACCGTAGCATGTGCCCTTAAATTTTGTTAGCACTATCTTATTCAGAAGCTATGAGGGCCCCAACGGCATTGCATATCACGGTAATATAAGGTGAATCCATCAACTTACCACACAGGCCGTGTCAGAAGGAACGTCCTGCGCACCAACGCTGAGCACGTGCAAGGCCAAAAGGCCAATGACTGAAAAAAGACGAGTCATCTGGTGGGACGTCCTACTCTCAAATCAAAGTAGTTTCAGGAGAAAAATCAAGTTCGTTGCAGCAAGCAAGCAAGCTATAAGGGCGAAGAAGTCGTGATCGAGGCCTGTCAAAGGCAACGCAAAGAATGGACTATGCGAGTCCTAAAAAAATGAAAAAGAACAATCGAAAATCGATATCCACGGATTTGAGGTGCGGACTTGTCGTCGTACTTGAGATTGAAACTGTAGCTAGCAAGTATGCGCACAAACGAGGCGTCGTGCAAGGCAAGTCGGATAAGTCACGACGAATGGCGATTCTCGATCAGATATTATCGCAGCAAGCTATATTTCGGTGTTCATAGGCGGTTATCAGAGTGATCCGGGATCTGTCTTGAGGATATTGTGACAGTGTCGATTTCGTAGTGCGGTGCAATAAGGAGCGTATAGGAACCCTTGGCGTGGTCGCAAATATAGAAAAGGAGAGGCGAATAGAAAGAGAGAATCAATGTCGAATAGAAAAGAGCGAATAGTTAGATGAACAGCGTGAAGAAGAAGACGAAGAGCAATAAGAGAAAGTAAGTAAATGAGTGGAACTGGAACTGCAAGATGCAAGAATCCGCGGGGCGCAACGAGCAAAAGCAAAGAGAGTTGAAGATGAAGCAAACCAAGATGGGCGGAGAGAGAGAGGAGAGGGGGAGAGAGTGTGAAAGGTTTGGACGGGCCCAAACTGGCGGTAATGTAACCAACGTCAACGTACTCAGTACTTGTGCATGCTAGGAATTCACGATGCATTGAGCAGCATTTGGCAGCTAGTAGCCTGCTCTCTCGCATGTATATACAACATAATTACAATCGCGTTCCTTAGCCTTGGTAAGGACATCCTTGTACGGGATTGACCTAGTACCTAATATTATGTACGCATACGAAGAGCTCCGTAAAGAGAATACTACGAGTACAAGTAATACTATATGCACTACTCCTGATACCTGTAGTATTACTTCGCCCGTACCCTACCGCGTTCCTTTTTTACGTATAATCTGTACTCGTACCGGTATGTGTAAACGCCTTATCCCTCTCCACTCATCAACCCCTGTCTTTCCCTGTCTCTGAAGCATGGGCACTCATCCCCCCTGGGCCGAGGCGGTGGCCTCGGTCTCTAGACAGTGGTGCCTGGGACGACGCGGGTCTTGTTCCTGAATATCTTGGCGCCAGATCTGCGACGACCGCAGCATTACAGTGTACTAATTTTCCGAGCTTGTTGTTCGTAAAACCGCTCGTAGGATCCCACCATGTTTCGCGTCAATTATTCCCATTGGCGTTTGCCTGACTCTGTCATATCACACATGTAATACGGAGTACACACATATGAGACCGAGGCTGTGTGACGGAACGGGTATTCAAAATCCCTTGCGTGCGGGGGAGGATAGGACAGAGACACAAGTATAGGAGAGTGTGTTTGTTGTGATGGAAGAGAGCATCATTCCCCTTTTCCTTCCAACCAAAACAGATTGTGCTTCACGGATATACCGAGCATTATTAGATGAAGAAGGAATGACAAGCAAACAAACAAACAAACAAAAAAGAGCAAAGAAGAGAAGAAAATCCGGACTCGTCCCACTTCAAATTCAACATGCATAACGATCTCCTCTTTAATAATAGGTTAATAGCCCAGCAAACAGGGCTTCACGGGACGGAGGCCAAGCCGCAAATTGGGCCGGGGCCAATACCCCACATATTCTCGACATCAGAAGCTTTCTTCCCCCAACCAGAAAGGCCGGGACAAGCAGGGGTCGGGGTGACCCAGGGGCCGGGGGGTAAGGGGGGAGGACACCAGAATGATTACCATGTCATGGACAGATTCATTAATGATGTACTCGTATTATTACGAGTATTCGTGGCATGAATACATCATCGTAGTACACAAACATGCTCACGATTCGCAAGCAAACCGAAGTCATGCCGTCACCCTTGTCTGGTAAGCCGAGAGGTCAGGCTGTGTCGCAAAAACCCCCATGGTACCAATGCGCATGGAATGCCGAATCTACTTGTAGGCTGCTCTCGTGATGATACATAACCCCCAAATTTAAATACTCGTGGAAGGGGTTAATGGCTGCAAGTGGCTAGGAATAATAATACGACTAGTGGGCAAGCGCACTCGAACTCGGGGGAGTGTTGGTCGTATAGCATATGTTTGTTTGCTACTCATACAAGACTCGAAGAATGGGGGAGTAACTTGTGTGTGTGTGTGTGTGTGTGTGTGCGTGTGTGTGTATGCCCTGACTCCCTAAATACGACACGACACGATGTAGTATCACAGGGGAGGCGACCAAGGAAGTAGAACAGAGAAATAGGCAGCCCTTTTTTTCGATTATCATAATCTGCAAGACTGCAACGTCTGCGCCGGGGGACTGATGTAATAGACATCTGATCTGCGACGGGAGGCGGGACTCCCGGGCATTGGGTTCGAACGGCCGGACATGTTGAATCCCGATCAGATGGATTTTCATGATGCGACTCGGTGTCGTCGGTATTATAGCATACCATGCTTGGGCCCGTATCCTTTTGACGGACGAGAGGACGGCGCGATGAAGGAGGAGGCGTCAGGGAGTGACTCTGACGAAGACACCATCACCACAGTCTGTAGTCGCGGGCGATGTGATGTCTGCGGTATTTGGACGGGTTACTGTGTCGCGTCGAGATGCTACATGAGCACCACAAATGGCACGCGTGCCGATAAACCGGAAGCGTTTGACGGTAGACATGATCGATCAGTGTATGAAGACTGGCATGATAAATTCAACGTTAGAGGAGATGACTAAGCTCAACTCACTCACCCAGTAGGAATCTTGCCAATCTTTGCCGCAATAATCAATCTTACAACCCAGTATCCTTTCAACACGATGGTTGAGCTGATGAAATATCAAAGGATAAAAAGGTGAATGGGAGGCCAGATAGGAAGCAAGTACAAGTAAAGATGTAAGTGAAGCAAATCAAGGTCATCAAATGCGAGTGATAGCTATGCAATGACCACTTCCCCGAACCCGAGAGCAAACGCGAGAGCCTGAACGTGAATATTGGCACACTTGACGCCGCTTTACGACATAGCTCTTTTGTGTATTTCTACTCGAGTTCACTCAGTACGGGTGTTTATTATCGTCATACAGCATGCTAATGTTGTCGTCGTCCGTTGCAATGGCATGGGCCTCGCCATCGCTCGCCTTCCCGGCCTTTGCGAGAAACACTCTCCAATGAACCTTTGACGTCAACCTGCTCAGCACCGCTAACGTTATATAGGACACCATGATCTTTTTCTAGAGAGAGACCGGAGTAGCCTGCATATCCCGCCTGGCCGCCCACGTGTTTGCGGCCCTGGTGTCGAGACGAATCGTTGCCTTGCCACGGTGCCGCAAGACTAGATTCTTCAACGCCAGTTTGGATACAGAGCCGTTGATGCCCACGACTATTTGTTGCGCGTGCAGGCTTCGGCCACGACTTGGGGCTCTCATGGGACAAGACCGAGTTATATTAGCCTAACTGTCATCTCAACAGGCATCGACGTCAAAGAGTCTCTAGGCCAGTTGGCGGGTTTCCTAAGTTAATCCTTCTGGGAGCATCGGGATGTCCCAGGATATCATCGGTGCTGTTGCATTTCTGGTCAGTCGTGAGTCGTCTTACATTACCGGCAACGATATATTACTTGCTGGCTATGGAATCATCCTCAAGGTACGGTGACAATGAGATGGCAGAGCACGGTTCCCATACGGTAGCAAGCTAACGAGTGCACAGCTTGTGGGATTGATTTACGATACTTGGTGTCCGTTAGAGGCTCTTATGGGAAGAAGTCGAGGCTCTTAACCTATACGAATTTCCGTGCTACTTAAACGGAAGTATATCAATATTTCTCGTGATCGGCAGATGACTCGTATTGGGTGGTGATAGAAGACCTCGTGGCTGTGGGCTCTCGTGGCCATGGACAGGGAAATATATCAACACCTGTAATGTAAAACTTAGCCGACTAGCTACAGTTTGCCATTACATCATCTCCCACGCTCTAACAAAGAATGTTTTCTGAAAAGCAACTAGCTTGGAGTGTTGGTGTGCCTCGAGTCCCCAGTCCAGACCGGTCCGGCCAAGACAGTCCTGCTACTCGATCTCTACCTGTATACGCCTCATACTCGTACGAGGTGCGGGTTGGCTGCAACTCGCTTCTCCTCTCGCCTGTTGAACTCTGGACTCTCGCAGGCCCGGATTTGAAACAAGCCCCTGTCGTCATAGCATCACGGCAGGGCAAGCCAAGCCGTGGTGTTTAAGGCGAACGGAGAGGTTCAGAGGTGCGATAAACCTGCAAGTGTCTGGCGTTGTGAGAATATTGGGTTGGCAGCGAGCGTCCGGATGAACTTCTGCTAGGCGTGTCGCGTGTTCTCTATCGCCGCTGAGGCACACATCCAACAGCGTTTTCTATCCCACCAAACAATGTGGATTTGTAATACAAGAACAAGGAAATGTAGTAGTGTTTTTATAACAGGAAAAGAATGACTTTATTTCTCCTTTTGACCATGTGACTTGTTTTTTTTTCTGGATCTTGACGTGACCCCACTATACCAAACACAGAGACCTAGACCTGACCCTTTCTCATACGGCAGCCTGGCCTCGTCTAGCCTCACCAAGACCCCAAGCTTGGCTTCAAAAGTATCTGGTCTTGGTCTCGTCCTGCTTCTACATCACCAGTCTTGGCGCTCCACCTACGACAACAACACGATAGACGACAAAGAGAAAGAGAAGACCGATTGCTTCTCTCTCCTCCATCTCACATACGGTCGCATATTCACGTCAATCAAGAGTACGACTCGCGCTATTCCATGGCACGCCATTCAGCCTGTAGCTCCTGACACGCACGCCCTCACGCACAATTCACATACCTCTTTGCCCAACATGGTAACAGCGACACCTGTTGGCGAAGATAGCTGGCTGGCCTATCTCGATGAGATAGTCCGCAAAGCCTCGGATCTCGAAACTCGCGTCAACGCCGTCGAAGTCTACAAGCGCGCCGTGAGCGCAGAGCCTGCCAGCCTTCGTCTGTGGCTGGGATACTGTAACTACTTTTGGTCCCTTTGGAGCGACTGCCAGTCGCCCGCCCCTCCGGAGGGTTGGTCCGAAGAAGAACTCCTCATGGGCCGCGAGCTCTTCTCCTTTGCCGCCGCTCTTGAGCTGTGGCAGCAGGGCTACGAAGCCGTCCGCTACCGCATCAACGATAGCCACCAGCTCTGGGATCGCTGGATCTCCCTTGAGCTTGAGCTTCTTGCCCGCACACGCACCACCGGCGGCATCAAGCGCATCACCCACCTCTATCGCAACCGACTCCGAACTCCTCACGTCGCCTGGGATGAGACATCCCAGGCCTTCTCTAGCTTCCTCTCAGAATACAACCGCGACGCATGGGAGGGCGCCATGAAGGATGTCACCGTCGAGGCCCAGCAAGCCAAGCGCATCATCTCGGCGAGAGACCCCTTCGAGCTCAAGATCAACAAGGCTTCTAAGACGGGCGATGTCGAGGCCGAAAAGTCTCTGATGCTGGAGTACCTCGACTGGGAGACGCGCCAGAGTAGGCGTCGCGGTGGCAGCGACACTGGTGACCCCGAAACAGCCGTCGCCCTGTGCCGCGGTCTGTACGCCCGCGCCCTCACGGGTCTCTTCGCCACCGACCAGGACGTCTGGCTTGATTACATAGTCTACTTGTCGTCTAGCCAACCCGAGCTCACTGCCGCCTCCACATCCGAACTATTCGATGCCCTCCGTCGCGCCGTCCAGCACTGCCCGTCATCCGGTGAGCTGTGGAGCCGATACATATTATGCGCTGAGGAGGCCAAGCTGCCCTTTGACGAGATAGAGCCCATCAAACATGCCGCCACCAGCGAGGACCAGCTTTATAAAAACGGCATGGAGGCAATGCTGGACATGTACGTTGCCTGGTGTGGCTACCTGAAGCGCGCCGCCATAGGTGCTGGGGCTGGCGATGAGGCTGCCGACGTGGCCGATGTTGGCCTGCCTGCTGCTCTCGAGGACGTAGCCGTCGTTGGTAAACGCCTGTACGGTAACAATTTCCAGGGCGATCCAGAATTCCGCCTTGAGCGTATTTACATCCAGTACCTCACTGAGATGAAGGGCGCCGTCGACGACGCAAGGGCCCAGTGGAACAAGCTGGCTAGTGCTCAAATTTACGCCGATAACCACAGCTTTTGGCTCACCTATTATACCTGGGAGATGCTTGTCTTTTCCTCAAGGTCAGGTAAACGCCGAAGCCCGACGCCCACGTCTGTCGCCGCCGAACCCCGCGTGCCCTCGTCGGCAACTAGTGTCCTGACCCGTGCTCTGTCCCGCACCAATCTTGACTGGCCCGAGAAGGTGCTCGAGGTCTTTGTCCAGCACTGTAGGGACCACGAAACCCCCGCCTCCGTCCGGCAAGCCGCCGACAAGGCGTACAGAGTTACCAAGGCTATTCGAACCCGCCGGGAGCTCGAACAGAAAGAGAAGGAGGAGGCCTATGCTGCCTACTATTCTCAGCAGCAGCCGGAGCAGGGGCAGCAAGGCAAGCAGCCGGAAGCAACCGATAATCCTGCCACGAGCGAGTACAAGCGAAAGAGGGGCGAACATCAGGGTGGCGATGAAGCTATGCCAGAGAGCGCCAGTAAACGTCAGAGGAATGACACAGCTGAGCCAAAGTCGGCCGCAGTAGATCCTCAGCAGCAGGCGGAAGCCAAGAGGGACCGGGAGAATACCACCGTTATTGTGGAGAACCTTCCTGGCAATGTCACGCAGACCAAGCTACGGCAGTATTTCAAGGATTACGGGCACATCAACAACATAACTGCTCTAGTACATGACGAAAAGACACAAGCGTCGACAGCCTTGATTGAGTTCAGGACACCCCAAGAAGCACAGTCAGCTCTCCTACGAGATGGCAAATACTTTGACCAGTCGCAGCTGAAGGTTGTCCTAGGCCACGACTTGACGGTCTATGTGACAAATTACCCCCCGGCGGCGGATGCCAAGTACATCCGCGACCTGTTCCAAGACTGCGGCGAGGTGCTCAGCATTCGCTGGCCCAGCCTCAAGGTCAACACACACCGGCGCTTCTGCTACGTATCGTTCCGCGACCGGGCCGCCGCGAGGGCCGCAACCGGTAAGGATGGCGAGCTTCTCGAGGATCGATACCGGCTGGTGGCTAAGTTCTCGGACCCGGGACGCAAGAAGGGCCGCGAGGGCGCACTGGCCGAGGGTCGTGAGGTGCACATTACGAATCTGGACCGTACACTCCACGAGACTGAGCTCCGCGACGTGTTCGCCAAGTACGGCAACGTAACACGTGTCAACATCCCGCAGACTCTGGGCGGCAAGAACCGCGGCTTCGCCTTTGTCGACTTTTCAACAAGTGACGAGGCGCAAGCGGCCGTCGCGGGACTCAACAACACCAAGCTGCGCAGCCAGATCATGGCGGTCGAGCTCTCCAAGGAGTCAAAGGTCAAGGCGTCGGCCAAGACCATTGTCAACCGAGAGCTCTCGGGGTCACCTGCGCCCTCCTCCAACATGGATGTCGACGGCCAGGATGCCAGTGGTAACAAGCCCACCTCGACGGACATTTCCGCACGCACGATAGCCCTCATGGGCCTGCCCGACACGGTCAACGATGCCCGTGTCCGCGCCCTCGTAGAGCCCCTAGGCACCATCGTCCAGTTTGTCTTGCAGCCTATCCATGGTGCTGTCAAGATTGAGTTCGCAGACGCTGCTACCGCCGGCAAAGCATCCCTCCAACTAGATGGCATGGATTTTGAAGGGTACAAGCTCCGTACGGGTTCAGTCGATGAACTACGTCGCGCCAAGGCAGGAAACGGCCAGCAGAACCAACAATACCAGCAGCAGAAGCCCCAAAGGCCTGCTGCTCTGGCACCTCCCCCGTCATATATAAGACGTCCTGGTGCTCCCAGGGGCGGTGGTCCCAAACGTGGTCTGGGATTCGCGAGTGCTAGAAAACCTGCTGCCGACAAGGGTACACATGATGATGCGACTAACGGGAGGCCTGCACCGAAGAGCAACGCCGACTTCAAGGCCATGTTCCTTGCTCCGCGTGCCGAGCAGAAGACCGAAGACGATAAATAGAATTGCTCTCTGAGATTTTTTCTTTTTCTGCTTGTACAATATCACTAGGTAGCGGACTGCTCGAAAGTATCAAGATACACTGTAATGAATTATTTGAACCTCCGGTGCTCTCGAAACTGTTCATTCGTTATGTACTGATGACCGGGTGTGTACTTTCATCCACTCGATTTCCTGAGTGTTTATGCGTATGCCATGAAATCGCCTTCCAAAAATAAAAAGGAAAATAAAAAGGAAAAATGAAGGCACGAAAGAGCTTTTCCGGAAATGGTCATGGTGTTTCTCCTCTGTCACTCCTCATTTAAGCATACTAAGCCTTGTTATGGTCCTGCGTAAACTCCTGCGTATACAGTCGCTGCCACACCTCGAGCCACTTTTCCTGCTGCGCAGTGAGAAGCTTGCCCGGCTGCTTGAACGAACGTGTTAGGAGCTCGCGGAGGCGAGTGCGAAGAACCTTGACGACGAGCATCGTTTTCCAGTCAGGGAGAGCGAAGCGTCCGCGGTTTCCGTCAAGGATAATGACACCGGAGAACATCTGATGAAAAAGGTTGTTAGTATACAGTTATGTGAGTAGGAGGGGCTTGGAGGGAAAGGGAGCGTACATCGCAGCGGACATCACCGCAGAGTAGGGCTATGGAAAAGGGCTCAACGCTAGTCGCCTCGTGAGCATGGTACACTCTAGTTCTTCTTGTTAGCTTCGTCATCTTTTTCTTGTCGTGGGGTCGAAGATTCTTACGTCTTGGCTTGCATGATGTGGTAGTATGACATCCACTTGATGTCGAGTTGATTGCGATTCACCGACGACGGGTGCAAGCTGATCGACTGGTTGTTGCCAATATTACGCAGCCCCCTGGTTCCAGGCGCATCTCTTACTAATAGCCTGGGGTAGAAGCTCCACGCAATGATGGACGACGATATAACGTCGTTGTCACTGTTGAGGTTGACCCTGTGCGGTACCTCGAAAAACTGCTGCTGCTTCCTCCCACGTCCACCATGAGCAAATCGTAGACGGGACAGTGTCTGACGCTCTTCCTCTGTGAGAGGAAGGAACCCGGAGTCTGCTAGTGAGACCAGGAGCTGGCCCTTGAGGTCCTCAATATTGGCCAGTGTCGGTTGGCTGAGGAAGTTCTTGCGGCAGAACTGGGACTCCTTGCCCGACCCACTGTTGGCTTGGCAGACGCGCTTCCATGCCAAATAGGCATTGTAAACGGTCAGGAGGTCCGAGTCGCCACGGCGAAAGAGCATCTTAGCATTCTGCGCCTGCGCCCGCTGCCCAAAGGGGGCCGAGAAGGGAGACTTGGAAGACAGGATGGCGGCAACGGTGAGTGTGACGTCCAGACATTTGAACACCGTCCCCAGGAGGATGAGTTTTCCCAGGAACACATCCAAAGGGAGTCGAGCAAGTTGATGGCCAAGAGGTGTCAGGTCTTCGCCGGCTGTCAGGGCTCGGACGTCAATCAAAGCATCGATAGCACGACGGATATTCTTTGTGGACGGAGGGTCAAGGGCATCACCCAGAGTGTCCTCGATGCCTCCAATCTTGCAGATCTTGACCCTGATGGCTAGGTCCTGAAGGGACAGGCGAAGCATTTCTGGAGTCTGCTGGTCGTTCATTAAGTTGTCGTGGCGGTACTTGGTGAACATGTGGAAACACAATCCCTGCTGAACACGGCCTGCACGGCCACGCCTCTGCTTCGCATTGGCCCTCGAGATGAAGGTGTCAATGAGTCTAGAAAGCTGTCTCCTCTCATCATAGCGCATCTCCCTGTGCTTTCCTGTGTCGATGACGCAGGTCACATCGGGGATCGTAATACCTGTCTCAGCAATGTTGGTAGCTAGGACAACCTTGCGCGTTCCTGGCGGTGGTACCAAGAAAGCGGCTTCTTGGTCCTCTGTGGCAATAGTAGAGTGCAGGGGGTAGACAAGCCAGTCCCTGGAGAAGCGAGGATCACCGAGCAAAAGGTCGTTAAGCGCCCTGATTTCGGCGATACCTGGAAGGAACACGAGTATGGCCTTGCTGTAGTCCTGCAGGTTGTTGTCTGAAGAAATCTTGGCAATGAGCTGCAGGACCAAATCCGGCTCTATGCGATATTCATCAATCTGAGCCAGTGCGCTTCTTGTAGATGGCGAGTATTTAGCAAGACTCTTCGATGTCTCGCTCTGGGGCCTTTCAGTGTCACCTTCAGCCAAATCGTCGTCCAGCTCTACAAGCTTGTCTGCCGGCGTGTCCGTCGGCTGGTAGCCAGTAAGCTCCAAAGCATCCTCGAGATAGCGAACCTCCACAGGAAATGTGCGACCGGGAACGTTTAGAACGGGCGCGCCTCCCAAATAAGCAGAGAACCGCTCAGCGTCGACGGTGGCCGACATGAGGACAACCTTCAGATCATTCCTCCTTTGCAAAAGTCGTTTAAGGACAATAAGAAGGAAATCGCTGTCAATCGAACGCTCGTGCACCTCATCCAGAACCAGATGTGTGACTTCCTGTAAGTCGTTGGAGCCTTCGAGCATCCTCATGACGATACCAGTAGTGGCGTACACAAGACGTGTCTCCTTGGAGACATTTGCCTCGAGGCGGATTGAGTACCCCACTAGAGATCTGTTGGTGCCAAGATCATTGCGATTCTCACCAAGCTCTTCGCTTACACGACGTGCCAGCGAAAGAGCTGAGATTCGCCTTGGTTCTGTACAGTATACTTTGCAAGGTTTGCCTTGTGAAAGTTGGTGTTCTAGCAGGAACGCTGGCACTTGCGTACTCTTACCACTGTATTTTCAAAAATTAAGCCTACTGCAAGTATATTGTTTGGCGTGGAGAACTCACCATCCCGTTTCACCACAGATGATAACCACCTGGTTCTCATCGACCGCTCGGAGAACTTGATCTCTGAAACCCCACATCGGGAGTTGGGTACGGGATTTCTGCCATCCTAGTTAGTATGCATTCAGTAGTGAGAGGGCACATGAAGGATCAGAAAAAGCTCACCAGCATGGCTTGGTACTTGGGAGACGCTGACTTCTCCACCCATATCTTCCGGTTCAGCTCCGCGTTGGCATTGTTTAGCTTGGACCTTTCCTGGCCTCCATAGTCGGGGGATTGCGAGATCTTTGCAGCCCCCCTACCCCGGAATGCGCCCTGGAGAATGACGCCGTCTTCGAGTTCCTGGTCTCGCCGCTCTCGGACAAGAGTCCTCAGGTACTTGACTACATCCCGGTCTTGAGAATCAAGGTGGTTCTTCTTGGCTTTCCCAAGTTCGGAGAACAGGTCTCTCCAGGCAGGCGGGAGCCTAAGAGAAACTTTCTCTTCGCGAGTATTTCCGCTGAAGATGTAAAATAGAGCCGTTGTGGCGATATAAGCCTCGGATTGTTTGGCATCTGGAGTTGCAATGCTATTCATGGTGAATGTGAATCGAGAGGGCTCAGCAATTATCTCAATATCTGATCCAGGAATCACAACGGGCACCTCCTGGGGTTTCGTCCAAAAGATGTCGACAGCATGGCGGTTGGCGAATGAGGCCTCGGATATAATTGCGTAGTTGATCTTGACTGACCCATCCCTGTTATCATATTAGTGACATCTCTAGATAACGAAGTGGTCGATGGCCATGGGCCGACATACCTTGATCGACAGGTCTCTTCGAGGACCCTCCGGGGGCTCACACCAGTCCACTGCCCGAAATCCTTGATGAGAACCTTGACTCCGTTGGACGAGGTCACAACCGTACGGGCTTCGCCAGTTGCCTCGTCAACCTCATTCTGGGGTAGAGAGTCAAACAGACCAGCGAGATCGTCATCGTCGTCATTATCCGCTAGGATTTCGGCAGCGATGCGCTTCGCCTCTTCGCTAATTTCATCATTGGGCCCTTTGTCCTCAGTTTCATCAGGAGACGGTGACACGGGGTCTGGCTCATTGTTCTTGGCCTGCTTCTTGGCTTCTCCAATTTCCTTTTCCACTGCGATTCTCTGTTTCTTCCACTCTTGTTCAACACTGAACTTGTCAAATAAAACGTCATTCTCAATCCGTTTGATCCTCGCTTCGGCTTTTGCAATGGCGAGGTCCTTGTCGTCTGCGGAAGTCTCCGGCGCCACGCCTCGCTCTAGCTCAAGCAGCTTTTTCTTGGTCGCAAGGTACTCCGGAGCCAAGTTGTCTGGTTCAATGTCGCTGTCGCATGTGACAGAAATCTTCTTTGTAGCTGGTGCCTTGTTTTTCCCAACTTGGCCCTTCCCCCCGGCCTTGGCACGTCCGTTGCCTTGAAGTTCTGGAGGGCGGGGAGTGTTGGACCGCGTAGACCCTGGGGTATCGGTTGGTGATTCTAACGAGATACAGGTGTTAGCTTGGGCTTCTAGGTCGGGGAATAGACATCACAAACCCTTGACAACAGGTCCTGGCCTGTTTTCGTACGCTGGGAGCTCTGAAGAGTCGCACTCGCGAGCAAGCCACTCAAGCGCCTCCTCCAAGCCCCAGATAAAATCCTTCCCAGTAGAAGAAATGTTGGGGGCGATGTCCACAATGTGCTTCACCGCAGCTCGCACTCTGCTATCGGCAAATCCGGTGCCTGTGAGAGCCAACTGCAAGGTCCACGCGCGCGTGATGAGATCCTCCTCCGGCGGCATTTTGCCGCCCCCAGAAGATTCAAGAGATACGCCCGAAGCAGCGAACCGGCTCTCGGCCTTTATAATCTCAAGAATATGGTTGACCAGGCAGTCGGGGAGCCATTTTATGCTGTTGATGGAGTCAGCATTAGCCCGTAGCAAACGCCGGTCGGTCTCTAGACGGGACCGTTGCCGTTGGGCATCGCGCTTGATTTTCTGCGCATGCTTTTCCACAAGAAGCTGCAGCTCAGATTCCAACAACTGATTTTCGAACTCTTCGGGGCTCAGAGGCTTCTTCTCGGACTGTCTGCTCCTCGGGACAGCGGCAGCCTCCGTCGCGGTCGTGGCCGTCGTCTTTGGTGGGGCACCGTCTTTGTTCGATGGAGGGGCAGCAGTCTGCGACAACGCGGGGTTCTCAGCTGTCGGTTCTGGTCTGGGTTTGGAGGCAATCGAGGTTGTCGCGAATCCTCGAGCAGGGTTGGCGGCGGCCTTCTTCTTCTTAGCCATGGTTTCTGAAAGCCGTGGTCTGGAAACGATGTTGTTGCTTTCCAAGAGATGATGCTACAGCTGATAATCGAGTACTATTATGGGTCGGGAGCCCTAGTTCAACTTGGTGTAGTGGCGCAACACTCTTCTGGAAGCCAAACGATCAGATGCAAAAAGTATTGAGTGCTTTGATTTTTTACGCCTGAGGCTTTGATATTGCTGCAAGAGTTTGTACGTCCCCGGAAAGACATAGCATAGTGGCAGCCCGTCATATGATTCGAATAGCAATAAGTAGAAGCGAAGCAACCTATTTTTTTGTAGTGCTTGGGAGGAGAAAACCCACAGTGTAAACAATGGAAGAAGAATATGGACACAAGTGGGGTCATCGTCCATGGGTCATATGAGCTCGCGGGGATGAATGCAAGAAATCCCGACATAAAGAACAAGCCCGTGTACATTACGTAGAAGCAGGCTGTATATTGAGAGAGGGCTTGCTCTCGTTTTCTACACTAAAATGGCTGATTGCAGTCGTATTCATAAATAAATAAAATCTTGAAAAATATCAAGGTGACTCTTCGCCGGCCCTCAAACTTTTCTTGTGGGGTCCAGTTTGCAGTTTATCCAGTTAGGTGATGGTTAGGTGAATGGAAAAGGTGGACGTGGGGTTTTTCTGTCCACAGGCACAAGCAGCTACAACTTTTCATTTCTACCAGCCAAAACGACCAAGGTCTACGACTACTGGCCGATACTCTGCCTACCTCTCTGACTCCCGACCCTTCTCTCGCCCCCTTTACCAGGCGAGAGCTGTATGAGCCAACCCTTTTGATCTCCGCAAGAGTCAGTGGCCCTTCATGAGCCTGCCATACTCTCACGCGACTCCTGCCATCCGCCATGTCTAAACCAGGCATCAACGGCGACGCCCCAACGGCCGGCTTCGACCTCGAGACCACTGCTATAGCGCTGGCCTCGTCGGCGACCGCTGTCAGGATTCCCTGTCTTCGATCAATTGACGACGCACTGGCCCGAGGAAGTAAGTGTCACATTCTGCCCAGCCCAAGTCTAGGCGCAAGTAAACTAACCGTGCCTGCCGCCAGTCCTCGACCTGCCAACGACCGCTAAGATCCTCCAGCTACTCTTCGAAACCATACCATACTATGCCGACCGAAAATCGAGATTGGCTGTCCAGGCCTGCCTCGTCACAATTCTCAAGGCCGGAGCTGACCCCAAGCTCCTTGGGCTCCTCGTCAAGCGCCTGCGCCAAGAGACCCAGAAGCCTGCTATTGCCGCGTCTACTTCCTTCGTTCTTGTGGAGTGGTGCAGCCTGCTCATGCAGCATCTGGCTGGTACCAGCTCATGGGACGAGTTTGGAAATGACGTTCTGATTAGTGACGCAGACGCTTTCGATCGATGTCTGCTGCCTGCTGCCAAGAAGAGCGTGTCCAACTCGGCCACCGTCATCACGAGGAGGGGCTTCCGCCAGCTCTTCGAGCCCGCCGAAACCCGCGAGAAAGATCTCAAAGGTGCCGTCAAAATCCTGACCACCAAGGGCGGGCAGCCAACCGCCAAGAATGCCCCTCTTCTGGGTGTCATTGCCGGTGTCTCTGCTCGCCTGCCTTCGCTCAAACCTGTCATGAACACTCTCCAAACTCAAGTCTACGAATTCTACGTGCGTGAAGTCTTCGGCTCCAAAACACCGCTGGCCAAACACATTGCTGGCGGCCTCCGCGATTTCTTTTGCGAGTTCTCAACTTTGGAAGAGGTTGAGAAGCACGTCATCCCGGCGCTTGAAAAGAGTCTGCTCCGTGCTCCCGAAATCGTTCTCACAAGCATTGTGAGGCCCTTCTTCGCTTCTTTGCCCAAGCAGTTTGACTTCTCCAAGATCCTCAAGGAGAGGCTGCTGAAGCCCCTTTTGTCCAGCATCAAATCTAGCAATGCCCAGGTCCGGGCTGGTGCTGTTGCTGCTTTCCGCGACATCGTCCCACGATCTTCTGATGAAAAGCTGCTCGCTGGTATCATTGATGAGATCCTGAACCCTCTAAAGTCGGGCAAGCTTAGTTCCGCAGACCACAGGGTCCTTCATGCTGAGATGCTCGAGGCTATTGAGTTCCCCAAAGCTTCAGCTGAGAATGTTGCATCTGGTATTGCAACTATTGCTTCGAAAGAGGGTAATGAGCCCGCTCTCGTTGCAGAGACGGCAACATTGGCCAAGGCAGTCTTGCAGACCCTGTCTAAAGGTGGGCAAATTCCCAAAATTGTTCTTGATACCTTGTCGAAGGGTCTGGCCGATAAGAAGCTCAACCCGCGAAAGTTATGGCTGCTTCTCACTGGTCAAGTTTTGCGGAATGTGGGCAATGGAGAGTTCCCTCCGGGCTTCGAGGCTTTCTTGGACGCGGTTTTGCCCAAGGTGATTGACAACTTTCAAGAAGTTGTCACAAATCCTAGTTCGGCGGTCCAGAGTGGCATTGTGGTCGGAGCCTATATACTCGCTGCTCTATCTACAACCATACAAACGCATTTTTCTGCCATGAAGTCTGTCCAAGCACTCAGCAAGGCTTCCTTGATGAAGGAAGCACTTGCAGCCGGAGGAAAGGCTTCCTTCCTTCTTAGCCCCAGAATCTATACAAAGGTGTCCACGGAAACCGACCTGCGCTGGTTTTCTCTTGCTCTTTTGAGCCTTGTCGCGGCCTTTGACGAAAACACGGACAAAGACACTGTTCTTGCTTGGTCGGAGGCGATCATTTTCCTGATTTCGGGCTCGGACATCCCCCCACAGATTCAACAAGAGACAACAAAGAGTCTATCCCAGATTTACCGGGTATATCCGGAGCTAATAGCTTCGGCTATTATGGACGGCCTGTGGAGTATTGTTCTGAATGAGACTACGAAAGAAAAGGAATTCAAGGTTACCAAGGAGAGCTTTCTTCATGCTCTTAGGTCCGTCTGCCCTGAGCCCGATAGTGAAGCGGAGACTGCCCGCGTGTCTAGGGAACAGCGAGAAGACCAAGCCTGCGCCCTACTAGTTCTCGCAAGGCCCGAAATAGTCCCGAGATCAAGCTGGATTACACTCTGTCTTCGCATGGGTGTCGATCCGGGTGAACTTGCCGGGAAGTATCAGAACCGACTACTGAGAGAGATGGAAGAACGTGCCTCCAGCGAAAATGTGAGTACTACTGCAACTTCACTTTCCGAGCGGATACAGTACTTATATAAGTAATCACAGGCTGTTGTGAGAGAAGCTGCTTACAACGCTGCTGCGGAGCTTGCTTTCGTCGCACCTGACACAATCATTCCAAGCCTGATGGATATCATTGGCCGGGACCTTGATGCCGAACGGCTGACCAAAATTGGTCCCGTTGAGGCAGCAATCTTCAGGACGCCCGATGGGACCTGCTTTGTCGATGTTCTGGCTAAGAAGTCTCAGACTTCGGTACCCAACAAAAATACTAAGGACTACGACACTCTAAAATGGGAAGAGGAATTGAGAATTCAGCTTGAGACCAAGAAGGGTCAGAAGCGGAAGCTGACGCCCGAAGAAACGGCTAAGGTCAATGCGCAGTTGAAAAAAGAGTCAGAAACCAGGGGATCCATCAAAAATGTCGTCACGCGCTTTAACCGGGGTCTAGGCGTTGTTAAGGCTCTGGCAACTGGACCACCCACGGATGCGAGACTCTGGATTGCCAAGTCTCTCCAACTCCTCCTTGCCATCTCAGATGCAGGAGCGGGTCTCATCATGGGTGATGCTGTCTCTTCTACGCTCATTATCATCTCCGACAAGGTATCGCCCAGGCTAGGCTCTCTTCGACCGTTTATCGGAGCTGCCACACTACGACTACGTGAGCTTTCTCTTCCAGAAAACTATAGCGAGGAGCCGCTCGAGGACCTTGTGACAAGAGTCCTGTACAGACTCCGCTTTGCAGGAGAGCAGCGGCCGTTTGACTCCGTGTCTCTGACTTATGTTCTCCCGCTTCTCTTCGACCTTTTGAGTAAGGGAGGCACTGGCTCTGATGCAGATGACCGAGACGCCCAGCTTGTTCTGGTCTTTGAGTTCCTGTCTTTCCACACCAACGTTTGTGCCGATGAAGCCGTCCCCCGTGGTCTGCTCATATCCGCACTAATTGATTCGATGCAAAAATATGCCCAGCACTACAAGATGATCAGGGACTGCTTTGCAGACATGTGTCGCTGTGTTGCTCCCAACATCAGCCATGACGAGGTTGAAATCCTCACCCGAGGTGTTATTGTATCTCAAACTGGTGTCCGCACCACTGTGCTTCAGTCGATCAGTTCCGAGATAGACGTGAGTGACTATGGCTACTCGGACGAAATCTGGCTCGCTTGTCACGACGATGAAGAGGAAAACCAAGAGCTCGCAAGGGAAATCTGGGATGAGTGCGGCGTTGAGATTGGAGCCGATGTCCCGGCTAGGATGCTGCCCTACCTGCAGACCAAGAATGCACAGCTTCGACGAGCGGCCGCTCGCTCACTTACCGAAGCAGCCGCCTCGCATGAAGGTACATTGGATGACATCCTGTTGCAGCTCAAATCATCGTATCAAGTGTTGGCCAAGCCCAAGGTGCAGCTGCTGGATGAGTTCGGCATGCCCCTGAAGATGGATCTCTCAGACCCTTGGGAGTCAAGGCATGGTATTGCCACGGCTTTCAAGGAGCTCGCACCTCTTCTCAGCAAACCGCAGCTGGATTCTCTATTCGATTTCATGATCACCAATGGACCTCTTAGTGACAAGAATGGCTCTGTAAGGGCTGAGATGCTGGACGCTGCAACCAATGCCATTGACATTCACGGAAAAGGAGCAATCGACAAGCTTATGGCTCAGTTCGAGCACACGCTGGGGGCTACAGATAAGAGTAGTGACGAATCTGACCGCGTGAACGAGGCTGTCATTATCATGTACGGCGCTCTCGCGCGCCACCTTGACCCTGGTGACTCCAAGATCCCTGTCGTCATCGAGCGCCTGCTGGCTACTTTGAGTACCCCTTCGGAAACCGTGCAAGCCGCCATTGCGGACTGTCTCCCCCCTCTCGTCCGAGTCTGCTCGGATAAGTCGTCCAAGTACTTTGACCATGTTATGAACGAGCTTCTCAATTCCCAAAAGTACGCCACACAGAGAGGTGCCGCGTACGGTTTGGCAGGCTTGACCCTCGGCCGTGGTATTGCATCCCTACGCGAATACCGAATCTTGTCCTCGCTCAAGGGCGCACTGGAGAACAAGAAGGACGCCCACCAGAGAGAAGCGGCTTTTCTAGCTTTTGAGCTCTTCGCAACCATCCTCGGACGTCTCTTCGAGCCGTACGTCATTCAGATCGTTCCCCAGCTGCTGGCAGGTTTTGGTGACGCCAACGGCGATGTTCGAGATGCTTGCCTTGCCGCGGCCAAGGCTTCCTTTGGAAATCTGAGCTCTTACGGTGTCAAGCAGATCATGCCTACGCTTCTCTTTGGCCTTGATGACCAGCAATGGAGGAGCAAGAAGGGTGCCTGTGAACTTCTCGGTGCCATGGCGTACCTGGACCCTCAGCAGCTGGCCACCAGCCTGCCCGAGATCATCCCGCCCCTCACAGCTGTGCTCAATGACAGCCACAAGGAAGTCCGGGCGGCAGCAAACCGCAGCTTGAAGCGATTCGGAGAGGTTATTAACAACCCCGAGATCAAGAGTCTCGTCGATATCCTCCTCAAGGCTCTCAGTGACCCGACCAAGTACACCGATGAGGCCCTTGACTCCCTCATCAAAGTTCAGTTCGTGCATTACCTTGATGCACCATCTCTTGCCCTGGTCACCCGCATTCTCCAACGTGGTCTCGCTGATCGCTCTAACACCAAGAGGAAGGCTTCCCAGGTCATTGGAAGTCTTGCACATCTCACAGAAAAGAAGGATATCATTTCCCACCTTCCTGTCCTTGTCTCTGGTCTCAAGGTTGCTGCTGTGGATCCTGTTCCCACCACCCGCGCCACGGCATCCAGGGCTCTTGGATCACTGGTTGAGAAGCTTGGAGAGGACGCATTGCCCGATCTTATTCCCGGCCTCATGCAGACACTCAAATCTGACACCGGTGCTGGTGACCGCCTCGGATCTGCCCAGGCCCTCAGTGAAGTCCTCGCTGGTCTGGGGACAACGAGATTGGAGGAGACTCTCCCCACGGTCCTCCAGAATGTGGAGTCCTCCAAGCCGGCGGTTCGCGAAGGATTTATGTCACTTTTCATCTTCCTTCCCGTTTGTTTCGGAAACAGTTTCGCCAACTATCTCGGCCGCATCGTTCCCCCTATCCTTGCTGGATTGGCAGACGATATTGAGTCAATCCGTGAGACTGCTCTCCGTGCTGGCCGACTGCTCGTCAAGAATTTTGCTGTGCGCGCTGTCGACCTTCTCCTTCCTGAACTGGAGCGCGGTTTGGCCGACGACAGCTACAGGATCCGTTTGAGCTCGGTTGAGCTCGTGGGTGACCTTCTCTTCAACCTTACCGGTGTGAAGGCTGACGCCGATGACGAGGAAGAGGAAGAGAAGGACGAGACTAAGGAAGCCGGTGCCTCCCTGAAGGAAGTACTGGGCGAGGAAAAGCGCAACAAGATCCTGTCGGCTCTCTACGTGTGCCGCTGCGATACCGCCTCATCTGTGCGTGCGGCTGCCATCGCCGTCTGGAAGGTCCTAGTCCACGGCCCAAGGACCCTCAAAGAGCTTGTCCCAACCCTCACGCAGCTCCTCATCAAGCGCCTTGGAAGCTCCAACATGGAGCACAGGGTCATTGCCAGTAATGCCCTAGGCGAACTTATTCGCAAGGCTGGCGATGGCGTACTAGCAACCTTGCTGCCTACTCTAGAAGAGGGTCTTCAAACATCGATAGACACAGATGCCAAGCAAGGCATCTGCCTTGCCCTCAAGGAACTCATTTCCTCGGCCTCTCCAGAGGCCCTGGAGGACCACGAGAAGACTCTCATCTCCGTCGTCCGTACTGCCCTCACTGATTCCGACGAGGATGTCAGAGAGGCTGCTGCCGAGGCTTTCGATTCCCTGCAGGAGATCTTCCAGAAGCGTGCCGTGGATCAAGTTCTGCCTTACCTTCTGACGCTTCTGCGCTCTGAGGAGCAAGCAGATAACGCACTATCAGCCCTCCTAACACTTCTGACAGAGACGACCAGGTCGAACATCATCATCCCAATTCTAATCCCTGACCTCGTAAAGCCACCCATTTCTGCATTCAACGCCAAGGCTCTTGCGTCATTGTCCAAGGTCGCCGGTGCCGCCATGAACCGGCGACTTCCGAATATCATTAACTCTCTTCTGGACAACGAGGTCCACTGTCCTGAGGAAGACCTACAGGAGGAATTGGCGAAGTCTCTCGATACTGTCATCCAGCACATTGACGAGTATGACGGTCTTAACATCATCATGAGCGTCCTTCTGCAGTCCCTCAAGCACGAGGATCATCATCGGAGGGCTTCTACCGCGCGCCACTTCGGAAGCTTCTTCATGGCCGCCAGTGTGGACTACTCTCGCTACAACCAAGACATCATCCGGTCGCTGCTCAACTCATTTGATGATAGCGACATGGATGTCGTCAAGGCTGCCTGGGCGGCTCTCATTGAGTTCACCAAGAAGCTGAAGAAGGAGGAGATGGAGTCGCTCGTCGTCTCGACCCGACAGACCCTCCAGCGCGTCGGTGTTGCCGGTTCTAATCTCCGCGGCTTCGAGCTTCCAAAGGGTGTCAACGCTATCCTGCCCATCTTCCTTCAGGGTTTGATGAATGGTACAGCAGAGCAGAGGGTCCAATCTGCTTTGGGTATCTCCGACATCGTCGACCGCACGAGCGAAGCATCTCTAAAGCCATTCGTCACACAGATGACTGGTCCCCTCATTCGTGTGGTATCGGAGCGTTCTACTGAGGTCAAGTCGGCCATTCTTTTCACCTTGACGAACCTGCTTGAGAAAATACCTACGGCCCTTAAGCCATTCTTGCCCCAGCTACAGCGCACGTTTGCCAAGTCTCTTGCCGACGCTTCGAGCGAGACCCTGAGGTCTCGCGCCGCAAGGGCACTGGGCACTCTGATCAAGTACACTCCCCGAATTGATCCACTTGTTGCTGAGCTCGTTACCGGATCTAAGACAACAGACCCCGGTGTCAAGACGGCCATGCTTCAGGCCTTGTACGAGGTCATCAGCAAGGCTGGCGGTAACATGGGAGAAGCATCCAGGTCGGCGGTCCTATCCCTGATAGACATGGAGACAGACAGCCAAGACGACACAATGACGATTACTAACGCCAGGCTCCTGGGAGCCCTCATCAAGAACGTTCCTGAAGAAGCCGCCAACAACCTATTGCGGAATCGTGTTGTTACGCCGCAGTTCAGCAATGCTTCAGTCCTTGCCCTCAATGCAGTTCTTTCGGAGTCGGCCGACACATTGTTCAACAGTCCTCTAGCAGAAGACTTGCCTGGAACTTTGTGCCAAGGAATGTTAAGTTCATCGGTAAGTTGTGTATTCCTATCCTGTAATATACGCCTCGGGGCTGAATTAACATGCCATAGGTCTTCATCGCCAACAACTTCATTTTAGCTACGGGAAAGCTTCTACTTTCGTCGCCCCCGAAGAACTTTGATAGCATCAAACAGATCTTCAATACTTTGGCAGGGATCATTGAACCTGGAAATGCGACAGACTCGCGCCGTCTAGCACTGGTGGTAGTCCGCACCGTCAGCAGAGAGGATACGGACTTGGTCCGACCTCATCTTCCTGGCTTGGCGCCTCCAGTATTCGCTAGCGTCAGAGACCCCGTAATCCCCATTAAGCTTGCTGCTGAAGCTGCCTTTGTCGAACTCTTCAGTGTTGCCGACGAGGAGAACCGCGTGTTTGAAAAGTACACTGCTGGTCCCGGCGCCAGCCTGCCTCCCAACACCAAAAGAAGCATGGGCGACTACTTCAAGCGTGTTGCCACGAGGCTTGGATCACAAGCCCGTGAGAGGAGAGAGGCAGAGGGAGGTCAACCAGGAGGATGGGGCTTGTCTAACGACGAGCAAGAAGATGAAAAGGAGATTTGGAGCGTGGGCAAGGTCGACATGGGAGACTCAGCCTTTACGTAAAACATCGATTAAGAGTTTCCATGCATGAGGACATTATTCAAGAGGATTGCTATTCGCGCGACCCCCTAAAATTTTATATCCTAATTTTCCAGGCCATCGCATCAAATTTACATATAAAGTGATTGCGCGCACATACAATTGAATTAAACTAATCTACATATCTTGCCAGCACACGCCGCTGCCTTCAAGGGCGCAATCCTGTGAAGCAGGCTGTGATGTGTCTTCTACAGGAGGCTGCGTATTAAGTGGTGTTGCAGCTACAACCTCCTCAATACTCTTACATTATTATCCTTCATATAGGCCGTAGATAAATTGTGTGGTGTCGCAAAAGTGAGGAGGCCCCGCTGTGTGAGCAGATATGATTGCATCACTATTTCAGTCAATGAGAGGCGAGTTTTTCAATTTAAAATGGGCTCCCAAATATCTAGGTCGCGCGAATAGCAATTCTCTTATTCAATTAGAGACATATAAATAAGGAAGGGGCGATTTGTTAGTTTGGCGCTTAATTGATACATCAATATGTGTGGTCCTAACAACCGCACCCTTCCTATGATAATTACAAAGTACTATTGTCAGCTTGTTGAGCTATACTGGCAAGTACAAGGACCATTGTAACCGACTTATGTTGCAAACTGCCTCTTTGGGAATGATGCTGCACTCCAGAACCGAACCAGAATTTATTATTGTGTAGGGGTCGTTGGGGCTGTGGAGGAGATTGCGAGATTCCAAGCGATTGACGGATTTAGTCACGTGAGAGACAAGTTATCATGATGACTCATCGGAAACAACAGCCCTCACTTAGCGTAAGAAATGGGGCCTAGTGCACGTGAACCCACAAACCTGGCTTGAGATTGTGTGCCCGAGAAATTCTTTGTTGGTGACTACGACGCCAGAGCCCCCTCCTCTAGATCTCAACCTTCACCCACCAAAAGGACGCCGGACCATCACTATCAGCGGCAATTCAAGATGTGAGTTATGCACACGCTCGCTTGAAAGGGCAACAAGCAATTCGATCTATATGTATCAACTTGATGATCCGTTGGGAAGAGTTGATGATTCTGGCCACCAGGTTGATGTGATGAGGATGATCGACACTTGGGGATTTCTTTCACTTCCGTCTACTCTAAGAAGACACACAAATGATATCTGGGCAGGTAGCTGACATTTGCTCCTTCTTATCTTCAGGGTCAACCTCCGAACTCAGAAGCGCCTGGCCTCATCGGTCATCGGCTGCGGAAAGCGCAAGATCTGGCTCGACCCCAACGAGCAGAACGAGATCTCCAACGCCAACTCTCGCCAGACGATCCGCAAGCTCGTTGCCGATGGCCTCATCATCCGGAAGCCCGTTACCCAGCACTCGCGCTCGCGCGCCCGTGAGCTGAACCTCTCCCGCCGCGAAGGCCGCCACCGTGGCTACGGTAAGCGCAAGGGTACCGCCGATGCCCGTATGCCCCAGCAGGTCCTCTGGATGCGCCGCCTCCGTGTCCTCCGCCGCCTCCTCGTCAAGTACCGTGCCAACGGAAAGATCGACAAGCACCTGTACCACGAGCTGTACCACGCCAGCAAGGGTAACACCTTCAAGCACAAGCGTGCCCTGATTGAGCACGTACGTCTAATAATACTTCTTGAAACTTGTCATGCCGCCGGATTTTCCTGGGCGAAGGGACCTCCACGCATAACTCCTGCTACTACAAACAAGATGTATCTTCTAACAAGTATCCCACACCCACAGATCCACCACGCCAAGGCTGAGAAGGCCCGTGAGGCCAGGCTCCAGGAGGAGATGGATGCCAAGCGTGCAAAGAACAAGGCTGCCCGCGAGCGCAAGGCTCAGAGGGTGGAAGAGAAGAAGACTGCTCTTCTGGAGGAGTAAGCCGTGTATCCAACGGCATATCGGTGTTGAAGAGGAGGCTGCATTCGGAGTCTGCGGGTCGGGTCTTATTTTTTTTGCCCTTCTGGTTTCTACGTACAGTCAGACAAGTGGCAGAGTCTTGTGGCATGTAGCATTGAAAAAGCATCCACGACGCTCGGGAGCTGAATCTCCTGTCTTTGCCTCGCTTCGGTGGACTCAATGCAATAACGATTATGGCCAGCTTGAAAAAAGTTTATTCTATCTTGTCCATTTTCTTTGTCCCCGCCACCCCTTGGTCACCGGTGACTCTTAAGGAAAAAACAAAAAGCATCAATGGAAGAAAAAATTGCATCAACTCCCTAATAACTCACAACCTTGGTTCGATTTGTAAATTCCTTGGGGTTGACTCGCGATGATTCAAGTGGGTTGACACGTGCCCTATCATGTATCATAGCACGCACGAGGACTGATTATTTTTCTTCCGTTAACAATTCTGGCGATTCTTCGCAGTAGTAGGTAGATGCACGCGCAGATGAGACTGCTGATATTAGTTACGACACTATGGCTAATGGCTATGGAGATGCTAAGGGCTGTGTTGTCGATATTGTCTCCGAGTATGGACTTCCATGCTTTATGACAGATTGGCACACACTTGTTGGTGGAAAAGTTGGGAAAGAGAAAAGAATAAAGTCGTAAGTATATGGATCAACCAAAGATTTGGATCAGCTCCCGTAAATGCCTCCTAAAAGGTGGTGAGGTGCGCCGGAGGCACAACAGCATGCTCCCGCCCGAAGGCGGAACTCCAATATGTTCAAAGCAAGCGGTCTCATCACGCCCAATTTTAGTTGATACAGAAGAAGAATAGAAAAATGAGAGAGGCGGTCTCGAGCAGGACTTTTCTACTGGCTGTTGACCGCACAGTGCGAAGTCACGGAGACGCTGCCGTGGTCCGTAGCGTCGCACTAACGAAGTAACTTTCTCCCAACTCCGTGCCTCTCCAGTGAGTCCAGCATGCATCGGCTGACAGCCGTGGGCTGAAAGTAGCACTGTGTGCTAGCACCCCGCTTTCCTCTCCAACAAGAAGGTATTACTCGTAAGTATTGTTGCCAGCGTAATAAATAATATTGTTAGTAGTAAGAATAATATTACGAGTACGGAATATTCCTATCTGTTAGATAAGATCACACAATATTTGATAGCAACTCGGCAAGCTCTCCATACTCCGTGATCTATGACAGCAGCCAACCCCGAAATCCAGCCTATCCCCGACGCTCTCGGCACTGGCCCGAACATACCACAATTCAGCGTCAGACCACACCACACCGACCTAGCAACGTAGCGATTGCCTAGGCGTCGGCTTTGTTCTTTTGCTTTCTCCTCTAATTTTGTCTCTTGTCCACCTTGCCCGTAGCCTGCAATCATCACATTGTTTACTCCGCCGCGCCCACGCACGCATTGCGTCCAATCTCTGAAGCAATGACGCTCCACTCCGGTCTCCGAGGCAGTAGCTCTCGTGTGCTGCGAAGCATTGCGCGACCGACGCTTGTTGCCTCTCGTAATGTGACATGGGGGGCCATGAGGACCAAGTCCTCCGTGGCTCTGGATGGCCAGCAGCAGGTTGGTGATACTCCTCTTGTTTCTTGTTCGCCGAAATATGTAACTGACACTCAAGTCTTCATTGTTCGAAAGCTACTCTCAGCCCACCTCGACAAGGCGGACCCCGCCGTCTTCAATATCATCGAGCAGGTCCGTTTACCAAATGCAATTGCTTTCGAGAGAAAGTGATATAGAGACTAACATGCTGTTGTTTTGTTCGTCGTGTAGGAGAAGAAGCGCCAGAAGCACTTCATCAATCTAATTCCATCCGAGAATTTCACCTCTCAGGCTGTTCTCGATGCCCTTGGCAGCGTGATGCAGAGTCAGCCCCGCGACTTACATTCCACACAATACACACACTTCTAACTTCACATCTCTCACAGACAAGTATTCCGAAGGATACCCGGGCGCTCGATACTACGGCGGGAACGAGTTCATTGACCAGTCTGAGAGACTGTGTCAGGAACGTGCCCTAGAGACCTTTGGTCTCGACCCCAAGGAATGGGGTGTCAACGTTCAGCGTAAGTTTGAACAGCACGATGGTACATGAAAACAGCCGTCTGTAGCATAACACTGACTTCAAGTGTTGGTTTCTAGCGCTGTCGGGTGCCCCAGCCAACCTCTACGTCTACTCGGCCTTGATGAACACACACGACCGTCTTATGGGCCTGGACCTGCCGCACGGTGGTCACCTATCGCATGGATACCAGACGCCGACCAAGAAGATCTCAGCTATCTCCAAGTACTTTGAGACGCTTCCCTACCGCCTGGACGAGTCGACCGGCTACATTGATTATGACAAGCTAGAGGAGACAGCCCTGGTGTACCGCCCCAAGGTGATTGTGGCGGGCACGAGCGCCTACAGCCGTCTGATCGACTACAAGCGTATGCGCGAGATATGCGACAAAACCAACTCCTACATGGTTGCTGATATGGCGCACATCTCGGGTCTGGTCGCCGCCAAGGTTCTCCCAGGACCGTTTGGCTTCGCCGACGTCGTCACGACGACGACGCACAAGAGTCTGCGCGGCCCCCGCGGCGCCATGATCTTCTTCCGCAAGGGCGTGCGCAGGCAGAACCCCAAGACTAAGGAGAATGAGATGTACAATCTCGAGGGTCCCATCAACTCGTCCGTCTTCCCCGGCCACCAGGGCGGCCCCCACAACCACACCATCACCTCGCTCGCTGTCGCCCTCAAGCAGGCCCAATCCCCCGACTTCCACAGCTACCAGACCCAGGTGCTAGCCAACGCAAAGGCCTTTGCCAAGCGCCTCGGTGAGCCCAAGGAGAAGGGTGGTCTCGGCTACCACCTCGTCAGTGGCGGCACCGACAACCACCTGGTCCTCGTCGACCTGAAGCCTCACGGCATCGACGGAAGCCGCGTTGAGCGCGTGCTGGAGCTTGTCGGCATCGCTTCCAACAAAAACACTGTTCCCGGAGACCGCTCCGCCCTTGTTCCTGGAGGTCTCCGCATGGGCACCCCTGCCATGACCACCCGTGGCTTCAGCGAGACTGACTTTGAACGTGTTGCCGACATTGTCGACCGCGCCGTTACAATTGCCATCCGCATCAACAAGGCTGCCAGGAGCGCCGCCGAGGAGCGTGGCGAGAAGAGCCCCGGAAGAGTCAAGCTTTTCCTGGAGCACATTGGAAACGGCGACTCTGATTCCGAAATCGTCCAGCTTAGGAGCGAGGTCGAGAACTGGGTCGGTACCTACCCTCTCCCGTGGGCTTCCGAGCAGTAAAAGTTGGAAATTTGGTTCACTAAGATGATATAACGTCCTTAACACAAGCCCCCCGTCTCCTGAAGGGGTGGTTTTCTGGTTTCAATTCATTCATGCTACCATCTGTTTTTGTTAGTCTTGTCTTTTTTCAACATGTTTGGCGGCGTATTGAACAACTTGACTTGGCTGTACTGTACATCTGCGAATAGCATAGAATACTTAGGGGAGCATTAAGTCAAGCCCGGTTCAACCAAGAGCCATTTCTAGCATTATTATGTTCTACAGTTAGATGGAGACAGATAACCTCGCCTCTTATGCATATTATTCCCCTCTTATTACCCGAACTTCGAGGCCTCGTCAAGTTGTATTACTTTCATATGTTTACAGACATTCACTATCCTAATTGAAACACAAATCCTTGGACGTGTTCAAGAGGCAAGGAATACATATATATAGTAAACGAATCAAAGCTGGCTTTCTAATTACAAACTCTCGTGATCTAACCAAGTACCCAATGTTTCCCCGAGCCTACGCCGATGCCCTTTCTACAGCCTTCTTTGTTGCTTCTCGAGAGCCATAAAACTCATAGTATTTTTTGAGATGGTCCATTCCCTCGAACAGCTCATCCTTATTCTTGTCGCAAAGTGCATGTAGCACAGGCCAGACGACAAAATCTGGAAGTGTGGGCTTCGGTCCCGCTATGAATTCCGCTCCGTCTTCGCCGGCATATTCATTCCACTTCTCTAGCTCACGTCGGAACGGTTCAAGGTCGATATCCTTGCCGCCAGATGTCTTCAATAGCGGTTGCGCATGGCCATGGAGTTGAAGAGCCTGTTGGAAGCGGGAGAATATCTTTGCCGAAATATTGGCGCCGTCTTCTGGCTTCTCGTTGCCGTAGGGGCAACCATGGACGCGATCAAGGTACATCATGATGGCCATATCACCGTGGACGGTCGACTTCGCCGCATCGTTATCCACAAATTTTATAGGCAATATAGGCAGAGCCTCAGCAACTACCTGCTCGCTGTTGTTGGAAACGGTCGGGCCCATACTGCCTTTGGCATAATTTATGCCAAGTTCAGAGAGCATGAGCGCAATCCGCATGTTGATGACTGCATCTGGCGATGCGAAGAAACGGGGTGAGGTGCTCATATGCAACACGTTGAACCCCTTTCCATATCGCTCGTCCCAGTCAAACTCTGAGGAGTGGTTCTCAGCACTAAATGCCTTCAACAACTCTATTGCTTCAGGTCCGGTGCCGTTGATAACAGCCTGCGCGTCTTCGCGCTTTTTTCCAACAGCCCCTTGGCCGAATATCATCTTCTCTTCTCGGTCCAGGAAAGTGCCAATGTTTCGAAAGGTCAAGGATATGCGACTTCCTGAGAAGGCCAGCTCGGTGGCAGTCTTTTCCTTTTCGGCTCGCTTGTCCTGACGGATAGCGTGCAGCCACTTCATATTTGTGCGTAGACCCATTCGGCAGAGTGAGTTGTGCGGTAATTTAGCATGCTGTGTCTGGCGTCGCGGGCCCTCAGTCGCGGTACCCTCTGGAACGGGCAAGTCTTTAGCCCGCCTCTTGGTCCGCAGAACCATGGTTCTTTCAGCGCCAAGGCTCACATTGGCGATATAAGAGCCCTTGACAATGTCTAGGGTCTTGTCACTGTGCTCGGAGATGTAGTCTTTTCCGTCGCGGTAGAACTGGATCAGGACATGGTTAAGGGTGTGTCCAAGATGCTTTTCCGTCGCAGCCTTGATTTTCAGGACAGTAGGCGAGAATGGGAGCAAAGGGGGGGATTCGTCACTCGGGTGACGGTACACTGGTATGGTCCCGTCCTCTGCTACTTGGCCTTGAACGGCGACGAGACGAGGGACCTCGCCTCCTTGATGAGACATTCTCTTCCAGGATACCTCATCGTTCAGTTTCCCAAATATGCCTTTCTCCAAGTCTTCTGGCAACAAATTCTCGATAATATCGGTATCTCCTTCGCAGAGACCAGTTTGCCGCAACTTCTTGTCGTCACCAGAATCCGTGGTGCTCTCTGATGCGGCCGAGAGTTTGGAAGGTGTCTCTTTTAATGGGGTGATTTTCTCTTCTGATTCTTGCCTGGATACCTCACCCTGCTTCAGTTTCTCCGCAAGAATGTGTTTTTCCTGGGCCTTGACGATTTCTGTGTTTTTCTCCGGTTTCTTTTGTGGCTCCGTTTCACCAACGGCCTTTGTCTGCATTTCATCCACAATTGCCGGTGCTGGAGTACCAGATTCCAACCTGAGCCCAGTCATGGGCTTAACTATACCCGGTGACTTGCTCTCCCGAGTATTGGGTGACTCCGCAGGCACCTCTCGGGGGCTTGGCTCAGAGCGTTTGAGTTTGGTTTGAGGAGGCATTATGGTCTCGAGAACCTCTTCGGATGAAGCGATCTCGCACCCAGTAAAGTCCATAAGACTCTTTATGGCTTTTCTTTGCCTCTCCTCAATCCTGTAGCCACAGCAATCTTCAACGACCGTGATGGACAAGCCGTGCCCAGCAGCGTCCATGGCAGTAGCGTATACCCCCGCATTGGCGAGTGAGCCGCAGATAAAGACCTCCATTGCCATTTTGGCCCGCAGGGCATGCAAGAGATGGGTTCCCTGGAATGCCGAATAGTGCGTCTTGGTGAACGTCATGTCACCCTTTTGCATGGAATCCTTGATCTCGGCTGTCCAGTCACAAGCCGTAGTCGACTCGGGTTTGAGACATACCGGGTCGTCATGGCTGAGAAAAGCCTCTGGGTCGGGTGGCCTGCCAGCTTCGACGGGGGTCTCCACGGATATGGCGGCTTGTGCCCGTGAACTTTTCAACGGCCTGGCAGCCGAACGTCTAGCAGATAGCGGCGGGAGTAGCTCGTCGCTAACGATAATCTGCTCCCCGTCGGCAGCACGACTGCCTTCGAAGCGAGATTTGACCCAGATGACATCGCCCTTTTCTCGGAAGGCAGTAGCCAGTGCCTTTGTGCGCTGGACATAGCCCAGGGGTTCCGTCACGGGAAGAGCGCCGTCCTCCGCAGTAAATTCATTCTGGAAATCAACTGCAAGGAAAGCCCGACGGGGCGTAAGCTGCGGCAGGGCAGTATGGTCGAAGGGAAACATGACAAGTTGACAAGATATCTGCCACTGAAGTGTCTATATTCAGTGTGTATAGCCAAGCGGTATCAATGTTGAGGTGTAACAGATGGCGCCGTCCTACTCCGGGCCTAGAAGCGTACTCGTGCACAAAATCTAGGTGGGTAAGACACCGCGAGAGCCGAAAGTTAAGCAAGGGTTTCCGCCATAAGAGGTAGCAGCTAAGTGCTGCCCTCTCTTCAACGTTTGAGCTATAACTGCACACTCTGCGCTGCATGAACTGTAACAAGTTAGGCTTGGAGTGTAGGTAAACTTGAAAATGGTTTGGATTGATTGTTTCGTTCAAAATGGCCATGTCTAGGCTGAAATCTCATGAGGAGGAAGCATGTTACGCAGGCAATTTGATTGGTTTTATCGTGCGTTACTTGCATCTAAGCCCCCGTCCCACAGTGTTATTTCTTGCCCTACCAACGTACATGTAGCCCCCTCGATCTATATGTGTACATGTACCCAAGACGCATTACGAGTGAAAATGGGAGGATGCCGTTTCTTCTGAGCTTCGACATATGAATAGGTTCGACCCAACTGACCGATAGCAGCAATGTCAACTAGCCACCAAACGCCACATATGATTAGGTTTGGTTCGCCAGGATGAAGTTAGCCATCCAGCCCCAGATACTACCCACTACGCAAAAATACCAGTAGGCCGCTAGCAGGTATTATTTATTTATTCAAGTATCCATCATACCAATAATATATGTCGAGTCGTACGAGTATTCACGTTAGACTTCTTTTTCAATTCCCAGCACTCAATCAGAGACCCGTCCGTTGCCTCATGAAGAAAAATCAATGCATTCGTTGGATTTTCACTTGGTCATAATCCGAGCAACGTCATACCGCGTTCCAGGCGTCGTCGTGTTGGCTTAGTCAGTATTCAGCCACATATGGCGTTCTCAACGTCGCTTGGATTTGACAGCATAGAGAATCAGGAGTATCATGGTCGTCACAGAAAGCTGTTGTCACCTCCACAGTAACATACCTGCATCTTCTTATCTGTCCGAGGAATAAAGGCGGGCCACTCTCGGCTTTGCAAATGCACTGCATCGCGATCATCTGTCACGCGTCGCATTTTCTCAGCTACCGATCTTCACCATTTGTCCACGATGGTATCGCCAAAACGGGGTCATTCTGCCGAGAACAGCGAAGAACCCGAACCCAAACGCGCACGGCTCGACAGCCTTGAAATTTCAAAAGAAAACACTCGTGGTTCCCAAGATACTTCGTCGGATATACCCAAAGGGTTTCCGGATACCGCCGAGGATGATGTTGTGACTCCATTCGTGTCTACGGCCCCGACACTGCATTCCCAAGCGCGTCTAAACATCCAACGCTCGATAGCGTTGATTCTTCAACACGACGGGTTCGATAGCTCAACACCGGAGGCCTTAGAAGGCTTCACACAGATGGTAGAGACTTGTATGTACACATAAATTTACGTCAAGTCGTTTCCAGATGGCTAATTTCGATACAGACATTGAATCCATTATTGGAGAGGCAAAATGGCTGGCCCATTCATCGCGTCGCGAATATCCCACACCAGTCGACTACGAGAAAACCCTCAAGCGGCATAATGTTTCCGTTTCATCGCTGAAGGTCCACCTACATCCTCCCATCCCCAAATCTAAAGCGGCACCGCAATACACCGAAGCAATCACTCTGGACGACGAACCTTTTGTGACGCTACCCATTCTTGGCCCTGAGCTCAGTGGGCAGGACGACAAGGACTCAAAGCCCCATATCCCCAAGACCTTTCCTGCGTTCCCTAGCAAACACACATACACTTTCACACCACAAGAAGATGTCAATACACGGGATTCCAAGAAGCTGCGAGAGCAAGCCGCCAAGACCGCACAAGAGGGAGAGGAAGCACTACGAGGTCTAGTCAGGGCTTCAAAGATGCGAAAGCAGAAGGAAGTCAAATCTTTGGTAGAAAAGGATCTTCAGGGGAAGGAGCGCTATCGTCTGTGGGAGATGACCATGAAGAAATTCATGGGCATGGAGAGCAGGGGAGAACACTCGGACCAGGTCGAAGTCGCAGACCACAGCATGATTGTCAACAGCGATTCAGCATTTAGCCGCAAGGAAGTATCTCGCCTGGGGAAAAGAGAGGGCCGGTTAATTAATGGGAATGTGGCATAGCCGTATCTATCTATTACTACTATGTTTCATGCGATTAGCGTCAGTAATTCATTGATATTGATTTCAACGGGATTAGAGTATATCTACGGATGTTCTTCTCACGTTGGCGTTCTGGGGTTTGCCCGAAAAGACCAAGCATGTTATTGTACCTAAGGACCATTCGTATTTGACGCCTATTTTCCTTTCTATCATCTTGTCTATGATCTAACATGTGTTCGTAGGTTTATTGGACGCAATCTTACATCTAACTTCATGTACTTCAAACGTCACTACTCCTAATACTATTATGCCCTGAAGTCTCAAAGGCCAACGAAGTTGTTGTACGCCATGAATCCCCGAACTCTCGCAGGTAATACATATAAACCATACCGAGTCACTCAACAATACGAATATGGCATTTGTGTTCCCCAAATTACTACTACTACACCTATTACTTCATGTGTTAAAGTAGGAAGAAATAGGCAGTGAGAAGCCAAAAGCCAGTATGATGTAGGGTAGGTAGTTCCAAGCTAGTACGTACCTCCGAAAAACCTTTTATGGGTCTTGTCTTTTTAGCAGCTCAAGATTGAAAGGCCCTAATATCTTGCCCACAGAATTTTAAAAAAATTACATCAAATCCTAATTGGCGGTTGCTTTGTCCCACTCGTGATTGCTCCAAGGCTCCCATTTCTGTAGACCAACACCCAAATTTTTCTCTCCTACACGAAGCACCACAGCGATTCTCCAGATTCTAAAATCGCCTTTTCCTGAGACCTTCGCAATGGCCGAGCAGCTTATTCTCAAGGGCACCCTCGAGGGCCACGTAAGTTGTCATTCTATGTCACACTTCGCTGTGATGTGCATCGCCTTCAAGCGACTCTGTCGCTTTACGATGACTCCTGCTAACGAGCTTTATTTTGCAGAATGGTTGGGTTACCAGCCTGGCTACCTCCATGGAGAAGTACGTTCGAACCGATCCGACCTCCGTTGAAAACCTTTACAATACATGCGTGCGATTCTAACATTTCGAACCTCCAGCCCCAACATGCTCCTGTCCGCCAGCCGCGACAAGACGCTGATCATCTGGAACCTGACCCGCGACGAGACGCAATATGGCTACCCTAAGCGTTCCCTGCGCGGCCACTCTCACATCGTTTCGGACTGTGTACGTCACTGACTGCCCGTGAAAACCGGGAGGAAGTAGAACATAAGCTAATGTTCTGGGTGACAGGTCATCTCGTCTGACGGTGCTTACGCCTTGTCTGCCTCTTGGGACAAGACTCTGCGTCTCTGGGAGCTTGCCTCCGGCACCACCACCCGCCGCTTTGTCGGCCACACCAACGACGTTCTGTCTGTCTCCTTCTCGGCCGACAACCGCCAGATCGTCTCCGGTTCCCGTGACCGCACCATCAAGCTGTGGAACACCCTTGGAGACTGCAAGTACACCATTGCCGACAAGGGCCACACAGAGTGGGTTTCCTGCGTCCGTTTCAGTCCTAACCCCCAGAACCCTGTCATCGTCTCCAGCGGTTGGGACAAGTTGGTCAAGGTACGTCGAAAGAAATTGCCAAACGCATCCTCTTGCCCTTCACTCGCGATGTCCAAATGATGTTTTGCAACATTCAAAGTATTTGCTACTTCAGAGCCTCCAAGGCCATGAGACAAACCATTCACCAATTGCCCTGATCGACACCCTTATAACCCTTTCAATCGCTACCACCTGCCACATAAATACAACGTTATCATGCTATGTTTTCTAACTGGTGTTACAGGTTTGGGAGCTCTCTAGCTGCAAGCTCCAGACTGACCACATTGGCCACACTGGCTACATCAACACTGTCACCATCTCTCCCGATGGTTCTCTGTGCGCCTCCGGTGGCAAGGATGGAACCACCATGCTGTGGGACCTTAACGAGTCCAAGCACTTGTACTCCCTGAACGCCAACGACGAGATTCACGCTCTTGTCTTTTCCCCCAACCGCTACTGGCTCTGCGCTGCTACGTCCAGCAGCATCATTATCTTTGACCTCGAGAAGAAGAGCAAGGTCGACGAGCTCAAGCCCGAGCCCACTGCTGTCGGCCGCAAGTCCCGCGAGCCCGAGTGTGTCAGCCTGGCCTGGTCCGCCGACGGCCAGACCCTGTTCGCTGGCTACACTGACAACCTCATCCGTGCTTGGGGTGTTATGTCGCGTGCTTAAGTGCACGCAACAATGTGATATGAAAGAACAGACATCGGCCTGGATGTAATGAGGACCTTGGTTCTGGGACGGTATGACATAGGGTAGGATCATTGTGAGGCGTCAAGGATGGCATCCTCGTTTGATCTTTATTATTTGACGGACAGTGCCTGCGGAAAATCACATCATGTGAACGTCTTTTGCATTGGCTGGTCTCCAGTCCCTGGAGATCTCGGGAAGCACTGGGAACGTTGCTGCCTTCGCAAGGGAAAAAAATGAAATAAAAAAAACTGATCAAATATGTGTTTGCTCCACCTACTCATTTGCAACTTGAAGTTCAGAATCATTAATTCGTATGGTATAGGCTTCCTTCAGGTCCTAAAACCAGAATATGCCTCTATATATGAAACATAGGCAAGCAAGACCCTCAACCCCCCCACCTCAGCTTAACATGCTCGAACACGTGGACCTGTCTCAAGGCTTCAGCCAAACTGCTCGAGGTGGCCTTGAGGGTTTCCGAAGCAGATAGTGTTGGCGAAGACTTTTGGCGTATTGATACGCTCAAACTCCAGTAAAGCTCCTCAGACACGCAACTTTTCGCTCTAGCAAAGCTTGTACAAGCCATTGGCGCTGTCTGTAGACCCTCCAGGAAGAAGTACATCCGTGACTGAAATGGCTCTGGAGCGACAAATAGCACACTGTGAATAAGGCATTCAGACGTTGCGGATGACATTGTATTCCTCTGCTATGGCCCAGGGAGGCACCATCTACCCCTAACCCTGTTTCTATATCACATACAAAGAAAGACGGGTGCTGTATACATGGCCTCTTGTTAGGCACCGGCCCCAGTCCCCCCTGTTGCAGTTCGCTTCTCAAGGGACTATTTAGCTCTTGGGATATTTGCCTAAGCTCAGACTGAGATCGTTGTCCTCATACTTCACAGTATTTTTTGTGGCATGAAGTAAATTGACTTGAAATGCATCATCCGGTTGATCACATGAATGGCGGGAGTGAGAACGGGTACCCTGAGTTCTTGATGCGGAAGATGCTCAGCATGAAGCTGTACATAGAGAACAAGATCACGCTCCATGCGATCACAGCGACTTGCTGCGTCCCCGAATCAGCGATACGCGGGACCTTGACAATCAAAGCGATGGAACAGAATGCAAGAAGTCCATCTGAGGTCACTAATTAGCATACGCCCTCCTAGAAAAGGGGGGGGGGGGGGGCGGCAACCGGCCGGCTGCACGAGACTTACATATAGCGGCAACGATCTGAGTTTCCATACCCAGCTGGCTCTGGAAGTTGCCAGAAAAGTAGGTGACTCCTCCACGACCATCCCCGGAAACATAGGGAACCTTGCGGATGTGGTTGAACATGTGCCCACTAATGAAGAGCAAGATAGAAATCAGACTAATAGCCGCCCAGACATTGCGATTTCGAACAATAGGTAAGATGTAGGGCGAGGCAGTAGCCATCAATGTAACGAGACCGAGAAAGATTGTGATTCCTGAACCCCAGCGCAGCCAGTTGAACGGGCGCTTGATTTCAGGGTGCGGTCGATTGGGGAGGTTGCGAGAAAGCCAGTTATGAACTTGTTCAGCAGTCGGTGCTCTGCAATGCAGTGTGTCAGCACATTCGCGTTGTCTTAATCATGGAGATCACATGAAAACTTACCCCGTGTTGAAGTCGAAGCGTAGCGGATCCTTTGACGCAACAGCGTGAGGACCTTCAGTAGGAGGAAAGAGGAGGAGCACGGGTGCTGTTTGAAGACCAAGCTGCGAGAAGACCTATAGTAAGCAATGGTCCCGAAATTAAACCTTGGGAATGAGGACAGGACATACCGTAACAAAAACCTCGCGACCATCAACAAAGTCCAATGTACCGAAGATCAGACGGGACTCCCCGGACTTGTCTCCTTTTGTCCAGCTCTGGGCGAGCAGTTCATACTCAGGCTGGAACTCCTGGCAGAGTTGGCAGCCAAAACGAGTTTCAAGAGCCGTCAAGAGCACAGCCACGGTGTAGTCTCGTGGTGCTGTAGTCAGGGTCTTGTAAGAAGGCTCCTTGAGCTTCACTGGCGTCGACCTTTGGGATTTGGCGTGGAAGTCATCGAATCGTTCGGCTGACGACTTCTTTGCGGCTTGGGCGCCCGCAAGCAGGAGCGTTAACGAAAGAAGCGTCTTGAAGAAATGCATTCTAAAGGCTACCTCACAAACAGTGGGATAAACTCAGAAGCTATGTTAATGTTGATTTTGGGCTGCCAACCTCTCGAGTTTTTCAGACTGGGTTGACAGAAGCTCGAATTGATGATTCCTCTAGTAATACAAAGAACGAGCATTACGTGTGCTGCTAGGTGGCATCTCCAACACGCTTGTCGAACCTTAGTCAGCTACCACTCGTTATTGCTGACATAAAAAACCAGCCATATTTTTAGTTGGCAATGGCATAAAGTGGGAGCATAGAACAGGCTCTTAGGATGTAACTGTAATTAATAGTGTGTATAACGCTTCCATACGTACGAGTATTATTTTACACGGGACTTCATTCGATTGAACATTACACCCTCAATTGGAGCAGATTGCAGCTTGTGTATGCTCTGGTCCCAGCTTTTTTTGGCAGCTTTCAACGATTCACGCTAACCGAACTAGGTACCATGTTTATCCTAGGCGCGCAAAACATGGCCGGATTCGCATCCCACTCACCCCCTCTTCCGATAATAATCTAGCCGGTGCATCCAACACCGCGTCACCTTTTCAACCTTCAAGAGGAGAATGGCTACCAAAATGCCCACCTCTCAATCCCATACCGAATAATAAAGTATACACGCGACTCCGAGAACATATATGAACCTATTGATCAACAACCCCCGTCTTCAAACAAGTCCCGACTGCGATTCCTAGACTAGAGATTTCATAGTCCTGGGAGGTGTGCTTGTCCACCATGAGCCTCCAACCAGACGAGGTACTTCAAAAACCCATGTGCTATTGTGTGCACGTATTCTCCCAAGCTGACCAAATGGTGCGTATACAGCGCGCAGCGCGAATCCACCAGTTCGAAACAAGGCGACACAACGGGCTACACAAGTTCGAGCTCATAAATCGCGATGAGGAGACCCGCCGGCTCAAGCTGCAACTGCTCTTTGCTGAGGATGAAAGTGCTTCATTGAAAGAAATTCTTTACCAGAAAGACCTCCAGCACCGACATATAAAAAAGGAATACGACCAAGTACGTGCCAAGCTCGATGGCACCCAAGAAACAATTATTCGACAGGATACAAAACTCAAGCAGCAAGACATTGATATGAAGAGCCTCAAGGTACGAATTTTCTGGTTCGGAATTTCAGGCGAATGATGCTAACATATAGGAAAGATGGAGATGGAATCTCTGCAGGGTTCCATTCGAAATTCAACTAAAGCGGCACAGAATGAGGCAGCTCTGACACGAGAACTGGACAAGCTTCGACCAGAATTGGACCACCTCCGATCACAACTAGCAAACCACCAGGCAGTTGTATCGGAGAAGCATAGTCTTCAACGTCAGCTCGACAGCTTAGAAGTGGAGCTAGAGAATGAGAAAGGACTCAGAAAACAGGCTCAAGAGAAGGAAAACAAATCTGCTATGGATGAACTAAGATTGAGGGCAGAGGATGCCGAAAAGAAACTGGCTTTGGAGAAAAGGGAGCGCGAAAAATTGACAAAGCAACATGAGAAGGCTTTGTTAGAAATATCTGGTCAGAACGGACGTCTAGAAGAGCGCGTCTCGACGATGAAAGAGAAAATCAAGGGGCTTCAGGCCGAACTCAAAGACCCAAAACATCAAATCGACCGACAGCAAACAGAGACGAACCAATTGCAGTCTTCGAAGTCGAAGACCATGCAGCGTGCTCCAACCAACCGACAAGAAAGCAAAATGAGGAAAGCTGAAGAGCCCAGCCAGGAGGAGGCCACAATCTTCACACCTGAACACGAGAACCAAGCAGAAAGGCGACTAGCGAAAAAGCGTGGAATTCTACACGCGACTCTGGGCGAAAAGTCAAACTTTTCAATTACACCCTTTCTCAACCGCGCCAAGGACGTTTCAGAAGAGCTGGACGATGCACGCCCTATCGAGACGCCGTCAGAGCCATCGATTCCGGAGCCAGCAAGTGATTCAGAGCCGGAAGTGAAAGCAGATAGTGAGGTGCCTGCGGACTACTCCAAGAGGCCCAAAACGGAGACATTGACGACTGTGTCCGCTGATCTCCAGCAGCCAGCAGCGAAGAAACCGCGGAGCCGGCCAAAGTCCAAGCCACTAGGTGAAACCTCACCCACGAAGAAGAATTCAGCCGGACAAACAGGACCATCAGGAGCAAAACGGAGATACCAGCTGGCAACCGAGAGCCAGGCTACAGCAGACCAAGAAAACACCGCACCCGTCAGCAAAGTGCCGGATGCCAAGGGGAAGCCTGGCCATAATATCGGCCCGAAGATTGCAGATGATGGTACCAAAGGGCTGGACGGGAAAAAGAAACGACGCAAGATTCTAGGTGCCACGAACCCATCGATATTTGAAGAAGAGGATGGCGAAGCTACGGCTAATATTGCGAATCTCAACATTGGACCAGTAGTAGCCAAGCGCAAACGGCCAAACCTAGGCGGTGCAGCAAATGCGTTTGCCGGTGCAAGTTTCTCTCCTCTCAAGAGAGACAGGAGAGGCGTGGACGCGAGTTTTTTGGGATGATATGAGCGAATGCTAGAATGTTTGGAGTATAAACATGGCTTTTAAAGGACATTGGAATTGGGTATAGCCAGGCGTTAAGGCAAGCTCTTCGTACTACAGTTCAGAAGACATTGTTATCATCCGATTGTTAATTAAAGTTTGGCAAACTCAGCTTTACAGGAATTATTCCATCTGAGTACGATTTTTGTCCAGGGGTTTATCGCTCTATTAACCATCGGACTACTCCGTAGTGCTAGTCATCAAAGAACAAGCAGGAGTGTAATCCGGATGCTGGACCGACGTTTTGCCAGATCCAGGGACCAGGCGGGTTTTTGCAAGTCGTGTTTCCAGGGACGACCGCGATCAACTGCTCGTACCAATCCCCCATTGCCCTTACTCTGTAGGATGGCGTTCTGAAAACCCCCTTGGGTACAATAACCAACTTTTTGGATCACATACGGTGTTCGCTTCGAAACCGTTTCTGGTAGCCACGTCTTGGCGGCACACGATGATACTCCTTCAGCGCGCATGTCCTAGCCCCCGCCAGCAAGTACGATCTTTGCCTCGCTTTTTGGATCGCGTGGAATCCCTCTCTGTACCATGGCTATCACGACCAGCCTCCTCCAATTCACGGTGGAGACAGCGGCAAGGGAAAGATGCGTATGCTAGGGAGGCGAGAGTCCAAGGACTAAAAAGCCGTGCAGCATTCAAACTTCTAGAGGTAGTATCCCGTCGGGCCTCATCCTCCAGCAATACTAACATATCTTCAAAGATGGACGAAAAGTATAAGATTTTCAAGAGAGGACAAACCGTGGTGGATCTGGCAAGTCAATCGTCGCTTAGCGAAATACTGGCTCGCAACTAACACGGCAATAGGGCTATGCTCCAGGAAGCTGGTCACAGGTATGGAGGGTCCTGATCGTAGCACATATATCAAAACTACCTGTTTACACAAGACTCAACAGGTCGCTCTTGGGCGCACAAAACCCCACGGCCGGATCATCGGGGTCGACCTGCTCCCTGCGCAGCCCCCTAGTGGTGTCACGGCCTTCCAGGGAGATTTTTCATCACCCATGGTACAAAAGCTTGTCAAGGACTTGATCGTTGAACGTCACAAAGTCCAGCCACCGCCCCCAAAAAGCGAGGTCGACGATTTGCACGATGAGCCCGGGAGCCTAGTATCTGAGCAGCTAAGCTACATCGACATGGAACGACATGCTAGCCAAGAGTACAGTAACCAAGTTTCGACACAACTTGCACCATTGCGGCTTGTAGATGTTTGTTCACATCCCTCCAACACGCCGCGTCTTGTTACTCGCTGACCCCTTGTTCAGGTTGTTCTGAGCGACATGTCAGCACCCTGGGAACAAACTTCTGGCTTCAACACGAACACAATGAGTAATCCATATCACAGGCTTATGAACACGAGCGGCATGCCTTTCCGGGATCACGCTGGCAGCATGGTGAGCCAATTATCACATACTGGATACACAGGAGTTACAGCTGTTGACTGATATAGGATCTCTGCGACGCTGCCCTGCAGTTTGCGAGCGACACTCTACGGCCAGGTGGGCATTTTATATGCAAGTTCTACCAAGGCACCGAGGATAAACACCTGGAGAAAAAGCTCAGGCAGCTTTTCGGCAAGGTGCACCGGGAGAAGCCCGAGTCATCAAGAAGTGTTTGTCTACCTGTCCACCTCGAAAGAATCTAGATATTAATTTGGACTCTAGGAGAGTAAAGAGGCATATTTTATCGGACTGCGACGTAAAGCAGGAGCCACGGTGGATGGGAACAAGGGATAGAATATCATGTGATTTTAACACAGTGCCTAAACCTTACTCATTGAAAGCATGTGATGGGGAGGTGGCATTGACAAATGGCGCAAAATAAACATATCATTGAGTTTTTGATACCGCATTACGCCAGTTACATGCATTTTCCATTCATCAGTTTTGCCATTTTTTGAAGGTATCTTCATCTCAGCCGAGATGTATTTCCTTGACCCGTATTCCCTGTCTAAGTAACCGTTTTGGCGCTTAGACCTTGAAACCACGCGAACGTCTGCGACCACGGGCACGTTCGAACTTGCGGCCCTTCGACTCGACGTAAGGCTTCTGCAAAGGTTGTTAGCAATTGCGACGACAACTCATATCTTAGTCTGTTGAAACGTACTTTGTGGCTGTGGGGGCCGAAGCCGAAGTGCCTCACGGCCTCACGGGCGTTCTTGGGGCCACGGAGGATCAGGGTGTTGCTGCCAGTGGGCGCACGGAGAGCAAGCTGATCCAGGGTGATGGTCTCACCACCGGCAGCCAGGATGCGGGCGCGGGCGGTGGCGGTAAAGCGGAGGGCAGCAACCGAGACCTTAGGAACGGTCAGGAGACGGTTGTCATCGGTGACAGTGCCGACAACGACGATGGTCCTCTTCTCGTCCTTGGTGATGTTGGTCGAGATGCGGGAGAGAGACACCGGGGGACGGTTGATCTTGGACATAAAGAGGCGGCGTAGGACGACCTTGTTGAAGGAAGCATCAGTGCGGCCTGCCAGAACATGATTTGATTAGTATCAAAATCTTTCATTTCTTATATTCTGAGGGGAGGGAGGGGTGGATAAAACATACGCGAAAGAAAGCGGTACAGCTTCACGAGAAGCTTGAGGTACACATTGTCGCTGGCCGGGGCCTTCCGGTGCGAACTCTTAACGTGATGACGGTCGAGATCAATACCTGTAAGGTGAAGCCATCGTCAGCCATTTGGTTCAAGGCATGCTCAACTCGGGCAGCTTCAGTCTCGCATAATAATGCGGACGGCGCCTCGATCGCAGAAAGGAATCTCCATTGAAAGATTTCTCTCCACTCGCATACAAGGCTGAGAGGAAAACACTTCACGTACCCATGGCGGCGGTTTTTTTCGCTGGCGTTGGCGAAGGGTCTTAGTGGTGATGGTTCGAAAAAAATCTGGCGACGATTTCGAAGCAGAATTCAATCCACACGAACCGTGAGTGGGCCACTCTGATGCTGTGCGTGGGGGCAGAATTCAGGGCGGTCAGTCATGGCATTAGGGCACGACGTATTGACTTTAGTCATACGACTATGCACTCCTGATGTCACGTGCTTATATGCTGCCTGTACATATACGAATGCATGTAGCTCCAGGCTCCTACTAGCTTGGCAGCCTGACAAAGACCTTATGCCAGCATGATATCTACTCCATCAGATCAACAGTGAATGTCTCCCCTGATAGATTTTTATTTTCGTACCAGTTCCAACTCATAGGTCGTCAGAGATAAATAACCATTGAACCCAAAAAAAGAAAGAAACTGCAGTAACACTAATTCGTGCAGTTAGAGGGCTTTCTGTGAGGGTTCTCATCCACGAAAGTGGGAACAGTGCTTATCGAATCTTTGTCAATAATGGTAAAAGACATGATGGATACGTATGAAGTATTATATATCTTGTGAGTAGTACGCTTATTTTTACACTTCTATAATATACTACTATTACAACTATACTATATACATATAGCCGGCATTTTGCCACAATTGTGCGCTATCTAAGACCTACTAGTAATATGATGGCAATTCGTGCCGTGCTTGTTTATGGCAAGACAAAGTGAAAGTAATGTTTCAATGTATGGCCGAGTTTTCGATCTTTACACGCCCATGTTCCCATACGGCAGTGTTACCCTTGCAATGGCACCACCGTATTCTGCTACTAACCTATGCCCCCGAAAGATTATGCCAAGTGAGACCCTACTCTCACTGAACAAGTCCTGCTCCCTTGACTGTATCATAGAGCAGCAGAAGCTGTGGTTGGTTTAAGGGCTATCAGGAAATCGCGAGTTATCTCAAAACTCAACCAACTTGACGCCATGCTGGGAGCAACCTTTAGAAGGTTTGGAACGATGCCCTTGTACAGGCCCCGGATACCCTCTTGTCCCACAATGACTCGCACAGCGTCCCATACAGACTTATACTGATAACCCATGCCTGACATCGTATTGATCTGAAAGCGACGCCGAAGAACATCACTAAAATTCGTTAACCACGGATCCACCCATGCTTCGGATGTGGACTCACAAAGGATATGTGCAGGTCTGAGCCACAGCGCCAGCTACGGCGCCAGCGAGAAGCTTTCTGATAGCACCAGGGTTCTCCTCCCCTTCTAAGGTAAGTGATTTACGAGCGGACTCGTACACCATGAAGTTTAGGCCAACCTGGGAGACAAATCAGTCATGCTCATCTTCCATGGAGAGGATTTTGGGTTGCGAAGGGTGACATACATAAGGAGCAACCCCAGCTACTGTTGGGACAATTCCTCGGTACAATGCAGTGATGCCTCCCTCCGTCTTATACATGCGTATGAGAGTAGCCCACATCCCCGGCAGCTTCTCTGGTTTGTTTCCAAGTTCGGCGAAGCTTGCAGACTGGATCGATAGTCGCGTCCGCACGATGTCGAGAGGATACGTGAAAACCACTGAAGTGACACCAGCAATTCCTCCACAGACAAGGCGAGTAACTGCGGAGAGCTCCGCGCCCGGATGCGCTTCGAAAAAGTTCTAGGATTTAGTCAGTAAAGCAGAAAATGGCCATTGAGATCGATAATGACACACCCTCTTGTAGAAGTTGTAGCTGCTGAATTGAACAGCCGAATAGGGGACAATCCGAATACAGTTGGTGCCATTTCCACGCATGAAACCCTTCCATCCTTCCTCTTTCCACATCTTCTTTAGAGCCTGGCCAATGGAGAGCTTGTACGCATCTCTTCCAGCACTCTGTATCTGCATCAAGATCTTCAATCGTTCGAGTGGCGATACAACGGTTCGGGAAACAGCACCGGCTACTCCACCGCCACAAAAAGCTGCAACAACAGGCTGTGATAGCTTCTCGCGCAGTTGGACATACGACTGCGAATGGAGCGCCGGGGACTTTTCAACACTCGCACCTGGCTGAGGGAAAAGCAGATCGTCAGCATGGTACTCGAAGAAAGGGACCATTCTAGCAACAGCGGGTACTTACAGCCGACATTGTGCAGAATGAATGTTACTGAAGCGACAGGTTCTCAATTGAGTCTGACGATTCTACCAGGGACCCAAGAAGAGCCAAGACTGGAGTTGCTTGGTCTTATTGCATCAAAAACAGCGAAGTAGATATCCTCTTTGTTAGGCTATAGAGAATGGCGGGTAGAATGAACCAGTCCGTCGCGTCGGGGGGCGTTTATTGGATCGGAGGCGACAGATGGACCGGCTATATCGCATGGGATGCAAGTCCCATGCTTATTGGACTTCGAAACGTGTAGTAATTCGATTCTGGACGTAGTTCAGCTAACAGGCTAAGCAAGTTGCCAGTGGCCGCTTGTCGTGGCACTTTCCACGCCGATGAAGCAGTTGAGGAAGGGACTGGGGGGACGTACATGCGGCGGGCCGCAATGCCCCTGTCACGAAGAGAAGGATGGTCTGGAGGTGCGGTACCGATATTAGAGATGTAAGAAGACGTTCGGCAAGCAGTGGAGCGTTGGCGTCGCGTGAGTCGGTAAGTTATTAGATTGATTGCCAGGACTTCCCGTCGGTTTTTCGTCGGCGTGGGTATTGACCCGTAAGGAGAAGACGATTAATTATTCGTCTCCGTAGTATACGTAGGACGGATACTTGTACTTTAACATTTTTTTTTTAGCGCGTCGGACCTGGGGTAGCGCAGAAACCGCAGGTGCATCTACAGCCGGAAAGAAATCCATGTATGTACACATATAAATGAAAAGTATGTACGTTTGTTGAGGAGCGGGAAATGATACTACTGCTACTACTACTACTACTATGTCGAATCCTGAATAGAACCGTGTTCGCTCATCTTTTGTCTTTACTCTTTCTTACTAAACTCCGGGCATCAACCCGTATATTATTAGTTCAATTTTGCCCCTCTTCTAGAGCCCGATGCTTCCCGAATACCAGTAAACGTATATGTACTATTATTACTTACTACTCGTACTTCGACATGAAGTAGTATCAACACCGGCAAGGGTGACCCATCGCTTTCTTGCAAGTGCCAGTAATACTTGTAGCTCTAGCATGCTGTTGGCAATTGCATGCACTTCAATCTATTTTATTCAGTCCGTGTGCAGTTGCGATTGTGCAGTGACGTTTTTCCCCTGCAAGAAGTAAACCTGGAAGCCCTAGCACGCCTTCATGTTCCTCCTTAGAAAAATCTCTACGATGGCTAAACATCGAAGTACACAGAACATGCACGACAGTACTAAGTCGATTTGGGAATCTTTCAGTTCTCCTAATACTAACTTAGTTACATAACAAGTCTTGAGCACAAAATGGCATTCCTAGCTTCTCAGAGGTAATTATACTAGTCGGGGTAAAAATAATGTCCCAATTTTACTCTACGAAGTGGGCATACTTAACCAGTCCAAGACAGGCTGCGCTTGGTTCCACGGGTAGGTAGGGGTTGTAATAAAAGGTCAAGAAAGAGGCGGGGAAAACATAAAGCAAATATCGATCCTCAAAATACCAGGTAAACGTGGGTACCCGCGGTCGACATTCGGGGACGAACGAGGTATTATGATCTTGTTCGCGCTTATTCGGCAACGTCCAGGTCGTCGTGGGCTGGGGGGGGACTGTCGAGGGCTGAAGAGTTGGTCAGTATTAGATCTCTGCATACCGAGCAACTTGGTCTCTTACCCTTCCTATCGTCTCCATTGGCACCATTCTCACGCCTGTCACGGTCATCCCTCTCGTCTCTTTCGTCCCTTTCGTCCCTATCATCCTTAATATCCCTGTCACGGTCACTGGTAAAGTTAGTAGGGGAAGGGTATATATACTTAAGAATGAGGACTCACCGAGTATCGGGGCTGCGAGAGCGGTCGCGATCGCGGCGGCTGTCACGGTCATAGTCACGGTCCCTTCGCTCGTCTTTCCGAGGAGAGTACTCCCTGGTGCTGCGGCGAGGTGACGGCGACCGGCCGCGCCGAGGTGAACGCTGGCCACCACGACGGTCACGGTCACGACCAGACTCAAACCGCCAGGATGCAGAAGGGGGAGTTCGGGCCCACTGTTGAAAAGTCAGACGGTGTATCTACCATGTCACAATAGGTCATGCACTAACCTCAATCTTCAGGACATCATCGCGACCCATGCGTTTGTTGTGCATCTCGTAGTACGCATCGTCGGCATCGCGACGGTCTTCGTACTCGACAAACGCAAAGCTATGTGGAAAGTTAGTAGGCTTTTTTTCCTTCTTTCGGTGAGATAATAAACTTACAGCCTACTAGACGCAGAGCGAGGAGCAGGAATGTCACATCGAACCAGACGTCCATAGCTGTGCACAATAATCTGTCAGTATAAAGCACCATAGGGCTAGATAATCCGGCGCAGTGCCAGGAAATCCTCGTAGTCATGGTTATGGAATGCGCATAGTTTGGGCTTGGCACATCGTCGCGGCGTGGCAAAAAGAGGAATCGAAGCGTCTCGAGGGCGTATCGCCAACGGACATGTGGAGGGGGTGGTGTCATGGGACTTGGGACGACGACGGACGACGAGGACGAGGGACGACGACGGGGAATGCGACGACGCGGCGAACCGACAGGGCGTCGCGCCCATTGATGGAGGTCTCGCGAGACTCTCGCATCATGGGCTACGGCCGGATCGATGGAGGACGTGTGCGTGGACGTTTGCGTTGAGGACGTAGCTGACATACCGTTCGAACTCGTAGGCGAGGTCGCGGGCGCGAGTACCGTGGCTGAAGCCGGTCACGTAGAGAGTATTGCCGCCGCGAGACATTGTAATTGCCAGTAGCTATTGATAACTGGATATTTTGTGGAAGAAAGAGTAGTTAAAGATTATGTCGCAAAGACTTGAAGGTGTTGAAAAGGGAGTGACTGCCAGGACAAAGCAAAGCTGGAGGTGATAGAAAGTTTTGCCTGCTGACGTAATAATGATTCTACCGTGTCTCTTTTCGGCCTCGGGCGCTAATTATGTAAGAATCCGTTGCCTCAAGTCGCCCCGGCAATGACCCTTACAGGCACCACCAGTGGCCATCTGGCATCGTTCCAAGACTCATCAATCGGCTCAGTGGCTTATGCTCATCTTCTGTTGACGTTAAGTACTAATGATATTTTTATAATACGCCGCTGTGTCTGTCAGAGGCTGCCTTTAAGTACGGACTCTTCAAATTTCCCACGTCGAGACCTCCTCCCCTCTGTGTTTTTTAGCTGTTCAAATACCACACGATCTCCTTGATATTTAGAGAGGGTCAAGAGGACAGGGTTGATACGCCGGTCACCAACGGTGTGAGATGATTGATATTACCACCAGTTGGCCTACGTAGTAGAATTCTTGAATATCAACACCCAAAAACTTATTTCCACAAATACCGTTACCTAGGCAATAACTCATCTGCCAGGAACTGGTTAGTTCAGGGTAAAGGCAAACGGTAGAAGTAGACCGATTTAGAATCGGGAGTTTTATTAATACTGCCCAATTTCTTCACGGAGAATAGCACATACTCGAAGTAATAATCGATGTCGGGTTGTTGTGTCACAACTCAAAGGCTCTAATCCGTATGTATGTGGGTTCTGTGGCACTCGTACACAGCCAAATGTGTACAGGTAAATGCGGCCACAGCAAACGTCATAATCAGGCAGGCAAAGACAGCAAGGCTTGTGGCCCTTCACACCCGGTAACAGATTGTCGTGTCATTTTATGTTCCTACATCTATCAGCAAACCGACCGATGAAAAGGCAGGCATAACCGCGTGGATTATTATCACTAGTCGTTCAACATCCGAGAAGTCCGGAATCAGGTGTTCGCCTTTGACATATGCTGTCGGTGGCGAAAGAAAGGTAATCGATGGTCGGAGCAATCAACACCCCGTCCACTTCACGATAGCCACATATCAACTCGCACGGCTTGATTTGAAACGACGAAAGCCTTTAAACTGCATATTTTCTCAACATACAGTTTGTCAGTACAGTCAAGCACGATGAAATTTGGGAATGAAGCACTACATCCACACGGCCGCGCCGAACATGCCCCGGCTATACCTGACGAGCCTGACCACGACCCAGCTCCGAGATCTTTGCTGGAGGCTTTCCACAATGAAGGCATGTCACCAGAAGTACTTAGATCGGATTCGGAGACACCAAGCGAAGAAGACTACGATAAAAACATTCGGCCATTCTCTACGGGTGACGGTCTTCGCCAGCGTATAAAACGCTCGACCGTGGAAGAGCAGCCGCATATGATACTAGGGAGTGACTCTGGAGTCCACATCATCCCTGAAGATGACAAGAAGCAACAATATTCATCCGAAAAGTCCCCCAAAGGAGCAGGCGAATGTAATTCGTCAGCCTCACAGAAGGATAACAAATTTCGCAATTTCATCTTCACTCGGCAATTTTCGGCTTTTGATCGGAACAACATCATGGCAGCCAACAGTCCATTCCACGGATTCTATACTCTTTTCTGGATGGGCGTGGCCATATTTGTGCTCAAGATCTCAGCAGAAAATTGGAGGGCATATGGTGATCTATTCGGGGCAAAAGACATCATAAGAACTATGTTCAGCAGGGATGGTAAGATCTTGCTTCCATGATCTGCTGGAAGCGTGCTATTTTCTCACAATCCTCGCTCGGCAGTTATCGTACTATTGCTTTCCGATGGAATCATGTGTGGCCTCACAGGTGTCACATGGCTGATACAGAAGCTCACTGCCCGGAGCTTCGTTAGCTGGAACCGTCTTGGTTGGATTTTACAACATGTATAACTTCCCCACTGAAGATTGAAGTTTCGCCGTACGTTCATCTAACAGAATGCACAGGCTTGGCAAACATCATTCATTGCCTGCGTCGTTGGCTGGACGATGGTGCGGGAATGGCCATGGACTCATACCGTGTACTTTGTACTTCATGGAATTGTCATGTTGATGAAGCAGCATTCGTACGCTTTTTACAATGGGTACTTGTCTACCGTTTATGAAAGGCGGCTCATTCTCTCAACTAAGCTTGAAGAGTTAGAGTCTCTTGTCGAACAGGTTGATTCAGAAACTTTTGATTACTCGACACCACGAATACAGAACACAGCGATAGCCGAACCGGCTCCTGACGACAAAAACTTCAGAATGGATGATATCGACAGAATATTCAAGATCATTGCCTCTGGCGATTCCGTACACGTCGAAGAAGCCCATGCATTCGAGCGTGTTCTAAGACGGGAAATCGGCGCCTTGTCAGAGGAACTCAAGGGGACCGCTTCTGACTCCTCCAAAGCATACCCCGCGAACTTGGGCTTTGTCGACCACTACAAATGGATCCCACTGCCAGTTGTTGTTTATGAACTCGAGTATCCACGATCAACTTCCATTAGCTGGTACTATGTGGCCGAGAAACTAGTGGCCATGGTAGGGGTTCTCTTCGTCATGGTTCAGATATCCCAGTACTCGATCTGTAGGTTTAACCTACGCCACTTCTGCACCTGATGCTATAGACGTTAACGCAAATGACAGATCCCATAGTGATAGAGATGATCAAGCTGAAAGAGCGCGACAGCAGTTTACATTCAAGGTTAAAGGAATTTCCATGGATTCTGAGCAACCTGATTTTCCCATTTATGATGGAATACCTAGTAAGAAAACGATAGGTATATCTATACCATAGACTTGAGCTAACTGATAGCGAAGCTCGTCTGGTACTTGATATGGGAAATCATCCTCAATATCCTCGCCGAAATCACTTTTTTTGCAGATCGAAGATTTTACGATGCTTGGTGGAATAGCGGTAAGTGATCCTGCATAAAGTCTCGAAAGATTATTATTATTGACATTTTGAAACAAAGTCTCGTGGGATCAGTTTGCTAGAGAGTGGAATCGCCCGGTCCATATCTTCCTCCTTCGGCATGTATATCACAGCTCCATTTCTTCCTTGAAAGTAAAGAAGCATACAGCAACGCTTATTACCTTCTTTCTTTCTGCGTGTATCCATGAATTAGTTATGTGGTGCCTGTTCAAGAAGCTGAGAGGATACTTGCTTGCCATGCAGATGTTCCAGCTACCTGTGAGTCGATGGCTCACCCCAATGACAGAGAACCATGGCTAATATGTACGCGGGTCAATGCATAGCTGGTAGCACTTAGCCGAACCAGATGGCTCAAGGGCCGCGAAACCCTTGGTAACATGATATTTTGGCTAGGAATCTTTACCGGACCAAGCCTACTTTGCAGCTTATATATAATTATTTAGTCTACTGGAGTATGAAAATAACATCTCAGCCCCCAGTGATGAAAATTCTGATCTGAAGGGCGTTATGAATCAGGGGATTTCATTGGCATATAAATTGTATGGCGCATGGACCTTGCAATTGTTCCTATCTTCCTTCCCAAAGTTTTGTTCTAGCTTCTTCGGCCTCTAAAGCCAGTATTGAGAGAAAACAGCTGTTAGCTCTACGGAGCCTAAAAGCTCATATATAAACTCCGTATGGTTTTACATCCTCTCCTGTGCAGCCATCAAGGAGCCTAAAATGTTGTTAGCTGGACGATACCGACTTTTTTTTTTTTTTCAAGAGAAGCCAATACTCACCAATGAATGTCGTAACCAAACGAGAACGGACTTGGCAAATATCCTCTGGGACTAGCCAGATAGTAGCTCCCAGTTTGCGGGCAATGCTGATGCTAAGCTTGGCGTTCAGGTAAGCGTCTTCATCCGTATGCCCAGGAGTGACAAGGTCGTAGTCGACATAGCTGCTCTTCATTCCATTCAAGACATCGAGCAGGAAGACACCAGTTCCAATAGCAGGGTCTTTGAACGATCTGATGGCAGAGCTCTGGCCTCCCTTCCTGGACATGTCATTCGCCCATCTGACCATTTCAGAATCCGTAATTTCTCTCTTTCCGAGTTTCCGAGCCAAAGAGGAAAGCGTGAGCGTGATATCCTTCCGCATCAGCTGCCAGACAAGAGCCAGGGTAAGCGTCTTCTGGCCGTCAGTGATATCCGCTCCCTGTATACCAACAAGAGAGAAGCCATTCTGCTTCCCAAGCTCGATGGCATAGTTTGTATTTTCCACTGCCTTGAACTTAGATAGCTCGCCACCATGCGTAGGCGGTTTGTTGACATGACGCCAGTTAACCGAACCCTTGATGACCTTGTCGTAGGCCTGCATCAGGACGGATCCGTCTCTAAGATCGTCGAAGAACGAAACGACAGCAGGCTGCACGTCCAAACTGTTGAGCCACAGGGTGAAAACCCTAGCTTCACGTTCACCCTCAGCGTCGAAGTCTTCAACCTCGAGCTTCTCCTCTTCCGTAATGGGGTCAAGGGCAGGGTGGTTGTTAAACAGGTTGGCAACAAAGGCAAGGTTAAGCTTGGGGTTGCCAGCAACCAGGGACTTGGGTGTCAGAAACTTGCGGCACCCCAATTTCTCGGCCTCCTGGAGCACTTCTTCGGCACGCTGATGAAGGTCCCGGGTTTGCAAGGGGGCACGAGTGACACCGTACTCGGACCCAATCTGCGCGAGAAGGACAGCGTAGTTCTCGCCATCCTTGACATCCCCAGAGAAATTGGCCACCCTTTAGCGAGGAGGAATGTCAGCCTGCGAAGTAGGGTAATTCATTGGGAGAGTGCTGACTAACCTCCTAGGCCAGTTAGCTGCTTTTAGATGGTAGTTAACCCATCGCAGAAGAATCTGCTCCGGAGGCAGTCGAAGGAACTGTTCGAGGGTCTCATCCTCTTCCAACAGACGGTAAAGCTCGGGATGAAACTTGATGTCGATCTTCCCAAGGAGACCACGGCGAATTATTTGCCAAATAAGGCCAAGAATCAAGTGTTCACGAACCTCGATGATATCACCGGCTCCAATGTTGACAACGGAACACCCAATGCCCTTGGCTGATTCTATGACGATATTGTTGTTTTCGGACATTTGGAAAGCATTGAGAGTCTTGGTCTTCTTTCCAGGAAAGTTCAGTACTCGTTCATCGATTGTGTCTGGAACGCTGTCGTTAATAAGCTTGGCCAGAACCAGACCATCCTTGCAATCGTCAAACATCTCGAACGTGTCGGTCGGGAAAGGGAGGCGAGATCCGAGATCAGCATCGCCGGCGAGAACAGCGTTGATATGGCGGGTAAACTCGGTGCGCTCATCTTCGTTAATGGTATGGGTGATGTTGGCGTTAGAACCCTGCACTTGGATTCTCCCGCCGATACTTCCCTTGGAACCATGTCCACCAGTACGTTGGGAAACGACACCGCCGCCCTTTTCAGGTGTGGGCATAGACGTTGCTTTAGGCGGGCCGGACGACGCATCGCGAACTTTGGCAACAAGCTGCGCATGTTATTACTGCAGATATCAACTCGATGTAAAGAAAACAAACTCACCCCAACATAATCCTCGAGTTCGACTCGGCGCGAAGAGTCAAGCTCAACCTCTTTCAGAGCCTGGCGTACGACATCGTACGGCTGGTTTTCGCTCTGCTGCGTCGCCTTTATTGCAGTAGCTTCGTCGAGGTAGCCTTTGTCGTCGACATCGAGTCGCTGGAAGGCATCAGACAGAGAGAATATCTCGTTTTGCTGGAACTGAGGAAACTTCCTGTATCAATGCGCTAGGTCAGTACGGTTCGAAGGGGGCGTGTTCGGCAACGACGGACCTCTGCAACTTGAGGACATTCATGGCTGTGGGTCGAGAAACTTAGTTTCTAACAACAGAAGGAAAGAAACGCTGGCGCAAGCTACTCGTCTTGCTGAGTGACAGCCAGTGCAGTTTGATGGATTAAGGAGATGCGCACACAAGCAGTTGGGAGAAACCACTCGAAGGTACGGATGAGGACAGAGTAATAGATGCGCAAAGCTCCTAGCAGGGTGTTTGACCTCGGCGGGGGCGGGGCTGTCGTCGGTGTTACTTGGCGGCTGGTGGGAGGGGAGGTACATAGACTTCAAAAATTCCAAGTACACCCATCACCCACCGAAGTCACACCTATATTGCAACAGATGGGGAGTAACATACGTACAGGGGCTCTCAGCCCAGCCACATGTACACCAAGTGGCGGAGGGCGCGTATGCTTGATGACGCCTATTACAGGCCGCGCAGGTTGGCTACTGCGAGCTTGCGGCAGACGCCGACCAGAGGCTGTGCAACAGGAAAGCAAAACCCCATTCTTGAAATTTGCGTCAGCCAATGTATGAAGTCATCCCTGTTGTAAACGTGGTAAGAGTTAGCGTGGTAAGAATTAGTATGGTAAGATTCTTACATCTATTATCGCATTACACCGTTTCAACTTCCCAAAATCGGAACCAGATAACTCGATGGTATTTGAACCCGTTACGAACAACCATAAGCAAGGTCAATCCCTCAGGGCCAGCCTTGTCCACAAAAAGAGTATCTGCAGAAACGGGTAAAATTTTCTTTCAACCCACCCACGGCATAGCCCCCGTGGTACCACAAGCTGTGGCTATTCAAGGTCTCCCATAACGGTATGTCTCTAGGCACCTAGAAGACGGATTTAGGCAGGTACTAATTGACCCTTCTTTGTATAGACAATGGCTACTTGCAAGTTGTGTAGGGATCCGTTAGTGTTCCAAATTGAGGATGAGGCCGACAAAGAAAACGCCGGGAAAGCAAGTGCTGAAGAAGTGCCTGACGATCTCGAACTCCCTTGTGGCTGCCATTTTCACTGGTAAGGCCATTTCACATTGATTGGACACTGGAGTACATGGCTAACCTTTTCGTCAGGCAATGTTTGCTAGACGAGTCCCCAGCTGTTACTATTTCGTTCAGGTGTCCCAGTTGTGAATCATACTTGGCTACAGATGAGTCTGGCGCATCCGGGAGTAGTAGCACCGCGGCCTCTGTGGCGTCGGTCATCCTGGCCAAATACAAGAACGAAGGCGGTCTGCAGCCAAACTTCGATATACTCCCTGCCATCACTGAGGAAGCCTACCTCTCCAGCCACCCAGAAGCCCGGCCCGCGCGAGCTTTCCAGATCATGTGCTCCGAAGGGGATGTAGGTGGTATGGTCGAGTTGTTGGCAACGATTGATGATGCCAACGATGGAGATGTCAGTGCGCCCTCGGTGCTCAGGTACCAAGATCCACTGTCTAATATGAAGACTGGTCTTCATTTAGCTATTGAACGAGGACAGACAGATGTCGCTCTCCTGCTACTTTGGCTTTGCTCAACTATACCGGACGGGGAATTTCCTGAGGATGGTAGGCAGACTGCCCAGATGTTAGGCGTTGGCCGCCTAGCTGTGGACAGTAATGGAGACATAAGGGCATTGAAGGACAGCAACGGATTGACTGCCGGTGACCATGCTCGTCAGTTTGCGGGGCAATGGGTGGCTCTTTTTGAAGCAGGGCTACTATAGGGAGCTATCGTTCTACCAAAAAAAAAAAAAGATTTTGCAGCCCTTGGATATATGCTTATGAAGGTCCCAGCCCAGCCAAGCCATTGTAACCGGCTAGATGGGCTGGGCGTCTAGATGCTTTCTGATATCGAGTCTAAGTAGGAAGTCAACGTATTTCGGTACCCAACGTCAAATCTCACTAACACCCTAACATCTCTACCTGAAGACTTGGTTCAAGACTTTCTTTGTACTGCATCAGGCCCTTCGAGCAACTTACCGACTGCCGCGGTAGGTCAAGGATCGTCTTGATGATGAGTCCCGTTGGCTAACTAACATAAGGTCCTTTGCGTATTAGATGGACACTCGACAAGGAACTATTATGTAACCAGACATAGATCGTTTACTCATGCTGGTTACATAGATCGTTTACTCATGAGGCTGTTCTAGAAAGGGCGAATTGCAGCAATGCGACGAGAAATACAATTGACGTTCGAATCTGGAATGTACCTATAGAGAATCTCGCAACTATTGTGCGCAGAATCTCGTAAAGGAAAGCAAAGTGGTGGAAATGTTTATATGAATTTGATGGAACTGGTATTTCATGTGAATGGCTGTAACCCTCGATTCAGTTGTAAGAGGTCGACTTGTTCCCAAGATTTCATATTAGCCCTGCATACTGCTACTACAAACTACGAACCTTGTCGGCCCATAGATCTTCAACGCTGTCTCAGGCGCGGTACTGCAACATATTCCGATACTACAAAAATTGAATGGAAATGGAAACCCAAGCTGCATCTTCCAATCCGTTTCATCATAGATATATTAAAAAAACCTTCGAGGTTGGACAGGTAATAAGACAGTGAGTGGGGCGTGTACTGGAGGGGCTCATATTTGTACTTACGTAGCAGCTTCATTCACACCGACTACCCGGGTCCATTACTCCTTTCCTATCTACATCGACACGTCATACTCCCAGAAGAGTTCTCCCACTACTGCTTCGTTTCCAAACTTAACTCTTCTCATACCAGAGTACCGCCTAGCAGTAAACCTGTTGCATCGCAAGCAGAATTCAGAGTGTACGTGGTTTTTATCACACTTTGCCGATGTGACAAATCCATCGACATGTGAACAAATGAGCCTGCACAGTTATTCACGTGTACGAAACACAGAATCAGGTGGCTTACCTAGTACTTTTGCACAGGATCTCCACCGACGACTTCCATCCTCCTACGAGAGGGCCATCGCATGACGGCCTATTTACGTCTCAAGTTGGCCTCGATTCACGCCAGGCGCTGCATATCGTTACTTCCTCACTCTCGGCTAGGAAGACTTCGGCATCTCCACGCTGTTGGGAATAGGTCCCGGGGTGCGTGGTCAACAGGCAGATACGCCAAAATGTCATCAAACAGCCAAGATACATTGGCCGAAAAGTCCTATTTGAGTTCGGCCGTCGACTCAATCAACCCATGGGCGGGGAAGCAATCGTCGACTAGCAGTGAAGCTGCTAGATATGATAAAGCCCCCTCAGGGCCCTTGGCTGGTACACCTGTTGACACTGGTGATCATAGCGTCACTCATCTGTACGGCCAAAGTTCTCGCACTTATCCGCCGGACTGTCCACCTCTCAAAGTACAGTGGTTTCACGCGGTAGATGTAATTAATGGCCCAAGATCGACTTGGTACTGGGGTTCTCTTTATTAATAACGATATTGATAGGTTGCGAAACGGAAACCGCTACTCGGCAAGGGGAACAGCCAAGCCAACCAGCCATTGAAACAATCCGCCGCACCCAAAAAGTTCTCGGCATTCTCGACATCTGACTCAAATTCTCTTGAAGCCAGGTACCAGAAGTTGTTGGAAGCCACGGAAGAGAAGGGTGGGCAAGTTCCCGATACGGAAGCACTATCCTCCCCGCAGGCCGAAGATTCTGTAGGCAAATTACGGGCAGGGTTTGAACGAGGGAGCCAACCCTCAAAGCCTGCCGTGAAGGTACCTGTCAACGAAGATTTCCTGTTCGATGTCAACATTGAAAAACGCGAACTGTCACCAGTATATTGGCAAGGGCCCGTCTACGAAGGTACGCATTTTCTGCGTGGAGGGCGAGACTGTGGTTTCTGACATGCCGGTAGTTCGCCGAGGAACTTGGTTCTTTCAGGAAGGGTCCAATTTAAAGCCATGCGAAGAAAATCTCTCCGCCCAACTGGAGCAGGTGGGTAGCGAGAATCTAACATATGAAGTATTTCTATTAACTTGCATCAGGGATACCTAAAACTGAAACCGTGGCTTCGAGTTGGTATGTCCACTCCTCTTGAATCCATTGTTGGCTAGATGCTTATAACGTACAGTGAGATCTCGGAGCCAGTCAGGGTCTGGAAAGGTCACACCAATTTCTGCAAAAGAACCATCTCGAGCTAAAAAGGAGACATTGGCCGGTGACCGCTCCTTCCCAAACTCTTCCTCCAGGGTTCAAACATCCCAAGACTCTCCAGCTCACCCGAAAACTCATCGCCTGTTTGGAACATACATGAACAACATAGCCACATACCAAGATGCAACAACTGCCTGGCTTTGTTCGGACACGATGCTTTCATGGGTAACGTCTTCGGTCTACGAAAGATTTTCTGGGGGGGGCTACATGAGCGGAATCAAGTTGACTCGCGGATATTCTGAACCAACTAAGGGGAAAGAAAAGGACAAGGACAAGGAGAAGAATGAGGCCACCTCGGTAACTGATGCTCTCGGTTTAGATGAAAGGCAACAGAGAAATCTGAAACGCAGATCTGCTCCAGCCACAACAAGAAGCTCCGTCGATGAGAGAGGGGACGAGCGAGAGGGAAATAGAAATAACCCACAAGCAACACTTCAGCGACAATTTTCTTCATTCTTGGAAGGGGAGGATGAAATACAGCAACGGCAAGAGCAGGAAATTCAGGACTACCACACACAAGCCGGCGAATCACAAGGTCGCCAGATCGACCACCTCATACTTGTCACCCACGGAATTGGCCAACAGCTCAGTTTACGGTAAGAATTCTGATTGTGACGCAATGACTCCTTGTTGACACCTCTGCAGGATGGAGAGTGTGAACTTCGTTCACGATGTGAATGTGTTGCGCAAAACCCTGAAATCTGTTTATTCAAGCTCGGAGGATTTGAAAGCCCTGAACTCGGAATTTGGTTCAAGTCAAGGAAACTGCCGTGTTCAGGTACTTCCAGTATGCTGGAGACACCTCTTGGATTTCCCACGGCAGAGAGTCAAACGTCCGGAACATGACTTAGGAGATCTTGACGAAGAATATGACTGTATTGTGAATCCGCCAGTCTAAATATTTCAAGCCCGTTACTGATCATTTTACAGACCCTTCCCTAGATGACATAACTGCCGACGGCGTCGCATTCGCCAGATCTTTGATATCTGACCTTGCTTTGGACGTCCTCTTGTACCAAAGCTCATACAGGGAGGAGATCTCCAAGATTGTACTACAGGAGTGCAACCGGATGCTGAAGCTTTTCATGGAGAGAAACCCCGATTTTCATGGAAAAGTCCACCTGATGGGCCATTCATTAGGATCTGCCATCTTCTTTGACATCCTCTGTCGTCAGAAGGATGCGGCAAATGAGGCAAAGGACTCCCTTCGATTCTGGCCACCTCATGGTGGCCCTGAATCGGCTGAGTCGAAGGAAAAGCACGATGAGAAGCATCAATCTATGCAGCTTCAATTCGATGTGGAAGACTTTTATTGCCTTGGTTCCCCAATCGGATTGTTCCAAATGCTCGAAGGACGGCAAGTTCCCCATACTGGCTCTATAGCGATTGCACTGACAGCTAACCATCTTTATTGCCGTAGAACGATTGCTGCTCGAGGCTCTACAAGAGGGGCGCCACTTGGGGACACAGCAAGCGGCAGCTTGACAGAGGATGTACTCCTGACCGGGGGTATGCGGTCCGAGAATGCCTCGACAAGGGCTGTATCAGCAGGACCCGTTTCAATGCCAAAGTCGCAACAGCTTTACAATATTTTCCACCCATCTGACCCTATAAGTTACCGTCTGGAGCCACTGGTTTCCCCCGCAATGACGACCTTGAAGCCACAGAGCCTTCCCTATACCAAAAGGGGAATTTTCGACGCAGCGAATCAGGGCTTGACGGGAATCGGTGCTAAGGTGGGACAGAGTGTTAGTGGACTGTGGTCCAGTCTGAGTGCTGGTATTGCTAGCAACATGCTCAACCGGAGCCTAGGGCTTTCGAACGAGGAAGTTGCCCGTATGACGGACCAGGCCCATTCAGGATCCCAAAGACGCGAACTGGGACACGGCATGACTTCTTCCTCAGGGGAAGTGATTGGTGTTGAGTCCAGGCTAGGGGAAAAGACCGACGAACGGAAGAGACAACTAGCTGCCACGTCGGGCGGGCTATCCAGTACCAGTGGCAATGATCAGACATTGATCGATGAGGAACTAGAGACCCTTTTTTCACAGTTCCAAAAGCGGCGGGAAGACCCATCCAAGGAAGATGGTGGTCATGGGCTTGATGAAGAGATGCGCAAGGCGCGCAGGATGAGGAATGAAGAGAGCAAGGTGAGGGCCTTGAATCGCAACGGAAGGATTGACTATACTATTCAGGAGTAAGTGAACTGAGTCCCGGTTTATCGCCTGCGCCTTCCATACTTACAACTTTCTAGGAGTGTGCTGGACTTCAATCCTATGAATACAGTTGCGTCTCATATGGCGTATTGGGCAGATGTTGATGTGAATCACTTCATACTGTCTCAGCTGCTGTCGAGTCGGCCTCAAGAGAAGAAGAGGGGTTCCTGATAAGGGTTATGAAGTCGAATCAAGATGTACGAGTAGAGTGTAATCTGGTAGCGGGTTTCCCTACTTCTTCTCATTTCAAAAAAGAATACTGTGGCCCATATTGTATAGTATTATTATTTCGACATATTGCTTATTAATTATATCGTGAAACTGGGAAAAGTCGAGAATCTCGGCGTGCCTAATAACAATTTCTGTGGAAATTCTGGGAGTTAAGGTGGTGCGAGGTTGGTCGAGTGGCCAGTAAGTGGGGCGGGCACAAGTATTACTACTGTACCTAGCTCGAGCTTGAAATGGTTCTTCCTGTTGCGCGCTGGATGCAGGCCAGTACTCTGGTGGGGCACGACCGACGCGAAGTGCCCCGCCTTCCATGGAAATTTTATGACTTGATGCCGTCTTTTAACCTCTTTCGACACGGCATTTCCGACGACCAAAGTTCTGTTGCGTTGCATTGGCCTCGCATCAACGCCTCCGTCAAATCGATCGTTCACTTACCATTACCACTTACCATGTACCTCGTCTCAATCAATCTGCGAGCGCAACTCTCTAGCTTTTCATGATCCTTGCCTAGGCTTTCCCTCGCTCTGTCTGTTTTCGGAGAGGAATCCTCATCAGCAAGAACCTTCTTGTGTCAGGCAAGATTCCGCGCCATTTGATCCGCGCCGCAATCAATAATCAAAATGGTGATTTCAGCGGATGGTCCTGTCAAGCAGCAGCTGGTTGACAAGCTTCCAAAGCACTTCAAGGGCCTCAAATTCGGCATCCAGTCAGTATTATCATCCCTCGCGAAATTTGCTGGTTAGAATTGGTGCTAATTGACTGATGCGCAGGTCGAACCAGGATATTGCAAACCAGGCTGTCCTTGAAGTTTCCGATCGACTTCTCTATGATATAGAGAATAATCGCGCCCCCTTCCGACATGGCCCTCTCGATCCTCGTCTTGTATGGCCGACTCACCACCATTTGCGGCACTCTGGAAGCTAACACATGGTTCGCAGGGCACATCCAGCAAGATTGGAAAATGTGCAACCTGCCAAGAAGGACTGCAGAACTGCACGGGCCATTTCGGCCATGTTCGGCTGCCCTTGCCGGCCTTTCATGTTGGCTACCTTCGATTCATCATGTCTATTCTCCAAGAAATTTGCAAGGTTTGTGGCGGATTCTATATGTCCATCGATGGCTTTCGTTAACCTATTTCTAAACTGTAGGAATGTGGCCGAGTTTTGCTCGAAGAGCCCGATCGGCGTGCCTTTCTGAAAGAGCTGCGACGCCCATATCTCGACAACCTCAGGAGAACTCAAATTTGCAAGAGAATCAACGAACAATGCCGCAAATCTAAGACCTGCCCTTACTGTGGCTCCGTCAACGGACAAATTCGCAAATGGGGCGTTCTAAAGCTTACGCACGATAAGTTTTCGGCCTACAATAAATCAACTGCTATCAAGAAAGTGCCCCCTCCGAGTAAAGTCAAGTTCGATGGCTCATTCGCCGATGCCCGCCATGAAAACCCAGAGTTGGAGAAGCACATTCGCAAAGCGCAAGAGGATCTCAATCCTCTCCGAGTCTTGAATTTGTTCAAGATGATCAGTCCCACAGATTGCGAATTGCTCGGTCTTGACCCCAACGAAGGTCGCCCAGAAATGTTCATCTGGCAGTTTCTTCCGGCGCCTCCCATTTGCATCCGGCCTTCTGTGGCGCAGGACAATGCAAGCAACGAAGATGATCTTACCACAAAGCTGGCCGACATTGTATGGGTCAGCGGTATGATACGCTCAGCTCTTCAAAAGGGCTCGCCTGTCCAGACCATCATGGAGCAGTGGGAGTATCTCCAAACCCAGATTGCTTTGTATGTCAACAGCGACGTCCCAGGCCTCCAGCAGCCTGGGTTTGGAAAGACAACAAGAGGCTTCTGCCAGCGCTTGAAAGGAAAACAAGGCCGCTTTCGTGGTAACTTGTCTGGGAAGAGAGTTGATTTCTCAGGCCGCACTGTCATTTCCCCCGATCCCAACCTGGGCATCGACCAAGTCGCTGTTCCTCAGCTTGTTGCCAAGAATCTCACCTACCCCGAGCGTGTCCAGCGACACAATCTGGAGAAGCTTCGAGAGTGCGTACGAAATGGTCCAGACGTATGGCCGGGTGCGCAGCGTCTCATAAAAACTGAAGAGGGGGGCTACAGCATATCTCTCAAGTTTGGTGACAGGGAAGCTTTTGCCAAAAGTCTGACAGCTGGCGATGTTGTTGAACGCCACCTCGAAGATGGTGATGTCGTCCTTTTTAACCGCCAGCCTTCGCTTCACAAACTCAGTATCATGAGCCACTTGGTCAAGGTTCGCCCATGGAGGACATTCCGTCTCAATGAGTGTGTCTGCAACCCTTACAATGCAGACTTTGATGGAGATGAGATGAATCTCCACGTTCCCCAGACGGAGGAGGCTCGTGCCGAGGCCATAAATCTTATGGGCGTCAAGAACAACCTGGCAACACCTAAAAACGGAGAGCCCATCATTGCAGCAACGCAGGACTTCATCACGGCGGCATTCCTTATCAGCAGCAAGGATCGATTCTATGACCGCAAGACATTCACATACATCTGTATGCACATGATGGATGGAAAGACGCATATCGACCTCCCACCCCCCGCTATCATCGCACCGCAAGCGCTTTGGACGGGCAAGCAAGTATTCAGCATGCTTATGCGTCCAAACAAAGATTCGCCTGTGAAGATAAATCTGGACGCCAAATGCAGAACCTACAGGGCGCGTCCAGGAATGTGCCCAGATATGGATCCCAATGATGGATGGCTTGTTGTCCGCAACTCAGAGGTTATGTGTGGTCGCATGGATAAGTCCACAGTCGGTGATGGCAAAAAAGACTCAATTTTCTACGTCATTCTCCGTGACTTCGGCCCCGACGAGGCCGTCATTGCCATGAACAGACTTGCAAAACTTTGCGCTCGTCAACTCACGAATCGCGGATTCTCTATTGGTGTTGGTGATGTCTTCCCCACGGACAGCCTCACGATGAAGAAGGAAAGCCTTGTCTCCACAGCTTATAAACAGTGTGACGACCTGATTGAGACTTTTAAGCAGGGGAAGCTCGACAAGGCTCCTGGCTGCAACATGGAAGACACCCTAGAGAACGCTATATCAGGCATTCTCAGCAAAGTTCGACAGCAAGCTGGCGAGTACTGTATTGACACATTGAGTCGGAACAACACTCCGCTGATCATGGCCAAGTCCGGATCCAAGGGCTCGGACATCAACGTGGCCCAGATGGTAGCGGTCGTGGGACAGCAAATCATTAGTGGTAGTCGAGTTCCCGATGGTTTCCAGGACCGCAGTCTGCCTCACTTCCACAAGAATGCTCGCCAGCCACCATCCAAGGGTTTCGTCAAGAATAGCTTCTATACCGGCCTCTTTCCGACCGAGTTTCTCTTCCACGCTATCTCGGGCAGAGAAGGTCTAGTTGATACTGCTGTCAAGACTGCAGAAACCGGATACATGTCCCGCAGACTGATGAAATCATTGGAGGATCTGTCGACGCAGTACGATGACACAGTACGAACGTCTGGCGGTGGCGTTGTCCAGTTCCAATTCGGAGCCGACAAACTTGACCCGGTTGACATGGAGGGATCAGCCGAGCCTGTCCATTTCCAGCGCACGTGGACCCACGCTGAGACCATCACATGGGACAATGCTGAGCAGTCTATGACGCCGACCGAGATCCGGGCGTTCTGCGACTCCATGCTTGAGACTGAGCGCAAACGGTTCCCACGACGCGGACTTTTGAACAACGAAGTGCTGGATTACAACGACACAAGCGATTACGCCATTGATGACCATGAGAGCGGCAGGAATTTTCTACGTGCAATTGAGAAGCACGTGGAAGGTCTGGCCACCAAACTCGAGAAGGTCCGAAAGCTAGCTGGGTTCGAGGGTGACAAGATGACTCGGGCAACTGCTCAAGTCCACGCCGACCGTACCGCAAAGGTGTCGGCTAGCACGCTGAGGCTGTTCATCCGGCTTTGTCTGGAAAAGTACAAGAAAGCCCACGTCGAGCCTGGTCATGCGGTTGGTGCTGTTGGTGCTCAGTCCATTGGCGAGCCAGGTACTCAAATGACATTGAAAACTTTCCATTTTGCTGGCGTTGCTGGCATGAGTATCACGCAAGGTGTTCCTCGAATCAAGGAGATTATCAACGCCTCCAAGACCATCAGTACACCCGTCATCACATGCCCTCTACTGAATAACCAGCAGATTGAGGCAGCAAGGGTGGTGAAGGGTCGAATCGAGAAGACCTATGTTTCTGATGTACTGCGATTTGTCGAGGATGAGTGGCGCACTGATGAGGGCAATGTCGTTCTCCAGATTGATTCAACTGCACTATCAGATATGCATCTGGGTATTGGTGTGTATGATATAGCTGAAGCAATCTGCAAGCAGCGCAAGCTTAAGATCCAGCGATCGGATCTCCTAGTGAGTGGAGAGCGAATCGTTATTCGGGTACGAGATGGAGGTTCCCTGGCCGCAAAGAGGACAACCAAGAGCAAGTCGGCTGCGGAGGAAAGTAGTGATATGCTCTTGAGGGCGAACTTTCTCCGCCGCAGCCTTCCCTCGGTTCCCATTTGTGGATACCAAGATGCCACACGAGCCATTATCGAGACCTCAGAGCATAACACACACAAAGTTTTGGTTGAAGGTTATGGCCTCCGAGAGTGCATGACAACAGAAGGTGTGATTGGCACTTCAGTCTGCTCAAACAATATCATGGAATGCCGCGACATTCTTGGTATTGAGGCCGCCAGGACGACCATCGCAAATGAAATCGGCCAGGTCATGTCTGGCATGGCAATTGACCCTAGACATATGCAGCTCCTTGCAGATGTCATGACATTCAAGGGTGAAGTTTTAGGTATCACTCGCTTCGGTTTGTCGAAGATGAGAGATAGCGTGCTGCAGCTGGCCTCATTCGAGAAGACTCCGGACCACCTGTTTGAAGCAGCGGCTGGGATGAAGACGGATCAGATCGAAGGTGTTAGTGAGTGTATCATCATGGGCCAAACCATGAAGGTTGGCACAGGAGCTTTCCAGGTTGTTCGCCGCTTGGGTATAAGTCCAGGCCAACTCTCTCAGAAGGCGGCTGTGTTCGAGGATGCCTGGGCATCGGAGTTGGCTATGAAGAAGAAGGCACGGCGGAAGATGTAGGATAAAATGACGGTTCTAAGTTCAATCGGCCTTACATGATGAGTCAATACACTACTGCATGAAAGCAAATCCAGATATACAAGACAAAAATACCTATGGCACCGTTTAGGACATATACCTACTAGGCTCCAACTGTAGATTACATATTACGAACCTACGTGCAACTTGTTGTACGCATATAAACTAGAAGAATTATGTTGCGACAGAGGAAAATAAGACGGTGATATTGAGATCACAGACGGAAAGATGGGACGATGTTACTTTTACATTACTTTCATACGTGCTGCATTCTACATTTAAGAACATTCACTATGTTAAAGAGAAAGGACGGACGACCAGTTGATGTGTTCTGCGGGACTGTGGGATTGTGTCCATTGTGAAGGTGTGTTTGAACAAGTCAAGACAAGGGGGAAGGAAAAAAAGTGAGATGAAAGTAGGATCTTCCGTAATGAAAACACGATGCCGCAAAAATGATGGCGAAAAAAAAGCAATCAGGATAATGACAAAAAACCCCGATGTACAAAACTACACGAGAAGATTTCGCCAACGAGGCCGCCAGATTTCCAAAAATCACAAAAAAAAAAACACCAGTATAGTTAACTAATCACTAATAAATAAATAGCATCACATATCCATCTGCTTTTGACCCGTTCTCTCCAGCTCCGGAGTTCTAGCCGAGCTGGTTGTCGGCACTCATATATGTCGCCGCTTAGTAAAATTACAATCGTACCAGGTTCCGCCAGAGCTTCTGTTAAATTTTCTTCCACAGATATAGCAATCACCGGCAGACCCCAATGATATATTCTTTCCAACCGTACTCTCCTGTAATACTATTATTGCTGTATGAATATATACATATACATATATGACTTCCAATCACACTGCCGTCTAATAACGGACGCAGTAAGGGAATAGGTTGAGAGGAAGCAAATTGTTAGAATAAGTACAAATATTTAACTAGAAGATACAATACAAAGTGGTGAACAAGGAGATTTATCAGAGCTATATCAGAAATATAACTGTTTACGTCTTGACGGAGATCCGCGAGTAGTAGCCCCACCAACATTGTATACAAGTCAAACTGTGCAAAGTGTTGGTAAAGAAGCGTTTGAAAATTTTAATGAAAAAAGTGAGCTTAAGCAAACTTGTCACTCCTATTAGCCTTTTTTTCAATAGTCACGATCACTAAAGGTTTTATTTGATTTATCAACAACATAGAGAGGTTTTCTTTTTCTTCTTTTTCATTTTCATGATGGGAATTTCATACGTTATAAAAACTTGGAGAAAGTAAAAGCTCTCTGTATGCATTAATATTGATAAATAAATCAAAGCCTTCTTATTTAAAGAAAATAATCATAAACAAGGACACAAAACCAATACATTCCCCTATGCTTATTTTACTGTTACGAAATGGTGCGCTGTCACATAAAGTGATCTAACCATAGCCAATATAGAATAATATCTATACATCCGAAGGCTTCCCTGATGAGAAAATGAATTTCACGGAGCATCCGGCTACTTTGTTTTCTTCGTTTCTTTTCCTATTACGTTAATATATAATATAAATATTAGGGAGGAGTCTTTTTTGCCATTTCGTGGAGTGGTTTTTTCTAACGATGTTCATTCATATATTGATGATTTGCGCATAACGCACAACAAACACAGAAAGCAGAAAGCTATTACTACTTTATCTTAGAAGAACTACATTTCAAGCTTGATATAAAATTATTTCTTCTTTATTTAAAAAAAAACGTGAAAAACCCTACAGCCCACAAAAACGGGCTGTTTATGCTGTTAATGACTTTTATTGTTATATGTGTTTCAATACGTATCCTATTCAAAATCCAAACTTACAATGTATAGCTAGTTTATGAAATAAAACCCTTAAAACATTGCTAATCAGCGCAGTCTACTATTGATTGTCACCCTTATTTTATAACAAGAACTATCTTTTTAATTCAAAGAGAGATCTCACATGTATCACAGTAACACGGAGCGCATTGCTATTATAATTTATAGAACCCTTCAAATTACCGCTACCCTCCTTCTCCTGTTTCGTTAGGCATGAAACAGTTGCCTTTTCTTGGGCGTTGTTAGGTCTAATGGTAAAAGGAATTATCTGTAGACTATAAGGCTTTCCTCCCGTAGCGATTTACTATGTGCCACCTTTAAGGTTATCTTCAGTAAATTATTAGGCATGCTGCAAGTGTAGGGAGATGAACACCAAACTCTATGAACCGGCATGATACTTGTGGCTGCATGGATGATGATATTTGAACGGGATAGGTGGTAGTGTAACTAGAAGAATATTGCCAGTACATCTCATTCATTGTTGCCTTTCCAGAATCTCAGTGCCAGCCTCTAGGAAGGCGAGAAGAGTACTAGTACACCTTGGGTGATGAGGTACACATATATATATAACTTCTGGGTGGTGGGCTGTTCTCGCCGTTCTACGGCATCCAAAGTGAATGGGGGGAGGCTTATCATCCCGCAAAGCGCACCTCGTAGTGGAAGCGCAATATTCGTATCACATCTATTTCCATGCGGGAAAGATACGCTAATTTAATGCTATAAGATGTGGCTAGCACCGTTAGTACATCAGCAGAGCATATTACCACAGATTATAACACGATTATGAAGTGCGACATTGCGATTGCTCGCTTCATCAATGACTTCTCATATGTACCAAATTGTGCCCCGTATGTACCAAGTGGTGAAAGGTCATGTACCATTACCCCACGTGATGACAGGAACCCTTCTCGACGCCATACTTACCTTATCGGGAAAGCGGTCAGCCCTTTTTTTTTTCAGCCGATATCGCTATGTGTGTACAACATGAATCACAATATTATGCCTGCTTGGATGGGATGTTCTATAAAGGTTCACCACTACCTTGTATCGAGTTTTGGTGAATTGAAGACAACTTGCAACAGGCTGTGTCTTCACGTCCATCATGGCAGAACTCAAAGGAGGTGGCCCACAGCGGCTGTCCATTCTTGGGGAACCAAATATCATCGTTGACCACGGCCTGTGGCTCAAATTTGTTCCGCAAGACCTGATTGACAACATCAAATCGTCGACTTATGTTCTTATCACCGATACGAACCTGTCCAATGTCTATGTCCCTGCCTTCAAGAAGGCTTTTGAAACTGCCGCAGCCGACAAACCCATCCGTTTGCTCACCTACGCCGTTCCTCCGGGCGAAGCCTCCAAGACCCGGGAGACAAAGGGAGAATTGGAAGACTGGATGCTCTCGCAACAATGCACGAGGGACACAGTCATCATTGCCCTGGGAGGCGGTGTCATTGGTGACATGATTGGCTACGTTGCTGCGACTTTCATGCGTGGCGTACGCTTCGTTCAGGTGCCCACGACACTTCTGGCCATGGTAGACTCGTCCATCGGAGGAAAGACGGCAATTGACACGCCGATGGGAAAGAACCTCATCGGCGCCTTTTGGCAGCCTCGCCGAATATACATCGACCTCGAATTTCTCGAGACGCTACCTGTGCGCGAGTTCATAAACGGAATGGCCGAGGTTATCAAGACCGCCGCCATTTGGGACGAGGCTGAATTCACCACCCTGGAGCAGTCGGCGCCGAAGATTTTGGCTGCTGTTCGCTCAAAGGGGACTGGGAGGCTGAAGCCTATTGCTGATATTCTCAAGCACATCGTCACAGGCTCGGCAAAAGTCAAAGCCGAGGTTGTGTCAAGCGATGAGCGTGAAGGCGGACTGCGCAACCTGCTCAATTTTGGTCACTCCATAGGGCATGCTATCGAGGCTATTCTGACCCCCCAGCTTCTTCACGGAGAAGCTGTCGCTATTGGAATGGTCAAGGAGGCTGAATTGGCGAGATTCCTTGGCATTCTCCGCCCAGGCGCTGTCTCTCGACTGACCGAGTGCATTGCCAGCTATGACCTCCCGACTTCGCTCCAGGACAAGCGGGTGATCAAATTGACCGCTGGAAAGGAATGCCCCGTAGATGTTTTGCTTGAGAAGATGGGCGTTGACAAGAAGAATGATGGAAAGCTGAAGAAGGTGGTGCTTCTGTCTGCCATTGGTAAGACTCACGAGGCCAAGGCTAGTGTCGTGGAGGACCGCTGCATTAGAGCCATCCTTTCCTCTTGCATGCGCGTGACCCCTGGTATTCCTCAGGGTCTTGATGTCACTGTCACGCCTCCTGGCTCCAAGAGCATCTCCAACCGTGCTCTCATCCTGGCAGCTCTTGGTTCTGGAAAGTGCCGCGTCAAGAACCTACTCCACTCGGATGATACCGAATACATGCTTTCAGCCATTGCTCAACTGCGTGGTGCCTCTTACTCCTGGGAGGATGCTGGCGAGGTTCTAGTTGTTGAAGGCAAGGGGGGGAAGCTGCAGGCCAGCGCGGATGAGCTGTACATTGGCAACGCTGGTACTGCCTCGCGATTTCTGACCACCGTTGTGGCCCTATGCTCGCCCACCGAATCTGCCGCCTCTTCGATCCTCACCGGTAATGCCCGAATGAAGTTACGTCCTATTGGCGCTCTCGTTGACGCTCTGAGGAGCAACGGCGTCTCCATCGACTATCTTGGCCAGGCTAACAGTCTCCCGCTACGCATCAACGCGGCCGGGGGCTTCGAGGGAGGAACAATTGAGCTGGCGGCAACCGTCTCTTCCCAGTATGTGTCGTCCATTCTCATGGCGGCTCCCTACGCCAAGCACCCCGTCACCCTTCGACTTGTCGGCGGAAAGCCCATCTCCAAACTCTACATTGACATGACGATTTCCATGATGGCATCTTTTGGTATCAATGTCACCGAGTCGACCACGGAAACCAACACCTACCACATCCCCCAAGGCTCCTACACAAACCCAGCCGAGTACATTATCGAGAGCGACGCAAGCTCAGCCACCTACCCGCTCGCTATTGCCGCCATCACTGGCACTACGTGCACGGTGCCAAACATTGGCTCCAAGTCGCTCCAGGGAGATGCCCGATTTGCAGTTGATATTCTTCGACCCATGGGCTGCTCCGTGGAACAGACCGATTATTCGACTACCGTCAAGGGACCGGAGCGTGGGAATCTGCAGGGCATTCCTCATGTCGATATGGAGCCTATGACGGATGCCTTCCTCACAGCCTCGGTTCTGGGAGCTGTAGCATCGGGTAAGACTCAGATCACAGGCATTGCGAACCAGCGTGTCAAGGAGTGCAACCGAATTTTCGCCATGAGGGAGCAGCTCGCAAAGTTCGGAGTTCAGTGCAACGAATTGGAAGACGGCATTGAGATTATTGGACGCCAGATAGACTCTCTGGAAGCGCCCAAGGACTACATTCACTGTTACGACGACCACCGTGTGGCCATGAGCTTCAGTGTCCTAGCAGCTGGGTGCCCCAGAAACACCGTCATTAGCGAACGTGACTGTGTCAAGAAGACATGGCCTGGCTGGTGGGATGTTCTTTCCCAATCCTTCAGTGTGGTTCTCGATGGCGTTGACCCGCTCGTTGACCACGGCTTCTCTAAGGTCCCCAAGTCCACGGACGGACGCTCCATTTACATTATCGGCATGAGGGGTGCTGGCAAGACGACAGCGGGGCGACACATGGCCAAGCTTCTCCAGTGGAAATTCACTGACCTAGACCACGAACTAGAAAGCCGGGGCAACACGACTATACCCGACATCATCAGGGGGCCCCGTGGCTGGGCCGGATTCCGAGAAGATGAAATGGCAATTCTGAAGGATGTCATGAAAAATCAGACTCACAACCACGTGTTCTCCTGCGGAGGTGGTGTTGTCGAGAACCCCGAAGCTAGAGATCTATTCAAGGACCACATAAAGAGGGGCGGCCATGTCATCTTGGTTCACCGAGACACGGACCGCGTAGTCAATTACCTGATGAAGGACCAGACTCGCCCCGCTTACACCAGTGAGATCCGGGGCGTCTATCTCCGCCGCAAGCCATTCTACGACGAGTGTAGTAACTTGTTGTACTACAGTCCGCACCAGAGTAGTGTTGGCTCTTCTGCCGATGTGCCAAGTGACTTCCAGCAATTTGTCAGTTTGGTGAGCGGCAGAAGCCAACATTTCAAGTCGGTGGCTCAGAAGAAGCACAGTTTCTTTGTCTCTTTGACGTTACCAAGGCTGAACGATGCTCTAGACGTTATTCCGCGTGTCGTCGTTGGATCTGATGCTGTGGAGCTTCGTGTTGACCTTTTGGAAGACCAAAGCCCTGACGCCCTTATCGAGACCGTGTCCATCCTGAGGAACATCACCCAGAAGCCAATCATCTTCACGGTTCGCACCTCTTCTCAGGGTGGCAAATTTTCCGACGACGCAAACAAGGAACGGCTTGCGCTGTACCTCCTGGGTCTGAAACTCGGAGTTGAGTACCTTGACGTTGAAGCTACGTCTTCTGAGGAAATGATCCAGGCCGTCACGGAATCGCGCGGTCACACCAAGATCATTGCCTCCCACCACGACCCGCTAGGTAAACTATCGTGGAAGAATGCCTCATGGGTTTTCTTCTACAACCGTGCCCTGCAGTTCGGCGATGTGATCAAGCTCGTGGGCGTAGCTCAGACGGTCGAGGACAACTTCGACTTGGCAAAGTTCAAGGCGAGGATGCTCTCAGCACGCGACACTCCCATAATCGCCCTCAACATGGGCACCGCTGGAAAGCTGAGTCGGATCTTGAACGGCTTTCTAACACCGGTGTCCCACCCGGAGCTCCCGTTCAAGGCGGCACCTGGCCAATTGTCGGTTGCCGATATCAACCAGGGACTGGCGCTGATAGGAGAAATTGAGGAGAAGAAATTTTATTTGTTTGGCAACCCCATTTCAGTATCCCGATCCCCAGCTCTCCACAACACCCTGTTCAGGCAGACAGGCCTCCCTCACCAGTACCACCTTTGTGAGACAGACAATGCCCAAGAGGTGCGAGAGGTGATCCGCCGCGCCGACTTTGGCGGAGCCTCTGTGACTATCCCCTTGAAGAGGGACGTCATGGACCACGTCGACGTCCTCACCGAGGCAGCACGCACTATTGGCGCCGTGAACACCATCATTTCTGAGCAGGACGAGTCTAGCGAAAGTGGCAAGCGTCTTGTCGGCGACAACACCGATTGGAAGGGCATGGTGCACGTGCTACAGAGGGCAGGTGTTGTGAAGCGAGATGAGGGGGGCGGCCCTGCCATGGTGGTTGGGTCCGGAGGCACGACGCGGGCTGCTATCTTCGCGCTGCATTCCATGGGCTTCAGCCCCGTGCAGATTGTCGCCCGTGACCCCGTCAAGGCCAAGGCACTTGTGGGCGACTTCCCCGAGAGCTACAATCTCGAGATTCTCAGCACGACAGACGAGGCCCAGGCCTTATCTACCAGCCCGGCCGTCATGGTCAGCACGATTCCTGCAGACAAACCTATAGACCCTGGGATGCGTGAGATCCTGGCCATTTCCCTGAGCAAACCAGCCGGCGAGGGCCACCCGCACATCCTCCTTGAGATGGCGTACAAGCCACCCAAGACGCCTGCAATGCAGATGGCCGAAGACACTGCCAGATGGACTACGATTCCGGGACTGGAGGTCCTAGCTTCGCAGGGATGGTACCAGGTATGTTCCTCATTTGCCGTCTGCTATGTTGCCCTTGTTCTAAGTATACGTCGTCGCTAACATGCCTATAAACAGTTCGCCGAGTGGACCGGCATCGTGCCCATGTACACTGATGCACGCGACGCTGTCCTCGGCCGCCAACCTGGTAGTGAGATCTCCTAGATGCTGATTCCCATACATTACGTGTGCAATTTTGTAAACAGTATAGACGACCTTCAGTACTAGCGATAACCCCTCTTCTTCCAATATTGGTCTGGGTGGACAATCTGGCAGTAGTAGAAAAGGAGTTTCCAATAAGAAAAATATATAAAAAGGGGGAGGAGCTATATAGTTCAACATCACTAGTTTTGGTTCTTATTTATTGTTTACCATCTTGCTGCTATCACTGATAATTGTCCCCGTCGATTGGTTTTAGCTGGCCATGCATGTCGTCTCGACAATAAGTGGAATGAATAAGGTTATATCAGTTTTGGAGATGCAAACACTGTGAGCTGCGAGTGAGCTGCGGATGAAATTTGCCAAGGCACGCGTCCCTGGCCCAGTTGTCGTCGACAAACTGTACTTTACAATTTCCGGCTGAGTAAGTATGTGAAGGCCGGTCCGAACCAACAACTTTAAGGGTTACCAAACCCGCGGTTCCTTCTGGTCATCACCATCTCATCGGCCAGGCGGAGCTTTGTCCTACCCTCCTCTCTCTTTCTCTTTCATTTATTATGACATCGTAGATATGCCATTGGACTCCACAGACGTCTTCTTCGTGTAATCTCCCTCCTACCTGCCTTGCAACCAGCTAGATTAGACATGTAGATATTAGTCGAGTGTACAGTATAAGACTTGTCGTTTTCCAACTTTGCTTTTTGTCGCCGTCATACATGTTAAAATGTACATGGACCGTCAAGGCTGTTCCCTCAGCCTCTCATGTGGTTCGATTAGAGTTCTATACATGTGCAATCGAGCCCAACAAATTGAATAAGACATCGGCACACTGCATAAATCAAGTTCCCTCCCCCCCCCCGGTTCTTATTTTCTGGCCCTGCCTAATGGAACACCACACGCTGCACTGTAAGTAGCGTTGAGACATACTGCGTACTTCCACATAAAAATACTAATTTGGCACTTTAATACCCTATAGGGCCCAACTTTGGGGCGCATCCGTTTCTTGATCTGCTGCTAAACACGAGTGGCCCAAGTCTTTAAGCAATTGGGTTGGCATCTTTCCCCCTCCTCCTTTATCTTCCGGGTCGATTAGACGTGAGTCTTTGGGACTATAAGGTGGATGATGTAAGAAGTTTGTGACGTATCTTGGTTCATATAAACAGAGTGGAGCTTAGAGACCTTATACGTCTTTACGTAGCACTACCTTTGGGGGTGTGTGTATTATTTTATTTTTTTCGTGCAACTGCATCATGCTCGCTTCGTATAAGCGCACTCCCACTCGTATTACTTCACCGGATGGCTTGACGAGTACGACGTTGGGAGGGTTTACAAACGCACTCGACATCAATAATTCAACATCGTCGTCGTCATCGTCACAGGTTCAATTCATGTACGCAATACTGCATTGCATATACACCCGGATATACTGGAAACATACAGGATATCATACACTTATCACACCAACAAACCACTACTTATCATATAACTTATCATTGGTTTTTGGCCAAACGTTATGTGCATCAATACGTGAGACTGTTATCGTTCATATCTAATGATATTATTTATTGCTTCATGGATCGTATGCAGTACATATTGCCCTTGTTCCTTTTATTGATTCGTGTTGATACAGATGGGGGTGAATTATATCCTTGTTAACCAATGTGGGTTTTCTATTTTATTTTTCTATACCGTAGTGAACAAAATCCCTTTCGCTTGTTTTTTAAAGACAATAATACCGCTCCAGCTAGTCAGTACTTCAAAGTATTGACAATAACAAAAATGGGATAACTAATGATGGGGGTTTTTCCTTTTCCTCCTATAGTTGCCATTAAGAATACCGGTGTAGTCGTTCCAATACCGGGTAATATGAACCGATGAGCCTGCACAAAGACAACAAAAGAAAAATAATTGTACATTCTCGCCCGTCGATGCCGGCTTCTTCGTGATTCGAAAGGTGACGTAAGAGGCTGTCGACAGCGAATAATGGCAGTCGCAGCCCAAAACACCTGCCCCACAAAATGACATCAACAGGCTCGATTGGGCAGTGGCAGGAACAATGCTCGCACTGCACACAAGGAAATAGAGTGAAGAAAAAATAAGGATAGATAAAAAGCAATATTGGACGTTTGCCGGTGGGGGGGGGGGGTAAAAGTTTGTTTGCCAATATCAAAATCCATCCCAGCCTGTGACGCAAGTGAAAGCGACGCAGGCCAAGCCAAATGACGCAGGCGGCCGTGTCATTTGTTTTGCGGGATGGGGCCAATGCGAAGATATGCGGACAAATCCTGAATTTGTGCCGCAAAGTTACCCCATCCAACCCCAGTCGTCATCCCATGCTGTATCAAACTAAACCAAAGGGCATAGAGCCATATGGGTCGTGGACAAAGACGACAAGTGCTGCCCTAGTTTGACCTCAGGTGGGTGTCCAGTGGTGTGATGTCAGAGGGTGGAGGCCCTAGGGGGTGTGTGACGTCAAGCAAAAGCGATGGTGACATGTTCATTCCGGACCCTGCAGGACCCTGAATCCCACATACGTCAGATGTCAATCCTGATTGGTCGCAGACAAAAGAAAAGTGGACCATATATTCGCGTCATGGAACATCATGGTGCGTCTTGGACAACGTTGGACCATCAGTACCCCACCCACGATTCCACCCACGATTCCCCAGGAAGGGGTAGGTGGGGAGGGAGTGATCCAGCCATCAGCAGCAGCTCTCGCAATAGTAGTGCAATGGACCTGCTCTGGATGGATTCACACCCCACCACGGCGGCGGACCTTTCCAGGAAGCTCCATGTCGGGGTGACAGACCCGGTAATGGCGTGTAAGAGCGTCAGCGCGGCTGAACGTCTTCTCCTCGGTGCAAAGGTCGCATCGGACCTTTTGCTTGCGGGCGTTATGGATGGTGTCTTCGTGCCTGGTGAGATCGTAGGGCCTAGAGAAGACGGTGTGGCAGGGCTTTCCCGTGTTGGGGTTGACACGGTCGCACCGATGAGGACCAGCCTGGCTGTTGAGATAGTCGGGCGCCAGGCCCATCTCCTGGGTAGGTCGGGTAATAGCCAGGCCATGAGCCTGGCGATGACCCTCGCGCTTGTGCTTCTGTAGCTGCATTGGTGTCTCGAAGCGCATGGTACAGCCGTGGTATGTGCAAGTGTAAGTGCCGCCATCAGCAAAGGTCCCTGCAGGACGTGCCATGTTGACGGGGGTGCCGCCACTCGACTGAGAGCTGTGACCTGACGGACTCAAGCGGGGAGGAGACGGGTTAGAGCTAGGTGGCGGTCGTGAAATGAAGGGGTATTGCTGGGGAATGGACTGGGTCATTTGAGTCGGAACAAAGCTGAATTGGTCGGCGCTGCCGGTACCATCCAAGGTGGGCATGAACTGCTGAGAGGACAGCTGCGGTGGCATCGTCTTGGCCAGCTGCTCCATGTCCATAGCCGCCGTATTCTGGGGAAACAGCGGGAAGTCCGAAGTATCGTCGGTCTCGTTGAATTCGAGCATAGCGTCCTTAGGAGAGATGGTATTGGGCGTCTCCGGCTCGGCCGCGGGGACCATGTGTGATCGGAAAAGCTGGGTGTCCTGCTGGACCTCTGCTTGCTCGCGCGCACGCTGGGCTGTGTTTATGGATCCGTGATGGCCGCTAACGAACCCGTGGGCTGCAGTGCTGGCGGCGAAGGGAGAGCCGGCGCGAAATGGTGAATTCCTATCGTGGGGACCTGACGAGACGGGCGAGTGTACGACACTCATATGCTGGCTGTTGGCGGCGCTGAGGCGCTGGTTGAAGACGCCGTTTGGGGGCGAGAGGGCTGAGAGGTTCTGCGAAGGTGGGGTCGATGTAATGGTAAAATTTGGACTGTAGAGATCATCTCCATAGACGTCGGTCATGGTGCGATCGAGCTTCGCGACGTTTCCGTAACCTTGTAGCCACAGGTTATATGAGTCATTATCATTCGGTGTCACCGGGCGGCTGATCAGCATACCTTTTCTAAGCCTGTCCGCGTCATTGTCGCCCCCGTTGACTGAGGGCGTAGCAGGCGAATCACCTGCAGCAGAGCTCGCCACCGAGGCCGGATAGGACCGGGTGTTGTGTGACTTGGCATTTCCCTGTCCGCTAATGGTGACTGGATAGGCCATATCAGGCAGGGGCTGGTCAAGGGTCTGGTAACCAGAGTAGGCGTTGGCCAGGTGCTTAGGCATAGTGTAGAAGCTGGCAGCCTGGCTCGATGGGTCGTGTGCTTGCATGTCGGAAAACTCGTCTTCGTTGAGTGCGATGCGAGGGTTCGAAGAGCTCTGAGAGTAAGGTGAGGCAGGACCCGTTGAACCCAGAGAAGAGAGCGACGACTCGCGCTGGTGAGGGACACGCGATATTTGTTCGGGTTGGCGGTACTGGGCGTATCCGCCCCAGGGGTCGGCAGTCATGGAACCGATGGAAACCTGGTCTGGATTGAAGGAATTGGTATCGTCGAATACCAGCGAGGGCGTGTCTGGAGAGTAAAAGTTGTTGCTGTTGTTGTCGGTGATGCTGTCGTCGTTGCTATTGTCGTTGAGGTTGTTGTTGGAAGACTGTTGGCGAGGAGCCGTGTTGTTGTAGTGTTGGTCCTTGGCCGGGTAGTCTTCAAAAGTCTGGTGTGAGTATGTAGGATGAGAGACGGGTAGCATGGTGATGCAGAGTAGATTGTGGGGGAGAAATTATGAATGAACCTCGAAAGTGGCAAAAGCCTGGGAGGGCCATGTTAATATAGTAGCGGCTTCGATCTTCTACGTACTATGGCACGGTGCTCCCGGTAGCCCACAAGAAAAGGAGGGGTGTGTAAAGCGAGTCTTGCTGTGTTGGAGGGGGCGTGCATGAGAGGGGGGGTTTTTTCCCCCTCCCTCTCTCTCTCTCTCTCTCTCTCTTTCTATATGACCCATATTAATTGGTACGTATATATGCTGTAGTCAGTCAGCATCACGTTACAAAGGCTCCACACATCGACATCAAATAGACCGGACCCTTCTTGTCTTACAGTACGAGTGTCAAAGCAGCCTGGATACGCGGCAGGCAGATACTATGGACTCTAGATGTCTAATGGTAACAATTACTCCCACATATAGAGTGAATGATGGGTACATATTGAGGAAATTTAATAAGTGATGTGTGTTTATGGCTTTTTTTTTTGTCTTTCTCTTCTATGCGCGTGACTTGCTTGTTAATACAAGCAAAAGTAATTGACTGCACAGGGAAGGTGCTCGACGTTTCCACGGACTACATACAAACTCCGTAGCAGCGCTGACGGATTAATGGCATGTTTCATCCGCTGAGCCCGAGAAGGTGGTGAAGTAGTGACACATGGATCGATGGCTATTACTACTCACGCTGTCATACATTATAGTGATAGAAAATACTGGCCTGGTAGTCTTTGGATCCCTGAGAGACAGCAGAAAAGTTTGTCCCATGTATCGAGCTGATTGACGCAGTCGATGATTTCACGTTATCCCATGCACACACACACACACACACACACACACACACACGCACAGACAGAGAGAGCTCGTGTATGTGTGTGTGTCTATATATATATTACCAGCAGAAATATGCACGCCGATAATAAAAACTCCTTTACACCAAGCTACGTACAGTAAGAGGCAGTAAAGCATGCGTCGTAGCTGAGCAATAATACCTACATACGGAGTAGGTCCACGCCTGCACCAACCAACCGGTTTGGCCGGGGCTGGCACGCCAATGTCTCCGTCTTGTGGGATGAAGAGTGACGTACAGGACTAGCAAATTGCGGTTCTTACTGGTCAAAGGAGTTACCGCACTCCATATAAATACCATGGGCCAAGGGCTGCTAAGCCACACGCACAGTGTCTCTACGGGTACAAGGGGGTATTCATGGCTTAGTCACCGTACCTTTTCCGCCACAGTCCGCCACGTTCTACAACCCTCCGTCCCCTGAAGCAACATTCTTGGTACAAGCCGTTGCAGGGCAGAGTAATTGAGGCTTCGGTCGCCATTGTTAACGGTGTCTCCTAATGGCAGTGGTGGGCCTCTTCCCTTTCTACTCTCTCCCCAGATGCAAAGACCCCTCATGTAAATAGTCTATCTTTCTTCCCGTGTGGCAGAACTGTCATTTATCGGTGGTTCCCGGGAGAGCATCTTAGCAATCTCAGCCCAAAGGTACGTTGTAATATCCTCACGTTTCTTTCTATCTGTCTTCTTCACTGTTCACATGACTGTAGTACGCTTTTCTCCTGGTCAACATCCCGCTGTCTTCTGTGTCGTTCGACTAAGAGTTCGCTTGGCAATACACGGCCGTATCCGCTCGTCCTCGTGACCAAAGAGATCACGGACTGGAACGTCTCGGTGTCTTCTCAGCCGCCGGTACCCACTACGCAACCTTTACGGAGAAACATCCGTTACGGAGCACTACGGGCTGTGCTTTTGTACTCGTGGTCAGACACATACGCATACGAAGAAAACTCTTCCTTAGTGTCATCCAGAATCTCGGGTTCTCTTATGAGTCAAAGTAAAGCAACAGGGACGTGTGTGTCTGTCTGTACCTTGGTACCCAAAAATATGCGTGCGTAAGTGCGTGAGTTCGTATACGTGTGCGACTGCAAATTTTTTCATTGACTGCCCTCTAAAACCAACAATGAATAATTGGATAAGAAGCGAATGGGCCTTGGTCAATAATGATAGGTTGATGCCGCTGAGTACAAACTGCTGGATTTTCTTATCCGTCTTCATTTGGAGATGCTCGCGCATGTGGAAAATATATCCTACTCCTTTGTCCGTCGGACTGGCCGTTTCCGTTTTTACGCCGACATGAAATCAGTAGCCAATCATGATTGTGGCTACCAGGGGCTAAGCCACACCCACAGCGCACAGCAGCACGCGTACATGTATCCTTAAGCTGGCATGAGTCTTGGGATTCCAGCCTGGTCGAGAACCTGGGAGCTTAGAAAAAAGTTTTCGGTCGGCCGAGGGAAAAATCCGTCATGCTCTCCAACGCATTCATTCCTAGACGTGTGCCTAGGCCTAGTCTAGTCTTGGACTCTTGCGACAACGTTGTACTCATATTGCAAAGCGCTCAACAATCAGCACCATCTCTCAACCTGGTCCCCCATCGTTTTTTTTTGTGTGGTGGTGGTGGTGGGCCAGCAAACAACCCCTCCAAACGTCTAACCAGCTAGGGAATAACACCATTGTCAACTCATAGTATTATTACGTGCAACATATATGTTAGTAGGAAACAGTTGGGCAAGGTTTTTCAGTCACCCCATTCATACATGTGCTGATGTTGGTAAAAGTTGTATGTATTCACATGAGGACCCTTCAGCCGATGGCGTGGTTCTCCGATCATCATGGCCGATTCATTGTCTTGTCGGGAATACCCGGACCTTTGCAACAAGGCTCTGCATCTACGAGTATTTACGTAGCATGCATACTTCTTCGTTCCTCGGGCGCCCGTGAAAGCTGAAGCCGTCGTGCAGACTGCAGCAAAGCATGAGCCTGTGATACGGAGCACATGGCCCTTTCGATTTCCTCTCGGTAGACGATACCGGGATTCTCTTGCGATGAACGTCAGCATTCTGAATGGCCAAGGTCTACTCGGACATGGATGATTTCTTGGCGGTAATCGGTTCCGAGAGATTACGAGTAGGCTGTAAACAAGGGCTGCAGACTTACGGCACCTGACTGACCTGCATATTCCTTACAGGACAACCCGATCCCCACGTTTCTTCTTCTCCCGTGCGCCACGCCGACCTTGTCTGGAAACGGTATTTCAACAACAATATACAGCAACTTACTTCCTCACACTCGATCAGTACTGGACTTGCCCATCGGGGTTCGGTTGCTATGGAAGTCGCCGAGAACCGAGCCAAGCTACCGACGTGCATCTAATTCCCTTAGAAAAGGGAAAACCACACGGAGAGGAAAGGAAAAGTGAGCCCAGGCCCTGTAGATTGTCTATGCCGATTGTTAGGTTCGCTTGTGTGGTCGTACTCTGCGAGCATTTTCCCTCAAGTCGAGACCCATCCATCTCAGGTTCCCTTTCCCCCCACTGTAAATCGCACACCCCCCTTCATCCTCGTCCCCTGATCCCTTATCCCTCTATTACAGCCTAGTTGGGCACTAGTGCTTTTCTTCCTCGTTTTCGCCATTATGTGTCTGCCGCGATTGGACTGTGTTTGTGTTTTTCGAATCAGAGTCATAAAATAAATTTAGCCTTACTAATGAGGTGGTGCCATTCGATGTTGTGCGACCATCATGTGTGTGGTAGACTGTAGTAGGTTCTACAACCGGGATGGCGTCCGTCTCGGCCCCGCTGCATCCGCGGCAGTCCGTTCCTGTCCACATTTTAACATCTATTATCCGTTATCAATCCACCAGAGCAGGGTCAGTTTTTAGAGTAATAATGGGAGTTTTGAAGAATTTCAGTCCACGTGGTTGGAAACGTCCGATGTCTCCGTTATTCCGCCAGTCAACTTACTCCGTACGACAGGGGACATCCCCATGCGCGTTGTTATTCCTTCTCTCTTTTTCGATTCTGACCTGATTATTTTATTATTCTATAGTAGGGTGTAGTAACCAATACTGTAATATTTGTATCATGATGTGCCGCGATCTCCGATCCCTTCCTGTCCGTTGTCAGACATGGCTCCATAGGACAGGACAGCCTTGACTTGACAAATCACTTACCCGGTACTTGGTGGCTGCCTACTTCGTCGCCGCCAGATCTCGTACGAGTAATGGCAAGGCTACAACGCATCGGAATCTATATTTCTAAGGTGTCAAAGTATATGACGCATAAATGTTACTATTCTTCATTGTTTCATCTTCTTTTCTACCCATCCACCATGACGAGGATTCTCGACATCTATCTACATGGTGATCTGGGAGGTTATACCGGTGGCACATGGCCAATCGGTATATTGAAGAATAGGAAAAGAAGAAGAAAATGTGAAAGCGAAAGTGAATATTCAAATGAGGCCAACAGTCACACTGCGCTATAATAGCAGGGCCAGATAGGCCTAATGTAGGAAATTGTGAGCCGTGAAGTTGTGAACGACTAACAACGTATAGCCATCTTCGGCATCGTGACCAAGGAATCATAATGACTCAAAGACGAAACGACACGAGTACACTTGTAAGGCGTCGAGTCTTTGTAATCAATAAGAGGCCGAGAGTAAGAATATTTCGAGAGCTTATGGCTTATTTATACCACCGATATTGACAATGAAGCTTGATGATACACTGGCTGATTGGCGATGTGGAAGCCACGGAGGCCGCGCAGTATGCCACGTCTGATACTACAGTATAAGTAGGGCACTTGTCATGTTTCAAAACCCGGCTTCCGAGCCGCGCATGCGCCAGTCGGCCCGGGTGGAAAGAACATTCAGATACTTTGATTGGGAAGAGAAAATATCTGGCGAGTCATTGCCGCCAATGGGGCTTACAGGAAAGGGGAGTGACCGTAGATCGAGGGCGCCTGGCGCCATCACGGGGAAGTTATGTAGAGCGGGTGACGCATCGAAATGCACGCTGTATACGGTCAATACGAAGCACGGTACGATTTTTGAGATGAGGTGAGGTGACTGAACGAATCTCACATAAGATATATATTTACATCATAGTTGCCCTGGGGATGAATAGGTTCGGTAGCCGCATGACTGCGCAGCCTAGTCTTGACATTGCTATGTACGAGGATGCCATGCAACGTGCGATGGAATCATTGAAACAACCAAATTCAAGATACTGGGTAGATACAAACATGTCAATGTAGTCACTAGAAGAGCCCGTGACGGAAAGAAAAGGTGTATAAGTAGAAAGAACATAGGATCCAAGGCAGGAGTCGTATCAGGAAATAAACAGATACAGAACTGTTCTGGTACTCCATACACCCCCTATACGCATATACCAAGCTTCAACAATGACCAAAGATAGAGTAAGGAGAAGCAGAGAGCTGGACCATTGCTCCATACACACGTACACGTAAGGCAATCAGTAGAAGACTGTAAGTAATACAGACGTACTGCCCCGACACCCAGCACAACACATGAATTACAGACGCGGGACAACCATAATGGCATACGTCAAAACAGACACATCCCGCCAACAGCAATATGCAAAGTACCACTGCTACAAACGTCACAGGAAAGACAACCCGCATGATTTCAAGGCCCGGAGGCCGTTTCAATTATCCCCAAATATGAGCCACCCATTTCCCTTATGGTACAAAACACCTAAAAGCAAGACCAGATACCCATAGTCATCATGAAGTAAACACCCTACAATGGCCGGCGTGTTCCGCCACGGCCAAGGCACGCATCTGCCGCGTATGTATGAAACGTCCCGGGCGCTCTTTGGGGTGGGAGTGTGTATGGCGAACGCCCGGGCGCGACTGGCAACAAAGATCATAACGGACATGTCGATAGACACCAAAAACAAGATATAGAAATGACAACGCTCTGCTTAACCACCGAAACCGTACAGGGTGCGGCCCTGGCGCTTCAGGGCATAGACCACGTCGAGCGACGTGACCGTCTTGCGCTTGGCATGCTCAGTATAGGTGACGGCATCACGGATAACACCCTCGAGGAAGGTCTTGAGGACACTACGGGTCTCCTCGTAAATCACTGTGAAGGTAGTGCATTAGTTATATTGACCGGTGTGAGGCGCTCCAGGTAGAATATGAGTAACATACTGGCGGATATACGCTTGACGCCACCACGACGCGCAAGACGACGGATAGCGGGTTTGGTGATACCCTGGATGTTGTCCTTCAAGATCTTACGGTGGCGCTTGGCGCCACCCTTGCCGAGGCCCTTTCCGCCCTTTCCGCCTGTTGAATTGTCAGTAAATGCTGGTCCATCTTTTAATGTTGCACCATGAGGCTCAAGATGATCTCCCTCCAGTTGAGGAGGGTTTACATATTGGGGGGAGAAGGGGGCGTAAGAACTCACGTCCAGTCATTGTGATAGAAGGGTGGGTTGTGTTGAGTGTGAGGAAAAAAAGAGAGGTATGTGAAGAGGAACTTTGACAGAAAGTCGAATGTGGATGAGAAAGAATGCTAGAAAGGTGCAGAGTAGGAGGGGGCGGCCGGGTGCTTAAGTACAGGTGGGCCAAATCAACAGATCAGTCGCGGGTGAGTGCGGCAGCAAAGGGGACAGCCCCGTGCGTGTCCCCCCGTACGTATGGGAACCAAAGGTGGATACCGCATTCTGTTAGCGCAAAACGCGATCACCTGGGGTCTCTTTTTTAGGGGTGTACGAGTATTTGGATGACTGGGTCATGAAAGAAACAGAAGAAAAAAAAACACCAGATATTCGAGCGAATCAAAAATCGGCTTTTTTTTTTTACGCCTCCGCTTCTAATGTTTGCCGGGGCTCGTCTATATCGGTGACCTGGTGGGCATTTCTCCCTTGAATCCTTTGAAAATGCACAGTCTCAGGTACCATGCACGCAGGGGACCAGCAACGCCATTTTCTTCATACTTGCTTCCCCTCACGCGTCTCGTCGCGTCTTTTGTTCTGAAGGGCTGGGTCCTCTAACCCTTGAACCCCATCTTTCGATATCATTGTATTACCAATAGCCTCACAATATCGAGGAGGTTGGTGAGTATCGACTCCGTATTATTATTAGCTGCCGTGATTGTACATGATGCTCCGGCCGGCAGTGGACCCCGATTGTGTCATACTGACATAATTGTGCTCTGAATATATACTCGGATGAGACTAGGTTCGCTTCTTACTGTTAAATCGTCTACCCTGCGTCGTATGGCGTTGGGTAATAATGTTCCCGTTTATGCCCCCGATTGTATATTACTTTTATTTTGTATATGTGAGTTAATGGAATTCATTGCATGAATTTTTATGTAGGTTTGATATACATTTCGATGCAGTGTCTTAATCATTCTTGTTCCTTTCTAGTCTTCCTCATCCATATCATAGGCTGAGTATTAAGTTCGCCAAAATCAAAGTATATATTGTGTATTTTACAGATACTTTCAAGGCCTAATATGTCCACATAGACGCATTAACATCCGTGAATAGCCATAGTAATAATAGCCAACGTTTAAAAACAAATAAAGATCATTATTTTACTCACGTAGGCAATTGTACCTAGTATTACAAATCAACTCACTCGCACTTGTACTTACCTCAAGGCTGCACCTACCATTACGATCACGATCACGTATATGTACATACAATAGATCTACAATCTATTATATATGTATTATATACAAACGGCAGTCACAAGGAAAAGAGGCGGAAAAACAGAGATACGTATCATATCATGTATGGAGACTGCAGTGCACGAGTAATAATAATAATATCGGCTATGAGTGTTTGCCTTGTACTCGTATCGTACGGCACACTCGTAAATGTAATATTGTCTGTATGAACGGATATATCGTATCGACGACAAGTTGCTTCCCCCCCCCCCCCGTTCTCCATCGACGCGTTGGGCAGTTCCTTCTCTTGCCAAAATATCAAGCCAACAGAATGTAGCCAATAAAAAATCGTCCCTGGTACATTTTTCCTTTTCTGGAATGCTGCACTGATCTTGGAAAGAAAGCAGGGGTGAGGGGCGAAAAGCAAATGGGGGTTGGGTCACTGCCCACACCACCCAAAAAAAGCACCAAAGTCGGGCCCGGTTCCAGTGTTTTTTTCTATCAGCCAACCCACCCTTGTTTCATTATCTTTTTTTTTTCCCTTACACGCGTGAAGGCGCGCACACCATACAGTACACAGTACATACACACGCACCCAGAATTCCTGACGCACGGATCAGGCTGCAACTCAAATCACCCGTCCCAAATCAGAGAGGCACTTTATGGGTATTAAAGCCCCCCCCCGCCCTCCCCTCTTCCGGATTTTCCTTTCCTTCATCACACACCCACACCTCTCATCTACACCCCACTTCTTTCATCTACCTCCATCAACAAACATCATCAACAATGGCTCGCACCAAGCAGACCGCCCGTAAGTCCACTGGTGGCAAGGCTCCCCGCAAGCAGCTGGCCTCCAAGGCTGCCCGCAAGAGCGCACCCTCTACCGGTGGTGTCAAGAAGCCTCACCGCTACAAGCCCGGTACTGTCGCTCTCCGTGAGATTCGTCGCTACCAGAAGTCGACCGAGCTCCTGATCCGCAAGCTCCCTTTCCAACGCCTGGTAAATACTCAACCATCGTCTTCATAATCAAACATCACACTAATATTCAACCAACAGGTTCGTGAGATCGCCCAGGACTTCAAGAGCGACCTTCGCTTCCAGTCTTCTGCCATCGGTGCTCTCCAGGAGTCGGTCGAGTCTTATCTCGTCTCCCTCTTTGAGGACACCAACCTGTGCGCCATCCACGCCAAGCGTGTCACCATCCAGTCTAAGGACATCCAGCTCGCCCGCCGCCTCCGCGGCGAGCGCAACTGAGTATTAACTTGCTCATAATTCCGGGACGATGGGGCTTTCACACTTGATCAGCACGCTGGGCGGTTCACACATTTTATTTGCTTTTGCTACGAGGGATTCACGGTATCGGGGATAATCATTGGCGTTACTATCAGAACGATTGGGTTGTACATTATTTCGCAGTTCGTTTTTGAGAACTGCACATCCAATGCAAAAGGCACACAGCCTTATGATGACTTGAAAGACTTCCTCCCGTATCCATATTAGGTGATTCGTGTCGACGCGCTCCATGCGGTCAAACCCATCGACGCGACGCACCTGGGTATATAAACAAGCGGTCAATGCGACGCGCTTCTTAGTCCCATCCACTTCCCACCAGCGCCCCTTGTAATGTCTCCTGATGGCCGTGGGCTGAGGAATCGTGTCCACAGCCGCATGGTGGGTGATGCGACCGTCAGAGGAACGCAGCCACACACACAGTCGCTATCACTTTTACCTACATACGTGCATGCATGCTTCTACACAATTCAATCATCGCCTTGCAGGATGTATGATGCGCCTCTATTGACATTGACAAGTTCCTCAGTGGAATGACAAGCATAAACGAGCGACCCTGATAATCTACAGCATCGCCTTTCAAACACCTACAATCGGCTTCTCTAGCCCGAGAAAGCCAGCCACCACGGCGAGGTGGTCGACTCCCCAGAAGGTCTCATTCTCCCCGTTGGGCCTGGTACGCACCATCCAGGGCAGACCAAATGTCTCTTCGTCAAAGACAGCCTTCACGTTGTTCTTCAGGGCCTGTTCTACCCAGTCAGTCCCAGCGGCCTCCATGATGCGAGCGCCTCGGCCCCGTTCCCTCCTAGACACTCGGTCAGGATGCGCTGTAGCTCAGCAGGTTTATAGGTGGGTATGTGCATCGCAAAGAACTCGTGGTACAGGGCGTCGAGGGCCGTGGTCAGCTTGTTCTGGCCGGACTGCTGCTTGATGACCGTGAGGGCACACATCGCCGGCACTGTCAGTAGCGGGAGGTTGAAGGGCAAGGCCTCGTCCATGGGCACATTGAACATGGCCGAATACCGGAGACACGTTCCCTGTTGGTCCACTTGTCCTTGTTTGAGTTTCCATGTCAGCGATCTTCCCCAATGATCAGGTAAAACATAAGAACTTATTTTCTTTCTCTACCCTCGGCTGGGTGGAGGGAGGGGACTAATGGCTTACTCTTTATGTTGATCGGTGGCTGGTTGTTGCACATGACACACTTTGTCTCGTCCCCCCTTCCCAATAGGATCGGGCGATGCACCACGTATCGTATTGGAGCGGGGACGAATTCTCAAAGGCCGACGAAACCTCGCCCGAAGGCCCTTTAGCCTTGTGTTGTTGAATGCACGTGTTCTCTTAACTGAGATCCCGATGTAGTGACAAGTATTCAGGGTGTAGGAACGGTTAAATGGTGTTGAGTCATTGTTCTACGGCTTCGTGGCCCCTCCGCGGCTGGAAATTTATACATCCGTGTAATACATTCGTTTATATGTGCCGTTTTGCACTACATGGATAGACGGCGTCAATAAAGGACGTGTAATATCAGCTTGCGGCGAACTACAATTGATTACGCCCTCTGGACTGTGCCCTTTCAGAAAGGATTTAGGAGCTTGTTAGGAACACGGGAAGCGTCCGCCAAGGAGATGGCATTCACAGAGAAGAAAAGTCAACAAGAGCGTCGAAATCTTTCTTGAATTGATTTATGCGCTACAAACTACTGTAAGACTCCAAACGGCACAAATATCATTCGACAAAGATATACAACTATGAAAAAAAAGAAGAACATGAGCGAGAAAAAAAAGTAACTGCTCCCCTTGATATCCACCTCCCTCTTCGTCGGCTCCCTTTGCGCCTTGTGAATGCCTCTTTCTTATTCTTCTCCTCAATTAAACCATTCCCCAATTAAACCATGGTGTCATCGTAGCGGGTGGGGAGCTGGGTGAGAACATCAAAACCTCCTGTTCCCACCTTGCTCAGCCTACCCATGACGAGCCGACTACTAGGCGTAGTCAGGTCATCCCAGTCACCGTCGAGAACAGCGTCCTTGAGGAAGCCGAGCGTGGTCTCGAAACTCATCTTGGTAAAGGGACTGACGTTACTCCTTAGACCCATGCGGTTGAAGGGTGTGAAGTCACCACCCCTCGTCATGTAGTCGGCAATCAGGTTGAGATGGCGGTAGTCGACCTTGATACCGTGGGATCCGAAGACGCCAGCTAGCTCGCTGACAATATTGGCACGTGCAGCCTCGACACCGTACACTTCGAGCACGGCGCCAATGTCGTTGGTCATGATGCGGTTGGGGTCGATGAAGTCGCTGTACTTTTGCATCGTTTGCAGGTTGACACCGTTGGTGTGGATGACGAGCGGTTTGCCAGGATCCGCCTCGAGGGTGCACGTGCCAACGCCGGGAAGCTGCTGGATCACCGTCTTCTTGATGGCGTCCTGCACCAGGTTGAGCATCAGGAGCTTGGGCATAGAGCTCGGGTACTCCAGGTTGATCTTGCACCATGCGCCGTCTTTTTCGTCGCACGTAAAACCGCGCACGTCAGCGTAGGCCTCGAGAGCGCGGTCCGTTCTAGCCCGTGCCGATGCTGAGATGGAAGCGTCCGCGTCATCCTCATCGTCATCCTCACTATCGCTGGCGTCCTGCTTTGACCGGCGTCCCTTGGGCGTAGCAAAGGCGCCGTTCACTCCCTCGTCATCGTCGTCGTCATCCACGCCGTCGGCCTTGTCCATTGTGCGCTGTACCTCATCGTCGTCTTCATCGTTGGCACCGTACGAAACAGCCTCATTTCGGTTGGCATGCTGCTTGGCACTCGTGGCATCGCCATCGCCATCTTCATCATCGTCGTCGTCCTCTCCACGCTCAGCCGGGGCCGTAGTAGCTGCAGTCTCGACTACACCAGACTTGACGCCGATATTATCCGCCGCAAACATGGCGTCGTTCTTGCGCTTCCTGAGCTCCTTCTTGACGAGAGCCACGATGTTGCGCAGAAGCCTCTTCTCGACCGTGTCCATGACATCGTCGATAGAGATGGCGTACGTCTTGGAGTACTCGTCCGACGGGAAGAAGTTGAGCTTGATGTTGTACATCTTGGCAATCGGATAGCCCTGTCCGCGCCCAACCTTCTCTTGCACCGAGATGTTATCCAAGATTAAGGAGAGCGGAAGCACACTGATAGACTTGGCAAAGACCTCGGCATTCTCTTGGGAAAGCTCGGGGTTGGGGTACAGAGACATTGACGGCGTCGAGATGGACTTACTGGCCGTCATCAGGATTTCACGCAGACGCGGGATACCCAGCGTCACGTTCTTGGCAGAGTGACCAGCCAAGTGGAAGGTGTTGAGCGTCATCTGCGTCGATGGCTCACCAACCGACTGGCCAGCGACGATTCCCACGGCTTCTCCGGGCTCCACAAGGGACTGGATATACTTCATGGCGAAAAGCATCTCGGCATTCTTGCGGTTAAGGGCCGCCTTTGATTTGCCCTTGGACTTGTCCGATTTGTCGAGCACCAGCCCGTCCTTGTTCTCCTTGATGTACTTGGTCATGGCCTCGTAGAACTTCTCCGACGTGGCAAAGGCATTAGTGGCAGGGTTGAATAGGTTAAGGATGGGGTCCCGGGACTGGGGGTCGCGCGGGTGCGCGTGCTTAACAGCCTTCTTCATGTACTTGGCGATGTTGTCGCGGTTCGTGCTGAGGCGCTCGCCAACCTTCGGGTCGTACCTCAGCTGGGAAGCCTCCGAGGTGACATTGTCGAGGACAAAGCTGAAGTCGGTGAGGTACTTTTGCTTGGTGCTGTCAAGACCGTCCTCTCCATAGAGGAACTGGATCATGGAGCCGTCGGCGTCGCGGACAGTCGTGTCGTACGACACACTCAGGCCCTCCATACCCTTGATGACGCACCTTTGGAGATACCCGGAGCGTGAAGTCTTGACGGCAGTATCAATCAGACCCTCACGTCCGGCCATGTGATGGAAGTAGTACTCTTGCGGCCGCAGACCAGTAAGGAAACGGTTGACAATGTATCCACCGGCCCTAACGTGCGTCTCAAACGGCCGGAAGCAGGGAAGAGTCTTTCCGCTGACCATGAGGGGCACACGGCGACCCTCAAGAACCTGCGAACCGAGGTTGCAGGAAATCAACGAAGCATTGACTTTGGATCCCTTGGCACCGGATGTCGTCATAGACTGCATCTGGTTGCGCGGGAAAGGCTTCTCGAGACCGTTAGGGATACACGCCTTCTGGACGGCATTGGTGACTTCACTGGCTTTGCTGTTTATCATGAGATCCAGGTTCTCCTGCTTCTTATCGTCACGGACGACTTGCTCAAGTCTCTCTAGAAGCAGCGGGTCCGAGGCGCTCTTGCAATCCTCAATTGACACATAGCGCGAGGCCACATCGAGACCAACCGTCTCAGCGGCCACCAGTGCCTCCTTGCGTGCAGCTTCGCCTTGCGCGGTGAGTTTTAGATCATCCATACCGCAAGAGAAGGCGCGGGCGTTGAGGTATCTTGTCAAAAGTCGACCAAGGCTACTCAGCAGCTTCCCGGCAATGGCTGGGCCGTAGATTTCGTGAATCGAGTGTACCAGGCCACCACTACTGGGACCGATCTGGCTCTTGTCCAGAATACCAGTGATGAACTCGCCGTCCTGAATCATGACGGTGCCCTCCTCCGACCCAGCACCCCACTGCTCAGCCTTGAGCTGACACTCACTCTTCATGGTTAGACCGCCGCAGTTGGGGGGCTGCATGTTTTTGAGGATCGTGGTGACGACCTGCTTGCCAGTCCAGCGGGGTGCGGGTTTGATGACGGCAGGGGCCACTAACTGAATACGCTCGCCTAGGATGTGACCGCTTTCGGGGCGCAGGGCGGCGTAGACGAGCTGATGGTAGTCGCTGCGGGTGAAGAAGGTGTCGCGGTTGCAGAGGGCCACAGACATGGAAATATGGTCCTGAATGAGACCACGGAGAGGCTTTCCGGCCGTGGCAGACAGGTATTGGTGGTCGGTGTCGGCGATTTGCAGGGCCTCGGCTCGCGCAACCTCGTTCTGCGGGAAATGCATGTTCATCTCGTCACCGTCAAAGTCGGCGTTATACGTGTTGCAGTTGGCATAGTGCATGCGAATTGTTTTCTCGCCTGGGAGAACCCTCACGCGGTGACCCATGATGGAAGGTTTGTGCAGCGTCGGCTGACGATTCATGAGGACGACATCTCCGTTAGTTAGATGGCGGTAGACCTTCTTGTTGCGCGTCTTGGCGGCACTGGTGCTCGAGGGGGCGAGGAGCTGGTTGGCTAGGGATATTCTCTCGTCGACAGTCTTCTTGCGGAGGCTGAGAATCTGGCCATTCTCATTCTCAATGGCGAACGCTCCAGGCCATTTGTCGACACCGTTGATGACAGCCTGCTGCATGTCTCGGAAATTGTGGCTCGTGACGGGCTCGGGGTACGTCAGCTTCTTGGCAAAGACGGGCGGCACACCAATCTCGTTGGTCTCGATGTTGGGGTCGGGGGAGATGACACTGCGAGCGGCGTAGTTGACTCGCTTTCCCATCATGTTCTTGCGAAAAAGTCCCTCCTTCTTCTCAAGCTTCTGCTTAATACCGTCCTCGTTGCGTGCCGCGGCAGCACCTTGGACAGGGTTTTTGTCTTTGTCGATGAGGGAGTTGATGGCTTCCTGAAGCTCAGCGCATGCCTGGTGAAGCTGGTTGATGTTTCCCTTGCCATCGTTGAGACCCTTGTGAATCTGAGCGATCCTGCCACACGTCCTCAAGATGTTCTTGTACAGCGAGTTCTGCTGAGCTTCCGAGATGGAAGAGTCGCCGGTTCGGGCCTCCGGGCGGAAGCGATTCGGAGGGACGAGGATGTGGGTTATGAAGAACATATCGGGCGTCACCTTGGGCGTGGTCCTGGTGCGGGGCCTGGAGTTGTAGAGGAGGAAAATCAAATCCTGCTCCTTCCTGAAGAGCTCGGTGAGTCTGGCGTGGACTTCCATGGCGCTTATGTAACGCTGTGGCGCCGATGACATGGCTTGGTCGACATCCACCATGGAAACGTCCTGCTTGTCGGCACCGGACATGTCTAAGTCGCCAACACCCTCGTCCGACGAGTAGCCGTTGGGCTTGTGCTTATTGCTGCTCTGGAAGACCCTGGCCATAGCGTCGTTGCGCTTCATGCTCTTCTGGGCCATCTTGGACTTTTCCTTGTCCGAGAGGGCCTTCTCAAAGATCTTGACAAATCGGTCCTTGCGGTAGGTCGGGCTGATACCTCCGCAGCTGGCGCAGATCCTCTTGGCCGTGAGTTCAGCAAGGAAGTTCTTGATAACCTCGCGGCGCATCTCGGTGGCACCTTCATGCTTGCCCTTAGAAGTATCACCTCGCTTAAGATCAGTCCCGCTGAGGCACTGCTCCACATACTTTTCACGGGCCCGCACGACGTTGTTGACCGAGTTGTTTCCCTCCTCTTCAGCCTCGCTCTCGACGTCGTCAATACCCAGATCGCTGGCAGAGATACCAGCATCGTTCTCGCCGACAGACTCGACCATATGAGCTTCGTTGATCAAGCCGTGCTGCAGCAGTCGCAGCTGACAGACGTACTTATGCAGGTCCTTCTGGGGCAGGCGAAACCCTTTACAGTAGACACAAGCGGCTCGGAGGAGGCGGTATGTTTGGTCGAGGAAGATGGGGTGGTACACCGGGACAGGTAGCTGGATGTGCCCAGGATGGCCTGGGCAGTTGTTCTGGTTCAGGTTACATGTTGTGCATCTGTACGATGGATGTGGTCAGCACTCTTGCGGCTTCAACAACGCGGAACCGTCCGGGTCGTTGTGAACGGAGCAGAAAGTACTCACGGTGAGTCACCCCATGAACCAAGAGCAGGGTCGTAAAGACCTCCGGGAACAGGGTTCAGGAGATTGTCAAAAGTACTGTCGTTCTCGATGCGCTTGACAGAGATTGCGCGTATCTCCTTCGGCGAAAGGAAAGTGAACTCAACGCTGTCGACGTCGGAAGAGACGGGCTGTGCGATGTTCATGGCGACGTCGGCGCCCTATTTAGGAGCGCGGGAGAGAGTGACCAGCGATTGACTCTTTTACGGATGCATACACGAGCCCATTGCCCCGTGGAAACAGTCGTTTTCTAGAGTGACAGGTTGGTGATCGAAAAAAAAGGCGGGTAGGATAATAATTGGCAGTGATGGTGGTGGTAGTGGGGATCATGGATAGACTACAAGCAAATTTTTGGCGGTGCGAAGTGGCAGAATATTTTTACGAAAAAAAAAACGGCAGGCGCACCTTAATGACCGTGGCTGCCCTTTTTTGGTCACGGGTAGGTGGTTTCCTACTGCCGTCTTGCTACTTCGGGCTCAGTTCACTCAAGCATCGTCTCCACCTGACAAACAGATCATTACGCCAGACATCGCGACCAAGCCTTTTCCCGGCTACTTGACAACAAATGACGACCATCATCGGACACAAATCATTCGACCAGAAAGACAGCCAGAACGTTTCGGCGAACCAGGATACGAAAAAAAATAGAAACAAGGGCTCTTTCGCACAGCTGCTGCGACCTGGCGATAGCCACACGCCGCAATTATGGATCGCTCCCAGCAGAGCAGCCTCGGGCCGCGACACGACGCATCGTCACGTGTCCAAAAGCCCGAGACCGCAGCTGAAAAGCTGGCGGCCCTCAAGGCACGTGTGTCAGCAGCCATAGATACCAGCAAAGCCAAGGGAGGTCTCAATGTCGGCCTGCATCCTGCCCTGGAGGACCTGGCATCATGGAACCCGGGAGCCAGGGGCAAGGACCCGGGCAAAGGGTCGTCGCGGGCGTCGCAGATCAAAGACTCGTCCCAGCGCTGGAATAAGGGTGGACCGCCAAAAAGTACTGGATCACCGGGACCGGATGGACGGCAGAGCAACCCATATTTCGACGAAACATTGGCGATGCAGGAGACGGGTGGTGGCGGCGGCAGACCGCGACAGTCGCGCCAGCTGGTCTTCAACCAAAAGGGCAAATACATTCAGCAGGCAAATGCGCTGCGAAGGCAAGCGGCCCTCGAGGCCATGAAGAAGCGCATCGCTGAGCAGACGAGGAAGGCAGGCATTGATGACGACCTTGACGTGGAGAAGAACTATGTGGTGGAGGCTCCCCCGGCCGTGGAGTGGTGGGACGAGGGGCTCATCAACGGGAACAGCTACGACGCCCTCGATGATGGGTCGGGGCTCAAGATCGATGCGCTCGACAGCATCGTGACGGAATACATCCAACACCCTGTGGCCGTAGAGCCGCCACAGGACAGGCAGGCGCCGGCACCCAAGGCCATGTTCTTGACCTCCAGGGAGCAGGCCAAGATCCGGCGACAGCGCAGAATGGCGGAGCTCAAGGAGATGCAGGCAAAGATTCGCCTGGGTCTGGTTCCGGCACCGCCCCCAAAGGTGAAGAAGGGCAACCTGATGCGGGTTCTCGGAGATGGTAAGTTGGCCACAGCCTATGCTACATGTACCAAGCGCTCTTTATTTTTGCCTCATATGCTAACCACAACACTATTTTACTGCAGCTGCTGTCAAGGATCCTACAGCCGTAGAGGCACAGGTCAACCGCGAAATTGCCGAGAGACACGAGAAGCACGTCGATGCGAACGAGGAGCGAAAGCTCACCAAGGAGCAGAAACAGGAGAGGCTGGTCGCGAAGCAGCACAAGGACGCAGAGAAGGGGATCCACGTGCTCGTCTTCAGGATAAACAGCCTGGCCAACGGACAGCACCGGTACAAGATCGGGGTCAATGCCGAGCAGCTCGCGCTAACGGGCACATGCATCATGCACCCCAAGCTCAACCTGGTGATTGTCGAGGGTGGCGAGCACAGCATCAACAAATATAAGAAGCTGATGCTCAACCGCATCGACTGGACGGAGAATGTACCGTCGCGCGAAAAGGAAAAGGTACAGAAGCAGGCAGTGCGCGACTGGCTCGTGGCCGAGAACGAGCGCGGCGAGCTCAAGGATATGTCGCTTAATGAGTGCAAGCTCATATTTGAAGGAGAACAAAAAGAGCGCGGGTTTCGTAAGTGGGGTAGCAGGGTGTGCGAGACGGACTCGGAAGCGCGAGATTCTCTGGCCAGAGCGAAGATGGATGGATTCTGGTCACTAGCCAAGGGTTTCGCATGATGGAGCCTTGTTTGCCACTACTAAGTGTTCTATATTATTATCAACTATGACATTCATCTTTTTTTGCTTTATTGAGAGAAATGTCAGGATATCTACCCGTCCTTTCCTTTTCCCTTGCACAACATAACCATGTTGCACAAGGCAGGTCGGCGAGGTGGCGGGAACCATGACTCCCTAGCTTTTCCAGATTTATTTGCAGTCTACGGAAACACATACAAGTGCTTGCTCATTCCCCTCGGTGATGACTATTACCTGCTCATATGGGAGGGGGGGAGGGGGCGGGGGAGACAACTGACCGACCACCCCTGTTCTTTCTTCCCCATCCTTTGTTTGTTACCGACTCATCCAATGAGGCGACGTGTAGTATCAGTGACTCAACCGAGCTCTCTCATGCGCATCTGGACCAAGTCCACGGTAACACGTGTGTACTTTTTCCTTCGACCCAGAGAATGGTCAGCAGGTGTGGTGGCCAAATACATGATGATGAGGAAAATTTTACATACATGTATGTTTTTTGTCTTGGTGGGGGGAGGGGGAGGGGGGGGGGGGGAGAGAAAAAAGTCGTAAGCGAGATGGAGGGTAAAGGATGAGGAAACAAGATGGAATCGAAAGCGCCATATATAGAAGCAATCATTTCATTATTTTCNCTTTTTCCTTCGACCCAGAGAATGGTCAGCAGGTGTGGTGGCCAAATACATGATGATGAGGAAAATTTTACATACATGTATGTTTTTTGTCTTGGGGGGGGGGGGGGGGGGGGGGGGGGGGGTGAGAAAAAAGTCGTAAGCGAGATGGAGGGTAAAGGATGAGGAAACAAGATGGAATCGAAAGCGCCATATATAGAAGCAATCATTTCATTATTTTCTAGAATATAACAGTCGCACAAAAGTAATCGAGGTAATGATAATGCTAACAAATAATTATATTCTCGTATGAGTAGTACTAGGTTCTAATACTATTACTGCGAAATAATAATGGATTGTAAATGAATAATGAATAATGGAAATACACAGATTGAACCAGGATTCGGTCATCTCTATTCTTGCTTTTCCAGGAAATGATGATGCATGCTTGCGAACTTGGCCAAGTCTTTGTTTTACTGATCCGTTTGCTTCCTCACTACGGAACCGAATCCTACCAAATTTATTCATGGCCTACGTATACGGGATTCGGAGGTGGTAATACTGATAGGAAACAAGATGATAAATGATTACATGTACCATTAATATGCATCATGCTCGTAAGTACACGTACTTCCAAAGTACTCCTTTGTACTGGGTAGTAGCGACAGGAGTAGTAGTAGTAGTAGTAGTAGTAGTAGTAGTAGTAGTAGTAGTAATGCAGTAACAATGAGAAAGGAGAGAATAAAGAAAAGGAAAACCCGCGAGAACCATTTTTATCGACTTGTTTCCTCCTAGGCAGACAAAAAACCAACACTTTTGTGTATCACCATTCCATAATTTCAAGCAAGTACAAAATAATATAGGACCAACATCCTAGTAACACTCGATCGACGCGGAAAAGGGTGGCTTGAGTGTTTGCCCCCCCTGTCCGTCTAATTTGACAGATAGTAGTAGTACCCTTCCCCACACACACACACCGGTGCTTATGTATGTTTTCGTACACGACCAATCCAAAGATTTGCATCCTTCATCTTTTCTGCAATGTCTCATTCTTTCTTGTTCGAAATAATTTGGGGGGGAGGGGGGGTCTGATAAATCTCATCTTGTCGGTGGCATCATCTCCGCCATTCCCCAGTCCTGAGGTTGTCTTCGACCTAGAGACAGAGCTCTAAGGGACCCTGGCGTAGGAGCGGGCGCGAGAGGCATCGGCGACCTCAGGGATATGCTAAATGTATCCAGGTCGCCGCCGGGCCCGGTCGTGGTCCCTGCCTTGTGGGTCACCCTGGTCGCGGTCTGGCCCGTCAAGCCGGCTGTTGCTTCCAGCTGGGTAAAGTCGAACCGGTTGGGGCAGCCGTCTTCCATGTGTCTGGGCAGATCATTTATGTCAGTCAAGTTGTTGGGTGCTGCACTGTCAAGTGTCTCCCTCCTGTAGAAGGGGGATTAAAAGAACGAGGAGAGAGGGTGTGAGGGTCCATGCCATGACCAACCTTCTGCGTGTATCCTTGCGAGCAAACGTACGCCCGCAATAGTCGCACCTGTGGGCTCGCTCTTTCGCGTGTACACTCTGGTGATGTCTCTGCAAATCCGTCCTGCGCACAAATTTCCTGGTGCAGTCAGGCACCTGGCACGGGAACGGGTACTCGCGCTTCTCATCGTGCGTCTCCATGTGCGACTTGTAGTTGTAACTGCGACTGAAAAACTTTCCGCATCCTTCGACCGTGCATTGAAAATTGGCTTCTTCCTTAGTCGTGTGCCGACGAGATCGACTCTTGTCCTTCCTGTTGGTCTTGTCCCACGATTGGTTGACCTTGTGAGCGCTGCAGAGGACGGGAGGCAGGATGAGCTGAGAAGATGAAGAAGCGGTGGCGAGACCGTGTACGGTACCCTTTGGCTGGTTACCCGAGTATATGGTAGCTCGGGGTTGAGGCGCATCGGGGAAGAGCATTTGTGTGCTGGGGTGTGACGTGGCCATGTGCAGACCGTTGGACGGCATCAACGAGGAGCTGGAGAAGTAGCTCGAATCATCTGTTACATGCCCGTAGGAGGAGGATGCACCGCCTAACACCGTAGGCGTAGAGCCGAGTGGCGTTCTCGTTGGGAATAGATGAGAGAAACTGTCCGCGTCGGCCGTCCGGAGCGGTGGCGTCCTCATGTAAGAAGGCGAATGCGAAGTCGTTCTTGAATATGCAGCCGTAGCCGGGTACGAGGCCGGCGAGAGGCCGGAGGAGTCGTAACCGAATTGAGCATACTCAGATAGGCGAGGGGGCATGCTTGAAGTGGTCGAGAGTGCGGGTGAGGTAGCTGAGGCGACGGCAGTAGGCGCCGCCCACTCGATGCTAGATGAAGGGATCGGCTCCGGCAGCGCAAACGGACTGCCAACGTCAAATGCATCGGCCAAAGCGGGATCAGCCAGTGCGGAATCGATTATGGCAAAGGATGAAGGTGTATCGCAGGCGCTTTCCACAGAGGGTAAATGGACATAGCTGCCGTCTGGGACCCGAGACATGTAGTTGTAAACGTTATATGGACGAGGTGAATCAAGACTCTTGCGCCAGGGAGAGCACGGAGAACCCGTGAGAGGAGGAGGGGCCAAGTCCATGTTCCACCAACTGTCATGGACCTATGCATGCGTGGGAAGTGGCGTTGCCTAGGGGGCGACAGGATGAAAAGGAGGGTGGCCAAGAACCCTCTGGTAAAGGATGTGCGCGTGCGCCCAAGAGAGCCAACTGCCAGTACTGGTGTCTGACCAGTGATCACACCGGAAAGCTGATATAGAGTCTTAGAGGCGAGCAGTTTTGGGGTATATATTGACGTACAGCTTTCCTGATAATGACGCCTACTCGTGGTGGATGCTTCTGAGGCTGTTAGAGTCGAGTTCCGTTCTCTCGGTAACCTTATAGCTGTTTCTACAACCAATAAACAAATGTGTCAACGAAGACAGGGAGTGAGCCAGAGAGAGAGGATAGAGGTAAGGGAGAGAAAAAGCAGGGGTTATTAGTTGGTTGGTTGGTCGGTTGTTGGTCATGGGGAGTACAAAAGGGAAATGGGCGGGTAAAGAAAGAGAGACGAAGAGAGAGAAAGAGAGGTAATGACAGACAAAGGATGGGGGAGGCTAGATTGACTATTAATAACAACACTGCCACGAGAACACACGGAGACATCGCTCAAACCGAGGAATCAAGCAGCAACATCAGCCCTGTAATACACCGTAGAACTTTGCGACGGCCGGCAATAGACGATGGTCACTTCGGCCGAGATCTACAGCACAGCCATTGCGGGATTCCCAAGCACCTGGGTCTCGTCCACCTGGGTAAGATTGGGGGCTGAAAGATGTTGGTAGAGGAGGACTGGAGACCTAGATGTACTCGTACTCGTACAGATAGAGAGAGAATCTAGGGGGGTGAGCAACTGCCAACCGGTAGCCATGTGTATTTCAAGGATCCCCTGGTCCTTCGATGCATTAACAACTTAGCACTAGCAAGTATTGGGAAACAATAATGCTGCTGCCCATGGTCCATGAATAGGATTACCTTGTACGTACTGCTATCAAGTACGAGTAGAAGACTGAGAGACGTACGTATTACTGAGTACTCTGCACATCTGCAGTACATACCAGTACTCGTATATTGTAGTGCTCGTATACATTGTAAAGAAACGATTACCCCGAGGCCTTGGCTATTATTACATGTCAGCATACCGAACAGTAAACACTGATCCGTAGTGGGTATAGTAGTATTACCTGCACTTTGTAGTGGGACAAGGTCGCATCTGATATTATCTTATTAACCCCCCCCTCCCGGAGAGCTCTACTAACCGAGTTCTGGCCCCTTGGACCGCTACTGGTCATGGATCGTCTCTGCGGGCGGCAGGGCATCGCTGGTCTTATTTCAAGCTCCTGGACAGCGATTATATTGGGTGGTAAGAGTTTACAGTTGGTGTCCGTAATATTCATGGTATCACGTCGTACATCGTACCTCGTACGTCCCGGATGTATTGCGTCCTGGACACCTGCTTCGTAGATCCGCCAAGACGACAGCTCGTACAGGGTCAAAGGGTCAAATCGTCTTAAATAAGCTTCCGAAAAGGGCATCACCTGGCGACAGAGATGAGTTAGGTCGAGTCGTCATCGGCCCGCCGGATCATCACAATGATTTGCGAGGCCCATTGGACGAACCATTTAACCACCGTACTCATGGAATGACAGGCAGCGGTTGGCTGAGCCGGACTGCGCGTGTTGACATAAACCAAGTCAAGCGGGCGTCTTAGTCACCAGTGAAAGACCGTGGCAGTACACCTAATGCCGACGCTAAGCTCGGGTCAAACAATAGGAAGGGCGATCGGTGATTCTTCTTACGAGCAACCACAAGAGGTAAAAAGGTGTGTTGGCAGGCGGGGCGGGCACGTTGAAAAACCCTGAAAAGGCACTGCGAAGAAGAGGACTCAGAGTGATAATACTCCGTAAAGCCAGTCAGCCCAGACGGATGAGGGTCAATCAATTAATCGATCGCGATCCATGATGGAGCCGTGAACGGATGGATCTCGGCTGGGGATCCTGGAGATTGATGCTAACCCTTTTTCCCCACTAAACGGGGGTGGGATATGCGATCCGACCGGCTCCCTTGACAGGATTCCACTTGTGGCTTCTGGTCGAGGTAGTAGGGCTGGCCAATACCGGGACCAGACATCGCGATAAACAGGCTGGAGATGTTGAAGAGTTGGCCTAGGAGTATTGTTTTTGTTGTTGTTATTAGTAGCATTCAGTACCACCCACTATCATTACTGGCAGGACGGTGTTCCCCCCCCCCCTTCTTTTTGACTTCGTACTTTCCTCGTTCGTTATTGAGCCCAATTTCAACTTGCCTTTGGCACTTTCCCTTCATGCTTACAGTACTTGCCCGATCGCCAGTGCTCGTCTGTCGTATCTGCCACGCCAACCATGACTAGCCAGTGTCATATTCATACCCAGCATGGCAACTGCGCATATCTGCCACAGTAACAAGTATTCTTACATGGCATTCACCCCCCCTCTCCTGTTCTCTTTCCTCGTTCCCAGACTTTCTCACACCCCTGTCCTCCGCTCTTTCTATGTAACTGATTTGCACCCGCCTTTTCATTCGGAGGTGGTAATGGTAACTACAGATAATGAGACAGAGGGATTGTTTAGTTGCATGAATACATAGTACACGTATCACGTTTCTCGTTTCTAGGGGCTCAGCCCTAGAAATACAAACTTGTCCGATCAATGATGTGATCTCTGTCTCTGTTGTAGAGAATCATTCGACCTGGTCGATGGAAATCAGTTCCTCGATACGTCGACCGGGTCTCTAGGGTAGGCAGACGCGAAGCGGCCATAGCCTAACTCAAGCCTACAAGTACACATCCGTATGATTGTACCATTAGAGAATCACCTGGACATCATCTGTTGGTCTATATTGGCCAAGACAAGGGTCCTTTCAGACATTCCAGGTAGTGGTCAGGGCGGCAACCCGTTAAACCCGTGGCTGATAAACCTTGAACCTCTACGTGGACGCGTCACACCAGTTCGTTCTGTCCCATGGATCATACCAAGTAACCTTTACTAAGGCGCGCAAAGCAACAGGCAGTAATATTCATCAACAACCGTCATATGATTCACCACCTGACCTCTTCACGCTAGGTATCTCGTTGAATCTAGCTAAGACAGCCATACTTCATGGTCATTGATAGAATTCTGTATCTGTTCCTGCAGTAGGCGGGTCTACGGCGTAGAGAGGGAAGCCAGCGAATGAACGATTGACTCAACAAATCACATGCCGCTTTCCCAGGGCTCTTCAAGACGCAAACAGGCTGCGTGGGTCACGGTACAATGACTACAAGGCTAACAGCACAAACAAGTGACGCATGACACTGTCGTTGTCAACTTGCCCCACGTTGGTATGCGGTTTGTCTGCCTCGAGTAAAGCGTATTTGCAATAAATACAGTAATTCGAGCCCAAGCACTGTTGGGGAACATGTCCATTATTCTACACCGCCGTTGGTTGTTTGCACGAAAATACATCTGTCACAGATCACAGGCTTTGTTCTTCATGCGTGCGGCGGTGAGACGGTCGGCAGCACCTCCAGCTATCAGTATCACTGCGTTTCAAGTCTAGCTGCCATCGTCATTGTCATCGATTCCCTATACTGTCGAGTATTGCACCTCGTCCCTCTGGCAGTCGCTCTATCGACACCTCAACCACGTCACCGGCTCCGAAAATAGCCATGGCCACCCCTGTCAACCACACACTTGGGCCAGAATGCCGTCTGGCACCCGTCTCTCGGCCCAGAGGCGAGAATGGCATGCCGCCTGTCGAGGCCCAATTCTTCTATCAGTCGGCAATCCCCATCGACGACCCGTTGTCGACAACCACCACCACCAGTAGCTCTGACCCACGAGCTGCAAAGGTCCCTCTACGTCCATTCGGCTGCGGTGACAATAATGCTCTCGAGAAGGCCTGGATGAGCCTACAGTCCCAAGACGCTCGTCTCAATCATATGAATGTCATGAATGGGCGCAATAAGACGCCTGAATCAGCCAAGATTGGTGAAGAGAAGAGACATTTGCTCGTCCAATCTCTGTCTATAGAGCACTGGCTCCAGCACGGATCCAAGCTCCAACCCAAACCGCTCGGCACACCGGCCGACGCATCTTTACCGAGCCTTGAGAATGTCTGCTGTCATGCACTTGCTACTGACGTATCGGACGAGCTTGACAAGACTTTTTGTGCGCTGGAAAGACAAGTCCGACCGTCGCTGCAAATCGAAAATGTCGTCCACGACATCATGGAAATCATTGGCCACTGGCGTCGCCCCGAGATGGAGTCGGGGAGCTACAATGGAGATGATGGCGGCTCAACATCTGCAACATCTATGTCACCGGCGGTCCCTCGAGAGCCTACTTCTACCCGAAACCCGGGAAATACAGCGGATATGCGTGACGAAGTAGCGCATATCAACAAGTTTCCGGCTGGATCTGTGGGAAGACAAGAGAGCAGGGCCCGATCAGGCTCTCAGCCCATTTCGGGAAGCCCCAACCCTGCGAGGCGGTATAGCGGCCAAGATGGAATAACTGGCAAACCCTTTATCCGAGTCGGCGATGGCGCTGAGTCCCCACAACCGTCAACACCGACAACACCAACTTCCGAGCCCCCCCATCATCAAAAACGGCTGCAGGGGGAACAAGAAACTACCGCGTCTGAGAGACCGGGAACAGACACTTTGAAAGAAGTCCAGGCGAAAAAGGTCGAGAAGTTTGGCCAAGACTCAACAGATGTCCCCGTTGGAGTATCGAGACTGCACATGGTCTCACTCCCCGTACTCCAGATGAAGCCAATCTACTGGTCCCCGGTAAACGATGTGGCCGTTGTCACGAGGGCGACATGGTTCTACAAGGATACCATGATGCCGGTGCCCTCGGCTGTTTCGAACCAGCTGGAGACAGGCTACCGTGAACTGCAGCCATGGACCGAGACGTGGAGTGACGAGATCAAGTGCGCCATTGATGTTGGAGCTCTGGCTGAAGAAAAGCTCGTCCACCAGCTCTGGCCAGGTGATACGGCTCGCAAGAAGGCCAAAAACGAAGAGTTATCCAACCAGCCAGAGATCTCGTCTGACCCCTATTGCGCCGCTCGTTGTTCCCAAGGCGAGGCTGCTGCTGAGGGTTCTATCGAGTCAGTAAAATCCAAGTTAGAGACCAAGTCAGACTCTCCCCGGAAGGCGTTCTCTAGTTACTCGGTCATATACAAAGATTCGAGAGAAGCCTTTATGCTCAAGCCAAGCCTGATTCCATCTGCTTATTATGGTCGTAAGCCACTGGCAACTATCACCAAGGGCGGAACTGTAGGGATCCCTGTTGTGAGAGGTTTCGACCGTGCCAGATGGGAGAAGATCCACCTTAAGAAGCAAGCATCTGGCGGATCCAGTGATAAGGCAGAGAACCAGCATGGGTCTCCAAGTCCACAGGGAAATATCTGTTTGGCTTGCAAAGAAGATAGTGGTCGAGGCCAAGTCACGGACTTGGTCCTGGTGATGCACGGGATCGGTCAGAAGTTTGCCGAGCGAGTCGAAAGTTTCCATTTTACGCATGCAATAAACAGACTCCGTCGAGCCGTCAGCATCGAGCATGGGAACCCGGTTGTCCAGCAAATTCTGCGACAAGGCCACAACAGACTAATGGTACTGCCCATCAACTGGAGAGCTGGATTGTCGTTTGAAGACAGCAGTGTGTTCCACGGCAAAGACAAGAAGACTGGTGGGTTTGGTCTCAAGGACATAGAACCGGACACAATTCCCGTCGTGCGAAGCATCATTTCCGACGTCATGTTCGACATTCCCTTCTACATGTCGCATCACAAGAGCAAGATGATCGACGCCCTAGTTGCCGAAGCCAACAGGGTGTATCGCCTGTGGTGCCAGAACAATCCCGGGTTTGCCGAGAACGGACGAGTTCACACCATAGCGCACTCACTAGGTACCGCCATGACTCTCGAGGTCCTTTCACACCAGCCTACGACTGTGCCCCGGATCGACTTATCATCAAAAGAACCAGAGAAGAGTTTCTTCGAATTCAATACGTCGAACCTGTTCCTGCTTGGAAGTCCCGCAGGATTTTTTCTGCTTCTAGAGCAAGGTGCACTCATGCCACGACGGGGTCGCAAGAAGCCGGGGGCCGATCCTGCCGACTACATGTCGAGCAGCATCACGGGTGAGGCCGGATCGTTTGGATGCTTGGCAGTGGACAATGTCTACAACATCCTGGCCAAGGAGGATCCCATCGCATACTTGCTCACTGGAGCTGTGGACACCAATTACGCTGCTAGCCTCAAGAAGGCTCACGTTCCCAGCACGGCGGTATCATGGGTGAAGTCTGTGGGTGAAGCATTTCGGCAGGTCCTGCCGGGTGCTGGACCAGCAGCGCCCCCTGACTCTATGTCTGTCGAGGAGCAACGCCCCCCCGCGGCCCGCCTACCGTCGCAGCTGGAGCTCGAGGTTCACGACTTTACGCGCGAGGAGATTGCCGAGAAGAAAGCATACCTGCTCAACGACAATGGGCAGATTGACTGGTATCTCCGGTCCGGGGGCGGGCCTCTCGAGATTCAGTACGTCAACATGCTCAGCGCGCACTCGACATACTGGACAAACACCGACTTTATCCGGATGTTGTGCATCGAGATTGGCAGGGAGCCCGGGAGGGCCAATACTCTGCCTGCCATGAGGGCAGTAAAGGCGTCCAAGCGCATGATATAGAAGCCCCTTTTTCCCCCTCGTTTCCCAGTTTTTGGTGTGTAATATCACTTTGGACGACTATGATTTCGAAACGATATCTGTGTTTTCTTTTCATTGTATTTTTGTAAAACCAAATTTTTTTTCACGTATGCAGTGTAATCTTAGACGTTTCATTCGTCTTTAACTGTACATAATCGAACGCCATTTATCCCCATCTACTCTGTGCAATCTTTTATATTATTACAGCAACAGCAGAGTTGAAGTGGTTTTACCAATGTCCCTACGTATTAGAATACAAGAAGGAAAATGAGAAGAGAAAAATCGATCCAACTACCAGTTGTGATGATGTATGGCTCACACGCCGTCAAGTTCCATCATATCCTGATCGATGTCTCCGTCATCATACTCATTAACCTCTGTGACCTTGGCGTTGGAGGGGGCTCCATTGCCGTTGCCATTGTACGCAGCCTCCTGGAGTTTTCTTATCCTGTCGTCATCCATCTTCTCCTTGTGCTGCATAAGGTCCTCGTATCCCCAAGTACTGATGCCTTCTTGGTCCTTTGCACGGAAGGGCTGGGCCATGGTGCGGAGGAAGCGACGAGCACTGCTGACGGACATGTCTGTGCTGAGGTTCGTCTCAGCCTCCAGAAGACCTTGGTTGATCCACTTGGGCAGCTGGGACCTCTTCTTCTGGAAGCGGCGGTCGGCGAGGACCATGATGCCGTAATCATCTTTGCCACGGAGAACGCGACCGAGGCACTGGGCTGCGTGGCGCATGGCGTCGAAGGAAAGGAAGTCGTTCTCGCGGATGCGGTACGTCTCGCGCAGGAACTCGAGGCGCGCCTTGAGGATGCGCGACTCGGTGTACTGGAAGGGCACGCCGATGCACAGCACGGTCCTGCCGTACTGGTGGTCGAAGTCGATGCCCTCTGACACCTTGCCGCGGGCGACGCACAGCAAGACGGCACCGCGGCCGTTGCAGCAGGCGGTGCGGTACGTTTCGAGGGCCAGCGACGTCTCCTGAGCGTCGGGCGTCTCCACCAAGATCAGCTTGTACTTCCATACCTCGTCCAGGATGCCCATGCCCTGCCACATGCTGATGATGGACTCCATGTACAGATACGACGGGAAGAAGACGACCATGCCGTCAGGCGTGATCTTGGCGAACTCGGTCAAGAGGTTGCCGTAGTTGCGCACCACGCTGGGCTCGTTGCGCACCTGGAAGCTCGTTGAGATGGCTGCTTGGTCGCTGCCGCGCGTCACAATCATAGGCAGGAATGACCGCCGTGCCAGCGTCATGCTGTACGACTCCTGTATCACGGTTGGGAAGTCGAGCATCTTGGGGTACATCTCCAGCGGCGAGATGGTGCCCGACGTGATGATGACTGAGTAGAAGCGCTCGAATACGGGCCGGATCGCAATCGCTGCGTCCAGGCACGTAAAGTGCAGAATCGGGTTCGGCACTTCGGCAGTGTCCGACTCGTAGGGCTCCAGGATCAACAGAAATCCCTTCTCGTACGTTGCTACCAGTGTCGCAAATGTCGCAACCTCCTGCAACGGCTGGTAGTCGTCGATGTTGGTGAGCTCCAGCGTCCTGACGAGGGAGGTCAATCGCTCGGAACAGAATCGCAACGGCTTTTTCTCGATGAATGTGTGCTCCTTGAGATGGGCCAGGAAGGATGGCGGCGTCTCCGAGATGACTTGCCGCACCTTCATGCGTGTCTTGAGGTATTCGATGAACCGTTTCAAAAATGATATGAAGTGCTCTGCTCTTCGAATGTTTCCGGGGACAGCCTCCTTCAACAGATCCGCGGGTAGAGCTAGGGGTGAATTAGCAAGCGAAGGAAAGCCCCATCAATATCCCTAAGGAAGAATGTGTCTTACCAGGATTGGCCATGAAGGCATCTTCCTGCCTGGCCTCGTCCGTCTCTCGGAGACCTTGTACCAACTTTTGATATTCATTCTGAAGCTGTTCCTGGTCTGTATCTCGCATCTCCGAGACTTTGCGCTCTAGGTTCTGAGCTCCCCTTGTTGCCCTGCGGAGCGATTCTTCAGTGATGTCCGTACTCAAGGCCTCGATACACACGTTGTCAATGTTGTGGGCCTCATCAAAGACGACGATGCAGTCCTTTGAGAAGTCGCGCGACACCCGTTCGGCAATCTTAGGATCTAGTAGGTAGTGGTAGGAGAAGATGACGACGTTGCAGTATTGCATCTAGAAGGCAGATGGAGTCAGCCTAGCACTCTGAAATATAAGGGAGAGAGAGAGAAGGCTCACCATACGCCGCACAGTAAAGTACGGACACTGCTTGTGCTCCTCTCCGTATTTCAGGACACTATCAAAGGTCCAGACACCGTTGGGGATGAGGTTGTGAGGTTCGAGCAAGTCGAGGTTCTAGACGAAAACGAGTTGTCAACATTAGCCCAAGACCCCCTTTTGGAGTGCAGACAGACGGGCAGGACAAACATCATGATAAGCGCAGAGATCGACATCTTCACCGCGGTCCTTCTTCTCCTTGACGAAACCAGCCGTCAAGCTTCGACACCGGGCATCAACAACAGCGCCGCTCTTCTCGCGCTTGACCGATGGATGAAGGCAGAGGTTCTTGCGACTGGTGAGGCCGAGACCACGAAACTCCTCTTCATACCCGAGCTGCTCAGAACGATACTTCATGAGGGCCTGAAGCTCAACCAAGGCTTTTTCGATCTCGGACATTGTTCCTGGATATAACGGTCAGATGAGCGACCAAGCACGCGACCATGCACCAGGCGACTGTCGGGGAGCATACGAGAGCAGTATATGAGCTTGCGCTTCTCGGGCATGTACTGCTGGTACGCCACGATGAGCGATAGCAGGGATACTGTCTTTCCGGTGCCCGAGGGCATCTCCAAGACACAGTGACCTCCGGCATCCAGAGTCTCTGTTGAACACATGTGGTGGATCAGCGACGGCCGTCGGGGGAGGTTAGAGGCAGGAAGATGAATTTATTACTCTTGAGATCGCACATGTAGCTGTCATATAATATTAGCCAAAATCTGCAACCGGAGGGGGGGGGGGAGGGAGGCAAAAACTCACGCATATTGCTCTGGATATATCCTGGGGTACGGGAAGAGTACGGGCAAGTCGCTAAGTAGAGAGAGGGAGAAAGATCAGTGAGCCAAAGTTTTCATCGGATGAATCTCTCGTGGGGAACACAAAGGCCATCCATACTCAATATTGAACTTCATCCCTGCGGTTTTCGGAAGGGCTGGAAGCGCCCACCGTGGTCTGTGCCAAGGATGCAGGAAGTTTTGCAGTAAGCTTTGAATGAAGAGCTTGAGGCCAATTTTCTCCGGGTTTCGCGGTCGCCTGTTGATCTGCGGTGACGTGAAGCTTCCAGGGATTAGTCGCTAGGTCGAGCGCGAAGTCACGTGATATTTTTTTGTACATGTATGTGCCGTTAACAAGTCAAAGTGTCAACGAGTTGTCGCGATTCTTCGACTACCTCAGAGTATTTGTGAATTAGATATGGACTTATGAAGAAAAAAAAGAAAAAAAAAGAAGATGTGTCTCTTCCATTGAACATCTTTGGTTACTTTGGTCTACTTATATGGGCTCGAAGATGGTTTGGTAGGTAATAACCAATACTGAACCATGTATTATGTTGGGCACAAAGTGGCACAAAAAGCCGAAGAACCTAAGGCCATCAACATATTACGAGTAGCATTCATTATTAATACATAGTACAGCTTCAAGACCTACGCATTTGTACTCCGTACATGTACTCACTCAATCGTCTCTCCTCTAGGCTTAGTAGATGTCCCATTCGTGATGTACTTTGAAATCCGTGCCAACCAAGGTGGGCAGGACGTCTGTCCGTAGTCACGTCAGGTCTTTCTGTACGTACCTGATGACGGCATCATTCTATGTCCTCGACCTTTGCCGAGCATAGGCATTTGGCTGTAAAGGATACTACTACTATACTTTGATTCGTTTGTCTTATTTCTGTAAGCTCAGTTTTGGATAGAGAATGCTAATAGTAATTTTTAATGACAAGTATATGTACAATACCATACCATAGCCTACCTATATATTGGTTACCACGACCTTCACCACCTGTATCGTCTTCTTCTCCCCTAGAATCCCCTCCTTAAGCACTTATAGAATAATGGGAATGGCGGCAATAAGACCAGCCATGAGAGTCGGGGCGGCAAACCTGCCGGCGGCATTATCATCATCATCATCATCGTCCGTGTCACTACTGTTCTTGGAGTTGCTCTTGCCAATGTCGTCGTCGTCGTCCTCATCATCGTCGCTTCTAGACCGGCAAAAGACGCCGTCACACGTCTGTCCGGCGTCACAGTATAGCGTCCCCTTGTTGCAGCACACAGCGTCCTTGGGGATACAGGCGCCACCACATTCCTGGGCGTCGACATCGCAGCTATTGGCGACGCCGGTGCACGTTTTGCCGTTCTCGCAGCAGCCACCGTCCACACAGTAGTTTCCACTATCGCAGTATGAGCCGTCTAGAAAGTTGCAGCAGGTGGCATCCTCGGGGATGCACCAGTCGACGTCGCAGGCGCTGTAGTCGGACAAGCCGCCGCACGTATCCCTCTTGGACAGGGCTTTGAGGGATAGCGGGAGGCCTAACTGGCCTCTGAGGGGGGTTGCCTGGATGGCAGCAATTTATATATAGCAAACATTCTACGGAGTGAAAGCAAAGTCAGCCCGACGGCTGTTGTAGAGTTGTATGGTGTATGGGGGTTATCAAGTATGTGGGTATGTGTGGGGTTGAGCCGGTCAGGCATTGCCCCGGATTACTCTTCTTCATCAACCATTTTTTTCTTTCTTTCTTTTTCTTTTCGTGCTAAGGGGCAGTTTGATAATGAACTGGAAATTGTAGCTTTTTTGTATGAATGACGCTGAGCAGTCAAGGTATGGGCTCCGGAGGATGGAGTTAATGAGGTGGGCATCATGGGACAAGGTGATGCTAGTACTAGTCTTGGTACAACACTTCACATATCAAGTTGCACAGATGTATGTGTATATATATGTACGAGTCACGGGAGAATTGGTGTTGAAGTATACGGGTATGACTAGGATGAGATTCCTGATGGCCGGAGGAAAGGTGAGTCTTTTAAGACAGATATTCACAGACAGACATATACTCGTATATGTGTAGATGGATATGGAGGTTGCATGTCGGTAGGTATACGAGTACGAGAAGGGTATGAGTACGGACATTAGATGATATGTAATTGCAGTAACCGATGGTCTGGTCCGTACTTTACAGGCCGGCGTGATATACGGAAAATACGCCGCATTAAGGAGCCATCGTAGCGTCAGTGACCTATAGGGCAGACCAATAGTACAGACCAAGGACCGGGCGTGATAGTATGAGAGAAGCTGGAACGAGTCGAGACTAATAACTCAACAAGCTCATTACTAGATTATGGGCTCCGCAACAGCCATAGCAGCGGACTATTCCGGATACTAGTGCAGTAGCTTATAGGCCAGGCTTTTCTTCCCTGCCAAGTGTTATTTGCACCGGCAAGTCTGCTGTCCCGAGTCGTCTTGATCCAGGAACGCGTTGAGTTGTTCTGGATCTACTCGGAAGTAGCGGGATGCCTGCCAGGTTGTTGTCACGACCAGGAGTAGTTGGAAGAGAACGTACTTGTAGTAGTAGTAGCAACAATGTCACTACACAAGTACCTGGTATTGATACCAGTTGACAACTCTAAACATGCAAAGTACTAATAACAGCAACGCCAGACTGTAATATTACGTGTAATGCTTTATAGAGTAAGCATGATAAAGTTGCATGGATATGGGGATCACGTATACTACGGAGTAATATCACTACTTGTCGTTGGCATTATGACACCGTATTAAAAACGCGACTACGGAGTACTCCGTACAGATACATACATGTACTAGAAACTACGGAGTAAAACTCCGCATTATACATGTGCCATCATTGGTTCATATCGATCTTACCCGCTGAAGTAATGCTGCAACTACATGTAGTAGTACTGCTAGTAGGTAACGTATGTATATATGTACATGCATCAGACAACATATAGCACTGCCTACTCATATGAGTTGCAACTAACCGACATAGCAATTCGTCTCTCGTACCTGTAAGAATACAGCTTATGCCAAGACGATGCATTCAAAAGAATTAATGGGGCAGGATCGCCCAGAGAGAGCGAGAAGCGGGAGGGGGGCTGTCCAGAAACCAGCGGTGGGTAACTTAGTATCGACTTCGTATTGACTTGAAGAAGTACTAGACGAACCAGGCAACTCCCACCGTAAATCATGTCAGCCCAAGCTTTTGGATACCCACAGACCATGACAACTGTCAACAAACACCCCGAGATACCTATCGATATCACCGGCCACTTCTCTCTTAGGCACAGACCGGTAATCCTGTCCATTGAGCTAGTCTGATCTCACGAGTTGCGAGGTAACAAGCCTTAGTTTTCTAGACTTGCTCATAGTCTCTTAAAAGGTCTCTTGAGAGTAACGAGTGTATCGCGAATGACATGCCCAAAGGTATCGCGCGCAGCTTAGTAGTATTCCAGTATTAGTTGTACATGCACGTACTCGTAGTAGTCATGAGTATAGATGTACACTACAGACACCGTATTTCTACAACGTAATATGGCGTACAAGCACGAGCACAAGGGTCAACTCAGCCTGGTGGACATAAAGTGGCCCAGACCCCGGTTTCAAAACAGGGGCCTTTGTTAATTGCTTATTGACTGGATGCGAATGTACCCGCTTAAAGGATGCGCGCGGCGTTTACTCGCCACGGATGGAATTACGGAGGAGTACAAGAAAGAAAGAGGCCAAGGCCAAGCATGAATTCGGTAGAGAACTGCAGCCTGGCAGCGCCGAAACTGGAACATATAACTATTCAAGGGGGTCCGCAGTGAGAACAGTCAGTTTCATCGCTATCACCACCTCTATCACTTTTCTTTCTCTTCTTGTTTCTCTTTCATTCTTAATATTGGTACTACTACTAGTACTATCCCCCCCCCTTCCCCCCCTTTTATTCCACCCAAAAAAACCATCAAATCTTTGGATTTGTTTCTCTCGCTTTCAATAATAGAAAAAATGTTCGCCCAGGAACACCGGATCTTTGCGGTCATGGCCTTTGTCGCCGCCACATCGGCCAGCAACATCAAGGCCCGCGACGTGGACGACTGCATGGCCGCCGCTTCCACCGTCATCGAGAAGGCCGACGGCATCCCCACGCCGCCCAGCAGCCTGGCGTCCTACATTGCCAAAGAGACGACCTGGTCCTCGGCCACGGACGCCTGCGAGATCCCCGCCGTCACCGGATCCATCGCCTCCGGCTACTCGTCCTACATGTCTGAGCTGTCGAGCTGGTACGTCAAGAACAGCGAGGTCGTCAACTCCTTCGTTGCCGCATGCACCGACATCCCCGAGGTGTCGGAGCAGTTTGGCGGCGTCACCGTGCCCACCGGCTGCGACTCAATCAAGTGGGAGAGTCCCGCTGTCACGTCCACCTCTACCTCCAAGACCTCCACCTCTGCCTCCAAGACTCCCACCTCTGCCTCCGAGGCTCCCACCTCTGCCTCCGAGACTCCCACCTCTACCTCCGTGACTTCGACCGAGTCTGGCAGCTCGACTGCCGCGACGCCCTCGCCTTCTTCCAGCGGCAGTGACGACTCCTCGTCCTCGTCCTCCACCTCCTCTGACGACAAGCCCGAAAACTCGGGTACTCGCCAGACTGGCGCCGTCGCCGCCGCCGTCGCCATGGCCGCTCTCGTCGCCTTTGCCCTGTAAATTGACTTTGACTCTCGACTTTGCCTCGCGATTTGCGACCTTACAACCTTGCGATTCGAAGCTTTCCCCTTCTGCGATACTGATTAGACTTCGGACGAACAAGAGAAGAAAGAAAGAGAAGAAATAATGGAACCTGCAGTGCCCATAGTCATCAACATGTCATCATCTCTCCATTCTTCCTGTCATCCTTTTTTTTCTATCATCACGGCCTGCCGTTCCTCAGTACATATACCACCACCTTCTAGATAATCGATCCATCTAGTACCTGAAAACAGATACTGTCATTATCATCTTCTTCTCATATCAGACTCACCTATCATGCCTTTGCTACGACGCATCTTTTGATTAAATATTGCAAGGACGTTGAACCCAGTCTATTTATTCAACTCTCATGTCTGTGTTTGCGCCCGTATGTATGCGTGTGTGCATGACTGTGCATATGAAATTGCAGGGATCATGCCTGCCAGTAGTAGTACTCGATTAACGAAAGACTCAAAGAAAGACATAGTTAAATGTACCACGGCCCATCACTGTTTGAAGTGCCGGGGTGACGCAACAGTTCTGCAAGGGTTACGAGACATGTCTGATCAGTGATAGTTACCCGTTCACGGCGCGGGCATGTATCAGACGATGCCAAGTTTTGATATTGGAGGGCTATGTTGAGGACAAAGACTGGGGAGTCATGACCAGTAGTATTCGTATCAGTAATGAATAGTGAAAATGGATTGATACATGTATCCAACAACATCCGCTCAGATCATACGACTGACATTTGATATCCCCGGAATATTACAATACTCATACGCCAATTGAGCCATTCACCGGCCGTTACTACTATCGTCCTAGACTAGTCTCGGGTCATGCCTTTTCCCTTTGATAGCCGCGCTACCGTGTTGATACTACCCCAAAGAGGGAGAGGTTGGGGTGGTGGAATGTAGATGGAACCATGCTTAACTTCGTCTCTTTCGTAGAGTAATCACACAATGTCCAAGACAGTCTCTGAAACCACATGAATGATTCTATCAGGCAGAAAAGAAAAGAAAGAAAAAAAAGTTCTATCGCGCTCTGAGGCTGATTGGTCGAGATCTGGCGGAGCCGGTTATCCGTATAAACTCATGGAGGGAGCCAGGGCGGGTGCGCTGGGGCACAGCAAGACCTTACCACACCACAACTTGACGAATGGTGGCAATACGGGGGTATTGACGTTTCTGGTGCCATTGGTAGTTGAAGCTCTCAAGACCCAGAGACAGGAGGGAGCCAGGGGAAGAGTGTATCATGACGTCGTGTGTGCGTGTTGATTTGACATGTGATGCACAAGGATACGGTAGTATCGTGGGCCCCCTTCTCTTTCTGTTCAGAAATAGGCGAACCCAGGAATCCGTTGACCTGTTGGCGCTACGTAGCTAATGAGACTCGGCTCCGTTGATTAAAACCCGTCGACTAGGAACTGGGAATTGGAACTGGAACTGGACTGCAGCATTAGTGCGTGCCACATACGCGACGCAGTGTCACAATGACCGGTCAGACAAACGTCAGCACGTCACTAGGATGTACATGCAACGATATTGGCAACGCCAATCGTACCGTGATGATGATAATGGTGATAACGGTGATGGCGACGGCGATGGTGATGATGGTGGAGGTGGAGTTATTGGCATCTAGACTCACCTCGATGCTCCTAGCGCCTCCATAGTGCCTCATAGCTTCTTGCGGCGCACTCATGGCGCCCTAGCAGATTTAATTACAGTGGTGCAAACGCTGTTGCAGCCCATTACTTATGCTGTGATATTTCATCTGCACGCTGTAATATTGTTCCAACCTACTATGGACAGGCGGGCAGACAGCGGGCAAAATGGAGTGTAGCGCCATTGCTCGCTTTGTGCAAGTGTAAAGTGATACCCACTGGCAAGTGCTACCAACGTCATTAACCGATTGCCCACTAATGCATTGTAGGGAAAGAGCCAGGGTTGGGATGCTCCTTCGTCTTTCCGCGACGCAGCAGGACGTGTAGCAGCACGTCTGCTTTTCTATGTTTCTAGACACCTGGAGTCGTACAAAGAAAGAGTCGTCATCATCGTCCAGAGAGATTAGGAAAAAAATCAACATGACTACTAGTAGCATTTGCATGGAATTACTCTTACCAGCTCTCGTACCACTGTCAACGAATGTACAACGAATGTATAACAACTCATCGAGATGGATTATTTTGAGAGTACCAATACAAGCACTGGGAGCCTCCATTGGTGGGCGGCTCCTTCCCCGCCTCCCATGCTTCGCTAGCGCGGCAAGAGCTGGGCCGTGTCACCCTCCACCTTCGGTCCTTCCTCCACTGCAGCCTATCAATCCCCCAGTTTGCCTTTTAACAATGCATGTCTGGCTTATCACGCCGTCCTCCATCTATCTTTCGAAACTTTCTTGGGACTCTGCTAACCTCCTCCCATCTCTCCCACCTCTCCCAACCTACCTTTTGACCCCTCATCTTCCTTGTCTCTCTCCTCTTCTCCTTCTCAGCATCATACAAATTCATAATCCGTCATCGTCGACCTCAATAATCTATCCTTTGTCCCCTTTGTCTTACCATCTGCTCTCCTCGACCCTTTGCCATACCTGCATCATTGGCTCTGCTACTTCGTCTATTCTCCATCTGCCATCCTGTTCTTGTATCCACTTGTCAGCAACCGTTGGAGAAAACGTCCTGGCCAGCTGATGCTCGTCAAGATCAGCATTTAGTCTTCCAATCCACTCTTCCTATTTTCTTTCTATTCTTCTTCTCCCTTTTCTTTCAAGCTCCTGTCTGTTATTCCTGTATTGAATTCGAAGCACCGTACCGGAATGGTCCAGCGGGCTTTGTTTTCTCTACAAGATTCTTGTATGTTGTCTACCTCTAATGCTGATTTACCCCCACTGGCACGGTGGATCACCTACCCACATCTATCTCCATTATCCGCCCCGCCTTGATACTGACAAGAGAAAGGCCATCGATAACAGCATCCTGCGGCTGATCCCCCTTCGTTATAATACAACGATTTGTGAAGAAGGCTTCCTTGCCTTGGGGCCGCAATAAATCCAACCTCAATCGTCTCACCATGGCCACTGTTGCCCTCACAAGGCCAATCTCCGAGCACACGCAATCATCCGTTTTGGACGTACCTTACACGTCGCCGCTATCGCTTGAAGGTCTCAATTCGCTGTCTGCATCTCGAGATGACAAGCTTCCAGTGCCCAACAAACACCTACCAGCCTGCCCTACTGGCCCGGCTGTGAAGGACCAGCTCGAAACCCCTCCAGACTCCCCAAAGGAGGACCAGCACTACGCCCAGCCGTCGATTCTCTACCCACCACAAGGCTATGATCGTCTCGATTCAGGCTCGGAGTCTGTATATCAGATTAATGCCACTACTGTTGTCGAGGCCTTGAGCTCCTTCTCTCGTATTCCGCTTGCCCACCCAACCCTTGTATTCCCCTGGTTGCACGGGTTGCATCCCCACAATCATATCCAGCGGAGCTTCTTCAGTGCAAAGCGGAGTACCAGTCGCAGGGCTCCGCCCTTCCTGAGGAACATCACTATTGTCAAGGCCGATGGCGATCTATCTGTTTCTCGTCTCAAGGGTGCCATCGCTCCTCAAGAAGTTATCCATCTTGGCCCCAACCCCCAATTCGTCGAAGCAGACCCGCCCAAGGGCTTCTCAGTACGCAATTTTCATATACAGCCCGCAAAAGTCGCCTTGACTTCGGATATCATCGTCTATGGTGACAACATCTCTGATGTCCGAAGGCTGGCTTTTGCTTTCGCCTCGGCTCAGCGCTTGCGGAGGGAGAAGCACTTGACCTACGACCAGCAATTCCCACAGTACAACACGTTTATCTGTACAAGTGCCTTTGCCGAGTTTGAGGCAAATTATCAGGAGACCGTGGCAATTGACTCAAATGGTCACCCGACTGGGAAGGTACTAGACTTCTTTGAGCAGGAGAGGCAGGAGATGTGGTACATGACGCAGGCGTCCGAGATAAGCCACAATGTCTTTCTCGGCCCAACCCCCGAAAGGGGAAGTGCGGATGAGGCGCCCTTCGATATCCTTATCGAGTGCAGTGATGGCGGCAGACTGAATCCCGATGTGCTGAAGCACATATTGGCTACGTACAGCGACGAAGTAATGCCCAAAATTTATCACGACTTCCCATCGTCGGGCAGCATTCTCCCACCCACATACTGTCACGTTGAAGCTGATGATATTCTGGAAACATGCAAGTGGATATATCACCTGGCTCATGGGTCCCGCCCATCGACAGAGTCTTTCGAGGGCACTCTTGAAGAAAACAGCTCTATGTCTACTGACGGCGACAAGGCCGCCCCACGTTATCCACCTCGCAAAATCCTCATCCACTGTGCCGATGGCTATACTGAGTCCTCCATGCTGGGTATTGCCTACTTCAGCTACAGTACCGGATGTCCTCTTGCCAAGGCATGGGTCGACCTCCACAAGGCTCAGGGCAGAAACTTCTTTGCCTATCCCAGCGACGTAGCTCTCCTCAAAACGATTGCCCCCAGGCTACTCCATGAGTCGCCTGCGTGCTCCAACCGGGGGCTTCTCGAAATATCTGACATGGTCAGGGAGGAGCCTCATTGGTTTTCCGCAATGGACGGCTCCCTACCTAGCCGTGTCCTCGACTACTTATACCTGGGAAACATCACCCATGCCAACAATCCCGATCTTCTCCGCGAGCTCGGCATCTGTCAGGTTCTGAGCGTTGGCGAGAAGGCCACTTGGGATGATGATGTTCTAGAGGCATGGGGCGAGGACAATACTTGCATTGTCGATAACGTTCAAGACAATGGCATCGATCCACTGACAGATCAGCTCGTTCGTTGTCTTGGGTTCATTGGTAAGTCAATGGCTCTAAACTTTTTGCCCGCTGTTCATCAGTTCCCCCCTGGTTCTTCAAAAAACTGACTATCAATATCATAAACAGACCGTGGACGTCAAAACGGGACGGCAACTCTTGTCCATTGTCGTGTTGGTGTCTCCCGCAGCGCCACCATCTGTATCGCCGAGGTTATGCGCGCCATGAAAATGTCATTTCCTCGTGCATACTGCTTCGTAAGAGCACGTCGCCTCAACGTCATTATTCAACCTCATCTACGCTTCACGTATGAACTTCTGCGTTGGGAGGGAATGCTCCAGCAGGATGGCGACCCAGATGCCCCCGTCAAACGTGAAATGGAGTGGGCACAAGTCACGAGGGAGATTGCCCTCATGAATCTCCCCTATTCCAGATGATGACTTGATTCGCTCTCCCCCTCCTGTTTCCTTCATTCGACTTTTGTTGTAAACCAGCGGACGATTTCTATTCTTCAAGTACAAAGCCTTGATGTTTATTTCTCCTGACCGATTGTATATTATTCTTGGCAACTGCAGTTCTTGTGGCAATATGGGCCTACCAGGGCCTGCTGTTTTTCCATTATATCCTGCTGTTGTCAATGCTAAGATCTTGGAGATGCTGGAAAAGACTGTACATACAACCGTCTTTTATACCTTTTACCCCCTTTTCAGTCGACACGGAAGGCTACCTGGGCGCTTGGTCATTTGTTTTTCGCTTTAAAGATTGTCGGACTGTCTTTTCTCTTGTGTACTGGCTTTTGGGGGCTTGGGCAGCCAACAGACTTGTTATTGGGAACCGGGAACAAAAATTTGTTTCTTCCAGGTCAGGATGGGATGTTCGAAGGAATGGAACGCGTTTATGACAGTATCTTTATAAGTTATTACGATTGACGGATTCGGCCATGTTTATATCAGATTGTATGCATGGGACTAGTAGTATATGTTCTGCAGTGTTAGTATTCAAACTTCTTTGATGTTTTGGAGTTGTCATGACCACCAAACGAAATGTCTCTTCCTCTCGCTCGTCTTGTTGGTAGGAAACTGGAGATTGGAAGATGAAAAGGAACGCCCGCGACATGGCTGGAACATGAGTTATGCAGAATAGATAGGTGCAAACGAAGATTCCCATGACAAGTTGTTGAAAAAGGAAAAAGAAACACATCAAGACGAAAGCAAAAACGCCCTTCCTGCTACGCCCCGGAATATCAAATGGATCCTACGCCGAGACATCGATTCTGTCGTCGCCTTTGAGGACACTGGCCGTATGCTATTTAGTACGCGTCATGGGAAAGTATTCAACAAAGAAGGGAAACAGGGGGGGAAGACGATGAAGTTGAGGGATAAGAGGGAAAGAAGACTTACGAGAATTGCTTGACTAGGATGCCTTCCCCACCATTCTCCAAATCAATATTGTAGACGAAGAAGCCTCCGTCGCTTGTGACGACCATGACTTGCGGGCTGCTGCTGCTCATGGCGACGACGCTGCGAGGAGGGGCACCGCCGGCGCCGGCTATGCGGGAGACGTTGGGCGAGGATGACCCGGATGAGGATCTGGGGATCTTGATAAAGGCAAAGTCGCGGAGAGGCTCCCACATCTCCGTGACTGTGTGGGGCAAATACGAGCCTACCACGCCGACTACGCCGCGACCCATTATCTGCGACGAGCGGCGGATCATGCTGCCAAGGGAGCCGCTCTGACGGCGATGGCCCTGGCTTCCTCCGTTGTTGGCAGGGCTGCTGCTTCCGCCGCGCCCGGGGGCGTCGCTGTGGGGCGATCCCGCGGCGCTGTTGCTAGGCGAATTTCCGTCGTCAAAGGACCGGTCGCGGGACCATCTGTCCTGGCGGGGGGAGCCGGGTGGCTCTATGGGAGCACCGGCGGGTGTCGAGTGGCCCGGCGGTGCGCCGAGACGGAAGATGTGTACTGTGTCCGACGTAGACGAGACGCAGAGGAGCGTCGAGCTGAGGTTAAAGGACATGCTGTAGATCTTAGATGGGTAGGTGCCCCGACGGAACTGGTAGAGCTTCTGGCCCTTGGGGACGGAGAAGACGCGGATGATAGTGCCCGTTTCGCTGGCTGTAGCGAGAAGGGTACCGTCGTTGTTGAGACACAGACAGCTCAGCGGTGAGCGATGCGCTTCTATCACGTTGACGGCCTTGATGGTGACTGTGTCGAAGATAAGGACTCGGCCCGACGTCGGGGCCACGTAGGCCGACTGCGGCGGGGCGTGCGATGGCCTAGAGGCCTCTACCTCTTCGCGCGGCTCGGGAAGCGGGTAGGCCAGGTATGAGTTATCTGATGACGGTGACAGGGCGCATATGGCATCGGGGTTCGGCGACGTGTGAATAGTGTGTAGCAGGCTCATGTTGCTGATGTCGTAGAGATATACCTCCTCCTCCAGGACAACCGCCAGCCGTTTGCGATTAAGGCGCACGGCAATGACAGCCGAAGGAAAGGTGAGCTCGCATATGACTGAAGCTCGCTAAACAAAAACCAAAAAAAAAGAAGGATAGTTGTCAGAAGAGATGGAAGCCAGGGAGCGACATAAAGCACCAACCTTTGTGTTCTGTATTATCAAGTGGCGTGGCGTCAAGGTAAGGGCGACTAGCGACGTCGAGAAGAGCATCTCGATGATGGATGTGTTGCCTTCATCGCTGCTGAAAATAGGAGAGAATGGATCGGTGTGGTAGATGCGGAAACCTTTCGACGTGGCTATACAGTATTTCGCGTCAGCAGCCATCCGGGCCAACGCAATGCGGTCGAGACTCACCGACAGCAAGACAGCTGTGGTCCTGGTTAAAGGTGATAAAATTGAGTGCCGGGCTCGTCATGATGGGCGGACACAGTGCCTCGGGCTAGAAGCGCACAAGACACTGATGAGAAGGCGACCGCGCAAGGAAGAAGTCTTGGTAGGGGTTTGGGGGGGGGGGAGGGCTTGTATGGTCTGGTATGTTGGTCGAGGCCAGTCGCGCGGCCGGACGAGGTGGGGAAAGACGGAATAAGTTGGGGACTAGACAGGACGAAGGTCGGCAAGAGGGCTTTCTCCGGGTGCCCGACGGATAGTGAAGGGATGAATGATAACGGCCAGAACAAAGAAGAGAAGCAGCACTTAACAGAACATGTACTTTTGGCGTGATCGACGCTGGCGACGATGATGGCGATGAGGTTGGAGTTAGTCGGGGGAGATGGGAATTGGTAGTAGGAGGGTGGTAATTGCTGGGGCTGGAAATGGGTATAGCTGCAACCTTGCTGTTGGTGCTGCACCTGCCCTAGGACCCTACAAATGTCCATGTGTTCACGGCAGGCGTCAGTGACGTAAAAGTCACCTGCACTACCTTCCATTTGCTCCCTTTTATTGCGCCAGACTCCAGTATACTAAATCCCCACACTTTTAGGGGCCAACAGGTCGATGAGTTAGGGAATTTACACCGAGTATAGCTACTTTTCGTTCTATAATATTATCCGGTCGCAAATTGATTGTAGCGTTTATAGGACTTTTTTATTTTTTATAACGCAGTGGAGCTATCTATCTATGTAGGTTCATGGCTGAGGTGCTATAACACCGGGGCTCTTTACTGCGTATGATACTCCGTACATATACTATTACTTGTACCCACAGCGCTTCCCATTGATGCGTTAATTCGTTCGTTCCTGCCCCTCATTCTGCACGCGAAATCGCACCAAAGGAGAGTGCGTATTATTATATTGTTACACCCCCACAAAAAAAAAAAACAGTCTTGATTTTGCCTGTTAGCATTGACCATCTGTCCTAACATACGACATCACAATGTTGATCTAACCCTTCTCACATAGCTTGTCTCGAGAATAAACCTGAATATTCCTTTCTCTCTCTGGACTACCTGAACGGGATATACTGAAAAAGGAGATAGCAGAGACAGCGACAGGCTTCAAAAAAGAAAATAACTAACACTACCCTGGCCGTGGGGGAATATACACTCATCAACGTCTTACAAGATGCCTGCTGCAACTTTGCCTGCACGACCTAGCCGGTCAAAAGAAGTCCTTGATGACCTCATTATGGGAGTGAGTTTGTTTTCTCATGGAATATGAGCCTTGGCTCCCAAATCTGACTATGACTTTGCCCACTTTAGACCAACAGTAGTAGCATCGTCTCCAAGCGAAGCGTTGAACGGCTCTATTATGCCAACGAGCCTCACTACTTCCGCTACTTTGTCCAGAAACCTCAGAGGAGAGCGCCACTCATCAACCGTGGCTACTGGCTTAGATTGAAGGCTATTGATGTCGTGGTGCGTCAATTTCTTTCCAGACCGTCAACCAATACCAAGATTATCGTGAATCTGGGATGTGGGAGGTAAGAAAGCACATAGGTTCCTTCAACATTCTTAACACTCTCAGACTCGTACAATAAAACTAACGATATCTCTCATAGCGATGTTCTCCCATGGCAGTGCCATGCTCGGTATGGGGACGTCTGCCAAAACGCCCTCTTTGTCGATGTAGACTACCCCGATTTGATGCGCAAGAAGCGTGTCCTTGTCAGGGAGACACCGCAGCTATCACAGCTCCTGGGACCGGATGCGTCATTCAGTGAATCTGATAATGATCCCGTCCTCATCAAGAGTCCGGCTTACTGCCAGATTGCATGTGATCTACGCCAGCTCGAGATGCTTCGTCGTACACTGGCGTCTCTCGTTCCACTCGACCAGGCCGAAGTCCTCTTCGTTGCTGAGGTGTCCATCACATACATGGACACACCTTCCACTGATTCACTTATCGAGTGGGCCAGCTCGATCGGCAAGGGTACGTATAGGTAAACACACCGAGCGCCATACACACGTGCGTAGGCTTACATGAAGGAAACACCAGTCGAATTTTGCCTCCTTGAACAGATCATCCCCGAGGGGCCTGAACAGCCCTTTGCAAAGACGATGCTCAAGCATTTTGACAAGCTCAACACGCCGATAAAGTCTGTCAGGACATATCCTAGTCTTGAAAGCCAGCGCAACCGCTTCCAATCTCGTGGTTGGGCGCATGTTGACACCTGGGATCTCTGGGAGACATGGCTGGATGACAGCTTTGTTACCCCGCCTGAGCGTCAGGAGCTAGATGCAATAGAGCCTTTTGATGAATGGGAGGAATTCATGCTCTTTGGTCGCCATTACTGCTTGCTGCATGCCAGAGCTGTCCGCCCAGACTCCTACATTGCCTCCGCGAGTACGCCGCCGTCGTCAGGTGCCCCATCGTCCAAGGTCGAGGTAGTGTCACAAACACACTCCAGGCCGATAAGACGCCGATTCGGAAATACGGCTGTTATCTCGAGTGTTGAAGGCTCGCGCTATGCAGCTCACATCATGGGTCTAGGAAAGGACAGCCGGTCAGATACATGTGATCTCTATTCCCTGGGAGACTCCAGGACGTCTCTCAGACTCCCCTTGCACGGACCTCCTCCCCGTATGTGTTCCACCTTGACTGCTCTAGGGGAGTATGGGACCCTCCTAGCCGGAGGCCGAGCTTCGCCGAGCAAAGCCTTCTCCGACTGTTGGCTCCTCAAAAGAGGGTCTGATGGGTTGGAATGGGAGAAGACGTGGGATTTGCCAGTCTCCTTGTTTCGGCACAGTGCCACTCGCCTGGGAAACTCGTCGCTTGTTCTGGTCATGGGTGGTAAGATGGACCAGTCTCGAGTTTCTGAGAACAGCTTTGTGTTCAACCCTGAGATGGGTTGGTTGAAAAGCAAGGTGATTGGCGAGAGGCCCAAGGCCACATTTGGCAGCGTTATCTGCAACTCCGAAGAGTTTAGTAACGGACATGGGACATTTACGGGACTTCTGTTTGGTGGCATGCTACAGGATGGTACACTGTGTTCGACGGCATACACGTGGAAGCTGGACTTGCAAGATGGACAGGTATTTGAGACCCCACTGGTGTCTTGCCCATGTTTGAATCTAACTAACCAATGGCCTTAGCCAGCTATTTGGTTCCAAGAGTTGGGTGTCCAATATGAGGCTCTGTCAATCTTTGGCGCTGATCTCGTCGAACTCGGCCCATCAACAGTGGCCGTCTGTGGAGGGACAGGCTCTAGCCCGCGTCAGCAGGGGCAGAGTATCACATTCATCTCTACTTCAGGCGGGCAGTGCAGTATACTTGCCGCAGTTGATCTCTCATCTACGACGAAAGGGATGCCCTTCATGATTGGGTCCTCTGTGTTCCTGGATGACACAAGCCTTACCGTCCTCGGAGGTGGCGCAACATGTTTCTCCATGGGGACCTTTTGGGAAACCAGGTCGTTCCACATCGGCCTCCCTCAGGAAGTCCTGGCAGTTCTGAAGAGGGACGGTAGGCCACTGACCCTATGCGAGTACCTAGAATCCCCAAAGGTCCTGCCCAAGCCCCGCCAAGAAGATTCTATCCACGGCTCACAGGGAAAGGTATGTATAAGACAGATTCCTCGGGAGAAAATCACCGATGTAGGCGCTTTTGAGAGAATTCTCAGAGAAGGCAAGCCTGTTATCCTGGAAGGTCTCGACGTGGGTACGTGCGTCGATAGATGGACGCCAGAGTACCTGGTGGGCCACGTTGGCAAGGACAAGGAAGTCGTTGTCCATGAGTGCCAAGGCGACAGCGGCAATCTGGACTTCAATTCAAAAAACTTCCAATACGTGACGGACAAGTTTTCCAATGTCATAAACCGCATAAGCAACGGAGACAGACTATATCTGCGCTCATTGTCACAGGATCAACCATCTCAATCCGCTGCCGACATGGACAAGGATTTTCCTGGCCTGGCTCCGGATTTTCGCCTCCCCAAAGAACTGGCTTTTGTCAAGGAGAGGCGGTTTAGCTCCGTCCTCAGGTTATCCGGCAGGGTCAACATGTGGCTGCATTACGATGTGAGTACCTGGGACACCCTGTATTGGACTGTTATTGCTGCTTACCGACGGCATGAACGCAGGTCATGGCCAATGTGTATACACAAATCAAGGGAACGAAACGCATGATTCTCTTTCCGCCGAGCGATGTGCGCCATCTGGCCTTTGCGCCGGGAGCTTCCAGCTCGAGTCTAGATGTCTTCTCATCACTGAACTCACAGATACTGGCGCCCACACACCCTCACGAAGCCACTCTTGGGCCCGGAGACATCCTGGTGCTGCCTCCCATGTGGTTGCACACTGCAACACCGATGAGCGACTTGAGCGTGGCCGTCAACGTGTTCTTCCGCGACATGGAGACGGGATGCTACGCAGCCGGACGAGATGTGTATGGTAACAGGGACCTGGAGGCTTACGAAAAAGGACGTGCGGATGCAACCAAAATCTCCAAGAGTTTTGAGAAGCTTCCCCCCGAGATTCGCCGGTTCTACCTGTCCAGAATTGCAGATCAGCTCATGACCTCGGCCGAGGCTGCAGAATGAATACTGAAGTTGTCGACTACTGCAATTCAGACAAGTCGACCCCCTTTTAGGCCCATATTTCAAGCCAGTCAATGACCGATGAGGCTGAATAAGTGATGCAAGAGATGGATCGTTGGTTTAAGCGGTTTTGGGTGGATCAATAGGTTACGTCATTGAAAAGACTCCGGGCATTTAATATTAATCATGATTTCAGAGTGAATGACGACAGTAGTTGTTTCGAAACGAGAAAATGATATTCACATTTCTTGTTTGTATTTTATTTATCTACGGACCTGAAAGGAGCTTCACTTGGTTTCACTGCTCTGTGCTCTTCCAGACAGAACGGCAACTCACCATCAACGATCAATCCACGTTGACTTCCCTTTCCTCTATACTGTCTGCCCGTCGAGTACATCTACCTACCAAATACATATTCTTGTGCTGCAAATCACCCTATCATCAGCATGCCAGGAGTGCTTCGGCGCTATGTGATTCCAGGAATCCTCTTCGTTGGAGGAGGAACCCTCGCGTACAGTTATCGGCCGCGGACCTTCCCGAGGTCCGAATATGCAGCAGTTCCGCCACCAACACACGGGCCGGATGGATCTCTCCGGATACCTCGCTTCCCGAAGGAGAGAAGCCGCCTGGAGCAATTGGCTGAGCTACGGAGGCGTGGTCAGGCGCCCGCTGATAGCGAGGACAGCTATGACATGCTGGTTATTGGAGGTGGTGCAACTGGGGCAGGCGTGGCGCTGGACGCGGCGACACGAGGGCTACGAGTGGCCCTGGTGGAACGTGACGACTTCAGCAGCGGCACAAGCAGTAAGAGCACCAAGCTGGTGCACGGCGGCGTGCGGTACCTGGAGAAGGCTTTCTGGGAACTCGACTACAACCAGTACCAACTTGTTCGCGAGGCGCTTCGGGAACGCAAATACTTCCTCCACACAGCACCCCACCTGAGTAGCTGGCTGCCCATCATGGTGCCGCTCGACAGGATGTGGAAGGCACCCTACTACTGGCTTGGAGTGAAGATGTATGATCTGCTCGCTGGGAGCGAGGGGATCGAGAGCTCCTACTTCCTCACGCGCAGCAAGGCCCTCGACGCCTTCCCCATGCTCAAGCGGGACAACCTCCTCGGCGCGCTGGTATACTATGATGGAGCGCACAACGACTCACGCATGAACGTGTCGCTGGCCATGACGGCGGCACTGTTTGACGCGACCGTGGCCAACCACGCCGAGGTGACAACCCTGCTTAAGGATGACAGTGGCCTCGTGTGCGGCGCCACGGTGAAGGATGTGATTGCCGAGCGAGACGGACACACCGTTGATGAAATGACGGTTCGAGCCAAGTGCGTCGTCAACTGCACCGGGCCCTTCTCCGACTCGATTCGCAACATGGACAGCCCAAAGGCCGGGGAAATTGTGGCCCCTTCGACGGGCGTACACGTCGTACTTCCCGGCTACTACAGCCCAGCTGACATGGGACTCATCGACCCAAACACGTCAGACGGCCGCGTTGTCTTCTTCCTCCCTTGGCAGGGCAACACGATTGCCGGGACTACCGATGCTCCCTCCCCCGTCCAGAAACACCCCTTGCCCGATGAGGCATCCATCAACTGGATCCTCAAGGAGGTACAGCACTACCTGTCCCCAGAAGTGGAAGTGCGACGAGGTGATGTGCTGGCGGCGTGGGCCGGCCTCCGTCCGCTAGTCCGCGACCCCAAGGCCAGCAACACCCAGTCCCTCGTGCGTAACCATCTGATAGACTTGTCACCAACTGGCCTCCTGACCTGCGCAGGCGGCAAATGGACCACGTACCGACAGATGGCGGAAGAGTGTGTGGACGCCGCCGTGTCCGAGTTCGGTCTAAAGACGCGCCCCGTCCCCAGCGCACCCCGTGTGAGCGGAACCGAGCACGTCCACGACGGTGCTATCTTGGATGGCTCGTGCCAAACGCGCAAGGTTCGCCTTATCGGTGCCCACGGCTTTAGCCGCACTCTCTTCATCTCCCTGGTCCAGCACTACGGCATCGACGACGACGTGGCCAACCACCTGGTCGAGTCGTACGGCGACCGTGCTTGGACCGTGGCCAGCCTGTGTGACTTGACAGGCATCCGGTTCCCCATTCGCGGCTTCCGCATCGCCCACCACTACCCCTTTGTAGACGGAGAAGTGCGTTACGCTGTGCGGCACGAGTACGCCCAGACGGCTGTCGACGTGCTCGCCCGTAGGACCAGGCTATCCTTCCTCAACGCCCAAGCTGCCCTAGAAGCTCTACCGACTGTCTTGGACATTATGACGGAGGAACTCCATTGGGATCAGAGACGTGCTCAGCTTGAGTGGGAAGACAGTGAGTTTTCACAGCCCATCATACCGGCAACGCAATCATGTACATACATGCTAACACAATAACCAGCCGTCGCATTTCTTGAATCAATGGGTCTGCCGCAGGCTATGCTCTCTGCCACGAGGAGTCAAGTTGAGACGCGGAAGATGGGGTTGGCCGAGGCAGCGGCACAACCATAGATGCTTATACGAGTTGTTATCATATGCCTTACAACATAACGATTATAGAAGAATACATCATGTTCAATATTTACGGTGACACTCCGTAAGGTACCCTGCAAAGAATGACAGTGTCCAGGTATTGCAATGCTCATTAGGACAAGATGCTACAAGAGGATCAAGTTGTCTCTGATTTTTACAAGGTCAATACACAACAGAAAACGTAGCACATGTTTCAACGTGATATATCAGGCGAATACTTTCCAGGCAGGAAGACATCAAATACTTCGTGTAATATATTCAACATTCGCAATAGCCGTTGACTCGTTATGAAACACCATGATACAAGTTGCTATGCCCGCGGTAGCTGACATGAAAACAAGAAAGAGAAGAATGAGAGAAGTAGAAGAATGATAATAGAAAAAGAACCAATAGAAACTCCTGTATTCATGCCCCCCTCATTTATATGGTATTTTGCCTTCTTCGCTCAATCGAGAACTGTTCGCGCATCTTATGCAAATGTAATTCCAAAGAACAAAAGATAATAAAAGGCCCTTTTGGTGGTATCGCTGAGCCACAAAAAGGGACAACAGAGAATAAGAAAAATGAAAAGAACTCCGTGACCCGCCACTTTGCTTCGTACAGACGTTGCATCGTTGGTACAAGAGAAAGAAGACCAAGACTAGGAGCTTGCGTAGGCCTAAAGCCCGAATGTGCACAGAATTTAAGCGTAAACAAAAAGTCAATGCTGGTTTCGGGCGCGACGCGAAGGTGTTATGCGTGGTGACTGTTTTCCCAGGCTAAAGACGCGGTGAAGAAGACCGCCTTCCTTCCTTGCCGTCGAGTCCCTTCGCCCCCCCATAGAGACTGGACTAGAAGGGTCATTGTGACAGTCACCACGGGGAGAGTAATCGGGCTCGGCAACGTTCCTCTGGTCCAGAATGGCATCCCATCCGTATATGTCGGGCATAGACTCAATACGGTTGCAGGCGGAATCATCAAAGAACTGATCCAGGTGTGCTTGCCCATACCCCGAGGGGACGGCGAGGTAGCTGGAGACATCTTCGTAGTCCGACAGAGAGACGGGCGATATGGGCAGGACGCCACTGCGCGCGTTGATGGTGCTGTTGTCGGTACTGGCTGTCATGCCATCATCGGACTGTGCGCGGCAGGTAGCTACTGAGCAATGGATGCCGCTGTCCTTGTCTGACGCGGGGGCGCCTGTAATACTGGTGGTAGTAGCCGTGTGAGTTGGGACCGTGCCATTTGCAATACCTCGATAGCGTTGTGAATCGTTTTCCGAACCCCGCCTGTCGGCAAGAAATCCATTGGCGTACGACAATTGCTCACCAGGATGCGGTTCTTGCCAGACGGCAGAGCAAGCCGAAAGGCGCCGGTCACCAGGTGGATTAGAGGTAGCAGAGATAGACACGGTCTGCCACCTTCACAAGGGGCTCCCACCCCGGGAGTGGTCGTTGATGGGAACTGAAGAGGTAGGGGCCGATCGTTGCTGCTGTTGGGTGTTTTGTTGTTTTCGGTTAAAGCCGAGCTTGGCGCCCACTTTCTTCCAGCTCTTGGTGTGGGCGGCCATGGCGCGCTGAAGACCAGAGGATGAGGGGCCGTCCGAGGGAGTCGGCGGCGTGGTGGGAGGAGTCATTGGCTCTATCGGGGGAGGCGAGTTGGCATCGCTGTCGTCGGTAAGGCCCTCATGGTCATAGGCATGAACCGAGGCGGACCGCGACGAAGAGGCACCGAGAGCGTCAAAATAGGGGTATTGAGGGGAGAGAGAGTTCGCTTGGTCGAGGTTGGTCAAGCTCATGGACTCAAGAAAGGGTACGAGGAGAGAGTCGTTCATGAGTTCGTATATGATCTGGCCGGCCTCATCGAGCTCCCTAGGGTGAAGAGGCTGGGGCCTCCCGGGGAAGCGTAACAGCCTGTCACGGACGCGCGAGGGGATATTGATCTCGCGGGGGGCGCAGGGCACAATGTAAGCCTGCATGAGCTTCTCCCACAGGTCGCAGAGGTGGTGAATGGCACGGGGGTCGGAGGCGGAGGCAGTAGAGAGTTGTTCGTGGGCGGTCGTGTAGCGCTGGAGGTCAAGGGTAAACTCGAGCGTCTCCATGCAGTGGTTCTGGGAGAGGTATGCGGTGAAAGCGCTGAGAGTGTAGGGAGGAGGAGCGACGTCGAGGAGGATGTCCGTCAGGGTGGGAGGGTTGGAGGAGGTAGGCATCGTAGTGGAACGGATCGAGGAAGCCGATGAACCAAGGACGCAACTGGGAGGTCTCGAGTCGGTCACATCAAATAGGGTGAAGTCGTCAAAAGCTGATGAAGGTCTGGGGGATGATTCGCGTGACAAGGGGATGAGCCCGAGCTGGTGCTGGGAAGAGTTGAAAGCGGGATGAACCATGACTGATGGGCAAAGGGTAGCCCAGGCTGACGCCAGAGAAAACCCGACGATGTTTTCGTACCGGGATCCCTCTTGCTTTTTCCGTGGCTCTTGCTCAATCTCGTCTCTTTCCCTTTCGCTTCCACCTTCTCGCTTTCCACGAATTCCTTCTCTTGTCTGGATCCGTTCAAATCAACGTCGGGCAGCCGACCGTTGGAAAGTAGCGGGGATCATAAGCGGATGGTGGCGTAGGGCGAGGCTGAGCCACGCAGTATGGAAACCGCGGACTCGAGAGATTCTGAGATGGGTACGAGGGCGCAGACAGAATAGGCGATTGACGGTAGATTGGTATAGTCGATCTCGTTGGTGGTGAGGGAGAGGGAAGAAAAGAAGGCTACCCAAGGAATAAATGTAAGACGAGGAATGAAGGGAGCGGCTTGTAGTATGAATAGGGAATGGAAAATGGAAATGACAAGGGAGGGGGTGATAAAGAGCCAAGTCAAGTATTATTGAACTGACCAAAGGAAAGGAAATGAAGAAGAATAATGAGGAAAGAGAAGAAAGAGAAGAAGATCGAGGAGAACAAACGTACCCAATATACTAGACGATGGTGTTATTAGTATTCCTCTGCAGCACAGCACAAGAGGCAAAGCTAGAAAGAACAGCGGTCGTCTGTGCAGAAAAAGGTGGGTGCGCACACGCCACGAGTATGCGGCAAACGGCAAAGCAGCAAGCAGTGGAGAATTGGGGTTTGGAGCAAGCAAGTAAAGTCAGAAGAAGAGAAGGCCATAGACAGGGATGTCTAGACAGGGATTAATGACCGGGGTTGTAGAGGGGGAGTCTATATGTACAGGTAGAGACAGAGAAGACAGGGGTGGGAGAAGAAAGATGGAGGCAAAAAGAAGAGGAGAACCAATCAGAAGAGATGGGAAGAGAGAGGGCGTATGGAGTTGAAAGAGAGCAAGATTGAACGCACAGACGCACACGGACACACGGACACACGGACACACAAACATGCATCCACAACGATAATACAGTGTCAGTGCGAAGCAAAGAGAAGAACTGATGACGAGACTACAGATTAGAAGAGAGGGGGAGAGGAGAAGCGAAAGAGAAGAGAGCGGAGTGAGTGAGAGTCGATAGGGGGGTGTGGCAGGGGATTGACGTAGTACGTACTCGCCTATTACAAAGAAGGAAAGGGCAATCAGAGGAAGGTGCAGAGTATTCGTGGGACGGAAAGGGCGACCAGCACAGTCCACACTGCACAGTCATGGGCTCGAAAGGAAGAGAAAGAAGAAAAGTATGATAAATAAAATAATAAAAAATGAAATGATAAAACGATCAATTGATAAAAATAAAGAAAAGAAAAAAAGAGAAAAAAAAAAGAAAAAAGGAAGAAGAAAGCAAGGCCCGTGTCAATCACTCCATAGCGCCTTACCTAAAAAAGCACCCCCTCTTCAGCCCAAGACCCATTTTCCCTTCCAATCACTCGCACCTGCCACTGGTTAGACAGAAGGAAAAGAAGAAAAAACGATGTAATCTGTACTCGGGCAGTTGCCAGCTAGCCAAAGACCCAGACACACCTTCCATGTTCCGTCCTTCCCCCCCTTTCTTTTTGCCCCTCGCACTTGCCTCCTGTGAGTCCCATCCAATGATTCAATCATCCGTGACCCCATGAATGATCAGCTAATACTCCATCAGAACTCCGTCAGAGCACATACAGAGAGAGGGACGTCGTATTGTTACGAGTATGGAGTGATGGGATTTGTTTACGAGCGAGTATTTCGTTCTCTCATCTCTCCTCTTCTCCACGAACAAACAAGGCACCAACTCTATCGACGTCTGTCACACGCCACGTGCCCATTATAAGCTGTCATCAACGCCTGCTCATGCTCGTACGAGTACGGTGAGCATCGCCGCGACCACGGACTTTTACGGCATCTCCGTTTTCCATCTGCTTCTCGATGCCAGTCTCTTTCGACCTTAGCAGACAAATGACGAGGGAAATCTTGTGCTCGTATGTCGCATGCGCAACTCGCCATGCTGCCCACAGCCCTGCGGATCCCTGACTACTCGGGCTCGCACCAAGTAATAGTCATACACCCCCCCCCCCCCCCCCCCCCCCCCCCCCCCCCCCCCCCCCCCTCCCACCCCGCCCCTCTCTCCGGCCTCTCCCTCTCCTCCTCTCCTGTCTCCCCCGCTGCGCTGTGGGGCTCCCATACTCATTGTTCAGTTGAAGCCAGCCTAGTTACGCCTGGCTCACAGGGCGCGCCCGACAAATCGTCCAACACGCGCGTCTGTGATAGGAGCTAGGGGGGGGGGTAGGATTGGTGCCCATCAACCGATAGGAGCCAAGGATACAGCGCCACCGACTGACAGTACGAGATGCGCAAGTGCGACGACGGTAGCAGAGGACGATGACTATTATCTTTTTCCTGCCATTCACTCGGGGACTTGATGGGTTAGTCGTGTACGGGAGTACCGCGCGCTAGGAAGACCGACCAGGCCCCCCTCCCCCCTAGAGCCTAGAGCAGTGTTGGTTTCTGGTTCGTCTTACGCTGCACGGGTCAAGGAGAGACCGGGGTGGTTGCTGTTGGTGTCTGTGCTTTGTTGATGTGTGTCTCTGTGAGCCCATTCTTCCCATTCAAACGCACGCACCTTGATGGATCAATGGACTGTGGCACGTGTGTTGGCTTGAGTTGTTGCGTTGCAGCCATGCTATCCATCTATCAACGTTGGACGACAATGAATGCTGGGGTACGGTGTGGCGAGTAGGGTACGAGTACGAGCACATATACTAGAAGATGCAACTCCTCAACAACGCAAGACCTCCTGGAGACCATGGAGACAAGGTCATAGGATGCTCTGTGGACTGGAATATGACCCACAAGAATTCTGCATTGTGTACGGAGTAATAGTGATGCTAGTAACTATCAATAGCAGGTAGAATATTTAGAGCACCGTACACCATCGTAACAGCGCATCGCACACTCCAGACATAATATTCATAGTGAGCGTATGGAGGAGTATCCGTATAACTAGTATTCATACGAGTACACACACACACACACACACACACATATATATATATATATATATCAGAAGTGATTATTTACCTACTTTGTTCTCCTGCGCACAAGTCTCTGTGGATACCGAATAACTCGTAAATGTGCAGAGATCCTTGTGACCTTCTAGAACTTTTATCTTTTTTTTTTTTCCTTTCGCATGACCAGGTCCAGGGGTTTCAGGTTTCGCTCGTATTATTAACAGGGTCTAGGAATATCAAGTTCACAAGTACATGGACTGAGCTTCCAGTGACCCACATGTGAAAAAAAAAATCGAGGGAAAAAAAAAACAAACAAGTACGTGGGAGATAGAAAGAAAGAAGCGAGGCAAAGAGAATGGGAAAGAAGTGGGGAAGGGGCAGGAAAGAGGGAAAGAAGGAGAGAAAGAGCTTTTGCTTTCTTCTTCTTCTTTAGACTGTTATGGAGGGAGCCACGGAGAATACTGTGAGTTGATAACCTCTTTTGTTGTGTTTTGTTACTCGTCACCTACGTTGTCACCTACGCATATATGTATGTACTCGTATGTAAGGAGGACGAGTGGAGAATGTACGGATATACTCCGTTCAAGTTCAAGATTGCCAAGTTGTCGAGCTGTCAGACACTGGATATTTTACTAGTAACATTGATATCTTGCTTAGTTTATTGGGAGCATAAGAGTACAGAATGCATGTGCGAGTAGACGCTTATTCTTCAATGCCATGATTATGATTATCTTATCCTCAAAACTACACGTGTGAGGAGGAGGGAGGATGCCTGTCAGCTACATCTGTACCCGGCTGTAGTTGTGTAGACCGACAGTTTAACACATGGACAGAGTAGGAGCTGTTGTTTGACGTATTATATGTAATGTAGTCGCACCTACGCCTGCTGCAGCAATGCGGATCAATAATATTCAACTTTCCCGGAACAGAGCCTCTGTTCAGTCGTGATGCTGTCGCACATGCACGCCATCATAATCTGATGTGTTGACTATCTACAGCTAGTGCTAGATGTTATCGTTGAACAATTCTACTTCTAACCACTTCTAACCCGTCTCTCAACTATTAACTTGATACCATCGTGTTTCAATTTCCACGACTTCGACTTACTTCCATGACGATCCTCAGCTCCGCAATACTAGCCCTTTTAAAGCTCCTTAGTCTTCTCCCCCCCCTCCTCCCCCCCCCACATGGAGTTCATTTTTGCCTCTATCTCTCTTGTGTCCCTACGTCCGTCTCATGTAGTATCGGAAAGACGAATCCCTTGCACGGCGCGTTGACCCTTGTCTAGACTATTTAGCTGATCAGACGTCATCCCACCTCGGATCGGATGGTAACTCTGAGTCGTAGACTGAGATAGTACAGAGTACGGCGCACCGAATAATACCCGTACTATAGTGTTAGATACATTGTGGACGGTGATGGGACGGCATACATGTGCACTGTAATACCCGTACATTCAAATATTCACATTCATCTCTTAGACGTGTAGCAACGTGGATGCATCGAAATGAGACGACTCGCTGTACACACACACACACACATATATATACATATGTGTGTATGTATGTGTGTGTGTGTGTGTGTGTGTGTGTGTGTGTATGTACTCGCACGGTCGCACGCACATGAAGTCAGCCGGAATGGCATTCTGCAACCTCGGCACTTATCCACCTTGCTCTCTTCCCCCCATCTCTCGCCGTCCTTGATCCTTTTTAGCCTGACCTAAAGGTCCAGTGGAACCATCGAGATAGGGCCCTTTGGGAAAACCAAGTGTAGCACAACTAGGAATAGTACAAGTATGGGCGATTCTACCTTGTTCCGCAAGAGCACGCATACATACAAACCAGTCGGTATTTCCACGTAACGGGAATATCCTTCGAATGAAGAGCCAAAGACGTCCCTGAGATCTACGCTCGCAGGACATGGGACGGCCGGTAATAAGAGCGATAACGGAGTGATCCGTTGACCTCGGGAGACTCTGGAAAGCACGTCACATGTAGTATTGTACGGTAAATCTGTACATAGCCATATGCGTATTGCTATTGCTACTATCCGCACTCTCAACTCTCATCCGCTGTAATACGGAACATTTTGCCTTCATCTCAGAAGAGAAAGCCCCCAAAACTGGCTTTGACAGGAAACCTTTTCCGGCCCCCCCTTGATGCGGATCTACTCGTAAGGTACCATTGGGAGGTGGTCGTTGAACCTTGCAGCAAATGAGGTTGCCTCTCCATACCTTTGACAACGCGTGTTCGGTAGATGGAAGGGGGGGGGGAGGGGGGGGCGGAGGGGGGGGCAACGGCAGAGAGGGCGAGAGGGAGAGGAAGAGAGAACAGGGTACGAGCTTCTTTGACTACCAAGTGTTGCAGTCTATTGGCTTCTAATGCATTTCGTACTCTGTACTACTCTATACCTCTATACTCTCTTCATCACAGATACTCCGCTCCGTACATGTAGACTCTACTCGTAGTCGTACATCTACTTATTCTCGCACAGCCTAAATACTCGTAATGTTGCCTATAGGCTATCGTACAGGTTCCGTACATAACTCGGCAGTTGAATGCCCACCAAAGAAGCCTTTCCTTCCCCCCCCTTTTCTCGCCCCACGCACTTCTGTGTGTTTCCCCCCTCCTATACGAGTATAGACGTATATGTACTATTACTACTCCGTAGTGCTACGAACTCTCTCTCTCTCTCTCTCTCTCTCACGCACACACACACACACTCTCTCTCATCCCGACACCAATTCCACATACTCGTAGTAACTCGAAGAGCTGCCATGGGCCATACAAGTACATGTAGGTACTATGGCGATGTTGCGACTAGATATGCAAAGAGTGCTTGAGGCCAGAGTACATTAGTAATTGATACAACCCCGACTCCTCCTCTCCCTGTTGATGCTCTGCTCACGTCTGACACATAATGACACCACCATCCAAGTTTCCCCGACTTGAAACCTGTCTGATCTATCCAGCCGAGTCCTTGCAATGTGAACAGTGATAGTACGCGACGGGCTTCCATGTATGCATGTATGTATTATAAAGCATTCATGCCCTAAAATAGGTTCTCAAGGGCACCCAAGGCTTCACCTAATAATCCGACTGTGCGTACAACTTCACGGGCGAACATTACAACTCACCCTTGAGTGAAACGCTTTTCTGGAACGGGCACTTGTTCTCTCTCTATTCGCTCTCTCTATCCGCTCATCCTTTTCAATATTATTCCCGTACTTCTGGAGGCGCGCACGTCTCTTTGCTCCTTCTGCCCATCCTTGGCTGCGAGTGGACAGCACGTGCATGACTGACCCTTGTCAGTGGGAAGAGTGCAGGATTCCGTTGAAGTCCCCGTCACGCAATGAGTGGCTGGCTACCTCCAAGACTATAAGTGGACCAACAAGGAAGAGATGGAGAGGAAGAGAAAGGGGGGGGGAAGAGAGAGGAGACAGTGCGCGCAAGTTTGGCCCCGCTTCCTTGTTTTACGTACTAACAAGTATGTATCGTAATACTCCGTACGGAGTAAAGAGTACGAGTACAAAGTATTACAGTACAAGTACTTCGGAGTAATACCGCTCGTACCATCGTACCTATTGCCCAGTAGACTGTACATCTAGAGACATTAGATACTACCCGATGTGGTTTAGAAGAGTCTTCCCACCCTGTAAGCAGGAATACCGTAGAAGCGACGGGAGGCTGATTCTAGAATCTTTCCATGTTGGTCAAGTGTAATCTGTATATATCTCAAGTTGCACGCCCTAGGAACTTTTTCACGCATATCAGTATGAGTGAGTACTTCGTACTTGTACTCCGTACAGAGTACGGGCAGCTCACTGCGAGTATATGTAGTCACATCAAAAGATATCTAACAGCTCATCCACTGAACAAGCACAACGAGGACCTGCCGATATTGGTGCCATGATGCATACTCGTACGAATACATGTATTCAATATCTCTTGTTGTTTTGATATGCCAATCCTGTTGGTAAGTTATATGATGATCATCATCTTCTCGCCTCACTTCACCCTCCTAGGACTTTATGTACTCGTAAGGACAAAGATCCTTTGCTTGTGCCGCTTCACCAGTAAAAAAAAAAAAAAAAAAAAAAAGTCAACACTCCACATCAGAATCTCTTTTCCCCCCCCCTTTCATCGTCGCTATTACCAATGAGGGCAGAAGACGACGGAGGGGAGAAATGAATTAGAAAGAAAGAATCGTACAATACTATCTAGTGCGCACACGCCACACAGTCTCGGCTAGCCCGTGTCCGGCGTCGCCGATCGGGTGGTTTCAATCGACTACTCTTGTTCCCCTCCCCGGCTCCCTGGTCCGACAAGAAGGAAGAAGGAAAGAAAGAAAAACTTCTAGAAAATTTCTACCCAGAGACAACACGAAAATACTGTTGGCAACCAGCCCGGACGGGGTTCCACACACACTCACCCACAGATCACCTACATATACACAGAGCCGCAAGGGAGCAATCAACAGTCAACAATCAATCAAGCAACATTTTGCTCACGGAAAACCTCACATAGTGCATAGACCTTTCCTACGACTCATAAGAAGAAAAGAGTCTGTTGGCCACGCAAGCCAGGACTGTGCTCTCTACTACTTCGCTCTCCCTCCCTCTCCTGGCATCGGCACCACCGACTGTACCAGAGAGCACAACGTTGTATTATTTCGTAGAAGCCAAGGGAATAAGCAGAGCGAGCAACATCTCACTAAAGAGGCCTCCCCTAGACAAAGGACTACCTACTGTACTACTATAGTAAGCGCTTGTCGGCTGTCGGGTTCACACAATATCTCTTAACAAACGGAACATGAAAACGACACGATAATGACAACAACAACGACAACAACAGCTCGGACCATGACCGGAGAAAGAAGGAGAAAGAAGGAGAAAGAAAGAAAACACTGAATATAGAAACTTCAACAAGTCGGCCGCCTCCGCCCCTCCCTCCCCATTCCATTGTCCCCATATCATGGTGCCATTTGCCTTCTATCCACTTGTTATAGTCGTAAAACTAGTAATAATAGTCAAAACGGCGCAAGACGCCTCTACTCCATCTCTCTCTCTCTCTCTCTCTTCTGGGCGTGCGTCATCTATCCGTCTGTCTTTGCCAGTGTGGAACCCCAAGGGTCGACGGACACGGCCGCTTAAGAGCCGAAACGAGACGAGGCGAGCCGGTGTTTGCCGGTTGACGAAAGGATTGATTATATTGTTCGTACATGTCTACTCGTCTCGGATCTTCCGAGGCGGAAAGGGATCATTCAAGTGGAAGAGGAAGACGACACAGCCTTGCACGGGACTATCCAAGTATAATACATATACGAGCCTGGGCAGCGCCACTGTAGTGGAGAGATGGCTTGGACATGATCATCTAGAATATATTCTAGATCATGGAGAACAGAACACGAGACCGTCCTATTCCGCACACTACCCTGTTTTCCTTAAAAAAAGTCGTACAGTGATTAATAATTGGGAATTGTATATTGAGAAAAGACGACAATCGCAAAACGCCCCGTGCCATGCTATGTTTCCCTTCCTTTGTCCTGATATCTTTTTTTATCGCTCTCCCTTGCTTCTAGAGTTCTTGTGTACCTACTTATATCTCTCTTTTCTTTCTTGTACATACACACACACACCCTCTTTTGTCCTGTACTTGAAAGATAAACGCCAGACGTGAAGAAAAAATGCTGCAACGTAGATGACGTTCAAGACTCATCAGCGCAGAGCTAATGACAATACTCTAGAGTCAACACTGAAACTCGTACAGCCCAAGAGATGACAAGACAGCTAGTAGACGCCCAGGTCAAAGTCGCCCTGAAATCCCCCATTGAGGAGTATACACGCGATCCGCAGCCTCTGCAGCGGCATATCGGCTGCTGTGTACGAGTCGACGGGACTGAGCCCGAGCCCGACACACATGGCATTCGTGATCGTGTGGACGCCGCAGTCCCAGCCGTTGGTCTGGCGGGGTGCCTCGTGCCGGACGACCTTCCATTCTTGGGGTACGAATTTGTCGCCGAGCACGTCCTTCATCCACGCGAGTGCCAGGTCCGTGTTGGCCGCCTTTCCGCGCGGGTTGAGTGAGTCCATGTGCGCGACCGTGCGCTTCCTGGGCCGCACCACCAGGAGCGTCCAGTGCATGCTTTCGCAGATGGGCACGAGGATCGTGTCCACGTCCAGCAGGTTGTCCTTGCGCACGCCGTTGCGGCTGAGCGTGCGCGCTGTGCCCGTGGGGCCTTGGTCCTTTAAACGCTTGAAGAAGAAGGATGACAGGCTCAGGCACCGTCGCGTCTGCGTCTTGATGTTCTTGATCCCTGCCGCCCCGTTGATCGCCTTGTCCAGCCAGTTGAGCGTGCCGTTGACAATCTCGTCGTTCAGCCACTCCGTCTCTGGGACAACCTTGCTGAAGTCGTGTCGACGTAGATCTACGCCCTCCCCCGTAGTCGCCAGCTTGGCAGCGTCCGACGCGTTGATTGTGTTGAGTGCCCGCTGTGTCCAGTCTGCCGAGATGGAGCCCACAAACTTCCGCTTCGGGACCCGTAGCCCGCCAGACTTGACCAGCCTCTCCTCCAGCTCCTTGCGCATCCGCTCCTCGGCCTCCTTCCTGGCCTTTTCCAGAGCCTTCCTCTTCGCCTCGGCCGCCTTGGCCGCCTCGCGCTGCTTCCGAAGCTCAATCTCCACACGCGAGTCGTCGCTCTGCTTCAGCCCATCGGGTGACGGCTCGGAGAAAAGGTCCATCAACCCCCTTTTCCTGCTCTCCTCGGTCCACCGTCCAGGCTCTGCCGGGTACAGTGGTTCATACCGTCGGGGCATCTCCCCGTCGAGCATAAACTCTTCCAAGCCCCAGTTTGGTTTCAGCGAATCCTGCCTTGCTTGCTTCTCAGCGAATCTCGACGGGTATTCGACCTCCATATCTGATGCCGACGTATTCCAGAACGGCAGATGATCTGAACCCTCGTCGTCTTCCTCCATGAGCTCTGGCGTAGCGTCCTCGACGTCCAGTGACATGCTCACTGACGTACCGAACTGCAGATCCCAGAGGCTGGGTCTGTTGTCTGTAGAGCGCACCGACTTGCTGGACTGTCGCTGCCCAAGTCGTGGCGGCGTGGGCCATGCCGGCGTCTTGGCCGCGCGGTCCCTTAAGAGGGATCCGAGATTCATCGAGGAGGCACCGTCAACCGGTGTTTTTGGACGTGTCGAGCCCTTCTTCCACGAGTTGACCGAAATGTCCCGCGTCCTTCTGGAGCGCATGGCGGCACCGCCGAGCCTGGAGCGGCCGACGCTAGCGCGCTTGTCAACCTTAGATCGCACGACCCGGCTCAGTGAGTCGACTGCATCCTGGTCTCGGACCGACCGTGATAGCCGGTTACGTGACAATCGTGCAAGTGGACCGAGATCCTGCATGGAGCTCCAGCCACCCGCGCCCTCCTGCTGTCGTTGCCGTTGCTGTTGCTGCTGCTGCTGCTGCTGCTGCTGCTGCTGTTGACCGGCATTCCCAGGAAACAAGTTGGGGATGCTCCCTGTCTCCAGCCAGCTGCTCGCTATGTCATTCCTGGGTAGCCAATCAGGCGGCGGAAACTTGGCAGCCATCTTCTCGACATAATCCGAACGTCCAACGTAGGTTGGCGGGACAAGGTGGTTCTCTAAGGCGTCAATATCCAGCAGGACGCGTTCCAGGAAGGGTGTCCATATGGCAGCCTGGCTGGGCGTCAATGCCAGAGATTCGGCAATGCTTGGGAGGATGCGATAGAGATCCGAATTCGATAGCAACTTCTTGGCAGCGCGCATGTTCGCTTCAAATGCGATGCTGTAATCCTTGGAGAATGCTGCCGGTACCGCAGTCTTGTCGTACTTCCTCCGCTGTGCGATGATGTTGGGCAGCTGATACATGACGCCCAAGAAGTCCGACGTCCTCTTCAGCCCGCGCATCCAGAACATGGTGAGACCGGGGAACTCTCCGCGGCGGGCGGCGTGAAACTCGTCTTCGTCGTCGACTAGGGAGACGGTCACGGGTTCTAGCCGGCGATTCAACTCCTGAAACTCCTCTGGCGATGCCTGGCCGAGAAACAGCTGTCCCCTCTCTAGAAAAGTGTCGAACGTGCGTGAGAACCGCTCGGAGGCCTGGTTCGTCGAGGCGAGGTTGTTGTAATCATTGTGTGACGATAGCCTGTCATCCCCGGTCGGCGCTAGCTGAAATTGCTTGTGTGTGACGCTAGCATCGTCCGAGTTGCTTTTTTTCCGTTGTGTGATTGTGAATAAAGAGTCGTTAGAAACTGGCAGAGTAGATGAGTTAGCCGGTGAGTCGGAAGGGGATACCCTGAATGGTCTGTTTCTCGGAGGGACGTACAGAGTCGAGCAAACTTGCCGCCAAAGCTGGAGATGACTGCGGCGACGGTGGTAATCATTTTGCGTAGAGAAAAGAAACCTAGAATGCTGAGCCACATGGGTCGAGGTATATGGGAGGATCAAGTCCGACTCGATCTAAGAAACGCGTCGTGAATGATTTCGAGCCATTGATGAGGGCAGCTGGATGATGGTGGTCGTCTGATCGGTGAAAATGTCGAAGACAGCAAACCCCCGGGGCCGGCTGACGGTAAATGGTCCTTCTTCTTCGTCCTTCAGGCTTTGAGGCTCCAGTTCAGAGTGGCTAGAGTCTTGAAGCGCCGCTGAGCAGAGCAGAGCACAGAACAATGAGTAGAGGCGCGATGGGCCGCACAGGCGACAACAAAGTCCGCAGTGCCGTCTCCAGCCGAACACGACAAACACAGAGCGCAGATCGCAAGCCCCTTCCACTTCGCGGGACCTGATGGTCCGAGAAACAAGGCGGTGTTTGGGTCGTCGGGTGGTGGGTGGGGTTGATGATGCTAGAACAAAGGATGGCCCTTCGCGGTGCCAAGGGCCCAGAAATCAAGGGAAACATCCGTTTCTGAGAGTTTGAGGGAGGCTTTGCGCCGGCAAATGTTCGGATAAACTCAGAGATACATGGGGGAGCTTTGAAGATCTTGACTGGCTGAGATGATCTATCTCCGCATACGAGACCTACAGGGGCTTGTTATAGTGGATCATCCACTGTAGAGCCCTGTAGCCCTGTAGTCTTGTAATGCTGTGGTGAAGGCGATGATTTGTTTAGTGACGCCGTTTTACCGTTTGTTACAGATTATTATAATGTACAATGTTGCGTCCTGTATGACGTCGTCGGAGAGATCAAATTTTCTACATAGCAATGGAATTTTTTGGTGATAAATGTTTGCTACTAGTAGATGATCAAAAGTACTATCATGCCACGGAAGGTGGGTGCCATATAGTTAAAATCGGAATGCTTCTACGCTATAATATCAGCAATAACAAGTCAAGACACAGCCAAGACGGGATAAGACAGCAGAGACTTTGATTATAGTCGAGCTTCAACACTGCCAGTATTCCTTACAGGAGTGGCCCGTCCACCCAGTGGCTTTGTACAAAAGGCAGAGAAGTACTCGTTGAGGGCGTCAACAGTGCCGGTTCCCTCGACAAGATCGACCATGATACCCACGTATCCATCCGGCCTGACGACGACAACTCCGCCCGTATCCTGGCTGAAACCCATCTTTGCATGAGCGGGTGCCTCAGACTCGGGGACGTGGTCATCGTGGAGGTCATCAGCGTAGACGTGCTGACGGTAGCGTCCCAGGACACCAGGAACGTCTCGGGAGATTTCTATGGTTGAACGTCGGGCGGCAAAGACGGTGCATACGGTGAAGAACTGGCTGTGGGGGTTGTGCTGCTCGCGGTGGGAGACGTCGTCAATGTCGCTGCGGAGGTAGGACGTGTAGAAGGAGGAGCGCGAGGCGATGCCGTCGGCCAGGTCGCGTAGGGCCGTCCACGTCAGCCTGGGCTTCCCGCCAAAAATGAAGATGCGGAACGACCCGTTCATCGGCACCTCCTGCTCCAGGTGCACGACGTTGGCGTCGGCCACGCGCGTCACGTCCGAGTTGGCAAACAGGTGGCCCGTCTCCAGGCGGGCGCCGGTGCGTTGGGGGTCGTGGATAAGCGGCGACCGAGCGGGGTGCGACGGTGACCAGTTGATCGAGTTGGCTTCGTAGTACACGCCGTACCCGCTCGTGAATTTGCACGACTCCTTGAACGTCTTGACAAACGGGTTATCGTGATGTGCCGCCTCAGTCCCGTGGTTCTCCGACGCCGCCTGCACCTCTTCTGCTGCGGGGATGCGCTGCGAGAACAGCTTCGCGTATCGGCTGTCGAAGTCGAGGAGCTTCTCCGCCGTGCTCCGCCGCTCCGGCTCATACGTCTCCAGGAGCTCGGGTCGTGCGAACCCACGTTCTACGGCGTGAATCTTCCATGCCAGGTTCAGTGCATCCAAAAAGGCCGTATTCATACCTTGACCAGCTTTGGGCTGCACTAAGGAGTCAATACCATGCAAACCCTCTTCTGCAATATAAAGAGGGAGAGGGTGGACACTAGAGAAGTACGTACGCTGTGTGTGTGGCATGCATCACCGCCAAGAAAGACTCGCCTGTCTAGTGTATACCGATCTGCAATACCCTGTCCGATGGGGTATACCGAGAACCACTCGACGCGCTCCCACTCGATAGTGTAGGGCCTCATGATCTTCTTGGCCATCTCCTGAACCTCCTTCTCCGATGCCGTCTTCCTGGGATCCCAGTCGTCGTCCGACGAAGACGCCAATTGGATATACAGACGAACCATGTCATCTTCGCGGGGAATGACCATGATGGAGCCGTGGTCGCTGTGAATGGTGCATTTCATCTGAGCAGGTTAGCATATCTGCTCTTGTCTTTCTCCCCCCTGTTTGTCAATCCCTCGTCTTTTCTTCGTATCGTACCTTGATATCGGGAAAGTCGGTATCGACAATTCCGTCCATGACACCCCAGACATGGGAGATAGGGTCCTTGTGACGGATTGCAATACCGAGTTTCTCCCTCACAAACGACCTGGATCCCTCAGCACCAAAGAGATAACGCGCGCGAATCTTTTCAGTAGCAGACCCATCGACGTTTGCAATGTCTACCGAGACGGGGAAGTCCGGGCCGTTGGACGCTGCATCTGTCGAAAAATCCGTGATTGTCCAGGGGCGCTGGATATGGACGCCATTCTTAGCCAGGTCGTCGATAAAGGCTCTCTCAATGTGACCCTGATGTAGGAGGGTAGTAAAGGGATATCGGGCGTCGATGAATGACGGGCAGCTAGCCCAGGTGCCCGTCCTAGTGATGCCCTTGCCGGCGGCCGAGGGGTCCCAGAAGGCCACCTCATAGACGCGGGCGGGCTTGTGGTCCATTATGGCGCTCTTGAGGCCCATGTTACGCAGGAGATCGAGGGATCGCGGTTGGATTCCGTCGGCGCGTCCTGTGGCTGTGGGTGCTGGCCGGTTATCAATGTGCTTCACCTTGTAGCCCCAGCGAGCGAGGCAGGTTGATAGCATGAGGCCAAAGGGACCAGCGCCGACGATGACTTGCACGGTGTCAGTGCGTTCTACGATAAGAGATGGAGGGCTTGCGGCAAAACTTACCTATATCATAGTATGACACGCCATCTGGCAAGGCAGTTGCCGAAGACATGGTTGAATTAAGATTGGCGACGAGGCACCAAGACACAGGACCAGACCAAAAAGTTCGAGATGTTCAGTGAAGTGAAGGAGAAGGGGAAGGAGTAGAGAAGTTGAAATGAAATGCAATATCGTCCATTATCTAGTACGTGGCATCGACACCTGGATTAATAAAGAACGTTACGACCGAGAGGGGACCGGGTATAAGTTTACGGGGTGTGGAGAAGCACGCCCCCATATCACAGCCTAAGACATCATAGGGGACCAACCGTTTCGTAAACTTGTTCGGGACTATATGGCGGCACCAGCTGGGGGGAGGGCGGGGGGGGGGGGATAATGAACGGATACGTATCTCGGTACGGGTCGAGACCCTTTCTCGGGGAGAGACATCGGCTGACAAGACACAAGAACTGTTGAACAAGGTCAAGAGACACGACATGAGGCGTTCCGTTACCAACGAGGAACAACAAGGTTAGGGCGTGATCCCCATAACCAACGGAAACGAGAAGTCGACTCTCTCACCCATGAAATCAACCATTGGGTATGTCGGTCGGTGCTTTCATTCGACAAATGAGCGGAAACCCGCGTATACCATTTGCTTGGGAAGCCCAGCCTGACGGTGCTAAAACGTAAATTGGCGAATGAGGACCAGGTTGAAGACCAAAGCCAAGCCAGGGCCAGGCAAAAAGTATTTCCCAATTATCTCTGGGGTAATAGTACGGGGTGCTTACACCCTTTGATCGTCGAAAAAAATGGAGGAGGGTGTGGCATCGGCAAGGGAAATCGGCAAGTTGTCCGTCTGGCCATGTGGGGAAACCGGGGCTCCCGATCCAGCCATCTATCAGCCCCTCTTTTCATTCTTTTTGTTTCTGTCTTGTCTGTCGTTCTAATCGGCGTTGTCTTTCGTGTCTTGTTTCTTTTCGGCTTCGCATGTCGGCAAGTGAAATGTAATTGAGAGACGATGAGTGGTCAAAGTGGCTTTCCGGTTGATGGCGGATGATGACCGACTGCCGAGAGTAGAGACCGGTGTTAAGGATTGACACTTGTCAAGGCCCATGTCAACTAACAGAAGACGGGATGATCAATATGTCATGTCTCCAGATTGCTGAGGTCGCATGCATCCACACTCTATCAGCACCGTGCTTAACAAGTTTGAATTATACATCTCCGTCATGGAAGCTTTCCCAGCTACGACGCAAGACTTACAAATCTAAACTTAGTCATTTTGCTTCTTCTCGGAAGATCACCAAAGGCTTCGCACCACCGTACCAGCGAGTACGAGTGCGAGGGATGCCTTGTTGTGTGATCTGATAACTTTCTTGTTCTTTTCATCTATCTAAAGCTATCTCGATTTTGCAGGGTGAGGATGATAGAACTCGTTCTGTGCGCCCGGCAGATAGTTCTGCCGGAGTCTGAATCCACATTATCACGATGCATAAATTCACGTGATAATATACACTATTGCAGCGATTGTGCACCTACAGCTGCCAGCTGCGGCGACACTCTCAACAGCTGCCCAGACATCCCATGGAAGCTGTCAGATACCGTCGCCCCAGATACTATTCAACGTGAATGTAAACAAATAAACCGGAATGTACTTGGTTCTATGTGAACTGTCCCATCATCATGAACACCAACACAACACACAAACACCATCATGGTCCTCCCACACTCAACTCCATCTCTCCATCACCAGATGCCAACATATGAAACGCCGTCCAGCTACTCTCCCATGAGGCGCCGTCCCGTCCCGAAACCTCGCCCCGTCCCGAAACATCAGTCCTCAAACCTCCAGTTTATGTCTCCGTCCATCAAGCCCCAGCCCATTCATATCCGGATGAACCTGACAGAGTCGCAGATGGACAAACTGACAGAAGCGTAAGTACACCCTCTCCCAAAATCGTATAACGAGGTCACCATCATTGACGTTCCCCAATACAGCTTCTCCAAAGGGGTTGGAGGCAGTACCGGCTCGTCGACCTCCGCCAAAGACACGTCGGCAGCCGTGGACGCTAACATGCCAGAAACACAAGACTCGTCCATCAGTATGGCTGAAAGGCGACGCAGGCCACCCCCCGCTTCCATAGATATACAGGGGACCTCCTCCAGGGCGAAAACAGCTCTCCATCATGTCAAGAGGGAGACCGTCCCGTCCCATGCATCCCCGCTCAGTCCGAGAGCCATGTACGAGGCAAGCGAGGGAGCCCATACGGAACCCCTCAGACTCAGCGGTCACGAGGACACCCATATCGAGGGTTCCTCTCCTACCAAGACGGTGAACCTACCATGTACACATCTGGGAAGGAACGCAGCCGATTCACACCCCTTCTCCCCCTTTCCATTCTACTTCCGCGCTGAAGGGATGCCAGATCAGAAACGACGAGACAAGGCCCTCATAGGGGAAAAGGGGTGGCTCATGAGGACAGATGAGGAGCAGCAGCCCCCCATTCGAACCGAAGCCAAGATGACTGGGATCCTACGCGTCATCAGGAAGCTGGCCAGAGACATGGTACGCTCACCCCCCCCCTTCTAGACAACCACGTAGCTAACAACCACCTGACAAGACGGAAATACACCGTCTGACGCGCCTCATACAGCACTCACCGGAGATGGAACTCGAGTACAAGCCCGCCATCTCCCTTGACGCCCGCGAACAGAGCCTCCTCTACGGCGAGATGGAATTCCACATGACTGATGCCCTGAATACCTACATGACGACGCAGTTCGAAAGGGGCAGGATGTCGACCGACAAGCTCAAGAAGATTGACGACGCCTGGCGCAGCCAGAGCCATCTCCCCGTCGTCGGGTTCCGATACGACCTGGCCACCCAGATTGACCTCGTCACGCTTCACAAGGACCACTTCGACTTCCCTGGTTTTCGCGACGACCAGCTCAATAACATCACTCATCTGCTACGTGACATGGGAACCGACGCCAGGGCCATGAGTGTTCGCACATTCTGTCTGCCCGACTCGCTAGTTGCGCGACACATCATTCACGCTCAGTCGCTGTTCGATCTTGTTGGCGCGGCGCAGACGAAGCACGATGCCCTTGCAGAGATTGCCAGCTTTTTCCAGGTCTGTATTGGCCGCGTCAAGGCCCAAGAGGCGACCCGGTTGGAAGAGGCGGAGCATCAGCGTAGGAGGAGGGAGGGACGTCGGCTACGATGACTGCATGCTTCCGAGGTATGAAGGGAGCGAGTCAGTGATGTGGACTGGCTGGGAACATGAACAAATGTTCGCATATTGTAATGAACTCAACATGTACTAGTAGTGGAATTCAAAAACCAAGCTTGCCATGTAACCAACCCTGCATTTGCCTCTTTGCTTCCTTAATATGCCATTATACATCATGACCAAGCGTCTCCCATTAACCTGCCCATCTCGTGTGCACAATAGAGGAGGAAGAGTCGCACACATACAAGACAAAGCTTGTATCCTCATGCTAGGGAACTAAGAAGGATGCAGTCGCTTGTCTGCATATCGCCGGTCGTATGGCCTCTCATCATAGTAGTCATTGCCGTAGTAGTCGTCGCGTCCGCGATCCTCAAGACTGCGTCTGCTGCTGCTTTTGCGGTCGGCGCTGTATCTCGACGACTCGCCCTCGTCACGACCATAAGAGTCATCCCAGGCGCGCTGTCGAATATCGGCGACGTCCCGCGAGTTCTCATACCGCCTCGTCAGGGCGTTTGCGCCCAGTCCTCCAATGGCGGCACCTAGAATGGTCGTGGCTAGGCGGATACGTTCTTCCTCCTTGTCAGTCTCGCTGTTCTGACGGTTCCGCGAGCCCTGCGAGCCCTTCGAGCCCCTCGAATCTCCTGACCGCCGACGGTTCTCTGCGAAGCGTTCTGACGCCTCGCGGGCAACGTACCCGCCGGCGAGGGCGCCAACGAGACTTGCGCCAATACCGACAGTCGAGTTGCTAAAGTTGTTTTTCACCATCTTGCGAGCCTGGCGCATGCGATCCTCGTCTGCTTCATCCTCGCGGCCGTCATCGTAGTCACGACCACCTCTGCTGTAGCTGGTGCTCCGGGATACTGAGATGGTGCCGTCGTCGTCGTCGTAATTGTCTGAGTAGGCGATAGAGGAGGAGCGCCTGCGGGCAACCAGCTCCCTGCCATCCGGGGTCACGGATCGGGGCCGCGATGACGACCTGTAGCTTGGCGGAGGAGGTTCGAGGTGCATCGACTCACGAGTGTATGAGTCTCTTGAGCTCGGTCGTTCCGGTGAATCGGCGCGGCCATGAGGCGGCCTTGACCGGCTGTCGTTGCTGTAATACGCAGACATGTTCTGTGTCGTTGGTTATTTGTGTGTAGCGGAAGGTCTCAAAACCTTGGACAGGAAAAGCACAAATACGGCCAGATATAAATGGAAAATTGTTATGTCGAGAGGAAATGCTGAGGGCGCCAACCAGTTGGCCGACGGACCCAAGGCGGGGTGTGGTGTGGCGTTGATGATGATGCTGGCGACAGGGGTCTAACCTGTTGTATGTGGGGTGACTTGGGACGTTTTTAGATGTAGACCATCTCGCGGGTGAAATAATACTTTCTGCGGAGAACAGCAGCAGTGTTTTTCTCCTTTCGCACTGTTGACCATGGCTGATGTCTATGTAGGGAAAGCAACAGGATTTTGGAGAATCCTCCGAGTCTCGGGGCACTAGAATCCTCTTATATACTCGTACAATTCTATGAAATTGGGAGGAATGATAGAAGTCACGTGATATTTGGTAAAGTAGATGATGCGCATCTTTATAAGATCATAAAAAAGCTAGAGGGCAACCTCTCTGTTATAAAGAATTAAGACTCTTTATAACTATTCGAAAAATGCTTCATTTAATCAGTTAATCATTAGATCTATCTTCTCCTAGCTATATGATGACCGGAATTGCTCAAATATTCTAATCATCAGCCGGCGCCTAATACATCAGGTCGCAATACATGAATGGATACTATAACAGAATATGTCATTGAGGGTTCCGTTGTTTTTCCGTTTGTTGGATGGCGGGGTAATTGTCTCAATGACTTGATGTCACCGGTATATTCGCTGGTAGAGAGTTGCGAGACGACAGCTGGACCGTGTTGTTGCATTGCAATCTGCAGGATGACGGAGAACGGATTGGACCCTCACGTCTGCGGATGGAGCCAAGGAGACAAGGGACCTCCCGGTCGACGAACATGCCCTATGACGAGGGCGGATGGGAAGGGTCCCGTGATGGCCTGTATTGGCGGCATTGCCCGGCGCCTTGAGAAAGTGGTGTACTCTGCATGGTGTTCGTAGTCGATGGCTGAGAAGACGACGCCCAGCGACCGGTCGTGACTGGCTGCCGCTGGTAATTAATTTACCAGTATCTGCCGTTCCGACGGGGACTTTCTGGTTTCAAGGTGTAGGCGTAGTAGAAACGCCAATGTCAGACAGCTTAAAGCATTGTTATTTAGTAATAGAACAGTCTCTCCGTGGTATTACAGAGTGGCAGCATTTGGTGATCCGGAGAAAGAATCATGATTGAGGAAGGTGCACGCGCCCGGACGCACCTGCCCAGGCGAGAAAGGAAAGAAGGTGTTGGTCCTGGAAGGTGATACGAGTTGGGCGTTCCTGTCATTTTTGCTTCTTCTGTCCCCCTGTAGCAAGCCATAGTAATCCCCTCTCTCATAATCAATTCTTCTTTCCCCCCTCTCCGAGTTGAATTCTCACACAACTCCCCGAAAGTGCGAGACGAACGAGCATTGCCACCCACTTACGATGTATCGAACGATCCCACTAAATACTGCTACTGCAGTGTGTGGGTCACGCGCATGCGGTGTATGGATTTGTGATGTGATGTCGACGGCCCAAACATTCCGCCAAACACCAAACGCCATTATCCCATCCAGCATGCATGCACGGAAGATGGCTGGGACAGGAGGACCTTTGCCGAGCGAAGAGGACAGTACACCAAAGAAGGATGAAGAGGAAGAGGAAGAGGAAGCGGGAGAAGAATGTGAAAGAAGAAGAAAAAAAGGCCACCATGAATAAGGTAATCATGCTGGATTGCATACATTGTGGGGAAGTAATGGGCTAGATTGGCAAGACTGCTATTCCCGACGTTGTAATACGCTCTGCAAACAGCTCAGTCCCCACGAGTTCCACCATAATCAAAGCTACAGAATGTTGCCTGCCGTCCCCGGCCTGCACATTGTTCTTCCCTGGCACGCAACGTTCTGCAGATTGCAGCGGACTGCTCACAGTTCTCCGCTCATCGTGTTCTGCCATACCACTGCATTCAATGCGCGGGGGTGCATAAATCCGACTACTCCTTCTCCTCTTCATATCGCTATCCTACAGATATCCTACTCTTCCTCCCCAAACCTGTCATTGCCCTTCCAGTCACGTCGAGCTTTTTCTCAGCACATTGGGCAGTAGTCAGTGAGCATGAAGAGTCGACGAATTTCAGAGGAAATCTGTCGATAGAGTAGCCGTTCTACCGAGCACATGCATCATCTATATAACACTAATTATGGCATCTGCGACGGAGCCTCCGACTGATGATGGCTCTGCCATCAACATTTCTAACGTATCCAAGGTTGTCGATCCCAACTGGGTTGCCGATGAGGAAACGCCTCTTCTGGCTGAATGCCCTCACCGTGCGGCAGACAATGAGGATGAGCAAGAGGCGTGGCACACTCCTAGCATCAATGCCTGGCGTTTTGGCTGTGTAAACCTCACTTTTCTAGTCATGGGCATGAACGATGCCAGTGTCGGTGTAAGCGTTTCGACTTTCTTAAAAGAGGTTAAGTGAAGACAATACTGACGCGGTGATTTGCTAGGCCATGATTCCGCATGTGAGTTTCTCTGCCATCTATCGCCACTCTTACTGGCGCACACCTTCCCTCTCCGTCCAGGAATCGCTAATCCTTCTGCTAGATTGAACCGTATTACGGTATTAGCTACAGAACCGTGTCGACCTTGTTTATCGTTCCCTTCTTCGGATACGTTTTTGCCGCTGTCATGAATGGCTGGCTCCATGTCACCGTTGGCCAGCGTGGTATTGCTATCATGGGCGTCGTCGGCCGCTTGACGGGCTATATCCCCATGGCTCTTCACCCCAGACAATTCTACCTTCTTCCCATTTGCATGTTCTTTACCGGGTTTGGAAACGGCGTCAACGGCAGCTCATGGAACGCCTGGGTCGGCAACCTGCGCAACACAAACGAGCTCCTGGGCATCATCCACGGTGCCTACGGCGTAGGAGGCATTCTTGGTCCCCTGGTAGCCTCCTACATGGTTTCCAAGGCTGGGCTGTCGTGGTACACTTACTACTATGTCATGATTGGCATGTCCACCCTGGAGCTCGTGCTGGGTGCCTCGTCCTTCTGGGACGCGACCGGTGCGGTGTACCGTCAGCGACACAAGATTGACGAGGACGGGGTGGCGGTCAGCGCCAAGATGATCCTGAGCAAACCCACGCCCTGGCTAGTCGCCCTGTTCCTGTTCGGGTATGTCGGCGTTGAGGTCTCCCTCGGCGGCTGGATCCCGACGTTCATGATTGAAGTGCGCCACGCCGACAGCTTCACGGCCGGCCTCGTGGCGACCATGTTCTGGATCGGCCTCGCACTGGGCCGTGTTGTCCTAGGTTTCATCACAGGTCGCATCGGTGAGAAGATGGCCGTTGTGGCATACCTTTTTCTCTGTGCCGTGTTCCAGGTCCTCTACTGGATGGTGCCGAGCGTTGAGGCCTCGGCTATCTCTGTCGCGATGCTGGGTTTTTTTCTAGGTCCGCTGTTTCCTGCCGTCATTGTCGTCGTGACGAAGCTGCTGCCGGCAGACCAACACGTTGCGACGATTGGCCTGGCTTCCGCAATCGGAGGCAGCGGTGCCGCCTTGTTCCCGTTCATGGTAGGAGCCATTGCGGAGGATAGCGGCGTGGGAGTACTGCAGCCGTTCATTCTGGCACTCATCGGTTCCATCGCCCTCATCTGGCTGATACTTCCTGGTGGTTTGAGGAAGGGAGGTCTCGAGAAGGCAAGAAAGGAGAGGCTTTCCATGTGAGACGGTCGCGGGACGATGCCTGATGGAATCCTTTGGATGGAAGTATTCAGGTACTACTACTAGTACTACTAGTGGTACTGGTAGCAGTAGTATTCGTACTTGGCCTGAACGTATGGGTGCAGTAAATTTCTAGTATCATGGACAGTTAGATCTTCGCACATACATATATACATACTATATACAATCTCCTCTGCGTCAGAAATGTAAAGATGCATCATTCTTTTTTCTTAGTGTATATTACTATAATATTTGTTGGTGATTAACGATTACTCTGCAGTCTATTCAGAGCGTAAATAAGAGCATCAAAGAAGAAAAACTTCAAAGGAAGGCACGGTTAGTTGGTCGAGGGAATAGATTGGGGAAGGAGCATTAAATACATCAACCGCACCTTCCCCTCCAAAAAAAAAAACAATGTGGGGTGCCTTTTCTTCCACCCACTTCCACATTTTACTTCCGGTCCCACGACCAGCAATCTCTGTATCATTACCAATCCATTACCCGAAGCCGGTCGACTGCCATTTACACGCGAATATACAAGTCCCCGGGACGTTTGAATCATTGGAAACCTCGTATACATCTATCTCGGACATATTACACAGGCTGGAGATCCTCAGTACACACACACACACACACACATCACCCCACGATGCCGACGTCGGGGTCAGAGCCGTCAGAGGCTAAAGCGATAACGACGACGACGCTGACAACGGAAACCCACCACCTCACCCCCCTCGAGCCGCTGAACCCCGACCTCCATGAGCGAGCATGGTGCTCGACGCCGCACCCGACACTCCCCCTGCTAGCCACGGCGCACGGCAAGTCCGTCACCGTCTTCTCCCTGTCGACACTGTCGAGCCACAGCTCCCTGACGGGCGGCCACACGCGATCGGTGCGGTGCGCGGCATGGAAACCCAACCTCGGTCCGAACAAGCTGTGCCTGGTGACAGGGAGCTTTGACTCCACAGCCGGGATGTGGCGGTGGGAGGACCACAGCGACGTGGCGAGGGAGAAGGAGATCACGGCTGACGGATCGGACTCGGAAAGCAATGCTGGCGGCGCCGTTGACTGGGAGTTTACTCTGGTTCTCGAGGGCCATGACTCAGAGATCAAGTCATGCGCCTTCAGCCCGTCAGGCGGCCATCTGGCGACATGCTCTCGCGACAAGTCGGTCTGGGTGTGGGAGGATATTGGGGCATCCGAAGCCGACGACGAGTGGGAGACGATCGCCGTCCTCAACGAGCACGAGGCTGACGTCAAGGCTCTGGCGTGGTGTCCCGACGTTCCCGGGCGGTCCCGCCGCGGTACGTACGGCGTCGATGTCCTCGCGAGCGCCAGCTATGACGACACGGTGCGCGTGTGGCGTGAGGACTCCGACGCGGAGTGGGTGTGCGTCGCCGTGCTTGAGGGTCACGCCGGTACAGTCTGGGGCATTGAGTGGGAACGTCGTCCCAGGGCTGGAGACAAGTTCCCCCGCCTGCTGAGTTTCTCGGCCGACAGCACCATTCGCCTGTGGACGCTCGACCAGTCAACCGACGAAGACTCCAACGACGCCGATGGCGGTGCTAAGCCTGCCCTGGGCGGCATCCCCAACACCATGCGCCGCTCCCTCAGGGAAGACTGGACATGCACTGCCACCCTGCCCAAGGTGCACTCATCAGACGTATACGCCGCAGCATGGAGTCCAGAGACGGGTCTCGTGGCCAGCACGGGCAGCGACGGCCTTCTAGTCTTGTATCAGGAGGACGTCGTGACTGGAGAATGGTCCATCCTTGAGGTCCGACACAATGCCCACGGTCCGTATGAGGTCAACCATGCGGCCTGGTGCAAGAGGTGGGACGATGGCGTGGCAGCTGACAGGAGAGGCGTAGAGGAGATGCTGGTCACCACGGGGGACGACGGTCTCGTCAGGCCCTGGCAACTCGTGGTGGTCCCATCCAGCACATCGTAGCAATCCATTCTTTGACACATACACATATAACGGAGGGGGAGGGAACTTGCTTCTAATTCTAATCAACAAAGGTTGCTTCCATCATTCTTCTCCTCTTCTCCCTTCCTTCAATCTACCCAACCTCACTCTATTCGAAATGAGCAAAAAAAGGCGGGATAAAACATATATGATACAATGTTAAAGACAAATGAGACGAATGATTGCAGAGGATAAGATAAAAATTCAATATTACACGCAACGGGCCTTCTTCTGCCTGCCACTTCTCTCCTCCTCGTACTCTTCTGGGTAATGTTTTGGGTTTTTGGTGCACTGGTCTCCTACATCTACTCCCCCTTGAGCTTATCCTGCTTGACGTTGAAGGCCACTTCCAGGAGCTCCTGCTCCTCCTTGGAGTGGACGTTCTTGAGACCAGTGGCCACCGAAGCGCTGGGGTTGCGACCGGCGTACATGACGTGCTTACGGTGATGGTGCTCAGTTTCGTTGAGAAGAGTCTCGATGCGGGGCTGAGTAAAGCTCCAGGCTCCAGCGTTGAGAGGCTCCTCCTGGCACCAAACAATCGTCTTGGCGTTAGGGTACTGGTCGAGGTTTTCACGGAGCTGTTGCCACGGGAAGGGGTTGAGCTGCTCAATACGTGTGATGGCCGCGTCGGTGATCTTGTTCTCCGTGCGGTACTTCGTCAGGGCAGCGTAGACCTGGCCAGTGCACAGGATGACACGGTCAATCTCCTCGGGGGACTTGATGTTGCCAGTCTCGTGTTCGGGGTCGGCAATCAGGGTCTTGAAGCCGGCATCAGGGCCGGAAAAGTCCTCAATCTTGGAGCGAGCAATGGGGTGACGTAGCAGAGACTTGGAGAAGAAGATGATGAGGGCTAATCGTTCAAAAGTCAGTATATAGTCAAACAAGGGAGAGTAACGTTGAAGGGGAGGGGAGAGGGGAGTAAAGTGAGGCTCACGCTTGCGGAACTGGCGGTGCATCTGGCGGCGGAGAGCGTGGAAAAGATTCGCAGGCTCCGTCATATAGACAATTTGCATGTTGCAGTCCTGGTGCTGGCGCTGGAGTTTGTCCTCCGAGGGGAACTCGCGGGGGTCCTCGTTGGAAAGCTGGAGGTACCGCTCGAGGCGGCCAGACGAGTGCTCGGGTCCCTGGCCATCGTAGCCGTGGGGCAGCGACATGACGAGACCGGTGCGCTGCATCCACTTGGACTCACCAGAGGCAATGAATTGGTCAATAATGCACTGAGCATTATTCGCAAAGTCGCCGAATTGGGCCTCCCACATGACAAGGGCGTTGGGCGAGGACAGCGAGTAGCCGTACTCGAAGCCGAGGGCGCCAAACTCGCTGAGCGACGAGTTGGAGATGACAAACTTGCCCTGGTCCTTGCTGACATTCTGAAGAGGCGTGTAGGTACCCTCGTTCTCCTGGTCATGGAAGACGGCGTGGCGCTGGGAGAAGGTACCGCGCTCGACGTCCTGACCAGAAACGCGGACATGGTAGCCCTCAGAAACCAGAGAGCCAAAGGCAAGAGCCTCGGCGGTGGGGAAGTCAATGTTCTTACCCTCGACAACCGACTTGGTGCGGTTGTTAAGGATACGCTTCAGGTTGCGGTGGATGGTGAAGCCCTCAGGGGCAGAACCAATGATTTCACCCAATCGGGCGAGTTCCTTCTCGGGGATGTTGGTGTCGTGATGGGGAAGGACCTCGGTAGCCAGCTCCTTGGGCGACTTGAAGCCGTTCCAGGCCGACGTGGTCCACTCTTTGGAGGTGGGCTGGTAGTCCTTGGACTTGGTGAAGCTCTCCTCAAGCATACCCCAGACCCACTGTTTGTGCTCATCAATGTCCTCCTTGGTAAAGGTGCCATCCTTGAGCAGCTGCTCGACGTAGATGTCGAGCTGGGGCTGCTTCTCCTGGATACGCTTGTACATGAGGGGCTGGGTGAAGGAGGGCTGGTCCGTCTCATTGTGACCGTGCTTACGGTAGCTGATCAGGTCAATGACGACATCGTGCTGAAACTCGGCGCGCCAGTCGGCGGCGAGCTGGCAGACGTAGTTAACAGCCTCAACATCGTCGGCATTGACGTGGAAAACGGGGGCGTCGATGGCCTTGGCAATGTCGGTACAGTAGGCCGTGGAGCGGGCGAAACGGGGGTCGGTGGTGAAACCAATCTGGTTGTTGACGACAAGATGGATGGTACCACCTGTGGAGAAGGAAGGCAGGGAGTGGAAGCCGAGGCACTCGTAGACGATACCCTGGGCAGCGAAGGCAGCGTCACCGTGGAGCAGGACACTCATGGCGGTGCGGTGCGTCTTCTCGTCGTCATTGTAGTGCTGGATGGCGCGCGTCTTACCGAGGACGACGGGGTCCTCAGCCTCAAGATGCGAAGGGTTGGCAACAAGAGAGAGTTGAACGCGCTTGCCTGAGGGTGTGGGGCGCTCAAAATTCATACCCAGGTGGTACTTGACATCGCCGGAGCCCTCTTCCTCGGCGCCGCCAGTACCGGCAAACTCGCTGAAGATGGACTCGTTGGGCTTGCGAACGACGTTGCTGAGGACATTGAGACGGCCACGGTGAGGCATGCCGATGACGATGTCCTTAACACCGTAGTCGACGCTGCGGTCGATAAGGGCCTTCATACCAGGAACGAGCGTTTCACCACCTTCAAGACCGAAACGCTTATCGTTTGGGTACTTGGTGGCAAGGAAGGTCTCGAAGCTGGAACTCCAGATGAGACGGTCGAGGATACGGCGCTTCTCGTCGATGGAGTACTTAAAGGGCTGAGGCACCTCAACGCGCTCACGCAGCCAATCGCACTTCTCACGGTCAGGAATGTGGATGAATTCGACACCGTAGGAGCCGCAATAGATTTGCTCGCAGGCATTGATAATTTCACGGAGCGTCATCTTGTCGCGACCCTCGCGCTTGAACCTGGGGAGAATGCCAGGGCCGAGATTGAACTCCTTGTCGAGGTCCTGCTCGGTGAATTGGTAGTGTTCAAGGGTAAGCTCCTTGGGCTTGATGTTTCCGAAACCGGCGGCGGTAGTGCGAATGCCCAAGGGGTCAATGTTGGCTTTGTGATGACCACGCGACTGGTAGGCGCGAACAAGAAGCTGGACCTTGAGGTGGTTGGTGACGTCGGAGCCGTCGTCGAGGGCAAGACCGGTGGAAAGACGAGTGCCGGTCATACCGGGGACCAGGTTTGGAGGAGGCTGGAATGCATGCGAGATGGGCATGTCGCCGCTCTCCATGTTCTTGAAGTAGACCTGCCACGAGGAATGGACACTCTCGGGGTCCTGCTTCCAGCGAATGTACATTTCGTCAATGTAGTTGGCGGTGCTTCCCGACAGGAAGCTGTCGCTGGGGTCGGGGGGCTGCTCTATAGCGTTGGTAGCATAAGAGCGCTGTTGCTTGGCCGAGGTCATGGCCAAAGGCCTTCTGGTGGAAGAGAGCTTCCATGACGAGGTGCGAGCTGACGTGGTCGAAACGGAAAAGGCGGACGAGGACGAGGCCGGGAAGCGGGCGTTCCTCAACAGCGAGGAGCTACCTCTGGATAGGGAGTTCCTGAACATGGTCGAACAGAAACGGGTGGCGTCGGGTTATATATATATTATATATATATATCGAGGGAGGAAAAGGACAGAAGAGTAAGGAGTGCGTATCAACAAAGGAGTCAATAATCAATAGAAGGAATTAGAGACTCATTCCTCCGGCGTTTCCCTAGACTTGTAAGCTCCCGCAGAGGGCAAACAAAAGGTGGCCGGGATATGAGGTCTGGAGATGAGGAACTGATGGGGAGGTTTGGAGGTTTGGAGGGAGAGAAAGAGGGAAATAAAGACAAGGACGCGGTTGGAGAGAGAAAAGTAACGTTTGGCCCGGTTGTTCCTTCCCAGTCGGTTGCCAACAGCCAAACGGCAGGAGCAGAAAAATTATTATGACGGCAGAATTCGGTAGACAACTGTGTTGCGCTGTAGCTGGGGGAGCTCCAGGTGGACTACAGTGGGTTGCAGGGGGGGATAGGTGGGCTCTGGGTGGGCTCCAGGGGGTTCCACCGCTGTGGATCCCTTGTCTCGGGCCAGTCATAGCGCACGAGTTACCGAACACGATAATGTACACAGTTGCCAGATTTATATGCACAGTCCTCCACCGCTATAGCGACATGATACATACAGTGCGAATCTGGACCCAATGCACCCGGCTAAATGGTCATCATAGCCGGCGCCACCGCCACATACTCTCTTCATTAGCCACATTTATTTAGAGAAATTGAGCCACATGGCCGAGCCACTTCTGATATTTCACCAGCCACACAAAGCTCAAGCCATCAAGCCTCACTTTGTCTCAACTTCTTCACGAATCCTATCACAACCTTAACACCTATTTCCATACCTCTATCTGCTCTTTTGAAGCTTTACGGCACCTAGAGCCCCAGACATCCAACATATTCGCATATACGAACTCGAAGGGAACAAACGAGAAAAGAAAGGGCCTTTGGCCCGGTACTCAGACATACACCCTCCCCTTCAGAGCTTGGCATCGTGAGCTGTGCTTCGTCTCTTCGTCTGCATGGGGATGACGACATCATCACTCCCGTAGAAGCATCTTCCTTCCGTCCCATCTTTCCTTCATCCTTTGGCCTGCCACCATGACCATTCCAGTGGGTCGCACTCTGTACAAGAAGAAAGATGGCATCCTCACCTTGACCCCGGACCAGCAGACGGTCACATGGACGCCTAACTCAAGCGGACTACAGACACTCTCACTGCCGGTCTCTTCCATTTCAAGTAAATAGTACTCGAAGCCTTACTAACCTCAAATCTGCTCAACTGGCTAACTCTCTTTGCGTCAGACCTACAACAGACACCCGAGACGTCGGCCAAGGTCATGCTCAAGATACTGGAAAAGTCGCCCAATGGCGAGCCCATATCCCATCTATTCCACTTCAACACACCAGAGGCTAAGATTGAGGCCTCGGCTGTCAGGGACCTGCTATCTAGCATACTCGCAGACATTCGGAGCAACGACCCCAATGTGCCGAAGCCCACGCCCGGCACACCTACCGGTGCTACTAGAACCGACACGGGTGCGCCGCAGGGACAGCAGCAACAGCAAGAGGCAAACGGTAGTAGCAGGTCCGCATCCATGGCCTTTGCCAGTACCGTCAACTCTCAGGCAGCCTCTATACGGTGGTTCGACGACAACCAGCTCAAGAATGACATTGAGCTACAGCAGTCTCTCATGAGAAAGGATAAGAGCCTTCACAGAACCTATATGGAAGCCATGTCGACAAAACCGGATAGCATATCAGGAGCTGCTTTCAACTCGCAGTTCTGGTCCACAAGAACGAACATGTTGCGCTCCCACGCCATCGAGACGAACCAGAAAAAGGGCGCCTACAACGTCTTGTCCACCGTCAAGCCGCGCACCGTCGACGGCGAGCTCAAGCTCAGCATCACCATCGAGCAGGTGCAGATGATATTTTCACAGCACCCGCTTGTCAAGCGCATCTACAACGAGAACGTTCCCAAGCTATCCGAGGCCCAGTTCTGGTCGCGCTTCTTCCTCAGTCGCCTGTCCAAGAAGCTCCGTGGTGAGCGCGTCGCTGACAATGACCCGCCTGACCCCCTTTTTGACAAGTACGATGCCAGCGAGAACACCCAGGGTTTCCAGAGTCGAATCATGGCCCAGAGCGTGCCACACATGATCGACATCGAGGCCAACGAAGAGAATCAAGGCGGATTCAAGAGTGGCAATGCCAAGGACATCGAGATGCGCCCCCGCGCCAACATCCCTATTGTCAAGACGCTCAACAGCCTCAGTGAGCGTATTATGACCAACGTCGCACCTTCAGACGCCCACGGCGGTGGTGCTGGTGACGATTCCGACCTCTTTCGAGAGCTTGCACTACGCGATCTCCGAGAGGAGGAACGCGAGCAGCGCATCATCCTCAATGTCAAAGAGCAGAACAAGTTCTTCTCGAAGCGCGACGCAGCACCATCAGCCAACGCACGTCTATTTGCGCAACAGAAGCCAGACGATGTACTATTCGAGATTCAAGGCGACCTAGAAACACTCGAGGAAGATGGCGGAGGCGGGATAGATCTTCATGCAGGTATTGGCTTCGACGACGAGAGCGAGAGCGACGACGACCAAGATGACGGGAACAGTAAGAAGAAGCGTGCGCACGTGGGGTCGCGGTCCGTCCTGCGGGCCGCAGACAGGGACATCATGGACGGGATACGGCAGCAGCGATCACAGCAATATGGACAGGATAGTGACGCGACGACACCCATGGGCCTATCGCAAGGCGTGGCGGACAAGTGCGGACTCACTCACGCCACGACGGTTGAGTTCCTACACCAGTTCTGGGCAGCTTTCCTGTCTGGCGACGCCGACCGCGCCGCCGAGCTGCAGTACCTAGCCGAGTCGCTGACCAAGTCGGCGGAGCGCGTCAATGCCGTGGCCGACGAGGCAGAGGCCGACCGTTCCGAGACCATTGCCAGTCGCAAAAAGGAGATCAGAGCACACTACGAGCGCACAGGTAAGAAGATTCGCTGGAAGGCAGATATGGTCGGCGGGGGGCGCGACGCCGTCGTCAAGCTCATGCAGCCCATTCTCGATGCGATTGAAAAGGCTCGCGCAGACTATGCACGTGCTCTGGCGGCCGAAGGTGTTAAGGTGTCTACGGAGCAGGTTTAACTAGTATCATATGGTTAATTAGTAGTACCACTTTAGTGTATAACAATGGCAGCAAGACTCCTTTTTTGCTCCTCCCTTCTCTTCGTGTTATGGTCCATACAATGACAGAAAAGCAAACAAATGGATATATGTATATATAATGTTACATCATGGCCGCCCCGTCTGCCTGACCCTAGCAGGATTGACATCATCCTTGGAGGCTACAGCACCAGCCCCGAACCCCATAGTCTTCTTACCGCTACCCTTCCTTCGGTTCCCGTACTCCTCGTCGAAACGGCGAATCAGACGCAAGGATTCCATATCCTCGCTTATACTGGCGGGGATCTGCTTGAGGGCACGCTCAAAGTGTGCAGCTGAGAGTGTCCGGCGCTCAGGGTAAGCGTACGGTTCCGGTCCCTCGTGGGCTGCCGCAGCAGCGTTCTCCTCCTCTACTGCCACCATGGCGGCAGCGACACACATGTTCTTAAGGTCCGAGCCAGAGTAATATGGCGTGCGGTTGGCGAGGCTCTCGAGGTCGACTTCTGGTGCGAGCGCCTCGTCGCGCAGGACCAGACGCAGGATGGCGGCACGGTCCTGGACAAGGGGAAGGTCGACAAGGAGCTTGCGGGGGAGGCGGCGCAGTACGGCGTCATCGAGGTCAAAGGGCCGGTTCGTGGCCACCATGATGAAGGCGCTCGTCTCCTCCATGCCGTCCCACTCCTTAAGGAACTGGTTGATGTGCTCGCGGTGCGAGGCGCGGCTGCTGTACATGCTGCGATTGGCCAGGAGCGAGTCGGCCTCATCGATGAAGACGACACAGGGGGAGAGCTTCTTGGCCAGTGTGAAGACGGCCCGGATCAGCTTCTCCGCCTCGCCAACCCACTTGTCGTTGATGCTAGCCCCGCTAATCTCCAGCATGTTAGCCCCGGACTCCTTGGCGACGGCCTTGGCGAGCATCGTCTTGCCTGTCCCCGGGGGACCGTACAGGAGACATCCATTAATCTTGTCGTGCGCCAGAACACCATACGAGAAGGCATCCGGTCGGACGAGCGCCAGCGATGTGAGCAGCTTCAGCGCGCCAATCGTGTCTGGGGCAACGTGCACGTCGCCAAATGTCGTTCGTAGGTTCTCACGGTTGATGACGCCGTTGGCAATGCGCTTTTCGTACTCGTTCAAGCGGGCCAAGTTGACACCGTTCGGTGATGAAGGGCGGTGGCTACCGCTGCCGTCGTACTTGCTCGGGTCTTCTCCACGTGCAGGAGACTCTCTAGGGTCCACGCCAGGGTCGTCATTGACAACCGCGTCCTCGAACAGATCCTGGCCGGGCTGCTGGCGGAGGGGGCCCATAGCAGCGCGCAAGAGGAACGAGGCCGATCCGCCAAAGGGAGGCATGAGCTCGACGTCGCGGAACCCACGAGCCAGGTTGTGTACCTCGGGCAGCGGGAGGACCGACGAGTTAAGCAGGTTCCGCGGCTTGCCCTGGAAGGCTGGATGGGTCCAGTAAGTGTCTCCCAGGTCAGTGATGCGCCACTGAGGTACAGAACTGGGGTCGGCGGACGGGTCGATGGCGCAGACCATGCGGTTGATGTTGCGGGCGTTCTCGTCCAGGGTGTCAGTGGCTTGGAGGTTGAAGGGCGCGGCCTGGGGCTTCATCACGACGCCCGTCTCCTTCTCGGCGCGATCAGGTCGGATGGACCGCGAGATGACCAAGTCTGTGGCACCCAACTCACGCACCATGCTCTGGTACTCGTCCGAGGGGTTGGCGCACGATGACGTGCCCAAGAGCACAATGGCCCTGCCCCTCTTCCAAGCAGCGTCAATGCGCGACCGCAGCTTGGACAGGATGACAGAGCCCTCAAGCGTCATGCTCAGCTCGACGTAGTCGTGAACTTGGACGACGAGGGGTCTATCGCTGTCGGCCACAGGGTCCGAAATGATGCTGTCGAGCACCTTGTTGATCTTGAGGTTCTCCCAGTCAGTGAAGCACTCATATTTGCCCTGGCGAACCTTTTGGAACTCGTTGTTCCACGCAGCACCCGACGTCGTAGCGCGCATGTTGATGATGTTTTCATCGTCCTCATCGTCGTGTTGCGAACCCAGCGAGAATTCGGGTTCCTTAGCAATGCGTCCGCCGAGCTCGGCAGCCCGGAACCCCATCGTTGACACGGCGCCGCGCGAGTACACCCAGTCCTGGCCGATGTACCCGCCCACGATGGTCGACAGGTCATATGCGTCCAGCTGGATCACATCAGCCATGTTGAGGTATCCGGCAATGCTACCAATAGAGCGGGCAATAGCGCTTCCGCTGTAGCCCGTCATACTGAGAATCTGGATAGGTCTTTTTCCGGCCTTGTGGTCGAAATCGGCGGGGGCCATTTGAAGTATGTCGCGCCCGAGGTTTTTGCAGATGTTATCGAATGTCTCCGGGGGGAAGTCGGCGATGGAGTGAGCGAGCGGCTCCTTGAGGAACTCGGAGTACTTGAGCTGGAGGGAGATAGGAGGGTCGCGTCGATCGAAGGAGTCGCGCCACGTCTGGCCCTGACGATCCAGGTCCTTGTAGATGTGCCACCACCAAAACGGCCTTGTCCGGTACGTGTATTCGGCGTCGCGGGCGGGGTACAGCGCATCGGCCAGCTGCCACGAGACGTCAATCAGACTATCCCACGTGCGTACCAGCTTTTCTATCTGGAACGAGTTATCCCACGGCGAGGGAAGGTTGGCCGGGAGGTCGTTGAAGTCGTCGAAGAGTTGCGTCTCCCTTTCGACAAGGATGTTGACAGCCGTCTCAAAGTATTCCTCGAGAGCGGTGCTAGTCGTCCTAATGTTTGGTGTGAGGTTGCTGTCATTCTTGCTGCTGTTATTGTTCCTCTTAGTGTGCAGTCGGGACACTTTAGGATGGCGGGCATCCATGATAATGGGCACAGGCAGCTTGGGCTGAACACCCGGCTCGAAGTGAGAAACATTGTTCTCGAGAAAGGTGGGCGGCAGGTTGACCGGCGGCAGATCCAAGGCGGACCGCCGCTTGTTCTGGCCTCTTCTGCTTCGGGGACCAAAGGCCGAGTTTTTCGGGCGTTCGCCCAGCACCTCGGCACCGGCTTGGCCTTCTTCTAAATTAACATCGTCTTCAAAGATGGAGCGGTTGCTTCCCGGTCTCCAGGGGTTCGGCGGCGTGTCTACGGCGCTGTTGTCGTGTCGGCAGGTGGAGGAGTGGAATGACCGTCGGGACAGTGAAGACCGTGATGAGTATCGGGAGAGGGAAGAAGTATTCGAAGAGGCCAAGGATGAGACGGTGGCAGCCACAGCAGCCCTCGTCGCGGTGATGCCGTTGGCTCTACACCGAGAGTCTCTGGCGGCCAAGGCTACCGTGCTTCGGGCTAGGCCTTGCACATGCATCCGGGAGGTGATTCCGGGGTTGCAGTCTGATCGGTGAGGCGGGGAGAGAGTATGCAACTGCTTTCTCTCTCTCCTCTCTATCTGTTGGTTTTCCGTTCTGTATGTTTGTAGAATCGCGTGTTGTATTCAACCTTGAATTCTTGCCTCAGGGTCGATGATGATGACTAAGCCACCTTTTCATCTTCTATATATTACTAAGCTGACTTCTTATCACCTAGATCTAATCCGGATGGTTCCGTCTTGTGGATTATGTAACTCCAAAGAAAGATCAAGGCGCAGCAACCAGTGAGTCGTGACCTTATCCAGCATGAAGATTACGACAGATCCTACGAGAGGGGAAACCTTACAAGTGCGGGAGTAGAATCTCGTTCCATTCTTGAAGTCGGGTCAGCATTTCCTAATTGTCTCTAATGTTCCAAGGGTTTCAAAGGGCTCACCATAGCTCCATTGTAGCGCCTATCTCCACAAGCAATAATTCCAAGTTCTGTTCCGCAACTGGTCAACCAGCACGGCCTCCAAGTAATACAAGACGAAGGGAACTGGCCGGGGACAAAATTGGAGGGAGGGACCAAGGAAACAGCTCTCATCGTCTGCCTCTCTTTCACTTACTGTTGGTTGTTCTCTGTCGAAATATGATCTTTTATGGTGCATTCGATACACTACGAGTAGACAGATATCGTAAACTTCCTCACACGAGCACACTATGTCTCAGCGGTATTCGAATATTATTACTTGAGCTTGGGTACCGTCGGTATACCCATCCAAGTCAATCAACAGAGGGAACAACAACAAGAGAGGCAAGGATCAACTCTTAAAATCACGACTGCCGAAGAGAAGCCGTACCATGCAAGACGACTACACAAGTAGTCGAGATCGGGATGCAAGGCATGCAAGGCACGCAAAGTCAAGTGCGATAGGGACGTCTGTCATACAGGTCGTGTAGACTGCGAAAGATGGAGTGCGTGCACTCAACTCCTGCTCGGCCAAGTCGAACCCCGGTGTCGACAACACATGTAACAACACAGCTGACCGGTCAGCCGGCGAAACGGAAACGCACATCACCAAAACCCGAATCACCATGGCAGCGTCGACCAGTCATGGACATCAGCGACTCCCTGCTGCCGCGTCGTGGACGACCAGCGAGCGCAGCTTCTTGGAAACCCCGATGGAGACTTAAGTCATCACAGAACCACTGTTCCGACCCTCGGTAGCCGACAGCGACCTGGGCATGCGGCTGTTGTGGTTCTACACGGCCGCCACGTCGTCCTCCTTCAGCGTGGAGTGTGGTGCAGATCGGCCATCGGAGAAACTCTTGCGGACTCGCATCGTGCGACATGCCTTTGAGACGCCGTTTCTCATGCAGAGTCTCTTGGCATTATCAGCATTGCATCTACAGACGCACAAGCAGTCGGTTGACCCTAGAAAAGCGCTGACGTACCGCGCTCGGTCATTTAAAGGGTACAGACAGGCGATTTGGCGAGCAGACCCGGAAACATCCCCGGGGCTCATCTGCAACTCGCTGTTCCCGGTAGCGCTGTCGTTCAGCAACTTCCGCTACCCAGAAGGCATGGACCTGTACATCGTGGACTGGATAGTGGTGTGGAGGGGTATAGGCCTGATGATCCAGCCCATCAGCGTGGAGAGGCTAGTCCGGACCGGCATCCACTGCCTGTTCTACCGGCCTCCGATCAACCTAGAAGAAGCAGAGTGGTGCATCCCAGATGAGCTGCTGGTCATGGTGTCCAGCATTGGGCCGGACGACGCTGACTATTTATTTAGGAGACATACTACAACACCCTCAAGTACCTGGGGTCATTGTACCACTATCTGTGCGACGGCATTAACCAGTCCATGACGCTGCGCATCATCAGCTGGATCACATTTATGCCACCCGACATCATTAGGCCGATGCGATAGAAGAGGTCGAGGGCCCTCATCGTCCTCGCCCACTGCGCCATCTTCTTCAAGGCATCGCAGTTCATGTGGTAGATGTGAGGCGTCTGGTAACGCACCCTGCTAGATATTTGCAAGAACCTTGGCCACGATGACCGGTGGCTCCCATGATGTCTAGGCATGTCCCGATGCGGGCACTCGAGGTGGACTTCGTGGACATATGTCATCTACTGGGTGACCCAAAGTGGACTTTACCCGTGTGGAGCGAGCATGAGAATAGGGAGCTCGCCGACGTGGTTCATGGCATGGGTTAGGCCAATCATACTGGCAAGAAAATCAATCTTCAGGAGGTGCCGAATGACAGTAATCGGTGACTTCTCGATGATGACCTCCCCTATCCCGAGCCTCCTCCTGCCACTACTGTTGATCGTGCATCCCCGGGGCTTGGTACTAGTATCTTGCTACCGGCGTAGAATGTCTATGATATAGGTAAAGAACATAAGGACATGATGTACAAACTGCATATTCATTGCAGAAAACATCCAGTCTACCAGGCTGTTGTTTGTACCTCATGATGCAGGCCTCGTCTCATAGTCTACCCCGCATCCGGCGCAGAAAAAGGGAGTAAGGATTGATATACCATTCGAATAGGCATGTGAACTTCTTCTAATCACTGTTCAGCTTCTAGTGATATTTAAATATATAAAGTGAGATGTTTCTAAAGCTGATTACGATATTCTCCTTGAACAACATGAAACTGTACCGTGAGATATCATTGGGATTTTTATAAATATATGCCATCTAATGCTAAAATGCTTGTATCTAGCCCTTCATTCATCCTTTTCTCATCACATGTGACTTTGTACCTCCCTTCATCATCAAGTAGCGGGATCGTCTCGTCAATCATCTCAAAACAGTGGTGCACCTGCTATAGCAATCGCTCGAGCACCACGTCGATAACAAGCCGTTGATGATGCCGCGGACGTTGCAAACACCTTGTCCCACCATGTATTCCACTCTATTGCCCGCTGAAGCACATCCATCAACACCTCCCTCTCATCGTACAATGCTCGCTCCACCCCCCTCGATGACTGCGTGTTCTGCGCCTTGCCGGGCGCTTGAATCGTCAGCCTTTCTTCGGATACGATCCAGTTGCGCCGCACGTCACTGATGATGTTGTCCTTGAAGCTGGCGACGAGGGGGTTCATCTTTCTCGACGTCTCTGGCTTAGACTTAACCTGCTTCTGCTGCGGATGTACCTTGTCTAGTCCTCTTTTGAGAGCTCCGGGTGTCAGGTCCATCTCCTCCTCCTCCATGTACGTCTCTACCCAGAGGGTAAAGGACCGGCATTCCCCAAGCAGGCATCTGACATCATCCAAGCCTTCTGGGGACGCCTCCAACATGTGAAGGACATGGATGGAAGGCCAAAGCATGTTCATGATGCCCAAGAATTGCCCAATCATGTGTATCCCCGTGTTGGAGAGCGGCCTCCCGTCCTGCCTCCGGCTGCTCCGCTCCACCAGACCATCTATAATGGCCCCAAGTGTGGCCATAACGTGGCGCAAATTCCCCTCGGTCAGCTGTTGGGGGGCAACGTTGCCGTCCAGGTGGATCCAGCAGCTATGCGCATACACGTCGACGAGGAGCGATGAGGCTTCTTCATCGGCCGATGCTCGTATCGCGGCGGGGAGCATGTTGCCGAGAACAAAGTTGAGGATCCCGGGGTCCTGAAGCCCGCACCGTAGCATGCCTACCTCCTCCCCCAGCTTGTCATTCATCATGGCCAGCTTAAAGTTGTTGAAGAGAAAGAAGAATAGCTGATGCGCTGTGCGGCTGCCGTCGCCCTCCTCGGTGAGGCGGAGGCCGTACGAAATCATGGCCGCCACCTGGAGTTGCGGGTCCCGCACAGATGGCGAGTATTCCTTGCTGATCTGGTAAAAGAAGTCGTCGACGCTACAGATGTCAGATCCGTGCGCCCTGATGAGTGCAATAATGTCTCGTACAAACGACACATAAATTCCATGTTCGGACGCATCCTGCTCCGCCACCGTCTTCAGGTCGCCCTTGATCTGTTCCATGACGAGTTTGAGCGTCTTGGAGTCTTCGGCAATGACAGCCTTTCTAACTCTCGGCTCCGCGTCCCTGACTGACCTTCTCATCGATGAGATGGCGAATTGGAACAGGTCTCGATTCATGTTGTAGTCGGGTGTGGTGGCGAGGCCGACGACGGTATCTGGCACAAACTTCTTGCCACGGCGGGCTAGCTGCTCGGCCAGCTCGTTCTCGAACCCCAGCGATTCTCGAGGTTTGACAATTGAGAGCATCCACAGCTCCCGCAGGGTGAACCCTGCGTCGCTAAGGTCGGTGCTGTCGTTGTCGTCGTATCCATTCTTGAGAAGTGTCGCAACGAATAGGCTCAGGTATCGCCGTTCTTCGAGGCCCAGGAGGTGGGGTAGGGCAGCAAATATGCCATGTTTTCCGGGCTTGAACATGTCTGAAAGTCTCATGACACACGCATTGGCAAAGCGTAAGCCCATCCTCGCGCTCAGGACCGTGACCTGCTCCAGAGATGCCGCCCGGTCGACTACCGCAGCAGGGGTGGCGCCCAAGCCTTTCTTAGCCGATCGAGGCGAGAGCACTCGCCGTGCCATGGTGAAGAAGCTCTTCGCTAGGTCCTGATGCAAAACAAGCAGAGCATCGTCGGCTTGTGCCGAGTTGAGTATCTGGCTCTCGCTCTGCTGGCTCTCCTCCTCATCTTTGAACTTGTCCACGTGGGCGAGAAAGACGTCGAGTGTCGACAGAGCCGCCCTGAGAATCGCCCAGTCGAGTTCAGGGGGCACGTCCGAGAAGTGTTGGAAGACGCGCTGCAGCTGTAAGGAACTCATCGCAAATGTGGCCGTCTCTAGGTCGGGAGTGTGCTTCATGACATCCAGGGAGGCCGAAACGGAGAAGTGGAGCACATCCATGGTGGCCGTCTTGTTCATGGCCACCATAGCGTTGATCATGTCCTGGCTGATGGTTTTGGTGACATCCTTGGAAAGCCCCTGAAACTGTCGTTCAATGTCGGCGGCAGCCTCGTCGAACTGCTGTATCATCTGCTGGAAACATGTGTTCCTCCACTGATTGAATGGCTTGAAACATATCGTCGCCTGGCCCGTCGCAACAATGTATCGCGCCAGCTGGCTCCAGGCGCGCATATTGATAAGGCAAGCTTCTTTGTGGGAGCTTGCAGGCACAACGAGTCTCTCGAGTAGACCGACACTCGGCCGCTGGTCCGGAGGCGCAGCCCAGTAGAGGGTGCAAAGAAGGTCGTGATGGTTCCGAAGGGCGGCTAGGTCCCGCTCATGGATTCTCTGCTCTTTGAGGTACTGACGGTTGTGGTTCGGAACTGTGCGTGCGACCAAGTTTCTGATATCTTTGGTGGAAGAAGAATCGCCGCTTTCCTTGAGCTTCAATATGCTCAGCGCCACAAGTTTGAGGAAGATATGGAAACATCGATCTTCTGGCTCAACCTGAAGCGATGGATTTCTCGACAGCTCTTCGAGGAAGCGCGGTGAGCTGTAAGACTCCTCGTTACGTAAATGGGCGAGGTTCTGAGAGCCAAAAAAGTCGAAGATCAGGCCCACTATACTCGAGCAGCGCTGCCACCCCCATTGCTGTACGAGGTAGTGACAGCGTGCCACAAGCGCGCGACAGTAGTTATTGAAGCTCGGCGGCTGGCGCGGGTTGTCCCGGTATAGTTGAAATATCCTCTTGAGAATCCTCTGGGGAATCCCCCAGCCATCTGTCGTGTTCTGATACCGACGGCCTGGGACCAAGACGCCCATGTCATTGAACTCGATCAGCGGCAGGAGAGTAAACATGTCCTCCCATAGACGCTCGTGCTCCCGCGCATCGACACTGGAGACCAGTCCCGGTTGGACAAACTCAGTCTGCACCAAGTCCCAGAACGAGGCACGCGGGATCGCTGCAATTTCAAGAACACGCAATATCAACACCCATGAATGGATACCCATCGCTGTCCCTGTCGCATCGGTCCTCAAGCCTCGTTCACGGAAACGAGAGTTCTGCAACTCCTTATATATCGTGCGCATACTGTCCAACCCCAGCCGCGATAGGGCCTTCACGATCACAGCTGCGACGGCTATCAAAAGCTCCTCCATCTGGAGTTTCTCGCCCATCATAGTCGGTTCCTTCTTGAGAAGTGCCCAGGATCGAAAAGTAGCAAGGACCAGGCGGTCACAGGCCCCTAGAAAGATCCTAGCACTATTTCCCGAAGCAAATTCTTCTTTGGCGATGCAGGACAAAGCACGACTATTGAAGCTCTGGACGATTTCGATAAAGCGACCGACAAAAGCTTGGAGCTGAGGCTGTGAGTTAAATGTCAGGGAGCCTTCGATATAGACAAGAATATGGTGTGCGGTGGTGACAGCAGAGGGGGCGTCATGCGCTTCCACTCCAGGTAATGGTGTCTTTTCGAGTTGCTCTGCCATATGGTCGAGTACGATTCCCATCTCCGAGGATACCTGGGCTGACCATGGACCCCATCGCATCGTCTGCTCTCCTAGAGTGAATGTTGCTCTAGGCCACACAGTATCATCGCCGCAATCTGTTCCATTGCGAGGCTCGCCGTGCAAAACTCTCTCAACCATGCCCGATCCCAGAAGTGTAGATTCATGAAAATAGACGCCCACATCAAGTGGGAACATCTCAAAATGGTGGGTAAACTGGGTCCCGTAGCTTCCAAGGCCTACTAGTTTGGCTGTTTCCGTATCGAGGCGTGAGGGTTGCGGTTGCGGAACTTGAGATGGGGCATATTTGGTGGGCAAGGGGTCGTTCGCGTGGGAATATTGAGGTGCTTCAATGTCAACCCGTTGAGGTGGCCTGCCCTTCTTGGTGGGGCGTCGTTGTTTGGGTACTTCATCCTTGCTGTTCTTGAAGGATGGCCTGTCAGTGGATAGGGATGATGTCCTCAGCAAGGTAGACGGTTCCGGCGTTATCGCATGGCCAATGTTGCTGTCTGAGAGCACCGAGCTTGCAACTGTTGACTCGAGGTTTTTCGATCGGTACAGACGGTCGAGGAGTCTCTTTCCGGCGTGGAAGCTAGTCGCATTCATCTCCTCCCTGTAATCCATCTCGAGTTGTGCTGGTCTGACACGGGGCGCAGTAGCCTTCACAGCACTATTTCTGGTTCGTAGTTTTTCTTTCTCGGTGTCATCGTTTCCATCAAGGGGCAGCTGCAGCTTATGAGGAACATTGCGATCAAGGCCCAATGTTGGAACAGCCCTCCTTCGAGGATTCCCAGGAATCCAGGTGCTTGGCGATGTAGATTTTGGTGCATTGGCAGATAGTTCAGTCAAGGTGCGCAGCTGTGGCCTGGCCTGTCTTGTCCTCTTAGCTACCGTCACCGACGGACGCTGCTTAATAGATCCACTTGTCCAATCCAAGAGAACTGATGCGGCGTCAACATGGTCCGCCCTTGTTGCCATCCGGATTGATTTCTTGCCAGGCTTAGACCGGCCCTGGTCTCGGCGACCTCTAGCTGTGCGAGCGGCAATCTTGAGGAACCTGGGAGCATCCGGCTCAATGACGTCGAGAACACTAAGCTGTGGTGGCCGAGGGCGTTGGGCATGAGTCAGGTTTCCTGTGTTCCGTGGGTACGCTGACTGCTGGCGAGTCTTCTTTGTCTGTTTCCTCGCTGCTGACGATACCTTGGCAGCTGGCCGGGGCGTGAACGAGCTGGGGAAGGCACCAGTAATCTTGGGTTGCAATCTTGCTTGGATCATGGTCGGCTGGGACCCACACGTCTTTGGACGTTTGGAGGCTTTCTGGAACGCGTCTGCGACGTTTGTTTGCCGCTTATTTCTCGAAACCATAAAGTTTACAAGGTCTTCCTCCACGATAGAAATACCATCATCCATGTCATCTAAAGCGCCGCCATTATCGGGGATCGGCTGAAGATGGAGTCTTGTCTGTCTGTGAAAGGTATCATCGGTCGTCGGTTGAACTTGGCTTGGTTGTGTCTCTTCGTCATCGGTGTCTTCGAAGAGAAACTTGTCGTTGATTGTGCTGGGATCTGCCTGCCTGCGCTGGGCCACCCCTCGTCGGTGGTTGCGCTCAGGGGAGTGTTCCAAGCGGCGTTTCCTCATTCTCTCCTGGACCTTGTCGCAGCCCGGCATCTGGTCGATTCGCAACCAGGAGGCGGGTAGCACGCCTCGTATGCGACGGCTATTCTGGTGAACTATGTCAGATCCATCGCCAGAGTCGTCAGAGTCTGTCGAATCGTCGGCTTCCGAGCCGTCTACTTCTGGTCGTTCCGTATCTTGATCAGAATCACTGTTGATGACCAGCGGCGCAGGAATGGTGGAGGCTGTATGTTGCGAGGGCGTAGAAGCCGCCTGATGCGTTTTCCGTACATGCGCTCCAGTGCCTCTTCGAGCATGCGGAGGTGACACATCCTCGCCTGCATCAGGGGATGGCTCGTCAAAATCTTCATATGGGTTAGACGAGTCAGGAGGCCTGATGAAGGCCTGATGTGGCTTAAGAGATTCAGGGCTCTCGGCAGGGTCTGATAACCTCGGACGCTTCTTCGTCGCCGATTTGACAGAAGAAAGTCTCCGCTTTGCAGTCTTCCTGGATAAAGGATTCAGACGACGGTGCTTTACCAAATCCTGCAGAGACGGCAAGTCATCGCCATCCAAGCTAGTTCCATCGGTGTCAACATGAGAACGCCCTTGGCTGCTCAGCGGGCCACCACGATTGTTCAAAGGAGAGGTCTTGGCGGGTGAGGAAGAGTCGGGAAATCGCAGCCCGTCCATCAAGTCATCGTCGGAAGCAGGCAATTGGCTCTCATCTGTGGGCTGCTGATGACCGATGGAATCCTGACTCTCTGGTTCAAAATCTCGCTCTTGGGAATTTCGTTCTTGGTGTCGTATCTCATGCTGGCGGTGTTGGTAAGAGACTCGGAGAGGGCGTAGACCATGCTGCCGCCACTCATTATTGAAACGAGCCTGCTCCATGAAATATGGGCGCATCTGCTCTGGCTTCCGGGTCCTCAGCGAACGCTCATATTGGAAAGCTGCTCGCCTAACCTCCTGCAGTTCGACATCGTGTCCAAGAATCTGGCTCTGGGCCGGCGCCTGTGTCGAAATAAGTCGTAAGGGAGTCTCGGTGCCATCGGGCTCGGAAATGTGCGATATAGCCTGGGTACTGGCGGTATGTAATGTCGGTGTCGGCCTCGGGGTGGCGGACGAAGGGAGGGGCAGAGAAGGGTCTTGTATGTGAAGCGGGACCACCAGTTCCTCAATTGGGGGGAGTTCTTGGGATGATAGAGGTGGGGAAACCGGTGAGGATAGTGGTGAGGATAGAGGCGAAGACCAAGGTTCGGACTGCACAGGTGCAGGCTGAGCCGGAAGCTCCTTTGGCCTGGGAGATGCATGTAATGGGAGTGGTGCTGGGGTTATCGGGGGCCCTTCTTGGGAGGAGGGGATATCCCAGATATCTTTGGCAAATGTCTTTGCAACATCCAGGTCTGGCAGCGGTGCTGGTAGAGGTGAATGTGCAGGGATCGGTGCCCCAGTCGGTGGCTCGACTGGTAGTTGTTCTGGAATGGCAGTTTGTTGGCTGTCGAAGCCATCGTCGTCCTCTGAATCGGGGATTTCTCCCAGTGTCCTCCAGTCGACCATGGTCCGTCTATGGTCATGGTACCGTGCAGGACCGTGCCTCTGTCTCCATTGCCGATGTATTCTCACGTGGATGTCCTCTCGCAAAGAGCCGAGGTGATCGAGGCAATGATAATGCCAGAGTAAAGAGCGTAAAGAAACTTGGGGAATGTGGGGATCTCGGACTGGTGCAAAAGCGAAGTTCCAAGGAAGGAACGATTGGTAATACCTATGAGACGTAATACCTTCCTCAGTTACGCGGTTGCACGTCTTGGTGGGACGCGTTTGGCTTCTGCGGTTCAAGGGTGGAGCTACGTCAATGCATTATGACAAAATTCTGCGGTCAGACATTTAGTAATTCACTGTCGCACTTATTTTGTCATCATCTCAGTATGGCAATTTACACCCCTAACAACAAGTGGTGATTCGATCCATCTTCATCTCAACGACACTGAACCGAAAATTCGCTCCGACTTGCACCATACAAAGTGCATCCGTCAGCTTGCCCATCATGAGTGCCGTTGCCAAGATTCTACCATTGGGGTTTGCCATTGTCTGTGGCATTGCTGGAGGTGAGACAGGAAAAAAAGAGACGAAAACCCCGGTGAGCCTCTTTGTGTCCCTGGTGACCAAACTAACTCTCACAGGAGTCTACACGTTCCAGCCTATGTTTGAAGAAGCCGCCAAAAAACAGCAAGCCGACGCTCGAAAGTATTTTCTTCTCACTTTTACCCTACAGTTTGTTTGATTGTTCTAACGGATCTTTCGACTAGATTGTCACCGCCACCCACGCAACCTATTGCTGAGGCTCAGAAAACAATAGACAACAAGGACGGTGGTGGCTCATCGTGAGATGGAAGAGAAATGTGTGATTCGAAAGTGTACAATAATAGTTTTGAGAATATACCGTCAAGGATAGAACCAATTGATACATGATGGAACGGTCTTCGGAATCGTTGACGGAACGATTAGGTGCCATGACTGGATGTCCTAACGGGTGCTTCCGGCGGACCGAAAGGGCGCAACGCGACACAACTTTGAATGAGTAGTACAACAAAGATGCATTCTCAAAGCGCGCAGGCTGTACTGCAATGAAGAGAGGCAAATAACAATGTATTGCTGCATCATGTATCAGAAAAGTGACAAGAACATCCTTTTCCAGTTTCTAATACCACCAATATCATTCGTGCCCTCGATACCCATGTAGCCGGAAATCAGACCATATCACCTTTTTTAGTCACGTGATTTGACTTAGTCATCCAGGCCGAGAGCTTCTGCCTTGCACCAAAGGAAATCATCGACTTTCGCTCCTTCCCCCAATCCGCTTCATCCCGAAAACCCTCACGCCCAAATCCCAGCCAGCCCTCGACCGCGGACCTTTTTCCCCTTTGTCCAATTGCGACCGTCGAATTAATTCTATACATTGTTCTCCTCGTTCATTCTAATAATTCACAATGATGCGCACTTCGGCAACCAGCATGGTGCGCAACGGCGTCGTTCGCTCCTCGGTCCCCTTGGCCGCCCGCCGCGCCCAGTCGACTCACGCCATCTCCAAGCCGACGCTGGCGAACCTCGAGAAGCGATGGGAAGGAATGCCTCTTCAGGAGCAGGCTGATCTCTGGATGGCCCTCCGTGACCGTATGAAGGGCAGCTGGAAGGATCTCACTATTCAGGAGCAGAAAGCCGGTGCGTGCTTTTGCCCTTTTTTTTTTTTCTTCCCTGGTGGAGTGTGAGATGGGAGGGAAAAGAACACTTTCCCTCACCACCAACCCATTCAATCCAAGGCGATACGGAATGCATTACTTTATGCCTTCATATTGCATTGGATTGATTCCTTTTTACCATTTTTACCCCCAATCCCTCAATCGCCCTTCTCCCTCGCCCCGTGACTTCCGTATCACTGTGGCCTCATTGCATTCGCCGTGGTCAGGTCGAATCTCGGGTCCACTATTGGCTGATGGCTCTGCCGTGGGCCTCGCGCCATGCGGACCAAACCCGACCCGATAGTCTTGCACTTACCTGCACTGTCTACTCCCTCTACTCCCCCCCTCTTGCCACATTACATACCACATTTCTCTTTCTTTCCCCCATGCTCGATTCAGTTGACTAATATTCTTCTCTTCTATAGCTTACTGGATTGCCTTCGGTCCCCACGGTCCCCGCGCTGTAGACCCCCCGGGCACCAACGCCAAGGTCTTCTGGGGCGTCGTTGCCGGCCTCGGTGTCACCACTGTCCTCTTCGCTACCGCCCGATTCTTCGCCAAGCCTGCTCCCCACACCATGAACCAAGAGTGGCAGGAGGCTGCCAACGAGCAGCTTATCGTGAGTCACCATCCCACATTCCCTTGGGAAGGAAGATGAAGAACAAGAATAAGACGGAAGAAACAAGAAACTAACAAGATATCTACAGCAACAACGCGCCGACCCTCTGACCGGTATCACCTCTGAGAACTACAAGGGCCCCGGCCAGGTCCAGTCCCCCCGCAAGATTTAAGGGCCTTGATTGAACCTTCTAATCGCTTCAGATCGAGAGAGCTACCTTGTTCTCAAAGAAGAAAAAAACCAACCACAACTCTTATAACTCCTATCCTTATTTCCTTTGTCATAGAAAGCTACGGGGTCAACGAAGACGCACACAAGGTTATTGGTAGGAGGGAAAAGGAGGTCGTATCTTGTTGTAACTGTGCCCCCCCCCGGTGTGCGTCGTGTAAAATTTAAAGAACTAGTTCATAAGAGAAAATGAGAAGATGCAAAAAAAGGTCAAAATCTCCCGGTCAACTTCTGTCTTGATCTGCATAATTGTTTGTTCTGTCGTTCATCACAAGGTGCTATTAACCTCCGCTCTGTCCCTCTTCTCTGTACCTCTCAAGAGTGTCGGTTGTGGACGTCTGGGTAGTAGGCCGCGGGTTTATCATCTCCTCCTCGAGCCTTCTATCAAGCTCGAACCGTCCATCCTTGGCCCAGTACGCTGCCTTCTCTGTGCCCTTGACGCAGGCCTCAGTGATGAGGACATACGGCATGGGGGCTTCGAACATGGCCTCGGCGAGGACCCGTTCAATCTCCATCTTCAGTCCTCGGGCTCCCGTGCCGGCCGACTCGGCCCGCTCGGCGATGGCGTACAGTGCCTTCTCGGTAAATTGCAGATGCGAGGGGTACGTCTCAAACAGGGCCATGTACTGCGCCGACAGGCTGTTGCGCGGCTCCGTCAGGATGCGGTACAGGTCGTCCTTGGAGAGGGGGCTCAGCGTGCAGATGTTGTGCAGTCGACCGATGAGTTCGGGGATGAAGCCAAAGGCCTGGAGGTCCTCGGGCGTCACGAGATCGAGCGGTGTGAATGACGATGCCTCCGCTCCCGAGAAATGCGGCAGATGCGAATACACTTCTTCGGGGAGCACGTCTCGACTGCCCGTCGACTGACGGCCCTTTAGTGCGCCGCCAAAGCCTACTGATGGCTTGGATACACGTCGGGCGATGGCCTTGTCCAGGCCTACAAAGGCCCCACAGAACACAAAGAGGATATTCTTGGTGTTGATGGTATACTGGTCCACCTTGCCACCGGGAGGACCCGCCGGGGAAGATGATGAGCCACTAGGGTTCAGGTTTGTGGTGATCGGGGGTGCCGACCGTGACGATCGATTGTCCTTGACATTGATCGTCACCCTGGTGCCCTCAATGAGCTTAAGGAGCGCCTGCTGCACACCCTCGCCACTCACGTCTCGTCCCGTGGATGTCTCTCTCCGCGCAATTTTATCGAATTCGTCTAACACCACGATGCCGTGCTCCGTCGCCTTGATGTCGTAGTTGGACTCGATAAGTAGCCGCTCGATGCATGATTCGACGTCTTGCCCTATGTAGCCGGCTTGCGTGAATGAGTTGCAGTCGCAGATGGAGAAGGGTACGTTTATTTTCTTGCTCAGAGTCCTATATGCTCTGTCAGTAACATAGTCGTCTATATTGGAGCGTAGTGCGGGTTGACGTACTCAAGAATATAAGTCTTGCCTACGCCCGTGGGCCCTATAAGAAGCATATTGCTCTTATCGATCTGGACAGGTTCGTCGGCGGACATGTCCTCAGGCGTATATAGGCTGTTTTCAAACGGGTCTTCTGCCAACTCGTTGGCTTCATGTTGCTGTTTCGCAGGCTCATGAGGACCTGGAAGCTCCTCTTCTTTTCCCAAGACGTCAGCAGGTTGGAGAGGCCAAAAGGCACCTTCGCAGGTTTTCTGCTGACCTTGAACAGAACGGGCCTCTCGCCGACGCTGGTGCCGCTCGCGGTCTTTGACTAGCATCTGCCTCATGACCTTTTCTCGCCGGTTGCGCTCCTGATGCTCATGGTGACGCCGCCGCCTCACCGTCTGATAGTGGTTGAATATGGTGGTGCATATCGCCTTCTTGGCCCTGTCCTGCCCGACAACGTAGTCGTCCACCCGCCTTTTGAGGTCGCGTGGGTAGAACTGCGGCACCCCGAAGCTGGCCTTGTTAAACATGGGACCCTGCCCAGACTCCTCTGTTGGGTCATAGGTGCCCACGAACCCAGAGTTGAAGTCTCCCTTGCCCCGCGTCGATGATATTCCCCGCGTACCCAGCAGCTGTCTCTGGCGGGTCCGGCAGCCCGGTCGGGCCAGTACTGTACGCTGAACCCCCAGTGAACCCCGGAGGGGGATAGTCAGCGTTTTTGACACTATATACATGGTCGGCCGGCCTCTTGTTTCACATGTTCAGGCCTCGGAATCCGTGATGGCGAGGAAAGGAGGCTGATGTTTATCGCGGATCGTCGCGTTGCTGCGCTCTCGGGGCTGAGAGTAAATCGAGCTCGCAATTGGATAGAGTACGGACTGTAGGCCGACAGGGTAAAGCTGGCACAGTCCGGATGTTCTACTGTATAGAGTTCAGATACTATAGAGGAAAAATAATGATGAACTCCAGGGACCTCGGGCCAAGATGTCCAAACAAATGGTCAGTGTTTGCGTGCTTGATTGAGTCCCGATTGTCGGCGCAGCTTGGAGAGGGGTGGGGCGCTTAGTGCGTCACTTCTGTTGACTGGCGATGATTGATAAATAATTCACAGAGGAGTTTACAGTGGAGCTTGGGGTGGTTGGGAGGGGCGCTTAAGCGATATCAGGCGGTCTAGATTGTGCATTAGTAGTCTAGTGAGGTCACGCTGCGGTGCCAATACTGTTTCTACACGGTACCACTAGATGTCAGTACGGTCACAGAATTGGGAACGATGCTAATGATGTTACAAGAGGTGGTCCTCGCAGTAAGCGGCGATCTAGGCAGTAAACTGTAGTTGCACTCCTTGGGTACAAGTTTTTGGCACCAGTTTAAAAATTTAGCACCGTTCCACCCTTCCTGCACTTACGGATACGAAATATTACTATGGTGCGGTGATTGATGTCAGTGGGGCCACCCACCTTAAAATGCTAGCAGTTCTTGATAAAACAATAATACGAAGTACTGAGACCTTGTCAGCCCAAATCTTATCGGGATCCGGATAAGCTGATAAGCATTCCCCGAAAACGTCCTGTTTATCGATAAAGATTTCAGTACGATCTGCCAAGAAACCAAACATCCAGGAAGTCGGCCTGGTTCGCATACAAGTAATCTGTACATGTATGTACGGATACGGGTATGTATATGTACTTGTAGTATGCTAATAACAGTAGTAGCTACTCAATATTTCCCAGGTACAGTTCGTACAGTTCCCAGCTTCTTCTCATTTAAATCATACCACAATTTCTCGTCCTGGACTTTGTGTAGTCTTCCATCGACTTGTCTCCAGTTGCTCGCTCCTCCCTAATTGATTGATTGACCTGGTCCTTCCTCCAATACGTAGCAGCAGCTCCCCGCCACCTCCTCATCCAACTCCAGATTATTCTAACTGCGTCACCAGTTCTTACCCCGCCTCCACACAACCACATCAACACGACATAGGCATGGCTTCCAACGGTCAGGTCGTGTCAAACTCGCTTGACCCTAGTGGTACAAGGAGCTCTGGGAGCTTTCCTCAAGATGGAACTGGTATTTTGTTCTTCCTCTCTCCCCATCTACCCAATTCAAACTCTTGCTGATTATATATCACAGGCGTCGTCAAGCTCGATCCTTGGCTTGAACCCTTTAGCGAAGCCCTCAAACGACGATATTCCAAAGCCCAGGAATGGATCGTCAACATCGACGAGACCGAGGGTGGCTTATCCAGGTTCTCCAAGGTGATTAATACCCTGATTCCATCAACCTCATACCACTATGGCCAGGCCCACACAGGCCAACTGACAGAGAGCAACGTCTAGGGATACGACAAGTTTGGCTTCAATGTCGATGCCCAGAACAACATACATTACCGTGAATGGGCTCCCAACGCTCAGCAGGCCTATCTCATCGGAGACTTCAGTAAGTACTCTCGCTCACTGTGCAATGCGTGATTCTTAGCTGACTAGTGTGGACCCATTTTAGACTCCTGGAACCGCGAATCCCACCCAATGACCAAGGACTCTTTCGGCAGCTTCGACATCGATATCCCCGCAGTCGATGGCAAACCAGGAATCCCCCACAACTCCAAGGTCAAGGTATGTTCCCGACCCTTCCGGTGGCACATTGAACGTTCGGCCCGTTCACACACTGTTCCAGATTTCCCTTGTTCTCCCCAGTGGTGAGAGAGTCGACCGTCTCCCTGCATGGATCAAGTATGTCACCCAGGACTTGTCGGTCTCTCCCGCCTACGACGCCCATTTTTGGAACCCGCCGCAGGAAGAAAAATATGAGTTCAAGCATGCTCGCCCCAAGCGCCCGGCCAGCGCTCGCGTATACGAGGCTCACGTTGGAATTTCGACGTCCGAGCAACGCGTAGCGACTTACAAGGAGTTCACCAAAGGCATGCTCCCCAGGATCAAGGATTTAGGATACAATGTCATCCAACTCATGGCCGTCATGGAGCACGCCTATTACGCCAGCTTTGGCTACCAGGTCAACAACTTTTTCGCCGCCAGCAGCCGGTACGGAACACCAGAGGACCTGAAAGAGCTCATAGACACGGCCCACAGTTTGGGGATAGTCGTCCTCCTCGACATGGTTCACAGCCATGCCTCCAAAAATGTTTTGGACGGCATCAACGAGTTTGACGGAACAGATCACCAATACTTCCACGCCGGCGGCAGAGGTCGACACGACCAGTGGGATAGCAGGCTGTTCAATTATGGCAGTCATGAGGTCCTGCGATTCCTCCTCAGCAACCTACGCTTCTGGATGGAGGAGTACCAGTTTGACGGCTTCCGTTTTGACGGCGTGACGAGCATGCTATACCGCCACCACGGAATGGGCTTGTGAGTGCATACGTGTTACCGTGAATGCATATGGGTCTCAGCTAACTGGCATTAGTGGATTCTCTGGCGGCTATCACGAGTACTTTGGCCCCGACGTAGACGAGGAGGCTGTGGTGTATATGATGCTCGCAAATGAGCTCCTGCACTCGCTCTTCCCAGAGTGCATCACCATTGCAGAGGACGTGTCGGGGATGCCGGCCCTGTGTCTTCCCCTCTCGCTCGGTGGTGTGGGATTCGACTACCGTCTCGCCATGGCTGTTCCGGACATGTGGATCAAGATTTTAAAGGAAGTCAAGGACGAGGAATGGGACATTGGCAATATTTGCTTTACCCTTGTAAACCGTCGTCATGGAGAGAAGACGATTGCCTATTCCGAGAGCCACGATCAAGCGTGAGTCCCCCACACCCTTGTCGTCTTATTTCTTCCAGGCGGTTATTTTGTCTCGACGGCTATGAGCCTTTGCTAACTCACACATCACAGACTTGTTGGTGACAAGACACTGATGATGCACCTCTGCGATGCGGAACTATACACCAACATGTCGGTGCTGACGCCGCTGACGCCTGTAATTGAACGCGGCATGGCGCTGCACAAGATGATTCGGTTCGTGACGCACGCACTCGGTGGCGAAGGTTACCTCAATTTTGAGGGCAACGAGTTTGGACATCCTGAGTGGCTCGATTTCCCACGCGAAGGCAACAACAATTCCTTTTGGTACGCACGCCGCCAGCTCAACCTGACGGAAGATGAGCTCCTCCGATACCGATTCCTGAACAACTTCGACCGCGAAATGAATCTCTGCGAAGAAAAATACGGCTGGCTCCACGCATCGCAGGCTTACATTTCTCTCAAGCACGAGGGTGACAAGGTGATTGTATTTGAGAGGGCAGGCATCGTGTTCGCGTTCAACTTCCACCCGACTGAGAGCTTTACCGATTACCGCATTGGCGTTGACAGAGCGGGCACGTACCGCGTCGCGCTGGACACTGATCGTAAAGAGTTTGGGGGGTTCAACCGCATCGACAGCAGCACGCGCTTCTTTACGACGCCTATGGAATGGAACGGTCGCCAAAACTGGACGCAGGTGTATCTGCCCAACCGCACTGCCATCGTAAGTCTCATTTCCCGAGGTATGAACTAATTGTGTGTCCATGCTAACCGGTACCTAGGTCTTGGCTCTTGAAGAGACCTTTTCCTAACGTAATTCACGTTTACTGAATGTGTTTTTTTTCTACTTTGGTGGGTACCTAAGAGGCTCATGGGTATTTCCTTTCATGACACGTATACGAAATATATGTGATAGTGAGCGATGTAAACGCATATTTGTCGTTCTACGGGTAGTTTACAATGTAATACAATTTGCTACAGCATCATTGAACGTAGGTTTATTATTACTCGTACGTATCTCGGTAGTGCGCTAATTCCGACGTCCAACCCGAGTCAGGGGGAGTTCTGTGTCTGTTACATTACGAGATGCTGAGTTGTGTACGACGTTAAATGAATGCTGTGATAATTGCAGGTGATTATTGGAATACTGCATTTAAGATATGCTTGTAGTTGTTTTCACAACGTTTATCGAGAGAAGCGATTGAATTGAGTTTACAGGTACGAGTGGGAATGTGGCATTTACTCCAGGTTGGCAGGTTGCCAAGGTATATCCGAACCGGCGACGTCGGGGAACACAGGGTAAGCTCGGCTTTGAATTGGGTTGATGTTTACGAAGCTGTGCATTTGCTGTGGTAACGGGTGGAGAGGGGCAAGGGGACAAGAGAACAAGGGGGCCGAAACGAGGAGAAGAAGGGGGTGGGAAAAATCGAGCGAGGACTGGTTCTCGGGATGCTTATGCTAACCGTGGAGAGGGAGGGAGGGGGGAGAGACCCAGTAATAATAAGAATACAGATGAGCGTGCGCACAGAGGAGGAAGGGTACGTACCCGTACTGGAGGCACTACTCGTACTAGTATTACCTTGACTGGTACATGTACATATACGAGTATGACACAGTGTCCGTCAAACAAGCTCCAGCTCCCTCCTGACGGGAGCAACGCCACAGAAAAGGGGTAATTGAGCTTGTTGACGTATATCGATGAAAAAGTCTGGGCTGGTACTTCCATATGCCGATGGAAAATGTAACGGTTTGACGTGTATTATCAGTCGCTCGAGGAGCAGAGGACAACCTGATCCGGCCCGATGAACGGCATCATATGAGTGGAATAGGTAAGGGGGTCAGTCGGGGCCGATAATTATCCGGAGTGGGGCAGAGGACTGGCTGAGCGGTAAAATTCGGGAGAGTCCACGTGACCTGGTCCCGGAGGCAGCGAAAGCTCTAGAGAACCAAGTCGGTCCGCTTCTCCCCAAAACTACTCAACCCGCAAATTCTCCCTCAACCTTCAACCCAACCCTCCTCCGCCTCATCGCAGATCGCTCCTTGTTGTCTGGTCAAGATGTTCAAGAGGTTAGTACTCAATGAACTGCAATGAATTGGGCGATACGTTTCCTCGCCTCTCTCGTTGCCGTACGCCCATCAATTGACGAACAGGAAAGCTGACACTTGTCCGGGTAGCGGTATTTCCTCTTTCGCCCGCGCGGCTCGCCCTGCCTTCCAGGCTGCGGCTCCTCGCGCCGTCAAGCCCGCTCCCTTCCGCGCCCTCAACACCCGCTGGGCTAGCACGACTGCTGCTGGCGACGGCAAGATTCACCAGGTGCGTTTTTTCCCTCAACTTTTGTCGTCCCGTTGGCCATCCAAAGAGCTCTCCGCTGCGCACCTCCCTAAGTGTCGGCCGAGCGGAGCCGAGGAAGCCTCAGGCACAAACAATATCGGCGACAGAGCTTCGGATCACTGACAATCTCAACAAAAAAACAGGTCATCGGTGCCGTCGTCGATGGTTAGTCACACCACGAGAAACAATTCCTCAACTCGATTCGATTCAATCGATTCGTCATGTTTTGCTTGCTCAATTGACGCTGACCCCTTCTCCAGTCAAGTTCGACACTGCCAAGCTCCCTGCCATTCTCAACTCCCTCGTCACCGACAACCAGGGCCAGAAGCTCGTCCTCGAGGTCGCGGTATGATATAATCGTCGGGTATTATCGTGGGTATGGAACGGAAATGCTGATGACTTGGACTAGCAACACCTTGGTGAGAATGTTGTCCGCTGCATTGCCATGGATGGTACGTACCGAAATCCCCTCAAAAACAACTCATCGACTCCTGGGCTGTCACACGATGTTGAATTGACTATTGGCACTGTATACTAATGCCCGTCGTCTGCAGGTACTGAGGGTCTCGTTCGTGGTGCCAAGGCTACCGACACTGGTGCCCCTATCACCATCCCCGTTGGCCACGGCACTCTGGGCCGCATCATGAACGTCACTGGTGACCCCATTGACGAGCGTGGTCCCATCAAGACGGACCAGTACCTTCCCATCCACAGGGAGGCCCCGGAGTTCGTTGAGCAGTCGACCTCTGCCGAGATTCTCGTCACTGGTATCAAGGTCGTCGACCTAATCGCCCCCTACGCCCGTGGTGGAAAGATTGGTCTCTTCGGCGGTGCCGGTGTCGGCAAGACTGTCTTTATTCAGGAGCTCATCAACAACATCGCCAAGGCTCACGGTGGTTACTCTGTTTTCACTGGTGTCGGTGAGCGTACCCGTGAGGGTAACGATCTGTACCACGAGATGCAGGAGACGTCCGTCATCCAGCTCGATGGTGACTCCAAGGTCGCACTTGTCTTTGGTCAGATGAACGAGCCCCCGGGTGCCCGTGCCCGTGTCGCCCTGACTGGCGTGAGTACTCTTCCTATACCTTCTCCCGTCTCTTCCCTGTTGTCCCTTTCTTCTTTCCCTGCTCTTTTCTCGGACAGGTTGTGCTGCACATATCTGCAGGTGGCCTCGCCATCTTCCCACATCTCGACGGCTTGTAAAGTACCAGGTCGCTTGTTGATCCCACCGCTTTTCTTCCCCCGTTGCGATTCCCATCTCGCTCCTTTTAAACTTTTTTGTTCCTTCCAAAACAGGTTTCTGTTCACATCCATCGTCTTTATCACAGCCCCACAAATCCAACCACATGGTCCCACATTCTTCCCCATTCGGATACGCGCACCAAAACACCAAACCTTTGCACCCTGAATTCCACCCTGGTCATCCTGGTTGATTTAATTTATATTTCCAAGTAACTAACGTGTTCCTAAACAAACAGTTGACCGTCGCTGAGCACTTCCGTGACTCCGAAGGACAGGATGGCAAGTTCTTTTCCCTAATTCTTTTTCTGATACTCTTGACAATTTCTTGATATGCTCTACGCCAACAGCAACATGTCATGAATTGCAATAACATCGAGCGTTGTCGCTAACTCTCTCTCAGTGCTTCTCTTCATTGACAACATCTTCCGCTTCACTCAAGGTTAGTGGCATTTTCTTCGTTCGAGGATCGAGCTTCCTGAATTTTAAAAACCAGGAGATAACGGATTGGTCGAAGCGTCACGTTTCGGCTGATTCATTTTGAAATACTTACGTACTGACACTCCGCAGCCGGTTCCGAGGTGTCTGCCCTCCTGGGACGTATCCCCTCTGCCGTCGGTTACCAGCCCACCCTGGCTGTCGACATGGGTGGTATGCAGGAGCGTATCACCACCACCAGCAAGGGTTCCATCACTTCCGTCCAGGCCGTCTACGTCCCCGCTGACGATCTGACTGACCCTGCCCCCGCCACCACCTTCGCCCATCTTGACGCCACCACTGTGCTGTCGCGTGGTATCTCTGAGCTGGGCATCTACCCCGCCGTCGACCCTCTCGACTCCAAGTCCCGTATGCTGGACCCTCGTGTCATCGGCCAGGACCACTACGATACCGCTACCCGTGTCCAGCAGATCCTCCAGGAGTACAAGTCCCTCCAGGACATCATTGCCATCCTGGGTATGGACGAGCTTTCCGAGGCCGATAAGCTCACCGTCGAGCGTGCCCGTAAGATCCAGCGTTTCCTGAGCCAGCCCTTCACTGTTGCCCAGGTCTTCACTGGTATCGAAGGTCAGCTTGTCGATGTCAAGGAGACCATCAACTCCTTCAAGGCCATCCTCAACGGTGAGGGTGATCAGCTCCCCGAGGGTGCCTTCTACATGGTTGGTGACTTTGCCTCGGCCAAGGCCAAGGGTGAGAAGATCCTTGCCGAACTCGAGAAGTCCGCTTAAATTGTCCCTGTGACCTTTGAACCGGGCGGACAAACAATAAAGAACTGTCCTTAATATCTTTTTTGCGTCGCGGTGGAGAGAAGAGGAGCCAGGAGAAAGAGGAGAAGCGGACCAACCGACTGGAAGCCTCAAATATTTTGAGGGCTGTGTACCAAGAAATCGAACAAAATTCCCTCCTGTAGCCATTTTATTCAATCGGGAAGCAATTTTCCTTTGTCTTACCACAAACCTAGCACTCACTCATCTTCACTCGAGACAATATGTATATGTAAATGTAATGGCAACGAAGCGGGCCAGCTATCTAGAGGCTGTTTTGTAACGAACTGGGTCCATTGTTGATGTACATGCATGTGACATTACTCTCCAGGGATCGAGCACCCAGATACTTTCTTGCAGATACCCAATAACTCCTCCTGCTTGTCGACATTGTCAGCGCCAGAATGCGGCGAACCCTCCCCACTGGTCGTGAAGAAGGCGCCGCTGGGTAGTTTGGCGAGAGCGTCTTTGCCGGCAGCCCAGTTGGCCAGAGCGCGGGCTGACTTGTCCGCATTCCCCGGGGCTGCTGTGCCGCCCATCTTGGTCCTCACCCATCCCGGGTGCATGCTGACGGACTGGATGCCATCGGACGACCAGCGACGGGCAAACGCCTTGGAGAGCATGGTGTCGTGAAGTTTGCTATCAGAGTAGGAGTGGGAGCGAGTGATGTCGCCACGGAGAGACTCATCACCGCCATAGTGACTATCTGAGCTCATAAAGAGGATGCGGGACACGGGCTTGTCCATCAGACACGCCAGGATGTATGGGGCCAACGTGTTCACGGCAAACACAGCAGAGAGGCCATCGGGGGTGATCAACGTTGATGATGTTCCGCCGTAGCCTATGCCTGCGTTGTGAATGATGGCATCGAATGGCGGGCCAGAAGCGTTGGCATCCGAGGCAAGTTTCTTGGTCTCAGCGATGGATGATAAGTCACCGATTAAGATGCCCGCAGCGCCGGGGACGGTCGCACGAACTGAGTCCGCGCGCGCGGCGTTGCGTGCGTGCAGGACTACTTGGTGGCCTTGATCGGAGAGCAGCTTGGCTGTCTTTTGGCCTATGCCGTCGGTCGAACCGGTGATGAAGACGCGCACCATTCCGAGCGATTGACGTTGTCTACCTGGTATTGGTTTATATAGATTATTCAATTTGAACTGCAAGGTCAAATCGAATAATATATAAAGTACAATATCTTCATATCGAATACAGGTACATATAGACATGTGAGTGCCGTTGGTCTATGATATCACTGGTGGACCCCGGTTGTTCTACTGTGGCGTCATAGACCTCGTGCTTGGACGAGGGGAATGACTGAGTTATCATTGAAAACAATTGTTTCTATTGGGTGTATTTAATACCTGTAGAGGGTATCTCGAGGTATCTTGAGAGCTAATGTATATGTGTATGTACGTGTACTATGTACGTATGCTCTGTATGTCCATGTAGAATCCCCTGGGTATCACTACTATAAACAGCAAACTCTGGAACTGTTCGTCCTAATAGAAGTATCGGAATTAGAGATTCTCCTTGTCGGTGAGATCCTGAAAGGCGAGCTTGGCCTTTTGCTCGGTGTGGACATGTTGTGATCCCTCTCTGCCTTCCCATGCCTGAGATGGAGGAACAGCAGGGCACTGAAGACAACGCAGACGGCATAGAAGATAGCGTGCTCGATCCATAGCTCGAGTGAGTGAGCTTCTCTTGACCAGAGTATACGACAGTGTTACCAACGCAGTAGGCGACAAATACGGTGGTAGCCATGGAGCTCTTTGTGTGATCCGCAACGTTGGACATGGCCACGGTGATGATGAGGGAGACTACAGCGCTAAATGTCACCGTCAGCGCGTGTCTTATGATGGGGCTCGCAGTGTGGTGGTGTCATGAGGACTTCTAGATGACGGGACATTCTGTGATGGCGGGCAGACAGCACACGACGAGCATCATCAGACGTATGTTGGGTGAAGCGACTGCCACCCAACCCTTGACAAGAATGGCAACGAAGTATAGAGCCCCTAAAGGGAGCTCCCACTGGGTGGCCTTTGGGGAGGTTTGACCAAAGCTCGAGATAACCAGGGGGGCCAAGACCCGAGACGACAACGTTGACGGTACATATACACGTTATATTGTGTCAATATTAGTATGGTTTTGAAGAAAGAGAGATACGGAAAGACGAGAAGCAGATTGCATGACATATGCAGTCATATCATGATAACGACGAACCACACCTTGATATTGAGCACAGCCTCTTTGATCTTATGCACCCTTGAAGGTGGTACAGCGCACAGCCGTCTGACCAAGGCGCAGCCTCTCGACGGCAGCAGCTCTGGCGGATCCTCTGCTCGGTGTGGTTGTAATAGTCCGATACGATGCACATTGATTTCCGTGGGGATGGTGCTCTCGACGAAGCTGAGGAAGAAGTGCTAGGCGTACAGGCCCTTGTACGTCGTCACACCTGCCGTGGACATTCGACATGTAGATGGCACCTTTGATGGTGAGGGGGGATCCCTAGGATCCGGCTTATGTCGAACCCGTTGTACATATAGTGCGTACGTGTGCGGGTACGGCCCCGTCAGCATCCTCAAGTAGAAGATGGATGTGGCCTATGAGAGCTGCGACGTGTCCGATGTCCCCATCTTCGTTACCATGGTTGGCAACAGATCCAAGCTCATCCCCAGGATCGCGGCTGACCCGAGAATGGCTTCATCGTATACAAGGTCGCAGCTGATCATCATGAATGGCACGGCGATTCAACCTGTCTTGCGCATTGCCCGGAACACAACCTTGGCGTCTACTTCGTGTTGCTTTTCGCCCACCTTGGCCAAGGCATTGTCATTTCTTTGTCTCAAGCCATCATTTATGCCTTACAGTTGCGGAATCCGTCGTCGATCCCGTCTCAACAGCCCCCTTTTCCCTTCATGCCAGCTAGAGTCATCTTCATGTCAGATGTATACTTCAGTCGTACCATCATTACTCGTACCACAAAAAGCTCCAAAAGACTCGAAACAGAGGGAATGAAAAAGAAGGTTAGGGTCCACAATCTAAGGGGTGGAACCGTTGAGAACTTGAGCTAATAACGAGTTCCGACGTGAAACCCTTGTCAATCGTTTCTAGGACCAATCTGGTCCAGGGCAATTCTCGAGGACAGGCCCAGTCTAATATTGATGACTTCCACTACTTTAAGGGCCTTCCATTCGATTGCAGTCTCGTAGCCGGCCAGTCTAGCTGTTCTCGTAAAGAGCACATCGGTGGGCACATCGGTTGCCAAGTCGATTGGTGTATTAACGCCGAGTTCATGGATACGTTGATAGCGTTGTTCCTACCAATACTCCCTACTCGTAGTGATACTGGTAGTTACCAACATGTACAGATTACTATATACTGCATCGATTAACAAGCATTAGCATTGATGCACATGTATCGGTGCAAGCACTCGTGCATGTGATAGAGAACATTCCTCCTACGGCCCAGACTCAAAGTCGAATGCCGTCAAGACCCGGCTGTTGAAGCAACTGCGCGTTATCCCGGGCCTCTTCTGTGCTATCACGCGCGTCTCGGTCGTCAACGGCTTTCAACTCAACACCGTCCGTCCCTAAGCCCGTGGCTGATTGCAACGCTCGAAAAAGTGCTATCTATATTATCATCGATGTCAATCGGACGTGCCGTCCATGCTCTCCTCCTTATTGGGGCATCAGGTCCCTTGTTTTCGGTACACGTCAGGCATTGCCGCATTGTTCACGTACGGAGCCTCCTGAGCCGTCCGTCGGCTCCTGAGGCGAAATTCGCAACTTGGCATACTGGGTCTGCCTCGGTCCATGTGGAGCCCAGACGGGCTCCTGGCTCTTTGTCGCTCGGCGTGGACGGTATGGAGCATCAGTTGTGCCGTTTTGCGTCTACGGATTACTCGTAGACTCGTAGTACACTGTACAGGTATCACTGTCCTGCACCAGGTGGAACCCCCAACGTTCTCTCGTACGGAGAGATGCCCAGTTGGTATGCTCTCTCCGTCTTTGGCTCTCCTTGTCCGCCATCGAAGCTGTGAACCCGCCACGCTGGCTTCAACCTTGCATCGACCCGATCCACAAAGAGGTACACACGGGTACCTGTTCCTACTGCCGTGGCCCATTACTATCCGCTGCATTACTACCACTCTGCCAACTGGTCAGCCTCCACGTCCACCTCGCACGCTGGCCGTCAATCTTACGGCAACTATGTCGTTACGACTAGCACCTGCAAGCATGTACTCATATCGCCTCGGCACATGACACGATTGTGCGCCTGCAAGACGGCGAATACTGAATTGGCAGAGGCACGAGGGATTTGGACACAGAATTGGTCGTGCCAAATCCATATATGGCAACTCGGCCGCGGGTTTCTCGTCACGGCATTTGCCCCGAAACCCGGATATAGTTGCGCCGTTACAACTTGTTGATGGTGGGTGGCACTTTCTTCAAGTCGGTGCCTCCCCATATTTAAATAGCTTGAAGAGATACACCTTTCCCTTGCACTTCGATTAACTCGTCATCGTCTCTTGCAAGTTGCAACGAAGATTAAGCTTGACTGCCACTATCACTATCGCTGTTACTCGATATCTATTCATTCATGGTTACGAAAGAGAGAACCTCAATCCTTTATAGTTGACAAGACGACGACGACGACGACGACGACGACAACCACAAAAGCGACAGCAACAACAACAGAAACAGAAATAACAGACGCATAAGAACTTCAACATGGCCGAGTTGGTTCCTGTGCCGGAGCCTCCCGGCTTGCCGCTCATCGGCCACACCACCCTCATCGACAGCGAATTCCCTCTGGGATCCTTCCTGGCTCTCTCCGAGAAGTACGGCGAGATTTTCCGACTACGGTTCCCGGGTAGGAGCGTCGTATTCGTATCTACTCACGCCTTGGCCGATGAGATCTGCGATGAGAGGCGCTTCAAGAAGGTACCGACGGGCGCGCTTACTGAAGTTCGAAATGGAGTCAACGATGGTCTCTTCACTGCCCACATCGAGGAGCCCAACTGGGGGATCGCCCACCGCGTGCTGATGCCGGCCTTTGGCCCCCTCAACATCCGGGCCATGTTTGGTGAGATGCACGACATTTCCACCCAGCTTGCTATGAAGTGGGCTCGTCACGGCCCCAGGGAGCCCATCCTGGCGTCCGAGGACTTTACCCGTCTGACCCTCGACGCAATTGCCCTCTGCGCCATGGGTTTCCGTTTCAACAGCTTCTACTCCTATGAGATGCACCCTTTCCTCGATGCCATGGCCTCCTTCCTCAAAATCTCCGGAGACAAGACGCGCCGCGCTCTACCGGCATGGTACTACAGGAAGACGGACGAGAAGTTTAAAGCCGACATTGAGATTCTTCGCAGAACCGCAGACGAGGTCCTGCAGGGGAGAAAGGCCGGTAACAGCGATCGCAAGGACCTCCTCAACGCCATGTTGAAGGGCGTCGACCCCCAGACTGGTCAGTCCATGACCGACCAGTCCATCACGGACAACCTCATCACCTTTCTCATGTGAGTACCCTTTGCTGGACAAGCACCGAGTGCTTGCCTGACCTGTGTTCTGACCTCGAACGACAGTGCTGGCCATGAGACCACCTCTGGCCTTCTCTCCTATGTCTTCTACCTCCTGCTCCAAGACCCCCGGGTATATAGAAAGGCCCAGGATGAGGTCGATAATGTCATTGGCAAAGGGCCAATCAAGGTCTGTCCCCCTCCAGCTTTCTTCTCCTTGAAGATCTCACACTGCCGGACTCGACCAACACTGAATGACTATACTAGGTGGAACACATGTCCAAACTGCCTTATATCGCGGCGGTGAGTTTCAAAGCGAAGGGAGCGATGAAGAGGAGAATGATAGTTTACTGACAGGCATGGTACCAGGTTCTCCGTGAGACGCTTCGGTTGCAGTCCACCATCCCCATTATTGGCCTCAAGCCCATAGGAGAGCAAATTCTGGGAGGAAAATACAAGGTCAACGCCGGTGAGGGCTGCGTCTTGATGATGAGGCCGGTGCACACAGATCCGGCTGTCTATGGCGACGATGCGCTTGAGTTCAAGCCTGAGCGTATGGTTGACGAGAACTTCGAGAAGCTCCCCAAGAACGCGTGGAAGCCCTTTGGAAACGGTGTACGCGCCTGCATCGGCCGACCGTTTGCCTGGCAGGAGGCACTCATGGTCATGGCCATGCTCCTACAGAACTTCAACTTTGTCATGGACGACCCTTCTTACCGCCTGACGCACAAGCAGACCCTGACCATCAAGCCCAAAGACTTCTACATCCGAGCCATTCTCAGGGATGGCCTGACGCCGACATCGCTCAGCGCCCGCCTGGCCGGTACCCCCAACACTGGTCAGGAGGACAACTCCGCACAGAACGGTGGCGTCGAGGAATCAGCCTCTGGCCCCGGGCAGCCCATTTCCGTCTTCTACGGCTCCAACAGTGGAACGTGCGAGACATTGGCACGCCGTATTGCCGCCGATGCCCCCCGCCACGGTTTCAAGGTCACTGCAGTTGACTGCATGGATGTCGCCAATGGGAACATACCCAAAGATCAGCCCGTCGTCTTCCTGACGGCTTCGTACGAGGGAGAACCCCCGGACAATGCTCGTCACTTCGTCTCTTACCTTGAGAATCTCGAAGACAAGAAGGCCCTCGAGGGTGTCAACTACGCAGTCTTCGGCTGCGGTCACCACGACTGGACCTCGGTACGTTGATATAAATCGATAGTCTTATCAGTGAGAAGGGGGGGGCATTGGCTTACACGAATCAACTTATCGCAGACATTTTACCGCATTCCCAAGTTGGTCGACTCGGCCCTGAACGAGAATGGTGCCACCAGGCTTGCCGAGTCTGGCTTCGCTGATGCGGGTGGTGCTGATGTCTTTGTCGCTTTCGAGACTTGGGAGGACAGCACCTTCTGGCCTGCTCTGAAGGAAAAGTACGGCATCGAGACGGCAAACGGGGCCAACGACGAGCAGTTGTCTCTGACTGTGGCCGTCACCAACCCGCGCAGCGAAGTGCTCCACACCGACGTCCAGCTGGCTCAAGTCATCGAGACCAGGATCCTGACGGCCGATGGTGAGCCCATAAAGAAGCACATCGAGATCAAGCTTCCTTCCGACAGCTCGTATCGCTCTGGAGACTATCTGGCCGTGCTCCCTATCAACCCCAGGGAGACCGTTGCCCGGGCCATGAGACGATTCGAGCTACCATGGGATTCTCACCTGGAGATTGAAGGTGGCGGCCATGTCGACCTACCCACCGAGAAGTCTCTGCCGGCTTTCGACATCTTTGGCTCATACGTCGAGCTGGCGCAGCCGGCCACCAAGAGGGTATGTTCTGTCCCGGCTTTCCGCGATGTGTACTCTCATTCTTATGTCATGACTAACAACTTGGATAGAACATCCTCGCCTTGGCTGCTTCTACCGAGGATGAGGCCGACAAGGCCATGTTGAAGGACCTTGCTGATGCCTCGTACGAAAAGGAGATTTTGGAGAAGCGCATGTCCGTCTTGGACCTTCTCGAGACATATCCCTCTGCCAAGCTGTCACTCGGCTCGTTCCTCGCCATGCTGCCGCGCATGAGGATCAGGCAATAGTAAGGAGACCCAAACTTGTCCCCCTCCCCCAGACATTCGATATACCTGAAGCTGACCAAGAAACGCATCAGTTCCATCTCGTCATCGCCTCTCTGGAAGCCCAACCATGTCACCTTGACCTTTTCGCTCCTCAATGAGCCGTCCAAATCGGGCCATGGCTCATACGTTGGCGTGGCCACCTCATACCTGGCCAGTCTGCAGGCGGGTGACAAACTGCCAGTTTCGATCAAGCAGTCCCATGCCTCATTCCATCTGCCGCAGGACCAAGGGTCAACTCCCATCATCTGTGTCGCCGCCGGTACGGGACTGGCTCCCTTCCGCGGCTTCATCCAGGAGCGCGCTGCTCTGATCGAGGCCGGCCGCAAGGTGGCACCCCTGGTCCTCTACTACGGCTGCCGTGAGCCTGGCCGTGATGACCTGTACGCCGACGAGCTGGCCAAGTGGGAGAAGCTGGGAGCCGTCAAGGTCAAGCACACCTACTCGCGGACACCTGACAAGAGCGACGGCAACAAGTACGTGCAGGAAGCTATCTGGGCTGACCGTAGGGAGGTTGGAGAGCTTTGGGAGAACGGCGCCAAGGTCTTCGTCTGCGGATCCAAGCGTCTCAGCACCGGAGTTCAGGACGTCGCCATCAGGATGACGCGTGCTAAGGGAAAGCTTGTGGGTAAGGAGGTGAGCGAGGAGGAGGCCTTTAAGTGGTGGCAGGAGCTGCGCAATGTGCGCTACGCTACTGATGTCTTTGAATGAGTCTTGTCGGGTTTCTTCTTCTTGGGTATATATGCATATGTATAGATGGCGTGTATGAGATTGAGCCTACAATGGTTGCCATTGAGCTTGCTTATCTTGTAGTTGTTTGACTCAGGTATTTTACACATTCTTTTGCACATGTAGCTGATAATTACACGGATGTACACGGAAGTCATCCATGGCGATCAAGAATTTAGATTAGTAGTAAACGAGGGGGTATCTTGAATAATTTAGAAGTTCATATATACATTTCTCTAGTTGGCCAGATGGCCCTACACATCTGATTGAAGCGCTCCCCCCTACGACATTGTAAGAGTTGAGTGAAGTTGAAGGCTCCTACGACTTATTGGGCTTCTTCTCAAAGCCGTTATGCGTGAGCTTGGGCTGATCGCGGTCGAGGGCATACATCTCCTCCTCCTGAGCATCGTAGTGGTGGAAGATGAGCCAGAAGACGATTCCGGTAACAAAGGCAAAGCAGGCGACGCCCGTGTACATCCAGGTAAACTTGGGGTCGACGGCGACGGAGACGAGGGCCTCGGACAGGGCGGAGCCAAAAGCGTTGGTGAAGAGGTACAGACTGGAGACGAAGGACTTGAGCGAGGGCGGGGCCTTGGTGTAGGCGTACTCGAGACCGGTGACGGAGATGAAGATCTCGGAGACACCGATGAAGATGTAGGCGGGGACCTGGATGGCGATGTGGACGTGGTTAGGCAGGGCCGTTTGGCCGTCCATACCGGCGGGGCAGGCCCCGGGCTTGTCGTAGCAGGGGCCAGCCGAGTAGATGATGTGCTGGACAATGGCGGCGTAGGCGAGGCACAGGGCAGCGAGCCAGAAGCCGATGGTGATGCGGGCGATGGGACGCAGCTCGACGCCCCAACGGCGGAGGAGGGGGTACAGGAAGCGGTCGAGGAGGGGGGTGAATATGAGGATGGAAACGGGGTCGAAGTTTTGCATGAAATCGTTGGGCATGCCGTGGCCCTCCATCTGGCCAGCCTGGGTGATGAAGTTGGTGGAGAACTGGCCGTAGCAGACCCAGAAGATGGGGTCTTTTGGACAGAGAGAGGACGGGTTAGCTGCTGATCAAGGGAAGAAGGTCGTCAAGGGTTTGGGAACATGGAGAAAGGAGACGTACAAAAGACGAAGACCTTGCAGGCACGTAGAGCACGCTTGAGCTCATCGACAAAGTGGTCATTCCAGCCGACAGCCTTGGTCTTTCCGTTGGCAGCACGCCACGAGGGCTTGGCGGCATCCATGTTACGTGAGACGATCATGAGGCCGAGGGCCTTGAAGGCGTCGGTGATGACGGAGCCCTGAGGAGGGCGGTCGACGTAGGTCTTGCGGCGCCAGACGAGGATGCCGACGCCGACGTTGAACATGCAGAAGCACATGAGATAGGCGGTCCAGAAGCCAACATACTTCTCCATAAATGGCGTGGCCATGAGGGACAGGCAGCCGACGTTGATGCAGAAGTAGAAGATCATGTAAATGCGCTGGTAGGTGATGGCCGGGTCGATGATGACGCGCTCTCCCGACTTCTCAGTCTTGACGGCCATGACGGAGCGCTGGTACTGGTCGGCGATGAGGGGGGCGATGTTGCTCTTGATACCGCCGGTTCCCAGGCCGATGATGACGATGGCGGCGATGTAGCCACCCTTTCCGGCACCGGCCTCGATGGACACCGGGAGGGCCGTCGTCCACAGGATGATGAGACCAACCCAGTAGAAGCCGCAGAAGACTAGGATGGTCTTGTACTTGCCCAGGTACTGATCGGCAATGATGGCGGCGAAGATGGGAGTGACTGCACGGGTTGTACGCGTCAGGACGTTGTCCCCTCGAGGAATTACACGCGCATGTATATAAATATATGAATTCGTGGGACAAACGAGAGTAACAGGAGTCGAGGACGTACCATAGCAGAACCACTGGAAAAAGAGGTTGAGACCGGTAGCGGCCTGGTGGCCCATGCCGAGACCCTTTGCGCCATCTGAACCGCTGGGGCTGTTGTTGATGTAGTTTTGGAAGAGGCCCTGAGCACCATAGTAGGTGAAGCGCTCCGTCAGCTCAACAATGGCGATGAAGAAGGCCGAGGCGGGCAGGCTCTCGCCGATGCGACGCAGGCTGCGCTTCTCGCCCTCGCTGGGCTCCTCGCCGTCTGCGGTAGGGCCGCTCTCCGAGTCGGTGAAGGTGTCCTTCTTGACGTCTGACTCGATGATACCGCCAGCAAGGTCCTTGCGATGGCCGGGAATACGTTCCTCGAGCGTCTCGTGCAGCCTAGCACCAGTCACATCACACACAAGGTCAGTTCAGAGGACAGGGGATAAGGACAGGGGATGTGATATAGGACGGGACGAGAAAAGTGGACTGACTGAGCAGCTGTGTCCTGGTGATTCTGCGCCATGGTTTTGTCGTTCTTCTAATACCCCCCGGATCGATCAGGTATGAAAGAGAGAGGGAGACAGGCGAGAGGAAAGGGAAGAGAGTTACCAGCCAAAAGTAGGAGAGAGAGAAAGAGGAGAGCGGAGGAGAAGAAGGAGAGGAGGATAGGCGCGCGCATGAGAATATATAAAATTCAAAGAGGGAGCGAGCCAACAGTTCCTACGTGTACGGACTATCCGCATCAACGGTTGTGATAACACACTGGGCCCCGCCATACTAGTGGGAATACCGTCCAGTTGAGAAAGTCCGAAGCAACTAGTCCGCTGCAGTGTAGTACGAGTCACATACTACCACCACTACTACTATTACTCTACTACTCTACTACTACTACTACTACTACTACTACTACTACTACTACTACGTACATAGTAGGCCTGGGTTGGTTGGTTCCCGCTCGAGCGGCAGCAAGTCCCCGTCTCATTCACACACACACACAGTAAACCGCTTATCTCTCGGTGGAGTGGGGTGCTTTCCGGAAAAGGGTGTGGTAGTGGCAAAGGGATATTAACGGGGACTATTACTAGGGATCAGAGTGTCTGGAGGGGTATGGCAAGTGTAGCTTTACCCGTTGCTTCGTCCGGTTGCGTGCATGTCATTCGATCGTAGTACTACGTACTATGAGTTGCAGAGCACGAGTAATACACTGAGTATACGGCGCATGACGATGTAGCAGAGTCTCGACAACTGCTAATACGAGCAATACCTGCCGTCTACATGACGGATCTTTGGGATTGTGAATCCTTGACGAAAGGGAAAGCACACAATCTCCATACGAGCAGAGGACGGAGTGTAGGGAGAATAAGAGACAGAGAGAAGAGGGAACTTCTGGGTGTGCGGAGTCAGCCCTCGCTCCCCCAAGGCAGCCGAGAGGAAGAAAAAAGGTGATGGAACTTTTGGAAGCTTCTTCTTTACACCTCAACCCTACCGCTTGATGATGATACTCTCTGTAGACTACTCGTACTCCGGTACGACAACTGCTCGAACTGGCGTTACCGAGGCGGCGAGGACCTTGTCTAGACCCGGGAAAAGAACTCGACATATAGTACGAATAGTGGTAGCCTCTACAAGTCTTCGGCCTTGACGCGCCGGCAAGTCTGGGGTTTTCCTACTTGGCGCCCCACCACCAAGAACATCTGATGGTTGCCAAGAGGGAATTTTTCTCGAAGTACGCCACAACTGGACTCCCGGTCGGTACTCGCCGGGATGTCGCTTGTTTCGTTTCTGAAGAGTCTCTGAATCTCCCGAGCGATCTCGTTACTTGTCTTTCTACGACCACAACAAGGATCTACACTCTCAAGAGGCCAAAGGAAGATTCAGGACAGGAAGAATGCAGCATAGGGAACGTATTGCATGCATGCATAGCCAGTCAAGGGATCTGGTCTCCCTTGTGACATACAATATTACAACTCTGCGAGTAATGTTGCAAAAGTGTAAGTGTAACTCGGGACAAAAGAAAGGATATTAATCTCGTTGTGTCTCCTCTTTGAGGGCGGCCGATACCACCCAAGCGTTCTAGGTGGAGAAGTCGTGACTTGTACCAGGTAACATTACTTCTCCTTCGTAAGAGTTACGAGTACAAAGGACCCATATCAGGGATATCAGGGACCCGTATTACCAGGGACCCGTACCAAGGACGACGGGCACGTACGAGAAAGGATTTACACTAGGGAGCCGTCTTTTCCGAATCTCCCACTCCCTCAGCCGTCTCAGCAACCAATGAGTCCGTGGCATGCAACACCTACGAGCATTGTACAGGTACAATGCAATCTCTACTCTTATTCGTGCTCTCAATCCGTACTTTTTTTTTTTTTGGCGGGGGAGGGGGGAGGGGGGAGTATGGAGTGAGGACTTCCAAGTATCAAGAGACCTGCTGCTCTGGGTAATATCCTGGGTCTCCTCACATTGATTCACACGATGGGCGATAGTTACTACCATGCACTACTAGTAGTGTACGTAACATTACTACTCTTTTACGAAATATTCGTACTCATACTCCATACTCGCAGTATCTCCACGACGTATTACATGTAGATAACCAGAAGAATTAGAGTCATGGACCCTGCGAGTTAATCCGATGGGTTTACGGGAGCTTGTCTAATGTAGGTAGGTACATTATGCCGTGCCTTGGGTCTGTCTCACTCGCATCAACCAACCCATGCTGTTTATCTTAAAGGTATCGGGAGGACTGATGATTCCATTTGTTCTCTGGTTGTCCTCTAACTTTTCTACAGTCTTACCATGATGTTGCAGTTGGCAATGTTGTTCTCCAGCTCGTCCTTACCTTTGCTCTACATCATGTAGATGCTGTCATGATACTGTTCCGTCAAGCTCAACTTCCGTCTGCCAACTCTAACATTGATGTGAATAATGTCAAACAGTCATAACAGGCTATAAGCCGTGAGAGAGCCAAACTCTGACTCCGCCGGGACCTGGCGCTTCTCACCCTTTCTTCAAAACATGCCGTGCATAGCGCACCGGCATAATGGCCAATGCGCAAGGGAGACTAGACTCGCACTCGTAAGACCAATCGAATTAGCTCCGTATGAAGTTCTGGGATGGGCTGGAAGACACCGGGTTTGGTGCTGTGACTGCATTACATGTATAACTACGTGTCTAAGTACGTATGAGTACCGCCGGAGTGGTGTTATTGCTACGAGGACTCAACTATTGGTCCGCTCCGGGCAGATGGCGTTGTGTATGAGAAGGAAGTGGTGAGACTATATGGTACAGATAGACGGACGTGTTTGTACCGACTCCCACGACTGACCCGAACCAGCCATACAAGATCCACCCGCCCATACGTACGGGCAAGCCGGCAGCCATGCCACCGAGAGAGTCTGGTACTCGTCCCTACCTGTATACACATGGCATGGAGAGAAATACGCAGTTTGGCCAATCCCCTCTGCCGGTTGAGTTGAACCTATTACAAAAAAGCTCGATCAAGGATGAGCCATACATGCACTTTGTAGGTGGCGTTTCGATCATAGAGTACGGCGATAGCCGGTAATAAATGTGAGCCGTCAAACAGCCACACGTTCACACCCTAGTGGTGCTGATATGGTATTATACCCTTGGCCCTTGGGGAATGGACAGTTGCGGCTTTGATCACCCGGCTTGGCGACGGCTCGGCTTTGCATCAATCATCGCACCACTACGGCATTACCAGAATGGGAGGCAACAAGAAGCACCGGGTTATCTCTGATGGCACAGAAAAGAACAAAAAAACTCTTGACCACGAGTCTGTGGCCCTAACGATGATATTATTCGTACGATCGTCACCAGCCCCTTTATCTGAGGGGTCAAGTCCCAGCGCGTCTGCCGAGCTCCCGCACTGACCAATCCCGCGTGGAACCGACGAGTTGGGAAGTCATCGCTTATAGATCGATCATTCGACTACGATGCGCCAATATATGAGTTTCTTATCGGGGAATGTCATATGGGCGTAGAGGACGGGAACGTTGCGTTGGGGGGGGGGGGGGGGATCCTGGTCGTAATGTTCATGGCCTGTGTGGTTCCTGGGCTTTATCGACCTGGCGAGGCGACTTTTCAGCCTCGGATCGTGCTATGACCATCGATTCTGGTAGCATTGTTGTCAGCCCACTGCGGTCAAGTGCGTTATCTGTATCGTACATGTACAGAGCAGCGAGAGAGAGTCAATGCTGTATACGAGACGATGGGGAACGAATAGTAGTCGCCATGGCCAAGCTTCTGATGTCTGCTACTGGTTCTGTCTAACCCGTCAGCGCTACCTCAAATAAGTGGAAGAGGATGGCAGTAGAAGTGATTCTCGAGGTATCACCCCGCGTCGTTAGCCGTGTCGGACTTGAGAATCATCGTCGTTGTGCACAGAGTGGCCACGATCCAAGCCACGTAACTTTACCGACATGTCACAGTATACAAGAAAAATATACAGTCCAACATACACTGTACTATTCTCTGACAGTGTTAATATAATATCTATACTGTACGCACGAACACGGTACTGTGACGTCGCCCACAACGTCTTCTTCCCCTTCGCGTCCCTTCGCGTCTTCCCCCCACAACTTCGACAACGACGATGATAACCAATTGAGAGCAGGACAGACAGCCATATACGGGCAATACGATATGGCCACTTCGTTTCGTTTACCAGACGAGCTGATGCTCGCCCCGGTGCTGCAGACGTATCCCTGTCGTGAACGTCAGATTCGCTCCCTTGCGACGCTCCTCTATGTTGGTCACTTATAAGATACCCTACTCTTGAACTCCCCCTTTCCTCCCCAGATTGGCTAATCCTGTTTACTTCTACCCCGTTGTAGCCTGACGCTGCTCCGTGTCGGAACCTGACGATCCACGGTGTCGAAGCTACGGGAAAGACGGCCATCACCAACTCCCTCCTCCATAACATGTCTCTACGGGATCCGAGGATACGCCACGCCGCCATCGATGCGTCGCAGTGCATCACGTCGCGCCAGCTGTTCGAGACGGTGGTCGTGGCCGTTTCCAACGCCCTGGAATGGTCAGAAGACGATGTCTCTCGCCGCTGCGAGACCCTGGCACAGCTCAATGTCGAGCTGTGCCGTATGCTCAAGTACCCGGGTCGAGAGAACTTCTCCTTCATCCTCGTTCTCGACGCCATAGACCGCACCAGGGATGCTTCGCCTACTCTGCTCCCGGGCCTGGCGAGACTCTCAGAGATTGTACGCTATACTAATCTGTGTTCCTTACCATTCACCAAAGACGTATCTGACCAGAAACGGAAACAAAAACAGATCCCCTGCCTCACAACTATCTTCATCGTCACAGCCCCATCAGCACAAGACCTGCGCACCCCGTCCTCCCCGACCATTCACTTCCCGCCCTACACCAAACCCGAGTATATCCGTATTCTGGCCCTTACACCCCCCGCCGAACCATCAATGGTGACAGACGACAAAGACGCCCTCGACTTCCTATGGCCACGCTTCTGCGCCGCCGTGCACGACGCCCTGGTCCGCTCCGCCGCCCACTCCCTTCCCGCCTTCCGTCATGCCTGCGACACGCTGTGGCCTCGCTTCGTCGCCCCCATACAGAAGGGTACCTACGAGACCCGTGACTTCTCCAAGCTCCTCGTTGCTTCGCGCTCTCATTTTCATGACGAGACGCTCCTCAACCCAAGCATCGTATCCGTCGTCATCCACCAACCTCATTCCTCCACCTCCTCTTCTTCCGCACCCATAACCACGCCTGCAAATGCAGCCGTCGCATCGACAGATCTATCCGCCTTGCTCCCACGCACCGCCCGCGTCCTCCTCCTATGCGCCTACCTGGCCTCCCACAACGCCCCGCGACATGACGTAACCCTCTTCTCAACCCACTACCAGAAGAAACGACGCAGGAGAGGCGGCGGTCCTACGGCAACCGGTGGTCAGCGCAGTCATCGCAAGATTGCCCGCAAGCTCATCGGCGCCCATGCCTTTGTTCTGGAGCGTATGCTGGCCATTTTTTCTGCCGTGAGGGTAGAATGGGGTCTTGTGACTGAGACGTCGGCCGGTCCCGGTGGCGGAAAGGGCGCCCTGGATGCAGACGTTGCCATGGCTATGGCTACGCTCACCAGTCTGCGGCTGCTCAACCGTATAGGGATCGGGGGTGATGTCATGGACCGCGGTGGCAAGTGGAGAATCAATGTTGGATGGGATGTCGTGCGTGGTGTTGGCCGAGGGATGGGTGTTGAAGTTGATGAGTGGCTGATAGATTAGATTTTTGTCCTGGAGTTTCTCATGTATATACATAAGACTAGTGGCATCCATTACATTCGATATATACCAATGCATACCGACCTCTATCTCCTTGTTATTCATGACGCGGTGATGTTTCGGTATAATCAGTGTAAAAACATGAGAACCAACATGAGAAGAAAGGTTGTATGTATTCCTGGTTCCAGACCGTTGTATATATTTAAAACAGTGCGATACTCTATTCTCACATAAGAATCGAGAAGATGCCCAAGAACCCAAGAAAAGAAGAGAGGGAAGAAACACAGATTGCCCATACACCAACACCGTTCTAGAAATAAAAGGACATACATATGATATCATGGGTAGAGTTTGACACCTCGTTTGGTGTGCCAATAACCTCTTCATCAAACCCCAGAAAAAAACAGGAAAGAGAAAATGAAGAAAGAAAAAGAAATAAACAAGACACCAGAGACAAAGAGCAATACCCGGGGTCTGTCTAAGCAGAAGAAGATGGGAAATAGGCAAGACATATCATGATACGCCGACAGATCGGCTATTGGTCGAGGCTGGTCTCCAGGTATCTTCCTGCCTCGTACCCGGAGGCAGCCAGCCGGCGCTGCTGTTACCCCTGACACGCCCACGGGTAGAACTGGGTGGCTCGTCAGCCTTCTTGGAGTCGTCCTTGGACGAGAAAGACGCGAAATAGCTGCCCTCGTTGTATGGGTGGGCGCTCGAATCGCCAGCAGTAGGCGTGGCATGACTGTTGCCATCGTGATGCGAAGTGTTGATGGGTAGCAGCGGGGTAGGCGTTGCCGTCTGGGCCATCATGCGTACGCGTCGGTCGGCCTTGTTGCTCTCGTTCGTTCGGTCGTACAGGTAGAGGCCGAGAAAGGTTAGGGCAATGCCCAGGGCCTGGATGGGCGTCGTGGGGCTGCGGAACCAGATAATGGCCAGGACAATGACAAAGACGCGCTTGATGAGACTGGCAACAGAATACGTGACGGGCGAGACCATGGACAGGAGTACAAAGGCCAAGAGGTTCTGTGCGAAATGACATATACCGTTGAAGACAAACTCAAGACCCAGGCGCCCATGGTCCATAGCGGTGGGTGTCTGCGCGAGGTCGATGGAACCGTCGTGCAACACGTCGCGCAGGAGCGAGAAACCCTCGGTCCACAACCAGATTGGCAGCGTCAGGATGAATGCCATTCCCGACGAGTAGCACAGCAGGTTGAGTTTATCGAGCTTCTTGCTGACCTGCTGGCTGGCCGCGTTGTTGTCGTTCTCAGCCTTGGCGGCCTCGTTGAAGAGCTTCTTGGAGAAGATGTTTTGTGTGACAAAGATAAGGGTGGCCAGCAGGGCCTCGACGATGCCGAGAAATTCGCCGCCCAGCCCGTGCTTGCCCGAGCAGGCTAGCATGACACCCAGCGTCAGGGGGACGAGCGACAGGTATGTGGCCCTGGGGTAGCGGATATCGTAGATGACGCGATAGGCCAGGACAGTAAAGAGGGGCGACAAGCCCTTGATTGTGTGAACGAGGGAGACGGGAATTTTGGCGGTAGCCGTCGAGCTCAGCAGATGCCCAAAGATTTGAAAGGCAGCCAGGGGCAGCGTCGTGACAATGACATCTTTTGAAAGCGGGCGAATGGGGTATCGTAGGGCGGTAATGCGTTGGCGCAGATGGGGAAAGATGACGGCCAGCTTGGCGAGGAGGATGCACAGTGACGAGACGAAGCCGAACTGTATCAGGGTCAGAGTCGCGGGCATATTAAGCGCGTTGAGAATCGACTTGGACGAGGTGTTTGTCAGAGCCGACGACGTGTACCACATGAGGCAGAGGATCTGTCAAGAACGAACGAGGTTAGCAAGCGGGAGGGCGAGAATGGAGAAAGTTCTCATATAGCTCACAACTAGTTTGGGAGAGAGCGGTGCGCGTAGAGCATCGGCAATCTCGTGAGCATTCTGGCCAACGCTGCCATTACGAGCCCGTATCGTGCGGAAGGCATCTGTGAGGCTCTTTTGGCGACCATGACGGCCAATGCTGGTGTGGCCTGATGGAGACCAGACAGCACTGCTGTTCTCTCTCTGGGGAATGTTGAGCTTCATGCGCTGCTGCTGCTGCTGCTGTTGTTGGTGATGTTGAGAGCTGTTTCCGTCGCCACCAGCAGAGCCATTGCTGGTGAGCGGGGCGTCGATGTGATCAGGGAACTTCTCCATGCCGTGATGTGAGTGCGAGTGTGGGCGTATGGGAGAATATATGGTTTGCCGCCTGGCAAGGGCGGCAGTATATGTTGTTGCCGGTTGTTCAGTTGTTTCGCGTCTTCTTTCCTGGTCGCAGTCGTTTCTGCCTGATTGTTATCCCCAAGGGGCGGACGGATGATGAAACTGGTGACTCTGTTGACGACAGTTGTCGTTTGGGGGGGTAGGGGTGGGAAAACGAGCGACTGAGGGTAGCGTAGCGCAAAGCGTTGATCAGGCCAAGATAAAACCGATGGAAGGGGACAACGAATAGGAAAAGATTAGCCTGGATGAGAAAAGATCATGGCTTGATTCAAGAGAGTGGACAGCTCGAGAGGATACAGAGGAAAAAGAGAGGGGAAAGTGTTGCGTGTAAAGTGGCGATCAGAAAACAGCAGACAGAATATGTGTGGTGTCAGCTTTTGGGAGGGAAGGCGCCATCCAGTCGCCGCATCCAGGCAAAACGGCAAGAGCAAAGCCGTACGGTACATGTATTAGACTCGAAGGGGCAGGGCGGCGCCTTCCGGCTCTTCGGTTTCTGGATTAGTGGAGTTTTTGTTTCTAGTGTCAGATGCGCTGTGTGCGCCGTTGTATCGCTGTAGATGCCTGGTAAACTGCACGTCCTCAAGTACATGTACGAGACTGCCCGCGCGTTGCACCCGCTATAACACCCGCTAATCTGCTGCACACTCTGTGATGCCGTCATGGTTGTCATGTCGTTTACCCATACTTGCGCCGTGCATAAACTCCCCTGTAAATGAACACCCCTGTCAATTATAGCCAAACAGTAAACTCCATGGCCCGTCGCAATGTACGAGTAATATGCATCATCCAGCCTGTATTAATCCATATTAATACGGACCGTCTAGCTGCAGCACCGGGGCAGCGAGTCAGGGACCCGCTATTACTGTATTCCCTCTTACCCTGTTTCGCTCTTTCCCTGCCGACAATTACACGCACTTGCCTTCACTCGTCCTCACTTACTCACAGCGCAGGCAGGAGCCCCCGAGGTTCCAGTGGAGAATATCCGTAGATTTACCGAAACTCGGTAGAGAACTTACCCGGTACGAAAAACCACGGTCGCGACCAATTCTCCACCAAAACTTCAATCTGGGAAGCATCACCAACCTGATCCCCTCCATCTCCCACACGTCTATCTCTCACCACACTCTACCCTCTCACCCTGGAATGAGAGACCCTCGAAGACACATCTTCTCAATCATTGTACTATACGCTATATTCCAACTGTCCACCCAGGCCTTGAATCCAGCCTCGTTCCAGAATCGGTGGTGGAACGGCAGTAGAAGCTCTTCAAGTAGCTCGCCTAGCGCCGTCGCCGCCGCGTCCCAATCGCCATCATGGCTGCCGCAAAATTGACCAAGAATCAGATGAGGAGGGCCAAGAAGAAGGAGCAGAAGAAAATAGCAAAGGAAGAGGTGTGTTTCCCCCGGAGAACGCGCGTGGCCGACGCACGCGCATGTGCTTTTTCTTTTTCCTTTTCCGTCGCGGATTTATAACTGACGTGAAAAACTTTCATCCAGATCAAGGACAAGCCGACAGAATCACAATCCCCTGCCCCCGAGAATGAAACAGAAAAACATGAAGAGGACCTCTCGGTAAAAAAGGATGAGACGAAACAGCAGCAGCCTCCCGTGATACTGAGCGTGGACAAGATGGACGATGCCGACAACGATGCTTACGCCATGTACCGCGACATCTTCGCCAAGTTCGGCGCCAGCGCCGACGAGGATGAGGTGGCCAAGGAGGCCAACGCAGGCAACCAGGGCAGCGTCTTCTTCGATGACGACGACCAGATACCCGACGAAGATTCGGACGGCGAAAACGGGCAGCAACAAAAGCTGTCCAAGAAGAAGCGCAAGCAGCTGACCAAGCTGTCTGTGGCAGAGCTGAAGGCGCTGGTGCGCATCCCCGAGGTGGTTGAGTGGCACGATGTGTCATCGACGGATCCGCGGCTGCTGGTGCAGATCAAGGCCCAACGCAATGTGGTGCCTGTGCCGACGCACTGGTCTCTCAAGCGCGAGTACCTGTCGTCGAAGCGTGGCATCGAAAAGGCACCCTTCCGCCTGCCCAGCTTTATCGCCGAGACGGGTATCACGGAGATGCGCGACGCCACTCTCGACAAGCAGGCCGAGCAGTCGCTCAAGCAGAAACAGCGCGAGCGTGTGGCCCCCAAGATGGGTAGAATCGACATTGACTACCAGAAGCTCTACGACGCCTTCTTCCGTTTCCAAACCAAGCCCGACCTCACGCGCTTCGGCGAGGTCTACTACGAAGGCAAAGAGACAGAGGTCGACTACCAGCACTTCCGACCGGGTGACCTGAGCGACGCCACCAAGGAGGCGCTAGGCATGCCCCCCGGGGCCCCGCCCCCCTGGCTCATCAACCAGCAGCGCATCGGCACCCCTCCCTCGTACCCTACTCTTAAGCTACCCGGTCTCAACGCGCCTCCTCCCCCCGGCGGCTCCTGGGGCTTCCACCCCGGCGGCTGGGGCAAGCCCCCGGTAGATGAGTATAACCGTCCACTCTACGGCGGTGACGTCTTTGGCCTGACAGGCGCCCCCCAGCAACAGGGACAGCCCCAACAGCAGCAGACGGCCCAGACGCTCGACCAGCCGCTCCTCGCCGAGCCTGTCGAACGCAACCTATGGGGCGAACTGCAACCCCGCGTTGACGAGTCAGAAGAAGAGGAAGGCTCGGACGATTCCGACGACGAAGAGGATGAAGAGGACGACGAGAACGAGGGTCGTCCTACAGTGGATCCCTCCGGCCTTGAAACGCCCTCTGGCCTCGAGACCCCGAGCGCCGAGTATCCCGCCTCGGGTGTCGAGACGTCCATCGCCGGCGAGATGGATCTGCGTAAGCAGCGTCGCGGGTACGAGACGGAAGAGTCGTCTGCCCCCCGATCGGCGTACACCGTCCTGCCTGAGCGCAAAGTCCGCGCGGAGGGCTTCTTCGGCAGCGGTCACGCCTATGACATCCCTACTGCTGCGCAGCAACACCCCATCCTTGGTGCAGGCGAAGAGCGTAAGCGCAAGAAGCCCGGAGACGTTGACGTTGCCCTGGATCCGGATTCACTCCAGTCTGCCGACGGTATCAACCGCGATGACCTGCGTCGCAAGTTTGAAGAGAGCAGACGCGATGAGGGTATCGGAGCCAAGTGGACGTATGATGATGACCTCTCCGAGATGATTGCCCAGGAGAGTCGTAAAAGGCAACGCACAGAGCAGGAGAGGAATGAAAAGAAGAAGGAGTCGAAGTATAAGTAGTAGTAATTGTCCCGGTTTTCTTGATACAACAAATGTGTAAATATCCTGGCGTTTGCATATTTCTTTTCGCTTCGTTTTTTTGTCTGGTCTGCTGGCGTTGGCGGGGGAGAAACCAACGTGTTTACTAATATGTATCAAACCGACCCATCGTTGTACTCCTTTTTGTGCTCTTCATTGCCATATATATCTTTTAAGTGTCCTTGTTTGCTCGAAGAGAAATGTGTAGTTGCCACTGAACAGAACTACTTCTTCGTATATCGTAGGAAATAATAGAAAGCATCACAGCTTTGGAGGACGTCTTGCCCTATGGCAGGGTTGATTTCGCGCATATTTAGTTTTGCTATCCTTCGACCGTCCTTTGAGAGCTGCCCCCTTTTTACTGCGACTCCCGGTCACGACAGCATCCGCGTCATGCTGCGGTCCGTTCGCCTCCTCCCTCTTCTTCCACTTCTTGCCTCCCCTCGACGCAGATTCTCCGCTCTATGGAGTTGTACGTGCGCTGTCAATCGTGGTTCGGCACTCACTGCATTGCCAGCTCAACTTGCCAGCTCTTGTCGTCGGAGCCCGCGACACGCACTGGGAATGGAAGCGGCCAGCCAAGCATTTCTGGTAGCAAATTAGCTCTTCATTCTTAACAATAGCAATGGCACAAAAGGGGGACATAGCTGTCTTACCTTGTTGGAACATATGAGCGTCCGCGGGCCGTTGAGGACGGGTAGCCCGCATACGCTGCAGCCACTGGCGCTCTTGCCAACTGGGATCATCTTGTCTGCCGGCTCCGGACTTCGTCGACTTGTTCCGTTTTTGTTCTCTTGACCGCCGTCTACTTTGGATGTTGTCCCCATGATATCCCGCCTGGCCCGCGCCTGCCCAATATACCCTGCCGCCTCCTGGATGTGATCAATGTTAATCAGTCCGGTGGCCACCAGGTAGCTCTCGTGCATCCCGAGCTCCTGCATGCGGTAATTGGCCTCGATGAGCCAACTGGCCTTCTCCTTGACAAATCTCAGCCATGCTCGCGGGAAGTACAGTTGTGCCGAGATATCCTGCTCGCGCATCACGTCGTCAAATTCCTTGATGTACTCGAGTTCGGCTGCTGTCACATCCACCACGTCGTCGAGGTTGTGATGGTGTTTGTGGTGGAACCACTGCTTCTCGACAACGGGTTTGGGCACCTCATCTCCGACCTTGAGCTCCTGCTTGCTCACGGGGTGATAAAAGATGTTACGCGTTGGGGGTATCGTCGTGGCCTCCTTTCTGGGACACGTCTTGGTTGATGCTCTGGTCTTGTCCGACTGTTTCAATGTATGTTTGCCCGAAGGAGCAACATTGGCACTGTTAGCTTTATGGGCCAAGTCGGAGCCGTGGCCGATATCATCCAGATGAGACGGCTCCAGCAGCTGATCCCCCGCGACAAAAGTCTCGAAGTTAAAGGACCGCTGTGGATAGCAGAACGAGAACGACTTGGAAGGGCTGTCGGGAGAGTCTTCTCTGTTGGAGACATGAAATCGAGGCCCTTGAACCGTCGTTTCCAGTTTATAGTCGTAGTCTGAGTGGGATAACTGCAGATGAATCTGAAGGTGCTTTAGGGATTGATGGAACCGTCCGCAATTTACACAACGGAAACCATCGACGCAGACGGGCTCGTCGGGCGGAAGGAAATAGTGAACCCGCCCCCCGTCAATATTCATCGGCATGCCAGATTTCCCCGGCTTCCGCTGCTTCCCATGTGCCATGTCACTCAGTGTCTTGAGGTTGTAGTTCTTATCGCCCCCCCTGGTCCTCAGCCCCCGTGACGGAGTGTGGTCGCCGTTGGTGCCGTCATGGTTCTTGTGCGTCCTCGGCCCCCGCGAAGGCGTACGTTTGCCGCCATTGATATCGTCAATGCCGTGTTGATTTTCGTACGGGGCGGCCGTCTGGTGGTTGTCCCCTGCTGACACGTCTTCTCCCCAGTGCCCGTCTGCAACTGACACACCAGAGTCTTCCGTCACAAGCTCCTTAGAATCATCCTCCAGGGTCCCAGACTCCATGGTTCCGGACGACCACTGAAGATCAACATCAAGTTCGTAGTCAGTCTCGTATGTGGACTCGTCCATATAAGACGCCGTGACCAGAGACAGCGGAGCCTTGAGACGGCCAAAGAGCCGGTCAAAGGGACTCGAAAAAGACCAGTTCTGGGTCGTCGACGAGGCCAGGGCTAGTGAGGGGATACCAGTCAGGTCTTCAAGGTTGAGAGGAGGCCAGTCAATGCCATCGGTTGGCTCGATTTCGACTAATACCTTGTACGAATCGCCAAAATCGTAGGTAGCGTCATCAGGGCGCTTGATCATTAGGCTTTCGCGTGGGATGTAGAAGGGACGGGGAAGCTCAACCCTAGCGACACGATGAGGATCGGCTGGGTTCCTGAAGGTGACAATAACGCATGACTGACTCTGACAGTGTAGCACCTTTGGACGGCTGAACGACACATCCGAGATCGTGATCCTGCACATGGCCTTTGTGGATGCATCGGGTGACACGACGGCCCCGAAGTTGTGAAGAACATTTAAGGCGTCTTTGTGATAACACCGGAGGATCTCAAGACGCAGCACGTGCTGTGGTACTGACAGTCTCGGAACGTCGATCAGTTTCTCCGCATCACGAGTGGGTGTAGAGAGACGACGACGCTTTTTTGGCCGTTCGCCATTTGCAATTAGCAAAGCATCGCTATCTCGACTCGAAAGTACCGGCGATCCAAACGCTCCACTAAAGGCATTTATTGCACGGGCGAAATTTCGCTTGATGAACGGAAGCTGAGGTTGGCGTTGGCCTTCCGCAGTCATGACGGGACAAGTGCCGGCGGCCAGAAGGGAGAGAGAAAGAGCTCAGATATTACACGGCCGTAGGACGCAGCGCATCGTACACTGTCGAACCTTTCGGAAAGAACAGATGCTTGAACGGTTTGTGAATGAACAGAGGACGCGTCGCCCAATGTTGGTCCAAGCCCCTTTTCACCTGGCCCAAGCCACGATAGTTGGACGGAACACAGATGACAAGCTGCGATACCAAAACGAGGGGCCAAAGGTGCGAAAAATAAGAGGTCGAGTTGTGTGAATAGCGAAGATGTTTGAACACAAGAGAAGTTTTGTGAATTGCTACAACTCAGTGGCAGGAAAAAGGTGAATGAGTTGAGTGTGATAATAGAACCCAATCGACCGTCCTTCTCAGAGACGCGTCAGGGATCCGCGTTTTAGAGAGCAGAGAAGCGTAGTCGATGATATAAATAAAATAGAGGAATACCCCGAACAGACAGATGCAGTTGATGATGAAAATTCAACGAGATGCAATGGCGTCAAATGATGTCGTTGAGATGATTTTTTTTTTTTTCAGGGCGAGACGAGACGAGGTGTCTGATGAGTCGCGCTACAAATGTGAGTAAAGGATGCTTGGGAGCAGCAACGGGCCAACCGATGACCCAATGGGGGCAATAGTTACGCAGGGACGAGGATCCACTTCGCCAAGAAAATGCAGGTCGACCATTGGCGTTGGGACGAGATGTTTATTTTACAGTTTGTTGACGAAGAAATGTGTACATAGAGGCAAACAAAATGGAGATGATGTTGATTATGTTGATCCAGGGGAGAAAAAGAGGAGAAGAGAGATATCGAAAGGAAAGGGCAGATCGTGGTGTAAGGGAAGGCGCAAGGGCCGCACCTGCCGCGCCTTATACATTTTGTATAAGCGGCAAGAGAAGTGGGTCCTGACGCTCCTTCCGCAGCTTTGATAAAACGGCGGAAGGTGCAACCTTATGCCTGCGGATCTCGACACTGATTGGCCATTTGTCATCTTCATCCGCAGCCTTCCTCTCAGCCTTGCAGACGTCCCAACTGCAGTCATTGACTTGGTCGACTTCTTCTCTTCTTCATGCCTTACTATTTTTTTCTCTGCTGTAGCCTTGCCTTGTGCTAAATCCTTTCTTGGCATCATTCTTTCAGATCGCATGACCTTTAGTGGTTAGCATCTTCTTCCTCTTATTTTTTCCTACAATCTACGGTCTGTACCGTGACCTTGTTTTGACCATTCCGCTTGCCCCGCTGCCGCATCTCGCGTGCATGCGTCACAACAGCCGACACGGTTTGCGCCTCCGTGAGTAGAATCGCGTGTGGTCAAGGACATCATCTGGCCTTTATTTACGACTATACGGTGCCTCTGTTCCATATATTTGCTTACTTCGGTCTCTCTAGAAGCTGCGCATCGCCGTATTCATCATGACCCGTTCACGCCCAGCCGCCAATGCGACGGCCTCATCGGATATATCACGGCGAACAAATCTTGCCCGTCGCACACGACCCAAAAACTTCTACGTCGGTGATTCGGATGGATCCGACGAACCAGAGGAAGATTCCGAAGATACCGATCCAGTCGACGATGGTGATGACCAAGGTGTATTCCAAGCCGAGTCGTCGCAGACGACGAAAGGCTCTCCACGCAAACGCACTACCAGGTCCCAGCCAGTGTCCAAGCCTTCCACCGCCAAGAGCTTGCTTGGTGCGAAGAAACATAGTCGTCAAGAATCAAGAACAACACCCGCAAAAATTAAACGACCACGCACGCAACCCGATAGCGCATTCCGGAGACCAGAGCCCAAGGCGATACTAAATCCTGCTAAGCCCGCCGTGGCACCAGACTGGCTCAGCCCTGCAATACCATATTCGGCCTGGGTCGACATATTCTATTATGCAGCCGTGTCTGGTGGGATTCTAGACAATGGCTGGCTTCTCCGCGCTGCCACGATATGTAGGGCGTTTTCTGAACCTGCTCTTACCACTCTGTACAAAAGCCCATCTCCTCGGACTACCATCAAGGCCAAGAAGCTTGCCGGGCTCCTGGAGCGTCCTGTTTCGGAGACTCTTTTCAACTATCCCGTCAAGGTCGAGTCACTCTACGTAGACATCGAAAAGTTTCCCCTGGGACTCCTAGCCCAGGTTGTCCACCCGCTGCGACGGTTGAAAGAACTGGTCATCTACACGCCCCTCGATCAACCACCCTATCGTGATCTTGACAAAACGATACGTTGGCACTATCCACAAGGTTTGTTCAATGCTCTCGGTCCTCTAGAGTCCGAGGATGAGAGCACACTACCTATCATGCTCAAGAGCTGGGAATGGAGCAGTCGTCTTCTTGGTGGCACCATATCCGACATGGACGGCATCACCAGGATCCACCAGCTGCCATCATTTTCTCGTCTGGCAAAGCTCAGCTTCACCAACTTTCAAGTTCCGTCCCTTAATAAGACCGATGTCAAGCCTGGCGATGAAATTGGCGAGATGCAACTGTGGGAAGAGGATGGTGAGGCGATCAATGCCGTCGCCAATGCCATCACTCACGTTCCAGAGCTGAAACATCTCACATTCGAGTCGTCAACAATAATGAATGACCGCTTGCTTCCGTCTCTGCCCAGGAACCTGAGGCGCCTCGATCTCATAAACTGCTGGGAAGTCAAGTCGGACGATCTCTCGCAGTTTCTGCGCACGCACGGCGGCAACATGCGATCCCTGGTCCTTTTGCATAACCAGAGTCTAGATTTGGGATTCCTGACTGATCTGGCCGAGACAGCACCCAATCTGGCAGAGCTGCAGATAAACATGTCGTACTATCGACATCACGAATCAGTCGACGATTCGGATCCCATGTACGATCAGGCACTGCTACCGACGCAGGTGCCTCTGTGGCCCGAGAGTCTGCGCCAGCTCGAGGTGGAGAATGTGCGACAGTGGTCCGTCGAGGCAGCCGAGGTGTTTCTCCAGTCTCTTGTCGACAGCGCGCCCAACCTGCCCAACTTGCGGCATCTGAGTATCAAGACGATGCTCAACATCCCCTGGCAGAGGCGCGCCGAGCTTCGACATGTATGGACCGAGAGGCTCGAGCGTGTGTTTCTGCGTGTAAGTGATCCTCCCCTACCACGCACCTCGCTCCGATCCGGCACGGTCGAGGGCGAGGACACAAATGCGATGAGCACTCTCATGAAGCGCCGCAAAGAACCGGGCACGCCGTCTCGTCGCAGCGACAGGATCGCTGCCACCAAATCCGACGATGACAAGGCACCACGATCTCTACGTGGGAAACGTAGCAGTAGACCACATTACCGTGAACCCGACACAGATGAAGAGCAGGAAGACGAAGATGAAGAATCGTCTGCTGAGTCTGCTTCTGCCACTGCTGAGAAGGAGAAAGAAATGTTTCCCATTCAAGGATTATGCAAAACCGTGGTGACGAAATTTGACAATCAAAAAGTGCGAGAGCTTCAGTACGGAATGGAGGATTTCAATGACGATGATGATGAGTCGTCTGGCGATGAGTGGGATGGTGATGATGACGAAACTGACGAAGCAATCTTGTATTGGAGATGATTTACTAGCCTACTAAGATCTTTTATCCCCCCTCCTTTCTTTTTTATTGTTGAATATTTTTTTACTCTAACTCATGATTGACACACGTTCTCTTCTCTCTTTAGAGATCATTAATAACACATTGGTTCATGTTATGGAAATACGCAAAACATTGGATCTAGTCTTGCGATGGCATCAAGTACTAAGTACAGGGTAAGTCAAGTGGTATTAATTCTACTCGTACAGCCACAACTCCATCCGCTGATAAAAAGCGTACTTCGTACATGCGACAAAGACTAGCTAGGTTCGGATGTATTTTGTTTCTACAAAAAACCAGAAAGACCGATAACTCAAAAGGCTGCTCCTCCCATGCCCTCCCCGGCAAGATTCTTCATACTCCTCTCACTCAAGTCGCTCCTCATCTCCCAAGCCCGGGACTCCCTGCCCAGTCTGTCCCAGAGGTAGAGATTCTTGCGCAGCCTCTCGGACTTGAGGCGCAGCTCCTCGCGCATCCTATCCTCCTCATCGCGGAGCTTCTTGTAGTGGGGCTCCAAGTCGCGCGTGACGCCCGAGATGAGCGGCGCCATCGAGCTATCCAGCTTTCCACCGGGGATGATGGGCGGCATGGAGGCCATCATGCTCTGGGCTAGTGTCGGGCGGGGCGGGGGAGGGACGGAAGATGCTGACGAGGCGGAGATGGCGTTGGGGCCGGCCGCCGGCCCAGTGGGCGGGTTGAACGGTCGTCCCTGCGTAGGTGTCGTGGTTGCCCGGGGACCGGTGGGCACGTTCGGCGCGTTCTGGTTGTTCCACCCGCTACTGGGGCGTGAGAAGCTGCCCCGTGAGGAAGGGGGTACGTAGCCTCTCGGCCCGGCAGGCGGAATGGTAGGACTGCTGTCGGAGCGTGGCAGGGAAGGCTGCTTCGGGGTCACAGTCGACGAGAGGGATGGCTTGCGTGTCGCCGCTGGGCCAGTAGGCGGAGCGCCTCTCAGCGCTGCCGGGCCACGAGGCGGGGACCGGACCTGTGCCGGCGCGGGACGCACGGGAGGTGCAGCAGGTGCAGAGGGGGTTTGTTGTAGTATCGTGGCGGGCGACTGCTCGCCCGATGCGAGTGGTGATTTGCCCGCACGGATTGATGCTGGTCGCGGCGACGCCCTCTGTGAAGCGGGCTGTGAGTTGTTGTTATTGTTGTTGAATGTCGACGAATCTCTTTGCGGCGGTGGCGGCGATATCCTGTACGACTGGTACCGGCGTCTGCTTGGTGACCGGGACGGACGATATGAGCCTCCTCGCGGTCCTGGTCCTCCTGCAGATGGGGGAGTTGGGCTCCTCTCGCGGCGGTGCGCAGGCGGCGACCAAGATCGTTTTCTGTATCGCGTGTTAGCACTCCGCGTCTTCTTTTCCCTTCTGTTCTGAAGGAGATTTCGTAGGAAAATAAAAGGAAAACTCACCTATCATCTCGTCTGTCCATATCGCGCGACCGATCCCTCGACCTCCAATCTCTCCCACCACCACCCCACTCCCGTCTTGGCGGCGGAGGTGACCGCGGTCTCTCGTACCTATCACCCCTGGGCGACATGACCCTGCGTCTATGTGGCATGGGCATAGGCGGGCCGGGTGACCTCCTGCCTCCCGGCCCTCCAGGTCCGGGCGACCTCCGTCTCAGCGGTGGCGGACTATCCCGATCTCTCGACCTGTTATCTCTTCTGTACCTGTCTCCCATGCCACCGCCGGTCAGAGATGATGACGGCCCTGAGGGGAGCGGCGGAGGTCCTCTGCTCGATGATCGTCGGCGTGACGACCTCGGTGGTGGTGGGCCATACCGTCCAGGAACGTAGCTGTCTGATCCGCCAGAGGGGAGGGGGCTGCGTGGGCGTTCACGGTCACGATCACGGTCACGATCACGGTCACGGTCACGGTCACGGTCACGATCACGGTCACGGTCACGGTCACGGTCGCGGCTGTCTCTCCTATCGCGACTACCCCTCCTATCACGACTGTCCCTCCTGTCGCGGCTATCCCTTCTGTCGCGGCTGTCTCTTCTGTCGCGGCTGTCACGTCCGATAGGGCTCCTGATTCCGCCGCCGCCGCGTCGCGGATGAGGGGGGGGTGCGAGTGGTGGTGGCGGGGATCGTTCGCGCTCGCCTCCTCGTGGTGTCGGACGCCATGATTCTCCTGCGCCGTATCGGACGACTTCGCCGTCGTCGAACCTGGTAGCCGTCAGTGTTCCGAGACGGAAGAGTAGATATATACATTGAGAAAATGAAGAAACTCTCACCTTCTGCCACGATCCATTGTGACAGGCGCAGAAGTGACAGGCGCAGAAATAGTCGGATGCTGTGTCGTATCAAACAATCAATGCTTCGCGACGTGAATTCAGGGTCTGGAAAGAGAGGAATTGACGGATATTCCATTTTTCCGTAGTCCAAGAGCCGTGTATATAATAGTATGACACTGTACCTCACGCACCGTACCACGATAGCCTCTAATACCGCCAAGTAATACATACAGTGACAACTTACATCCAACTACAACGCAACTCTTAGAGACACCCAATCTATTTTCATTAAAAAACAAAAACAGATCTGTGGAAAGTAGCAAGTATAGTAATGAACACGATCTCAGCACTGTTGTCGTAACATTAAACCCCCCAACCCCCCCCCCCCCCCCAAAAAAAAAAAAAAAAAAAAATCTCATACTCCTTAACCGCCAACAGTGATACTCATCATAGCCAAATAGTCCTTCATAAAAAGAAGAAACAGGGTGATCTGAGAAATTAATGTTGGATGCTAGGAAAGAAGAACCAGATTATGCTCCCTCGTTATCGTCATCTTCCTCTGTCGTCTCCCCCGAACTATGATCCGTCACTCGTTCCAGGATCCACTCGTGCGCTTCTGCCGCATGCGTCCGCATCATTCTATTAAGGCCATGGGCAGGGCTCCTCACGACGGATCCAAAACGACGCTTGTTCACCTTGCGCATCAGATCCGGGTCAGACCAGCAAGCGTGGTCCCCTGCCACGTAGACCCGCGAGTTGTCCTTGTACCATGCCGACAAGCGCTCGTCAATGTCTGACTTGACGGGGCGGAGATTTCCCGTGACGAAGTTGACGATGCCAGAGATGCGTTCTTTGCATTCTGCAGTCAGAGTGTTAGCCTAGTATCAGCAGAGGGTGGAAGCATGGAAGAAAAGAGGAAGAGATAAGGGGACTAGACTGACCCCTGTTGACCAGGAGAACCTTGACGCCGAGATAGGCGTTGCCCACGCCCATGAGGAAAATCTCATCTGCACTAAACATCTGAATATAATTGTCCCAGAGATAGCACACCAGAGACGTGATTTGCTGCTGGAGCTCTTTCTCATTCAACTTGGGGATAAAGGGGTCCATGTCCTCGTCCTGCGTCAGGTAGGCGGGGACATTGATATCCATGACGCCGAAGCCCTCCTTGACAGCCCAGTCGATATAGTCGGTGACGCCGTCGACGACCCACGAATTGTGTGGTTCGAGCGTCGTGTCTACTACATCTGGCTGGGCGAGTAGTTGGGGGCTGGGTTGTCCGACAAGTGTCAGCATATGCAACGGAGAAGAGAGATGGCGGCAAATATAGTAAGGAACAAAGAAGAGGCGGAGGTAGAAACTCACGGATCATGTATGATGACCAACACCTTCTTTGCCCCATCGAGACTTGGCGTGACAAGAACCTGATTTTCAAAGGACCGATATATATGTTCCCTCTGGACGTACAGAGGCGTCATGTTATGCTTCCCCTGGAGCGTCTGCCGCTGAGCAGTACGGATCACATCGTGCAACCTCTCAGCACCGAGCGACTGGACGTCCGGAACGTCCACGACGCCCGAGCGCATACACTCCCAGTAGGGGGCTTGGTATGCACGGACGTTGGCAATGGTCCGGGCAGCCTCCTTGTTGATCTTGGGGAGTACGTCCATGCGTGGCGGGGGCTCGCCCATGAGCGTCTTGGCAACGGCGACGGCTGAGTCCGAGATGGCTCGCAGGTTATATCCGCCCTCGAGACAGACGGCCACTTTGCCTCCGGCCAGTGACATGAGCATGTGCGTCATATGGGCATAGCAGGTGGGAGAGACGAAGCAGCCGCCCAGCTCGTCGCCGTCGGCGGCGTCGAAACCGGCCGATATGACCACCAGGTCCGGATTGAACTCGTGGGCGATGGGCATGACAATCTTCTGGAAGGCAGCCATGTACTCTCCATCGCCCATACCCTGGTCGTGCCAGGGAATGTTGACGTTGCGGCCTAGGCCCATGCCCATGCCGCACTGGTCAATGCCGCCGTCGGGCGTCATGGGGTTGGGCGGCTTGCCCGGGTAGAAGTGGCCATTCTGGTAGACGTGCAGCGAGATGTAAAGGACGTTGGGGTCGTCATAGAATATGTTTTGGACGCCGTTCCCGTGGTGCACGTCCCAATCGAGGATTAGCACCTTGCGGCACGTCTCGGCGTAATCGGCCTGGCACACACGCACAGCCACGGGCACGTTGTTGAAGATGCAGAAACCCATGGGGCAGTCGAACTCGGCATGGTGACCGGGAGGGCGAATGACGGCAAATGCGTTTTTGACTCTTGAGTCGACGACGGCCTTGCACGTCTCGATGGCGCCGCCCGCCGACAGCCTGGCTACAGCGTGCGACATGGCGCCAACGTACAGCGACTCGCGGCCCTGGTCGTAGCGCTTGGTCAGTTCGCGCAGCTCGGCCGTGCTCATCGTGTCAAGGCTCTCGACCCATGCCAGGTGCTCGGGCGAGTGCGCCAGGCAGATTTCGCCACGCGTGGCATTGCGTGCCGGGATGCGCCACATGTACCGCGTGGGCGTGCGCTTGAGAATCTTGGGCAGCTCTGACTGTGGCCCCGTGTACACGAGTCCGTTGCGCTTGAAGGCCTCAAAGATCTCGTGGATCCGCCGTGGGTCCTCAGGGTGGTGAGCGTTAGGGCTGAAGTCGGCATTCATGTGCATCTTCATCCGCACGTCGTAACAGCATCCTGTCGGAAGCAGTCCGCGGCGTTGCAGCTGCTCAAGGGCCAGTCCCTCGGCGTCAGCGTCTGTCTCTTGATCGGCGTAGTCTTCATCAAACGTCACTTCTTCCGGTCCTCCTCCGTCTACCGCTGCAGCAGCTTGGTTGTGGTTCTCGACGCCATTCGCAACCTGCTGCTGCTGTTGAACGATATCATATCCCATCCGGTGATCATCCTCATCCATCTGTTGGTCCACATCCATGACTGGCCACCGTGGCCGCAGGAGAGCAGGTCAGGGTCAGGCCCAGGGCAGAAAGAGAAGCGAGGAGAAAAGGGGAAGAAGGATTAATAATTGACTCCAGGAATACACAAAGTACAGCTCTGTCGGTTGAGAAATTGGTATCTAGATGAGAGAGTGATTTGTTAGTAATCCCAACATCGCCTTGAAGCAGGCACAACAGGCGGCGAGAACGCCTAATACAGCCAAGAAAGATGGTATAGAGGAGAAATTTCGGCATTGCAATTCGCATGCCTCGAAAAAGGCTTGTACAAAGTCTTGCATTCCATGAACATACCCAAGATTTGGGTGATAAATGAGCTGATGCCTCACCGCGCACACGTGTGCTGCGCCGCAAAGCGCATATGTAGCCGAAAGCCAGAGCCCAAAGATAGATATACAAGACTATTTTTATGCAGAAAAAGATGAAGGGCTGACATGGGGAGGTTGTGTTTGTGAAGGCAGATTTGGGAGGAGATAGGAAGTTGTGTTTTTGTTGTGGATTCAGGTGAATGTTTTCCAAGAACTCCCGCGGGGGGAGGAGAGGGAGGGGGGAGGAGGAGTGCTGCTGCCTTTTATTCCTTATTTTTTTTTAAGCGGGTGGTTACTGTCAAACTGAACAAGCGTCCATTGAGAGCACTTTGATCATCCACGAAAAAAAAAAGATAACAGAAATGTATTCATCAGGAGAAAAGGATTGTATTCGATAATTGATAATAAACATGGTTCAATTGTAGACAGTATATTTGCTACCGATCGATTCACAAGATTCCGTTAGAGGGTAATACAATCTGATGCGGTCTCGGGTGAGTCGCGACTGATTGAGTCTACCTCAATTACTCTACAACCATCGCCAGGATATCTTTCATCAATACCATCTCCTACAAGAAAGAAACACACATATATCCAGCTAGACGAGGATATCTGACAAATCCTACCTCGTCCCAATGGAGAATGGCGATGCAACTGCCGGCCCTCTGTCTAGGGCAGCATGGCGATAGTACACATCCTCCAGACACGATCCATCGTCACCCCGTGGAGAGTACTGCGAATGCGACCTGATAAACTTGGCGCCGTCAGGGAGAGATCCATCTGGGCTGCCGTCGTTGCCGTACGTCACCCTCTCCCCGTCACGCTCGTCGTCAAAGTCAATCACTCCGCCGGCCCGATCTTCGGCCAGGCTGATGACCTTGTCGAGCCATTGTCGCTCGTCCAAGACGCACCGTACCGCCACTTGGATCGACTCCTGATCAGAGCAAAGAGTCGGGTGGTGCAGCTGGATTTCGCTGATGAGACGTTTTCGGGGGTAGCTGTAGATGTTCTCGAAGTAGTACATCAGCTCCCGGGGCCCGAGCTTGACGTACGTTTTGACGATCCTACTCCATCTGCTCTGGTCGTCCCAGCTCTCTGACAGAGACTGGCCTCGGTCGACGCTGTCAATCAGAACAGGCTGGTCTTGCATTGCATGGCTCTGCTGGTTAGGGTCTAGCCTCGGGCAGATGTAGTGCAGAATCACGTCCTTCATCGTCTCCACCAGATCCATTAACTCGAGCAGCTCGCTGGTCGAGCGATACCGCAGCAGGCTCGTCCTGATGTCGTCCGCGTGCGGCTCAGGAAGCCCGATGCGTGGCCTTGGAAAGTTGCCGTGGAAGTAAATGCCGTACAACCACCAACAGTAAAAGGCCCGGCGAAATCGCTCCTTTTCGTGCTGCCTTAAACTTCGGCAGCTCTCGGGCTGGTAGAACCACCGCATCGACGGGAAGAGCTCCTCCCATTTGAGAACCAGCTGGCAGAGCTTGAGGAGGGGGGCGATATCCTTGCTGGACATGGTGACCGTCCTGAATGCTGGGTTGGCCGAGCCACCAGGCCTACGGCCGTTGACGACGTTAGCGAATGAACGCTGCGGCGGCGGCTGCTGCTGTCCCTGGGATGAAGTAGACGGCCCCGTCGCCAGAATAAGGCCAGAATCCCCGGCGAAACGTTTGAAGACGACACGACGGGGTTTGTAGAGGGCACCATAGGTGCTCCCCAGGTCGTCTGCTGACGCCGTGTAGACTTGTAGCAGCTCATCCAGTGGACTGAAATCGCGAACCAGGGCTGGCAAGAGGATGGCGATCTTCTGATTAGAGAAGAGCTCGTGGAAGAACTTGCTGGCGAGGGACAGTTGATAGATGCTGCCGATGTCGAGGTGTCGGTAGATGTCGAGGAGGATCTCCATGGGTAAGCCAGCGAGGACCGGAGGACCTGGGAGGTCCTGAGAACTGGCCGTGGTAATCATCTTGAGGTAGTATTACACTGGGCAGGTTGAGTTGAGTTAGATGTAGAAACTCCGGGGACACGTCTATGGCAGTAGGGACAAGAGAGGAATCTCAGGGTGACCTGTGGAAGAAGTTAACATATGACAATCCACATGAAATGCTGAATCAAAAAGCACATCTTACTGTGTAAGAAGGAGTTGTAATAAGTGTATGGTGTAAATGACGTAGGACGTCCTGATAAGATGCGATGCCCGAGGACCGCGCGATATAAATGGTACAAAGGCCGAGTGAATAAATGGTGAACGAAGAAAATATGAGTTAAAAAGGAGCAAATAGAAAGCTCCACCGCCTGCCCCCAGTGATATCTGTTTCCTGTGTACAGTATCACCAGAAGCCCTCGAACTTGGGCAAGCAAGGTTTCTTTTACTGGTTTCCTTCCCCTCCGCTGGGGCTAGTAACGATAGTGTGAGTGGTGGTGATAGTGGATCGGGTAGGCATCATGAGAGATGCGGATGGGGAGCCAAAAGACTCCCGGATGGGAAGCAAGGAATCTCCCCTGGATGCCATGCTGGATGAATGACCGACAATGAAGGTCTCTCCTGCTGACGGTCTTTCTGTTCTGTTTTGAGATGGTGATGTCTGGGAGAGGAAAGGAGGAGGAAAGAGAGAGAGAGAGAAGACAGCTGGTACGAATATTATACGAAGTCATAACAAGATTAGGCAAGTGCTGGGGGCGCATGACACCTTCCCAACCACCCGGGCCAATGAATGTCCGATGATTTACCGTGACAGAGGCAGACAACAACGTAGACAGTTTCACATCAGGACGTTTTCTTCTTCTTCCTTATATCTTTCTTTTCTTTTCTATTTATTTCCCTTCAAGTTGGACTGAGGTAGTATTTTGATATCCCCGTGCTCAATGCCATATTTCAACAGCATGTATCTTTGCAGTGGTGTTGGGGAGCAATGTCTGCCCACATGTAATCAATTCGATGGTGTAGAATGTACCCAGACTGCTAGTATTTTGTCGCCTCATCAACGAGATACTGACAGAGACAAGAGTGACAGAGATATCAAGAAGAACATGCCATCCCATAATTTCTCCACCCATGAGGGGAGTGTCTTGCAAAAGAAATGAATATATCATATCGTGTGAAAAAGATGCATCCCAAACTCCTACGCCAACGACAGAGAGATGAGGCCGCAGTCAAGTTCAAAATAAATACAAGTATGCTTTCACCTCCTCTCCCTGTCCTCGTCCATGCGATGTCCTCCCACCTTTCCCCTCTTTCATCATCTTTTTTTGTCTCTTTGACATCCTAAGCAAACAGCATCTTGGTATCCAACTCGTTCGGCTGCCTACGTTGACCCCCTCTGGTCTGTAGTCCAAGGTCGCCGTGCCTAGTCCTGCGTTCGTGGATCTGTTCTGCACGGGTGGTGTGCTTGTGGGCTTTGTTCCTCCTAATGTCGGAGCGGACCTGGTTGGGCGAGACGAACTCGCGGTTCTCGTAGATGATGGGACCGCCAAACGACCCCTCCTGGATGACGATGGGCGTGGCAACGAGACGGGGGCCGATCTCGACCAGGCTCAGGTCCGTCTTGCCCTTGGTCTCGTCGTCGTTTTTGTCCTTGGTGATGATCTGCTCCTCCTCATTGATCTGATAGTTGCGGACCCAGATCTTGCCGTCGACCAGGCTGAAGCTCATGACGTGGTCGATGAAGGGCTTGGACTTGCGAGCTCCCTGGGGGACGCCAAACGTGTGCGTGAAGAGCTCCTTGATGACACGGAGGTGGGGCTGCGTCTCAAAGGCGGCGTCGAACGAGAGGATCGGTCGTGAGCCCTTGAGGCAGTTACCGGTGAAGTGTAGTTCCTCCATTGTGTGGACTGGCAGGCCATGTTAGTTTTGTGTTTGTTCATCCTTTCCCCTTCTCGCTTTTCCCTCTTCATCTCGTTTTTCCTTTTCCCCTTCTTCTTGGAGACAGAGGGGTCAACATACGGTTCTGGAGGTGCATCTTGACAGTAGGACCATTGGGGACCTTGCTCATCCACAAGTACAGATCCTGTCCCTTCCTGGCCTCGAAGAACATGACATTGTTGCAGTTGTACAGCTCGGCCAACTCGTTGAGTTCGTACAGCTTGGACTTGGAGTCGAACTTCGCGTCCTTGCGACCGTGGGGGAGCATGGTAGCGAGATCGTTGAGTAGGTGGCGGTGTCTATTGTTAAAAGGTATTAGTCGAGTGATACCCTTTCCCCGTTTTTCTTCCCCTTCTCGTTCTCCTCTCTTCTCTGAATTACACATTCTCCGCCTATGTAGAATCTGCAAATGGACCAGAATCAACGTACCTGAAGGTGACACCACGAGAAGACAGGATTAGCACGCGCTGCTTATTCTTCTTGATGCCATTGCTAGGCGCATCGGGCTTCTTGTCTGTCTTGGACAGAGACTTGTAAACTGCAGCCATTGTGACGGAGATGTGTAGAATGTTGGTGTTGTATTGCCGAGGGTTGGTTGCTTGCGATGGGAAATGTATAGCGGCGGCGCAAAGAAAAGAACAGGAAAAAAAAAAATACTAAGGGAGAAGAAAAAAGTGGACAGGGAGCGATAAGCTCTTATCAGCTGACGTGGGGATGAAAGATCATGGAGGCCCAACTTTTCAGGTCAGTTGGCACACTCTCTAGCTTCAACACGGTATTACGGTATTACGGTGCTACAGTATTGAAACCTACTACTCGTACTAGGAAGTCGAAGTAGAAGACAATGGCATCAAAAAGAACGTGCACTTCAATAGTATGTAGTTTTTATTTTCTCGTAACGATCGTCGAGTGCATGAACCATCCGCAGATAACAAAACCCCCAGACTATCGTGACAAAAGAATCTGGGAAACGAGACAGAGAAGAAAAAGAAAAGGAAGAAAGATGGATAAAATCAAAAGCGCAGAAAAACAAAGAAAAACCCCGAAAGCGTCTTGCGCCTTTTCTACTATCAAAAGGAGAAGAAGAACGAAAAATACCGACGTAGGAAGCGGTCCAATCTCTCTCTCTCTCTCTCTTAAGAAAGGGCAATTCCCCTCACCACTTCTTCCATGAGAGATCGTCTTGTTGTTAATCGAAATGTTGTCGTGCGCCTGCGCCCCAGTCACTCATTATGCCGCCAAGGAAAAAAATATAGTCGACATTTCCGTTTCACAAGCTGAGAAGGCCTAGGCCTGGGCCGGGGCTGGCGGTGGTTCTGTCCATGTCCGGTCCTCTCTCTCCCTCTTTTCGTTCTCGATTTTGTCCTGCTTCCTTTCCACCGCCCTCAAATACAAGGCGGCCCGCATTCTCTCAGGACGTATATATGATTGCCGTCCGCGCGCGGTTTCCGTAAAAAAGAGGCTCAGTAGTGAAAAAAGATTTAGCAGCACTTGCCATCCTTGGGGGCGTCGTTCTCCTTGGACGGGTCGATCTTGATGCCGGTGCCGGCCATGGGAGCCTGGCCGCCTTCAGCGCTGTCGAGGGCCTTGCTGGAGACGATGCGGTAGATTTCTGAGGGATTGAGACACTAGTTAGTTGCCTGCAGCCAATCTGGTCGTGGAGCCCGCGTGGGTGTGTTTTGTCAATACCGGTGAGAATGTTTTGGAATGCAAGCTCGACATTGCTGGCGTCGAGGGCCGAGGTCTCGATGAACGACAGGTGGTTTTCGCCTGTTGTCGGGGTTGTTAGCGCGTGAATCTGTATGGAAGTTGAGGTAGACGTTCCACCCCCGCAGAGAGTCCAGGAAGCCAAGGGAGAGAAGGAGAGTTGGAGAGGGAACATACTGGCAAATGCCTTGGCCTCTTCAGTGGGCACAGCTCTGAGGTGCCTCAAATCACTCTTGTTTCCAACGAGCATAATGACAATGTTTGCGTCTGCATGGTCGCGCAGCTCCTTGAGCCACCTGGTGACGTTCTCGTAAGTCTGGTGCTTGCTGATGTCGTAGACGAGCAGGGCGCCGACGGCACCGCGGTAGTAGGCCGAGGTGATGGCGCGGTAACGCTCCTGGCCGGCGGTATCCCAGATCTGGGCCTTGATGGTCTTGGAATCAACCTGGATGGATCGGGTGGCGAACTCGACGCCGATTGTCGACTTGGAGTCAATGTTGAACTCGTTGCGCGTGAACCTGCTCAACAGGTTGGACTTTCCAACGCCAGAGTCTCCAATGAGGACGACTGAGGGTTTGTCAAGGTTAGCACGGTTCAGGGAAGCTCAAGCGAATTAGGGAGGCGGCGACGACGACGACAGCGACGACGACGACCACGACGGGGAGGACAGGAAAGGAGTATCGTGGATTGAAGCCTGGAGAGAGAGCATACCCTTGAAGAGAAACTGCAAGGAGGGGTCAGCGCGCTGCGCCCAGGACAGTAGCAGGGGACAAGCGGGAAAAAAAACTCACATCGTATTCGTCGTTGGCCATTTTGTCGGATCCGTGTCTGCAGATAGCTGAAGCTGTTGTTTAATAGACAAGAAAGTCGTTATTTTGGGAAGGGTCGGTGATCGCTTTGGGCTGGCTTGGGGGGGATTCAAAGTGTTGGAATGGTGGAGAGGGGAGGAAGCCTTGGTGGGCTTTGGACCCCCCTGACGATAGAGAGCTACTCGTGACTGCTACCCGCTGATAGGTGGTGGTGTAGGGGAGTATTACCGGTAGGTGAGGGGGACAGTAGTAGTACTAGGCTCTAGGCTCTAACAGCATCACCACTAAGGCTAGAAGCAAGGGTTTTGGTAATTTGAAATTACCGTGGGGATGGCATCAAGAAAGCGTATTCTTATATAACAGTCGTTATTTTGTTTCATGTATGGATGTCCTCTGTTAGGAATATTCCAGCCGGAGACAAGACTGTTTGTCTATATACCCATATATAACCCTGACAAGAGTACAGATTAGTGTGCTGCCAAAACACATAATACCGACTGGTGAGTATTCCGGGCCTTTCACCGCCTGCTGAAGGTGTATATCCACCATAGCCTCGACTGAATACCGTATTATGTACCTGACAAACAGTAGGTACTGTACTGTACGTATGCACTAACTAACAGTATTAATGCTAACAGCAACTCTAAGTAATGATCACCAATGGTGAGCAGCTTAAAATGTTAGGGGTCAATCACGACTACACGTGCTCTACAGTCGACCTAACGTCTATAGCGTATCAACTAATAAAACCGATACTATTACCCTCTTACTTAGCTGGTATTACAGTGCTGCGATGCTAAAGCCCAACCGGCAAAGTAGCCAGGCGGTAATCGTCTGGATATAATATCCGATTCTTGACAATGATAGCTACATGCATGTCATTTTCCACTCTATTGATATGTCAATATTACCACTACGGGACGTCTCTACATGTACGACAGGGTATTCATAGCCCCTGCTCGTCTTGACCGAATATCTCACCGTGCACTCGTAGGTATTACAGAGTAATATGATTGCGCAGTAATATTATATACCTTCGTACTGTTGTCCCAATTACGGCTAATACTATAGCACCAAGCAGAATTATGTAAGACAAGTAATTCAAGCTGAATACCATATAATTCACATTCAATAGACGGTCTCTAGATTTGATCGAATAAAATGTTGTTACGTGATAACGTGATTGTAGGAGCATTATATGTATCATCACTCGTATTATTACAGTATTATTACATGGGAAAGGGCCAAAATGTGCTGGTCCTGCCTGACCACTTTTTGTTGTGCCTTTGATTGTCTCACTTGCCTTCTGAGCCGTCAACATCTTGGCCGCCTGAGTTTTCAGGAGCCAACGGCTCCCATGGTGTCATTCATCTTTCATAGCAATTATTCACGGCTAACACCGAACAATCATCAAGAAAAGAACAAGAGAACAAGAGGGTAAAGAACAGGAAGGCAGAAAGAAGTACGGTGCACGGTGCAGCCTGCCCAGGCGTCTGTCACCTCCCACACTCAGCCAGAACGAGCACATGGGAACTGGCATCGGCTCGGCAAGCATCTCCCGTGTCTCATTCACGCTCTCTACTCGTTCTACTTCAGTGCTCCCCGTACAAGAGACTACGAGCGTACTCCGAGTTCCCGACAGCGCTTGCTCACCATGGACAAACAACAGCAAGGACAGCAAGGACAGCAAGGACAGCAACTGCAGGATGACGACCTAATCTCCCTCTCTTCCACCATTGACGAGACCCATGACTCTGATGAGGAATGGATGGCAGAGGGCATCTTAGCCGAAGGCGTCATGGACGGCGAAATGAAGTACCTAGTTGAGTGGACCGGCTTCCCGCTGGACGACGCAACCTGGGAACCAGCCTCCCATCTGAACGACATCCTTCTGGGGGAGTGGGCGGCCCAGAAGGAGAAGGTGAAGCGCGGAGAGGCTCCCAGGTTCAAGATCAGGACCTGGAGAGATGCTGCCGTCAAGAACCTCTGCGATAGGCACGCCAGGCACGAGAAACGAAACGCCCGTCGTGTCAAAGACGGCCTGGTGCCCACCTCGTGGAACCCTTCGCTTGAACGGCTCATCGAGCTGGTCGACATCGCCACTCCCAAGGACCCTGATGATGCAGACTCGGACGAAGACAGTATCGACTTCGATAGGCTGGACCACTCAGGTCCCGTCCCGAGGAAAGTCACCCCCCACGAGCAAGGGGCTGCCCTCTTCGATAACATAAAGCAACGGAGCCAATCGCCTGCAGATCGCCACGCTGCCATCACCTCCAAGGCATCACCATCGGGGAGAAATGCTTCTGCCTCCAAGCCCAAAAATGGCGCCCCTACCTCAAAGCCTGCGGCCAACAAATTGTCGCGTCTGCTGTCACGACCACCAATTACGGACCGTCCACAGGTGCCGCTATTACCCAAGAAGCGGCAGATCGTCAAGTCGGCCATCAAGTCTTCAAAAAAGAGTACCAAACCCGTCAGCAATATCTTCATCAGTGGAAAACAGAGGAAGGTACACACTCATACCGCACCCAACCAGTCCCTCTTCGGTAGGCGTCCCATACCACTCGCATGCAGTCCCAAGACTCAGTAATTTTCAAGGGCTGACAGATGTACGAAGGACACAGCGCCGGTATCAGGAATGGAGAAAATCGCGCTCCTACCCAGATCCCCAGGTCATTGATACACCTAGATGGCAGACCTACAGCTCCGCTTCAAATCATCGGGCCTGCTGCGGACAAGGACAAGACCCCAGCACACAAGAGCCCTTCGGCGCCACAGGGGTCGACATCATCACAACAACCCGGGGTACCCCAGGAATCTTCAACGCCCCAAAGCCAACTTCCTACCGAATACCAGGACATGATGATCATTGACATACCCGCTACTTCGGCTCCAGAACTACGTGGCCAGACTGCGCCACCTCGACCACCGTCGGCTCTGAAAAAGGGCACACAAGAGAGCAGGAGGAAATCTGTGGGTTGGGTTGACAGCGACCAGCTCGTGCCTGACAACAATGTGGCATACAATTCGCCGGAAGAAAGCATGTTTGTCCCGGATGAGGCCCCCCAGTCTGAAAGCAGCATGCAGGATATCAGCACAGATGCTGCCGAGATCCCTAAACCTCCAACCCCACCGCGCGGGTACAAAAAACCATCCCAAGCCAGCATCCCGATAGATATTGCGCAGCAACAGACTGTCCCGGTACTGTGCTTTGTGGGCGAAAAGTCAGCAAGGCCCATGGTTCTGGTATTCAATGGGATACCCAAGCAATCATCCCATCCCTGGCTGGCTGATTTCCGAGGCCGCCAAAGCCTTGCTTTCCGTCATACCTGCACTGCAGTCGACTTTGGGACCCAGTTCCGCAGATCTCCTCAACTAGTCTTGAATCTTGCTCGTGGCTCCATCACTGCTCTCTCAGAACCTGCTGCACTTGAATCGCTGGCACAGTGGTTGAGGCCGGCAGCCAGGGCCGTGATGTTTCACACAGACAACTATTGCATCCTCGCTTTCCCTGCCGACTCATCAGAGTGGGAACTTGAAGCCGCCGACGTCCCCAAGACGGACGGGCCACTCAAATTTACCATTTTTGAACGAACGTTCTCAGACACTGATCTCCCCAAGACGGACGAAAAGGGACCACGTGGGCTGCAGGACTGGGAGCTCTCCCTTCCCAAGGAACTCGCTCGCATGTCCGCCCTGGACAGCAGCCAGGTGTTACCGCACAATGACCGCCGGCTACTGGGGAGGCGGCAAGTCTTCTTGGCATTCCCACCCGGCGCGATCGAGGAATCTCGGCTCATAGCGCAATGGTTCATTACCGTGTCGAACTTGGAATGCGACATTTACGACAGTCTCTCCCCCGGCGCCTGGTCCCAGTTTTTAAAAAGAGGCTGCGGGACCGTTGTGATACATGAAGACGCCCTATGGAAAACACGTCAGTTTCCCGGAATGCTTTCCGTACTGGACCAAGTAGCTGCCGGTAACTATGCCATCTCAGTCTTCAAGAAGGGCTACGGCGACAATGAGGTCTTGGCTGAATGGCCCGGGACAAGTCGACTTACGGGAGACATCGGCCTGCTTCCAGTTTTCTCGGGCGGCAAAGCGTTTCTCATGACGCCCAGCTTCGTCATCACCCAACCGCATCAGGCAAGCCTCTTTCTCGGCTATTTCAACAGGAGCCTTGCAATTACCAAGGCGGCCTTCCGTGCAATCCTCATAGTTCCCGCAGACTTTGAGGACTGGCTCGCCGACCTCATAGTCGAGAGATCACGGAGGCCTACAGACAAGAACCTGGAGCATCATAAGAAGGACATAGAGTCCCTTGAAAAGATGATGAACTACATGGATCAGTTGGTGGCGCTTACACACGAAGGCGATTTGAGCAGCCCACTTGTGTATGCGCCTGCTATGATTGACGCTAGCGACGAACAGAGCCTGGTCAACTGGTTTGGGTGGTGGTCTATAATGAACATGAACCAGATAGGGATGTTCTATGTCATCGGATCGCGCATCGAGTCCCGAGAGCGGCGGACGAGGAGAATGAGACCGATTTTTTACTACAGGAGGGAATCTGACGACGAAGAAGTCATGCGGGCCGTCGAAGCCAAGGAGCTGCTGAGCCTCGGGACGACGGAGGCGGCGACGACGACGACGACAACAGCTAGCGCACCGACACTAGTATCGGGACTGTCTTTGACGGATAGAACTGCCGAAAAGAGATTGGGTGGAGCAACCCGGCTCAAAATCGTGCCCAACGATGAAGTGCGGACTCTGAGGGAACATCTCAAGAATATTCAGAAAACCGCGCGGTCCCTGCAGCCCATGCTGTGGGTTTACTTCATACCCGTTACGCACTGGGATTCAAGAAAGGACCGGCTGGCATTGGGCAAGCGTCCGACGGGGGCCAGCTTCTCGCAGTGGTTTCGCTACATGAGCCCGTTTGACTCGCAGGGTGGAAATCACGGTATAAACACATCTGCAACGCTCTTCTACACCTCGGAGGGTGGTGGCGGAATAGCGAGCAGTGATATCAATGCCGCTTCACGACCATGGTTAGTCTTTTTCAGGCCAGTTGAGCCGCACAGGAAGACATGGAAGGAGACGGAACTCTTGATCTTTGACCCAGCGTACCGGGGCAGGGTTGGTGCCAGAGACGTGGTGCACGAGGGGGATCTGGTAGATGTGCAGCAGCGTCTTCTAGCCTCGGTCAACGAGTTCAACGCGAACAAGAATCCCACGATGCCGTTAACCAAGGTATGGCTCGCAGGGTGGCGCAACAGCATCGAAAGCCCGCACGCGGAGGCGCTGGATATCACGCTCGACTTCCTGGACCTGTGCATCAGAGATCCGAAAATGTGGCTGCCAGCTCCAAAGGAAGCCATGGAATCGCGGGGGTGGAAGATAGTTATACCAACCAGCGCGGGCAAGAACCGACCGGAGTCCATGGACGTGGATGAACCCGACGGCGCCAAGGGCAGCAAAATAGACAGCTTCAAGATCGATGGCATCAGCAAGAAGATGGCAGAGAGAGGGTCAGCAGGGGAAGAAGCAAAGGTAGCGATCGAGAAGCGTGCCAACGAAATGCTGACCGAGGGCCTCGACGACACGGACGACGACCCAGGTGCAGACTACCTCTCGCGCAAGAAGGTGCTGTTCCTCCCCCCACGGGGCCGGCTTAACAAGGGCAACAAGGGCGAATCAGTGTGCGTGAACGAGATATTCCGACAGAGCAGGCTGGCTGAGTCGCGTGGCGAGAAGACCATGACGTTTGTGTATTCTGCCACCAGATTCTGGTATGCGCATCAGGTCGAAGAGGGGAGGGACTTTAAGCACATGATGGTTGACGGATGGGACAAGGTGTTTTCACATTTGCGGATTCCTTGATTCAGCCTCTGATTCAGCCTCTGTTTACGTCCCACCTTTTTTCGTATTTCCATCTTTCTTCTCTTCTCTCCTGTTCTTCTTTACCAATTTCGTCTTTTTTTCATGAATCACAATATTAAGGGGTAGAATCTGGCTGTATCCCATGTTTTAAAAAGGAGTATACCAATTGGATAGTAATTGAATTGTACATTAGAAGGGCTATAGATTAAGCCAATTTCATAATTAAGACTGAGTAAAGGATGTGATAAAGGTGTTATATAATGACGAGAAAGAAGAGTGGTATAACAAGGAGTTATGTATATATATATAGTGGAAATAATGAGAGATAGAGAGAGGGAGGGAGAGAGAGAAGAAAGGGAATCATCGTGAAGGGAAGCTCCTGGAGCTAAGAAGAACGCCCTTAACTCTCCTGATATTATCGCGAACCCTGCGAATCTCATCATTCTCGTCCATTTTTGTGGCGGAGCCACGAGTGAAATTCATTGGGCCCCTACCTCCTCCGAGGGGGTTACGATAGGTAAGGATGTCAAGGTCGTCTCGCAGAACGTCAACGAGGGACTTTGTATCGGTCAGACCGTCGGACTGGGAGCGGATCCCCCTCGCGATGTCGGCCAGCGAGCGAGAGAGGCTGGTCAGTCGAGCAGCCTGGGACTCGTGGGGTGACGGTTTGGGAGCGTCGGCCACAGAGGGGACGGGGAGGAGAGTCTGGGTGCCGATGTCACGATGGAACATCTCAGTGGGGTCCTCGTCCGAGGCCGAGGCGTCACCGTTGGCGTTCGCATCGTCGTTGGGGTCGCGGTGGCCAGCGGCAGGTATGACAGAGACGGACTTCTCGAGGAGGTGAACGAGGCTGTCTAGACGACCAGACGCGTCGCCGTACAGGTCCTCGCGCGATGCGGTGAGCTGCTCGAGCATAGGGCTGAAGATGAAGCGAGAGGAGCCGGCGACGATGGCGGACAGGGCGGCGGTGACTTGGAGGGTGGCAAGGAGGCGGCCGGTGGTGACGAGGGGTGGTGGTGACGGGCTGGTGGGCTTAGTGAGGAATTCGGGGTATGTTACCACCGGGGCGCGGTCAGATAGAGGGAGTATGGAAGTGTTGGTGGAATCGACAGCCGTAGTGGAAGAAGAGGATGAGGGTTCGGTTTCGGCGGGAGTGGTTGAGGGGGAATCGGGCTGGTAAGAAGGGGTCAGCTTGGAGAGAGGAATAGGAGAGGGGGTTAGAAGAGGGGAATAAGAGAGGAGGGGCGGGGAGAGATTGCTGTTGCTGGCTGACCTGTCCGAGGAGAGTGACTATGTCGTCGTCCGAGATACCCTTGGCCTTGAGAAAGGCTTCCTTTTTCTCGCGGGGGGCTGAGCGGACCTCGTCGTCCTCTAGAAAACGATGGGCTACTGTGAGAGCATCGTCGTCGGAGCTGGTGTTCTCGGGCTGTGTGGCAGGCTGGTTATCGTCGCTCTTGGCGGCCTGGGTGTCGGCGGGCTGCCCATCATCCTGGCTGGTAGAGGGCTCAGAAGCGCTGTTGTCGTCCTGGCTGCGCTGCCAGTCAGGGATGGTTGGGGAATCTTTCTTTTCGCCTGCCATGGGGATGATGCAGTATGTTGTGTGTGTGCGTGTTCGTTTCTGGCAAAGCAGATTGGTGATGATGATGATGATGGTGGTGGTGGTAGATAGACGAGTCTCGGTATGACGATGGATGACGGCTAAGCCTCGGCATATTCATGCGCCTCGGCAGAAGGAGGAGTGGAAAAAAGAATGAGCTGCCTGTGGTTTGTGCCATCCCCGAGATGCATTTACCATTTGGATTTTCTAGTCGTCCAGTGATGAGATTGACATTCAGATGTCATGTGGTGAATATCCACACAAAAGACACGGCATCAATTCGTCTTGCCATCTATTATCACTGAATATGATGAATATCTGTACCTGTAATCCCTTCGGCCTAGAGAATGAGAAAAGTGGAGATGGACATGGACATGGCTCAGTGTTCAAGCCCGGCTGGACTGTCTGTCGTAAAACAACAGTCGGAAAAAAATCACGAATTGAATCTGTTGGCATTCATCATCTCGTTTATCGCGTGGCAACGGCATATTAAAGTGCAAATATTCACATTCGAACCCATCGGAACTCTTGGAGAGCCTCTGTACATGTCAAGGAGTCAACCGATTCAGCCTCAGTCTCTTTTGTTGACGCCGCCATACACGTCACACCTTCATTCCTTGACCGAACGCGCATCATCACAGGTAAGATACAATTTTAAAGAGAGAGAGAGAGAGAGAGAGAGAGAGAGAGAGAGCGTTATGCTTGACACCATCTCAGCTCCTTGTCTATCACACTGCTCTTTTCCTCTCTCATCTTCCCTCTTTTCTTCTGCTTTTTCCATTCTCCATTGTTTCTTGTGGATGCCTCGAGTGAGGTGTTGAATCTCCTGATGCGAAGATGAAAGGAACAAAATCATGAGATGAACTCTCTTATAACCCTGCAGCTCGGTGATACAACGGGCAAGAAGTAAAAAAAGGAGAAAAGGAAGGAGCGATGCTTGGCAATTCAATTACCCTGGATACCATCAAGTTGATGTCTCCTACTCCTCCTCTTCCTTCGACTTCTTTTATCTCTTGCATCATCAATCATCATCATCACCTTCACCTTCATCAACCTTTCCTCCTCTCGCCACCATACACTCCACGTCATCTTATATATAAGAGAGAGACGGCCCAGAATCAGAGACGCAGTGGTACATCCTTGTAGTCATCATCCTCCTGGCTTAGCCTCACCTCTCTCTACCAACAAAACATTAGACCGCCCTATCGACTTGGCAATATACTAAGCCTTTCCACTCCCACCTCCCCCATTGACCCCCCCCAGCCACAACTACCACCGACGCCCCCTCCAATCCGCTCATCCACCTTCCATCAATCAATCAATCAATCAATTCGTCGATCTACAGATCTGCTCCCCGCTCAAATCCCCTGAGAATACATATACAAGTTGCGATTACTTGCAGGAGCACAGAGTACCACGTACAGTCTGCTACGTACAGACGACAGTGGACAAGGTCCCTGCGTCAATATTGGGAGACAGCGACCGGTCGGAGACACTGTCACTTCACATCATTACTCGTACACACACACACACACACACACACATCCCCTCATCCATCCATCCCATCATACAATGATGTCTCGCCCACGCCGCTCCGCGGCCAACAAGGCCAAGGAGACCATTTCCGTCCACGCGGCATGGGCTGATGACAGCGACAGAGGAACGATGTCTTCATCACGCAGGTCTAACCGCGCCGCCACCCGCGACGGCGTCGACTCAGCCGATGACTCGCATCAAGAGGTGGCCACCAACCGCCGTCAAGCCACCAGGGGCACCGCCGCAACTGGAGATTCCGTTCGGGTCCGACAGGGTCAGAGGGACCGCGGCGGGAAAAAAAAGTATGTCGTTGACTCGAGCCCCGACGATGATGATGAGGAGGAAGAGGAGGAGGCCCAGCTGGACGAGGAGGAGGACGAGGACGACGAAGACGCCGAGGGCGAATCGGACGGCATGGATGTCGACGCCGAGGGTGAGCCTGACCAGGATGCCGAGGGCGATGACGACGTCGACATGTCGCAAGCTCCCCCGGCGACGGGCACCACCATCAGGATCTCAAGTTCCGCCACCAAGGCCAAGCCCAAGTCACGCGCTGCAGCGTCGAGGGTCGTGGTCGACGAGGATGACGAGGATGGGGACGATGACGACGACGACGACGACGACGACGACGACGAGCTGAGTGAACCGGCCGACAGTGAGGCTGGTGACGAGACGATGCTCGGCGATGGCGTTGACGCCGAGGGTGAGGATGAGGATGCCGAAGGTGAAGAGGTCGAGGTCGACCAGAAGATGGGTAGCGACGAAGAGGAGGAAGAGGAGGAGCCTGATCTCACCAAGATGACGAAGCGTCAACGGGCTCGGTTCGACGAGACGAGCCAGGAAGGCTTTTTGAAGCTGTCGGATGGTGGGTGCTCGTGTCCCGTCTCCTGTGTCTTGTTCCAGATATACCGGGTGCGGGTGTACCATTATTGGTGCATTCTGCATTCTTGGGTATATCTTGGGACACGACATCGATTGATAGGTTGATTGCTAACGTGGAATATCGTATCTGCAGAGGTCCAAGCGAAAAAGGTCTTTACAGCCGAGGAGCTATCTATGCGTCGCCAGGAAATGGCCAGGAGGAGGAGGAACCTGAGCGAGAAGCGAACAGAAGAAGTCAAGGTATCTATCTACCCCTCTCTCCTCTTTCCCTCGCTCTCTACCACTCTCTTTCACTCTCCTCTGTACAGTGGTAGAGGGATGGGGTTTGGAAGAGGAGAAGGCAGGATAGACAAAGGATGGGACAGTGGCTGACCCGGAAACAGATGGAAACCATCAACAAACTCCTCAAGAAACAAGCGCCCAAGGTCAACAAGAAGGCAGCGGCAGCGGCAGCAGCAGCAGGGGATGGGTCGGCAGAAGACGATGCCAACGGTGTCAATAGCATTTATATCCGGTGGACCACCAACAAGGACGGCAGCAGGATGGGAGTGTCTAAGGATATGGTTAGTGGGCCAGTGGGGAAGATGATGGGAATGGTTGAAGAGGTGGCTTGAGAGGGGAGAGTTGGGGAGTGAGAGAAGTTTTAATGGAGGACTAAACGAGCAGTCTTGTACTGGTGTTAAGTAGTAGTATATCGAGTCAGTTTACGCAGATTTGGTGCATCAGCCAGTGCATCAATGTATCAGTGTCTCGGTCGTCTACATGCGATACGTCTTGGATCCAAGTTGGGGATGGCTTGGTTCTGGTACAGGGTGAGCAGAATAGACGCAGTTGACTAGTATTTTCCCACATTCTCCAATTTCTTCTCCAAAAGAAAAAAGAAGATTGTCATTTCCCCCGTAATACGATGGAGAGAGAAGAAGTTTTGTCAGTCGCTTTGGTCTGTTCTATTCCGTACATGTGTATACTCACTCTGTACCCTCTCTGTACATGTACTTTTCCAGTCCCGAGACCAAAGCTAATCGTTGCCAAGGGCCCAAGTCTGTCATTCATTTTGGGGTAGTAATTCCGGTGAGATGATTGGTCATGACGGACGAAAAGAAGGGAAGAGAGTGAGCGAGGGAGAAAGAGGATCAACGGCCCGGCAATCTCGGCACATTGTTGCCTACCAACTTGATGGGCCCGAACGGAAAAGACGGCACGTTTTATTTTCTCGTGTGTGTGTGTGCGTGTGTGTGTGTGTGTGTGTGTGTAGTATCTCACCCCGGATTCGGATTCGGGAGAGGGAGCGGGGAAAGGGTGGGGAGGAGGAGGAGGAGGAGGAGGAGGAGAAGAAGATGAAGAAGAGGAGGAGGAGGGGGTCATATATTATGTCATGTATGAAGAAAAAAGGAAGAAAAGGTAGATTGAAGTGCTCCTTATTGGTTTTGGCTCTTATGGAGTAGGACATGAAGTAATAAGAATGTACATGTACTTGTAGAGTGGAAGGGGGGAGTAGAAGGTATAAAGGGAGAAAGTTGACGAGTTGACGAGAACTGTTGGTAGGCACAAGCCTCTTTTGTAACGAAAGGGTAAACAAGTGTCTGCTTGCAATTCAAACTTCACATTGACACTCGCAACTCATAAAACCACCGTACTAGTAGCTGTAGTTTCCAAGTCTCTCATCAACCAGTGAGGTCTTCCCTCTTCGCCCTACCGAGGAAATCCTGACCTTAGGAACTGACCATGTACCCCCTACGGAGAGTAAAGAAATCATCGTAACCATCCATCTACAATACAGTAACCTCCGTATACGGTAGACCCAACGAGATAAACAAGAGGTGCCGGTAGCGCCGTACCGGACATGATGACGCCAATAGCCACACACACACATACATGCATACATAACATACCCATCTTAAGTACAGGTTCCCTCCAACTTATACTAACCTTTTCTTTTTTTTTTTCGCCTTTCCCCTCTTCTCCTCTCTTGGTATTCTATTTGAAAATGTCCTTAGGACGCAAGAATGACTATAGTACCCCCTGGTTGGCATTCCATAATACTACTTAACCTTGACCTCCTCCTCTTTCCCCTCCTCCCTCCTCCCCCCTCCTTTGTTCCTCTTCTTTTCTCTTGATGCCCTTTGTTCTTCTCTCTGTCCTTCTTCTCTGTCGCTCTCTCTCTCCGCCTCTCACGCATCCGTCTCTCCTCACAACTCCCTACCCTCTCCTCCCACAGTAACACACACACACAATGGGCACCTCGTTCGTGAATGAAGATGGAACGGGCCCCAAGGCTAGGGGTGGTGCCATTCAATACTGTCTTACTCGTTTCTCATCTCTCAAACCTCCCATGAACAAGGTCGTCAACCCTTTCAAGGCATTGGCTCTCCTAGAGACTCAACATTGGTTGTTTTTTGCTGTAAGTCGTCTCATATTCTCCCATCCTCTCCTCCCCCCCCCCTTCTCTCTCTCATGACATGTCCACTCTAACATCAACAGGTTGGCTTCCTCGGTTGGACTTGGGACTCCTTCGACTACTTCACCGTCCCCCTCACAGTAGAGGACCTGGCCAAGACATTTGACAAGTCCAACGCAGACATTACCTGGGGCATGACCTTGGTCCTCATGTTCCGCGCCTTGGGATCGACAATCTTCGGTATCGCCTCCGACAGGTACGGCCGCAAGTGGCCCTTTGTCATCATAAACCTGCTCTTCATAGTACTCGAGCTCGGCACCGCCTTCTGCCAGACCTACCAGCAGTTTCTGGCCTGCCGTGCCCTATTTGGCGTGGCCATGGGTGGACTGTATGGGAACGCCGCCGCCACCGCCCTCGAGGATTGCCCCGCTGAGGCCAGAGGTATCCTCTCCGGTATCCTCCAGCAAGGCTGGGCCTTGGGCTATCTCCTTGCCACGGCTTTTGCCCGCGCCTTTGTCGACACCACCAAGCAAGGCTGGCGTTCTCTCTACTGGTTCGCTGCCGGCCCCCCCGTCCTCGTCATCATCTTCCGTCTGTGCCTGCCCGAGACCAAGGTGTATCGCGAGCGCGAGGTTGTCCGCGGAATCAAGGGCAGCGCTGCCGCCACTTTTTTGCAGGAGGCCAAGGTCGGTATCAAGAACCACTGGCTCCTGCTCATCTACATGGTCCTCCTCATGGCCGGCTTCAACTTCATGTCTCACGGCTCCCAGGACCTGTACCCCACCATGCTGGAGAACCAGTTCCAGCTCAGCAGCACCCAGGTCACCGTCACCCAGGTCGTCGCCAACCTGGGTGCCATCATCGGCGGCACCATCATCGGATGGCTATCGGGAATGTTCGGACGTCGCCTGTCCATAATTGTAATGTCGGTCCTTGGCGGCGCCCTCCTGTATCCCTACACGTATGTGTCTGGCGAGAAGATCGCCGCCGCCGCTTTCTTCCAACAGTTCTGTGTTCAGGGCGCGTGGGGAGTGGTGCCGATCCACCTGATGGAGCTGTCGCCCGGCTCCCTGCGCACCTTTGTCGTCGGCACCACCTACCAGCTGGGCAACCTGGCCAGCAGCGCGTCATCCACCATCGAGGCCCAGCTGGGCGAGCGCTTCCCCTTGCCCGCCAACGAGGACGGCACCAAGCGCTTCCAGTACGGCAAGGTCATCTGCATCTTCATGGCCTGCGTGTACGTATACACTATCATCCTGGCCTTTGTCGGCCCCGAGTACCAGGACCGCGAGTTTGATATCGCCCACGACGAGGACATGGCCGAGGCTGCTCACATGGACCTGGGCACTCTGCGTGCGGCCCAGGACGGCAAGAGGGCTGACATGGCCGATGCTGAGCACAACGAGAAGACAGTTGATGGCTAGTAGATGACACAGTCAGCCATCAATGAACAAAACACCAGTCTTGTCCCCTCAGTTTCCCGTTCTTTTTGATCCGGGAGCTACCATCCTGGTCAGTTAGCAGAGTTGGCATAGTCGACAAGGGCTAGCGTGGCCATGACGGAGAGTGTCATCCGTCCTCCAGACGACGCCCGGCTGCCCCATATGTGGCACACACACACACACACAGCGAAGCAACGCGCAGCGTATGCCAAGTAAGTGGGACCAATTGTCGGTCATTATTCTCTTCTTTTCTTTTTTTTTGGCAAAAACAGAGAAGAAAAGCAATCGTGGCCGGGAATGATGAGAGACAGGTATTCAGTACATAATGAATGATGATGAAAATGATAAAAATATATTTTAGTATGACGGCATCACCGCTTCCCCCTTCGTGCACGTGAAAGTCGATGCTGATCATCGGGAGGAGCCATGTTTGTTGCTGGGGAAGGAGCCACGGACCACGACCACAGACCAGCTATTGACGTCGACGGAAGGAGCCCCCACAATGGACTTTGACCTTGTAGGAAAGGATCAAGGCAAGGTATCCACAGTAAGAAGGCATCAATCTACAGAGTGCTATTGCCGAGCTTTATCTGATATCGTTAATATACAGCACCCCGTAGGCTGATTCTATCCAAAAAGGAATCATTGCCGAGTGATAACATATGTAGTAGTAATACGTCGTAATTTGAAGCAATGCAGTAAGCAAACTCGTCACTATCAAGACCACTTTTACACAGGCCCGGGATTAAGAACTGCTCTGCCCCGTAATATTCCCCCATAAAGCCCTGCTGTTAGGCTGATTCGGCCCAACCGCGTCCCGGTCGACCGTCAGACAGGGTGGCTTAGCGCTTAGGAACGGAAACTTCTCCTAAAAATAAGCAATATTACATAGAAAGCTACTCGTACACCGCGTCTAGCCTAGCGACCCACGCGCATTCTAGGCTTCTCCTCCCTTTCTTTTCCTTTTCCTTTTCCTCTTCTCTTCTTCTCTAATATCATGAGTTCCAGTAGTACTATTGTACATGTATTCACACGACTTGTACATAGCATTATACTAGTATCATACTAGTATTATACTAGTAGGAGGCTATAACACGAGTATTCTGGAAGAGGCTCTGCCGTAAGATGCAAGTTCAAGAAAAACTTCTAATCTACGGACTTATCTAAGTCTACTCGTTTATTTGTTGATTTAACGCCGGTCTATTCCTTGATAGGACAAAGGACGCCAAAGTCTACTCGCACTTGTTATATCAACACCTATCCATGTCTGGCTTTTACGAGCACAGGATTTCATGCTTGTCCTCCCTTGACTTGCCGGCATATTGAAAGGTGCATCCCGCTCGCTGTTTCCCTTTTACTCATTAATCCAAGACCACCTCCCTCCCACCAAACCTCATCCCCCTCGTCCTCTTCGTCTTCTTCCCCCTCCTTCTACTCCACCATCACCAATCCTCTGTTGTTCGTCTGTCGATGAGTCGATATCGCCAGAATGGCCGATCAATACCCTCAGCAGCAGCAGCAGCAGCCTCGTCCTTTCCAAGAGCAACAGAACCAGCTTTACCATGAACAACAAAGTGTTCTCCCTCCACATACAACCCCCGGCCAGCCATCCGCTACCTCGCAACCTGTCCTCGCCACTAACCTGTATGTGTCTCACTTGACCCTCCCTGTTCTTGGCTTCCGACTGCCTCATCTCTTCTCTTGCTCTTCTCTTTCCAATCTCACTGGACTAATAATCAACCAAAAAAACAGACCCGGCCAACCCATCGCCATGCAGCCCATGCCCGGTCAACACGCCATGAACCCCGCCGGCCCGACCGTCACGCCTCTTCATCTCTTAACCGAGAGGGCAGAATGGGTCGATTGCCAGATGTGCCATAAGCGCGCCATGACCAGGGTTGCCACCAGTGGCGAGGGGATGCAATTGTACGTTCTTGGAACCTTTCTGGAGCTTCTTGACTGTGTGGCCGACCGCTAACCCTCTGACAACCGTTCGTAGCCTCACTGGTGCCATCCTCTGCCTCGTCTGCATTTGTCTCGCCCCACTGCCATGCTGCCTCCACTGGTTCGAAGAGACGTCGTGGTTCTGCACCGAGTGCAACCAGAAGATTGCTCACAAGACGTATGATGCCCCCGTTCAGGTAGTCGTCCCTCCTGGTGCTGCCGCTGTCCCGTCCGCGTATGCCAACAACGGTCAGCCTACCCCCAGTCCTGGAGGTCCTCACCCTATTCCTGTTCATGTCCAGCCCCCCTCTCCTAGCGCTCCTTCCAGTGCTCCTGAGGTTGTGCCTCCCAAGGCATAAGCCGTCGCCTCTTGTTCACTGTTTAATTCATGATTTTCTTATATAAGAAAATGTGTTGTTCTTTTCTGTTGCTTGAGGAGCCGCCTTGTTATTATTGACCACATGATTATGTTAGAGAAGAAACACTTTGATTTGTTTTTTTACTAAATGATACCCTGGGTAAAACATGCCTACCAAACAATACGAAAACATTTTCTGCAGCCCCTTGTGCAGTGGTCCTGTTCGAAAGAAAAAACCCATGAACCCTCTCCTCCCGGCCAACACTCGTTACTTTTCTGTCTCGAAAACACCTGAAAAAAAAAGAAGGAGCAATACAACATTGCACATTACTTAAAAAAGATAGCGAGAATCATGGAAGGAAATAGTATAGACTACAACAGAGGTCCCGTGAATTCTCCCTCGGCAGCATACCGTAACTGGTAATCCCGAAGATCAGCCCAGTGACTGAGCTCCTCGTCCTCATCCTGTGGCGTCATGTGTGTTGCCGGGTCGTTCCCGTTGGGACTCCCACCTGCGGCACCCGTCTTCTCCAGCTTGACGAGCACCTGGATCAACTGGCTGAGAGCCTCCTCCGACTTGACCGCCAGCGGACCCTTACGTTCGGGGGCGTCGTTGAGCAGCGTGGACGCTACCTGGCGGATCTTGTTGACGATGGATCCGCCGTTGGGTTCGAGGTTGCGCTGGGAGATGGCCCCTAGGACAGCGAGCAGATTCTGGACTATCAGTTCGCGCTCGTTGGTCATGAGGGCCAGGACGTCCTTGTCGTCGCGCTCCTCAGCGGCCTTGTTTTCTTCCGTCTGGTGCCCCATACCGTCGTCGCCGTTGTGCTGGTCGGCGAGGTGAACGTCGCGCAGGTCAAAGTAAAGCTCGACGAAGTAGGAGCGCGTGGCGAGCTGCGAGACAAATATGTTGGCCTTTTGGATCTCGTACTGCAGCTGTCGGCGGCGGTGAGGCTGCAATTTGAAGGCGAGGCGCGGGTCATGCGGCGGCTGCGCGTTGGGCCACAGCGGCGGCACGTACTGCATCGTCGAATCCTCAAACGCCTCCATGGGGTCCACGTCCGGCCCCGTCTGGCCGAGCTGAAGGTCCGCCGGGAGGTCGTCGATGATGCTCTTGACGGCGAGTAGTCCGTCGCGTAGGAGAAGACGCTGGTCCGCCCAAGGTAGCGTGCTCATGCCGTACGCGAGCTCCAAGCTGACAACGCCGTTCATCGTCGTATAGATATCGATACCGAAGCGGAATCCCGTCAGGAGCGACGTGCTGCCCTCGGCTTGCTCATTGATCTGATTCGCTACAATGTATATGTCGTCGGTGTTTTCGGGGTATGCGGGGTACGGCAGACTAGGTGTCGACGGCGCAATCACCACGTCTGTCTGTGAGTTGCCTAGCTGAGAGAAGGAGCTGCATACAACAAGTTAGTTGGTACTTGTCTAAAGCAGGTAAAGAAAATGAGAGTAAAGAAGAAGAGCAAGTGGAAGAGGGAGAACACGTACCGAATCCCGAGGAGAAGACACCAAAAAATGCGCTTGCCAATCTGATCCTTGACGTGGTTGAATAGCAGAGGATCGGGAGAATATGGATCGTTACCAAAGGTGGGCAGATCGCCAGGGTGTTTGGGCTTGCTGAAGCCCAGCTCCCGGATAAGGGTGAGGGTCTCAGCCATGAAGTGCTGCGACGTTATCCAGCGGTGGGTATAGCCTGACGCGAGGCCAAGAAAGTAGGACGTGGCAGCGTCGTCGAGCGTTTTAGGCTCCTTGAGCACCCACCTGGCGCCGCGGGTGGCCAGGGCAATGTCGCGGCACTTGTCAATCATGACGATGGCGCGGGGGAACAGATGGGTGCTGTGCTGTGCCTTGAGGTGCTCCCTCGCGCTGCGGGGGAACGACGCCACCAGAGCGGCAATCATGCTGGCCAGCAAGCCCAGAAACTCGGGCCGCGTGCGGTCCTCGCGGTTAGCAAACGACTGCCGAAACGTCGGCTCGTGCGGGAACGGCGCAAGCGGGTGGATGTAAGTGAAGAAGTCGTCCACCAGAAGCTCCAGCACGGGCATGGGCGCAATGCTCTCGGCGTCAGCGGGGGCGGTTGCGTCAGGTATTATCCCGTTCCCCGTGGATGACACTGCTTTTGGGATAGGATGTTGTTGCTGCTGTTGTTGAGCTGGCTGCTGCTGCTGCTGCTGCATTGGTGGCCCTGGACTGAACTCGCTGTGGCTGGGTTCTATGCGCCCCCTCTTTGCCGCCTTGGCTGCCTCGGCATGCTTGTTGGGCGGACCCCTCCGCTTCGTCTCGCGATTGTAGGTGCAGTCAACACCGAGTTCGTGACACGGCTTGCAGGGGATGGTGGTATCGTCGCATTTGACCTTGCGCATGCTGCACATGTCGCAAGCTCGTCGGAGGCGCGTCAGCTTGGGGTTGACTGTCGGGTCGCGCGGGCCGCCGGCGCCGCCGGAGCCACGGGCGGTTCCATCGGGGCCATTGTGGATCGGCGGGGAGGGCGGCGGCGCAGGGAGGATATGCTGATGATGATGATGATGCGCCGTAGGTTGAGAGGTGTGGTGAGGAAGCTGCTGTGCGGCGGTAGCCTGGGCGAGGGCGGCGACAGACGCGGCGGCATCGTGAACACCTAGAGGACTGCCGTCGACGCTGCTCGTCGTCGTCGTCGTCGTCGTCGGATGGGCGACGGCCTCTGCAGCGGCATCCTGCAGAGCCTGGGTCTGCTGAGACGTGATGGCGGCATGATGCTGGGCGGCGTCGCTGGCAGCCTGGAGGATCTCCAGCCCATTGCTGGCGTAGGCGTGGACGCTGGTCTGGTGCTGGGAGGGGGATTGTGGAGGGGGAGGCGTCTGGGAGTCGGGATCGGCCATGATGGGCAGAAGCGGGAGCTACAACGCCGACACATACGACGCGTCGGACTACCTTGGAGCTTGTCGCGATGGGGACTGGCCACTGGCGGTGATAATTTCGCCGACGTTGATGCGTGGAAGCCGTAGATGGCCCGAAGAGAGGCAAAACAGACGGACGCCGCGTTTTTCGGTGAGATGCACGTGATGTGGCTTCGGCATATGTGATTATGTCATCACAACAAGCTTGTGATTTAACTCCCATCTTCAGACTAGTCTGTACTTGTACTCGTAGGTATCATTAATAATACTTCTTGGATGGTGATCATACTCTGCCATAACGGGGAGAGACAATCATGAGTAGAAGGGCAAAATCACACACACATCTTCTACTCATGACTGTCTCTCCCCGTTATGGCGGAGTTGCATTGCAAATACAGATTATATTCACCTTCATCATCAAAACATATTTGGCACCTGCGTGATTGCGCTGTACCTTTCAAAGTTTCCCTGTTCCTGTCCATCTCTGTGTCTCATCTCCCCACCGTCATCACCCCCGCGTCAGGAATGCAACCCAACTACTCATACATGTACTCGTACTCTATCGTTCTCGGGCAGAAAGAGAGAAAGAGAGACTACGAGTAAGATGCTCATGGCCCTGCCGAATACACGCAGTCTACGTACCCTTTTTCATCCAGAACGTGACCGTATGCCTAGTTAGTGTACTAGTACATATGCGAGTACATGTACAAGTATATGAGCATTATTATCATGTACACATTGTATTATTAGTAAGGTCAGTGAGTGACGGGTCAGTCGGTAGGAAGTGACCGCCCCCCTTAAGAGATGGCCCCCAAAATGCGCTATGAGATTAATTATACCACGTAACACTTAGTGTGCCTACGACCCACAGACACCCCCGTAAGGCTACTGCCTTAGACTATTCCTTCTGATCGCCGATATCGTTGCTTACAACCATCAATATTGTTCTAGAAAAACAATACCAGCATAATTCCTCTAAACTTCTCTATCTCATGCGAGGGTTCCCCCCCCCCTAAGAACCCTAAGAAGTTCAGCTGAGAATATAGATACTTCTATAGATAATACGAAAAACGCTACGTAGTCAAACTATGCAATTATACGAGGAGAGTCTCTAATTGTACAAGCACTCTCTATATATGGTAAGATAAGAAAAAAGAGTGGTAATAATAGAGCATAAGAAATCACCTATTTAGGTAGTTGGTGGGGCTGGTGACCGCTTCCTAAGGAGTGGTCTTAGCACCACTCCAACCTTCCCTGGGCTTCCCCATTAATTCCAGGGTACCGCGCCAGCCATGACAAGAATAACCCCCCTCTAAAGGAAGAGGCCAAGGAGAGCTCCTCGAGACCGTCGATTAGAATATACGTGTATAATGGAAGACGTACGAGCATCGGGAGGAACGTCGAGGAGCATCATCAGTGTAGATCATTGAAAATCCGGCTGGCCCCTTTGGTGCGTTTGTGGGCGATCGGCATATGACATCACTACTCGGGTACGCACTTAACAAGTTGTTCTTGGCTGGGGCTCTTGGTGGGGTATCTCTCGGTTCACATGGAGGAGAGCGACGCCCGTAATAAAAATAGAGAAGATTGAGACACGCGCACGAGGATTCGTCAGCTATTAATGGCTTTGAATTATTGGTGAATCCGGATGTTGGCTATGAAGACGAGAAAGACAGAAAGAGAGACATTGTCCTCTTTGGACCCGATGATCGACCTCTCTCCCCCGGAACCGGGGTACAGAAGAGCCCCCGATTAAAAGCTGGAGATGTAAATAACGGTACGAGTGCATGCAGGAAAAACTGATTGGCTATAATCTCTGTAAGAGAGGTGGTATCAGAATAGGTGTGCGTCGTCGTTGTCATCGTTGTCCATCATTGCCACAGCGTCGAGCGCGCGTTCGGCACGGAGGGTTCCGGTCTGTTGACATCGATCCGGCGACGCCGAGGGCGGGCTTGAGAAATAGAAAAAAATGACTCGCCTGTTGGCGTCAGTAATAGTGATTTTAATTAAAAAAAAAAGGGACAGATAATGAATCCACATGTTGAGTGAAGCATAATGTTTCGGCGCGGTGGCTGTTGAAACTTGGATCAATAGTAGCCACACCTCCGCTTAGTCGTTGGAGATGGAGGCTGAAGAGAGATGAGAGAGATCGGACCATGTCTGCATAAAAACACACCAGCATACACATGTACTGGACATCACGAGGTCCGATGGTATATGGTTAGCAGTGTGTGTCTTCCCTCCTATCTCTCAAACCTCTCTCAGAACAAGGTACGGAATCTCTACGCACCCACCCGCCGCCTCTTGTACGAGCCCAGTTCCTCTCGTGCTCTTCTCCCGTCCCCTTGTGCATCATGGGAAGTATCTTGTCGTCTGCAGCAGTTGGCAAATGAATTCGGCAATCGCTATTCGCCAGCGATACAATGCAGAGGATGCAGAGGATAAGCAAGGTGCCTAGTGGCCCCCTAGCTAGTCTAGACCAATCTCTCTCTCTCTCTTTCTCCCTCTGTTCGCCCCTCCCCCGCCAATTTGCCCATTACCGGCCACTCTCTCGGCAGAAACCCGTCTTGTGCGAGTCCACCGCCAGAAGTAGAGGCCAACAAGCTGTGGTGTCAACCGATTAATTACGATGTATAAGGTGACTTCTCGGGGGGGGGGCCGTTTTCGCCATGGGGACGAGTATCTGGGGGGGGGGTAACGCACAGACAAGACCTGTCTTGGGGAGGAGTACCCCACTACCGAGAGGGGACGGGGGTACGAGTGAAGAGAGAGGGCGAGATGCAAATGGATGCAGATGCCTAGGAAACACGCCGCATCGTGCAGTTTTCTTAACCGACAGATGCCCTTAAAAGTCTTGTTGTTGTTGTTGTTGTTGTTGTTCTTATCGCTCTCATTTTTTTTACTTGATCGGACAAAATCGAAATTTCCGTGACGTCGTAATGCGTCGTTCCTTCCTTTTCTCTTCATCTTCGCACTCTTTCACTCTTTTTTCCTTTTTTCTCTTCTCCTCGTACCTTCCCAACATCCCCTCCACTCTTCACCCTATTGCCCCTTCCCAAATCTCCACTCTGCCCCTCCTTTCCTGGTCGGCAGCCACACCGCCATCTTTCCCCTTTTGGCCATACCTGGCTCTGTAGCCTGGCTTCAATAGCAGTAAAACCCACAGAATCCACAGAGTCCACAGAGTCCTGCACGCAGTCCCGCACGCAGTCCCGCACCACCAGCCATCATCCGCAATCAGAAAAACCCCCCCACCCCACGTTGGATCCCGTATTCATAGTCCCTTTACTCTTTACTACCCTCCCTCCTAACACTTTCTTTCTCCTCTTTGCTCCATCTTCAGCTCTCCTCCTTTCCTTCGTCAAACCTCCTTCTTTCTTGTCTCCTTGAATCACATTCGGCGTCTTCCAGCTTAAGGGCTTTGTGGCCGTCTCTCCACGTACCCTGACTATTCCAACAGCGACGCGTCAATCTACCAAGTGTGTGTCCAGAGCAACGGCTCCGGCCCCATCCCAGCGTTTTCGACGTTTCCAATATTTTTGCTCTACTCTGACTGCATTGTATTGCATAATATCGTCCGCCGTTTCCGCTGGTTTGACGCACACACACACGCTTATCTACGTAACCGGAGTTCTCAAGGAGACCTACATCATCAGCCATGGCCGACAGTGGGATAAAGGAGCACATATCTGACCTCCGGGACGCCGACCCGAAGTTGTCCTTGACTGGCAATATCATATCGGCTACGTTCAATGGCCCTCACTCGCTTTCCTACTGCAAGGATGGCCAATGGGTATGTTTTTGGAGGAGTAGAGAGACCCGAGAGAAGAGGGAGGCTCTTTGAAAGCCCTCTTGGGGGGTTGATAAGAAGAGGGGTACAGTGACTGACAATCTCTACCTGTAGGACCTCAAATCACGCAGCGGCCAATCCGCTCTCGTCGACTCGTTCACTCATCTCTCTTCCGATGAAAGCCCCTGGAACCACACCGTCGTGGCCTGGACTGGAGAGATTGACCCTCCCAAGGAAATGTACTCTCAGTCCGCGTCCTTCCTCGCCCCCGAGTCCCCTCTCCCGACAACCTTCGGCGCCTCATCCCTCAACCCCCTCTCGGCTCCCGTGCCCATCGATGCCACCACTCGCCTGCCTACCCCGCCAATGATCGACGGCCTCTGGATCCCTAAGGAGGACCAGAAGCGTCTCGAGAGTCAGCTCGCCCAGAGCAAGACGGTCCGCACAGTCCCCGTATGGCTCTGCGACGAGGATGAGACAAACGACGAGGGTATCACCCTCAGGGACCAGGGCAGGTGGCGCCGTTACGCCGAGCATGACATATACACTCTCCTTCACTACAAGCAGCAGGAACCGTCTGACGGCCGAAGAGAGCGGGTCCAGTGGTCAGACTACTACCGCATGAATCAAAAGTTTGCCAACCGCATCCTCGAGATTTACAAGCCCGGAGACCTCGTCATTGTCCACGACTACTACCTCATGCTGCTGCCCAGCATGCTGCGCCAGCGCGTGCCCAGCATGTATATTTCCTACTTTTGCCACGCCCCCTTTCCCAGTAGCGAGTTCCTCCGCTGCCTGCCCAGGCGCAAGGAGGTGCTACAAGGCATACTTGGCGCCAACCTTGTCGGCTTCCAGTCCGAGGGTTACTCGTATCACTTCCTCAGCTGCTGCACACGCATCCTGGGCTTCACCGCTGATAAATACGGCGTCAACGCCTACGGAACTAGGGTTCAGGTCGGCGTCTTCCCCATTGGCATCGATGCTTCCAAGACGGAGGCGGCTGCCTGGAATGACGCCGTCAACGCCAAGTATGACGCCTTCAAGGCCCTATACCAGGACAAGAAGATCATTGTCGGCCGTGACCGTCTCGACAGTGTGCGCGGTGTGGCTCAGAAGCTGCAGGCCTTTGAACGCTTCCTCGAGCTCTATCCCGAGTGGCGCGAAAAGGTGGTCATGGTCCAGGTCACGACGCCCACCCTCGTCGAGGCCGAAAAGGGTGATCCCGAGGCTAAGGTGACCAGCCGCGTCAACGAGCTTGTCATGAAGATTAACGGCCAGTACGGCAGCCTGGGGTTCACGCCTGTCCATCATTACCCGCGCTACCTCGACCAGGATGAGTACTTTGCCCTGCTCCGCGCGGGCGACATTGGCCTCATCACGTCGGTCCGTGACGGCATGAACACAACCAGCCTCGAGTACATTGTCTGCCAAAAAGAAGCCCACGGTCCTTTGATTCTCTCAGAGTTTAGTGGCACGGCCGAAAGTCTCGGAGACGCCATCCATATCAACCCGTGGGATGTCTCGGGCGTTGCCCAGAAGATCAACTCGGCCCTGACTATGGCCTATGACAGTCGCAAGAGCATGCAGACGAAGCTTTACGAGCATGTCACTACGCACAATGTCAAGTCGTGGATCAACAAGATGATATACAAGTTCCACAGCGTCCTCAGCGAGAACAACTCCGTGGCCACGCCGCTCCTTGACCGGGAGCTCATGCTCAGCACCTACACGGCATCGGGGAAGCGCATCTTCATGTTTGACTACGACGGGACCCTGACGCCCATTGTCAACACGCCGAGCGCGGCCGTACCGTCGGAGCGTATCCTGTACGCCCTCAACGTCCTGGCCAAGGACCCCAAGAATCTTGTCTGGATAATTTCTGGCAGGGACCAGGAGTTCCTCAAGCAGCACCTCGGTCACATTACCAACCTCGGATTCTCGGCCGAGCACGGCAGCTTTGTCAAGCTACCCGGGTCAGACGAGTGGGAGAATCTTGCCGAAAAGTTTGACATGTCGTGGCAAGATGAGGTGATCAAGATTTTCGAACACCACACGGACTTGGTTCCTGGTATGTTTTACCCTTTTTTTTTTCTTGTTCTTATCGGTTCTTTTTTTTTTTTCCTGGTTTTTCTTTTTTTCTTTTTCTTTCTCAGTTTTGTGTTTTTGTTTGCATTCTCGTGAAAGGGAGACAACAATATGAAGAGGAAAGCTCTTGACTAACTTTTGCTATTTATAGGCTCCGTCATCGAACGCAAGCGTAGTGCCCTGACATGGCACTACCGCCAGGCCCTCGATTCCAAGCTGGGTGCCGACACGGCAAACGAGGTGCTGCGTATCATTTCCAAGGAGGTCGGCAGCAAGTGGGAGGTCGAGGTGATGCCCGGCAAGGCCAACGTCGAGGTCCGACCGACCTTTATCAATAAGGGCGAGATTGTGAAGCGCCTCGTCGACATGTACCACACGCCCAACACTACCGATACGGGGAGCAGCGAGGGAGCAGTCGAGTTTGTCCTCTGCATGGGCGACGACTTTACCGACGAAGACATGTTCCGCAGCCTCAACGGCGTTTGCGGAACGCTCCTGGACCCGAACCACGTCTTCACCGTCACAGTCGGCGCCAGCACTAAGGTGACGTTGGCAAAGTGGCACCTGCTGGACCCGCAGGACGTGATTGACTGCGTGGCCTTGCTCGCCGGCGTAGGACAGGAATTGAAACCAGTCAGCGAGGTCAATCTGGCTGCTCTTAGTGCGGTTGAGGGTCATGTACCCACCAGGTTGATCTGACGTATGATTTGGCTGCTGTCGTCTATGCTTGGTCCGTTTTGACTCTTTACCCTCTTTCTTTTCTTATCTTCTTCATCATATATTGAATTGTTGCTTTTGAGAGGTTCTCCTTGGACAATTGGCGTTACGATTTCTTTGTACTTACATGCCTGCCATTGTCAGCGGAAAATTATAAGCGGATTATGACAACATTAGATAGGCTGGACAAGCGGTTTTATTTTCTAATCTGTTTTCTTTACAACAAACGAGATTATGTGTATGCGTTCCTTTTATATAATGACATTTGTCGTCTTGCTGGGCTGATCTTGTCTTGTTTTTCCTTTCTCGACGTCTTTGATAGAGAGACTACAAAGCGAATAGAGTATGTTATATACCTTTACAGTGAGTCGGTGGTTACTGTGCAGATAGGCACGAAGCACTGGAGGAGATGGTCATGGCGAATGACTAGACAATTCCAAAGTGTTAGGTTTAGGTCCCGGACCGGAATAACCATTATACGGCTTTTGGTCGGTGTTTTGTATGTGCAGATTAAACACGCAAATTTCTTTCTTTCTTTTGCCAAATTCCGTAAAATGAGGCTATCACGAACCCCTTCTTGTCGCATTCGCCCGTTTATTCCTCCTCCGTCATAGTATGATACATATGATATAATCAATACAAGTACGAATCTGCAAGTAGAGGGTCAAACATGCAACGTGCATTACCCGTATGAAACGGCCGCCGACTCTACAGATTACGTTGATATATACATCAGTACTAGTATCACTATACGGATATGCTATTATCAATATCACATTGTGGGAATAATATTACTGGTAAGGCAATAACACAATACAGGCATAGTAGTAGTAGTATTCCCACACAATCACCCCGACAACTACAGCGTTACAAGCACACGAGTTAGACTCACCATAACCTCGGGTATCTGATCATGTGAAGCAGAATGACATGGTCTCCATCCGATCAGTGTCCACTATTATATGTGCATCCATTCGAGTTGCACGCCATCCGGATATCCCTGCTTCCCTGAGTCGGGGTCAGGGTCGGGCACGGACGCAACGTCTTTACCCGATCGTGTGGTACGATATTCCCCAATGTGAAGGCCCGACCCATGGGGATTCGGAGAACTGGGGAGTTTGGGGAGACTGGAGAGGAAAAGACCGGATAGACTGGAGCTTGTAAAATGGGGCATTGGGGATAGACTGGAGACGTAATAGAAGAGAGAGAGAGAGAGAGGCCGGAGTAGACGCGGGGAACGGGCCGAAAAGGACAATGACCGGGTCGGTCGGATCATGTGGATCCTCCATATGTTGACGTATTACCTGCACAGATTACATGTATTATCCGTATTCTGAGTAGTTACATATTGTCGATTACAGTTGCAAGCGTCGTGCAATACATACCAGAATGGATGTTGTGATTACCACAGTATAAGATTTATGTCTTTTTTTTAAAAAATTTTTTTATTTACTCTTCTTTTTCTTTTGTTGCTTCCATCTTCTGTTCTCTCTCTCCTGATCAACTAGAGCAAAACCGTAGGATACGTCCATCTCTGTCTTTGTCAGCTGTATAATACTTCAGTCTACCAGGTAAGTAATGAACGTAATGAACGGTTTGAGCCGCAGAGTTGCAGTTCCCCTACACATGACCTCTGCGGTTCCGGACTCTTCGGACGGCTCGGGAGATTGGCAGATGTGACGCGTAAACTCTACATCAGGCCATGTCGTAGAGCAGCATCACACTACCGCACAAGACTTTGGGGCTTGCCAAACTCATTGGACGCGGGTCGAATTCCATCCGTTTGCGGTATGCCAGGATACCATCGCTTTAGTCTCTCCCTCATCAGCCCATGACTCCTCGCCTCCCTCCTCCCCACGCGTCCCACCGACAACGTGCTGGCCATTTAGACCCCGGAGAGGAGAGGGGCCCAGTGGCGATCGAAAGATGTAAAGACTATCCCCATACCCCACAAGACCAATTTTCTACAAGTAGACGGGAGGGAGTTGGCGGCCTTTGTTTCCTCCCCCATGATCCGTCAACGGCCCGATTTCAGATGAACGTGCCACTCCGAGAGTTCTAGAGCGTAAATCGCGAGATCCCGTTGGACTCGTGAGAGGCACATGACAATGACAACCGAGCAGAGCTATCTATGATGGGCCATTTTGGCTCGATACACGTACCATGACGCTTATATATTCGACCTGTTCTCTTCTCTCCTTGTATTCGAAGCCTTCTAGTACCATGTCGCATCGTCTTCTACCTTTCCCAGTTTCTTGACTCGACAACTCCAACCTCTTTTCTTACTCCTCTTATACCCGTTTCCCAACCTGTCTCTGCACAGACTCTCCTCAACACTTCTTCGCGCCGGACACCTGCCGTATGAGAAGAAGTAGACATGGACCGTCTATCCTTCTTGACCGTACACTTTGATCAACATGATCCCCGGTCGGCCGCCACCAAAGAGGGTCGGCGTCAGTCCGAGTTCGACCTCGACTACTCCCCCTTGCCGCGAGTGACTATGCGCACCTTCGTCATGGCCCTTCTAGTCTCCATGGGTGGAGTGATGTGAGCTCTTCTCTCTCCCCAATCAGTCTCTCGTCTTCACAACACCCCCTTCACAGCTGTCGTGGAGACCAATCGTGCCTTGACTAACAAGCACAGCTTCGGATACGACACAGGCCAAATCTCCGGCTTCCTCGAAATGCCCGACTTCCTCGACAGGTTCGGGCAGACGAACAGCGACGGAGAAAAGTACTTCGGCACGGTGCGCTCGGGACTGATCGTGGCCCTCCTGTCCATCGGCACGCTGATAGGCGCGCTGGCGGCGGCGCCCATAGCAGACCGATTCGGACGACGGCCTTCCATCTCTTTCTGGTGCATCATCACGTCGGTGGGCTTCGTGATCCAGATAGCGGCCGATAGGGCATGGTACCAGATCATGATCGGCCGTCTCGTCGCCGGTCTGGGGGTGGGGGCCCTGAGTCTCCTGGTGCCCATGTACCAGGCCGAGACGGCGCCGTACTGGATCCGCGGAGCCCTGGTGTGCGCGTACCAGCTCTTCATCACCCTGGGCATCTTCCTGGCCGCGTGCTTCAACTACGGCACCGTCACACACCAGCGCTACAACTCGTCGTCGTGGCGCATAGTCATCGGCCTCGGATGGCTGTGGACCGCCATCCTAGGCGTCGGAATCCTCTTCCTCCCCGAGACCCCCCGGTACGACTACCGCCACGGCCAGAAGGAGAGGGCCGAGAAGACGCTGACCAGCATCTACGGCGCCTCGTCCAACCACTGGAGCATCCGGACCCAGCTCGACGAGATCGAGAGCAAGCTGCGCGCAGAGGACCAGCTGATCAGCAGCGGCGCCATGTCCGAGTTCATAGGCATGTTCAGGGCCCCCCGCATGGCCTACCGCATCGCCCTGGGCGCGGCCCTCCAGATGTTCCAGCAGCTCACCGGCGCCAACTACTTCTTCTACTACGGCACCACCATCTTTCAGTCTGTCCAGATCGACTCGTACATCACGCAGATCATCCTCAACACCATCAACTTTGCCGCCACCTTCGTCGGTCTGTACATGGTCGAGTACTTTGGCCGCCGCAACTCACTCATCTGGGGCGCTCTCTGGATGTTCGTCTGCTTCATGATATTCGCCTCCGTCGGCCACTTCCTCCTTGACCTCGACGATCCCCAGTCTACGCCCACGCCCGGAATCGTCCTCATCGTCTTTGCCTGTCTCTTCATCTTGGGCTTCGCCACCACCTGGGGTCCTATGATCTGGACTCTCCAGGCCGAGCTCTTCCCCTCTCGCTACCGTGCCAAGGGCATGGCTATAGCAACAGCGAGCAACTGGATCTGGAACTTTATGATTGGTTTCTTCACTAAATTCATCACAAACGCCATTGATTTCCGATATGGTTACGTCTTTGCCGCCTGCAACTGCGTCGGTGCCCTCATCGTCTACTTTTTTGTCATCGAGGGCCAGGGCCGGACCATCGAGGAGATCGACACGGCCTATCTCGATGTAAGCATATCCCTCCCCCCTTTCCTTATCACTCTTGTCATCGCACCCACTAACCTGCATGGCAGCGCGTCGTTCCCTGGAAGAGCAGCCAGTGGGTGGCTCCCCCTCCCGAGGAGATGGCCCGACGGAGACGCGAGGCTGGCACGGAACTCGACCCCGAAGCCCTCAATGAGCAGCGTGGTAGCGAAGAAGCGGCTGGGGGCCATGAAGCTAAGGCCGAGGAACATAATGGCGGTGATGTTCAGCACGGAGAGCACGCTTGAGGGAGGGGGGGGATGCAATGTGGCGTCATGTCACGATGCAACGCTGTACAAGTATGAGCCAGATGTTGCTCGGCGATGGATAATACCCAGACAACTCATGTTTAAATTTCTTTGTAACATAGATAACTGGCGATATGAACACAAGAATGGATTACGCGTTTACGTTGGCATCTACGCCCTCACCGGAACTCTGTGCAGCCACGAGACGCGATCTCCGGACATGGGATCCTCACTTCAAGCTTTCGTGTTCAGTCCGTATTATCGAGGACTTGTCCATCGAGGTCTGCGAGAGAATTGCTAAATGGGACTTGGTCAAGATCTTCCTAACCGTATACCATTATCACACTTTCGCTCTACACGACCGGAACCAACGGTCGACACGGGCTCCAGAGTATGGGCCACCTTCAAGTTCCATGGAGGGGCATACACCTCTACCCTTTCTAACCACCGTCTCGATGGTGCTGGGACAGATGCATCAAGTATCGTGAATAATCAATGTTTCGTATTTTCTCTGAGCTGTATTCACCTGCTGGGGTCTTCTGGGGATGACTGTGCTCGCGGTGCTCGCATCTGTCTTCATGGTAAGTGAATGGACTTAGGGCACCCATAACCCTGTAACCCTATGACAGGGTGCAAGTCTTTCAATCTCGATACATCATTCTCGATAAGTGATATTAGTCGAAATGGAGTATATATAGGCCATTCCCTACTCTCCTCATAATCTAGGCATTCTTGAAACAGGATGGAGAAAACAACCAAAAAAACAAATGATCGTTAGAAGAGAAAATAAGAATGCCTTTTTCGCCACGCTTTACCCAAATATATAAGATACTGGAAGATGATGGGGAAAAAAAAAAAGTCTTACACCCCGATTGCATTGTTCGGCCGTGAATAAAGGAAATAAGAGAAGAAATGACAGGCGAGAATTGGGAAAAGAGAAAAGAAGGACAAGCGAGAAAATTGAGAAAGGAAAAGAAGAAAAAAAAAAGAAGAAAAAAAAAGGGGGAAAAATCATTCTCAAAACCTTTGAAAGAAACATCTATCATCATCTGGAAACAAGACAAGCTTCCCTTACAGAGTGTATACAGCGCTCCTCTATGCTTCCTGACGCGAAACTGGCACTGCATTCGTCGTCGCTGTTGCCGCTGTGGTTGGTGTTGTTGCTGTCGTCGCTGTCGCCGTCGTATTGACCTGCGCTTGGGCAAGAAGTGCTTCGCTGAGCTTGGGAGTGACGAGGTCTGGGTTGGGCTCATCAGAACCGACAAACGTCCAGCTCTCCTCGTTCTCGTCCCCGTCGTCCTCCTGTCTAGCTGGGTCGGCATTCTTCCCAGCCTTGAGCATGATGAGCCTCTTGGCATACTCGAGGTCGCGGTATATGCATTGAATGGCCATGTCGACCCCGTTTTCCTGTATTCAGTTAGCCATTTTACCTTGCTGGTCCACGGTCATGGTGCCCCCCATGACGAGAAATGATCGAACGCATCCTACCTTGCGAATCTCCTCACCGAGGACCCTCGCCTTGACAATCATACGGTGGTTGCGCGTCGCCTCCCACAGCGCCCGGCCAAAGGCAGTGGTCCCCCACTTCCTCAGGTGCACGCCGACGCCCAGGTCCTCGACCCTGTTGGCAAAGAAGTACTGGTCGCCGAAGAAGGGTCGGATGATGGTCGGGATTCCCGCTCTCAGGCTGGCGCCCGTCGTCCCCGATCCGCCGTGGTGGGCAGCGGCGTCGATGCGGCTAAACAGCCAGTCGTGCGGTGCCGACTTGATGACGTGGATCTCGGGAGGCATCTCTGGCTCTGGCTCGCGAGCACAGTTTCTGTTTCCGTCGCCCGCTTCTCCCGCCTCTCCCTTCACTTCCGCCTCGGCCGCCGCTACGGATATCCGTTCGGACCAGCCCTTGGACAGGATGCAACGCACGTCCGCCTTGAGGACGGCGTCAATAACCTCTCGTGTCATCTTGGCAGGGTCATCGACGATGATGGATCCGAACCCAACGTATACAAGCTTCTTTCCATCGTCACGGGCCTTTTTGATAAAGTCCAGGAGCGCCTGGGGAGGCTCATACTTGTCACCCTCATCCAGGAACCAGTATCCCGTGACCCTGATCCAGTCGGAGAAGTCGAGAGGAGGGGTGACGACGCTGGGGGAGAAGTTGTAGAGGAAGGGCACCTTATTGGGCTGCATCTTCTCCATGCCGGTGCTCGGCAGGCCCAGAGTCTGGTTGCGCCAACGGTTGACCTGGTGCGCAATGGCCTTCCAGAATATGTTGTCAAACATTATGTACGTCATGTAGTTGTACGCTCCGCCCATCTTATGCTCAGGCATGATGAAGGCGTGGGGGTACGCCCTCGTGCGCGTCCAGGGCATCGTGAAGGCCCTGAAGTAGGGGATGCCCATCTTCTCGGCAATGTGAATGCCAGCCATGGCCGAGGGGGACTCGATGAGCATATCGCTGCCCTCGCAGGCCTCAACAGCCGAGAGAAGGAGCCCGTCAAGCCAGCCCCGGAACGAAGAGTTGGCCTCGCGTAGAAAAGCCCAGGTAAATGTGCCATGCTCTATGCAGAGGCACATGAGGTCGGCGGGGTCGCCCTCGACGCGGGCAAACTCAATTCCGTGCGACTCGATCCATCCCTGAAACTCGGCATGCGTGGCGATGCGAGGCTTGTGGCCCTCAGCCCTCAGCCCCTTGCAGAGGGCAATGTACGGCTGCACGTCACCTCTGGAACCAATGGTGAGACACGTAATCCTCATAGATTTCTTGGGTTTGAAGTTGAGAAGCGACGTGTCCGGGTCGAGGATAGTCGGGACGGCGGACAGGCCCGTTGCCCGGCGCCCGGTGCCGTGCATGTCGGGAATGGACGACTCGAGAAGCTCGCTCTGGCTCTGCGCCGCCTGTCTGTGAGGATCGTGCTCCTCATCAACGGTGCTGGCCGTGTCCTCGCCATCGGCTGGCTGGCCCTGCAACTTCCTATTGACCTCCTTGGCCTCCTTTAGATACCGTGTGGCCTCGAGGCTTCGGAGAAGAGTTACGGTGCAGTCGTCGCGATCGCCGGCCTGGCCAAACTCGAAGAAGAGCTCCTCGTGGCCCTTGATGACGACAACCAGGCCCGAGTACCCGAGACGGAAGCCCTTCTCCTTGTGAACCGTCTCAATGTCCTGGAGCGGCAGGATGAGCTTCGTGCGGGTGCCAGGTAGGAGGCTTCGGAAGCAAAATGAACGGTCGCTGATGTATACCTTGCCGTAAAGCGGGAGCACACGAAATATGTATCCAAAGTAGGTGGCCTGCAATTTCTCTCCCTCGGGTAGAGAAAAGTGCGCTCGGAAGCGGTCCCTGGAGACCTGCAAGGTTCCCTCAGGATCCCTTCCCAAGTCGTCATCGGGGTTGAGACCGTCGGGGTCGTCATAGTGCTTGCGAGCCCCCTTCCACATTCCGGAAACCTTCTCGACATAGCCCATGGACTCGGACGTGATTAGCGACCTCATATGTTGCTGTGTCTTGTTCAGGTAGCCGGCAAGGGCGCCGGCTCGCTCGAGAGGGTAGGAACCCATTCTGCCAATGTTCTGCAGAGTCTGCAGGTGGAGCTGCTGGTGCTGCTGCTGCTCTTGCGGATCCAGGTTTGCCCCAGATGACTGCTCACCGGTCTGGCCTCCCGACGAGCAGGGGCGCCCAGAGTAGGTAGCCAGCCCGGGCGTCGGCGTCCTGCTATTCCGAGCAGGGCCGATGGGGTCATCGGGGGACAGGGCGTGATGCGCCCTCACGGGGCTCGTCTGCTGGAAGACCTGGCTGTCGTTGAGGAGCTGGCTAGCCGAGGGGTCGTCGGCCGCAGACGAGGCGATGTTGGAGAAGCTGGGATCCTCGATGGATGACTGGAGAACGAACGACTCTGACTCCTCGCCATTCTGGTGAGACGGGAACCTTTCGTCATCAGTCTGATGGGCACTGGAAGACCTCGGGCTGCCTGGGCTGAAGGCTCCGGTGAGGAATCTGCTGCGCGTCATGTCGTTGGGGACGCCGCCCAGCTGTGAGGCATCGCTGGAACGCCGCGAATCGCGGGTGCTGCTGACCGCCGGCCCTGGGCTTGACAACGTCGGCGACGTAGGATCGAATGATGTCTTGGCACGACCAGATACGCTTGATGTTCGTCGGGCCCTGTTCGCACCAGAGAATGGCTCTTCAGCCGGTGGCCTGTCCCATTTCCCGTTCGCAGACCCGCTGCCGTCGCCGCCGTCGCCTGCAGGTATATTCGATCCGTTTCCCTCGACGGAGAGTTTGAGAATATCTATCGCTTCGACGCCATGGGAGAAAAATGAGAAGAAGTACTACTCGTGTCTTGTCAGTCTCTGTATGCCGGATTTCGCTGCCGTCATGCTTCTTACCTCGTCGATGGCAAAAGTCTCATCGCTGTCCACAACGCGAATCTTGCACGTGTGGGCAAACTCGACCATGTGTGCCTCCTCCACATCGACGACATTGGAAATGGGGAGCGAGATCTTGACCGTATCACCCTCGTTGTGGCTTCGGAAGATGACGCGCTGCAGCGACTTCACCCACTCCTTGGCGCTCGGGGCGCTCTCAGCCCTGAATGCGTAGGTGCGGTGGCGTGTGACGATGTCGAAGTGCGTGCCCTCTTTCTCCTTGTCTGTGATATTCACCGAGATTCCGTATGTGAGGTCGATCTGTCCGTGAGGGAAGTACGGGTTTGTGGCGTCGTGGTAATATGACAGCACGTCGCCTTTGAGGCGGAACCAGTATCTATTGTACTTTGGGTTCCTCTTGCCAGTTTTAGATAGGAAGCCAGTTTTGGTTGACTCGGTCTAGACGCGTGTCAAGGTCAGCAACCGGGCACGTTGCCGTCGCACGACAGAAGTGGGACGCGGTCTCGCTCACAGTCTTTTTGGGCAGGTAGGCGTAAAAGCAGATGTGCTTGGCGGTGATGTACAGGAACCCTTGCAGGAGGACGCTTTGGAGCAGCCAGCAGGGGTACTCCTGGACGACTTGCTCAGGCTCTTCAAAATCGAAGATATCCTTGAGGCGCTCGGCCAGCTGCGTTGGGCCATCTTGGGGGCTGGATCCCGCAGCTTCACGGCTATCGAGATCAAAGCTGGGCCGGCTAGACATCTGGGCTCGGGCTTCCAGCATCCTGCTCATGACCGGTGGAGGCCTGTCTTCATCCTCCTCCTTTATAGTTGCTGGAGGGCCGAGAGCGTTGCTGACTTGGGGAGCCAGGGTGGGCGGTGTCGGGAGTTTTACTCCTCGTGGTTTAGATTTGATCTTTGGCAGGGACGGAAGTGATCTGAGCAACTTGTAGCTTCTCTTTATCGACGTCTTGTTCTTGTCCAGCCCTCGGCCCGGTGGCTGTAGAATGGTCGTCTGGGACAGGTCCTCTGTTCCAGTACCCTTGATGTCGTCGGCGTCGTCATCGTCATCGCTGCTGGACTCTTCGAACCGGTGGGTGAAGTCGACCTTGGCGCCGGCAGCTGCGATAAGGCCAAAGATACTCTGGTTCATGTTCATGTATAATGGAGGCCCTTGACTGGGGGCATCGTCGCCGGGGCCGTCATCGTCAGAGGAGTCGCTATCTCTCAGGCCTTCGGGGAATGGCAGGCTATCGTTGTACTGTTCCTGCTGCTCATCCGCGACAGAAGCGCGGCTTCGTCTGACGGGGAACCCGCCGTCACCCGGCGGCGGCGGCATGGTTGTGGTGTGCTCGTCGGATTACACCAACGATACTGGGCCTCGGCTCTCGGAGTAGCAGGCACCACAGACTTTGCTCCGTCCCGGTCGGGTAGAAGGCAAAAGATGGAAAGGGTATGATAAGTTAATGGTGGTGACGATTATGCGATGCAGACGATAAAAACCCCAGCAGAATCGAGACGACATCTGGTTGGGGTATCGTGCGACGAGATGTTGCTGCTGCTGCTCTGGGGGCGATGCTGATGACGACAGTGAATGCCTATGGGCCGCTCTGGGGCCCCACACACATGCAGAGGAGCGGCTACCGAGGGGACCGGGGGGGAACAGCTGATGCCTGGAGTATCAAGTGGGAAGAAGAAAGAAGGAGAGAGAGGTCAGGCCCTCAGGCAGCACGCGTCGACAGGATTCCGCCAAGAACAGAAGACAGCATAACGGTCACGGGGGCCTTGCACAGAGGATGGTGCTGATGCTCGGGAGACTTCGGTGGTCATGAATCGAGGGCAGGAGCAAAGGAGCGGGCGGTCAGCAGTCTAAGAACCTTGTGTGGGGCTCTTTCCGTTATACGAGTATTAATAGGTGGTACATTGATTTGGCTCTTAGCCGCCCTTGGGGGTTTTGATTTTCAAGTGTCTTGTGATTTTTTAAGGGTTCTACTTCGTAATACCATAGAAACGGTGTATTTGTATTGAGATGATTCAAGGGAAAAGGAACTTGATGTTCAAGAGACTGGTCTGGATAGGTATATTAGAATGATATATCTCAGCATCAGGAGTTGAAGGACATCTAATATTGGCTATCGCTTTCTCTATGAACCATTGTAATACTCTTATCCACATGTAGGTTCGCCATGACTGCCTTTCCGCTTCTGACCGCGTCGCACCACCCGTAGAAGAATATGACGGCATAAGACTGACTGCGTTAGTTACATGTGGCGATATTGCTATACCGGGGCAAGGCCAAAGGCCGACTCGCATCGTGTCATGACCAAGATTCCAGCCTTTAATTCCATCGAGTGCCAGAGTTCCCGTCAAGACCAGCCATGGATGGACAGGGTAGTGGGCCGCTCTTGATGTCCTAACCTCCGCGAAGGAAGAAAAATGTCTGGATTTGGCACCATGTTTCCTCACGGGCCCGGATCTGATTCCGGTAGTGTTTCTCCACGTGGTCCCGAACTAATTAATAGTATGCCCCCCCCCCCCCCCCTTCAAAAAAAAAAAAGCCCCGTATGGTAATACTAACACGGTATTATTATTATTACGGAGTACTCCGTGCTTTGCCGTGGGTTCAGTTGTTAAAACCGGTGTACGGGTGTTTCGTATCGTTCCGGAAGCAATGACGAATGGCATCAAAGCACCATTGTCACGTTGACCTACGAACCCGCCTTCCATCAACCCAATCCTCTTCCACGCATCTGCCCCCAAAGTCATGCTACGAAAATGTCTACGAAGAAAGAATACACTGCTAAGGTTTTGACTGACGGTCTCTACTTTGGTGAGTCTCCCCGGTACCGAGATGGCAAGCTGGTCGTCAGCGACATGATCGGTCGCAAGATCTACTCCATCGATCCGGATTCTGGCAACAAGGAGGTTCTCCTCGAAGTAGCCAAACCAAGCTCTACGAGTACAAGGATGGAAAGTCAGAGCTATATGCAGACATGAGTGGAACCATGACTGGCTACTGCGGGGACATGGCCATCGACAAGTCGGGGAGGGTATTCTTGGACGACACAGGTGCCCGTGTCCTTCACGGCGAGACTCCTCGTGTGGGACGCTTGCTCCGAATCGACCCAGACCACAGCGTCCACAAGGTCGAGGATAAAATCGTCTTCCCCAACGCTCTCTGCATCAGCGCGGACGGCAAGACGCTCTACAACGCCGAGACGTTCGGCTATGGTCTCCTCAAGTTCGACCTCGCCGAGGACGGATCCCTGAGCAACCGACAAAAGGTGCGGACTCCGGCGAGCGTCGCTGGATAGAGGGGAGCATCTGCCGCTTCCATGATTGGTATCGACGGTGGCTGCATCGATGCCGAGGAAGGGATGTGGCTGAGTCTCCTTGCCCTGGAACAGCTTGTTCGCCTTGATTTGGCCACTGGACAGGTTACGCACCGCATCAAGACGGATGGCCACGCGGTAGCCGCCACTTTAGGGGGACAGGATGGCAAGACGCTGTTTTTCTGCGTGAACTGGACCCCTCCAGACGATAACCTCTTCGAGGCCATGACGGCACGGAAGACCCGGTGTACAATCATGTCTACACGGGTGGATATAGGCAAAGGGGACGCCAGGCCTCAGGGAATCGATCTTTCTGGATAGCATACAATTAGTGGAATGCGCATGACGTTCTTGTAAACACATTCGTGATGTGAATACACACGTACATGCATTCAGACAAACGCTACCCTCGACTATGGCACCAAACTTTAGTCCACCCGTGTTAGGTGATATCCAAATAACGGTATCGACAATGCAGGCCATGCAGTATACAATATGTACACCATTGTTAACTAACACCACTGGCAGTAACATCATCCTTGGAAGCCTTTCCACTGCATACCACATACATCTTGGTCTGTCTATGCTAGCTCTTTCTACGTAATTCATCCGTGTGTATCTGCAACCGTCCTTCACTTCAACCCTCTGTCAAGGCGTGTCTTCGTCTGGTTGCGTAAATCCGTATTAGCAACGTCCGTGGACTTCTCTCATCAAGAAGTGTGCCTCTGAAACAGTGTGATATCCAAAGAGCCGGGGCGGAACTCCTGGTGCGAGTGGAGAGTATCGCAGGTGCGTTTAGTTAGAGAAGGAAATAAAGCCATTCGCAGGGTAAGGGAAGAGTTATACCTGATTTATACATGTGGATATTACTAACCTGCAGAAAGCCCCCATCTCCAAAAGCTCTGGACTGCTGCTACAGCTTCTTCCATCCATTCCTTTATGCTCCTAGGAGTAGGTCACAGTAAACATATTATACCTCGAGCCTCTGCTTAAACAGCTCGATATGAGGTTTTAACAAAACCAGCCTAAATGGCTAGGTCCTCATGCGGTCAAACCCCAATCTCGAGGCGCCTTCTACGACAGACGTGATCTACGCCGGACTACAGCTTGTGCTCTGTAGTGAGACGTCGCCAGCGTATCGAAACGTTCCATTCGCCCCCTCTACCAATAGTGAACCCTTGCCCAAGACTGTTCCTCAAGCTGATCGTGTTTGCAGTTGGGACTATGTCACCCCCTACCCCCACCTCTCGTGAGACCTCCTCGTTCTCCTGTCATATATACGAGGAATCTGGGTATACAACTCCGGCACTGTCGGATGGGACCTCCAAAATGGTGTAGCAGACTAAGAGTGACAGTTTGAGTGTGCCAGCTTAGACTGAAGTCTTACACACATGCACTACTAATAGTAGCGGCAACGCTTCTCCGTTTGCAGTGAACGACAGACCGATGGTGGAGGTCTGGTAACCGCACGAGGCGGCAAATTTCTTAACCGGTTTCTTTTGATCGAGGTGTCAAGTACAATCGTTCATCCCATCTATGATAGGCTTGGTCTGTGTACGTGTGTCTTTGTGGCTTCCAATGCCGCCGGACCATCCAAGGCCCAATACTGGTTGCAAGACGAACATTCTGTTAATCATAGGTTACGCGTCATAACACATCTTCCTGTTCAATTGAAGATGGAAGCACATCTTACTGCATATGCCAATATATGGGGGTGAGATTTCAAGTGCCTTGACGAATCGGTTGAAAAATGAGACCGCATAAGCGAGTACGTGAGGGGCAAAACTCGTCAATAACTGACTCTATTTTCCCATCCAGGAAAAATGTCACCGTTGCTTACGCTCTGATCTCTGACCGTCGTAAGTACATTGTGTGCCAGATTCGATGAATGACCAATTACTCTTGAGGAGGAATGCTGATGGCCTGTAGACCAGATGTAGCTGTTGATGTATCATCACTCTGATCTACGAAAGTATCATCTGCGTACATGTAGTGTCAAGCGAGCAACGGGTTTCCGTCTGCTTTGACGACGGGGGATAATATTCTGAATAAGTATAAGATCCAGGACGGTCAGAGGAGCTAGAATTCTCAACGGTAGTCTACAGAATAGCTCACTGCAACTACAATGAGCTCTCTCTCCTCCAAAGCTATTGGAGACCTCAAGAGTCTCCTTGACGTAGCTACCTCCGACAAGGACACCGGCCTTCCTTGTGTGGGCGCTGTCGTTGTAGGTAATGGGCGTCATTGGGCCACTGAGCTATTCGAGCAAGTCGACGACAAAGCCGACTTCTATTGGCTTGCCTCGTGTACCAAGCTGGTGACGTCGATTGCATGTCTTCAGCTTGTTGAGAAGGGTGTACTGGCGCTCGACGATGCTGACCAAGTTGAGCGGCTATGTCCCGAACTGAAGGATATCAGGGTCGTCAACAGAGACGGGGCCCTCGAGGATAAGGAAGGACGCATCACCTTGAGAATGCTTCTGACACATACCGGTACGTCGATTGGCTCCAGATGAGGCTTCTTGGCTAACGCAAATGCAGCCGGGTTCGGATACTCGTTTATGAACCTGTCACTGGCCAAGTACAGGGAAGGTCAGACTCCGTTTGACGAGATGTCCGGTTCCATGGAGGACATGCTCCAGCCCCTTGTCAATCAGCCGGGAAGGACCTTTGAGTACGGAGTACGTTCTCACCCCCCTCTCCCCCCCAAGATCACATTAACAAGGCTACTAATACTACGCCAGATATCGCTCGATTGGGCCGGCATATTGCTCGAGCGCGCTACTGGACAGAAGCTCAGCGAGTATATGCGGGAGTCAATCTTTGAGCCTCTCGGAATCGAAGAGATGACAATGTTCCCCTCAAAGGATCTCCAGGCTCGTGTTGCCGGGCTATGGAATCGTGGCGAGGATGGTGTAGTCCGGCCAGGTCCCCTTCACCTAGACAAGTGGTTCAACGCTACCAGCCCCGATGATGCATTCAACAGCGGCGGTGCAGGGCTCTGTGGGACTTTACGAGACTTCTCCAGTATGTGCAATCCCACCATCCTCTATAGAAGAGCTCACGACTCACACAAACGTCTTCTCTCTATCCTCATCAGAGATCCTCGTGACACTGCTCAACAATGGCACGTCGCCAACTACAAACAAGAAAATCTTGAAGCCATCTACAGTCGATGACCTTTTCACAAACCAACTCCCGGACCAGCCTGACTTTGCCAGGCGTCCGCTTCCTACATGTAAGCCCTGGGTGACCTCGGCGGCACCGGAGCTGTACCCGTTTTGCCCGCCATCTAAACCCCAGGGATGGGGGCTCGGGGTCATGTTGTCACCCAGTATCACCGGACGCTCGGACACAGCAGCTCACTGGTTTGGGGTCTCTAACTTGTTTTGGTGGTGTGATAGGGAGAAGGGGGTTGCGGGCATAGTGGGATCCCAGATACTTCCGTTCTCGGACCCTCAGGTCGTTGAGCTTTGGGCTCAGGTCGAGTCCAAAGTGTACGAAGATGTCAGTAAATAGTGAAGATTATCTATCATATGAACACAGAGCGAGCCCGTCGACATTGTTCCTTGCTAATCACATTCAACGACGTCATTGCTGGTACATCGTGGAACCTCTAGGACCATTTTCTATTCTACATTCTCGGATTGCCTACTCCCCGTCTAGTCCAAACACATGAAGTTCCCCAATTTCGCGTTCTGTCCATCCCCACATTCTTTAATATCATTTCACCCGACCCCGCCTTCTCCGCAATCAATCCGGGGATGCCTCCGCCGTGCCCCGCGAGTTCTTCTAAGTCTCTGAGTAAGTACCGGATGCACATCCGCCGGCGCCGCTGGCAGTGACCATCTACCAAGACAGAATAGGTTTGATGACCTTCTCATCGTTCAGTACAAAAGGGCTATCCGGTGGGCTTTCTGACTGACTACTCACCCGTCCAGACTTGAGGTCGGCCAAGGCTGCGTCCAAGTTGTCAGCCGGGTACGTTTTGGAGATTTTGTCAATGGGAAATTTCCCTTCATTGAATAATTGAAGCAATTGGGGGACAAGCTATAGCATTGTCAAGTTAGTATGCAGCGTCAGTAGTGGGAACGAAGTAGGCTCTACAGACGAACCTTTTGAGGATCAGCCCAGCCTTCTATGACGCCGATAACCTGCTTGCATCCCGTAAGCATGCTGAGCGCGTTGAACTTGACATCGGCGGTTGGAGGCGGAACTCCAACAAGAGCAAGTGTTCCGCCATGGGATAATGCATCAAACGCCGAATTGAGAAGAAATGGCAATCCTGTCGTATCAATGATCTTGTTGATACCATCCGGAAAGATTTCCCGTATACCGGTAGTAAGATCATCGACAGCCTTGGAGTCGATGATGTGTGTTGCGCCCAGAGTCAAGGCAAGCTGCAGCTTGTAGTCGACGATGTCGACGGCGACGATAGACTTGGCGCCCCGCTGCTTTGCTGCCATGATGGCAGCGGATCCAACGGCACCCACACCCAGGACGGCCACAGTATCCTCAGGTGATGGGTCAAGAACATTGAACACCGTTCCCGCGCCTGACAGATATCCGCACGCCAGAGGGGGCAGAAAGGCCAGATCTTCGGGTCGAGCGCCGTGGAGCTTGACAACGCAGTTCTGGGCGACGACGGCCATCTTACTAAGAGACGACTGGCCGAAGAACTGCCCGTGGACTGGAGATCCATCTGGAAGGCTGATGGGGGACTTGGCGTTCTTGGCGAGCCTGGCAGTGAGGAAATTCAACTCTGTTGACCTTTCGCAGGCTCCTATACGCCCAGAGTTACACTGGCGGCAGGAGTAGCAGTTGTGCATCGACAAGAGAACTGTATCGCCTCTAGAAAGGTCCTTGTTGGTGACTGAAGATCCAATGTGTCTCACGATGCCGACTCCTTCGTGGCCCAGAACAGCCGGGTAGCTGCCAACCGGCATGCCACCGTGCTGGACCACGATGTCCTTTGTTGTCAACTTAGTATAGGATTTCATGAATTGTTGTCTGGAAATACCAAGACTCACCGTATGGCAGAGGCCTGTGTACTTCATCTCAACAAGGACCTCATCGTCCCTGACTTCATCAAGGACAACGTCCTGCAGCACGAAAGGATCCCCCACCTTGTCTACCACATAAGCCCTGGTCTGGATATTCTTGAACTCGCCCATTTCGTGTTCTGGTTCCTTGTAGACTGCTATCAGCGCCTGGAGGAACTGTACGGAAGGCAAAAGACGAGGGGGGGGGCACGTACACGTAATATCGAACTTGACATGCTGAGGCTCTAATCCCGCGCCAAGGTCCGGGAGTGAAACTGGGAGTATGTAGACCCACTTGGTATTTCTTTCGCTGCGATCTATTGTGCAAAGTGTCGATTGTGTTGTCCCGAGTTCTACTCGTATCCTTTCAACATGCCGAATACGGGAACCATGCTCCTCTAACTGATCAGGCATGTCGGTGTGCTTATAATCCACCCGTTCTACAAAAACCACGGAGACTTTCCACTCAGCTCTTTCGAGTGCATGCGATTGCCAGTCGAGTTCGCTCGTATCTAGCAATTGGTCTATTTCTTGGGGTGATCGATCAATAACACTCATTCGCAACGTAACCGCACAACACCGGGTTTTTTTTTCTTTGCTTTTCCTTATTAATTATAATATGCGACGCTAAATCTGCAGCTAAACTTCAGCACACGCAGAGATTCCCGCTATTTTCTGGTCACTGTGCCTAGGCTTAGCGGACCCGGAGGATGTTATCAGACCCAGAAACAGCCATGTCGTACAGGTTGCCGAAGCCCCTCGGTGGAAGCCGTGAGCTTTTCTTTCGTCTTGGTGACAGATACTAGCGGGACCGCTGAAAAAGCGACTTTCCGCCTGCGTAGGACAGGATGATGTTGCAGTTGGGGTTGTTGCGGGGACAGTCTTGTTATACACCATGTTCAAGGCGGTCTGGGCTGTCTCAGACGAATAACGAATGGCAGACTAGGAAAGGCCGCAGACCAGGATTGCGTTGACAAGGTGGATGGGGTGGCCGAGGATCGCCGCAGAGCGAAGGTTGGGCCTAGCCCAGATGTCCTTGAAAATCGGAGGGCCAAGGTAGTAGTTGTCTAGGTCGTAGCGGGTGAAGAGGGTAATTCCCTCGGCCTCGAGAACATTGGGGGCGTAGGCAATTCCCTTCAAGGCCAACTCTTTGTCCAGGATATAGGTAGGGGAGGGCAGCCAGCAACCTATACCGAATGGGTTCTCATCACGGAATTTGGCGACGCACTCATTTGTAGCTTGAGAGAGCGTCGCCTAGACCTGGGGAATCCTTGAGGATATAGGTACCAGAGGCTGTCAAGGAGGGATTGAAAATTCGGATACCCTACTTTCTTCTCAACTGCCTTTTAGGCATCGTCACTCCCGTTGAGGGGCCTCCCATCCCGGAGGATCTATACTGGAGGGCATGCTAGCGGGGAAGAAGTTTCAGTATCTGTTTCCTAGAATTCATGGAGGGGCCCGTGTCATTGCTCATCCTGGCGATAGAGCTCAGGGGCAAAGCGGTGAATATAGATTCTGTTGTCGGTACTCATGTTGACGACTTTCTTTCGGGGGAAAGGCATATAGTAGATAGAAGTAAAACTATGACACAATATAACTTTGATCAAGACATATTGACTTTTAATGAGGAACAGAGTGTCTGTACATTTCCGATCCTATTTCGTGTACCCCAGATGTTCTCCCCGGATCACTAGGCGGAGCCCGGACTCTGCATAATCCCCCAGACCTCCGAGTCCCCGCCGGGGGCCGGGGGATTGTATAGACCGGATGCGGTTCTGTATTTGGATAGACTACGGCGAGTCCAGCTCCGAAAGAACGGGCATATGACGTGGGACCATCCCATGGAACTGATTGTTCAAGCTTAGTCGCATCTTCCCCATGGTGGCTTACAGCCCTGACGTTTTACTTCTGCCGCACATTCCTTCCAATGTCATGAACCATCCTCCCGCAGAAGACTATATACCTTTGTACAAGAGAAAGATACACTCCTAGATCAGATCTATACTAGCGGATAAACTAGACAGTCTTTAAACTCTTTTGGATACAAACAACCATGAGCCATGAAGCCATCACGACTTCTATAGCATCTAAGAATGCTGAATTCAAGCAGCCAGAGGCTGCTGCCACACTCACATCTGTAAATAGCCTTATAAGTAGACTTCCTCCTTTATAATAATTAAGTCATTAGACGCACATATATCGATACAGGACGTACTAGGAGGTAGAGACCACTATATTCTTGTCTACGGGTTATCGTGTGTTGTCGTTAGCAGGAAGCACACTTGCGACGGAGGACGACTGGGGATCATTGACAGTTATGAACGTGGCCACCCATACTATGTCTGAAGATATGCCTGATCCATCGCTGTCTAGGTAACTTGCATGATGTGGTGCTGTACGGTTCACCGAGATACTGGCAAAAGAGAGTTGTTTGTAGTATCACTGACCGGGTTTATGATTGTTTACAAGGTATGCACTTCTTCTAAACTTCAAACATGGAACAATACAAGATGATCATATAAATACGCCGTCCGGATTCCCTTTGTACACAGTCCACAAACTCCGATTATCCTGCCTGATACATACCATCCCATTAGCCCCGTCTACTGCCAAAGACAAAGCTTTCCACTTCCGGTTCCGCCAGCAACCCAATTCTTTGAAGGATGGAAATGCGCGACAGCAGGGACAGCCGTGATCCCTTCACCATCCAGCTGAGCGAGCTGCGTTCCATCCGCGGCGAAGACATCAACAAATCGGTTCATGTTGGCAATGGCAAACTTTTGTATGCCGTCACTGGGCCTCTTCTGCCACTGGGGCTTGAGAATGGTGACCCATCGTCCGGTCTGGTTGTTGTGGAGGATGATGTGTCTGGGCTCCATTGCCTTGTCGCCGATATCGTGGCCCGGTTTCCACGATGCAGCATCGGCTGAGAAGTCGTAGATCTTGATGGTGTCGTCGTACGACGAGGTGGCGAGGTGACCACCCGCACTCCATGAGGCGTGCGACACGGATAGTCGCGACTCGTGCTCACCCAGCAGGACAGGATGACGCATGTCCGGCCCTTCACCCTCAATCTTGCGGCAGTCCCAGATCTTGACAGTGCGGTCGAGAGACGCCGTGGCAAGGAGGTGGGGCTGCAGCGGGTGCAGAGAGAAGCCGCCAATCTTGTGGTCCGACAGAGCCCACATCTCCTCACTACCGGGTTTTGTGCGCGTGTCGTACCGCCCCACAGACCCATCCAGCGTGGAAAAGTACAGCGTGTGAGGCTCCATAGAGGACATGTCCAAGGCTGAGATGGGCATGTCTACGTCGGCGTCGGCGGGGGCGAAGACCTGTACCGATGTTCCCTTGGCTAGATCCATCTTGCGTATGGACGAGTCGTACGAGGACGAGTAGACAGCATTGGCATCTTCGGGGGAGAATACAAAGCTCGTAATAGTCCTCGAATGGGTCTTGAAAGCTGATATGACGGGGTCCGTCTGTGCAGCGTCTTCGTCGTCGTCAACCTCGGGGGCTGTTTGGGATCCGTCGAATACACCCACGGCACCTTCTTTGTCGCCGGCAAAGATTATGGGCTTGTCTTCGGTAGGGTGGAACCCGAGGGCGTATACGCGCTGGGGGGTGATTTTGATGTCTGTACTCCGTCAGTATGGCCTTTCTTTGGGCGCTTGGAGGGTTCCCTGGAGGAGAGAGCGCATACCATTGGGAGCCCAGTGCTCGTACAGCTTCATGTCAGTCATCCGTGACCTCAGATCCTTGAGATCCTTATCCGTGGTCTCCTTCACATCATCCTCGGTGAAGGTCCTCACGCCCGGCTGCGCTCCCCGTACCAGGTCCTTGATGCCGGACAACCCGCTACCCCATTTTTTACCGTCGACGGCAATGTCACCCAGATTGAGGTCGCCGTTCACCCGCATCTTCTTGGCCTTGGCCTCCGCAGCCTGCGATTCAGCCTCGACCTCGAGCTTGCGCTTGAGAGTGTCATCCTCTGCTCCCAGACCGGCCAGTCGCGAACTGCTCCGCGTTGGCCGTGTATATTCGCGCTTTACTGGCTCCCTGCGACGCGAAGAGGACGAAGACTTAGGCTTAGGAGTCGAAGGCTTCTTGTCCGGAATGACCTTTTTGGCAGCCGCCGAGATGTCTATTAGGACTTCACGATTGGCGGCGATGTTGGCGCGCCGCCTGCGCTCAAAGGCGCTAATATTTTCGTCGCCCTCTTCCTTCATGATGTGAAATTCTTTTCATGAAACGTGGTAATGATGTTGTACATCGGCGAATGGCCTAGAAACGGGAGAGAGAAGAGATACCGAGCAAAAGAGGGATGCCAATATGGACACAGCGGGACAAGATGGAGTAAGTTGGTGACGCACCACAAGGCTAAAGGCGCGTCTAACTCTGTCCATTAACGCGTCTCGTCTATCCGTGGAATTTTACCGCCGAGATTTATCCGATCAAACGCCAGGGTCCCCCTTCCATCATTCCTTCATCTTAATTCAGTTCTCGTACGTATCGAGCTGTCAACAGCAGCGACTTTGACCTGGATCGCAAAGATGTCGTCTACTATATTACCTTTTCTTTACCAGACCCGCACGCTCCAGCGGGCTTCATGGCGGACATTCTCCACCATCTCGGTCATGCGCTACGCCCATGCGAACCGACCTCGATCGACAAGACACGACATGTCCGACTCGATCCCCTTTGAATGGGACCAAGAAGCGCCGTTCCCTTCTGATTACAGCCGTACCGAGAGCGACATCAGCTCCCGATCTCTTCGAAACGAGCCGAGTCTGACTCTCTCTCCACGTGAGGCCCACGTGTTCAAGAGCATCTTTGAGGAGATCGCTCAGGGCAGGATGCCCCCCTCACCACCTCCTCGTCCAGGCGGCGACAAGGGCTACTCGCAGTGGACGTCTGATCGCCTGCGAGAGCATGAGCGTATGACCGAATTCCGCGACAAGTACCTCGAAAAGTTCCCCGACAGTCTACGACAGGCAGGCAAGGCTGCCCTGGGCATGTTTGACCTGCGTGCGAGCGACAAAGCCATCGAGGACATGACGGAAGAAGAGAAGCAGCTGTGGGCCGAGCGCCAACGTAACCAGCAGGTCCGCGAGGACGAGAAGCGCCGAGTCGAAGGGCTGATGCGTCAATGCAAGACGGATTTTGAGCTGTGGGACGTCATGGGCAAGGAAGTCTTTTCACTGCCGGATAAGCTGGGTATTGTCCCGCCTAGAAAACATCAGAGGAAGCACAAAAAGAATAAGGAGAGTGCGGATGAGAAGACTATGGACGGAGAGCAGTACACGATGGAGGTTCATGGACCTCTGTTCTCGCACTACCTGCACTACGCGCTCAACCTGATGGAAACGTCATTTACACGCCCTTCGCCGTTCGCATTCGAGATACTCCCGCGCGTCAAGTCTCTCGGCCTCACGTCGTACGTCCTCGGCGCCACGACGCCCCTCTACACCTCTCTGGCCAGGATGTACTGGGAGAGTTTTGCCGATGCGCAGTCCGTGCTCGGGCTGGTGCAGGAGATGAATGCCTCGGGACTGCACCCCGACCAGGAGCTGTGCGATTTGCTGAGGAGTATCGGGCGGCAGATTTCGGGTTGCACGCGGGGCATACAGGGACCGTTTGTCGAGGCCATGGCCAATACGGCTTCGTACGATGAGAATGTCGTCGATAGGTTGGATGATTTCGAGAGGATGATGCGGTTCCAAGTGAACCGGGCTCGGGAATGATGACAATGATCTGGATATGACGGTCTTGCCGCCTTGTGTATTATAGTGTATCAGTAGTAGTATGAGTGTTGAGTATTGTCCCTGTATGAGTGTATGAGTAGTATGCCGTATTGTATATCTGTATATTATATATATATATATATATATTATATACACACGAGTATTACGTCGTTGACATTGAGTGACTCTGGGTGTCACTCAGGATGCCACCACTTCAGAAAACAATTCTGCTGTTGCCACGTTGCGGAATTGAGATGATCAAATTATTGATGGCAATAGATGTATTGATACAATACATGCAAGATATTCGTCATGCAATATCCACGATTCAATGATCGAGCGGCGTCTCGGCAGTGACGGTGGGAATGTTGTGGGGAGACGCCGACAAAGGAAGCGATTTAGGGGAGTGTCTGAGTCCCTGCCAAGGATGGAATATCGGATCGCCATCAAGTCCGACTCCGATGGTCGGCAAAATGTGGGTAGCGAATTTCAAGATCAAGGTCGTACGAGAATTTATTGAGACTGGTTAATCTGCACCATAATAAAGAGTAAAACAGGTACGGAGTACGAGTACATAATATAATATTAGTACTCGTCAGTCTCCAAGTCTCAAGTATTCAGGGTCTCTTATTAGCGGAGTATTATTTTTTTGTGATAGGAGGTAAAAGCCCGGGAATTAAGCGAGTGTCGATGATTCCAATTTCCTTCGTATTCGTATAGCAGCGTGTTCTGAAGTTCTGCACCTGCATAATTCCTTACGGAGTAAGAGTCGACCTTTTTTAGGCAGGGATCATCCGGCTGTATCTGATCCGAAGGCGCTAAATCCGATATTAGACGGAGAATTCACACATGACGTAGTCTACGTGTGATGGTTGACGCTTCACTGTCGCACGCGCAACGCGCTTTCCCGGAATATCGGAGAGCCGAATGCCCTTTTCCCCTTCTTTAGATTCCCTAATCAGGCAAAGTCCTGCTAATTACAAACACAGAGTGGCACAACCACCGAATTATAACATCTGGGCAAACGGTACTAGTTTATGACAAGATACGAGTACGAGTACAGGTAAAGAAAATTGATCTAAGAAAAAAAAAATCATACGATGGCGGGAACAACCGATCCTGTCGTACCTTCCCCCTTTCTCGCTCCTTCTCCCCTGTCTGAGTTATGCACTTTCAGACTCCCATAGGGAAGGAGGGACCACCGAGGATGTCCCTGCCTGCCCTTATTTAATACTTTTTTTTTCTTTTTCACTTTTCTTCATCTGTAATATCTAATGTTATTTTATCTCTGTCTTTTTTCCCCACTGCAAAGGAAGGAACGTTTTTTTTTTATCAATCTTGACGTTGTCAAATTAATTTCCACTTTTCCCACTCTCTTCCCCTTCCCTCAAAACCATCGATTTCCCTCCCTCCATTCTCACGTCTTTCTTGTCTGTTCTACAATTGTTGTTTTATTACTTTTATTTTCATTTTTAATATCCGACCTTTATTCTCGTTCTTCCATACTTTCCATTCTCTCGTTCCTGCACCTGTCCCTCACCATGGATATCGGTCTCGAGGTGGTCGACACTTTTGTCGCCGACAAGTTCTATGCTTGGTTGCTGCCTCTCAACAATGCCGTTGCTGGCATCAACGGAACCGCACCAGCTGCTGTTTCGACCTGGGAGTACCATCCTGCTACTCACATGTTATACCTCGAGCCGTCAGAATACGCATACCAGAGTGCCTGGCCGAGAGATTACGCTGTCCGTCAGGGCATCACTCTCTTCTTCATTACATGGTAAGTCTTGCGACGCGCCGGCGGTTTAGTCCCTGTCAGAAAGACGCGACCGGAAGTCGAGAGACGACGAGGGGTAGTAGAACCTCAAGGGAACCTCTAGGCGGGGGAGGGACGAGGGAAGGACGAGACGCGACCAAGCAACAAGCGACACAACAAAACGACTCTCGAAAGAGAGATGAACGGAAAAAGAAGAAGGAAAAAACTAACTCGCCATTCCAGGTTCTTTGGCCTCCTCAACTACTTCCTCCTCGCAACCCTATCGTATCACTTGGTCTTCGACAAGGCCACCCTCAAGCACCCCAAATACCTCAAGGATCAGATGTGGCTCGAGATACACCAAGCCGTCACTGCGATGCCCGGCATGGCCATCCCCACGGCGCTCCTGTTCCTGACCGAGGTGCGCGGCTACACACGGCTTTACGACAGCTCCGAGGAGGGCCCCGGCATCTGGTACGACCGCATTCAGCCCGTGCTCTTCATCTTCTTCACCGACTTCTGCATCTACTGGATTCACCGCGGTCTTCACCACCCTCTGATCTACAAGCGTCTTCACAAGCCTCATCACAAGTGGATCATGCCTACGCCCTATGCCAGCTACGCCTTCCACCCTCTCGACGGCTTCGCACAGTCGGTTCCTTACCACGTCTATCCTGTTTTCTTCCCCATGCACAAGCTGGTCTTTGTTGGCGCCTTCATCTTTGTCAACTTCTGGACCATCATCATCCACGACGGCGAGTACATCACCGACAACCCCATCATCAACGGCTCTGCCTGCCACTCGGCCCATCACCTGTACTTTAAGTAAGCATGACCACTCCCGCTGTGAACAGTCGCACAATATTACCCAGATGCTAACCTCATCCAAGCTACAACTACGGCCAGTTCCTCACCCTGTGGGACCGCCTCGGCGGAAGCTACCGCAAGCCCAACCCCGAGTGGTTTGACAAGGCGACCAAGATGAGCCAGGAGACATGGCAGTCTGGTGTCAAGGAGATGGAGAAGATTCAAAAGACTGTCGAGGGCAACGACGACCGAACATACAGCGTTGGAGTTGCCGCTAAGAAGAACAACTGAGCGCAACCACTGCGACCACATTTTTTTTTTAAAAAAAAAACGATATAATAATGACGGGCGATGTCGCATTTTGTTTTCAATCTAGGGATAAAAGGAGGCGGACGGTTGGGGTTGGGGTCGGGGTTGGGAGGTATTACATCTTATACGCTAATAATAATATCAATAGAATACTCTGCAGAGATCTCGTCTATGAATACCATTATCCAATCAGCTTGATACACGCTCCCACCTTGTCGATGATGTTTTCCCAGTCAAATGACTTGCAACTTGCACAACTAAGATGAGCAATTGTGACAGGACTTCATTACACCCCCCCCCCCCCCCCCCCACTCTGTGATTCTGACTCAGTCCATCTTTTTGATGCGGAGGGGATGATGCTTCCTATTGATAGTGTACAACATCCTAGCAGCCGATTGATATGTATGTATCGTGTAGACATAGGACGCTGAAGCGTATTCGCAGGAACGGGAGATTAAGGAATACTATATTCTTCGCCGGAGACTGTCACTAGAACTGGGTAAGGCACTCCGGATCCTTCAAAGTCATATTGTTCACTAATGCAATCTTGAGTATCTGATAGTGCATAGATCCGGGCAGACAACTACGGCCTTGGGACGAGAATGCGCTCACTAGCCGTCGGAAGTGGCAGGGGAGAATCTGGCGCTCTCTAGTTTGGCCAAGGTAGGCATATGAACCTCACGAACAACACGGACACGGGTACCTGGGAGGACATTCATTGGGTTTCAAGCAATGTACTAACCGCCAGACATGACTGATGCAATTCCACGGGGAGGCGACTGCGTAACGCCGCTCATATCTGCGACTAGAGATATATATATACGTGTTTGGCCTGATGATCGTCTGACGGTCTTCCGACGTGCATGGCAGCTGTGTTGCAGCTGTCCGGTAGTCTAGCCAACAGTCTTCTGATCCGTGAATTTCATTTTCCCTTTGCCATATCACTTTCACGCAACCACTGCACTCGGATTCTTCTATCAACATCTTCACAAGGCTGCGAGCAACATCACCCCAGCTAGCCATGAGCACATCCAAGGATTCGATACGGCCGAAACCCCAGATCACATCACGCAAACGTCCATGCCCTTTCAAGTCACCACCACACCCTACCAAACCTACATCAACCACGAGCATGGATCAGGAAGACACGACACTATCCGCACCCAGGCGCGCTCGAAACGCCTGAGCTCCTAGGATGTTCTGAGCTGCTTCATGCGTGCGGACAGGCGACAGCCCCGGAGACAAGTATGGCGGTCCGATACGGAGGTACCTAAACCGACAGTCGATGTGCAGAGTGATGCCGACTTGATGATAGGCACATACTGCAGTACGTTCTCACTTCCCGGCTCTGGGAAAATGATCAAGTCTTGACTGACCGTGAAAAGGCAACATGGCTCTCCACCAGCACTTGAGCATGTGTACGGCTGAGTGCGTCGACATCACAGCCAGAGCGGAGTATATCGCCCGCCCGGGCCAACTGTGACTCACACTACGTCTGTCAATAAACCCCGACACCGACTCGGCTCCCTCGCCGTTTTCCATTCTCTCGGCCGGTGGGAGCAACGCGCGATGGAGACCGCATGATGAGTGGGCAGGTGAACTGTCTCAGTCTCTTGAGTCGGCTGTCATTACAAAATCTCACAGACATAACAAGCATTTGGCCTTGTGGCAGGCCAAGAAGATGGTACGAGCGTGGGAGGAGGGCGAGGATTATCAATCTGCGGCAGCGGTGCAGTGGGAGTTTATCGAGGCTGACCGGGTGAGAGCTGCGTTGAAGAGTCTTGCACTTCACACTTGACCTTGGACAAGGACCCCTTTCTCCCTTTCGCCATGAGATATGTGGACATTGGCAATGTTCATCTTATTACTATACTCAGCAAGTAGCTCTGGCAAGTCATGTTATATAGTCAAGCCAAGATACCTAGTCAACCTCTTCCAGAACGACATTGGGCACCCTGATCCTACGCCCGTGAGAGTGGTTGTGATGGTGTCCGTCGTCGTCGTCATCATCATCATCATTATCGTGGTCATGATCATCCTCTTCCTCCGGCCAATCAGGAAACCCATCATCAAACAGGTTGCACAGCTCGTCAATCTTGTCATCCAGGCTGGCCTTTTTATCATCACGCATAACACGCTGCCAAGACTCCCACTCCTCGTCATTGAGAAGACACCCGTCCAGAAGCTCGGCCAGCTTCTCCCTCTCGAGGCTCACGCCGATAAAGACGAGTTCCTGACGGCGATCGCCCCACTCACCACCCATGTCTATGTCGTGCTGCACGAGCTTATTGACGTCGCCGTCCTCACTCTCGTACTCCTTGGGATCCATGGTGCAGAAGAAGGGAAGGTCGCCTACCATGGTGAGCATGGCTCCGGCTTGGGACCATTCGCCGCGCTGGTTGGGACGTGTCGCCAGCCAGAATCCTCCCTTGGATCGAAGGAGGTTCTTGAAGATGGGGTGCGCCTTCTTGTTGGCCAGGATGATGTCGTTGTCAGGCACCTCGTATTCATCTTCCTCCTTGTCTTCACCGAGGGAGGGAGCACTAGTCACGGATGAATGAGAGTCAGCACGGGAGCTGTGAGTCTCATCCGTAACGGATGAGGCCTTGGACCCTGTGTCGTGGTCTACCATGCCCATTTCCTCATCATCTGAGCTGGTCACGGCTACATCTTCCTTGGGGGTGGCCTTATTGTCCTGGATGTCATCCTGGCCGTTTGCGTCTTCTTCGTCCCCATCATCGTCGTCGTCCTCCTCCTCGTGCTGGAGCTGGAGGATGAACGTGTCACGGAGAAGCTTCCACAGTCTCTCAGGGTGGAAGGGACGATGACGGCGGTAGACAAAGTTGCGCACATTGTACTCTTCCGTCTCAGGCTTAGGCGTGATGACTTTGCGGCCATCGGCCATCTCCCGCGCCGTCATGGCATGGAGATCCTGGAGCCAGCCAGACCCCAACTTGGCCTCGTCGATGTTGAACCTCTTCGTGTTGACAATCTCCTTGACATCGATCTTGCCGCGGACGGCTTCGATGATTTTGGCTCCCGGGTTCAAGCTTATGAGAACATCGCGGAGTTGGGCCTTTTTCTCTAGGTCGACCTATCGACGAAATCAGCCCCGTGTCTTGCTTGAGAATAGGAAAAGCTTAGACTGACCATGTCCACCTTGTTAAGGACTATGACGTTGGCGAATTCAATCTGGTCAACCATGAGATCCGACACGGTCCTCTCGTCTTCCTCCGTGACATCGTTTCTCCTCGACGAGAGGAGATCGGCCGTCTCGAAGTCGTGCAACATGGTAAAGGCATCGATGACTGTGACTGCCGTGTCCAGCTTGGCAAATTTGTCCAGGCCACCGGCTTTCTGACTATGAACTGATCAGTGGCTGGTGCTCAGTCAATGCCTGGCGTATTTGATGGGGAAGAACTCACATCTGCTCCAATGCCTCGACGAGACCGTCATCGAGGTCTCCAGTCATATTTGCCTGTATGCTCATCTGCTCTGCGAGACGGGCATCGAACGTCTCTGCAACCTGCTCTGGCTCACTGATTCCACTGCTCTCGATCATTATGTAGTCAAACTTTTGAACCTTGGAGATGTTGAGAAGCTCCTCGACCAGATCGCCGCGTAGAGTACAGCAAATGCAACCGTTCTGCATGGAAATGACCTTTTCATTCGTCTTGGTGACTTTGTGAGTCTTTCTTATGAGGGATGCATCGACGTTGACACTGCGGACTTTTGTCAGTTTGAGTTGAAACGGGGGTTGGTACATGTTCTGAGGACATCGGTCTGGACGTACGCGCCAATGTCGTTGACAACAACGGCAATACGAAGACCATGATCCCTGGTCAGGACATGCTGAAGAAGTGTTGTCTTTCCAGATCCCTGCAATATGGAAGTATTAGATATACGGTTAGCTGTATTCCTCAAGGGAGGGTCTGGCACAAGAATATGTATGGTTGACTGACAAGGAACCCAGACAAGAGAGTGACAGGAAGAGGACCCTTGGAGATCTTTCTCTTCCTCTGATCCTTGGGAGGAGGAGCTTTTCGAACCATCGTAGCCTTTGCCATGTTTTTTCCAAATGTGATACCACACTTGGAGACGACAAAGAGAACAGGATAGAAGAATGGTGGTGAATGGAAAGAAACAGGAATCCTACACACCGTCAGACCAGAAAGGTGGCATATTTATTCCTATAGGGCTCATACGCCCAGGGTTACGAGCACATATATTTCTTCATTCAATAGACATATCTGGTATTACATGACCCTCGCCTTCCCATCAGTTACTCGCCGTGGCCTGCCCATCAGGGTAGTTGACCGGGGCCATCAAGGTGTTCAACTCCGGGATCCATCTGGCCCCGGGATGACAAAATCGCCAATCGGGGGAGACACGATTGGGCATTTGCATGAGGTTTTAGCGGAGACTGTGATATAATTGTCTTGAAAGGGAAATAATACAAGATACAGACAGTGCGTCGTCTAGGCGCCTGGGTGAGAAGAATGTCACCATCTGTCCAGTATCGCTGTTATGGTCTCTTGCAGAGAAAACAGAGGACGGAGAGACCTGTCCATAACTACGGGTCCTACATGCAACCTCACATTGACCGTCTGGCACAGTGTAAGGCGGATCCGATCATCATGCCGACTGCTACATGCTGTTGTTGGACGAGTCGGGCACACGCGAAGAAGTGACTGATCAGGAATAGAAGTCCTCGGGTTTCTGTTTGCGGGCGCACGAAGAACACACGCACAAGTAGTAACAAAATAGAATCAGGGGCTCAAAATTCCAATTGGAATGTATTGATATTTAGATATACAGAGGCTTTGGTCTTCTCAGCTGTTTGTATCGCTTCTCTACTCCAATCTCGACCTTTTTTCTCTCTATGGCAGCAAGGTCGCTCTTCTAGATAGATGTCTGCTTAGGCATTACTACTCAGGGTTTGATCATGATGGCAACTGGCAAATATGCCTTTTCTCAATCCGTATATAGGATGTCAACACAACAAAAGTCCCTTGACAGAGGACAATCCTTTAGAATCTTCCGATGGGGTCGACTTTGCTATAAAGAATGGCCTGTCTCTAGGTCCCTCATAGTATTACCCTGTTTAGAGGAAGCTGACCCAAGAGTAGACAATGCTGTGATAGTGAGCTTCGTATCGAGAAAGAGTGCGTCTAGACTCTCAGTCTGCATTGATGGAACCAAGTCTTTAGCCTCCTCGCAGTTTCAAGAAAGGATACCTAGATTCAGATCCTCGGAACATCCAAACAATGCTCTTTTCTCCTTCTTCGCAAACAACTCATACTTGCGGTCTGTTGCCGTGCGATGCAACTGGCATTTGCTTCAACATGTATTGATGATATGATTGTTAGAAGTGGAAGAAGTTAGTTATCTATTCAGGTAGAATCTTTCAACAACTAATGGCCGATATCCATATGCTTGTATATAGTTTGTCTCAAGGGAACTGATGCTGCTATCTATTCATCATATTTTCAACGATGGTAACCTTTACCGTAAGACGATTGAATATATATCTTGGTTACTAGTGATGGACCATCCATATTCCTATGGTTCAGCCTTTCAGGGCTACTCCGAGACGGCCCAAGCACCGATCGCATCACCTTGAGGACACAGTGCAACATGACATCTTATCATCTTACGTGGTAAACCGAGCTTATGGTTGATAAATCACGGAAACCTCAAACAATCGCACTCGACGGTACGACGTAATTCCATTCGGTCATTGCCGTATCTCCGTGGTTCACCATCCCACGCCGCTCAACCCCTCTGAGCGCCTCTGTATCTGACCCCTGGATTAAGCGTGTAATGAGGGGCCTTTGGCTGGAATTGAATCGTCCTGGTTGGCTCCCCATGGTTTTATGCATGGAGGTGGATATAGAAGTGAACGGTCAGGTTGTGACGTACCTCATAGGCCAGACTACAAGGGAGAAGATCACGGCGTAAATGTAGTTTGAAGAAGCGTCATCCCGCGTATCACCCGTTCGAGAGAATAGGTCGTCTAGCAGATGTCATCCATGGCCCTGATTCGCATGCATATTCTGACCATGGCAGTGGCCCCGCGGCTACCCGTGACCAAACCTCGCGGTCCAAACACAAACACAAGCGGGGGCTGCGCGACTTGCTATCACACGAACGCCCCGACATTAAAGGTAGGACGTGCGTCGTGACATGACGATATCAGGGATTGAGGTACAAAGTGACCGTTTCAAAGTGTCTGTCTGATGTCGTGCGTTTCATTGCCATTGAGCATAATGGCTACGTCATAGGCGCGTGTCTATCGTCTTCGTATCATGTTGCATTCCCGTTACATGAGGGTTAGCCTGTGCTGCGACTCTGGCTGCTGTGTCACTCACTCCTCGTCAAAGTCTCGAGAAGCGATTATTCGAGTTGGCGTGATCGGGCCTTTTGTTTTACAGAATCATTTCTATCTCTCTTGTTCATCCACAAAGCTCTAGTGCAATTCTCTACGACTGCTATCGTACGATGATTGTTAGCGGGAAGTCGGAGTTCTAGAGGCCTCAATCTAGAATTCATTTCTTCTTATTCCCCGACTATAGTGCATCACAGAACAACGGTTCTGTGCAATACCCAGTAGACATGAGAATTAGTGTACGGTACGGTACTCTCAGAGAACAGGGCAGGCCCACGGCAGTCATGCCCGGTATTGATACACCGACTTCGCGTAGATGGTGCTGGTCAAACGTGTAACCGAAATATCGTTGTGGCAAGGAAAAGGTCAGTGTATGGGCGTCGGCTTTCTGGTATAAGAATGCCGCTCGTCCTACTCTTGCCTGTTGTCCTCCTTTTCTCTCGGTATCAAACGAAGGCTCAAGTCTAGGCAGACAGCCAAAGCAGAATCACAAGACACCTGCTATAATAGATGACTGTGCCAGGAGAAATTCAAAAAAAAAAAAGACAAGCAAAGTGCGGACATTTATTTCAACGTTGAAACTGCCAGCACACATCCGTCATCATGCACCTGAACCAAGACGGGTCTTCCGGCCGCGAGCTAGTCTTGTACATGAGCACCTCAGATTCGGGTTCCGGGTCCGGGTCCGGCGCCGGCTTTGGTTCCAACCTCGACGGAAACAAGTGGTCTGGCAGGACGCCTCCTGCTAGGGATCCCAACGCGCCAGCTCCAGACCCATACGATACACCGCACGGATCCATCTGGTATTGTTACTCGGAGATGTGCAGGGACAAGAAAACGTACAACTGGAGCAACATTTGTCGACACTGCGGTGTCAGGCCTAACAAGGCCTAGGGCTCTGGTTACATACTGGCTGGCTATGACACGACAATGGGAGGGGAGTTGCTGGCGGGGATGGCGTCAGAGATGAAGCACAAGTGCCCTGGGAAAGTATGGATGGTAACATGCATAATGGTAGGTAGGCCTGGCGTTTTTACTGCTCACGGAGACACAGTTCAACATGTCCCGCTCAAGAGACGATGATATCAATAATGATAAGTAGCCAAAGACGACATGTCGTTGTTCTATAAAATGTTTGTGGCAACCCACGTTCCCATTGCCTAACATGTACTTCAGCCGTGGCCCGTCTAATGGTGTTGCGGTGCGGCAAGAAGAAAACTGCCTGCTCATTCGCATACCACACGAACGCTGAAGGGGAGTGTATCCGGTGACGTGGCTCGTAGGAGGTCGAGTTTCAAGCCTGCGTTATCGAAGAATGGCGTGTTCTTAACCCCAATGTGTGGGTGGAGTGGGTTACATTCTGAGAAGAGGGAGTCGATGACAGTTGACGAGGAAATGTCATCCCACGAAGATGCCATCTTCTATTCGAGGCTATCTTGTCGTGCTGTAAGCCCTTGACTCGTTCTGGCAAATGGAGAAGGATAGCTACGCAGGATTTGGTGGAAGCAAGTTCAAATGGTCTTGGTGGGAGATTGGGAATGGATATTCGGGCATCGGATTCATCCTAACACACCAATGTACCAGACATGGCTGCTATGTATCCACTTCAAGTGTTTTTCCATGCTCCATCGCTATAGAAATGCATGGTTTTGTTTCCAGGAAACAAACGAGGTAGGATATCCAACTACCGACCTTGCATACTCGAAAGCACAGCTCTCTGAAAGTATATCGCGGTAGAGGCGCTAGCCCCAGCAGTTCCCGTCAACCCTAACCCTAGTTGGACGTCATGTTATCAGGGACAGTGATGTTGCCAACGGCCTTTTCAAACTGGGAGATAGCCTCGCTGAGCTTGTTGACCTCCTCCTTCGTCTCGGGAGCCTGCAGGCCAACCATTTCCGAGGCTTTGGCAGCGGCCTTCAGTAGAGACCCTGTTTGTACCCTGTGAGTATATGAACGTCTCATGGACAAACTAAACAAGGATTTGCGCATACCGAGGGTGGCGTCCGTTGCGTGAGCACGCTTCATATTGATGACCGTTGTCCCATTCTTGGGGTAAGGGTAAGGAGGAGAGATGACGGCGGCAGAAGCAACCCCGGAGAGGACGGTAAGAGCGGTGAGAAACTTCATGCTGGGCGTGTTGACTTGGAAAGGATGGAGTGAAAACGGATACAAACTGTCAACGGGAATGTGATGTGCGATTTCAACAAGGCAGAGAGATGAGAAGCATAAAAAAGAAGAGAAATTCGTCAATAAAAAGTCAAAAAATAAAATAAAAAATCAATGAACAACTGAAGCCAGCTCAGTGAAAGGGACACGAAGGAAATATCTGGTGATTTGAGGTGAGATTGATGCTGAAGAGAAAGGAGCTGGGGTTGGGGAAGGATGTCTGCTCTCTTATACTCATGAGACCCCGATCACTCATGACAGATTTGTGGCAGGAAACGTCAGTTCGAAAAAAAAAAACATATGCACGCATTCCAGTAAAGCTAGCTCATAGGCTTTCGTATATCGTCTGTGTCCCACGGGGTAGAGGTGTTCGCATTAGAAACTATATGTCGATGATTGTATCAAGGTAAATCATTATGACGCTTAGTCCCTAGACGATCAAGATCCCGCATAGTAGCTGCCTTCTTGATCCCTTTCACCTGACTAGAAAAGCAGGGGTATCGTATGAATAAACTGAAAATCTGTTCCGAAGGCTTACGGAATCTCTTGAGTGAAGGGTAAAGTATGACGTTGAATTGTTTCAGAGTTGGAATGCTGATGTGTGAGCAACACTCGCAATGGCCAAGATGATAACCCCTTTAACCCTCGACACCGACAGTAAGCTCTAAGGGATAATATCTACGTTTGTTTACATGTGTTTACTTGTTGAGGCTGGAGTGATATATGGAACAGCTAGAGCCAGAACCAGAATACATACAGATGCAGCAACCAACAACAGCAACATCGACGATAACATCAGAAACACTTCTTACCTGGGCTCAGACGAGTAGAATCATTTTTCATGCCTGGATCCACGCCTTCAACCCTAGGATAGCAGACATGGCTACAACAGGTCAACTAGGAGCTCTCATTGCCGTTGGGTCAACATCCTTCGTAGAGAAACTGCCGAGCGGCAATATCATCAAGAGACCATGGCCCACTCAGGATTGCATCCACGAGCGTCGGCGCGAACTTGCTATCGAGTCGCGGATCTACGACCTGTTGGGGCCGCATGCATGCCTGGTCAACAAGATCTCCTGGGACCCCAAGGAATACGTCCTGGAGCTCGAGTTCATGCCAAACGGAACCGTTCGGGACTACATCAGGGCTGACGGAGGAATTCCACTCGACCAGCGACTGAAATGGATAGAACAAGCAGCCGAGGGCGTCCACCTGCTACATGCCTCAGACATTGTCCACTGCGACATTGGGCCGCGGAACTTCTTGCTAGATGCAGACCTCAATCTTAAGATCTGCGACTTTAGCGGTTCCTCAATCGGGGGGTCGAGCACTCAAGTCCTTGCTGGAGCGAGATATACATCTCCAGCCCACGACTGCGAATATCCGGTGCCAGAAAGTGACATATTCGCCCTTGGCTCGACGATTTATTTCATCATGACCGGGGGCTCCCCTTTTGGGGACATGGCCAGTCTGGAGGTTACCGACCGGTTTCAAGCCCTCGACTTCCCAAGTCTTGAGGGCATCTTGTGTGGGGATATCATCCACCGTTGCTGGCATGGCCAGATTGAGTCTGCAGCCAAGGTGGCCCGCTTAATCAGGGAACTTGCCTGTGAGTATTGACAATTCTCTGGGCAGCTAAAATCAATCATGCATGTCCTGCAGACTCTCGTCGCATTCCGTATAGTGGTGTCGGGTTGTTTGTTAACAAATCAAACTGGTTTGGGTAATTTCGTTTTGTTGAGGCACAGAGTGCATGCGTTGCGATCTACCCCCGAGGTTTAGCCTCTGGCGAGACTTTTGAGTGGTGGGATGACTGAGCTCCTTCCGGAGTAAATCCGACACGTGACACAGTGATGTGTTGGAACAAGCAGATGGGTAATCCTCCGGAATAGGTTATTTCGGCGCCGAGCAGCGCTATCCGTATAGAAAAGGTCACTTCTATAGTTGCTATTTCCCTTATATATATATATAAATTAAGTATAAAGAAGGTAAAATAACTGTTATTTCGTGCTATTATTCTATCAATTGACTGATATAATATAGGGATAAATCTTCCGCCGATCCGTCAATTCCGACCTACTGTTTTACCGATATTATTCCGCCGCAGAGTCTGACATGATGGTGTGCGAGCCGGTGCTATCAGATCTGCGTCACTTCTCCACATAGTGCTAGTCCCATATTACGACAATCCATGATCTTTGGTTTCGAGGCTTCTCTAGTCACACATTTTGTACACTCCCTGGTTGTTCAACGGCAACCATGGAGAACGAACTCCAAAAACTACGACAGCAACTTCGCGAAGAGCAACGCCGACGCGAAGTAGCTGAGGCCCGTGCTTTGGAAGAGCAGCAACAGCGCGAGGGGGCAGAGAAACTTGTGAGAGAATCACAGGCACTGTAGCTCGAACGCTATCTCGAGGCTTGCCACGAGCTTAACCGCGCCATCCAAGTGGTGACTGATTGCACCCTAACCACTCAAGGTGTAACCACGAACCCTACCGGCCGGATTTATCCTCGCCGAATCATTCCATGGGATGACTTTGCAACGGAACAAGAGGACATTTGGGACAAACTATCCACGGGCCAACTGCTCACTTCCCAGTCTGCCTTTCCGTCTCATCATCAATTGGAGTACGTTCGCTCTGTGCTCAAGCTCATCAACAGCGAGGACGGGCTTCGGAACTTTGAGCGTGATGTCGTCGAGAATTCCGTTCATAAGTTGGTTTACGAGGCATCCAAGGATCCGCTACTACGAACCAATCTCGGTCTCGAGGGCATCGTGACATTAGAGAGCCATACGAATCTCGGGAGGACCAGTGACCTCACCTCTGTAGCCATGGAGGACATATCCATAAGTGGGCGCCGTGCTGCGGCCACGGTATCGGCCTCGGGATCGACGCTTCCCAAGCCTCGTCGAACAGCGAAGGGGAAAGGCGACCGTGCAGACCAGTTCTGCATATACAGAACTTCTGATGGCCAAAATATCCCTGCTCTCGCAATCGAGTAAAAAGCGCCCCATAAGCTGAGCGTCGACGAGATTGTCACAGGCTTAGAATGCGAGATCCAGCCAGACCGAGACGTAATCAGCAAATACAGCGAGGGCTTCTTGTTTGCATCGAGGTCGCTCGTCGCCGCTGTCATCACCCAGCTCTTCTCCTATATGGTTGGAAAGGGCATTCAGTACGGATACGTGTGCACATGGGAGGCCTTCGTCTTCCTTCACATCCCAGACGATCCCACCACTGTCTATTTTTCCATATGTGTGCCGAACCAAGACGTTCAGGATGACGACGAGAACAGGCTCCACCGCACAGCTGTTGCGCAGGTCTTCGCCTTCATCCTGCGGGCCCTCCGCGCAGAACCCCCTCCTTTGACAAGGATTGATGCGACCGCAGGTCTCGATACCTGGGCTGTGGAATACGAAGATGTGCTGAAGAATATTCCTGAGACGGTGCGCAAAGGCAAGAAGCGTCCTGCTTCTCCTTACCAACCCCAGCGTTGGCGAGGTTTCAAGCGCTCTCCGATCCGGACCCGTTCTCGTTGCCAGCCACCAGACAAGAGTGCTGGTAGTCAAGGAAACAGCGATGACGGTGGGGGAGAAGCTCCGCCCTCTCCCACTCCAAATCGGCCGGCACAGTCTAAAGACAAGGGGAACACCCGTACCGCGGTTAGCTCAGCCGGGAAACGAGGACAACCCGGGTTAGAAAACCAGCAGAAGGACCAATCGACGCGGCAGAGAATACAGGATCGGCCGTTCTGCACGCAACGATGTTTGTTGGGCTTGGCGAACGGCGGGCAGACGGACAAGAGCTGCCCGAATTTCGAGGATCACGGACACCGACATATCGAGTCATCCAAGTTCCTTAGTCTCCTTCGCACTCAGCTTGCCCAGGACCGTGGGCGGGAGGCGGATTGCAGACCCCTCTACCTCCCAGGGTCGGTTGGGGCGCTCTTCAAGGTGCGACTTTCTTCCCATGGCTATACGCTCGTTGCCAGAGGCGTGGAGACTTTTGACCTTGGCCGGTTGCGGCACGAGCATGATATGTATAGTCGGGCCCGGGCCATCCAGGGGCAGCATGTCCCGGTATGCCTCGGCATGATCGATCTGATTCTGCCACACTACTACGATGGCGGTGTGTATGAGCACTTTATGTTTCTTGGCTGGGCTGGCCGAGTTGTATATAATTGCACCGACCAGTTCAACAAGTCGAATATCGTCGGTGCGGTCACCACAGCCTTCACTGAACTACACAGGCTGGGCGTCCTTCATGATGCGAAGCCTCGCAACATTCTGTACAATGCAGACAGTGGTCAGGTCATGATCATGGATTGGGAGCGAGCAGAGTTTTGCGGTCGCCAACCTCTCGGCCTCATCAGCCCGAATGGCCGAGTCAGAAAGAGGAAGCCCAAGGCGACGAAGAAGCAGGGAAAGGAGACTTTCGAGACAGAGTTGCAATCTGCAGTGGAATCCGTGTCAAAGCTCTCAGACTGACGATCACGAAGTCGCCGGCGACCTTCGGGTCCAGGCAGCTGTGGAAGATTCCGAACGAGGGCACTAGAGGAAAGGTACAGTAAATCTCGTCTTGATGCATCCATCAATCGAGTGGCTTCCTGATGGCAGCGAGTTCTCATTGCTGCTTAACCTCGGCTGTACTTGATCTGGCAGCAACCTCACCCACCTCGCCTAGATATCGGCACGCTAAAAGTAACTCTGGAGGACTGATACGAAGGATGACTTCCTCTGTGATGGCGTTGTACTTGCTAATCTTGGTAGCCTTGTAGTTGCTTGTAAGCAGGTTATGTTTTGGTTCGAATCAGGTCAAGACTCTATCATACTTGCACCATCCATGCAGGGTACAGCACTCAGATCTGAGGTGCCGGAACCTGTTTGTATTTGACGGCCTTCGAGTTGAGGTTGGGGCCTTTGACGGTTCAGTCGTCAAAGGAGACGGGTTTGTCCCGACAGTATTTGAGGAAGCCCGTTAGGCACTGCCTCGAGGACGGGATCTTGATGAAGGACCCGTTGTAAAGACAGAAGTCTTCGCACTCGAATCAGCCATTCACGAAATGCTAGCGTGGGCAAGATCATCTGTAGACTTACGAGATGAAGAGGTGGAAGAATAATACGCCAAGAACAATTTCCTTGCCTCGATATTATAGATATTGGCAACATTGTTAATAGATTGCCGGAAAGAAGTGTTATATCCCACCGCTGGAGAGATAGACGCAGCCCTAGACAGTCTTCTGAGAAGCCAGGAGGCGACTGCTAACTAGATATAATAACGGAATCTAGCTCGTGTCTTTCATTATAGCGAGTGAATCACCTTCCGACTCACCAGACACGATCGCATCTTATAGTCCATATGGCGAGCCTGATTTTCAGCCCTCTAGCTAACTGTCATAAAGAAGGTAGATATGTGACATAGTGGTGTGATTCCGCAACTGCAGCCGCCTCTTGGCGAATCTACTAACGTTGCCGGGGCAATATCTTGGGAATCCGTTGCTCTAGTATATGGGAGTACTTCTTTTCCCCGAGTGCGGGGATGTCTATCTCATATATTAGTACGCTTCACCCGTAACATGGCCGAGCCGGTTACTTGTCCGTGTGCGAGAAGACATGATTTACTATGATTCGACCAGCTGCATAGTGGCTGCACATGCCGGCTGACGATTGTATGCGAGCCGGTGTCAAGGACCCATCCAGGAAGAGATCAGAAGACAAGAACCTAAAGGAGGGCAACACATGGAAACCCCGAAGAAGGATAATAGAGATAAGCAAGGAAGTGAGTCAGGAGCTAAAAGTACGGATACAAAAGGATATTGTAGGGCGATCATATCTTTTGTCAATCATTGGGGGCTGAAACCAGAACCACTTGCCTACATCTCGTGTATGTCTGCTTCACCCTAAGATCACCGTCTCAGGTAGAAGCAGCGACTCAGGATTCTGGGCAAGAAAGGAAACGGTGCCAAGTCGATATCCGCGTCGGACGTCAACACTCATGAAATGCCTCTTCAGCAGTCTCAAGGTGAGGTGTTTGTCGACATCATGGGTCCGGTAATGGAGACTGATCGTCATGATCCGGAGGGGATGGCCCGGAGGGCGAGGTCAAGCTGTGTTAAACAGTGATGTAGGTCTTGGAAACTTGACAGCTCTCCACATCTCCGCTCGGCACTTGATTCTTCCTGGTTGGGGATGCCAACCTCGCACGACGAAATCCAGCATCTCTCGGAGAACAATCGTCGTCGACGAGGGAAAAGTATCAAAGTCGAAAGTCGTTGGTTTCTACCGACATTGTCGTCATGGTATGGGTGGTGGAATACGTGATAGTCCCTGACGATCATGTCATTGCCAGTCTCCGTCTTGCCCCCACCTCAAGCTGCCCAGTTGAGCAAATCAGTTGCGGTCCGACCATCTTTACTCGAGAATGGAGTTGCGGGGTAGCTATGGTCAATGAACCTGCGATATGGAGATTGACCCTTTCTTCTCCATCTTCTATCTCTGCTTGAGCGATCCGTTGATCTCGGTCAGGGTTCCATCGGGGCCGTCATCTTTGCATCGTCCTTTGTCTCGCGCGGTTCTTGTCTACCATCTACACCGCCGTCGTCTGCTCCACCAATCGCCAATCCAGCGTGACGGGACTGCACAGCTCCGACTAAACCATGGTCCGTAAACTTCTGAAGCCATGGGTTTTCATGAGCGTATCGATATTCTACCTGAGCCTTACCATCTTCAAACTGGTTCTGGCCCGTGATTTTGCGACTCTGCTCTCGTGGGAAGCCTTCAACGACGCCTGGTTCGGTAACCTTTGGACCTTCATGGGACCCCGCTCCAAGTCGGAAGGAGAGAGATGGATTGAACCGCTCCTCCAAGGCCGAATCAAAGATGGAAGCATCATCGACGGAGACGCTGTCGCATCTACGCCGGCCATCCATGGTGTCGTCCTCGAGATTGGCGCGGGGAGCGGCATGTGGATGTCTGTCCTGGCCAAGGTGGCCCGCTCAGCCGCCGTCAGCAAGTTCGGAGGCCTTCGCAAAATCTACGGCGTTGAACCAAACCCCATATCGGCAGCCACCCTGAAGAGACGTGTGTCAGAGATCGGTCTGGAGGGATCGTACGAGGTCCTCCCCGTCGGCATCGAGAATCTGCAGAGAGAGGCCTCCGTTGAACCGGGGAGCATAGATTGTATCATGACGGTCCAGTGCTTGTGTAGCATTCCGGAACCTGAGAAGAACATCAAACTTCTCTACCACTACCTCAAGGATGGAGGCCGGTGGTACGTATACGAGCATGTCAAATCTGACAAAGGACTAGCTGCACCCTTGATTCAGAGTAAGTCGCAACCTCATCACTGTTCCGCTATACCACTCTCGTTAACATCATGCTCTTCTGTCTATAAGGATTCACAAACTTCTTTTGGGAATTCTTCATGGGATCCTGTCATCTTTGCCGTCCAACCCGTGATTGGATCCTAAACTCGGGTAGCTGGGACAGTGTCGATCTGACAGCACGTTCGGACGAGACAGAATTCGAAATGATCCCGCATATAATCGGCAGTTTGACAAAGTCATCGTAGGTGTACGAGACTGTTCACATTCAAACTCTCCCATACTACGGTAATCTACATGCCTCCGCTCCATGGTCCAACGAGTTCGAAGACAACATGGGCCGCTATGAATAGAGAGAAATAAAATGAGAAACTCTAGTTGTTCATCTAATCAATTGACTATCTCTGCCTGTATCTCAAAAATTACTTGAAAATGCGGTAAACCTGGTACTCGTCACCAGTGCCCACAGGGAAAATGTTAAAGGTCGCATACGAGTCAATGTTCTCGGGCTCGAGGACGTTGAAGGCATGAGCGGCGTTCTTCTGCCTCGTGCTGACGACATACGAGCCGACCGGGAACTTCTTGGTCAGCGTGATGGGCTCAGCGGTCACCGTCATCCTGACGCCCCCCTCATAGGCTTCGGTATCCGGGATAGCACTTGTGATGTTGAGGCCGACGACCTCTCCCTCAAAGTCGGCCTTGAGCTCATCGACCTCGACACGGGCAGCACGCAGCCTGTCCACCACATCGTGCCAGGCCTTGGAGAAGATGTAAGCCTCGGGACGCTCGCGCGTCAGGTTGGCCTTGGCAATGGTGGTGTTGTAAAAGGTGATGGGGATGTCGACGACCTTGCCGTCCTTCTTCTGTATATAGGGCCAGTCAATGTGCGTCTCGACAGGCGCGTCAGTGATGACAATGTCGTCGTCGTTGTTGATGAAGTCCTCGCGGGCATTCTCGACGGTTTCGTAGACGAGCTCGGCGTTGTCGGCAGCCGTCTGGAGGAGAGCCTCGACCATGACAAGCCCAGTGGCTACACGGCGCTCGAAGTGCTGGCTACCCAGCTCGATGCCGCGCGTCTCAAAGAGGAACATGACGGCCTGGCTGAGGCCGACGGACGTGTCGCCAACCTTGGCATCACCAGACGTCTCCGTCAGGACGATGTCGTCAGTTCCCAACACTCCGACAATGTAGGGGCTCCACCTTAGATCGTGGCTCTCCATGGCGGCGGCAATACTGTCGGTGAAGAGGGTGTGGGAGAGGTCCCTGATGTCGGCGTGGATGTTGAGGTTCTTCATAGCCGAGAACTGACCGTCCTGCGCCGGCAGCCACTGCTTGCTGGCCCCGTAGCCGCGCGACGCCGTGTACTCGTGGATGTCGACGCCAACATGGGGCGCAAAGTCCATGACGAGACCCTTGATGTCACGCGTCTGCTGGCGGGCCATCTTGGTGTGGTCGCGGTTGGGGTCGAAAGAGGTAGCCAGGTATCGCTGGAAGTAGGCGACTCCGTCGGGGTTGTAGCGAGGAAGGATGAGGATGTCAGCCTTGTCGAGAATGGACTGGGCCCAGGTGACGTTGGCATCCATCTTGCCCAAGAGAGCTAGGAGAGTCTGATCACCGGCCGGCTCATTCCCATGGACACCACCCTGCATCCAGATGCGAAGCTTCTGGGACGATGTCTTGTTGACGCTGGTCTCGAGAACACTGTCGCCAGAGGAGGTAGAGCTCAGGTAGACATATGGGATGGTGCGGCCCTCCTCGGACTGGAAGTCGGGAATGTTGTACGTCATCCAGTCGTGGCGCGCAGCGAGGCTTTGCAGGAAGTAATCCATCTCCCACTGGGAGGTGGGGCCGGAGGTTCCATTGGCAAAGCCCTCGGGGACAGACTTGGGGCTCACAAAGGCGGGGGAGAGGAGCTCGATGCCCTCGACGACCTCGGGGAAGTTGGCTGCCACTTGGGGGGAGTCCCTGTTCAGGGGCGCCTGGTTGTCGGCGTAGCCAAGTGTGTCCTCGCCGCGAGCATCGACGAGGACGGAGCTGCCCAGAAGGAGCAGTAGACCACGTGTAAGTGAAGACATGCTAGGCTAGTTGGTATTCTCGAGCTCTGATTCTTCCTATCTGGCGATGCCGTGAGTCAATTGAGGCTAACTAAGAGGGGAGAGCCCCAGGTATTAATGGGAATCGCAAGCGTCGTCCTCTTGAGTAGCATATCCCAACCTTCAACCTGCCAAGACGTGTGTGTGATAACGATACCCGACTGACGAAGGAGAATGACGGTTGTTTATCTGTGGACTCCCCCCCACAATCCCCACAGGTTATTTAGATAATAGGTTACTGGTAAGCATATTACCTTGACTGACTAGGTGAAAGATCCTTGTCCAACGCTCTTCGGGAAACAATTCGACATTCTGAGTATACGCCTCGCTACAGAACAGACACATTTATCCGAAAGTGGAATGTTGGCCCGGAACAGTCCGTGATAACGATGCTGGCTCACGAGAATCCGTATTGCGGCTTCCCAAGCCCAGTATTATCCGGCACCCGTATTAAGCTTATATTAATGCAAATGACCGGGTGACTCTACGCGCCATTTACCATCTTATCAGAGACTAGTCCTGTCAAACCGGACAACGGCGTCCTCGGAACAATATGTAGTCGGTTAAAGACGAATGGAGAGCCGAGCAAGTTTCCTATCCCGTTTGAAAGCTGATGCTTGACAGGATAGTCCTGTGGATATTACGTATTGCATTTCGTTTCCATTCGTGGGGAATTGTTTCTAGAAGCTCTGCGCGTTTCTCTGCTCGTCACCTGAAGTCGGGGTAGACAGGATTGACAAACGGGTTGCGGGTGCATTATGTAGCGCACGGATATCATTCTTTTATCTAGCGTATTGCCAATCTCAGCTTGGTAATACCTGGACTGAACACGCAGACGCTCTTCTTGTCATGTCATTATGAAGATTACAGGAGAGGAATTGGCGAATAAACAGAAGACACAAAGACGCTGACCTCAACCCACAGAGCAAGGAACGCGCCTAGATGAACTCCTTTCTTCAAATCAACGCTCAAGATGGTAATAGAGCATGGTGCATAGCTGAGTTACTACATTGGACTTGACTCCGCCCCATCCAGCGTCCGAGGAACGTATATCTTTTTCGAGACTCATGAATAAGCGCCGCTTCTCAGGCGTGCACTTGCTGTGTGCAGCACAGACGGACGGGTTCAATTGGGGAGGGTGGTTATGAGTTATGACTGCCGCTGAATTCGTACACCCCACTTCCCATCCAGCCACCGGTTCGTCTTGGCGAGTATCTGAAACGGGGGAGTCCGTCTTGGGTCGTGAGGCTGTCGAGCGACGGAAGCAGTAATGAGGATGGCGGCAACGGGGTCTACAGGATTTCCTAGTCAGATCCCGGCGTGCAAAGGGGAATCAGCTGTAGAAACCACGATCGCCAATGGTAGATGGGAATTAATATCGTCTTTTCTGAATAGTATCGATATAAATACCAAGATTGGGCTGTCTATGTGTAGGATGCAGAACGGCAGATGATGCACGTGCAGCCGGAACAATAGTTTTTCCGGATCCCACTCGGAAGATAAGCAGGAGTCGGAGACAGACATGGCGCCTTCCCTGAACAAAGAGAACAACAAAACAGGAGAGTGGATACGAATACAAGATCATTTTCGGAAGAGATTTCCAGTATCTCTCAGTCAAGACTCTGCGCTTTGCACATGTCTCTATATATTCTCTCGAGTGCTAGAAGCTCAGGGTGCGTGCCCTTTTCGACGATACGGCCGCCATAGAAGACGCAAGTAACGTCGGCATCCTTTACAGTAGACAAACGATGTGCCACGGACACGGTGATGCGGTTGCCCTTCTTAACCTCTTCGGCTAGCACAACCTGAACTTTCTTCCTCGCTCTCGGTGTCGAGGGCGCTAGTGGCCTTGTCAAGAAGGAGGATCTTTGGGCTGCGGATGAGCGATCGGGCGATGGCGAAGCGCTGCTTCTGTCCACCAGACAGTTGAGTACCGTTCGAGCCCGTGGCCGTGTCCATACCATCCGGCAGCGATGATACAAAATCCTCAGTATTGGAGGCGCGAAGAGCGGCTTCGACCTGGGCGTCTGAAACAGTCTTGCTGGCCTCGGCGGTCGTGGTGCCGCCCTCGAGCCCTAGAGCAATGTTCTCCCGGATTGTGCCCTGGGAAAAGGTCGGCTCCTGCTGAACCAGCGACACGATTCGTCGGTACTTGAGTGGGTTGAGATCGGACAGGTTGGAGCCGTCGACGTTGATGTTGGCGGTCGATGGGTCGTAGAAGCGCTCCAGCATGGCAATCATGGTGGACTTGCCACAACCAGAGGCACCTACAAAGGCGGCGAATTGGCCCTTTTCAAACTGTCAGGACTGTCAGCATACTCGTGTGTCTTTTCCTGGAGACTCCTGGGGATCAATAAGGAGACATCGACCCTACCTCCAAGTCTACACCCTCCAGCACAGGTGCATCCGGTCGCAGCGGGTACGAGAAGCGCACATCTTCCAGAGAAATAGGGTCTCCCAACCTCGGGCAGCTATCTTGGGTTTCTGGTGTCTCGCAGATCGTGGGCTGGAGATTGTGGAGCCAGAAGAGGTATCTGCTGCCGTCTTCCCCTTAGTCATGCTCGTCGAGAGCTGGAATAGCTACGAAGTCGCGTGGCTCAAAAGGAAACGGACATGAAAGCTGTGCATGGTGACATCACCGGTGCTGAGGAGGCGGCAGCCGTGCCAGAAATCAAGAGCGTGGAACCAGTACTCCGTGCCCTGCGTCAAAGCAAAGCACACCACCATAGCCGCCATGGGCTTGGTTGGGTTGTTGACCGTAGTGGCCAGCTGCTCCATGTACTTGTTGAGTATGAGATCCTCAATGGCCAGAGACGACACGGTGCGTATGGCCAATATGGACTCGGAGGCAAATGGATCCGCTGGTCGCGCTGCGCTTGGACATATCGTTATCAAGCTTGACATCAAAGAGAATATTGAGCCACCCAACCGTTAGCAGAGGTGGCAGACCAGCAAACACAATGACGACACCGATCGTCCAGCTGTGAACGATGGACAGGATACTGTAGGTTACGACGTTGACGACGCAGATCATGATGAGACCGATATTGAAGCCCATCAGCTCTAGGATCGACTGCGGGTTGCTGTCCAGCCTGCCCGTCAGCGCGCCGACATTGTTCTCGGGCTTGTCAAAGAACTGTAGATCCTAGCGTAGCATGTCCTCAAACCCCTGGCGGCGAAACGTGTGCGACAGGTGCTGGGCCACAATGTTGGCCATCATGCTCAGGGCAAAGTGGACTAGCACGCAGCCTCCGGCTAGCGCTATGAACATTGTGGCGAAGAAGTCACCCCTGTCCGTCATGGCATCTCCCGATAGTGTGAAGACGTCAGTTGTCTTGGCAGTCAGGATAGCTTGTCCGACCGAGGCGCCAGCTGTTATGTTGTGTGCAAGTGTGTGTGTCAATGAAATCGCTTCATACTCGTGTGATGTGGAAGAGAGAAGAACAAGACGTACCAGCTGCAACGCAGGACGGAATGAGGCAAAAGTACACCCAACCAAGTGCCGGGCTACTCCTGAACAGATGCCAGAGGGCCACCGGGAACGACATCTGCCTGTGCTTTTCGCAATTGCCGCGGTCCCTCTGGGCATTGAGATGCTCGCACACCAGTATGGGGTACCTGCTTAAGATCTCGGCCGCCTCGGTAAGGTCATTTCTTGCCTCCGCAATAGAGTCGCCGTCGGCATAAGTGATCCCACCCTCTTGCGGGTTCTCGCCGGGAATGGTGAGGTTCTGGATCTTGACAAGGCAGGTATAGGCACCATTTTCCTTGGTCATGAGGTCATCGTGGGTTCCCTGCTCGGCAATGCGGCCTTTGGTAATGAAGACAATGCTGTCAGCCTTGTGAATAGTGGCAAGCTTGTGAGCGATGACAATGGCGGTGCGGCCCTCAGAAGCAAGGTCCAGAGCTTGCTGGACGACACCCTCGGCGTGAGGATCCAAAGAGCTGGTCGCCTCGTCAAGGAGGAGGACGCTGGGCCGAGACACCGCTGCGCGTGCAATGGCCACGCGCTGCTTTTGGCCACCGGACAGCAGACTACCGTGCTGGCCGATGTCAGTGCCGTAGCCGTTTGGGAGGTCAGGGATGAAGTCGTGGGCAAAGACGAGGCGGGCAGGTTCCTGGACGTGCTGCATCTTTTGGTCGCGCGGCAAGTGCTCCCACTGCGTACCGACCAAGCCATAGCAGATGTCGTCGTACTCTGAGCCTTGGAGGAGAACGGGTTCCTGCTGGACGAGCCGGGCGTTTGTCCTCGGCCACTTCGAGGTTCAGGCTGTCCAGGGGTCGACCATCGAGTGTGATGCTGCCAGAGTCCGCTTATACCACCGTTCGAGGAGACCGACGATTGTGCTCTTTCCTGAACTGCTTTGGCCCTGTTGAGACGTTGAGCAGCAATACATACATCTTTGGGTCCTTCGTTGACATCACTTACGACTAGACTGTCACCTTTCCAGCCGGGATATTGAGAGTGAAGCAGTCGAGTAACCCTAAACAGTGACAAACCTGCCGAAAATGAGGTTCTGCAGAGCAATGCCGACTCCGAGGCCATGGCTGCGATGAGGCCAACGGCATCCAGGGTGTACTCGTACGAACCGGCATATCGGAATATTCGCTGTGGACGTCGACAACCGGAAACCCAGGTCTACCGTTGGTACCATGGGATATACGCAGTAGGCATTCCAACCATTCATCTCCTCTGGTTTCGGTGCATCGGATCGGGAACCTTCCAAGGATAGACTGGCCAGGTCACCTTCCACCGTCGCAGAGTGTCCTGTCTTCTCCACCGTTTCAGACTTCATTTCGAACCCATCGTCTTATTTCCGGGTTTAGGCCCGTTGCAAAGTGGAGAGAGAGGCAACGGAGCAACAAGAACCGTGGCCGGTGGCCGGTGCAATTTCAGCTCAAGTGTTCGACGGACTCTAAGGTGCCGGTGCAGAAATATGCGGTTAAATCCCAACTTGTCTCGACTTGTCCAAGATGAAGAACGATATTACCAATAGTTACCAGCCGACCGTTCGTGCCATTGGATATTCTGGTTCGTCGTCGGGCGTAGAGCGGGGAAGGCTTTACGGTGTAAGATCTTACTGTTCATTCCGGGTGTTTCTCAGCGTCGACGGTTCCCGTTTGGAGTCCAGGCGCTTACTGTATGCGCGGTAATATGATATGATTACGATGCCGGGAAACAATGGTCTACATCTGTTATACGAAAGGTTCCAACTCGTGAATGAGGCGTACTCACAGTACGGATCATCACACAACCACAATGACAGAGGATATCGTCAACGCGCTCACCATGGATGGACGGCCACGCTCCCAAATTCAAATCCACCCAGGTACTAAAGCTTAAATAGATCCTGAGCAACATTTCGGCCCCTGATCGGCGCGGTTGAAAACCTAGAGCTCCTCTTCTGGGGCTGCTGCTGCTGCTGGCTCATAAAGTCCTGCTCGCTTCGAGGACGAGCGGCGGCGGGGGGGGGCATTGACGATGACGATGATGACGATGATTATGGCGACGGCGACATGCGACATGACATGATGGTTTTCAACCAAAACTCCCTAGACATGGACTTTATAGAGAATAAAATAGCAATACTGTCTCGTCCTGTCATCATGTTGTTTATTTTAGGTAGCTGTCACTCGATTGAACTAGAGCTGGTCCCACCTACTTGTGGCACTATCTACACTTTCATTTTAGCATGAGAATATTATATAAGGCACAAAAACTAAGCAAAAAAAAAAAAAAGCTAGCAATTCTACGTTTCGATCGTAGGACCTCCGGGTTATGAGCCCGGCGCGCTTCCACTGCGCCAAATTGCTTTCATGCTTCGGCGCTTGGATGATGACAATGTGTGAGAGCTTTTTAAGTGCTGTAGCTGCTATAGGGTAAGCTGTTCAGACTGGATTCCATGGTTCCATTGCCGACGAGTTCAATATCTCCCTCTTATAAGTACGTGCACTTTGGCCTCCTTCCCTTCACAAGCTGAGAAACTCTAGGAAAGGATAAGATAGTCAGAGGGGTCTGCAGTGTAGTCATTGCTTTCGTCTTGTATACAACATCAACAAAACGACTCCATGAAGATGTCAACTCATCTTTAGTGATGTAGAGGACTCTCTACTTTCACTCTCTACTATCAAAGAACGAAGACATGTACCAAATTCAGAACAATTTACCGGTAACTGGGTATGAATATTCAAGGGAATGGGTTTGTGGACCGTAAACACACATTAATGTATCATCACGCAGCTGGTACGCACCCACAGCTACTAAGAGAACTAAGTATAGTCTGGGGATGGGTCGGACAATGCACTCTCACCAGCAGAGAGGAGCCAATAGCTGAGTGTATATATAAAAAGACATGCGTCAAGACGCAGAGACATGAAGCTAAGGTTGAAAGCTTGAAGCATGTACTCCAACTACAGGCTGGCGGCACATATCACAGATTTGGAGAACTGCAAGTCAACTCAGACTTTAAAACATATGTATGCTTCCTGGGCTCCGGTTTCAGCCTGTGTCGAGTTTCTCTAAACCTAAACCTGCAGTTTAGTCACGCGATGGGAGGGGAGGATCGGCTGCTAGGCGAGGTGGGAAGCTCCGTTGGATAGTCCCGTGTGTCCCGTTCAGCACCTGAGAATGATTCCAGTCGTCGTATCACTCACTCTCCGATGTGACGCTACTTTGGAACCATGTCCGCTAGTCCTGTGTCATTTTCTTTTTCGACCATGCTTGCTCCAAGGGTCCTTGTGAGACATGCATCTCTCCATGTTATGGCGGCATTTGTCGACTCGGTGATTTCCGTCCTCACGTGAACCCCGTAGTTCCCTCAATTACGAGTGGGATACCGATGTATCACGGGTGTCAATATCAGGTTGTCGATCAAAATGATCTTCCCTGGGCATAGACCTTGGCTCCCCACCTCACACCTACCAGGGCTTGACGAAAAGGTGGGAGAAAGTGCCGACGTCAGTTGGAGGGTTGGGAGCCCTGTTGGGAGAGTTTTATATATTACAATGCTGGAGGAGAAGGCTGTTTCTGCCCTAGACTCCGGGTAGAGGTTGAGAATCTACATGTAGTATATGATTTCTGACTATCCTGATTTCCCCTCGTTCGACGTCATCGACTGCACCATGTACTATTTTAGTCTCCATGTAATATGTCTAGCCCTACTCTCTCACCCGCCGTCTTCCATCTCCTAATCATGCAGATCTGTCTCTTTTGACATCCTTGCCAAACTCCAGGATGGTCTTGAGAATACTGTCCCTCCCCCCCCCCCCCCCATAAAAGGAAGACTTTGTTATCCCACCGAAAAAATCGCAAGCACGAGACATGTACAGGTCAATGCAGGTACCCATATTTTCCCGCTTGTTTGAGATGCCCCTTGGTCGTTTTATGCCTACCGGGGCATTGGATCTAATCCTTCAATCCTTCATTAGAAATGCTCTTCTCCAGGACAGTCTTGACGGCGTGCAACTTTAGGAAAAGTGATGATCGAACATACGGCCCGTGCATGGTGTATATGGTGTATTGTAGTAGTCTACTCCGAATGGTGACACTTGCGGTGTTGTAACATGATATAATATTCAAAGTCACATTCTACCGGTTCTACTCTACTCGAAATTCCTTGCCAATTGGTACTCAACCGGCCATTCTCCAATATGCCCGCCCATCCATGCCCATCCATGCCCCCCCCCCCGGTGGACAGGAACCAAACAACGTAATGTCAACTTCTCGCGGCATTGCTGAAGATCTGCCGACCCGAAGATGCCGAGGAGTCAGAAATGAGGAATCAATACCTTGTACCCTGTGGCTTGGCGCCTCGCAGAGGGTCATGATCTTCTACTCGTATATGTAGGGCGCCGTAATGGCAAGACAGCGATATCCGAACCCCAAGGGGCGCAGGGGTTTGAGAAGTTTGAGAAGGCTCCAAGTTAAAACAATAGGAACCTTCGAAGCATTCTCAGGGCTGATCCGGCCCCCATAATGTTGCCGAGAACAAGCAATACGACGTATTCGGATGTACATGTATGGCTTAGAGCATTCCAATTACACACTTTATGCATATTCGGTAGCATCAATTCATGCTATGAATTTATACATGTACAGCTAAATTGTCCCCACTAAGGGGTTATGCGGTATCGCATGACGCTTTGTGGCTTCAACGTCCGACGCCTGGCGTCTCGGTTCCAGTTGCATACTACCATCTGGCGAGTGTGAACTTGGCACCGTTTTGACGTTTCTTGGCCTTATGGCATTCTTGCATGTATCCGTATATTGGTTCCATTGTTCATTTCTGTCTCCCTTTACTGTTACAAGACGAGTTTGACAAGTAGCGATTGGGCTCCTTGACTGGTCTGATCGCTTGGTTTCGATGAGAACATTGAACAGATACGAGTAGCGTGACGGGCTGACCTCAATTGGTTCAGTTCGGTAGCCTTGATAACTTTATTGAACGATAAGGATGATAGAAGGGAGAGAAGGGAGAGTCTACTCTGTAGCTATTGGAAGGAAAAGCTATCTTTGTCTCATTATGGGTCTCTGCGGGTCTAGTACATATTGCTCGTTGCTAGGTAACTATTAGGTAACTACTAACCGGTGAGGCCCCTTGGGAACTTGTTCTCGCAGTTAAAGAGAGGTAAGAGGACGACTGCAGTGAAATGCTTAGTTACACTCAACCGTTGCGTAAAATATCGCCGTATCTCGCATGTCTTTGAGCCATTATGTCCCTTCACTTTGCCATGCGGGCCCCGCAAAGATAGCCATGGGGCTTTGCGTAGCTTTGTCAACTGCCGTCTGAAACGCGTTATTATACGCTCGCTTAGCTGTAGCTGTATGACCGGGGACCGGGGGGGGTTGGGTTGGGTTGGGGTTGCTTAATCGTCTTTGCGCATGAACTGACATCCGCGGAAGTAACCACGTTGTTCGATTCTCGTATTCCCCCTCATGAGTTGTCTCCTCTCCATCTTGCTCGGGGTGTCTCCTAAACAGTAACGAATAGGCTAAAAATACTATCTTTTATGATCCCAGGTGCCAGGGCGGAACCTTGCACGACCCCGAGTGATCGACCGAGACGACGACGACGACGACAAGACTCCATATCCCGAATCTCGAATTGGAACATACGAGAGAAGAACGGCCGGCAAAATCATCTATATAAGGGGGTCCAGCCGTTCGTCTACACTCGCTTTCTCTTCTCCTATCCTCAGCTCATCAGCCAAGAAGCTTCCAACAAGTCCTTACCTTACACACACTCTCTCGATAGATTCACCAACTTCCAACGTTCTTTTTTTCTCTACTGCCCAACATTCAGCATTCTACATCCCTCACCTTCATCATGCAGACCAAGTCGTTCCTCGCTCTGGCTCTCAGCCTTGCCATCAAGGCCACCTCTGCCGCTCCCGTCGAGACGTCCCCGTCCAGCCTTCAGGCTCGCGACGTCATCAACCACGATGCTGTCGCTACCTTCCCCGAGACTGTCCAGGCCGGTGGCTTCGCCGATGTGATCCAAAAGTTCAAGCCCTTCCTCCACATCGCCCACGGCTGCCAGTCCTACCCCGCCGTCGACGCCGACGGCAACACCAGCGGCGGTCTCCAGGACACCGGCAGCGCCACCGGTGGCTGCCGCGACCAATCCAAGGGTCAGACCTACGTCAGGGCCAAGACGCGCGGTGACCAGACAGCCATCATGTACGCCTGGTACATGCCCAAGGACATGCCCACAACCGGCGTCTCCACCGGGTCCCACCGTCACGACTGGGAGAACGTCGTCGTCTTCGTCGACAGCGCCCAGAACCTCGTCAGCGCCGGCGCCTCGGGCCACGGAGAGTACAAGAAGACCACGACCCCTCAGCGCGAGGGTGACCGCCTCAAAGTCGAGTACTTCACCAACTTCCCTACCAACCACGAGCTGCAGTTCACCGACACCCTCGGCAACGACATCCCCCTCGTCGACTGGGATGCCATCCCCCAGGCTTCTCGCGACGGCCTCAGCGCCGCCGACTTTGGCTCCGCCACCGTCCCCTTCAAGGATGACACCTTCGACGGCAACCTGGACAAGGCTGCCCAGTAAATGGGGGTCGTAGCTGACCATGTACCCCCTCGTCCGTGACATGGCTCGCCTGCGATCGGCTTGTGTCTGATCCTCATCTGAGCTCTACGAGCTTCAGCGAAAGATCCGGTGATCTGGCATCACTATTGCGTTGTCGTCCAATGCGCTGGTGGTTTGGGAGATGGCAACTCTCAGACCTTGAAGTATATAAGCCTGAACTCATGTTTTTCCCTTTACCCTGTCGATCTGCCTTGTTATTGTTTATCCTTTACCATGTTTTCATCCACTCGTTTACCTGTACATATGCATATTCACATACAGAATGATAGGACATATATATAAATATACATATATATATACTTATACTCGTCTGTCTTGACTGCTTTTCTCTCCTCGGTAGATACGTAAACGTCGTCTGACCAGTGAAGAACTTCCGAGGTGAGCGCTGAGTTGTTTTCTGCGAGGGCATGTTGGCCACCCAGCCGATGCTACCGTAGCAAGAGAGATTCCGTAGAGTAGTATAGAGATGTATGTGTGTCATCAGAAATATGAATGATCAAAACCTTCTCTCACCCTTCTGATGAATGGGTAGATGATCCGCATGCAACTTTACAACAGAACGGTACATAGCTACATCTGGCAAAGTCTCACGCTAGATATTGCGCCGTCTCGATCACAACCCAAAAGGGAGGAGGCCATCTTTTACTATCTACGTAGAAGTTACAATCTTTCAACTGAGCACAAGTGTGCTTTGCTTATCACTAACTTTGATATATGAGGTCTCTCTCGGGGAGGAGGCGAGAGGGAGTTCATATACTCTGCCCTTGATCCCAGGTCTAACCTGCGCACCCAAATACTCGGGAAGACAAGATGAGACATTGAAACGATCGACGCCATTGTCTTTCTGGACATGCAGCCCAGCCATCGATTGTTTCCGGACTAGATTCGAGAGTATACATAGATTGGCATATTCTAGAAGAAATCCCTAATCCCCGCAGCTAGATGTACAGACTAACATACATGTACATTGAGTCGATGACGCGACAAGGTTGCAGATACTGACGACTGAGAAATTGAATTGATGCAAATATCCTTTCACCGTCGACAAAAGTTCTCCCCGCATGACCTCGGGTGATGGTGATGCATGCGAAGATGTCACCAAGACCTCTTGGCGTCCAATATGTCTGGCGGATCGAAAATGTCTCCCCTGCAGTTGCATACGTCGCAATCCGGATTGGTGGGAAACAAAAAACCCTGACATTGCCTAACGAATTCTACATGAGATAGCACGCAATAAGAAACATGGCGATACAACCCAGATTTTTATTTTATTTTTTTAAAAAAAAACCATACACACGTACATACACAAAAAAGGGACGAATGATCACGCAACTGTGAGTATTAGATGATAACCACCGACACGACTATCAACAGTCAACCCAGACTGGGGATACCGTTCCGGCCAATTGGCCATGACAAACACAGAAGTCCCTGACCTGACCGACATTGACGTTTCCTCATTAGGCAGTTCGGCTTGCGTATCGTATCCAGGCCAAGGAAGATGCTTAACTGGAAGCATACACCGGCCCCGCCCTTGAGAACGACGATGTCTTGCTCATTGGCCAATGCGTCAAGATGCTGGTAAACTACTGGGTCGCCTTCCTGGTAACTGTGCGATTGCAAGATAAGAGTGCGGGTTTACGACAGTGCAGAGCGGTTCCAGGTACAGAAATGTCGCGGGGAGGCGGGGGGGGGGGGGGGGAGTCGGCCTCCCTTCCTTTCTTCACACATATATATATATACATCTTGAACGATGCAGACCGTCTCTTTCTACCATCTTCTCACCTTCAACCCTAGAACGTCAATCTCCTCTCCTCGTCTCGGACAGCTTCCTTCTTGTCTGCTGCTCAATCGCCAAAGATGAAGACGAGTACCATTGTCGCGTCCGCCTTGGCACTGCCCACCGTGGTCGGTGCCAAGCCCTACGTCACGTCGGACAAGCTACAGGAGCAGGTCAAGCTCGACAACCTCGTAGCCTCATCCCAAAAGCTCCAGGATATTGCCGATGAGAATGGCGGACACCGCGCCTTTGGCAGTACAGGCCACAATGCCACAGTCGACTTCATCTACGAGACGCTCAGCAAGACTGGCTACTACGACGTCGTGAAGCAGCCCTTCACCGAGACGTACTCGAGCGCCGACGGCAATCTGACCGTTGACGGCGCAAGTGTCGAGTCCGCGCCCCTGACGTACACGCCCAGCGGTAACGCTACCGCCACGGTCGTCCTCGTCAACAACCTCGGCTGCACCGGCGCCGACTACCCGACCGCGGTCGAGGGTGCCATTGCCCTCATCTCCCGAGGCGAGTGCCAGTTCAGTGCCAAGTCCACCTTTGCCAAGGCTGCCGGTGCCGTGGGTGCCATCGTCTACAACAATGAGGAGGGCCTGGTCGCCGGAACGCTTGGCTCCGTCAGCGGTGACTATGCTCCCATTGTCGGCATCTCCAAGAAGGATGGAGAGGACCTCATCGCCAAGCTCGAGGTCGAAGGGGAGATCCAGGCTACCCTCTTTGTCGATGCTGTCAACGAGGAGCGCGTCACTTACAATGTTCTTGCCGAAACCAAGCAGGGTGATCATGACAATGTTCTCGTCCTCGGCGGTCACAGTGACTCGGTCCCCGCTGGTCCTGGAATCAAGTGAGTTCATCCCACATCTAACACCTTTTGGAAGCCCATCTTGACCAACGTGATGCAGCGACGACGGTTCCGGCATTGTCGGCATTCTCGATGTCGCTCTCGGCCTCACCAAGTTCCGCGTCAAGAACGCTGTCCGCTTCGGCTTCTGGAGTGCTGAGGAGTTTGGACTCCTAGGCTCGTACCACTACATCAAGTCCGTCAACTCGTCCGACGTTGAGCTGGCCAAGATCCGCGCCTACCTCAACTTTGACATGGTAAGGGCTCACTCGTTGCTCTCTCCACATCCCCAGGAAGCAACAGTGTCTAACATGTATACGATTAGATTGCAAGCCCCAACTACGTCTACGGAATCTATGATGGCGACGGTGACGCCTTCAACCTGACCGGACCCGCCGGCTCAGCCGCCATCGAAAAGGACTTTGAGGACTTTTTCACGGCCAACGGCGCCCCATTTGTCCCTTCCGAGTTTAGCGGCCGCTCCGACTACGCCGGCTTCATCGAGAACGGCATCCCATCCGGAGGTCTGTTCACCGGCGCCGAAGACGTCAAGACGAGCAAGGAGGCCGAGCTTTTCGGCGGTGAGGCCGGCGTGGCCTACGACGTCAACTACCACGCCGTCGGAGACACCATCGACAACCTCAACCTCGAGGCATTCCTCCTCAACACCAAGAGCATTGCCAACTCTGTAGCCAAGTACGCCACCAGCTTCGATGGCCTCGCTCCCGTCGACGTCTCCAAGCGCGGCTGGTCGGACATGCACTCCAGGGCCTTGAACCTGAGGCGCTCCATCGCCAATGCTCATTCTTCTGGACACAGTCATTCTGGACCCTGCGGAGGAGCCGTTTCCATCTGATTTCAGATTGTAGAGTTGTGGTTTTATAGCATGGGTGGCGCGGTGTGTTTCTGGTATGTGTGCGTGATGTCTCTTTGATGGCGGGTCAAGGAGCTTTGTCTTCCAAAATGACGATAAAACGGGTGATGAGAAAACTATGACGAGATTCTACGAGATACAAATTGCACCAGATAACAATTTATACGAGTTCTTGGGCTGAGGCAAAGACTTCAGGGCGATACACACTCGTATGTATATATACCTGTAGATGATATGATGACAAATGTCTCGGCGAGAAAACAGCAGAGTTATAGTATATTAGAAAAAGGAAAGGATAAAGAGAGATTAAAGCCATAGAGGTTAGAAGATGAGCAGAGCAAGAAAAAAAAACTCCGGTACAGGGAATCGAACCCTGGGCTCCGCGGAATATCTTCCCTCAGGTTATGAGAGCGCGAAATGTTAGCCACTACACCATACCGGATTTGTTGAGAGACTTCGCCATTAATCCTTCCTAATTAGGTCGAGCTGGCATTCTAGCGAATAGAGGTGCCATGGTGATGCCGTGCAGAGTTGGATATTTAGGAGCTGTGACGGGGAACACTCTTTTACAGATGTCGTTGAGATCATTGTTGAAGTTGGTATCTATTCTATCTGTTGTTGAATACCTGTCTATTGTTGAATGCCGTAGTCTTCCTTTCCTGACAGTGAAACAGAAAGAAAAAAAACTAGAGGCATGAGAGTAGAGATAAAATTGAAAATGGAAAGGAACCCTTAGACAAGACGCCATCTATTGTTGAAATTGAAAGAGAAAAATCGTCATGCATCTTTCCGTCGAAAAAGCGATGCCAAAACACTCGACTGCTTAGCCTCCATCTCGTGAAACTCCCCATCATCGGTAGACTGTATAGTAACGGCTCCGCCAGCACCGACACGCCAGGTGTCCGACTCGGAATTTTCGGGGTCCGTCTCCCCTCGTACGGCGGTACGTATGACGACGGAGAACTGTCCTGCTCCCCCTACGTCCATGAACCCCAGCACACCAGAGTAGATGCCACGAGACCGGTTCTCGATGTCGCGCAGAATCTCACACGAGCGCTTCTTGGGAGCACCCGTCATGGACCCCGGAGGTAGGGAGGCCTTGAGGACGTTGATCCCGCTGGTTGATCCGGTATCGAAGCGGCCGTCTATCACGGATACGAGCTGGTAGACCGTCTCGTACTCCTCCATGACCATGAGCTTGGACACAGACGTGTTGTGCGCACCTACGACGCCGCTCAGGTCGTGCCGGATAAGGTCCACAATCATCAAGTTCTCCGCCCTCTCCTTGGAACTGGATAGAATGGCGTGGGCCCTCTCGCGCGTCATCTCGGCACTCTTCTTCACGGTGCCCTTGATAGGTCGAAATTGGCAGTGTCCCGTGCGCGTCCAGCTGAGGAACTTCTCTGGGCTGCTGCCCACGACTGTCGTCCCGGATAGTCGAATGAAGGCGCCGAACGGCGCAGGGTTATTCTGCCGCAGTCGCCGGTACAGTGCCCACCCGTCCAGGCTATCGCGTGGTACTTCCATGGTCGTCTCGTCTGTCAGGCACAGCTCGTACGAGTCTCCAGATGAAAGGTATCCTTGGCACTGCAGCACCTTGTCCCGGTAGGCATCTTCGGCTGGTCGTGTCGTGTCTGCTCGGGCCAGGGCTTCGTCCAGCAGCGCTTCGTCCAGCAGCGCTTCCGTGTCTGCTCTCACGTCGTCTTCTGGTCGCAGCTCGCTTACTAGTCGACCTGTCTCGTCGACCCACGACTCATCGTCTGAAAATAGGGACTGTACATAAACGCTTGATGTTTTGTGGTCAATCACGATGCTGCGGTGGATAAAGGCCATGTTGACATCTGCTACGTCGCTCGCCGGATGCGGCTCCACGCCAATCGTCTCTAGTCCGACCTCGTAGGACAGGTAGCCCATGAAGCCACCCCAAAAGGGACTGTCATCTGGCAATGGCCCGCCGTGAGACGCTGCTGGCTGGGTTTTCCTTGGGTTGTTCCTGTCGAGAACCTCCTGAAACAGGGACCATATGTCGTCCACTGAGCGTAGCTGAGCCGTTGTCGTCTTGCCCCCTTCTGTTCCGTACTGCAGCGTCTGTGACGATACCCTGTATGTCACCTTGACTGTTCTTCCCGGAATCACGAGACCAAGAATGCTATACCGGCCAGATGCGTGGCCCTGTGAATCGAGCACGATGATATCCCGCCCCCGAGTCTGTCCAAGGGCCTCGACAAGGCGCGGTGCAGTGAGGGTAGATAGCACCGCGTGCTTCTTCCAGAGCAAAGATATAGGCTTGTCCGACTGCAGCTCCTGAGCCAGAGCATGTCCTCCTGATCTAGTCGCAGTCCCGTTCGGCAGTGGTGATTTGGCGCACCATGTCACAGGCAACCGTTTCCTGCCTCTCTTCTCGAGCCATCTCTGTGAATGCGACCACCAATTCTGGAGCAGTATCCGCCCCTCATCAGACGTACATATCGACTCTGGGTGGAACTGCACGCCCCAGAGCGGTCTCGTAGCATGTCTGGCTCCCATGAGAATAGGGCCGTTGACATTGTCATCCAGGTCCCATGCCAGCGGGATCATGAGGGGGCACGCATCCGTGGGAGACCAGAAGGGCTCCTCTTGCGCAGGCGGCGCAACCTGCACGCGCAGCGAGTGATACTGTGTTGCGCGGAGACTGCCCACACCAGCAAAGATGTCGCAGTCACCGTGCGCCACACTGTTGACGATGCCGTGCCTCGCGCGTGCCAGTCGACTCACATTCGCCCCCTGCGAAAGACACAGTGACTGGAAGCCCAGACAGATGCCCAGAACGGGTATCTCATGATGGCCTTCCAGTCGCCACACCTGGTCAATCAGACCGACGTCGTCCGGATTAGACGGGTGTCCGGGACCGGGGCCTACGACGACAGCATCAAATTCGTCGACAAGAGTGGTGAATTTACGGGAGGCCTCTCGATCGTCAATGTGGACGACTACCACGTCGACGTCGAGGTATTGTTCCAGAAGTCCGATGATGTTGTTGGAGAAGGAGTCAAAGGCGTCGATGAAGAGGATGCGCTGTCGGGGGTTTACCCGATCGAGGGAACACATTTGTTCGGCAGTATTTCTTTGTCTCACACCCACTTTGAGTCAACCTTGTCGTGTACCAGTACCTCGTCTCAATATCCAGATGGAGTGGATCGTAGACAGGGTTGTTGACCCCTCAGACAGCATGATCTTTCAGACCACACATCGGTGGCTAGCGAGTATGAGAGCAAGATGGCAGACAAGAATGTCTAAATCCAGATGACCATCATGTCTGACATGTGCTGGAGTCGGCGAATATATTGTCTCATGGCTTGGATGACTCGGACTTGCTCTAATTTTTTCTTTCTTTTTCATACGTCGGATGGGTCCTTTTATGCCAAGTCTGGAAGTCGATTGGTGTAAATTTTGTATCATGCGGTGGCTGCATATTTCCACAGGACACGTGTCACGTGCATCCTTTACAAGTATAATCTGTAATAATATATGACAGCCGAATCATCCATCAACACCTTACAACCAAGAGATGAGATGATTTCGTATCAATAATACCTGTGAGAGGAAATACTGCGGTGAAATGTATCCCTCATCGTCAATATACTGTTGAAGCTCGAAACTCGACTATTTCGATCCCATTCTGTGCCCACATGAAAAACAAGAGAAGTCCACATCATAACCAATCCTCACTAGCATACGCTCGGTACACGTACATGTACGTAATCATACGAAAATTCAACCCGTTTCCTCTCCTTGGTATTATTTGTTTCCCCGTGACCTCGTAGAGATATCCGGCCTCTCCCCTAGAAGATGGGAATGTAGATGGCTTGGCCGCGGTCGACATTGTCCTTGGCCATTTCGATACGGTCCCCTCTGGTACCGAACAAGATGTCCCAGATACCAGTCTGCTTCCCGTAGTTGTGCGTCTTCCTGTACCCCTTGCGGTGATGCATGTCGTGGTCCTCGACGACGAGCTCGGTACCCGTGGCCCTGAGGAGCCAGCTAAACGTCGAGGGAGGGGCTCCGTAGAGGCGCAGACCGCTGTGGCCAAAGACCTCGGTGAAGGCGATGAACTGATGGCAGATCCACCACTCGTAGAAACCCATGGAGATACCCATGACGCAAAGTGTGGCCCATGTCATCAGAGGCACGCCCACCATGTCGAAGAACTCTTGCTCGTGGTCCGCGTAGGCGGACAGCAGAGGGTTGGGGTGCTTGGTAAGGTGGTGCGTGCGGTGGTACCTCCACAGGAACGAGACGTCGTGCATTGCGCGGTGGTACCAGTAGAACCAGAAGTCGAGCACGACAGAGTACAAGCCAATCTGCAGGAACAGCCACGCCCACCACTTGGGATTGCTCATGACCTCCGTGGGCGGTTCGGCCGGATCGTACGACACCAGGATAGACAGCGCGATGCGTGAGCCGGTGGTCTTGTACAGGGCTGCAGCCACCTTGGCGACTCCCACGTCGGGAATACCGTCTCGTTCATGCTCGTCGCCGTCCAGGAAACCGGTCATGTGGCCCACACGTCGCAGCACGTGCACCTCCCGGATAACGGTAAAGTTGAAGGCCGTAAAGTATAGGTTGAAGAGGGCGAACCGGCCTATAGATTCGTATCCGGTAACGCTGAGCCACGCCTGATGAATCGATACCGGTATCAGGGCGTAGAACAGGACCCATATCACCACTGCTATGTCCGACATGTGAGGTGTAGGGTCTGACTTGTCATGGACGGGGACCGGCTTGTCGATATCCACTGGGTAGGCGTTGAAAAAGTCGATGATGTGGTGAGCAAGGCTCCAGTTCTCTTTGGGGCTTGTCCTCCAAGTCGACTTCATTGAGTCTTGCACGTTTGGCTTTGGCGTCATGGCCTTTTTTGGCGTTGTCGTTGCTGATGTTGCTGCTGCTGTTGTTGCCATCGTTGTAGTCGCCATCCCTGGGACTGTCGTTGCCGAAGAATAGGATGAATACGGAGTTGCCAGGTCGTACTTACAAGAATAGTGACGGTGAGTTAACAATCTGTTAGCCAGGGTTCATGCAACTTGGTATACAGGCCCTTATATATCCCATGTCATGATAGCCCTCTCCCTCCCCCCACAAATGCAGAATACTCCGCATTGCATCTTGTAAAAGAGGTAATCACATGCTGTCATGACCATCGAGCCACATCATATGTCCCGAAATTTGTTGAGTCCGGCGGGGATCTACTGGACACTACGAATATCGTAAGATCGTGGAGAACTTAGCTCTGGTAGGCTGGCAAGACATTTTTAGTTGCTACAGAATGGACATCAGGCCAGTCATCCAAGATAGCATGTGCGTCTCTTCGTCCTTCGTCCTCATTTTGCTTGGCGTCAGTAACATTCCTTCGCATGATTACTCTACCGTAAAATGTGCCGGCTATGCACTCACGTCGCAATACAACCCATTCTTCGTGGCGAGCCCCGTCGTGGTGCTTGCCTAGCGAATCATGATCAAGAATGTGAATTTCACTATTTCTCTTTTAAGTCCTAGTTTGCGAGCCTAGTTTTCAAGGGTAACCCTCCTGTACAGGTTGGCGGTGCCCCATTGCATCGTCCTCATATCCGGCTGTCAGACTCAGCAGATCCTCTGGGCTTCCCGCGTGGGGTGAGGAGAGAAGGCCCCTGACGTTTCGAAGTAAACCGCGGTGCTTCGCTCATGTTCCTGACTTGGGAAGGCTGTTACGCAGGTGTTCTAGGCAGGGTACAAAGCAAACACTTGGTGGCATCTACCTGCCCAGAGTCCAGACGGTTGGTACGTGTCTCGGCTATAAAACCATGTGACGGCTGGCAGTTACGTCGGGCGTTCTGCAGACGTTTATCATCTGCTGGTTTTTCTGTTTCCGTCTGATGTCAAAGACGAAAAGGGAAACCCTGGGTGACTAGGCATCGGGGGAGTGAAACCCGCCGACCAGTCTTCATAGTACTGACGTGCTCTCGTACGATTGTGCATACGAACCATCCCGTTGCGTCTCTAGGGACGAACTGCTTGCCTATTTGGGCGGCAGGTTACCTCCTACAACAGTCAAATCGTCTGTATCGCATCTCTCCAATGACGCCATCAATCGAGTATCCACGCACAAAGGATCTTTCTAGCGAGGACCCCGTACCTTAGAACAGTGGAAATGTACAGTGTGTACTCCAGATCTGCGATGTCGGCTTATCGATCTCTAGACCAGCCTCGCTCGCTTGGGGGAACAGGGCGCCTCAACGCAGTTGCAGGGTGAATGGGATCAGCGTCAAAGATCCATGGCATCGTTGAGGCGAAGCTCGCAAGCTCTCGCAAGCTATCATGGGCCGTCGGGACCGGAGTATGCCTCTCGTTCCCCGTCCGCAGGATGCGTCTGGTACTGCACGTGGGACGTGGCCAGAGAGGCAGTGCAACAAAGCATATCTTTCATTCAAAATATCAAGTTGCCCTCGGTTGTTTTCTCTTAACACACTGACAGGTCTACACGCATATGATGATCGTCGTGCCTTGCTGACCAGCCCATCTAGTTAGGCTAGACCTGCCAACACGGGCCGGTACCGTGTAAAGTCAGACAGGCTCGGAGCGGAGACCCGGGAAGTCTCTAGGTCCCGTTCGACCATGTCCGATGATGGTGAATAGTGGAATCGGCACGTGTGTGTGTAAATCGATTCGGTTCGCGTCATATCAATGGTCATGTTTCTGGGTGGCTGTCTCTGTCTGGGGGGAGATCAGTAGCAGCATCAACAAATGGCCCGTACAACACAGGCATCAAATGAGTATCAGTCGTGAAAGTATCGGATTTCGAATGAACAAAAAAAAAATAGAATTCTCGACCGCATCCCTGGGGCCCCAGAAAGTCGGTGGATCACGATGTTTTTTGGTGAGAAATACCCGCAGTTTAAGTGGAGGGAAGGAACCTGGGGATTTGGAGATTTTGGGGTTCTTCTCCACTTTTCTGCCCTTTCAACCCGCAATTTGGATTATGTAATGCACTTCGTATGTAGTCAGCATTGCCTTGGCTCCTCCTCATTCAGCAAACCACTCAATCATTCGACATCATCCGATCAAACAACTCCTCCGTATCTGTGCCATCGGGATTGATGACGACGACGAAGACGACGGCGGCGTTCTTCTCGACTGATTTATTGATTTGAATCCATTCTCGAAACCGTTCGACAACGGAACCTAACTGCCCATCATGCCTCAGGACATGCCCCCCAAGGGCGGGTACGAACCCGTCCAGTACAAGGTGCGACGACGACAGCCTACGACAATGATGGCGGAGAAGCAAGATATAAAAAAAACATTCAATCACTGACAGAAGGCCACTTTCTCCAGCGTAACCTCCCAGCTAGAGGCTTCCGTCCGGGCGCCTTGCTCCTCGGAATGGGTGCCATCATGGGCTACGGCTGGTACAGGCTGATTGTTGGCATGCGCGAGGTCAAGTATGTGTTCACTCAAGGGCACGCTGCTGCAAGGGATGGAGAAAAGACGTGGACAGACGGGAGCTGACGTTTGGTGTATAATGTAGCGAACTTGGCCGCGAAAAGATGTGGGCTCGCATCCATCTCACACCTCTCCTCCAGGCAGAGGAGGACCGTGACCAGATTCGCAGGCACTGGGCCGATCAGGCTCGTGAGAAGGCACTCATCGGGGACAATATTAAGGTTTACAACACTGACAGGTCAGTCCTTTCCCCTCCCCTGCATTTGCGTCCTCTCTTGGTCAGAATTGCGTGTGTGGAATGGTGGAAAGATGCTGACTGCTCGTACCAATAGGTTCGTGAGGCCCACGTACGCCGTCACTCCCCAGCCCATCCAGGAATAAGCAAGGGAGGCCAAGCAAGCGAAGCGAAACCGGGGTTACAAGTGTTTGGAGTAGCCACGGTAGTTGCACGTGTACATAATGAAATGGGTTCCCGAGATTCCCTTTGTTTAAATCGGAGAGTTACGTCGGCAAGGTCAACCCGATTATATTGCCTCTGTTATACGTGACAACTCATTGGCACAAGACCGACCGGCTATTCCGCTTGTCAGAACAATACAAAAAGTAAAACGCAACGGTAAACGCAATGGTCATGTATGCCTTTTCTTCGCTAGCAGCTCGACTGAAAATACTTGTCAATACCGACGCCAGCTCTCAACATGCTGTCCAGATAAATACAGTAGAATAGTAATAATTACCAAGGGTGAACGTAAAGGAGAAGATTGACGAAAAGAGCCAAAACGCCCTACTAATAGAACAAAGAGAAGGAACAAGAAGAAGGAATAAGAAGAACGACATGCATGGACAAGATAGTACAGATCAATCACCCGCAGCCTCAAGTTCAGCCAGCAACGCCCTCTCAAGATCATCATCCTCGTCAATTCCATCGTCGTGATCCTGCTTCTGCGACTCGCCGCCCGGCGTGGGGAGACCCGAAGATTTTGGCTGGTCCTCGGCGTCCTCAGCGACGTCCTCGTCATCGGCCATGACGGCAGAACGTAGTCCCGATGCACCGCGGTTACGAGCCACACGCTGCTTCTTGGCTAGTGCGCTCTCGCCCTCAGAGTCGACGCCGTCACCCTCGCCTGTCCGGGCCTTCCGCTTTGTTCCCTGCTTCTTGTCGCTGCTGCTGTCTGACTCGTTGCCTTCGGTGTCGCTACCGCTCTCGCTCTCGGCTGCTTGCGACGAAGAGGATTTATCGTCGTCATTGCCGTCGTTACCGTCTTCGTCGTCGTCGTCGTCAAAGTCGATATCCTCATCCGTGTCCATACCCAACAGCTCCTGGATCTCGTGGTCGTCGGCCTCAGCCCAGTTGAGGTCGTCCATATCCTTCATGCCCTCGTCCTCACCCTCCGACGGCCCATCCGTCGTGTCGTCGCCGGGGCCTCGCTCGCGGTCGACGCCGGACACTCCAATGTAGTAGGGGCTCTCGTCTAGACGGCGCCACTGGCTCAGGCAGTCGAGCAGCCAGTTCTGGTTGACGATGCGGATGCTGGATATCTTGGCCGCCTGTTGCACCTTCTTGGTGCGCGGTCGCGCCGACGACACCACCAGGTGCGTGACACGCTTCGATATGCTGTCGAGGACCTGTGCACCAAAGCTCTGCGCTTGTATGCCTATATCCGATTCCTCGACTCGCACACCAAGTGGCACCAAGCCGGAGAGTACTATCACCAGACCTTCGAGAACGCTTGACTTAAGATTGTCCAAGATGTCGCCCACATCCGGCACCAGCGACAGGTCCACGCCGTCGTCAACGGAGTGGCGTCGAGGCCTGTCACCCGGGTTGTGCTTGGGTTCGCCCTTTTTGCGTTCGGACCTTCGGCGGTCGTACGTCTCGTAAAAGGCGCTATGCAGATCGGCAAGGTGATCCTGGAGCGAGATGAGCTCTTCGTCATCGTCCACGAGCAGATTCTGGCGCGGCTGCGACGCAACCAGGTCCTGGCCAATCGCCTCGCCCTGCTCCTCTTCTTTATCCAGCTCTTCCTGCATGTGCTGCAGGGGTCGTTCATTGAGCTGCTTCTCCAGCGTCTTCGCCTGCTCCTCCGTCTGGGCCTTGAGAGCTGCTTCGTCATCAGCACCACTCATACGGGCAAGCTCATCGAGGGGCGAGACAGCGTTGGCCACCTTGGCGTCAGCACCACCGGACGTGGTTCTATCCGTAGCGCTGTCGTTGCTATCATTGCTCTGCCCCTCCGTCGTCGACATGGTTTTGCCATTGGTTTGTATTGTCAAAGTCGTCGTCGTCATCGTCGTCGTCGTTGCTGCTGCTGCTGCTGTTGTTGTTGTTGTTGTTGTCGGCGACGGTGTCGTATCTGTTGGCACAATATCCATCCTCTTAGGCAAAAAGCTCGAGTTGATGTCACCGATTCCCTTGAAGAAGTCGTAGGGCATGACCTTGATGAGGTTGGGGCGGTTCAGGGGCCAGACATCGGCTCGGTCATCGATGATGACCACCATGTTTGTGCTGACGGGGAAGAGTCTCTGGAGCGTCTTGGCCGTGATGCTGCCGTTCTCGTCGCGACTGATGACACGGTTACCAAACAGCTTGCGATCCGGGTCGACGATTCGGGCAATGTTCTGAGCGTAGGCGCGTGTGCCCATGGTGTATACGTGCAGCTCGTACATGGAGCTAACCTCGTCGAGGAACTCGCGAAGGCCGGGACGAAGTTTGATGTAATATGTGCAGCCACTGGCGGCCCCGCGCGGCGCATCGTCGCTGAGCTGGAAGGACTTGACATCATTGACGGCGCCGTGGTTGGGGTTTGAGGGGTCCGACTGCCACTCGCCGACGGTCGGGTCGATGCACGCGTGGATGATGGTCTGGTCGAGGTCGACGACGAGGCTGAGCTTACGCTGGCGCAGGAGGCGCTTTTGCGTGTCGTGCTCGGCCTTCGTGGCGACGTTCTCGCTTACCATGAGGCCCGTCTGGTCGTGCGTCATGTTGATCATGGCCCGGTCGGTACCGCGCTCCTCGCTCGCCCAGTCAGTCTCGGTCATGTCGGCGCCGCAGAGTGTGCAGAGGCCCTGGATCTGGACCTCGTGACCGCATGCCTCCTCGACCGTCATGCACGGCACATCAGCATTGATGACCATGCCCTCCTCCAGCTTCCACTCCTTGAGAACGCCCTCGGCCGGACTGTCGTACTCTGTGTATGTTGTCTCGTCGGCCCACTCATCCTCGCCGATGCGCCGCCGCCACGAAAACTTGTATTCTATAATCGTCTCCTGTTTCTTGATGGCATCTCCCGGCGATTTGAGCAACTTGGTGATGGTGATGGGGTAGTGCAGGCGCGAGCCTAGGTGAACGACTTTGGTGTACATTCTGGCGTCCCTTTTCGCTCCCGTCGTACAGCCTGTTCCTTTCCCGAGTAAGTAATGGATTCTCTTTCTGTCTTCCTCCTCAAGTCAACCCGGGGCACGCGTAACGCACCTAGGCAGCTTCCCCGCTCTCGATGCTTTGGAGCGACCAAGCTTCAGCCAAGGTCATGGCCTCGCCAGAATAGAGAGATAGGGGATACAGAGATCGGTCGATGTCCTAGAAAAGATAGTGCGCCCGTTGGTCGACGCACAAGGCAATGGTAACAGAGACAAGGAGATGGGGAGACCTGAAGCTCTTCAGTCTTTATCCTAATAGGTCGCCACACCAGAGGCGTTGTGGAGAAGCTTCGCTATTCGGTAAAGACGGGGCAAAGGTGCAGGGATCATCGCTTCTCCCTAAGAAAAGCGCCAGATCACGTGATATACATCTTTGCTGATCACGTGAATCACCCTTTTGCGGCGTCAAGCATCACCAACTTCAGGCGATCGTATATGAAACATGGCCTCAGGCCGAGTTTCTAGACAAACACTAACCCCTATCGACTCCAGGATCGACCAGTGTCTCGATGGCGACTTCTTCAAGTACAAGACCGTTGATGGTGACGCTAGGAGCGTCCTCATAATGTCTACTTACTAGTACATCCCAGGTCGATAAGTGTGTGTCTTAGTGCCTAATCGTTCAAAAGGAGAGGAAATCTATTTATGAGATTATCTTATAGATGTGAGTGTAGCAGCAACCTCTGACTGCTTAGTCATCCACATACATTCTTGGTGCCACATGAGACAGGATTTCGGGTAGTTAAGGACACGGGACTCATGCGACCCGGGGGATTTTATGCGACTGATTCCTAAATACAGACAGATATTTGCAAATGAATATATATCTATCCCACCTCGTAAAGTTATACTTCCTGTCTATTCCTTCGACCTCCTTTCCTTCGACTCTCTTGCTGCACATAGAGGCAGCCATCGAAGGCCGATCCGGAGCGGAGCCGATAAAAATGATGTCGCCCTTATGATTTATCAGATTGGCCGTTGTGTCAGTGGGCCTATGGTACGTACATACGAGGAAGAACATCATCCGATAGCGCGGCTCAGTGAGATCAGAAGATGAAGCTGCGCTGCATCATCTGTATCGCCGTGGTATAGGTCACCTAGTCGTGCTTGTTCAATCGACGCATCCGTCGTTATACCTTTGATTAAAAACGAAACAACCTCGAGTACATCGAATGCCTCCTGTGAAGATGGAACCCGAGAAGCGCAAAATCGTCATCATCGGGTGAGTTCAATCCGTGTGAAGGGTCGTAGTTGAGCCGGAACAGAACACCAATGTAATGTACTTACATGAGGGACAAGGGCTGGAATCCTCGGCCTCACGACAGCAATAAGCATCCAGGATAGCATCCGTGCCCGCGCGGAGGCACCCTACGAAGTCGCAATCGTGGCTCGAGAATGGCCCGAGGCTGTCACGGGAAACCACTCATCCACGTCGCCCGACTACGCATCCATGTGGGCTGGAGCCCATGTCCGTCCCATACCGGGGAGTACCCCCCAACTCCAGAGGGAAGCAAAGTGGTTGAAACAGACCGTGGCCAAGCTGGAGCAGCAGGCGTCGGCGGAGCCATGGGCTGGCATCACTCCCACCAAAGGCCGGGAGCTTTTTGAGAGCCCAGATGAGGCGTACTGGCACCAGACGCCGTCTTCCTTCACCGAAGAATCGGGACTACGAGGCTACCGTCAACTCGGTGACTCGGAGCTGCCAAAAGGTGTCAAGATGGGAATCGAATACGATACATACTGCATCAATTCGCCTCTCTACTGTGCCAGCCTCCTACGCAGGTTCATATTCCAAGGAGGTACGACTCTGAAGAGAGATCTTCGAAGCGAGTATGAGGCCTTTGAACTGTTCAAGGATGTCTGTCTTGTTGTCAACGCCAGCGGAATGGGTTTCGGAGACACCAAATGCTTTCCCACAAGAGGTAGGAGTTTCAATGGCACCACATATATATCACTTTGCTGACACTGATCATTTATACTAGGCCAGATCGCTCTTACAGACTTGGATGGCGTTGTCGAGACCGTCACGAGGCAGAACAATGATGGATCCTGGAATTTTATCATCCCTAGATTTTATGGCGGTGGGACGGTGATTGGCGGCACAAAGGATGTCAACGACTGGGATGATGCTCCACGCCCTGCTACGAGGGACTTCCTCGTCCATGGTGTTTCCAAGCTTGGAGGCGACGTGGGCAAGTCGACAGGATTCAACATCATCCGTGACATTGTTGCCCGAAGGCCGACACGGGAGGGCGGAGTTCGACTAGACCTTGAGCACGTCGCCCCGAACCAGCATTCCAGCATCACAGGACTTCGACGGCTGATACATGCCTACGGAGCCGGTGGAAGGGGGTTTGAGTTGAGTTGGGGGATTGCCGCTGATGTGGCAGCTCTATCCCTGGAGAGTCTCTCGACTGGTGCAAAAGCCAGGTTGTAGTTCTTACTGAAGTTACCATATGAACTGCGATTGCATCCAAAGACTGGCTGGAAACTGACGTCCGGGAATGATACGGATACCTCAGCCCCGATCACTGCGAGGACGAGGAAATGATACGTGATGATCGTAGAAGCCATACGGTGAGCAAGTAGTACTTGGAAACTGGAAACAAAGTATCAATGTAGTAAACAAGAAGAATGGCATCATGCCCGGGGAATCAAGCGTCATCACGTATCTAACCCATATATACAGCCGTTATCGTCCCATTGAATGTACACACCCTTCCAGAACGCTCCCCTGCCAACATTCACGCCGTTGCTTGAATGATCTTGAATCCCTCCGACACCATCTTGGTAATCTCCTCATTCTTGTGCGGTAGCAGACCCAGAGCAAAGGCCACGTCATTCCACTGCCTCTCCGTCTCGCATCGTCCCAGGCGGGCTGCCAGCTTATCTGCCAGCTGTCTAGCATGCTTATCCTGTTTTTGATATTAGTCGAGGGTATTCTTAAAAGGGGGAACGAAGTGGAAAATGGTGGGAGAGAGATGCAGAAAAGAAGACTAACCTTTTCCACAAAGCCAAGAAGAAATCTGACAACTCTGCGGAAGCTCTCCTCGTTCATCTCACTGCCACTGAGAAGACCAAACATGTCGACAAAGTGGTTGTAAACGGCATTATCTTTGCTGCTGAGCTCGGTGAAGAACATGCGCGCCAAGTCGGCAATACGTCGGTCCTCGTCCTCAAGACACTTGGCCATCTCCCCCAGCTGTCCCTTGACCTTGACCTGGCCGGCCAGGATGAGGAACGTGAGTGTCATTAGACACGTGCGCTTGACCGAGGCGTCCGAGTCGCCCAGACGGCGGTACAGGAAGTCGGTGTTCTCGTCAATCAGGTGGTTGAAGCTGACGGCCATGTCACCCAGCGCAATGACAGCGTTGGACCGCACAATGGCATCGGGCGACCTCTCCATGATGGTGATGAGTAGGGGCAGGTTCGTCTCGCAGTATTCGGACGACACGCACATCAGCTTGGCCAGGCACAGGGTCGCCGCACCCTGCAGGTGCTTGTCGGCGTACGATGTGTTGTTGGCGCAAATATCAGACACCAGCGGGCCAAACAAGCGGAGCAGCGAGTTGGGGCCGTACAGGAGCTCGCGCTCGCGGATGTGTGCCATGGCCTCGGTGAAATCGTCTTCAGACGTGCCACCAATCAGATCCAGCTCGTCGGCCTCCCCCTTGTCCTCGTCCTTGCCTCCTGCTCCCGCGGCCGCCTGCTTTTCCTTTTCTTGCTTGCGGCGCTTGAAGTCGAGCTCGCATAGCTCCAGGTGCACAATCTGCTTGATGGCTACGTGGCCGACAATGAATAGCAGCTGCGACAGCTTGATTGCGTTCTCCCGGTTCTTGGGCCGGTCCAGTTGGGCGCCCAACTGCGTCACCGTGGGATCTGATAGGTGCGGGTCCAGGTTCTGCGTAAACTGCTGCGTCATCTGCACCGTCCCGTCGCGCGAGGCCGGTCTCGACGGTGGCTGGCCAAACACCATCTTGGTCTTGCGTCGGATAATCTCGGAGCACAGGGTGTCTGGGTGCTTGGCCAAAGCATAGATGGCACTGATGGCCTGCTCAGCCAGTCCGTACCACTCCTTGCTGTCCGACTGCACCTCGGTGATGGCAGCTAGCCGCACGCACACAGCGTGGTCGTTTGGCAGGCGCGAGAACTTGACGGCTGACTCCCTAGCCTGACGGCCCGTGGGGTTGATTCTCCTGAGGGCAATGCACGTGTGCTTAGCCAGCTGCAGGTCGTTGCGGCCGTGGGCGGCAAGACCTGTGCGCAGCATCGTCTCCATCTCGCCCACGACGATGTCGGGGCTGGCCGTGGCCAGCATGCCAAGGATAATAATGGCTCCGCGTCGCTGGGTGCGCGAGATCTCACGCTTCTGCACGCCGTACACCTGCCACAGCTTGTTGATGACAACATCGGAGATCATGCCGCCCTTCATCATGGTGGACAGCAGCTGCTCCAGCGACGTCAGCTCGGCGGGCGTGGCGCCAAACGTCAGACTGATCATGTTACGCGCAATGTAGTTGGCGGCATCATTAGAGCTGAATGTGTCGGGGGCCTCAAAGAAGAGTCGCTTATAGCAGTCAATCAGGTGTGTCTGGACGCCCTTGCCCTCATCGCTGTTGCCCTTGGTCCAGATGAGACGCAGCATGCGCCGAATGCCAACCTTGTTCTGCTCAATGTCGTAAGCATCGCCAATCTCGAAGTAGTCGATGGCCTCGATGACCTCGCTCTTATTCCTCGATCCCAGGAGCTGACAGATGGTGCCCGTGGCTTCGTGCAGCACGTCTATGAATTTGAGCGCTTCGGTGTAGTACCGGCGCGTAAGGGTGAGCTTCTCAATGGCCTCGCTCGTGGCCGCCTCCTCCTGCGCTTTCTTGATCGCCTCGGCTTTTTGCTCATCCGTCATGTCCCTGGGCTTCTGGGGTGACTGAACCTGCGTAGCCTCGTCTAGGAGTTCGTTGTCGACAGCCGTGGCATCCTGGCCACCAAACTCGGGCACACCGGGAGGCGGCTTGAGAGCGTTGAGCTCTTCCTCGACCCTATCATAGCGCGCCTGCCACTCTTTCTTGGACAGCTGGGCGCCGTGCATGACGGTGAAGGGGTGCGTCTTGATCAGGGTGCCTAGGAGCTTGATGGCGTTCCTGCGAACATTGCTGCTCTTGTCTTCGAGACTGCGACAGGCGAGCTCAGCAGCCTTTTGGCGGCGCTTGGGGAACTTTTGCTCCAGCTCACACAGCCTCATGTACACCTGCAGGACCCTGCAGCGGGAGTAGGGGTTGATGTCGAGGAAGCGTTCCTCAAGAACATCGAAAAAGGCATTCAGCTGGGTCTTATGGTTCTCGTGGGGTTCCTCCTGGAGGGTCAGGTAGGAGATCATGTTGCCACAGACTTCGATGAGGGCACAACGGAGGGTATATGACTAAGAAGCTTGTTAGCTTTCGGTTGGCCCTGCTTATACGAGGTGCCCATCACGTGGGATGCGGCTTATGCAAGTTTTATGGCTCACCTCGCTGTCTAGTTGCTTTGCAAGCATCGTCATCTGTTTTATGACCAGCCGCGGTGTGAGTTCCGAGAGCTTGGTGATGAAGGTGGAAACGGATTTGGGTCCCCTGGTGTCGTTAGAGTTGAACTCTTTGTTACTGATTTCACGAAGCACCTCGTCGGCGAGTTGGGGGTAGTCGTAGGTCTCTGCCAGAATATGCAGGAACTCGGCCATGGGTTCGGGAAGATGCTCAAAGTAGGTGAGGTTCTGGATGATGTTGATTTGAGCGGCTGTGGCAGGTTAATACTGTTTCCTTCCTCTCTCTTCCTTCGATCAGATCACCTGAGGAAAAGAAAAACAACCTACCATAGCCATGGCCGTGATGCTTGACGGCAATGCACAGAACCTTGAAGCAGTGCATCCTGATGGAGGTGTTCTTTGCGCGCTGCTCGCTCTCGAGAATCATGTAGACGGGCCTGGTGAGCAGACCAATAAAAGTATCCCTCTCGCTGGTCGTGAGGAAGATCTTGGAGAGCTTGAGCTTCATGACTTTGCACATAATGTCTAGGGCGGACTGCAGCTGGGCTGTCGAGTCCCAGGCGTCATCCTTGGCGCCCTTCTTAGGTTTGGCTCTTCCCCTTGCGACGGGGGCAGTAGACGACTTCTCGGCGGCCTTGGTCTCGACGGCAGCAATTGTCCATTGCAGAAGGAAGCCGTAAATCTCGAGCAGCTGCTTGTGATGTGACAGGACGCTCTCCTCATCGGGCGAGTCAATGTCGCCGTGGACGGCATCGGCCTCACTGCTCAGACCGCTCATGACTAAGTCAAAGACCTTGCTGAGGGCATGTGTGGGCAGATATGAAGTGTATTTTAGGAGGAGCTGCAGCGAGTCGATATTGGCAGCACGCATAATGGCGTCGGGGTTGTCGGCCACGGCATCGACGATAGGGTTCAGGACCGGGTTGAGGACCTGGTTGGTCAGGGCTTCGGGTTCATTTTCGCAGTCGAGCAGGGTGCTATCGGCTTCAGGGGTCGGGATAGTCGCGGGGTCGGACATGTAGTCCCTGAGGGCATCGTTGATGTCAAAGTTTATGGTCCCCATGATGGGCCTCGGGGTCACCAACGGGGGTGACAGGAGAGGGGTTGATCTAGGGGGGAGGGAGAGGAAGAAAGAGAGAAACAGTTCAACAAAAGAAAGAAAGAAAAAAAGGTCCTATGTTGACAATAGTCCTTTGAAACTGCCTCTGGCAAGGGCTGGAGTGGTTAGTAAAGGGAAAGAAATGTGGCGATGATGTTGGTGGTGATGATGGTGGATTTGGCGTTGACCGTCGAGACCCTGGCAACGACTGTTTTTGTTTTCTTGGGACGCGCCTTTCCCCCACCATTTTGTAAATTGATCCACTCCACCAAACGCCCAAAAGCGGCACCAGCAAAAGCGCGTCAAATTTAGCAAGGCGCCTCTTACTTGCGCTTTGATCAGTTATTAATCCCTACAACAAACTCATTGACTTTTCTTTTTACATGTGCAGAGCATTGCCACCCTTGTCTGCGGCATATCTGCTTCTTCTGTTCGACATCCTTTCTTTTTTTCTTCTTCCCTTTCCAGTCTGATTTGAAGGCAACCTCTCCTCCCCCCTCCTCCGATTCTTAACCATGGCAGTCGGTGCTGTAACTGGTGATCAGTTCGTCATCCACGAAGATGCAAGGACTGAAGAAACAGAGCTGATTGACGAGGAGCATGCATTAGCTGCCACTGAAGATGACATGTCTGCTGTAGCCACAGAAGAGGAAGAACTTGGCCACGACGAACACCAAGACCAATACACCGAGCAAGAAGCAGAAGAGGAGGAGGAGGAAGAGGAGGAGGAGGAGGAGGAGGGAGATGACGAGTACGAGAGTTCAGAAGACGAGAGGGTTGACCAGGGAGTCATGGCCGACATGCTGAAGCTAGAGCAGGACTTCCCCAGCTTTGCCAAAAAGTACCGTCTCATCAAGCGTATCGGCGAAGGTTTGTCTAATCTGAATGTCGGCACTTGGACGGACATCTTGTCTGTTGGTCTTGCCAGCTGACTCTTTGATGTATCACTCCAGGCACATTCTCAACGGTATACAAGGCCGAGGACAAGCTCTACGACTACTACAACAACGAGTGGACAGACCAGATCGGCGTGCCCAAGTGGACGTCACCACCTGTGCGTCGGCACCAGAACCCACCCCGTCGACCGACTCGTTACGTGGCCATCAAGAAGATCTATGTGACTTCGTCCCCCTCGCGCATCTTCAACGAACTGGAACTCCTCAACGATCTGCGCAACTGCCAGGCGGTGTGCCCTCTCATCACAGCCTTTCGCCAGACAGACCAGGTCATTGCCGTTTTGCCCTATTTTCGCCACAGCGACTTCCGTTCCTACTTCCGCGACATGACCATCCCCGACATTGCCATCTACCTGCGCTCCTTATTCACGGCCCTCAAGAACTGTCACGAGCATCGCATCCTGCACCGCGACATCAAGCCCACCAACTTCCTCTACGACCCAGCCACGCAGCACGGCGTGCTGGTAGACTTTGGCCTTGCCGAGCACGAGGGTACCGAAACGAAACCCTGTCTCTGCCACGAGGTGCGCGAGAATCGCCGTGCCCGCCAGGCCAACTCGGTCTGGGCCCAGTCTGCCACGGGCCAGAACCAGGCGGGCTACCCCAAAAACGACACGCGACCATCGAGACGCGCCAACCGCGCCGGTACCAGGGGTTTCCGCGCCCCCGAGGTACTCTTCAAGTGCACCGAGCAGACGACGGCCATAGACATCTGGTCGGCAGGTGTCATCCTGCTCACCATCCTGTCCAAGCGGTTCCCCTTTTTCAACTCGGCCGACGACGTCGAGGCCATGATTGAGATTGCCACCATATTTGGGACACGCAAGATGAAGGCCGCCGGCCTGCTGCACGGATGCGTCTTCGAGACGACCATCCCCACCGTCGGTACCCAGGGCTTCACCCTTGAGAAGATCATCCTCTGGAGCACCTGTAGGACAGACGATAAGCCCCTGACCGATGAGGAGAAGCTGGCCATCAGCTTCCTTGAGCGATGCATGGATTTAGATCCCAGTCGTCGTATTACGGCCAAGGAGGCCCTACAGCACGAGTTTCTACGTCCAACAAACCATGCGCCTGGGGATGATGACGAAATGGACATGCTAAATGCTTAAATCATCGTAGACACCCGTCTTTTCTATTTTAGCACTATGTATATACCAGCCTGGGTGGTGTGAACGAAATATGCGTTGTGATATGTCATGGGAATGGGGCTTGATATTAGACTTTGTTCTCATATATACAGGCGTTCATTTGGTCAGCTTTGTACGTTACGACGATGGTAAATATATACATGAGACATGGGAGGGTTGGCATTGAAGAGATATATGATTTGATGACAAGTCCCAATTCTCATGCTTGATCATCAAATAATTTGCTTCTTTTTTTCATCGTTTAAAGACTCCATTTCAACAATTTTCCCCTGATGCAAGGCTAGAAGCCGACAACGCCAAAACCCCGTTTCCACCATGTAGAAAGAAGAGTTCTGTTTATCTGTAATGAATGAGGAAAACATCTATCCCACAGGTCTCAGTATGAGACAGACTTGAGGGCGCAGGGGGAGAAAGGAGGCAAGACAAAGGGAAAAGATTTTCAACAGAAGAAACAAAGAAAACTTTCATATTCTTTTTTCGCCTCTATTGGGCTTTTCCTTTTTTTTTTGATTGTTGATGTGATAAAAAAAACCTAGTTCGCACTCTTTTTTATACATGCGACCCAGGTGATTCTGTTCGTTGGGAGAGACGGTCATTTTTCCCATCTCAATGCCTAGTTCGTCATCTCGTGCTCTCCGTCATCCCATTTTCTTTTTGTTCCTTTTGTTCCTTCCTCGATACTCCATTGAAGCCAAAACGTTTACTCAAATAACACAAAAGAGGGAAATCTAAGCAACGAGCTCAACGACACCACCGGCCTCCTGGATCTTCTTCTCAGCCAGACGGCTCACCCAGCGGGCGCGGACGACGAGGGGGATTTCGGGAAGACGGCCCTTTCCGAGGACCTTGGAGTAGCCGAGGGGAAGGAGGTCGAGAACGGGGACGGTGTCCTTCTTCTCGCCCTGGATGTAGGCGTCGCGGGTCTCGACGGGGACAAGGGACCAGAGCTGTAAGGTGTTAGTCTTCGCTTTTCGTGTTCACATTTTCGAGTCCTCTAATTCGCGATCTTCGAGAAGAAACGGGTTTCTGCTATTGGAGAGGTTGGGAGTATGTACCTTATCGAGGTTGATAACGGGCTTCCAGAAGGGGTTGGCAACCTTGTGGAAGTAACGCATACCAACCTTACCGAAGTAACCAGGGTGGTACTGTATAAAGAAAAGAACCTGTCAGTATTCCCGTTGTCATCTTGCACACACGTAGTGCGTCGTCGCTGGAGAGCAAATTTCGAACCTTGTCCATGTTGGTGCGGTGGTGGTGCTGACCACCGGCAAGACCACGACCTCCGGGATGCTTGCGGTGCTTGCCTACACGGCCGTGTCCGGCCGAGACGTGGCCGCGGCTGTTGAAAAGAAAAGAGTCAGTCCATTGTGTTCTTCCATTCGTGTTCTTTAGAATAATGTCTATCATGTCCCTCTCTCCTGTGTCTCCCCTACCCCGTCGTCCCTCATTTGTTGCCTTCTCTCTCCAAACGAGCAGAGAAGCAACGTCGTTTTTTTTGAGGGACACAAAAGAAACGGAAACACAGAGCAAAGGGAACATGTAGCCATCGTGAGTACAACGTACAGCTTGCGGGACTTGTGGGTGCGGGTAGGCATGGCGACGGTTGTTGGCTGTTGTCGCTTTCCGGAATATTGCGTCCAGGTTACAAGGACGTGGGCAATATGTTTTTTGCGCTGCCCTACCTGAGAATGGAGAAAGTTCGGCAGTTTGCTCTCAAGGGTTGCTCTGCCCTAAGAAGTTGTGCGGATGGTTTTCTTGGGTGGGGCTTTATGTTTGTGTGCATGGACTTTGTCAGCGGCGCCCTGATTCTCTCTCTGTGTGGGGAGCACGTGATTTTGGGCTCATTTCTACATATGGACCTGCTTTGGTGTCCATTTTGAGAATATCGGTGCAGCCTCGGTGAGTAAGCCAATGATACGTCACTCGTTTACTTGGTTGCTTGGTTGCTTGGCCCCCCTTTGAGAGTCCCATTGTTTTCTTTTGTACACCGTCCCGTACCTCCATCCAGGCGGCATCAACAATGAATTATGCAGTGTTACTACTAGCTACCTGCTCAAGATGAGTACCGACGTAGAAGTCGGTGGCGTCGCCGCAAGCCTGGGCAATCTCGACTTTCACCACCCACTCACGCCATACGATGTCCAGGAGCAGTTTATGAAGGCAGTCTACGATGTGCTGGAGGCTGGCAATGGACAAGTCGGTATCCTCGAGAGTCCGACGGGCACAGTAGGTCTCACATCTTTTTTGTCACCAGTAGACACACCAGCATCAACCCTGTCGAACTGATCTGACACCATGGCTTCCCCTCTACCAGGGCAAGTCTCTGTCTCTCATCTGCGCGACTCTGACCTGGTTGCGCAATCACAAGTCCTCGGCTCACGAGGCTACCCTGCAGCAAGCCAGTGAGGCGTATAAAGATGAACCGTCATGGATGATTGATCAGCTTCTGCGACAAAAACGGAATGAACTCTTACGTCAGTGGGAGGACCGCGAGAAGCGTCTTGAAGCTGCACGTCTAAAGGAGAGGGCCCTGGAAGAACGTGTTCGCAAACGTCGTCGTATTGAAGATGGTTTAACTAGCACATTATCACACCGCTCTACCGAAGACGAAGACGCCGAATGGCTACTGGACAGTACTAGTAATGACAAGAACGATTTACAAGACCCACTGTCTGGACTCAGTCGAGAGTCAAAGGAGATATTGACCAAGATTGGCCTTGGTAAATACAAAGGTCCCAGAGCTGCTGAGGAGGAAGTGAAGTTGGAAGAAGGTATCAAGGTGTGCTTGTCATCCATCTATATACGCAATCATCGGCGCGGTAATGGTAACATCTTTTTGTAGATATACTACACTTCGCGTACGCATTCACAGCTGTCACAATTCATCACCGAACTTCGACGTCCAGCATTTCCTTCATCGTTGCCAAAGTCACTGGCACAAGATGGTGCCCCTCCACAGAACGAGACCGTCAAGCTCCTCCCGCTATCATCACGCCAAAGGCTCTGCATCAACCCATCCGTATCAAGACTGGGCTCCGTTCAGGCCATTAACGACCGATGCTCCGAGTTACAGCAGCCCAAGTTCGGCAAGAAGTGTCCCTATGTGCCTAAAGAGGAACTCCTCTCGCAGACCAACGACTTTCGTGACTCCGCATTGGCGTCGATACCAGACATTGAAGACCTCCACCAGCTGGGCAAGTCCCTCGCCGTGTGTCCCTACTACGCATCCCGCACAGCCCTCCCGGGCGCCGAGATTGTCACGCTGCCCTACCCGCTCCTCCTGCAGCAAAGTGCACGCGAGGCTTTGGGCATCAAGCTCGAGGGCAATGTTGTCGTTATTGACGAGGCGCACAACATCATGGACGCTATAGCCAATGTCCATACTGCAGAAATTCAGCTGAGCGACATGAAGAGGGCGAGGTGTATGCTAAGCGTCTATGTCAAGCGGTTTGGCAAGAAGCTCAAGGGCGAGAACCGTGTCAACGTGGGCAGGGTGGGAAGAGTTATTGAGGGGCTGACAGAATGGATGGAGGGGGCTATCAAGCTCAAGGTGTGTCGACTCAGAGGATGATGCTCCCTTTGTGCGTTTGTATGTGTGGTGTGGTGCTGATTGTCTCTAGGAACACGGCATCGTCGACCCAAATGACTTGACCCGCCACAAGGGCATCGACCAGATCAACATGTACGAGCTGATCAAGTACATACAAGAGTCCAAGCTGGCCTTCAAAATTGAGAGCTACGTGGCGCACGTAGAGAGCGAAAAGGACCCGAAGGCAACATCTCGACACAGCAGCAGCCCAGTTCTACACTCGCTCGTGTCGTTTCTCGTGGCCTTGACCAACCTCAGTTCCGAGGGACGCATCTTCTACGAAAAGACGGCAGGAGAAAACACGTCGCCGAACCTGCGATTGTCATACCTCTTACTGTCGCCCACTCACGCCTTCTCATCGATTGCATCAAGCGCACGAGCCGTCATTCTGGCTGGCGGCACCATGTCCCCATTCGACGATTACAAGGACCACCTCTTCCCTACCATGGACCAGACCAGGATCACGACGCTGAGCTGCGGACATGTCATACCCAAGGAGAACCTGTGCGTCTGGACGCTGGCGTCAATGACACCCGGAGCAGCGCCGTTCGAATTCAGTTTCCAGCGACGCGGGGACCGCGATATGATTACCAAGCTGGGCCTTGCCCTGGTGAATGGCTGCTCGGTCATCCCGGATGGCGTCGTCGTCTTCTTCCCCAGCTACGCCTACCTCGACGAAGTGGTCAAGGTGTGGCAGCAGGGCGAAGGGCAAACAGTCTGGTCAAGACTGGAGGCACGTAAATCCGTGTTCCGCGAGAGCAAGGGCTCCTCGAACGACGAGGTGCTGGATTCCTACTCGCGCGCCATACTTGACCAATCGGGCAGCAAGGGCGCACTGCTGCTGAGCGTGGTAGGCGGCAAAATGTCAGAGGGCATCAACTTTTCCGACCGGCTGGGCCGGTGCGTCATGGTTGTCGGACTTCCCTATCCAAACATCGCCTCGCCAGACTGGAAGGCCAAGATTGAATATATCGAGTCGACAATGTATACGCGACTCCTGGGCAACGGCGAAGGTGAAGATGGGAAGAAGATGAGTGAGACGGAGGCCCGAACAAGGGCTAAACAAGCCAGTCGTGATTTCTACGAAAACGCATGCATGCGTGCCGTCAATCAGAGCGTCGGCAGGGCGATCCGACACAGAAACGACTATGCTGCCATTGTGCTCGTGGATAGACGGTTCGGCACGGACAGGATACGCAGCAAATTGCCGGGTTGGATCAGGGCAGGGATGCAGACAGGAAGTGAGCATAAAGGTCTTGGTGGGTTGATGGGGACGTTGGGTGGCTTCTTTCGGGAGAAGAGGTGATATCTTGATAATGGTCTTTCAATGGTTCTGCCAATGACGGTTGCATGTCTGCAATCGATGGATCTGGAAGATGTTGAGCCCTTTGTGTATATGTACAGTGTATGTACGGTGACGTACGTGGTCACGTGATACATTCAGCGTGATGCGAGCTCCAATAATTGAACCACACAATGTTCCTTTAACCAAATTCATCGAGACCAATTCGAGTGGGTTGAGAGGCGATGGGAAGAATAAATTGTCCTCGGTATTATTCATCTATCTTACAGAATTCCGTTCGTGGAGTAAATATTGTTACTAGTAGTTGAAGTGAGTCAGACATGTACATGTAGAGCCGCCACCCGCCACATCAAGATTTTAAGCGGAGTATGCGGTCCAATTTCTCCATTTGGCAATATTTTTTCTTTCTTCTTTTTATCTATTATAGAAAAAGAACAAATTAAAGACTCAACAATGCGACGTTGCCTATCAGTTCAAACGCGCACTATTGTCACTTACGGTGCACGAGAAGAGAGAGAGAGAGAGAGAGAGTCAAAAATCCTCGCTTAAAGCCTCATTCATTCGGCCATTTTTTTTTGGGAGGGGGCGAGCAGCTCTGGAGATTGAGTCACGTTAATTATGAGACGAGACGTTGAAGATGGTCGTGGCAATGGAGAACCAACGGCTAGGACTGGAGCGGACGATAACAACAGCAAAACTTGGGAACAAGCTGGACGGAGAACACCTCGGTTCTTACAGAAGATAGAGGGTGTCCTGCTCATGGGCCGTGTCGAAGCCAAGGGCATAGAACCTCTCCCTGCTCAAGAACGCAAGTCGACGCGATTTTGGAATATATTTACTATATGGTGTTCTATGAATATGAATATTCTTGGGTATGTTCATCTCTCTTTCTGTCTCTGTCTCTGTCTATACAACATACACATACACGTGTTGTACAGCTAGTAGTAGTGCTATGCATGTATATATATCAAGTATATGTATACCGTACATGAGATGCTAACTGATCAAAAGAGTTCTATTTGGTCTGCTTGGCCCCAGTACATATGGCCTTGGACTTCGAGACTCATCACTCGTAATCCTCTTCTTCTCCTTTCTCTCCAGCGTGGCACCGGCTTACCTGGCTACGTTTGGTCCAAAGACTGGTATGAGGCAGATGATTCAAGCGAGATTTAGCTTTGGGTGAGCCCCGAATATCAAGAGTCTCTGAGCGTGGTACCGTGGCTAACCTCTTCTCAGACGCTACCTCGTCTCTGTCCCCGTCCTGCTCAACCTGGCTACACTGACTGGCTTCATGGTCATAATCTGCATCGTGGGAGGGCAGTGTCTATCCGCTGTATCAGACGGCAACCTAACGCCCGACGCCGGAATCGTCATCATCGCCCTGCTGGCCCTCCTCATCTCCTTCTGCGGCTTTGATATCCTACACTACTACGAGACGTACGCCTTCTTCCCTGCCGTCGTGGCCATTGCTATTGCCGCAGGCTGTGGTGGAGACGATCTTGCCAAGCAGGCCGCTCCCGCGCAGGCGGCCACTCCCGGGGCCATCATGAGCTACGGCATGATTGTCGCTAGCTACATGATTCCTTTTGCGGCCATATCCAGCGATCTGACGACGTATTTCGATCCCAAAGTTCCGTCGTGAGTTTTCCCACTCTCGTTTTCTTCCTCCCTCTCTTTCTCTCACTCTTACCAATGTGACTCGTTACTGACCCTTGCAGATGGCGCGTCTTCATATACACCTTTTCAGGCCTGGTTATACCCACGGTCCCCCTCATGACACTCGGTGCAGCCATAGCGGGTGCGCTACCCAACGTGCCGTCGTGGCAGGCCGCATACGACAAGACGCTGGTGGGCGGCGTGCTGGCAGCCATGGTGTCGTCGGCAGGTGGCTTCGGCAAGTTTGTCATCGTGGTCCTGTCACTGACGCTACTGGGCAACGCCGCAAGCACAATGTACGCCATCACGCTCAACTTCCAAGCCTTGGTGCCGTGGATGGTCCGTGTGCCCCGCTACGTTTTTGCCCTGGTGGTCACGGCCATTGCTATCCCCGTTGCAGTACGGGCCGTCGCGTCAAACTTCTTTGGCAGTCTTGAGAACTTTATCGCCCTCATCGGCTACTGGTCTGCCTCGTATGTGGGCATCGCGGCCGTGGACCACATCGTATTTCGTCGCCAGTACCACGGTGATAGTGGCCCCGTCCCCTACGAGGAGGCCTACGACCACCGTGTTTGGAGCGACACGTCAAGGCTGCCCATTGGCGTTGCCGCGCTGGGCAGTGGTGTCTTGTCGTTTGGACTCGTGGTGCCTTGCATGGAGCAGGTCTGGTGGACGGGACCTATTGCGGAGACGACGGGGGACATTGGCTTCGAGGTGGCCTTTATGTTAAGCGCCTTGTTCTATGTGCCGTTGCGCAAGTTGGAAATTCGATTGACAGGGAGGTGATGACTCTTCTCATATACGATATAACAAAATAGATCCCAGCATGATACACAGCCTTCTCAAATGAAACCACAAAATCGAATAAAATCACAGGAGAAAGGAGAAAGGAGAAAGGAAAGGCTCCACCCTACGTACTCCGAACTCGTAAATACAGTAAAACTGGTCATGTTGCGCGGAGTGTAGTATGATTTCATCACTCCCACCGCAAGCCACGCGCTCCGCTTTTCTGTCCCCCTCGTTCCTTCCGATTTAGTCCGTACTACAATCTTTCCTTCCATATTTTCAATACACCAATTGGCGAATCATACAATCAAAAAGGGGAAAAAAGGTATGTGGTTGTTTGCGCCTTCCCAATCGTGACTCACACGGTGATTCTACTACGCCGCATAAAACCTGCAAAAAACAACACTGTGTGTACAAGTCACACACACTATGGCTTAGAAGGACTTTACCCCACCTTACCTTATAAGCTGCATCTTCCTTCCTTCTCTTCTTCACTTCTCTTCCTCTTTTCTCTTTCCATACCAAACATCCACCGTCGGATGAGATTTGCCTCCTCATCCGCGTGCCCCCCCGAGCAAATCTGCTCACCGTCTCCCCTGATCAGCTTGTAAAGAAAGCCAGCCTCTCTCTCCAGCGGGAGAGGCGCCCTACTCTGCTCCCATGGCGGTCCAGTTCTCATCAGCATCAGCAACAGCTGTACTCCGCGGTCCCTCATTCTACAGGCTGCAGCAACCCAAGGAACCCGTCCCATCAAAACTTTGACGGGTTCCAACAGGAACGAGGTCACCAACAATATCAACACCAACAGCAGCAAGATTCCTTTTCGCAGAGTGTCAGCTATCACCACCGGGCTCAGACTCTGGATTTTAACGAAACCGTACCCCACGACACAGATCTTACCTTTTCGGACCATCAGACCTTTTTAAACGACACCAGTAACTACGCTGATAACAACGACAACATCAAGAACACGGATCTCTTTGAAATAACCACCGACGACCTTGATTGGACTTCTCTCGGTCTAGACCCCTTCGGAACTCAAATACTACAACCGAGGACTCTAGATCCAGATATGGGAACTAACTCTACCGAGGACAACATGCTTTTTGGAGAGCAAGTCATGGCTACTACCATGTCGTCACTGGATGGGCCGCAGACGGACCTTGGCACGGGAGGTGGTATGTATCGGACCCCCCAAACTCTATTAGGCTGCTTATATTTTGATCGGTTGGAATCTGCTGGTACTAAAAATGGTTATAGATTACTATCCATTTGACCGCGTGGCCAGTTCCATGTCCAATTCTACGTCCAACCCGGTCAGCCCGCCAAGCCCACTCCAGCCAACAGTGGTATCATCGGTATCTGCGGAAAACACTCCTGCCAATGGCCTTGATCAAAATTCCTCGTCACCTTCTCAGTCAACCTCGTCTGATAAGTCGCCTTACAAAGCTCGACAATGCTTGAATGATAAGAACGACAAGGAAGACCCCTGGAACAAACGCCATCGCAACACCATGGCTGCTCGACGATATCGCCAACGCCGCGTTGATCGACTCGCTGATCTTGAACGTCGTCTCGAGGAGATGACATCCGAGCGTGACGATATGCGTGTTCGTTTGGCTCGTCGAGAAGCTGAGGTTGGTGCCTTGCGGGATGTGTTGTCTGCAAAGAAGTAGTCCTGCTTCTGCCTGCTTTTTATTTGTCGTATTATATCTGCTTGTCTTTAAAGGAGTGATGATTGATAGAAAGGATCAAGGGATGTGTCTGACGATTCAATGGTTGTGATTTCTATCCTAGCTCAGGCATGGGGGATATGTCAGCTTTGATTCTCTGGGCCTGTAGACATACTAGATAGCGAACGATTGTTTCCCTTTTTCCTCATAGCCACAACGAGGCAGTCGTTGAAGCATCAGACGATGTCGTTCTCTTCCTTTCGATTTGCATGGTTTCATATAAATCATTGCATTTGTATCAAATTTTGTTCGTCTCATCACTTAGCTGGTTGGAGTTTGACGTGCTGAGCCATCATAGACTTACACCACGGCAATACTCATCTTGGGCCTTGAGAGTTCCGGTATCATGCCCAAGCATCTCCATCGGATAGTTGATTTGACTTTCTTTTTTCCTTCTTCTTCACAGATCTAGTGTCTATACCAAAAATTTATATACATCGACAACTACTAGTTTTCCTATCTCTCTTCACCCTCATGATGATCCTTCATGATGGTTTCCTCCTTGGTATCTCGCCGTAAGAGATAATGACTCATTCTGCATCACAAGTATACCCGTTTGTTGATAATTTCAAGAACTAAAGCCTTTGCTAACAATTATGTCTTTGCCCATTTCCTTTTTCTCTCTTTTTCTCTTACTTCTAGTATATTCGGAGCTCATTTATATCTCATTTGCTTAACGATGGCGCAGTATCCTCTTCACTTGGGGGAATTATGCATAAGTTGTGCAGGGTCTATCTCAGTCTTGCACATGGCGGGTAATTGTGGGGAGGATTCACCATTGCGCACGGTGTGAGCCAGACTGATTCACAATTACTCATGTTGACTCATTCAGCGAGAGAAGAGTTATAGTGTATATTTTTGCATGGTGTAGATGTAATTGATTGATACTAATACTCAAACAATTGTCTTCCTATCTGTGTCAATTTCTTCTTTTCTTCTTCGTCTTAGAATATATACATTACCCGTCTCTCACGTTTTCTACTGTCAGAAATGCTCCCGATTGTGTGTGTTTCAAGATTTCTTTGCTTATGAGTAGGAGACGTGCTGCTTCCTGCTTATTTTGCTACCCTATAAACTGCCTAAACGACGAAAAGAGGGACGGAGAAACAAGCATGTGCTCATATGATACAAGTGCTACGAACTTGCGTTTGTCAAACATCGAAAAATGACGTACATGACGGATATCAGGGACAGGCCCCCAAAGTACGGTGTACGGAGTACTCGTACTAGAATGATTGATTGGTGACAAATAACAGTGCAACACGGGATTCGTCTTGACATGATCACGGGAGCGAGGCTCGGGACGTGCCAAATGCTAAGGGCCGTCGGAATATACGGAAGGAGACAAGGGTAACCCCGGCGTGTGTTAGGTCCGGATACGTAGATAATTACTCGTACTTGAACCATCATTAATCCAGACCAATAGTTTGATCTCGATGAGAATATGACGACCCCCGCGATAAAATCCCATGGTTGGCATCAAGGTTGCCGCTTTTTGTTCAGCTTGGGATGGGCGCTACTGAGGCTGAGCTCGATGAATGCTGGCTGAGCACTCGTGATGATCGTGCCCATCTCCACAGTCAAACTGAACGAACATTGCTATACCCCGAAGAAGCAGGGCACGTCCGAGATGATACAAAGAACTCTGACTGGACAATGGACGAGTGGCGATGCAACTGGGAGATTACAGAGCAGGCTACAGCCTGTTACTCCGGAACATGAAAAAAACTATACACGGGGAGTGCGGCGTGACAGAGGACGTGACGACATGTCTCAGCCACCAGATCAATTCTTGTCGTGTGATGTGTACATGGGTCAGGCGAGGCAGATGGAGATGATGAAAGATGGGAGAGGGGAGGGGACGATTGTTCTCACGCTGGGTTGATCCAGGGGGGGAGGAATGGGTCCGAGTCGGGGTCGGCAAAGAATATCCGTTTTTTTCTTGGTCAGTGGGCACTGGGCAGTCAGATTGAGTCCAGCAGGATCGACTGGGGGTTCCGTAATATTGGCACGAGATGGTGTTGAATGACGACAAATACGAGAGCTGGTAAGAGCCTGGGGGAGACGGGGAGATGTGGAGGAGAATAGAAGAGTCCAGCATTAGTCATAATATGACTAATTCCAAAGGCGAAGAGCTGTACAGATTAAATATAAAAGAAAAGAAGAGGAAGAAAAGGAGGAAGAAGAGACGGAGAGAGAGAAAGGCATGGAAAGAAGCATGACCAGGCTGCAACGCACCACCTGCCCGCGATATATGACACCAGGACGGGGTACGTATATGTAGGTGATGGGAAGGAAGGTGCGGGTCGTCAGACGCCTGGCACTTGCCGTGTGCCGTACAGCCTCGCATACCATTGTAATCCCACCTGCAATAATACTTTTGGTGGTGATAATATCTGACCCTTAACACATCTTCAACGAACGCGCCATAGTCTTCATCATTTTCATTTTTCATCATTGCCATATCACTCTTATTCTCCGATACATACTATTACAGTCATATCTGTACGGGCACAGGAACTCTGTGAACAGTGGCATCCAGACAGCTAGAATCAACCCCACCTGCCGCTCCTGTGCCACCAGGGCCCTGCGTCAGAGCTGTCGTACCGTAATATCCCACCGCCGACGGCAATATATCTGGGATATCCTGCTTCTTCCAGGACTTGGCGATAGCCACCTCGTCAGCCTCTCCAATATTTCAAGATCAGTACGGACCTTATCTCTAATTATCATCTGTCTCTTACTGGCTTGGCAAGCTGAATATTATGTTGACGCTGGAGAGAAATACTCCATCTGTACATACGCCCAGCAGTGCCCACACGCTTCTCACATCCGTGGTACTAAGACTTCACTATTACTATTAGTGATGCAGGTAAAGCCCTGTCTATCGATTTACAGACACAAAAAAAAAAGGCGCCATCAGTGGACCCGTCAGTGGACTCGACCTCTATAACGAAAGATCACACGCCCGGCACACATCGATTTCACTACGACAAGACCAAAAAAGACCGGCGAGACCAAAGGCACCCACATGCCACACACCCCCGCCCCGCCTTGGGAGCCTTCAAGCCTTGCCTTGACAATCGCCGTCTTCGATCAACGCTCAGGCTCGGAGCTTTTTGCCTCTCTTTCTCTTCGGCCGACGTCCGTCCATAATCCATCTTGACATCGCTTTTTCTTCTATTTTCCTTTCTCCCTTCTTCGCCATTGCTGTCTTATCCTGCGTTCGCCTTCCACCTTCCGCTCCGTCGAAGCCCTCCGACCCCTCATCCCTGCTGCCTGGGATCCAGTATTACAAACAATCCGCTCGAGCCTTGACGCAAACAGAGATCGTCTTGGCTCCCGGGACCTTCCCACGATGCCCGAATATCGCCATATGCGCTCCGGGAGTCTCAATATTCCCAACGGCCAACGCAGCGGCGGCGGTGCTGCTACTGCTACCATGGGGCCCCCACGGTTTGACGGCCCTCGAAGCCCTCCAAGTACGTCTCTATGTCCCATTCTCTCTCCATCTTTTTTTCTCTCTGTCTCTTTTCCCCTCTATCCCCCACTTGCATTTCGCCATTCATTCCTCCTTCCTTCTCCAAATTACCTCCATTAGCCCACGCTCCCAACTGACGATCCGACAATCTTCTCAGATACATCTCACGTGCCTTGCAAGTTCTTCCGCCAGGGAACATGTCAGGCTGGTAACGCCTGTCCCTTCAGCCACGACCTGGGAACATCTGCCGAGACGGTCTGCAAGTACTTTGCCAAAGTAAGAGAAACTCCCCCCCCCCCCTCCCATCTCCCCACCTCACTCCCATGCCCTGCTAACTACCACAACAGGGCAATTGCAAGTTTGGACCCAAGTGCGCCAATATCCACGTCCTCCCCGACGGCCGACGCATTAATTATGGCAAGAACGGTGTCACTATAGGCCACGGGCAACTTGCTCCCGGTCAGAGCCCGACTTCGCCGACGCCCTCGAACTCGGCCGCCACGCCAGTCGGTGCTGGCGGTCCCCACAGCCCTTCGCCTGCCCGACCTCCCACCTCGTCAAGCGCTCTCACAAACTCGCTTTACCGTGACGACCATGCCTCGCCCTTTGCCTACGACGACCGCCATCACCCCGGTCACCTTGGCCGCCAACCCAGCCACGACAATGGCCCCGTCATCGACGTCCCCCCATACACCCGAAACGGTGGCTCCAACTATGGCTCGCCCCGCGATGACGACTCGCGTTATCTCGGTCTCTCGCCAATGGGCAGCACCGCCAAGGGCCTGTCCATCCTCGACGCCCCCCTCCCCGCCTCATTCGACTCTAACGGCATCTCTTATGCCGCTCTCTTTCCTGCCGCACCCTGGCCCTCGTCGGTCCCCTCCAAGTTTGGTTTCGAGTCGCCCTCATCATCTCTGAACAACGCCAAGGACTCTCGCACCTCTGAGACGCTGAAGCTCCTCCACACATCGGCTTTTGGCTCCGAGTACCTAGCCACCCCTCTCGCTGGCAGCCCCACCAACTCGCAGTATGGCGGCATAGGTGACGAGTACTTCGGCAAGCGCACTATGCACTCGTCGCGCCTTGCCGCCAGGCCCAGGATGGTCAGTGCCAGCCTGCCTAAGGCCACCTCGGCCGTTGATCGCGACTGGGAGGCCGGGTTTGCGTTTGACGACTCTAACGACAACGTCCCCGAGAACTACGTCCCAGAGAACCTACAGGACCTGCTTACCCCGGCCGAAAAAGCCCGTCGAGGATCCATCCGCGCCGACGATTCCAATTTTGATGGTCTCTCCAAGTACGGAAGCCCCATTGGTACCAGCCCTGGTCGTTGGGGCCCCGCCTTCCCCCGCCAAAAGGATGACGATGACCTATCCAGGTCAGCCCGCGTCGCGCCCTCAGCCTTTGGCCACGTCGGCAGCCCTCTGCGTAACTCGACGCTGGCCCAGGAGATGGGAGGTGTCAATGGCTCCTCAGCCTCATCGCGCCGACCCTCGACGGGCATGCGCTCCAGCAGCGAGTCCATGTCGGTCTTGTCTCAACAGCTTCAGTGTAGCCGTCTGAATGACGCCATCAGTCCTGCGGGGAGCGGCAACAGTTTCAACAACCACAACCACGGCAGCAACCACAGCAATCCCCACAACCCACTGCTCCACCCGTCGGCCGCCCGCCACTCCACGGCCACGACGACACCAGTTTCAGTCTCGTCGGCCGGCAAGGAGCGTAATATGGAGCGTCACGTTTCGAGTGGCAGCATCAGCTCCTCGGTCACGGGCCGCCTGACAACGCCCATCGACGAGGAAGACCCAGACTTTGTCTTTAGCATGGAGGAGGAGGAAGACGATGCTGCTACTATCAAGTCCCACAAGAGAGGATCGTCTGGCATCACCATGGGCAGTGGATGGGGTGGCAGCTATGCTTCTGCCGTGTCTGGTGCTAAGAATGGGACGACTAAGGGCGAAACCAAGGATGCAGACAGGTGATCATGACAATTGCCCTCCCCTTTTTTCTCTTTTTTCTCTTTTCTTCCCTCCTTTTTCTGATGTTTACTCCCTTTTGTCATAAGCGACCGCCTAAAAGAAGAAATATGTGTATGATCTTTACGTTCTGTCTTCTTTACATCTCGGCTTTTATACTCGGATATGGCGCCATGTTTCTTGTTCTTTTTTTTTCTCTTTCTTCCTCTACCCTCTCCTTCTCCTTTCATCTTTGGTCTTCGGTTTCATTGGTACATGAAAAGACAGTTTCGTTGGTAAAATGGAAAGACAAAATGCAAAATCCTCGGTTGTTTATTTCTTCTTCTCATTCTTCTTCTATAACTCTTCTACTTCTCTACTCTTTTTTCTTCTCCTTTTGTTTTTTCCCTTCCGCTCTCTCTAGATGTCGGTCCTCTGGGCTTGTAAACTTCCTGAGATACTTGGACACATCTTGGTATTTACTACACGGGAACACATTACCATGGGGGTCAATAATACATTGGGTTCTGGTGGCGTTTGTCTAGCACTCAATAATGAATGATTATAGGGGTTGGTAACGCTCTGGGAAACTGTACGGGTTAAGGATCAATTAAGTATTACAGAGTCCAGAAGCATGCCTGTTCTTTGCGCATTTAGTTCAAAACAGACATTGTAAAGAATCAGACAAAAGGAGCTTGTTTTCTATACACTAATACAATGGGGATGACCCCCAGTCTCTCTATAGTAGAAAGACATGGTTTTTTTGGCTTCTTCTTCTGTTCACCACTTCAACTTCCAACACACCCTTTCCCGTGCCGACCATAGTATTCACCATTGTCCCGCCCTCCCTTCAGCCTAAACTACCTAGGGCGTGTTGTACTCATATATGGAAAACCATAAGATATGGCATAAAGCTGGGGTGCATGTATCGGGATCAGGGAAATTTTAGACGGCGATAAGGAAGAGCGGGAATCTTATATGCGATTATCGGGATTATTTACGCGGCGTCGGGCTGGTTGAGGATGTAGGTGACGGCTTGCTCGACTAGGGAGGGTGTTAGCAGGAATGCTATCAAGAATCAGAGACGGAGAAAGAGAGGAGAAGAGAGCATACTGGAGTGGATAGAGTCGGCGTCTTTGTCGGGAATCTCAATACTGAACTCCTCTTCGATGGCCATGACGACCTCGACGGTGTCAAGACTATCGAGACCGAGGTCATTGGCAAAGTGAGCGGAGGGCTTGATCTGTAGAGCGAGAGGTAAGTACAAGTGAGAGAGACAAAGGAAGGGGGGTATTGCCTGGTTGATACGGGGGGAGGATTAAGCACGTACGTTGGAAGCGTCGTTGACCTTGTCGAAGCCCTGGAGAAGGCTCATGATGCGACCCTCGACCTCTTCCTTGTTCAGGGCGCCACCAGCAGAGTACATCCTCACGGACTGGATGGCGGGGGCACGGGGAGCCATAGCGACGGAGGCGCGGGGGACAGCAGCAAAGACGGACTTGCTGGCAAAGGTGCGCTGGAGGGTAGCAGGACGGATGGCAGGGGCGGCGGCGCGAGCCGAGCGAATGAAGGCGGAGCGGAACATGTTTGCGAAGGAGGGCTGTGAGGAGTAAGAGGTTCTATAGAAGTTTTCTATCGAGAGAGTGAGAAAGAGAAGGAAGGAGATTGGGTGGGAGGTTGATGGGGAGGTAGTAATTGTGATGGATGAGGCGGACAGGGATAAATTTCTCGCGATTCTACGGATACGGAGTAACGAGCTGGATCCCCAGAGATTTGGTTGCTTTACGGGGGCTTACGGGGGTCGGCTGGAAAAGGGTCTGACCAATGGGAGTATCACGTGAAGGCAGTTTTGTGGATGACTCATCGGATTGGTGGTGGCTCTAATTGGCCCACTGTTTGCCGATGGACTACCCGGCAACGCGAGGAGAGGAAGCTGGGGGGAGGGGGGAGCTCCTTCCTTCTGATTCCGGGGTGTTTGAAGGGGGCTTGTTTGTTCTTTCTGAATGAGGGGCTCTTATAATGGGGTGCTCGAAAATTGACAACCGTCGGGAAGGAACGACGTGGGGTGGCTACTGCTACTATGTTTGAATGTGCTACATTCCATGTCATCATCACCACCTTCACCACCACTGTAGTACATGCATTTCATCAACCTGCTCTTTACTCTATATCAAGCCATGCACGCGTCTTAGTGCTCTCTTCTTTTCTCCCACCAGAAATCTCATCGCTTTCCAGAGCATCCCTCCATGTCCACAGAAGTAGCATCGTGGATCCAAATCCAAAAATACCACTCATGACAACCCCCAAGCCGACAACCCAGTACCAAGTCACATGCTGCTCCTTGGATGCTACCGTGACTGACAGCCAAACAAACACGGCCGAGAAGCTGCATATGTAGTCATACTGGAGCAGGTTGCGAAAGAAGGCATCTGGGGTTGGCGGCGACTGCAGCAAATATTTGGGAAAAAACATGTCCACCAGTGACAGCCCAGAGCCCCATAGCATCCAGTGGTATACTGCTGCGTTGACCACGGCCAGGGAAAAAGCAGTGCCGAGTCTTATCTGTCTGCTGCTTTGCTGGGACACGGACGGACCAAGAACCTTGGAGAAGAGCCAGAAGGTAACTGCTCCCCAGACGGGGTAGAACTGCCATACACAACACCACCAAATGCGGGCCTCGTAGCTCGGGTGCAGGTACGAGGCGAAGTGAGGTACGTAGTAACCGATGACTACAGCTGGAAACAGTGCAGCAGACTGAACAGTGGGTATGGTACCGTCATCTTGCAAAGAACTCCGTCGTCTCCGTACTTGAATTAATAAGATGATGAGGAAGATGGGGAAAGATAATCCGGCAGTGGCGAGCTGACCGACGAAGAAGAGGACGGAGGGCCTGGACCGATATAATCAGCACAGTTCCGTTTTGGCTATGGCTACTGACAAAGACTCACCATCTCAGGACGGTACTCCGATTTACATCCCGGCATGACTCGGCCAGGAAGATGGCATATACGCCCGCCAGCTCAGTCAGAAAGACGAGCGACTGCCAGTAAGCCGGCGGATCGGCAGGGTACAATTGCAGCTGGGAGAAGACGACGACGACGATGCTCAGCCATCCGTCGATAGCAGGAATGCCGGTAAACGACGACGGCAGAGGAACCTCTACCCCGCGCATGGAGAAGACGCCGCCGTCGATGGTGTTGTGCACCCTCTCGGTCACGCCTGCCGGGCCGGTGAATGAAGCGATGTGGACCATGAGGAGGGCCAAGAGCACGAGGGAGGCCGTTGTGATCAAGACCGAGGAAGCCATGATTCGAATGATTCGATACGAGGCCGATTTGGCTTGTTGTTGTCTGGTCCAAGATGCATGTACGACTTGTGTGTCCTGGACACGTACGACAATCTTTACATTCAATGGGCATCAACCGGGCGGTACGGAGTACAATGAACAATATGCAGGCGGGGTAACTGAACGCCTACAATAAAATCGCCGGCTTACGGAGCTCTTCTGCCACTGTGTCCAAATCCCTGCTTGGCTTGCATGGAGCAAGCACCCGACGACGATGACGACTCCTCATACGATGTGGGAAAAGAAAGAGAGGGGAAAAAAGCCCGGCCGAACTTTTCTTCGTCTTTATCTCTTATCTTTTCTACCTGAAAGACGTCGGCGATTAGCTCGGATTCGACGTGGACGAGTACGGACTACACCATCCCTGTCGTTCGAGGTAAACCCCCGCAATGGAAGCCGCCCGCAACTTATTGGTGACACAGCATCACTTACAATTACTGGCTCAACTCAACCGATGGCAAAAAGAACACAAAGCACATGCATCGACTTTGCCTTTGTTCAGCGCATGGGTTCCGGAACTCTCTATTCTGTAGTTCTCAATCTTTCCTCCAACTCTGTGTCTCAAAACTCTGCCATCCAAGTGTTACCCTGACATACTAAGAGAGAGGAGGCAAGGACTAATCAACTCCCTTGTCTACCTCAAATAACTGAGCTGTTAGAGGGAAAGACAGTTGAAAGGGACATAGGGGGAACGGAGGAAATGCTACGGCAAATCGCCCAATCATTTCCATATGATTCCGTGTTCACGTTGGCCACCTTGATGTCATGAAGCATCAGACATATCACGAAGCCCAGGCCAGGAAACTTGCACATGGTGAGAAGGGTTCCCATGTAGGAAGGCTTATTCCTGCCTCACGGGCCGTTACGGCGTGTCACAACTGACACTAGACTCGATAACCTCGACGCGATTTGTCTTGACATTTTTGCTCCTAATATAGCAATTTCCCCTGTCCCGACCTGTCTGATAATCGTCCTCCGTTATTCAGCCATTTGACTCTGCTGCCTCTGCTTTTCCAAGGCGGGGTCTTGTAGATTATTCCTCGTCCTGGAAGGTGGATTATGCGTGAACAGACTACGAGTCCACGGGCCTTTGCCGGTGAAAGACCGAATGGACCGACACGGCAGTTCTCTACACCGAAGAGAATCAATTGCCGACAAGATTCTGATCATGGTTTATTCACCCCAACAGCTGAGATACAGGGCAAAGTCAAAAGGAGAATAAGAAGGATAATAATATGCCCTGGAAAACCAACAAGAAACCTTGTCAATCTCTAGACTCAATCGACCAGACACAGCAGACACAACATGATTCGGTGACACACTGCACAGGCAGATACACCGGCAGATGCAACGGAACCATGGGACCCGTGGATTCGTGAACCTGTAGACCGTACAAGGGATGATGCCATGTTTCAACACGTCGATCATCAGGGTCGAGTTCCAATGTTGGACACCGGACGGGCAGACGTTCTAGGCTGAATCGCCTTGTCGCGGGAGATGAACGTCTTTTGATCGCCCTGACGATTGATCTCACCGACCATGCTCGAGAAATCACCTCTGCTTCCACCTCTTCAAGTATACACATACACTCCCCCCCTCTTCTTTTTCTCTTTTGTGCGTCCCTGTTTTATTCGTTACACCGGTACCTGTAATATACTTTCTCCTCACTTAAGCTGACCTTGACCCCCTTTACAACTATCAGCAATGAAGCTCCTTTGGTCTCGCCCTACTTGCTGCTCTCGGCGCAACGTCCTGCCTCCTACCCGAGTAGAGGGAGGCCGGGAGAGAATACCACCATCCAGGCGGTCGTCCTAGCAGGTCTCGTTGGTCCCCGTCTCTCTCAAAACGTTCATTCAGCAGTTTTGCCGTTGGTACCGGTAATTGTTTCGAGCACGGCATCATCGCACCTACAGGACTCGGCATGGGGGGTTCTGACAAGGACTTCATTCTCAGCGTGGATGAGGTGACGTTGGGCCTTGCTGGTCTCCAAGCTGCCTATCCTGACAAGGTGAAGCTCCCCAGACCGCCGTTCAAGACGTATGAAGGACGCTGGATGCAGGGGGCGGTTGTGAGAGTCGAAGATGGGAGTGGCGACAACGGCATTCTGGGTCCCCGGGCCTTCATCATGAGCGGGATTTCGCGCATGTGAGAGGGGCGGGCCTGATCGCGTCCTGTACTTTGTGGCCGACCTGCTAGACGCCTATGAGCATGGCTTGGGACTTATGTACGGAGGGAGGAATTCTTGGTGCTGGATGTGGAAGATGCCTTGACGGCTGGTACCGTCATCCTCCCTCTGGCCAACCCGGACGGCGTGGCGTACGACCAAACCACAGGGACATGTTGGTGCAAGAACCGACGGCCACTCTCGCAGCTGAGGGGCAGTACTGGTAAAAACCGACAGCCCATGGGCGTGGAAATCAACCGTAACTCTGACTTTTTGTAGGACTACAAGGCGGCCTTCAATCGGGGCGTGCCTTAGTCCAGGACGGTGACTTCGGTCGACTAGTATCGGAGATTTACCACGGCAAGCCAGCCGAGTCGGAGCCTGAGACACGGGCTGTGAAATGGATCCTGGCCAGCTTCAACGAGACGCTCTCGTGGATGGCGGACCTCCATTCGTACGGCGGTAAAGTTTTGTACGCTTGGGGCGACAACAATGCAGGCAGACAGGACCCCGAACAGACGCTGAGCAACCCGGAGTACGATAGACAGAGGGGATTTATGGGGACGGATCCCGTCGACAGCCGGTACAAGGAGCACATCTGATCTGGACCTGGACATTGAAGAGGGGGTCACGATGCCCATGGCCAAAGAAACGACTGCCGCCGGGGGCACTACGTACCACACCGAACCAGGAGTGTCACTGTATCCCACCAGCGGATCGAGCAGCGACTACGCCATGAGTTGATGTTACAGCGGGAAGACATGCGGAGCGGGTATGGTGTACGGTATCACGGTCGAGTTTGGCCAGTATGGCATCGCTGACCACTCTTTCCCGTCTTATCCAGCAAGGAGGAGAGTATCGCGATTCCATGGCACAGGTTGGTGCTGGGCAGTTGCAGGGCTAAATGGGGATGCGAGGTATTTTGTGTGTGAAGGGTTGTAGGGATTTTGTCTTCTTTCATCATCATCATCATCTTCCTCTCTTTAATACTCTTGTCCCTTTTCATACTTATTCTGCCGTTCACATTGTGGATAGATATCTTGGTACTGGCCGGGTTGGCGTTGGCTGATATCCATGGTGAAGCATTTGACGATACCCACAAAGTCGGGCCGATGACGGAGCATGGACCTACGGACCAGACCCACAGGTGACAGACCATAGAATCAAGGAGCCGCTCTCACAACTGAATTTACTACTAGCACAACTCCGCAACGACTGTGGGACTGGGGAGATTGATCTATTGATATGTGCCTCATTGGACGTGGGCCCCCCTCCCCCCTCTCCGCAAACCTGGGGGAGGGTCTGCATAATACAGGTACAGAGGTAGCAGTTATGATTGATTGGATTGGGATAAATGGAACTGTTATTGTCAAACAAGAAGAGTACAGCTGATCTCTACAACGTAAAGATCCTGACGGAAAAGGGAAAAAACAAGCAACAGGATGTATAAAATGAATGTGCGTGCTTGATGTTTCATCGGTAAGGGGAGTCGGCGCGGATGACAGCGGCAAGTTCAGGCTCCCACTTGTCACCGTTGGAAAGGAGTTTTTCTATTTCACAACAGGTCAGTACACGTTCTAACAGACGGGGATGGTAGACCAGGAAAGTATAAGAGCGTGTAGAGAGAAGAGAAGACATACCCTTGTTGTAGAGAAGCTCCTCTCGCGTCTCAGTGGCATACTCGGCATTGGGACTCTCGACGATGGCATCGACGGGGCAGGACTCCTGACAGAAGCCGCAGTAGATGCACTTGGTCATGTCGATGTCGTAGCGGGAGGTGCGGCGGGATCCGTCGGCTCGTTCCTCGGCTTCGATGGTGATGGCTTGAGCGGGGCAGATCTATTCACCGTCAGTTTTCGTCCTTGTGGGGATTTTACAAGCAATGGCAGTTGGGGAGGGGGAAGGATAGTAGAGAACTCACAGCTTCACAAAGTTTGCAGGCGATACATCGCTCCTCACCAGAGGGATAACGTCTAAGGGCATGTTCGCCACGGAATCTGGGGGAGATGGGACCCTTGAACCTGGTGTCAGCCAAACAATGGATTTTGAACATGTGTGGAGAGAGAGAGAGAGAGAGAGAGAGAGAGAGAAGGAGAGGAAGAAGTAGAAGACGAAAAAGAAGAAGCAAGAAGAAGAAAGAAGGGATGTGTGTGCTCACCTTCTCGAACGGGTAGTAAATGGTATAGGGAGGACGAAAGTACTGCTCCAAAAGGACGTACATGCCCCTCGCCATCTCGGTGAGGAGGAAATACTTCCCCATACGGTCGAGGAGAGTGTCATTGTCCCAATGCCACCTGACTTCCTTGCTGGTGCGGAAGTTGGCTGGAGGAGGTCCGAGGGGTGTAGCGTACCCTCGGGATTGCTGTCGGATGGCGGCCGTGACGGCAGTCCAGGATGTCTTGCTGGCTACTGCTGCTGCTCTTGCCCGTGGTAGAGCCATGAGCTGATGACGGGCTAGCATGGTCGTGGTAGGAGGAGCCATGGGGTCTCGTCTTCGTTCGATGACGGGAGGATGATTCTTCTTTTTCCCTTTCTTCTTCTCTCTTTTTTTCTTCTTTTTTCAAATCAATTCAAGGATTGATCGGAAAACCAGCCCCCCGCGTCTTGATTGAAGCGTCGGATTGTCGTCGATATCTCCAAATCTTATGGCAATGATCCTTCTCGACAGGGAGATGGTGGTGTGGTGCTGGTGGTGGTGCTCGGCTATGGCCTGAGGGATTACAATCTGTGACTTATGATTGGTCAGGATATCATCACGTGATTTGTCACGTGCCCCTCCTCCGCACTCCTCCGCAATCTCCTCTCCAGTCCTCCACAATCTGCTAAAGGAGTGCTCCATAATATGTACGAGTGAGTACTTTGGTCATCCATTAGTGGATGACCAATGTATTCCCTTGTCTTGTCGACTGACATTCTCATATGTGTGCATGCATACGTAATTCACATACATTCGTGTTCAGGATGTAGATTCTGAAGACATGAAGATATTCAACTTTGACAACTCTAACCCTTGCATTCAAGTTGAAGTTGTATCGTGCGTCTTTATCCGTATCGACTAACCCCGTATTACCTCTACGCCAAACAAACACACCCCTGTCCTGGTGCGCCGCCACCAATGCAATCGCTGACATTCGTAACACATGAAAAAGAAAAGTTGCTAAGAATGAAGAATGTCCTACAATAAGGAGCAAAAGAGAGCGGAGGAAAGGAGCAGAGAAGGAAAATGAAATGAATAGTGAAAAAAAGAAAGGTTAAGGAGAACAAGGAAAAAAGAGGAAGGGTTAAAAAAAGAGAGGCAACAGTGGAGAAGCTGTCATCACATACTCTTTTCCCATGCTCCCCACCATATCCCCATATTGGCCGCAACTATCAGATCCAACATCTTCAATCCCTCATTCGTCACAATCAATTTGCCCAGCTTGGCCCTCTTTCCACTGTTGCCACCACCTGCCCGTTCCCTTCCAAGATTGACATCGAAGGGGGAGATTTCGTCGTCGTCGTCGTGTCCATCGTGGCCGTTTCCATTTCGATTGCCGTGGCCACCGTCATCATTGTAGACATTGTCATCGTACTCTTCTTCATAGTCGGACGAGTCGTACGCAATATCTTCCCTCTTCCACAACTTACGCAGGTTACCCAGCTTCTGGCGGGCAACCCGCTGGTCTTTGGCCGAGAGAGCCGGGAACAACTCGGCGCTCGGAAGGTTGAAGCGGAGCTCACTGACAATGGGGCTCGGGAAGTTAGGAGGCACAGTCGTCGCAGTCTGCTGCTCTGCCACGAGCGGGTTGTAGGCCCCCGACGTCGACTCGTCATGCACCACATGTCGGCACGTCAGACTCCGACCGCCGTTGCCTGTGCGGAACTCGCACCGTCCATCCCAAGGGCTGGTGAAGACGTAGCCCCTCGCCTTCATGCCTGATCCTGGGTTGCTCGTCGTGGTCGCTGTTGTGGTCGTGTTGCCGGTTGTCGCTGTAGCCGTGGTATCGGTGCTGTCCGTCAGCATGGACGACGATCCATCCGAATTGAGCGATCCGCTGCGCGGCTGTCGCGGCAGCTGGTGGCGCGAGTTCCTGTCGATGCAGTTGAGCTTTTGCCGCAGCGTAGATGACCAGCTCTTGGTATAGGTCATGGTCACCTGCCGCGAGAAGAAGCCCGTCTCGAGGTGTCGCGGCTGCGAAGCAGGCATGTTGCGGAACTTGGCGTATCCCGACGTCTCGATCACAATGTCCAGCGGCGGCCGGGGCGTGGGTGAGCTCTCATGGCGTTGCCCGTCGTGGCGGTGGTGGTCGTGGCGGTGTGCCGCGCTGCTGCCGTTTCCATCTAGGTTGGTAGCGTTTCCGTTACTGTTGCCGTTACCATTACCGTTACCATTTCCGTTGGCGTTGACGTCGTCGGTATCCTTGTAGTGCGCTGACGACACAGTCCCCACGTTCCACTGACTCCCCGAGCTCGGGTCGCGACGGATCAACCTCAGGGTAAACGGCTCGGCCTGCTGCTTCCTCGGTGACGGCGACCTGCTGTCGCTCCACACCGGGGAGTTGGCCGCCGACAGCGCCCGCGGCCTTCGGGACGACGACCTCTCCCGGCTCTGGCTACCGCTGCCGCTCCCACCCCCAGAGAGTGCCGCAAGGGCCTCCTCACGACCCTGGCGGTGGTCGTCGTGAGCGCCGTCGAGCCGCAGGTCGTCCAGGTGGGCCTGGTGGTATGAGATGTCCGAGTACGGTCGACGGGAGCTCGTAAATGGCTCCTCAGCACGGGGGATAGAAGGCACAGCCTTGCGCGTAATGGTGGAAGCGCGTGCGATTTGTGGTGCCCTTGCAACGGCGGAGAGTTCTGCTCTACCATCCGGCGCCATATCCTGCGCTCTGGCGACGGGTGAGGGCGAGAGAGCTGGTGCCTTTGTAAAGGGTGGAATTTCTGGCACGCGTAGCCCCCGACCTGTACCAGGAACCTCTACCCTTAACACCGGAGGCTCAGTAGCAGCGCCACCAGCAGAGTCACCAGAAGCAGAGGGAGCGCCAGAGTCTGAAAAGCCGATGTCGGAGTCGGCCGTGGTCGCCATGGTCGGGGGCGGGCGGGAAGCCCGTTCCTCTGTTGCTGTGCCGGTTGCCGTGCTCGATACCCCCTCCGGGCGGGGTGGTAGAGCTGGCCTGTTATCCTTGCCTGGCGGCGAGGAAAGACTGGGAAGCTGGGTGATATCCCTGGGCGGCGGGTTGACCGGGCTCACCGGACTTACCGGCGTGTTGAGCTGAGGTTGGGGCTGAGATTGCGCTTGAAGCTGGAACGATCGGTCCGAGTGGGCGGACCCGGGGACGGGTTTTCTGGGGATGGCGTTTCTGTGTGCGCTATCCCCCCCGTCCATAGAGCCTCTGTACTGATCCTGACGCTTTCCGGGGCTCGCCAGAGTCAACTCGGAGGAGGTATCGAGGTGGACGTAGTAGAGAGAGCTGGCGACGTCCTCGACGGTGACATTTTTGCGCTGGGGTTTAAATGGAGAAAGGATGACGTCTGTTTCCCCCCCCTCGAGTGACACACGTTAGTCAGGTTTATCTGAGCTTCAATCACAGATCTTGTATCCTTAGAAAAAAGAAACATAAAGAACAGGATGTTGAGTAACGTACCTCGTGTTCCAGGTACGCGAGAAATGTAAAGTGTTAGATGTTGCTGCCTCTCCTCTGTCGGATTGTATGGATACTGCGGTGGGTTTGAAGCCAAGAAATTGAGGGAAGCCAGAGATCTGGCCTCCATGACGAGAAGTCGGCAACTCAGAGGAGACGTGAAAGAAGGTAACAGGACTTATATCTAAGAGAAAGGGAAAAAAACGCAGAGGGGGGGGGGAAACAACGGCGTTGAGAGTTGGTGACGAAAGACAGCTTTGAGCTTTCTCTGTTAGTCGGGAGAAGGAGGAGGGGATTTGGGACAAAGGGTGGATTGTGGCGCCGACGACGTCAGTAGCTGTGGCGATTGAGGCTGAAAAATAAATTGATGAAAAGAACACGAAGTAATAATACTTGGTAGATATCCGGCAGTTGGCCGTACAGGCGAATGAAGGGGTCTGTCTGTACTCCGTACTCTGTAATCTGTACTCGTCCCCTTTATGCAGGGGTATCAGCCACCGGATATCGGCCACAAAGGCGAGTACCAGTGACTGAGGTGCTTGGACGACAGCTGCTGATATCGAGACACAGGATGGAAGGCTTGAGACACGGCTGAAACTGTGACACAATGGTATGATTTCGTATCTACTTCTTTGCGAATACGGAGTACGAGCAGTGCCGTATACATATATATCCATAGGGCGGACGACTATGCCAAGCGAGACACGACAAGACGTACGCGTACGTGGCATCCCAAAGGCGTGTGATAATGAGCACAGCCCGTTGTTTGCGTGTCCCAGCTTCACCCGTGCCACCAACAGCGTCCTAACAGCTCATCAGACACTCGTACAGGATCATCACAGGGCTAGCTATTAATATGGCCCATAGAGGAGGGCTCTGTTAGTGTTGTGGGCATGAACCCGGTGACTTCACTAACGTAGGGCGGTATCAATGCTATCAAAGTGTACGTCACCCCAAGTGTGGCTTAGCTTGGTGTTAGCCGCACAAGTATATCTCCTCATCGATAAGCAGAGGAGGTACATATGACTCTATCCCCCCCCACCAATTATTACGTTGATTCACCATCCCCCCCGCCTCTTTCAATGTACAAGATGTGATCTGTACAAGTAATCATACTCACTACAGGTAATCTGTGCGACGAGTACAGATCACTGCTACTGCTCCTATTGTTACTAATGCTACTGTCTGTTACTTGCTACCATTACATTACTACTGCTAGTAATAACTCTCCTCTCCTCCACACAAGCTATGACTCGTATCGGCGAGAACCCCCCATCATGCAAATGACCGTGGGACCCCCAGAACAAAGGAAAGACTTCAAGGTCTTCTCATCTCTTTATTGCCATCATGCTCACACCAATTTCGACTCCCATGCGCTTGATTCTGCCCCCACAACGGCCTAGAGTGTCATACTGTGCATAACCTCTTGTGTTAGCTTGATCGTCGTATCCATCCGTCGAATACTATTCCCCATCGTCAAGCACCCACACCGCCCATCAGCACCTGGCAGCTCCACTAGCCACGATGTACTGGGTCCCGGCACATCCCCCAGGGCACTCCTGCTCGCAGCCGTGGTGGGTATAGACAGTAGCCACGGCCTGTCGACAGACGGCCTCGCAACCGGGAGTCAGGGTCGATGTGGCCATGCACATGGGTCTCATGCACGTCGAGCACACTGACGTCGTAGACGTGATGGTCGGACATGACCTCCCGATGGGAATGAGAGTCGTTGGCATACCCGGAGTGGGAGTGGGAGTGGGAGATGGAGTCCCACCGATGGCCCTGTCCAAGTTCTTCTCGTCAGCTGTCTCCCATCAAGACGTGAGTGAACGAAAGGGGGGGAGAGGAGAGGGGGAGGGTTGAGGAATGAAACTTACGTATACGCAAAGCCAGAGAGGATCGATGCAGCTGCGATGATCCTCATGATGATGACGACGTGATGATCTTCTGTTGCTCGATGATGAGTACAATTTTAACTGTTGGAAGCCAGATGATGAAGGAAGGAAAAACAAGAACAAGAAGGAAAGAAGAGAGGATGCAATTACTAGTTTAAATATCTTGTGAGATATGATCAATCCATGGGCACCGAAACTCACACTCAGCTAATAATACTAGTAGTATCAGTACTCCTTGGCCCTTGTCTTTTGTCCCTTTTTCCTTTATCCCTCTCTCATCTTGTCACTCTTCCTCCATCTTCACTTTCAGCTCGTCCATTGTCACTCTGTCTTCTACCTTTGTCTATTTGCCTTTGTCCCTCTGTCACCCTGATACTCTATGTTTAACCACCGGCATGTCACCGTCACCCCGCAGCTGTCATGACCATGATAAGTTTGATGGGTATCATGCGAGTACTCATCTTTGGACGTCGAGACCCCTCGAAGAGTCACCGAGTCAAACTAATGTCTCGACGCTACGGATCAGATCGAGAAGCGAACTAAACAAAACAGCTATTATATGACGCTACTAAGCTAAGGATGCTAGAAGCCATACAAAGCCATACATCAAGAAGATATTATAGAGAGAAAAAAAACAAAGATACTACTCCTCCGCCTTGAGAAACGGTGAGAGTAATAGGCGGTATCCAAAAGACAGAGAAAAACACAAACAAGCAAAAGGAAAACAGACTGAAGAAGGTTCCTCAATGAAGAATCTTTCATCTCCAAATCAAACACCTAGGCTACCTCGTCAATGGTATCCCATCAAGGATCAAAGTGTACCGCAGCAGGGACACTCTCCTCGAGACATCGAAAGTGGAGATCGGTGCCAAAGGAAAGGCAGTGGATGTTGCTACCCTTATGGGAGCGTCCTGGTGATGTAGATGCTGTCGGCATCATCCTTCTCAACCCCGTTACGACCGGAGCCGTTCTGGGGGTCCTTCACGTACACAGGAAGCCCCTGCTTCCTCGCGATGCCGAGGTCCTTGTAGAGCTTGGCGACCCACGCCATCATGGCGCCCGAGACCGTGAGCAAGGCGACGATGAGGACACAGATAGCGATCGTGGTTCCGAACTCATTGCACTGGTGACCGCGGGAAGCATCCGAAGAACTGACGGACGGGGTGACGATGGGAGTGCCATCCGAAGCCTGAGCGGCGGGCATGTCGACGCCACGGGGACTCAAGATCCTGCTGCCGTTCAGCCCAGTGAGGGATTCAAGGGTGGGGGTCAGTGGGTTTCCCTCAGGAATAGCAAAGAATTCTTCCAGTTCCTCCGTGGTGGGGATTTCCGACAGCTGCTCCAAGACACGGTTGAAACGATTGGGCTTGACGACGCGGGTGAGATCCCTAGCCTGGATGTTCTCCGTGGCTTGGACGGGCTCTTCAATGTCTAGCTCATCTTCGACCCACTCGTCTCCGACCAGCTCGTCTCCGACCAGCTCGTCGTCGACCGACTCGCCAATGGGGAGTATGTTGATGGACTCCAGGTCTCTCTTTGAGCCCCTGTGATGCTTCTTCCTCCTCAGTTCATCCTTGTCATCCTTGATCTGATTCTTGTGGGCCCTTATATCCTTCCTCAGCTCCTCCTCCGTTTTCGGCTCGGGCTTCTTGGGCTCGGGCTTTTTGGGCTCAGGCTTAGGCTCATGACCCTTGGTCAGCAAGGCCGAGAGGCCGCCAGCCAGCATTTCGCCTACCTCGAAAGCCATCGTAGATGATGTTGCCTTTGGAACAATGTGTCTGCCCTTTGATGTTAGTATGGTACAGGTGAGGTTTGAACAAGTGTTTACAGTATAATGGCTGGAGGGAAGTTTACTTTGTAGAGCAGAGTGAACCAGATGAATGGTATGGGTAGAGTTGAAGAGAAGAGGGAAAAGGAAGCAGACGGGAACAAGCTGCCTTAATATAGACTCTCGGTCAACCTCGCCTGTCCATCAGATAAGGAGAGGATTGAAGCCCAAGATTCAATATTTCCATTGTCATTATGTGGCAAAGGTTGACATGACGGCTAGGTTAAGCCTTGTCTGAAGTAGATCAGATAACTCTCTCGGGCGCATATAAGCTTTGTTGGAATTGGAACAATCAAGATAGTTTAGATGATCAAGATAACTCTGATGTATAAGAAGGCATATTATGCACGAGAAGGCGGACCACAAAGGCGGATATCATCACAATAAGCACAATATATCCATGACATTACAATTTACCAAAAAGGGTAGATTAGATGATCGAGATAACTCTGACGTGTGCATTCGGTGAAGGTGGACAATCACAATAAACATGACACATGCATGGTAACCCAGTCTACCAATAAAGGTAGAGTAGATGAATGGCATAACTCTGAGATGTATGTCCGTATTTCGGCGCAAGCAAGCAGACTACATAAAGGTGGATGAAAAGAAGCAAGGCAATGAAGCCAGAGGGAATAGAGCCTAATCCTAACTATGTAGATATTGAAGTAAAAAAAAAAAAAATTAAACTTGAAATAAAGAAAAAATCATGACTCCTCGCTTAACAACACTCATGTTATGTCAACTCGCAAACCTAAGGGGCGATAGCCTTTGAAGAGTCCCACCATGGGTAGAAGCGCTCACCCTCGCCGAGCACCTTGAGAGTGCAAGCGTCACCCTCGCAGCCCTTGGAGATGACGGTGTTGCCCCACCAGTTGATGTCAGCGTCGACCCACTGGACGGAGAAGAGCATGATGATTCCGGCGATGGCGATTGCGGCCGAGAAGGAGGCCGACAGGACAAAGTTGTACTTGGACCAGAAGGACAGGTACCGGCCTCTGATGAAGATCCAGCTAAGCCACGAGATGGGCACGGCCGGCCACACGTACGAGAAGTTGTAGGGCGCCCAGTTGATTCCTCCGTAGAAGATGGCGACCGGGTGGAACTGTCGGATGTAGCGGTTGCGCGGCTTCCACTTGATGATGAGGTAGAAGATGATGGGGACGACGAGGCCGATGCCGAACCCGATCAGAAGGGGGGCATACTGGCCATTGTGGCCGAAGATCTTCTTGGGTCCGATAGTTCCCCAGAGCACAGAGGCCGTGAAGAAGGTTGTCTGGCCGGGACATGTGAATCTCATCGATGCCTCTGTCGTACACACGTCGTCGATGCCAATCTGGAAGGCCAAGACACCGACCGAAACAAAGGTGGAGATGAACGTAGCCACGAGCTGGCAGATGAATGTGAACCAAGGGTTGATCTAGTCATGGTCAGTATCTGCATGTCATGTGGCGGGGACAGAAAGATGACCGGGTAGTAAGAGAGCATACCTTGAGGTAGTGGGCAATCTTGAGATCGTTGGAAAACTGGATGGCATGTGCACATGTGACATAGCTACATGTAGGAGAGAGCGGGTCAGCACATTGCCTTCATTCTTCACATAGAGAGCGAGGACTCAAAAAAAAATCAAGAAAAAAATCGACAACGGACGTACCCGAATGACTTGAAGTAGTTCATGGCCAGAGCGTTACCCTCGACAATGAGACCACCGATGAACTCGGCAAAGACATTGGTCGTCACCTCGATACCAGTCATGGCCTTGACGATACCGATGGGGATGACAAAGATGAAGGCCAGAAGAACACCGTAGGGGACAACAGCAAGGGTGGTGTAAGTAGGCCAGGCGCCAATACCGGCAAAACCGAGGGCGGCAGCGGTGATGAGGACGGCCATGTACCAGATTTCGGAGACCTCGGGGTAGGCCCTCATGAGACGGCTGTGGATATCCATGTACTCGCCCTTGTTGGGGTCGTCACGCTTCGACCTGCGGCGCAGGACACTCCACATGTTCTTGAAACCGGACACGACCTCGTAGCGGTGGAAGAGGGCAACGTAGACGACGGTAGCCATGTATATGGCGAAGAAGGTGCCGTAGACGACGGTGTTTCCAGCCGACATGTAGGGGGCCGAGTAAGCAGAGTACTTCGTCTTATCGAACAGACCCTTCTCGTTGATGGCCTGGGAGACATTGTAGCTCTGGCCGAAATGGTCATATACGCGATTGGAGTTGATGGGGAGATAGGCAGTGTTCCACGTGTTGGTGTAGTAGAGGCCCATGATGACGAAGCCAAACAGCCACATGCCGATGGCCTTGTTCAGGGTCGAGAACCAAGGAATCATGAGGGGATCAGTGAGGTCGAAGAGCAGGACGTTCCAGTCAAACGTCGGCCACGGGTTAAACATGCCCAGGCCATTCTGAAATCCCGTCAGGACGTTGAGGTTGAGGTTGTCGGGGGCGATCCACGTCATCCACGAGAAGTAGGTCAGGGCTGAGAAGATGTAGTTGGGGAACCAAAAGTAGACAAACATGGCTGCGAAGGCAACGAGGAAGAAGCGGTAGCGGGATATGTGGAAGATCTTCTTGAATGGCCCGAGCACGGGCGAGTTCTCCTCGTTGTGCAGGGCCGAGTTCAGGGCAATGGTCACCAAGGACGCCGGCCAGACACAGTAAGCCGGATAGACGATGAACCGGCGGGTGAGACCGGCGAGACCGTATCCGATGAAGTTTGTAGACAGGGCCACGAGGATCTGGTAACCAAATGACCGGGCGTACTGCTGGTTGAACTGGAAGGGGAGAACCTGAGTCCAGATGACGTACTGGGTGTACGGGAGAGACTTGGACGTGGTGGCCATGATGGCGATGAGCATGTGCTCCTTCTTGTTAAACCTGCCGGGGTTGAGGTTGTGCTTTTTTCCGAAGAGGGTGAATTCCCATTGCGGCATGAACTTTTCCCATGCTTTGCCTGTTCAAGAAGGGCAATATCGTGTTAACAAGTGATGTACACATGGCAACTGGGAGAGGGGGGGGGGGGAGGGTTGATTATGGATGCGCGGGTTGTAAGTAAAGATACGTACCGAGAGGGAAAGCAAGAAGCTGAGCAACGTTGGAGTCAATGTTGATGGGGGGTTGACGAATGCTAAAGAGCTGGTTGACGAAGGCGAGGATGCCCGAGAAGAGGATACCGATGGTCCAAGCGCGGACGGTAGAGCAGGGAGTGGAAGGGTCATCGTGGTTGTCAACGACAGCCCTGACCTCGGCATAGGGACTGTTGTTGGTGATGAGGGCAGCCTGGAGCTTCATCTCGTAGATGAGAGTCGAGTGCTGCTCTGGGTTGCGGGCGATTTCGGGGTTATCTATGTGCAGGGATTACCGGGTAAGTAGGTGCTGCTTCTCATCCATCTCGCCATAACATGCACATCAAACAACAGCAAAGAGGTTGGCGTACCGAGGAATTCGTCGATGCGAATGAGGACGGAGTGGGGGAAGTTGGGATCCTTCTCGTGGATGGTCCGAACAGTCGTCAAGAGACTGGTGACCTCTTCAAAGGTCATGGCCGAGGCGGCCTCCTTTGCCTCTAGGAGATCGTCCTCCGTCACCTTGAGTTCGTCCTCGATCTGCTGGTCGATGGAGCCGGACTCGGTGGCCTCTGCGTACAGACCGGGCTTCTCGCTCGTGAGGACTCCCTTGTCGGCGTCGACACTCGCGGGGGCACCAGAGCCCCCGCGAGCGCTCTTCTCCTCGTAGTCCATTTTCGTCACTGCTTGCTTGGTTCAGGCTTGCAGTGTGGGTGTGGAGGTTTGGCTTAGATGCGGTATAGCATGGTCAATGGTCGATATCGGAGAGAGAGCTTGTATATAAGACGCACAAGAGAGAGACTTGGAGAGAAGGATGATGCGGATGGTGAACGATAATATCTACGGGGAAGCCAGAGTAGTATTAATATAGCGCGTGGGGAGGCGTAGTACCAGAGTACGTTGTGCTCGATGCAGTACGATGATAGCAGGTAGTAACAAACTACATTACCCTTGTAACACACAAGATTGTGGGAGGAGAGGGAGAGGGAGGGGGGAGGGAAGATGCCGATGAGAGGCAGGAAAGTCTCTCGTGCTCTCGATTGGAAGCGACTTGATTCGATGGATACTTTCTTCCCTTCCCGGGGTCTTGGGTATGCAAAACAAAAGGACCCTTTCTTGTTTGATATTATCGTGGGACCAACAGACGCGAGTAGCAGTCACTTCCTACAAAAAGAGATACGTTCGTTGCTTACGGACCAGGAGAGATATGTTCTAGCGTTGGCCAAGAGATAGCGGCGGTGACAAAGTTCCCATCTCCAGTCAACGCCACCAACCTGGGGACTTGGGGACCCTCTAGTATCTACCCTCCTTGCTCAGTCGAACCTCTAATACATGTACGCCGTTGACTTGGTAGTGCTCGGTACTGAGACACCAGTACGAGTACTAACAGATGCAGAAGAAGCCCGGTATTATCCATGTTTAAATTCCTTGCAGTGTCTTGACGAGCCCATCTTTATCCATATCCATCGCTCAGACGATCCAACCAGATGCCATTATTTACAGGTACCCGCCCCCCCTCTCATGGGATCTGTAAAAGCAGTACTCCTTACCACTCGCGCACTCGGGGTAATGAACAGGTGAGTGAATATTACTGATAACGACATGCGCTTTAATATATTCGTGCAAGAATTACGGGGAGCATTGCGGCCAAAAACATGCCACTATCGCCATCATCTTGGATACATGGCCCGATTCCCAAGATCAATTACCCGGAGACCAATAGACACTCATGACCGCATATAATAAAGCTTGGCCAGGATAAACCCATAGCATAGCTCTTGGCAGTGGGACGCATGCGGTAGCAGATGGCAACTGCCAGAGGGAGGGGGAAGAGGATGTACTACGGAGACGTCCAGTCGGGCTCGGGCTTACCAGAGTCGCTCATATTGATAACGACATGATGGACCAATATTGTCATGGGATTGTACGACGGATGCATGCACTATTCGGAGCTGTCGTAACACGGTCCTTGCGAGTGCATGTACGGAGCAGAACAGATGCGGGACTCCTGGGCAGATGTTACGATGGGGAGTGGAGAAGGAGAAAAGAAAGGAACAGAGAGAAGGGTTGAAGACAAAGAGAGGACGATAGAGAGAGAGAGAGAAGGAGAGAGGCCTCTGCCAAGCGACTAATACCGCGCGGCCGCCAAGAGTGCGGCCGATAACGCTTTGCTTAGTTAGGAGGGAGAGGATCCCCGGTCGCACAATCGCCCACGTCCTTGCCGGATCAGGCAGGCCCCATGGTCCGGCCTGATGCGGGACTAGAGGGAGGTCCTTTTAGCTCATCCAAGATTAGCATTACGCCACCGGTAAGTCAGTCTGGAGAGTCAGAGGAGGAGGGGAGCTCTACGCCGTCATTGCTCTATCACAATTCCCGCCCGGCTGTCCGTCATCTCCAGGACAAGTCGAGGGACGAGCCGAGCAGGAACTGGTCGCTTTTGCCAAACAGGGTAGCAAGTGGTAGATTGCATTCGCTCTCATGAAGAGTTATCAAAAGCTAAAGGCCGGGACTGTTTATGCCGGGACTGTTTATGCCGGGACTGCTTATGCCGTGGAGGGTTGCCGGCAGCCTCGCGGCCACATGCTTGTACGTAGCCTGGGAGTGTCCGACAAGTCGATCAATCGCGAATGGATTATTATTACGCTCCTAGCAAGCCAAAAGGCGTGCGTCAAATCAGCCGACAGGGATATTCTAGTCTTCTAGCGCTCGTGAGTCGTTGGTCGGTGTGGGTGGTGTGGGTTTGCGGGGACGGGCGGACGGGGTGGCTCAAGATAAGCACCATAGTTGGAGGGAGAATCCAATCTAAGAAAGTATTGTTCCCAGCCACTAAGATCTAGAAGGGCGGGTGGAATGGTCAAGAGAAGAAGGCAAAAAAAGGGCACCGACCTCTTTTCTCTGTCTCGCCAACCTCTCTAACCTCTCTCAACCTCCAACAGGTTTCGACAGCAAAGAAGCAAGAGCTTGATCGTTCATCACCTTGGCTCCCATCACAATGGCGTACGAGTACAGCCAGGTTACGCCGTGTGGTGTCACCAACGCCCGTATGTGTTGACATGTATCGATAGGTGGGTGGAGGGGGGGTTTGGTTTGGCCGAGGTTGATACCAGGCAGGGTCTTTTTTACGCGACTATCCAAAAGTTCCATATCCTCCTTCTCTTGTCGCTGGTGGCAACTCTCCCCTCCAGATGCGATCCTACGCAGATACCTGTACATGTATGGGTACGAGAGTACATGCGAGTATACGTACATGTAGTTACTTGGACGTGCCCCTTTAGCCCATGTTTCTTCCTCTCCTCCGTGCCTTCAATACGAGTACTGATACCAAGCCCTGGCAAAAGCAACCCTGACCCACCTTCTACCTACATGACTCTTTGCCCAACCACATCACACGGCCAGAAGCAGCACACACGACTAGAGGCGACCGACGACCAAGCTGTGGGTGTCCTGTGTCAAGCCACGATTCAATATCCCCAGCCTTTTAGAATAGTCCCTCCGTCTGAAATAGGCAACATGATGGCTGTCTGTGAGCGCGTGTAAGAGTTCAGCTCCTAGACCGACGTGAACTCGTCATGTCGTGTGTGGAATAAGCCCACCGTAACACGAATTTTCAACATCATGTACTGCTCATCGTTTTATCAGTTAAGATAAGGACTTTTATTTTCCCGTCAACACATCCTTTTCTCTATCTTACAAGTAATACTCTCTGCATATACCCACCCACCTTTATCATTACCGAACAAACTCTGTACGCGTGGAAAGAAGATGGAAATGTAGAATGAAAAAAAAGAAAAGAAAAAAATGTCCAATGTCACTCTGTAATCCTGATATGATATCAATACCCTATACGGAGGGGCAAAGAAGGTTCAATATTGACTCTCTATGGCTTGCGAGCAAACTCCATCTGGTTCATTCCCCCGTGATCCAGCCTCATCGATATCAATCCCTGCCGAGCCTCCAGTCTCTTCCGCAACCCCCCCTACCCCCCAATCTATCTCCGCATCTACCAGGGCCGCAACGTAGCATTCGTACGAGGATATGGTTTGGGCAGCTTATCCGGTCGGGGGTTTTGATGCATCATCTAGAGGCTAGAGTTGGATTGGCATGATGATGTCTATGACTTGCAGCCGGCAGTGGCACGTGTTGTTGAGCATCGAGTATTCGCTGGAGCAGTCCCTCGGTGTAGTCTCACGCTGTTGCTTACCGGACCTTCTTCTGAATATGACTGGCGTTATGGAATACTTGACGGTGACGCCTCCCGGAAACGCCTCCATTCGCTATGCCGATAGTGACATACAGATGCATGGTACTGCTAAAGATACCATGTATTCATGGTAGTACTTGTGTGTAGGCAGTGCAGTTCATATCGGCAAGAGTTGATAACGATATCTATTCATGCATGTCAACGATTCTATGTGCAGATGCAAACCAACGACGATGTTCTGTCCAGGGCGCTAGTGATTCCACCTACCAGGTGCATACATACAAACACACGCTCTCTCTCTCTCTCTCTCTTTCTCAAAGGCTCATCGAAAGCCCATGATTGATCCAGAATTCACACCTCTTCTTCAGGTCCGAGTCCACATCCTCCATCTCCGTTGTCCCCCCCGTCCCAATCACCATTCTCTTCTCCGGCTCGTCGTTCCATGATTCCCATTCCGCCGTCCCGTCGGCGCGGTATCTGTTGGGATCGAGGCTGCGCGTAAAGCTGGTCCAGTACCCCTGCATGACGGGTGTGACGTACTCGTTGATCCCTCCAGTCTTGTAGCTCTGCGGAGCCTTGGAGCTGTACTGCGGCCCGATGATGGCATATACCTCCACCGTGTGAGGCACACCGAGGCCCCGCGCCACCTGGGCTGGATCCTCAACATCGTACAGATAGGCCCATGAGCTCTCGTCCTGAGACATGGCCTGGTTGATGTATATACCGGGACACATGAAGCGAATCTCCTGATATATGTTTGCTGTACGGCGCCAGTAGCATCCCTCGCTGGGGCACGAGTCGTTGGGGTTCGGATACAGGGCGTTGATGATGGGCAGCTGTTCTGCCTTGATGGCCGGGTACTGGTCGATAATCCACTGATTACTGTCCTCCAGCGTCGACAAGGTCCTGGGCGCAAACACGGTGCCTCCATTTCTGTCGTCGCCCACTATCGTCGGAACGCGGATGTAATTGCCCTCGGCTATGGCGCGGTACGTGTAGTCGGTGACGAAGTCGTTGTCAATCGCCGGCAGCCACTGGTACAGAGGAGGGTTATCGCCCCCAGGCAGCGGGATGTTGAAGTTCTGCTCCTGCAGCTCACGGGCCGTCTTGCCGCGCAGGCAGCTCAGACTGTCGCTGCCCGCGCAACCGAGCCGGGATGTCAGGTTGTCGTACTGGTACTGCGACTGCTCAATCGTCAGCATCGAGGCAAACGAGCCCGATTGGATGATGGCCCCGTGGAAGAGGCCCTTGTCCTCGCCGTTCTCGGCCGTGAGGTGAAAGGTGACACTGGCGCCACCGGCGCTTGCACCCTGAATGACGACGTGGTCCGGATCGCCTCCAAACTTGGCAATGTGATCCTGAATCCACTCGAGGACCTTGCGCTGGTCACGCAGCCCATTGTTGGCCTTGATGTTGTTGCCGTCTGTCAGGAAGCCGTAGGGTCCAACACGGTACTGCATGGCCACGACCACAAGGTCATGGTCTGCTGCTTCAACCAGACCCGTCGCGTTGATGTTGGGGTCTGCGTTTTTGCTGAATCCTCCACCCTGGATGAAGACGAACACGGGCAGCTCCGAGTCTGAAGTGGCGTCCGATGGGGCCATGACATTGAGGAATAGGCAGTCCTCCCCGCTCGAGGTGTCGTCTGGGTCACCTCCCACCTCGAGGCAAGCCGGGCCTGCCTAAGCTTGGGAGTCAGTATGGATCGTCCGTGTAGAGAGAGCATAGAACACTGTCAGTCAATATGCCGAGGGAAGGGGGGGGACACACCACATCTGCTTGTTTTGGTTCCGTCTCGTGCGGAGGGTCCTGCGGAGGCTCGAACCTCAAATCACCCAGAGGAGCTGCTGCATATCGAATCCCCAACCATTGGGTCAGGCCGTTGGAGAGAGCTGTACCAATGTACGTCGAGTATCCGAGATCGACACTGGTGTCGACCGCCGCTGTCGAGACAGCTTGCAGGACAATGGCAAAGATCAACCTGAAATGCATTTTCCGATGACAAGAGAGGGGGCCACGAAAGAATAGGGAAGGAAAGTATGCGGCACAACCGTCTCTTTATTCTTTCTGTCTTGTTTTTTAATGATGCTTGGGAGTGACACGATATCCAGGAGACCGGCCTGTGAAACAAAACATGTCTTCAGCCTGCTACCCATGGCCCTACAAGTAAGTTGTGATGTCGCGCACCAGGCGTGCATCCCTTGCTCTTGCCCTGATCTCACTGTTCCCTCTGTCTCTTGTGCCTGAGCTGCGAGACACGGTGGTACGTGCTGTCTCACATCACGTATGTTCTTTCTCGGCCCAGATCTCCCGAGTTTCTACCTTGCGATCCTTGGGCTGCTCGTCTCTGGCCCGCTGTAGACGCGCATAAACTGCATCTCATGCAGGCCATTCGCGTTCTATCACAGACCCGGTTTGTTTTCCTCTTTTCTTCTTTCTCACTCACGGGGCCGTCATCACGAGGCTTCGGAAATCTGACCCCCTCGCTTCCATAGTGGTCAGGAGGAGACAAGTCCAGCCAAGGTGATGATGGGCCGATGAGCTGATGGGTGCATTTGTGTGTGGGGAGCCAGTAAACGGGAGAGGGATATTGGCTGGGTTCTCGAAGCTGCCGGAAATGCGACGCGCATGAGCACATGCAGTACGGGATGCGGGGGATGAGATGTGTGTCGATCTCGTGCGATTTGGCGGGAGTTAGGGAACTCTGGGTGCAACGTGAATCGCTCAGGTGACGTTGATCGCTTGATCATGGTGTATTCTGGCAGCCAGCACTTTGTTAGCGCCTATTACTAGGAACAGAGCATATCATCGACGTTCCCGCATAAGGCTGATTGCAGGCCACGCACCTTTGTAGATGTGCACACATAGATGAACCACAGCAGCTGCTGATACAAGGGAAAAGAAAGGGGTCGGTGATCATCAAGGCTGTGCTCGCGGAGACCGTATCAAACGACATCATTGTCGGCTTGGTCGAGGAGTCTGCTACGTAATTACACAACGTATGTTATGAAGAGAATTTGAGATGAACTTGTACAAAGGGAAAAAGTTGTGATACTCAAGAGGACAGAGGACAAATGCTGAGGGCGGATTTGGTTGGTGGCAGGATGAAGGAGCGGCATCGGAGGTGCGAGGTGCACCTTCCGTAGCTGATTGGCGCTCAGCATGTCACTCGCACCTGCTGGGAAATAACATCCCACTACAAACAGCCCCCCCCCCCCCCCCCCAAAAAAAAAAAAAAAAAAAGCCCACGAGCAACTCCACCATTTGACCGTGGCAGGCTGACGACATCATCACCACCGTCATCCTTCTCTTGTCCTAAGACAACCACCACTCCACCCTGCCATTCCCCCTCCCCACCAACAATGGCACCCGTACAGGCACAGGACCCGACCGATGCGTCCAAGAAGAAGGCGCCCACCCCTCTACGATCTATCATTGCTGGGTCAACTGCTGGAGCAATTGAGATTGGTGCGTTTGAAGCTCCTCCCTCGACTGACCTATTTTTCTGTCCATCATCTGACCACTTTCTGCAGCCATTACATATCCTGCCGAATGTAAGCGAAGTCGGAAGCCGGATGAAATCTCTGTTCCTCTGCCTGAACCGAGCTGACTCAAAATACCAACTCGACATAGTCGCCAAGACTCGTTCCCAGCTCAACAGACGCCTGGCCGAGGGCCAGAAGTTACCATGGCCTCCATTTGGCAAGCAGTGGTACGCCGGGTGCACGACGCTCATTATTGGTAACTCGGCCAAAGCAGGAATTCGTACGTCCGACACACACTCCCCATACACGTCTCCGAGTTGAACAAGTTTGCTGACAGTGGTGAGCCCCCAGGCTTCGTCGCTTTCGACCAGTACAAGCGCTTGCTCGCCGACGCTGATGGGAAGCTCACGGGTCCCAGGACGGTACTCGCCGGTTTTGGTGCCGGTGTGACAGAGTCCCTGCTGGCTGTTACACCCACAGAGAGTATTAAGACGACTCTGTATGTCTCTTCCCCACCCAAGGCCTAGGGGAATACCTCGTAGAAGGCGGGGCACAGCCAGACATGGAGAGGATGTGGACGTGGAGCTGACAATAAACAGTATCGACGACAGAAAGTCAGCCAAGCCCCGAATGCGCGGGTTCCTACATGCCGTCCCCATCATTGCACGCGAGCGCGGGCTGGCGGGCTTCTTCCAAGGCTTCATTCCCACGACTCTCCGACAGTCGGCCAACAGCGCGGTCCGCTTCGGAACGTATACTTCTCTACGACAGCTGGCTGAGTCATGGACCGCCCCCGGAGAGAAGCTGGGCACATTGGCGACGTTTACCATTGGCGGCATGGCTGGCACAGTCACGGTCTTTGTCACGCAGCCCCTCGACACGGTCAAGACGCGTATGCAGAGTATCGAGGCAAAGACCGTGTACGGCAACACGTGGCGCTGTGCGGCATCGATATTCAAGAATGAGGGCGTGCTCACGTTTTGGAGCGGTGCTCTTCCCCGCCTGGCTAGGTTGGTCATGAGTGGTGGCATCGTCTTCACCATGTACGAGAAGTCCATGGATCTCATGGGACGCCTAGACCCGGAGATGAAGTACCTTTGAACGTGTTTGACCAATAGTTCTCCTACGATTTATCCCACAGCATGCGTCAAGAAGATAACCAGTAGATACGGCGATGGGCGTTTTTTTTTTTTTTTGTCTCGGGGTGTATTACACGATCCTCGGAGGGATCCAAGTGTTGACTGCACATTATGCCGTCTGTCTCTATATCGTACAACATGATACATTATATATATACAGTGATCTCTGCATAATGTGTGCAGGTCTGTTTTCGGTCGCATGACCTGTACAAGGGGTATTATGGTGGCGGTCTTTTTCATATATTGGTCCTGTTCATCGGCCATCAAAGCGGCTGTCGGTATCCGGTATTCGACAAGTAGATTTGTTGGTGTAGTTGACTTCTGTATGTTGGTAATCAACCAGCGGGGGTTTCCTCATCTTGGGTGATCGGTTTCGTTTCTGAGTAATCGATTTCCAGGCTTCGTTTCCGAGTACGATACGTCTATTCCAGTCGAATCATACCAGACAGACGCTTGCCCAGTCGTTCGAACCATGAGCGCTTGGGGGCCTCGTCAATCTCACGCACCAGGTCGGCGAAGTATGTAGGCTGACTCTTCGGTTCGAGCATAGGACCGAGTTTGTACTGAGAAGGAAGGGGTATGTATTAGCTGCGACATGTTCGGAGATGGTCATCATCGGACACAACGTAGAGGTGTATGTACCTTTTCCATGAAGCGGTTCTGCTGCAACGTCTGTAGAGACTTGGCCTTGAACAGTTCCTCTGCCTCCATGGACGGCTTGTACGTCTTGAAGCGGTCCTCTACCGTGGTCCGGAGAACGTCCTGCAGCTGGTAGTCCGGACGGAGGTCCTGCTTGGGCCATTTGGCAAAGACTTCGGAGTAGATGCGGTACTGGTTTTTGTTAGTCAGTTCAACTGTACCTGAAGACGAGAAAAGAGACTAGAAAACGGGAGAAGCTCACTGATAGTGGCCGCGACATGATGAGCAGATCTGTGACGTCCTACTGCTTGTCAAAATCCTCTTATCACCAAAGTCCTTTTTCCAAGGGTCAGTACCTGTCAATCTCAATTCACGTCGTCAACTATTTTTTTGGAAAGAACATGACTGGCTCTCGGTGGTTCGGGTATTTCCTTTTTCCTGGCGCCACCCGGATGTTCTATTATATAATCTCTGTATTAGTCATCAGTATTCTAGCATGGCATTCGTGGGCAAAGCTTCAATGGCTGATGCCAAATCGTCAACTGGCTGTCAATCAATGAACTGGGACATCAAAGCCTTTGCAATTCTGCCCCTCTCTGCGACCCACGAATCACTTGTACAGAAAGTCGTGTGCACGGAGTACTGGTACTATTGATATAGTTTTACATATTGCTCGCCTCGCTCTCGTCGTCTCGTACATGTAGTTTGAAAGGCATCGTACGACGCGACACCTCCCTGTGATTACGGCTACGTACTCGCACGTATACCTGGGTGCTAACAAATCTCGAATCCCACCAAAAGCGGCCTCCGATCCAGTTCATTCGGTGCCTGCGGCCGCGCCACATTGCCAAGCCCATGCACTAGCCCTGAACCACTGAAAGAGCATCAACTCGTGCACTGAGCAGACCACTGAGCGAACCGTCATAGCGCCCCTAGTCTACTACTAAAACCAAAACCAAAACTAAAACTAACACTGAAAGTGCCACTAGAATATCTCCTTAATCCCCTGTAATCCCCCGGAGTTTAGTGCTCACATTCTCCCTGTTTCCCAGGTTCTGGACCTCTCATCCTTGCCAACTCCTCGGGCGCCCGTCTCCTCTCCCTAACTCCCTCATTCCCCATTTGCACAACCATCACCAACTCCTTGTGCCCTTTTTTCATTCATTCACACGGGCACACGGGTCTTTGCTCGTTTTTCTTTTCTGGCCTTCGCCTTTTTTTGTCCATATTTTCCTGTCCTTCTTCTCCCCTTCTATCTACACTTTGTTCGATATCTGTTGATTCCGAGTGTTTCCGGTTGACGACACCGCCACGTTATCGCCCGCCATGGCAGGATACGAACGGGTAAGTCTTGTCTGCTAAGCTGACACAATATCGGGATGCAGAAGAGAAGAGTGCCCTTGGTTTCTAACAGAGTGTAGGTCAACGCCCGTGACGAAGACGACTACGAAACCACCCGCCTTGCTCCCGAACACGTCCCCAACTCCCCTCCTCCATCCTTTCACTCGCGCTCTCCTTCCCCCCGACGGCACGACAACCAGATTCAAGATCCCACCCTTGCCGACGCCTTTGATGATGATGGTGACGACAGCGATGACGAAGTCGACGACCGCCAACGGCTGGTGCGCCAGAATTCATCGTCCCTCCTTCACTCTACCGGCGCCAGCAGCATAACCGAATCACACGACTCTTCCTCGCCATCCTCGACTCCTCCCCCGGCCAGCCATGTCTACGATGCGCCCACTGCGGGCTCCGCGACTCGCTCTCAGAGGATAGTCGGCGGTGGAGTGGCCAGCGATGGCGTCTTTGCCAACATGTCGGCTAGACCTGACCGTCAGACTACGAGCGAAAAGGATGAGCAGCCTCCGGTATGATACAAATGGCGCCTTGTGCGAACGACTTGGTCACTGGTAGATGGAGATGCTGACATGTTGAACATACAGACGTACGAGCAAGCAGCGGCTGATGCCGTACCTCCCTACTGGGAGACGACGATCCTTGCCCCCGGACTAGGCGGTGCTGACGAGGTGTATATTGACGGTCTCCCCGTAGGGTCCGTCTTCGCCTTTGTGCTCAACGGCATGATCTCGACCTCGTTCACCTTTGTCGGCTTCCTCCTGACCTACCTCTTGCACTCGACGCATGCGGCCAAGAACGGCTCCCGCGCCGGTCTGGGCGTCACCCTGATCCAGTACGGCTTCTACATGCGCACCTCTCCGGCCTCGGAGATCCCCTCCAACATGGGCGGACCTGACGGATACGCTGCGCCCGACGATCCCAACTCACACAACTTTGACGAATCCGACGTGACAGACAGTGGAGATGGCCTGGGCGACTTGGCTGGCCTGGACTGGTTCTCGTACGCCCTCATGGTGGTGGGATGGTTCATGCTCATCAAGAGCACTGTCGACTATCTCCGCGCTCGACGACACGAGCAACTCGTTCTCCAAAGTCCCGATCGCGGTCTTGGTATCCCCATCATCAGCACCGGCGAGTCATCCGAGAGAGTTGTATAGCGAATTCCAATACAATACCCTATTACACACATACAACGACCACACACAGCATGATCACACGGGGATCAAACACACGATTGTCTACTTCTTCTCAAATATATATGCAGCAACAACACACAAAAGAGACAACAACTTGACATTTAATCCAAAGGAAGAGGGGTTATGGGCGTTTTTTTTTCAAAGTCTACTGCTTTTTGACGGGACAGGGCATGGATATCTGGGATTTTCTCTTTCTCTTTCTTTCTTTTTTTCTCTTTTGTTTGAAGCACTCTCCATTACCAGCTAGCAATTCACTTGTCTTTGTTTATCTCTTGGCTTAAACTCTCTTCTTGACTCTGTCCTTTTTTTCTGGAATTCTTCGTTCGTTCATACTCTGCTCGTCCATCTGAAACAGAGATGAGTGGTGCCCAAGGCGCATGAACTCTGCCGTATTACGCGTGCATACGGACAGTGAAACCACTACTGTTTCTGCTATGCTAATCGCAATGTTGCCCGACAATAATACGGGTAATCGGCAAGTCAGATACACATTGCCATAGTTAATACAGATTGCTACCAAGATGCAATAGCGGTATGCATGATTCAGTTTTACCCAGTATTGAAGCTAATGAATATACGTTTCTACGTACATAAACATGCGCTCTGGTAGATGTGCCTTGCACCTGCCGTAAGTCCAGTGGCGCCTGCCATGTGCAAGTTGCCCCGCATCGCCAACTAGTCTACCCGGTAGTATGACGTAGTACCGGTTTTATTATTGCATCAACCACTCCCCTCAGCTTTTTATCTTGTCCCAACACCGTGAACTGCGTCTTGTCTATATCTATGCACATCTAGGACAGTCTCTGTGTATCGCAATCATCTTCAGATTCGTCAAAATGGCATGGCGATGTTCTGGCGCGACAAATGCCGAGTTGGTGGAGAACATGTTCCGTAAAGGTTTGATAACCGATGCGACTGTCAAACAGGCATTTCTAGGGGTGAGTTATCATACCGTCTCTCCTGAAGATAGTCCGTCAGAGACAATGACCGTAGAACACAGAAAATTAAAGATATTGTCTGAACCTAGGTCGACAGAGCTCACTACGCACCCTCGCGACCATACAACGACTCCCCCCAGTCCATAGGCCACGCGGCCACCATTTCGGCACCGCACATGCACGCTTCTGCCGTGGAGAACGTCCTATCCTACCTCGTCCCCCGGGATGACGGCCAGTCTCGTCGCGTGCTAGACATCGGTTCCGGCTCGGGCTACCTGACGCATATACTGGCCGAGTTGGCAGGCCCTACCGGTCTAGTAGTCGGGTTGGAACATATTCCCGAACTGCGGGATCTGGGAAGGTCCAACATGGCCAAGAGTGCTGAGGGACGAAGTCTGCTTGATTCAGGACGAGTGAAGTTCCGTCTGGGTGATGGGCGCAAGGGATGGGTCGAAGGTGGGACCGCCGACTGGGATGTTATACATGTTGGTGCCGCGGCCAAGGAGTTGCATGCGCCGTTGTTGGAGCAGCTCAAAGCCCCGGGGTGGTAAGCTCTTCTACCTCTCTTCATTTTTCCAACGTGGTTCTGGCTTACTGATCGCCCACTCCCCTCCAGTATGTTTATACCCATTAACGATGATGAATCTGGTGTTGACAAGTCTGCATGGCGCATCTCCAAGAACAAATATGGACAAGTCACTAAGAAAAAACTATACGGGGTTAGATATGTTCCCCTTACAGATGCACCGTCGAGGTAGAGATTTTGGGCGAGAAATTATATGCATGTTCAGTCACTGTTATGAAAATTTGAAATTGTTGACTTGTTAATACTATAATCTATCTGTAGATACAAAAGTCAAGGATGAAAAGAGGTTGCTAAGAATATTAAAAGACGATGTTCCCATCGTATTCTTCCGAAGTCGAAGAAGCAAAGTAAATGACAAAAACCCCTTTGGGATCATAAACTCCAAGTTCATTATCTATCATCTCCCTGGTTATCAAGCCCCGTCTGAAAACTCCAATCTTACATCAGGTTGACAGCGACGATGGCAGCAACACCAAGGCAGATGCCAGCCAGGGGACGGTTCATCTCACCAGCGGCAACAGGAACTGTGGGAACCGTGGGAACCTCGGGTGCGGCAGTGGGAGTAGCGGGAATGGGCGTGCCCGGGGTAGGAGAAGCGGGAGAGATGGGGTAGACAGGAGAGATGGGAGCCACAGGAGAAGCGGGGATGACCGGGGGAGGGATAGGAACGACAGGAGTATGGACACCAGGGGAGGGCGTCACGGACGGAGCAACGGGGTGCTCCGAAGACTCGGCGTAGGTGGGGACAGGAGAGGCCGGGACGACAGGAGTCGCGGGGAGCTCATCGCAGTCACCACCGGGGAAGCAGATTGGCAGAGAGGGGTAAACTTCGTCGGTGGGGAAGGGAGGAGGACCGACGGGCGTAGGCTCAGGGTGAGGGTGAGGCGTGGCTCCAGGGCAGTCGGGGACCTCGGGGCCGCAGCTGATGATGGTCTTGACGCTGGTCTGGAAGGTGGTCGAGAAAGTAGGGGGCGCCACAGGGGCAGCCGACGATTCGTCACAGTCTACGGCGACGGAGCTGATGGTGAGGACCTTGTCGTGAGCAGCGACGACGGAGGCCAGAAGAGCGTTGATGAGGACGGTGCGAAGCATCTTGACGGTTGATGAGGAAGTGTATTGAGATGGAGGAGAGATGCCAAGCGTCTTGTCGAGGAGTTTCTTGAGAGTTGCGATGAAGAGGCTTCGAAGAAGAGGAAGAGGATGACGATAATGGTGATGAAGAAGGAGGAGGAGGAGAGATTAGAAAGATGCGATGTTGCTTAATGTTTCCGGATACTTCAGATTGAGAAGTCTGGAGAAAGGTGCTTCTCTTATACGCATGTCCAACCACCTCGGATCGCAACTCGAACCATCCGCCGGAGAGAATAAGTCAAGACAAACTTATTAGCCACGGCATGGAATATGTTTCACAAGAGCCTTTCGGCATCAACGTTTTGGTGCCTTGGCATGCAACGCAAGATGACGGTTGGCTGGGTCCTAGGGGGGGGGGTTTCCCCCACGATCGTTTGGAGGGTGGAACTTGGTCCTTGCTGTTATAGCTTGACGAAACCCCCCTCTCTTTCCCGCCTTTTGCCTTGTTGGCCTACTTGCTAGCCACTCGCAGTTCTCAAGCCTGCAGTCTCCTGATTCTGATCTTAGAAAGGTTGGTACGCTGAGAATATCTCCACAGTCCCTATAATTAGAGGAGGTAAGCCGTTTGACATTCCAGAGATGACACGGTCATCTTGTTGGTCCAAAGGTGCATCCCTCGCATTCCAGAGACATACAAAAAAGTAAACAAAAAAACAAGGCTTGTCTTTCTGTCAGGCCGTCTGCCGCTCCGTCCTCCTCTCATGGCCAGGATTGGTTGGCGATCCGATGCCAAGCCTCCCTTCGCGTGGGGTCGATGTATCCATGCGTAAGACATTGTGTTCTCGTAGATACTACTACATGGGAAGAGGGATGGGGGGGGTGACGACATTCGAACCATTCTGGTGGCTGTCAGATGGTCAGGAACCTCCCTTCATGCTGTTCATACAAACAGCTAGAATGCTTTTGGACGTAAGATCTGCAGAGGCTTGCGACTTGGCAATCTGCTCGCACGCCAGCTGCCCAAGGATTACGTACATGTACAGTCAGGCAGTCGTGTGCTGTGATATGCATTGTTTTCTGATCAAGATGGACATGTATCCAAGACCCCATATTACACACCAACACTTTGGGAAACAAGGATTGTCACTGCCGAATCAGCTCGTGTTGTAGCTTCGGACACATAGGTGGCATCCAGCTAGCCTCAGATCGAGATGCATCGTCTCGCTCAGCGATGAACGAATTACAGAAGAGACGGCAAGCTCCCTGTCCCGGATTCCTCAGAGATCAAACACCATTGTCGACCTCTATAACCATCTAGAAACATGCTTCGTTCTATTTCTGTGGATATCGCACATACAGAGCCAACTGCTACGAGGAGAAAGCGTATACAGACAGTCATGATTCAAAGTGTAGATCAATATAGCAATACAGTGCTGCTCTTGTACTAAACCCTGGACGCGACAAGGCTCATGTATATCCCCCAGAGGAGGCCGATGAAGCTCAGGAACACGATGCGACGGTGGACGGGGATGAACGAGAAGCTGATTATCGAAGCAATGGGCCATATCTTGTATCCGGCGACGATGATGGGTATGGTCTCCTGGAGCAGTCCGACTTGATCAGCACAGGCGACGTCACTTGAGAGTATTGATGGGCTGGACTGGAGCATACCGTCCGAATGTTGGTGGCAACCTGGTCTGCACTTTGGCCCTTGAGCCCTCCCATGATGACAAGAAAGGCCAGAGTGTTGAGGATGGCGCCGACCGTCATGCAGTCAATGAACCACTTTGCCAGCGTGTTGCGCATCGAGAACTTGGGCTTCTGAGCGGTGGCCACAGCGGCGCCAGAACCTAGGTCGCCCTCGAGAAGCCCGTCAGCTGTAGTAGTCCAGTCACCTGCCTCCATCTCGATGTCGTCCTTGTGGTGACGCGACGACGGGGTGGCAGCGGTCGGGTATGCCGGGTACCATCGCTCCAGGAACTGCTGCCACACAAAGTTGGGAGGAGTTGTGATGAATGTGAGGCACACGAAGCGAAGGAGCTGGGGAACATCCAGGGATAGTCCACGCTGCAGTTGGAGGAACAAAGCAGGGGGGAAATGATCAGTCGGGCAAGCAAAACATCAGGACCGGCATTGACGTTGGAGAGCTCACATTCTCCTGGTAGGCCTCAATTACCTGGGCACAAAGGTTGCTCAGGGTCGATAGGGCGCCGGCCTGCAGTGTGGCAGCAGCGAAGGGAGAGAGCATGTTGTCATGGAGAGATGGGGTTGAACACACAAACAAGGCTGCGCACTCGATGCAATATTGCCTAGCGATGATGAAGCGATGATGGAGTCTGTACGGGTCCAGACGATGCGTGTTACGGAGAGCATCGTATTATGTCACGTGTCGGTTTCACTCTTCATACGTGCGCATCGCTCCCTTTCAATTCTAATTCGAAAAAATACAATACCCCAGCATATGAGTTTGACTAATGCGGAAGATGAGGGGCAGGGATCTACGAGTCGGATTATGAGCGATGACGTTATGACCGAATAGGATTGCCGTACGATAGTATGCATAAAAACATGAAAATGCCTACTGACTATACTATGCCTATCCCCAGAGGGGACAAGAGGTGATGATACACACAAAATAAACCGCTCACAGCTTGGCTTGCCTGCTCTCCCGCTTCTGCATCTCTCGAAGATCCCTCCTCAGAATCTTACCGGACGGACTCCTCGGCACTGCCTCGACAAACTTGACTCCGCCCCTCAGCCTCTTGTAGTTGGAGACCTTGGAGTCGACGAAGTCGATGATATCTGCCTCGCCCACCTTGCCCCTCGCGTGGGGTGCTAAGACAACGTAAGCGCGGGGGACCTCGTTGTTGTCACGGACCAGGCCGATGACGGCGGCGTCGACGACAGCAGGGTGCGACGAGATCAGGCCCTCGAGCTCGGCGGGGGCGACCTGGAGGCCCTTGTACTTTATGAGTTCCTGTGGAAGATGTCAGTCCGTGAGCCGACGGCTAAGTGGCTGGTGTGTGGCAATACCTTCTTCCTGTCGACAACAAACAGCTCGCCGTCTTCTACGCGGAGAATGTCACCTGTGCGCATCCACCCGTCCTCGGTAAAGGTCTCCTGGTTTGCCTTGTCGTTGTTGTGGTATCCTTGCATGATAATGGGTCCCTTGAGGAGGGCCTCGCCAGGCTCGCCAGGCTTTACATCGTTCTCATCATCGTCCACCAGCCTAGACATTATCAGTCGAGAGCGCAGGACGTATAGCGAGGTGGGGGATGAAGAAGATGGGAGAAAGTGGGGGCAAACGACAGATGAAGAGAAGAGGGAGCGTGTGTGTGAGAGAGAGGGAAAACAAATAAGGAGAAAACCGACCTCATCAAAATATTCGGCAGCAGCGGTCCCAGGCTGCCCATCTTGACCGGCTTCCCGGGCGGTGAATACGTAGCCGCACCGGTCGTCTCGCTCATGCCCCAGGTCTGCTTGAGGAGGTGTTCCATCCCGACGCCCAACCTCTTGCTCGCCGCCTCCTGAATATCTGCCGGCAGGGCCGCGGCTCCGCTGAAGCCTATGCGCAGGTGCTTGAACTGGTCCTTGACGCCCGGGTGTTTGGCAATGGCCATCCAAATGGGCGGGACGCTAAAGATGTTTGTCACGCGCAGGTCGCCGCAGTGCCGGAGGAACTCGTCAAAGTTGAAGCTGTCCATCCAGTAGACGATTCCGCCCTCGAGGATGGGGAGGACGAAGTAGCCCATCACGCCGGCAATGTGCGCGGCGGGCAGGTGAGCCAGGGTTCGTCGCTCGCTGTACGGCCGCCCTTCGTCCGCCTCTCTAGCCCAGAACGGTCGAGCCAGCAGGGCAGGGGTCATGGCCTCGGCCACAACGTTTGTGTGCGAGATAAGCACGCCCTTGGGCAGACCCGTCGTGCCGGACGAGTACAGCAGACAGATCTTGCTCTTCTCAAGCTCGGTCGCGTCGGTGATCTTACGCCAGGCAAGCTCCCTGTCGAACCGGCACTCGACGCTGCCGTCGAGACTGTACAGCCTCACCTCGGGAAAGCTCTCGAGGATGAGCACATTTGACAGGGCCAGGCCAGCGTCGGTAGCCGCCTCGGTAGCCAGCTTGGTGAGACCCTTGCTGCAGATGAGCAGCTTGCTCGGTCCGTCGCGAATCTGCCTGGCCAGGTCCTTGGGCGTACCCGAGTATGAAGCAGCAGAGTACACGCCGTCGGCGGCGATGACGCCGTAGAATATGCTGGCCAGGGCACTCTGGCCCGTCGACACGGTCACGACAACATCCTTGCCAGGTCCTGAGGCGCCGATGCCGTACTGGTCGCGCAGAAAGGCCGCGAATTGGCACGTCAACTGACGCAAACGGGCCTTGGTGAGTATGTACTCGGGGTTCTTGGCTTCGCCGTGTAGAGGAGAGTCTTCTTGGGCCTGAGTATGCTCCGAGTCTTGGCGATGTTAGTAGCAGTGTCACCAGCTCGGTATTGTTACCGGTAGCACCTCGAGTGAGATGTATGTACTGTCACATACCGAATAGGAGCGTCAGAAGGTCAAGCTTGGGTAGATGGACACTATTCCCTTCGTTGTAAATCATCTTGAACGTGGTGTATTATTATCCTGTGGGTGATGAGAAGAGTGGTGAGAGTGGGGAGAGTGGGAAGCTGGAATTGTCCCCTATTTGTCTGTTTTTTTTCCTCTCCTCAAGGGGCTATATACAGAAATATTTATTTTCCTTCTGTCGGCTTCTTTCCGGCTCCTGTCTGTCTTTTATTCCCGGTCAAAATTCATCTGGAGCTGAAATTAGTATTGAAACAATATCATAAATAGTGGTTCATAACGATGATTCATCTATCTCAGCCTATCCTCCCTCCATAGTGAAGAGTAAGAGATAAAGGGGGGGGGGGCAGAGAAGGTGGAGATTGAGGAGATTGAGAAGAGGTTCGATGCCGTGCCGAGGTCTTCAAGATCCTTTCTTTCAACTATTATACCCTGTTCTTGACCTTGCTTTGAAATCTACCAGTTCCCCACATCCCGGGTAGGAGATCCCGCTACTGATACGAGTACAGGATTTCGCTTGATGCCCTCTGGATTTAATTCTCAACGCCTTGGCGCTGGACAGTGCTCCGGAATAAAGAGCTCATACTCCGTACTGTCAAGGAATTGCGGAGTGCGAGTCTGGGATGACGCAGTCGAATGCCGTCATTGGCCGTTGGGCTGAATCGGAGGGCTGTGCTATGCCGTTAGAGGTAATCATCGCGTATTAATAGTATTATTATTATTATTACTTGCAGTATTATTACTTGCAGTATTATTACTTGTAGTATTATTACTTACAGTAGTATCAACAAGGGAAAAGGGGGGGGGGGGGGGGGGGGGGGGTTGGAAGACTTGAAGGGGGCCGAGGATCTCGGTGCTGCTCGTAGCTGTATATCACGTATTATAATGGTTGGCTAGGTTCGATAACGCGCGTGGATAGTTGGCGATCACTCAGATGCATTAGCCCCCTCAGATGAAAGGCCGCAGCGGTTGTGATGATCTTATTTTATTGCTCTATCTATCTGTCTCACGAGGCCGGAATAGAAGGTAGGATCGTGATGTTTTTTTACTGGCCTAAGGCAAAGGCTTCAGCACCGGAACAACATTTCTCCATATGCCATATGGTATTTTGTGCAAATAATAGTCTTATTACTCGTACTTATATCTGTAAGGAGTGGAGTAGCATTCTTACGAGTAATACGGATATACCAAACTTACCCTGAATCTACGTCGAGGTTGGAATCAGTAATAACAGGGAACCAAAAAGTAATGATACTATTTCACAGTCCAGATCTAGTACAATGTAGATCCCTGTATTGAATTAACTTATCCAGGTAAAGCCTTTATTATGCAAGTGGAAGAAGAAGAAAAAAGAGTACAGCCGAGAAACGTATGATAATAAACACAGCAAACATCGAACCAAGGATCAACAAATCTCCAACTTACCCTTCCACTTCTTCTTCACCTCACCCTCCCATTCGGCAAGCCGCCTCACTTGCCCATCTACAAACAACTCGCCCGTATGAAGCACCCTATCTAGCGGAGGCACCTCAATCCAATCGTGGTCTACACTGCAAGCAAGACCCAATGCCAACCCTTCTGAACCTTGATCGGTAGCAGCGACACCAGGCTTGATCCTCTGCCTGAGACATCTATCGCAGAAGCTATCTAGACAGTAACGGCAGATAAAGAAAGGCTTCTCGTCTTTGATAACGCTGAGACACTGCGCGCAGCAGCGGTCTGTTGATTGAATGCCAGACAGCTTGGGTTCCGGATGGGCTGCTCTGCGTGGTTGGATGGGTGACTCACCCTCACCACCAGCTGTCCCGGCCAAGCCCTGGGGGCTGGGCTGTCTCATGGATACGGCCAGCGCGCGTGCGTTCGAGTCTTCTCCCTCTCCCGCGGCGACAAACAGTCGGAGTAGGTTCTCCAGTGAAAATTCGTCGTTGTCCAGATCGTTATCCTCTAGAATTTCGCAACTCTCGACAATAAGCGCCGCAAGGAGTGCCTCCGCCTCTCTGACCCGTCGTCGCAGCCGGAAAATGAGTGCCAGGTAGACGGCCGCCGCGTTGAAGTCGGAACCCGTCATGCGCAGTGGCATTTTGGTTTTGTGACGGTGGGATCTGTGCTTGGATTGCACCGCCTCAAGAAGCTTGATCCAGTGGTCTGCACTAGGCTGGTTCAGTCCGGCCTGCAGTGCCATGTCCTTGTACAGTGATGCTAGTTTCTGGAACGAGATGGCGTGCGCCCGTCGCGTCGGCACGTTTCCTCGCGACCGGTATTCGATCAGCGAAATTCGCTCAAAGATCTCAATCGCCGCGTCTGTTTCGCGCTGGTACATCAATGTCACTCCAAGGGCGATGCGGAGGAAGAGTCCCTTGGGCACATCGCGCTTGTCGTGCGCAATCTTGAGCGCTATCTGTAGCCTCTCAACCAGAAACTCGACCTGTCCATCCCTGCACGCAGCCTTGGGAATCGACTCCAGCACCAAAGAAGTGTCGTGCTCCGAGAGCAAAAATTCAACCAGTCGGCTGCTCTCCTTGTGAGGACCAGAGGCATGCAGCGACAGGTCTTTAATCACCTCCATTATTTCGGCATGTCTATCGTGCGTCGAAAGCACGCCAAGGAAGCCGATGACCGGCTCGAACCGCTCCTGGTATCTCATGTCGGCCTCATCTGCGCTGTCCAAAGCCTTGCGGAAATACTCGATTGACTTGTCGACGTTGCCTGTGAGTGAGTATGCTAACGCGATGACAGAATAGTCCTTGTACAGGCGCCACTTGCTGGTCGAGAGAGCTGATCCAGAAAGGTTTCCCTCGGCCATTAGCTTGAGCTCCATGGCCTCGCACCTGAGTCCGAGTTCAAGAGCCTCCGAGTACGACTTATCCTTGAGAAGACAGTACGCCTTAGGCCCAGCTATCTCGGCGTTGTCAGGCTGGAGCTTGAGTCCTTCAGTGTAATGGGCCAAGGCTTCCTTGTGTATGTTCAGTGTGAGATATGTGCTACCGACTCGACGGAACCAATGTGCCGTTTTGGGGTACTGCGACCACTCTGTAGCGTTGTTGATGCGTTCTTGGACCGGTACACCTGCCCAGTGATGCTGTGACTCGGACCACTTGTGCCCGGCATCAAGATACGAGATGCTTTGGACAATCTCGAAGCAGAGTCTGGTGGGGACGTAGAGCTCGCACTTCTCATCGAGCCATGCCTTGGCATAGAATCGGCCCATTGCAAGGAACATGCTTGCCGGCCTAGTAACCGATTCCTCTGCCCATTTCTTTGCATCAGAGTCCAGTCCCGACACCACGTCATCGTCCTCGATCCAGGCACGGAGACCATCGATGTTTGCGTCGTTGAAAACTTCGAGGCCCTCGTCATTTTCTTCATACATGAGACTCCAATCGGACATTGTGGTCTCGTCAACCAGCATGCGGTATACCTGCTGGCCGATGATTCGTTTGTCGTCCTTGCCCACATCCTTGGGGTCAACAGCCGCTAGGTGCTCTTGCCAGTACCATGCAGCATACTGCTTGATTGAGTGGGCTCTCCTTCCGAGATCCTGGGACTTAAACCATTTCTTGTCATTGAAGATACGCAGACATATTTTAAGAATGTGCGTTCTCATGGCCAGCGCGTTGAAGCCGACAGAGGGTCCGCCCGTCTTCTCGGAAGCCTTGAATGGGTCGCCTTCGCGGAAGAACTCGCGTACAGAGGCATGAAAGAAGGTGACTGTCGTGCTAGACTTTTTTGACCTGAACTCCATATCCTGGTCGGGAGTTGTGATTTCAGGTAGGAGGATGGGGCCAGGCGAAGGGCTGGGGTGGCGGGCCAGATTGGACTCAAGGGATGTGACAGGGCTTGTGCGCCGGCGGGGGGAATCGGCGAGCCGTTGCGCCGGACTGACATCGCGAGAATTAACTCCTCCTCTTTCAGAAGAAACAGACTTTCTGACATGTCCGTTCGGGGTCGCGGATCTGTTACCTCCCCGCTGTAGGCGTTCGTAGTCCCTGACCAAGTCGTCTGTCGTGAGGCCGTCTTCACGCTCCACGCTGAAGAATGAAGCATACTGGCCACGGAGACTGTTCTCGAACCGGAAGGGAGGGGTCCCGAACTCTAGTATCAAGACAGCTTCAAGCTGCTCGATTGTGAGAGCTTGTTGTGCACAGGCTACCCACCCAAGCACTTCATTCAAATCCCCTGCCTCTTCATCAGTGATTGTAGAAGACAGGTCGGCTAATGTCATGCCCAGAATGCCGTTTATCTCTCGTGGGAACGATGCGAGAGACTCGAGGATAGAATTTGGGCGGCGTTTGCGATTGACATCGGCCAACATGAACTTGGCGAGGATGAAGAGGCCATCGACACGTTTTTCCATGGTCTCGATGACTTGGGCCTTCAGCTCGGGACCGACTTGGCTCATGACGCGAGAGTGTGCCACGCCGTGTTTAATATAAGACCTGACATCATTCGCGACGCGATCTGGAGTGACGTGCACGAGGGTCAGCGAGCGGCTTGGCGTTGGAGGATCCAGGTACGTCGACACCAAATCAGTCAGATGCGACCTTCCGGTGAGGCAAATCTTGACCTTGGCTTTGCCTCCCGGTACCGGCTGTTCTTCCATGCACGCGGCCAGCTGTGTTAGAAGTTCTTCAATCTCCTCTGTAGCCGCTTCGTCGAGGCCATCCAGGAACACGTAAAATGGCTCACTGCGAGTGTCATTTTCGAAAGATTCGGCGAACAATTTCCGAAAAGCACTGGGTACCGTTTTGATGTCTGCAGTAGTGTGGACACTGCGAGTGAGCTGTTTTGCGTAGAAAGCGTCGCTCTCGCTGAGCTGATAAGAGACATCTCGTAGTGCTTGGAGGACGGATCGTGTCTCTGGGTCATTGGATCGAAAATAAAAGTAGGCAACATGAGAGAGGTTGTTATTTGCCCAAGAAATGAGCCTCGTAGCCAAAAAGGACTTTCCAGTACCAGGTCCTCCGGACATCCACATGTATTGCGTCTCGCCATCTAGCCAAGACTGCAGTGAAGCATCTTGGAGGATCCAATCGCCTGTGCCTTGCACCCTACTCCTGTCAAAGGACTCAAAATAATCTCTTGGGAAAGGTGAGGGATCCAGGAGCTCCCGGAGTGTATCCTGATGAGCCGCATTGATACGGGCTCGGTATTCGAGCTTCAGCTCTTGAACATCCTGGCTGACTTGGTTCACAATCTGTTCAACATTGTCCGTCTTTTTGTCGATTCTTGCGACACCACCATATGTATCTGCAAGAACCTGTCGGCCCTCGCCGGCAATGAGTTTCTGGAGATTTTCAAGAGCACTCTGCACAGGGCTTCCAATTTGAAGGAGGCTCTTGAAGTATGACCTGAATCGTCCCTTCCTGATCTCCCCAGTGGAAAGGACAATGACTTCAAAGAATGAGGCGAAAATGGCTACTGCCTTGGAACGCAAAGTCGGCGATATTGTTTTGTTTTCTATATATACGTTTAGTCGTGGTGTGAAGTCCTGTATTGCCAGTTAGACGTGATCCAGCACTTGTCTGCCAGTAGTAGAACAAACCTTAAGCAGTTCAAAGAGTTCAAAAATGGCGTCATAGTTTGAAGACACATCCTTAGCTGCATTGACCAGGAACAAAATGGCGGTGTATATTGTCTGTGTCGCAGGAAATGCTTCGCCTGCAGCACCGGCCACAATGTCACCTACGGCCTGGATAGGCTGTAACATGGCTTTCAAAGTACCAAATATGGAATCTCGCTTAGACCGGAAGGCCCCGAAGCTTTTGTTGTAATTGTCGAGCTGGCTGTTGAGGTCGTCTATCGAGCGCATGGGAGGATTCATAAAGTCGTTAATGCTATGTCCAGAGGATTCCTTGTGAAGCTCAGCAGCATCCGCTATGACCGCCTGAAATGCAGCCTCGAGGGCGCTCTTGTCGTCCTTTGCTTGCCCCATGACGATATCTGGTTTTGTTGACTACTCGTGTCGACAATGTCGTGTGTCGCGTCACAACCCGCCCACTTCAGGGGCGGGATAGTCGTAGTTAATATAGCATGTCAAAGCGTCCGTGCCCTTGTGCAATATTGATGGGATTCCCAGAGCCAAAGTGTCAGACTCCAGGCAACGAAGGGCGTTGCCAGAGGCAGGGGATAGCTTCCAACGTAAGCTGGTTGGCTCTAAACTCCACCACAGGCACGTAAGGCTGCATCCTGCTGGGGTCTCAAAGCACAGTCAGACTGAGATACCGTATTTTCATACGAGGACGTGGCCATGAGCCATGATACGCCGAAATTGTCTCAGAAAAGGTGTCCAGGTGACTGATTACTGATGACCAACGAGACAAATGAAGTTGCGATAGAGGGTGGGTGAGGATGGGTGGGATGCCATCTTTAGAAAGAGTGCAAGGGTTCAGGAACGATTGCCAGTATTACTCCGCAGATTGTGGCGTAACAATGCGGCGTAGATGTCGCCCTGCGGCTGTGCCTCTTCTCACATGCCCAGATAATGTTGAAGGCAAGAGCGTCGACTCGTTCGGCCCGCCTGCCTGTTCATCCAATATTCTTTCCCGGGAGGCGGGGTACGTGCGCCCGGACCGTACCTTGCGCTGTAATAAAACAGGCAATAATACCAACCCTCTCAGCAGTTGCAGTGTCCCCCCATGGCACCTACATAGTGACTAATTTTACCGAGTATTCACCGGGAGCTCTTACCTCCTCGCTGGCATCACATCGAGGGGTTCATTTGAACTCCTTTCACTTCTTTCGTTTTTGTTGGCCACCAAGATCTGGAATCTTTGGCACGCCCTTTTCGTGTATCAGATACAACGTTTGAGGTTACCCTCCACGGTACTGACCCCCTCATCTTTATCTGCGACCGGAGGAGGAAAAAGCACTCAGCGCCCCCACCACCATCGTCATGTCATCCTCGCTCCGCCGCGCTGCGCCGTTGGTGCTCCCCGCTACTGCAGGGCAGCATACAGCGACGGTTATTTTTATTCACGGTCTCGGTGACAACGGAAATGGCTGGGCTGATGCGATTGAGCACATGAGGCGTCGTCGTCAACGACTGGGCGAGGTCAAATTCATCCTACCCCATGCGCCTACGATTCCTATCACAGTGGTTAGTCAGCTTTGGCATCTATAAGCGACGTAGTCCAAGGTGATGCTCACGCATGATTTAGAATGGCGGGCTCCGCATGCCAGGCTGGTTTGACATTGTACGTGTCCCTTCCTGCGTTTGAATGCCTGTCTAAGCACGTACTGACCTACCGCCTTCGCTGTAGAAAGCTCTCGGTTACTCTGTCGACTCTCTCGGCAACAAGGCTGTTGACGAGGATGCCGCAGGGATTCTTCAGTCACAGTCATATGTCCACTCCCTCATCCAGGACGAGATCCAGGCTGGTATCCCCGCAGAACGCATTGTAATTGGTGGTTTCTCACAAGGAGGCGCGATGAGCATCTTCTCTGGTCTCACTGCTCCGGTCCGGGTTGCCGGTATTGTTGGCTTATCGTCATGGCTGCTTCTCAGCCAGAGCTTCCGCGACTACGTTCCCAGCGGCGACCTGAACAAGACAACGCCTATTCTCATGGGCCACGGCGACGCAGACCCGATTGTCAGGTACTCTCTTGCGATGGACAGTGAAGCCGCGCTGAAGGGTATGGGGTACGATGTTACTTTGAAGACCTACAAGTAAGTGGCTCCTCTGCGATGTTGATGGGTTTGACTGGGTTGACAAAATTTGTAGGGAAATGGAACATTCCGCATGCGCGGAAGAGCTTGACGAAGTGGAGGCCTTCATAGCTGCCCGATTGCCAGCAAAGAGCGGTTAATGTTGTCCGTTAAATATACCAAAAGGATCCAGTGGAAGGAAGAATATAGGGGACGGATCGAAACAGTCCTGCTCTTGTATGAATTTGAAAATAAAACAATAGATGCCCTCAGCACAATCCTCAATTTGGCGTGGCTGGCCGACCCACTCGCGACCACCTGTGAGGCGAAGACCACCATGCAGCACCGTTGAGTTACCGCCCAACTTGCATACAGGTGTGCTGCAAGGAACAGCCCAAGGACCCAGTTACGCAGAGGGAGAGAGAGAGAGAAGTGCATAACAAGAGGGATTGGTGACAAATGGAGCTACGATGCCAAAAAGACGAAGCTGGTAATACATCCCATGACTATCAACTAAATGGTTAACAGGCTAACTAGATGTGCATCAACGGGACCAGTTGGGGCTCCTCTTCTCCAAGAAGGCACCAACTCCCTCCTTCTTGTCCTCGGTGCCAAAGGCAAAGTAGTACAAGCTGCGCTCGAATTCGTCATCACGTCCCAGGCTATCAGCTGTTGGGGACAAATCACACGGTCAGCAGACTGCTTTCTGCAGGAACATGGGGAGCGGCGGGATGCAAGACCGGACCAATCGGGATACAACAAAGCAACACGAGAGGGGGGTAAGACAGAGACGTACATCGGCAGATGGATTCCTTTGCAAGCGATAGGGCCATGGGGCTCATGCCGGCCAGAGACGATGCCATCTGAACAGCATTGTCCAGGACGGTCCCCGGCTCGAAGACGTCGGCAACGAGGCCGACGGAGCTAGCCTCAGCAGCGGAGATAGGCTTGGACAGCAAGATCATCTGCATGGCCTACATTAAGAGTTCATCACCCCGCGTCAGTAAAGGGGCCCGAGCGAAAGTTGTGATGTGTCATACGATATACGATGGGAAGGGACGATGTTTACTCACCTTGAACTTGCCAACAGCATTGGTCAATCTCTGGGTACCACCGGCACCAGGAATGAGACCAATGGAAACTTCAGGGAGGCCGAATTTGCTGTTGGAGGAAGCGAAGATCAGATCGCACTGTGTGATGAAAAAGGTCAGTAAACAACAATGTGGATCGCAAAGAGACAATAATTGCGACTTGACTACAGATCAATCGGGTTTGGGGGGTGTGCGTGAAGTGGAGGGAAAGAGCTAAAGGAAGAGGGCATGCACAAAGCAAAGAGAGCGAGGGAGAGAGATAGTGTATGCGCGTGTGAGTGAGTGGGAGGCAAAGAAAGATACATACCGCCAAGGCAACTTCGAATCCACCACCGAGCTGCAGAAGATATCAAAAGGTTTAGTGAACAATCGAGGGAGGGAATAAGGTATAGAGCTTCCACGAATCACTCACCGCCATGCCCTCGACAGCCGCAATGAGTGGCTTTCTTACGTTGCTGAGACCTTGGCAGAGATCTTCGAGGTAGCGGCACTTGCGGGCAGACTGGCCGTCTAACTCGGAAATCTCCTTGATATCGGCGCCAGCTGTTACATCGCGTGGAATCGAACGTTAGGCGGGGCAGTTCATGAAGAATGGAGGGGGTGTGGCATGGAGAAGGAATAAGCAATACACCGAGCGGGCTGGAGGGGGGAGGAGGGGGGGAGTGCAGGTCAGACCAACAATGACCTACCACAAAAAAAGGTCCTGCTGCCAGTGATTACTATGGCGCGGACAGAGTCATCGGATGACGCAGCGTGGAGCAGGGCAAGAAGATCGACAATGAGCTGCTGGGAGAGGGCGTTGCGCTTGGTTGGACGGTTGAGAGCGAGGACTCTCACACCGTCTGCTGGCGTAGACGCTATCACCAATTCTTCACCCATTGCGAAGCGGGGTTAATCGGGAACAGTGGGGATTGGTTACCAAGAAAGAGGAAGGGAGGGGAGGAGCAGAAGGTCGGTCTCGAGATATGACAGGGGAATATTTATTCTGTTAGATTTGTCCTTGTACCTCTTTTTTTTTAGCAGGCGGTGGGCATCATGTCAGTCGGAGGATTGATTCGTGATCAAGAAAAGAAAACATGACACTAACCAGATGGCCTATCGGAACTCGAGAGATCGGGGACTGGTGGTTTGGTTCGAGATGTTTAGCGTCACCAGAGGGAGTGAGTGACAATGATGAAGGAAGAGAAGGCGGCTGAGAAGACGTAAATTGTGAGAGAGGAGGGCGGGGGGGGAGTGTTGTATGCCCGAGTGAGTTTGTGTGTGAGGTAGCTGTGAATGACAAAGGAGGGGAAAAGAGAGGGAAGGGGGGGGAGGGAGAGCTGACATCGGGACTGTACTTGTACTATCATCCGGACAATGGGGATCGATTGTCAGTAAACTCATGCGCATGAGGGGGACGATTGGACAACCAGCTGAGACATTGCTGTCAAGTTTGCAGAGCAAGCAGCACGCATCCCCTCTGTACAGTCGGGAGGCCCCAGGTCCAGCTGGTGACGGGTAGGATCGGCACCAGGTGAAGCCATACAAGGTAATAAGTCTGTCTCTGTTGAGAAATCGATAATCTATTTTGCTACTAATAGCTACTACCAGATACTTACTCCATATTACGTCTAGCAGCTAGCTAGCCGACAAAGCAAGAGCTGCGCGAGGTGGAGCTGAAAACGTGGCGCAAGGGACCCGTTGATGACGCCCTCTGAGAGATGGACTTTCGTTTCCTAGTCTTCGCTGTGCAGCTAGGTATTGTGCCAAGGAAGAGGTTCAATGGGCCAAGGAGGGGAACACCAAGACGGGACCAGGAACGAGCCGTCGCGGAGCGGTGGAGAAGAATGGAACACGGGAGGGGGGAAGAAGAAAGTATTATTACATTGCGGTGCGCCACTGTTCGAACGCAATTACAAGAACACTGACAACATCGACACAGGCACAGACACCTTCCCAAGGAGGAGGGGAAAAGAGAGATGAAAGGAAAGAAAGGAAGAAGAGGAACAAGAATGCCACACGCTGTATTGAGACCTGCAGCAAAAGTGCTTTTTCTCTGCTGCTGTCAACACACAGAGGGAGGGAGGGGAGGGGCCCACCGTTTTCTACTAGGCCAATGCTGATATTACATTGAGCGGTTGGCATATGCGAGGAACCCCAAAGGAGACGTGCATCTGACAGGACGCAGACACACGGATGCGAGAGGCGCACATAACGTACATGGTGGGTGGTAGGGTGACAGAGTGACAGAGTTGAAGGAGGGTGAGTTGGTGAGAAGACACTCTCTCGTCACACACGCGCGCAGAGAGATAGAGACTGACTGAGAGTGCGAAACCCACAGTTTACGTGAGAGACATGCAGCAACTGGGACTCGGGGCAAACCATTGATCAGGACCCACAACTATCGTCAGGTCACGACGCGACAGAATGTGAGCAGGGAAGAGGAAAACCCAGGGGCCAGGACGGCAGAGAGCGGGAAAGAAACGAGCAGAGAATGTGATAGAAAATTGACTGGAGAGGGGAGACGGGAAGGCCTAGATGCTCCCTCACGCCGGGGGTTCCCCCTCCTCTCTCTATCATCCGTCTTTGGTGTTTTGTCGTAGAAGGTGAGTAGGGATGGAAACCTCATCGCGACGTACTCGTATTACTGATCCCTTACGAAGCGCAGAAAGGGCAGGGGTGCAGAGCCTAGAGGTGGGGAAGCACAGACGACTGGAGGGGTATATTGAAGCGGGATATCCACCCGCGCTCCCTGGTACAGATGCCATCCATCGATGATACGGCAGATGGAGATGGATGGTCCACTACTACGCTGTATCATTATCTCTCGTCCTAGCATTCCGTGCTGTCTACATACATAGCACAGAGTGTTATAGACTCCCGCCAACAGATCCCCACACACCTTGTATACAGAGGCGTCCAAGAGAGGAAGCTTCATACATGATATTATTGATGCCAGACCATTAATACTGACAACAGGTTTGCATGTTACGCCGTAGACCAGCAAGGTCTCAAATGCTCCCAATATTGCCTCATCCCTCCTTCGGGAGCGGTCTCCGGTCGGCTCCGGTCGGGAGAGGCATGTGAGGAGGGAGGAAGTTGAGTACAGGATACATGTACTGGTGGGATAATAATACCACTTGAAGAGTGATGGTACAAGACCGAGGAAGAGAGCGAAAAAAACAAAAAACAAAAAAGGTCGAGAATACATTCGAAACCATGAATGCTCTTCCTACCGTGCCTCTTGAAGAACAGGTGACAGGCCAAGACACCGCTTCGAGAAGTGTACCGGTGAATTGGTGCCGTCAACCCAAGCTAGTCCTTGTTCATTACTTACGAAGCTAGCGGCTCCATCTGTCCCCCTCCCTCGACCTTTCGTCTTCTTCTTCTCTGCTTTCCCTATTTGTCCCGTAGACCTGGGGCCCAGGCCAAGTATGCTTGTTCCATGTTGAGTGCCGTGCCGTGGTGGATCAGAGTTGGATGGCTGGTGTGTGAAGAGGTACAGGCGGGCCCTGGAAAAGCAATTAACGAGGAACCGTCCCCTGTCTGACAGAACAGGAAAGGTGAGCTCTTTTTTTTTTCTCTCTCCCTCTCTCTCCCCACCCGGTGGGCCACCGCCGATGGGCAAGGCATTCACGTGGTAATACATGTAGGACGCAATACCAGCTGGTTGCTGGAGAAGCTCAAAGGGCAGACGGGGAGAGTTCGAAGAGGCCAAAGCCGCGCCATGCGGCGAATGGACCCCTCACAGCTGTGCGCGTACATGTATACCATTCAAGGAAAGTGTCATAATACAGTAGTATACTCTTATGATGTGATTATGATGCGGAGGCCCCCCAATTGACAGGCGAATATTTGACAAACGAATATTGATAGATGAATGCTCGTAAAAGAGCAGACTACGAAGATTAACTGAAGGGGGTGCACTTTTGTCTAAACTAATGGGAGGGAGAAGAGGGTGTGTACGGTGTGGGGATTCTACTAATATATTAATACATGTAATCTGTACAGATTACATCTACGGTAGTAGTGTATCACTCTCACACTGAATAACGAACTCATCATAGCTTCGTAGTTTACTCTCGTGGATGCCCGAGCCATACGGCATGTCTTATTTGACTTGGCGGTGGAAGCAACAGCATTTACTATTACCCCATCTAGCTTGCTGCCCAGACCTCTCGTGAACCCGAGATGCAGGAACATTCTCGACGCCACAAAAAAAAAGTAGCACTGCGGGCGGAACAGGTCCTAAATTGAGCCGTACCTTGGAACTTGCCCCGGAGAGAGAGAGGGAGGTTGTGATGCCGAAACCGGACTCCGAGATTGATAAGAAAAGCCTGCATGCAGCGAGGCATTAAAATATTTTCAAGTATATTAACACGGAAGATACAGAGAGCCCAGAAAAAAAAACCTTGTTCTGCAGCTTATATGCGAAGAAGGTGGTATTATTGTCGGTCGGCTGCACCTACGTCGGATGCAGATATGTGTCTCAAGGTTGTGCGGCACATTTTTTTTTCCATCTTTTTTTTTTCATTTTCATTTTTACCTCTTTTCTACTCAATCCTTGTCAGAACAAGGATTTGGGGGGAGGGGAGGGGAGGGAGGGAGAGGGAGAGCGTGTGGGAGGGTGTGTATATAGGAGGGAATACTGATGTGTTGTGAAGCCCTTTGCAGATACAAGCAGACGCATACGCACAGATACTCGCACACACGCACACGCACATACATATATTACACGTATGGGCGGCTGTGAAGGAAAAGTCTCCGATGATACACTCACGCCCTCTTTTGTTTAGAAGACGCGCGCGTAATCTACGAGTAGCGTTGAACGATGGCCCTAGCGGAAAGGGTGCGTGCGTCCATGAAGAAGCTTGACGCTGCAGGTGTAAAAACAGAATAAGAAAGCATAAGGAAGAGGACATGGCGTTTCCCTCCCTCCGAAAGAAGCTGACTCCCATCGCTTAAGGCGTACGGGAGTCTGTACCGTAGCCCGTGACACCGTAGCCCATGGCACCGTATACCGTAGCCCATGGCATTTCCCACAGCACCGTGGCCCATGGCTCGGCCCATTGATCGGCAGCCATGAGGAAAGGAGGGGCCATCCCATGCAGCTTGATTCTTGTGCGTGGTGGTGGGGAACGCATGCAGGTTGCAGACAAAACTTCTTCAGCGACAAGGGGGGGGGGGGG